TGTTAGTTGTTGGCACGGCACGATTTGGCGCACTACGCTAAGTAAAACTCTAATGTAATAATTAATAAAGTCTTCTTCTCGACGCTCTTAAATTTGATGTGTTGCTTGATGTAGACGCTCATGTAGCTTCCACCAAGGCAGGCTGCGGATCATGCTGATCAACAAACAAGATTGACAGTGATTAATAATCCCATCCTCGGACTGACCAGCATGAGCCTAAAGCTTTCTCTCCCTCTCACATTAGTATCGACTGCAGATTCAATTGATAAAATGTGGTTGATAACATGGTCAGCTCATACAGTGTTCACTCAGAAAATCATAATGTTGAAACTTGCAAATTAAGAGTTTTGAGCGGGATTGTATCTCAAGCCGGTCTTTGGAGGGTATATTTCAATGACAGCTTCCTGGTTTCCAGATCCGAGAGTTGAAAGAAATATTTTGTTCTCTGGTAGGGATTGATGCTTCCACTTCCGGGTAAATGTTCCATCATATGTTGGACAAGCTGGCGATTCATGCAAGTTGGGTGCTTCTGACTTCTACACCTCCGTCTAATCAAAGATTTTAGGAGTTTGTCGTTGTAGCAACGCTTGTATCTGGGCTTGTGGGTACGAGAGTTTCTCCTGTAGATGTTGTATTGTAATTCTTGAGGCATAATGTCTCTAATGAGATAATGCTTTGAACGAGTTGCGGTTTTAACCATTGTAGCGAGCGAATTTATAAATGGGGTACATAGGTTTTCGTTGATTAATTTGAAGATTTGACTCTGAAATTCGCTGGAAAAGAAGGCAATGTTGTATCAGGAGTCATACGTGGAGGTTGTTAAGTTTGTTAAATTTGACCTTAATATTCAGTAAGTAGTGACTGAAATTGTCGGTCATAATTAGATCTTTCAGACGTCGTAATGGCCAGTTACATATGCAATGCAAAGTCAGCAAGCACCAAAAAATTATACTGCTGTAGACTGGACATGTCTCCACCTATGCAGACTAGACACCTAATATAGATTTTAAAGAGAAAGCAGAAGTCTGATAGTTAGCTCCTCGCATTTGAACAGGAGACGAAAAAGACGCAACAAAATAAATGACATATTGTGTTTCTCTAAAACATCGCCGACCAGTGCTGTGCTTGTATATGCTGAACTAAATTCGCTGTTGTTCCAGGGTTAATGGAATTTTTGCTCCATTGCAAAACTGAAATTTGCCAGGCGAGCACTTGCGAATTGAGTAAGTAACATGGAAAACAATAAGATTGTTTCTGCTGAAGGTAAAAACATGAACTTGTCATTCTGAAAATACTGCTTCTACAGAGTTCAACAAGGCTACCAGTGAAAGCTTTGATGGAGGAGGTATGCAAGGCTATAGACATGAAGCAAGAAGACGTGTTTGATTACGCTGTTCTGTTACCACTGAGAACTTCGATGAATATTGATATTGTTGTGGTACCACGACGGGTACCATCCGCACCGCCCGCTGTAGTCACTGAAACTTTCGCGGAACAGGTATTTACACGAAAGCCGAGAGGGCCATACAGACGATACAACGTGCATTAAATCGAACAATTATCTGACCACTTGATTAAACAAAGTAGAACCGCAAAAGACGCCGCCCTTTTGACTGGGATCAACATTAGGACAACTCAGCATATACCAAAGTAAACAATGTGAATGATGAACGATGTCGCTGGTAAGTAGCAGAAAGCGGAGCTGGACGGAAACGTAAATTAACAGAAAGTCATTCCTAGTTTTTGATAGGTTATATTGACCACCTGAAAGCTGTATTATCTGATATTAGAAGAACTTCATATGAAGCCCTCCCAAACCCATCAAAATCAATTTCTGCGCTGCATAAACACGTGGTTTCAGAAATGCAGGTTGACACTCAAAAACTTGGAAAGCTACCGGCTGCAACGGGAAATAGCGCGACCGTGTGATCAGATTGCGAAGGGAAGAGGACGAAAAATGGGAAGCGAATACTGATCTGGATTATGGTAAAAATTGAATTATCAGTCATGAAGGAGGATTCAATTTGCACACTAGCCGAAATTATGGTTCATCTCGAAATGGAACTCCAGCAAAAGATGTTATACCGACAGTAAATGGTATAACAATCATTTCCCACTACATCTTAAGCAGCAGTGATAGATCTATCGATGAAGAAAATTGCAAGCTGTGTCAGTATCCAATAAGTGAAAGATAAACGACGCAAAGTCGATAGTGGTAAGCGGTCGTGTCGGAACAAGAACCGAGCATTTTCTTCGTATTCTGGATGCAAGCAATATGAAAGGATACCATATGGTGATGGATAATGCTTCAATACATATTCCGTTCAAGGTAAGTGAACTAGCAGATGGCCAAGGTTATAAGTGCCTTTGCCTTTCACTATATTCGTCCATTTTGAATCCCATTGAAGAGTTTGATCAAAACTTCATGGCTGGTGTCAGGCAAAATGTATTTACTGTTGATGATCCTCTCAGTGATCATATATGCAATGGTTTCCGACTGATAACTCAAAGAGGCTGTCAAGTATGGATTCACCATGCACTGTCATTCTTTTGCAGACATAAGAAGGAGATTATCGATTTATGCGAAGACAGAACGAACGGTTTGATGGACGAGGACGGTTGAAGAGTCATTGGACGAATGTGTCTGAATTAAACCTTCGGGTAGTATGCCAATGTTGGAAATACTTGGGCTAAATTCGCAGATCGAAGACCATAGATTATTATACAACTCGTGGATCAAGGAATTTTTATACCTGCATACCACCAGTGATCGAGATGAAAGATTTATAGACAACTCACAAGTAAAACGCTCCAAATAAAACTCGAAGGATATGAATACTGAACATTTTACTGATGTGCTAGAAACTGGTGTCTTTACTGTTGTACTTTTGCGATTGATCGTTTTTAAAGATGGGTAGAGAGCAAAATCTGCGAAGTATTATACCAGAAAAGAAAAAAAATGGCCTTCAAACCAACAAAGCGAGGCTACCTTTCGGTAATCACGCTACGAAGTGTTTGTCATTATTTCAGAGATAAGGGTTTTTTGATCTTCAGTCAAGGAAAGTCAGGGAATGATAACAAAGTAGCTCAAAAACCTTATTTCTATTATACTTCAATACATGCCCTGTTTTGCAACAAAATCGTATCATCGATGACCCCTTTTCGCTTACTACATGCCTTTCATGTTTCTTCGAAGAGTGCCTTCGGTCTCAACTTAGAGATAGTATTGGTGCGACATAGAAGTAAATATAATATCAATTAATTTATAGTATTTGTTAAAGCATGCTTATGTATCTAACTTCCACTTAATCTTTATCGTTTGATTTATATCATTCTCTAAGAATTCATGATTTCCTGCAAGTAAGGTCAAAGAGCCTAATACAAGTCACGTGACTTTTATCGTACTGATTGTTGCATACGCAAGAAGTCAAGAGTTTGTGAAATGTGTGACATACGCACAGAGTGAGAAGTTTTGAACTTCAGTTTTCATATGTTTCTCTAAGAGCATATGATTTATGTAGACATATCATGAACTTCAAATAGGTTTGCCGATAAACAGGGCAGTTCGTCAGGGGAATTGCTCGTGCGGCTGCTGGGGAGAGCGGACTTTCTATTATCTGGTGCAATACACATATCGCACATGAAGGTGACAAGGATCATAAGAGACGGCAGCCCTCTGCATCAGCAGATATACTCCAATACTCTCTTATTACAACTATGTAGCTGACAAGGTATATCTAGTCAAATGATGCATGTCAAGACATGTCAAATGGTTATGCCTCAAAAACGTGCTTGAGTGCACTTTCACATGTCGGGTCGGGCCAGGCATACCCTTGGGGGACAGATTTTAATTGGGCACAAGTTTCATTATCTGTATGGTAAAGTGAGCATCAGAAATCTCGACTTTGCCTTATTCATTTCTTTTTATTCAAATCCTCGATAGCACCGTTCTCCTTTCCTTCTTTACTTCTTACAATTTTTGATCACTTTCTGCATTCTCTTCTGTGATGGCTGAAAATAAGACGGCAGAATGGATCAACTTTGCTGTGAACAGAGCGAGTGATATCCCTGTCATTGGTGGACGTATTCGTAAAGTGTCGATGACTTATGGGCCACAACCAAGTTTAACACAGTCTTCGCCATCTCGTCTCTCCACATCATCCGATCTACGACCTCCTCCATCGTATTCCTCGGTGCAGGCGAGTAGTAGCCTGGCAGTTTCCGGTGGTCTTGACTCCAAATCTATCATTGAAAAGATAGGAGCCAAGAAGGTGGCTAAACTGGACCGACAAAGCATAATACAAGGGTTACGGATGGTCGACTTAGCAGCAGTCGAGTATCAGGAAGGAAATGATAGCATTGCATTAGATATTTATCTTCACGGCTTGGATAAAATCGTCATGGGCCTTCCAGGTATCAAACTTTCCTTTTTATACATTAGGCAATATTTTTTATACCACGGATTCTCCTTCCGCAAACCCACTACTGAAATCTTTGAAAACTCGTACACTAATTTGCGTTTGCATTTTTTTTCGTACCATCCCTCTAGTTGAGAGTGATCCAGAAACAAGAAAAGCTTTAGAACAAAAGCTACGTTTACTAGAGAGAAAGCTTGAGCTACCATCAATATACCAACCTGTACAGCATACTGAAATCATGCTAAATTTAAAGTCATTCAGTGACCTTATCGTGCATATCACAGTGTCCTGTGCAAAGCTTATCAAGGCCAGCCCTGTTCCTGGTTAGAGTCATTAATGCGCTGTATCTGTCATAGCGTTGAAATAGTCTTCTTATCATTATTTCTTGCCAGGGATCACATTTTCTTTCATCAAGGCCAGTATTAGAATTATGCGGACAGCCGATAACACATTACATATCACTCAACGTATCCAAAATTTACTGATATACTTCGTCAAAGTCATTCTTGACATTGACGAAAAATATCAACTGCACCAACTTTTGTCTGAGTGCGTGCACATGCTATTCGTCGCCAGCGTCAAAGCTTCCATTGCCTTTAAAGAATCCCCTGGTTATCAGCAATCGAAAGCCATTGAGAAGGTCACCCGCACAACGCTTTGACTCTAATCTTGCAGCAACTTCTTTTTTTTGGGGGAGGATGGAGGATTTCGACTACATGTACAGTATACCTCAACACACAATTGCCACCTTTCACTGTTTCGATTCCTCCTTTCTCTTATTCATATACTTCTATTAACCTCGATTATACCTTTATTCTACACTTTACCACTTTTGCATTGACCATTTTCTCTGTCTCTCTCTTTTCAGCTATGTAAATAGAGTATTGTCCGTCAGCCTTTCATTTGATAGTAATGATAATAAACATTGAGCCCAGATTCTCTTGGAAGCCTGTAGATTGATAATATTTTTTTTCCTACAATTCACGATTTTTTTTCGTAAGTATAAAGCTGCACAGTTCACAAAAATCTTTTGCATATATGTAAGCTGCCGTTCCTTTACAATACGTTATTATTATCATCTACGAGTACCTTATTTGTTGCTGGTGGTGTAAGCAATTTCAGCAATAAACCTATTTCAAACAAAATGGCATCACAGACAGATACAGTATTCAGGCGATGTTGATGAGATCTCGAGAAGCATTGTTACGTTTCAGCCAAAATAAGTGCGCAAAGATAGATGGGACAACAGACACATACAAAATTGCTTCGACCGAAATGATAGCTGGATCGCCAACTAGTGAGTCGTATTGTTTTTCTTAGAAGACATCCCATTGAGGAAGTTCAACTTCCTGTCAAGCTATTGTATCAACTCTCGTTCGGTGGATTTTCTCCAATTACGAATGTACTACAGGATAACAACAAAATTTAACAAGGAGGGTTAGTTTTCCACAATGTTGTAAGATGGTTTTTTATGCGGATCTTCCCACGTGTTTCCGCGTAATACTTCGTAAGCCGCCGTTGCTATTTAATTTTCAAATCACTCAATAAAGCCAAGTATCCAATAGCTAGATACCTATTAAAGTACATAGTGACAATGCCTCTCAGCATTCAACGTAAGGATTTATCTGGACTGACAGTCATAGTCACTGGAGCCAATATTGGTAAGCTGAATTCATCATGCCACTCCCATCAGAGTCAGATCAGCATTTGATAAGGGTTCATCATAGGTATTGGGTTGGAGACCGCCAGAATGCTCAGTGAAATGGGAGCACAAGTTACCATAGCCTGCCGTAACGCCAATAAGGCAGAGACAGCTGCCGAAGACATCGAAAAAACGACGGGCAAAAAGCCTCATGTAGCATCACTCGACTTGTCCAATTTCGATTCTACTGTTGCTTTCGTGGATGAATTCAAAGCAAATCATGATCGCCTGGACATTTTGGTAAATAATGCCGGCGTCGTTTCCTCGTCCAAAGGAGAAGACGGCATGTCGAAAAATGGATTCGAGATCGAGTAAGTTTTGATCCAGCCAAAGTCGTCTTCGTGTTATTTGTTGATATTTACTAATTCTATTTCCATCTATGGTTTGCCCCAGCTTCCAAGTCAATCATCTCTCACAATTTCTTTTGACCAACCGCCTATTGCCGTTGATAACAAATGCTGCGCAAAACAAGATCAACAATTTCACTCCACGCGTTGTTACCGTTGGCTCCAACGCAGCAACAATTGGAAAGATTGATTATTCTTACGTTCAAAACTCTGCCAACCTGCCATTTTTATTCACAAGATATGCAAACTCAAAATTGATGAATGCCATGTTTATCAAAAAGCTATCCGAGATTGTGAAGGACAATGGGGTTGTTGCTCACGTTGTTCACCCGGGATTTGTCGCTTCAGGTACAGTTTCATGCTGTTTCTCATGCTGATGCTTTCACAAAACTTAATGCCTGCAACTCACAGACATCCATGCCAAGGAGGACCATAAAGTTCCCAGGTTCGTGATCAAAATCGCTGACTTCGTAATGAAGGCAACTGCACGCTCACCTGTTCAAGGTGCGATGACCAGTGTGCATGTTGCGATATCGGATGAAGCAGCTGAGACCACCGGCAAATACTGGGATTCTTGTAAGGTAGTCGCTTACCCTAACAAACTGATTACCGATGATAATGCTGTGGATCAACTGTGGGCCGATTCTCTTAAATATTTACAGGAGAAAGGCATAGAGATTGATCATTAATGTACTATGCCGCTGCAGTTGAAAAGAAATAGTACCTTTTCTCCATCCTGCTATTATCAAACAATTTTCTAATACCAAATCCGCTCCTCTACATCTTCGACATTGTAATAATAATGATAAAATGAAAAGACGTCGAAACGATCTTACAGAAACAATTTTGCAAACAACGGTAGCAATTTTTTTTTCATGGTGTGATCTTATACGTGATATCCCTCTATATTACAATATGTGGAAACTCAGCGCATTACGCTTGAAAATGGCTCGAACTACTTTTGAGCCTGCCCTATTGCTTGACTCTGTTATTGTAGAACATCAGAGAGCAAAGAGCTGCCATTATAGCGTTTATCATCTCAACATCCGCCAAACAATACGTTATATTGAAATACTGCTAAATTATATATACTATTCACATTGCCGGGGGCGATTGGCTTCCATCATCACCAGACAGTCCTAAAGCCACACTACCTCGACTAGCAAAGATCAAGATCCATTTCATATTTGTGAGCATATACTTGAGTGCTCGAGTCCACAATTCGTCTTGATTGAATTGAAGCCGAATTGAGGTATCACCAATCTTATCCTTGTTAATTCTTTGAAAAAAGAAAAATGAGATATACAATAAGGTTTCCTGTTCATAGTTCGTTCAATATGGCAGCATAATTTCCACTGACCTATAAGGCAATCTAAGGCTCTTGTCCCGTTGCTCGGCAAAATCACTCAGCTGTTGTAGACAATTTAGTAACGCGACTAGCGCATGATCGAATCTCCTATTCAAAAACATGCGGTTGATAGCGAAGTCGCCAGACCCATAGCTAGGTAAATTGGTAGCACTAGTAAGTAATCTGCCTATGAACACTTTGCTTAATAAATATGGAGAACTTACAGTTCATATGTAACCACGCTATCTCCGTCGATTTTCTGTATCCGCGAGAACGATCCCATAGGAACCAGCCTATATCTGTTTCCGACATTAACAAAAACTTAATAGCCATCCATGATGGTTCTCTGCCATGTCAGCGATGTCTTACGTCTTAAATTGAAATTTGAGCTTGTTGGCGACAGTATAAAGTAAGAGTAGGGTTTGTCCCATAGCTGCGTTGATTTCATTCCAGTCAATCTGATGATAAGTGTGCTCAGTCTACTAGTTAACGTATTTTGATCAGAACTTTTTTAGCATTACTTACTGGCTGAGTGCTCAGTCGGCCTAATCGAAAGCCATTTATCGTACCAAATGGGCCACTATGTCCGATGCAAAAGGTATCGTTGTATACGACTGTTTTTTGTAACTTTTCGTACTGTTTGGCGTCATGGTCATACTTCATATTAATACTGTCTCTCTCGTTATGAAACGCTTGCAGTTTTAGCTGAAACTCATTGCTCTTTTGCCAAAATTCTTCTTCCTCAGCTTCCAGATTTTTAGATTCGGCTTCTAGTTCTTCAAGCTCCTTTTGCAAAGCGTCACGCTCTTCTTCTGTCCTTCTCAATGTTTCGTTTGCTTGATTTTCAGCATCTGCCAGCTTCATTACAAATGTGAGTATCGATACTTTCAAAAACGCATGCACTAGCGTTTATGAATGAGCTGTACCTCCTCAATTTCCTTTCTCAGAATCTTTTCTTCGGCAGGGTCGATCTTGCTCTCTGATACCTTTTTCAAGAATTCTATATAACAGTCTCTTTCCCGGCTGACGTCGTCTAGCTGTCTTCTTAAGCTTTCCAACAAAATATCTGTGCATTCTTGACACATTGGGTGATCGATATCTGATTTGGCTGACATGATGTCAAATAGTTTGTTCGCTACCTTTAATCGTCGAGACATGCTGCTGTTACGAGCTTCGTCAGATTTTAAAGTCGAAACTTGTGAGACTACGGGCGGTGCAATTTGTGAACTGGATAACATGACAAATGACTCTGACGGACCAACCATGGTATCTTTGGATCGGAGATTGGTATGTCCTGGCAAAGAGTTGCGGTTGCTTTTGTTCGAGGTAGTTGTTCTACGCGAAATGGGTTCCATTGTACGGTCAGGAACATTAGTAGCTACTGCGGAAGGCGTAGCTCGCGGATGTGCTTTTTCTTCTGCCTCCAATGGTGCTATTTTTAAAAGCACATTAGCACTCAGTGAAATGACTTTCAACAACAACTTCGTCAATTACTAACCTATTAGTAAATCCATAGCTGAAGGTTTGAGATCAGCTAACGATTCCTCGACTTTTAACGGTTGCCGGCATCGCTGGCAGAATAACGGTCTTGTTGAATCAGTATTCATGGCAACACTTGGGCGAGATCCATCGGTCAGCTGGCGAAGGACTGACATTTTGATTGGAATTTCAGTCTCCGCAAGGTATCTTGTTGGGAGACGGCTGGAACAGTTGACGGATAACCCTTTCATAAGTGGTGACACGGCACTAGCATTTCATCAATCTATACAGCTTCAAGTAACACTCTTCTTATGATTTCATGATTTTGGACAACATGGTTTGTACTTGATGTTAACAACATAGCAATCATTGATATCAAGCATTTCGTGCGAAAGTCGTCGACTGTAGTATATAGTGGAAAGCCGAAAATTAATTTTTGCGCGGGACGAATGTCTATTGATTGTTTTTATGAGGTACTGAAATTTGGGAATGCTATTTGAGAACTGACTGCACTATGTGCCATTGTTCTGGGCAGAAATGATTTGAAGAGGTATGGTGAGATATTTACAATAGTGTAAAGCGTGTTTTAACTTCGCTATGGGGACGGGATAAGGAAATGATTAATAGCCAATAGCAGTCATGATGCCATAGCCAACGAGGATAATAACAGCGGTGGAGAGGATGGAAGCGGGAACACCAGTCTTGAGGAAGTCGTTAGTAGTAAGGTATGGCTTTCCAGTGGGATCCTCCATCATAATGGCAGACATATTTGGATATCCTGAAACAGGCAAACCTATGGAAAGAATGCGTTAATTATCACAGTCAATAATATGATCATGGAGATAGTACTAAAATAATTCTTACCCATTCCAGCTGAACAGACCAATCCGGCTCCCATGACCAAAAGATTGGGATGAGGTGTGGGTAAAGCCAAACCAACTTGTTGGACGATAGGAAGGATGATGAGAGCAGCGACAGTGTGAGAGACAAAGGTAGCAAACACCAAAATTAGGATAGAGAAAATGCAAAGAATGGCCAGTGGTTCAAGATGCTCAACACCATCCTTGATACTCATAGCAATGTATTGCAAGAGTCCAGAAGAGTTGACTGCATTACCCAAAGCAGAGCCACCTTGAGCGAGGACAACTACAGACCACAAGAAAGCGTTCAAGTCATCCTTAGCCAGAATTCCAGTTCCAAAAAACATGAACAAGGGAATTGCTGCGATAACACCAGCATCACCGAATACAGATGCCAAGCTTGATTCAGCACACCACAGAACAATAGTAGCGATAGTGATGAAGCAGACGAAGACTTGTGAGCGTGTGACTTCTTGCTTGGTTGCCTTGACAGTATTGAGAGCCGGTGTGGTTCTTCCAGGACGCATAACCAACAGAAGGATTCCCCAGGTGATGAAGAGAGAAAGAATTGAAACGGGAAGAGCAACAGCAAACCAGTTACCCCATCCAGGGGAAGGCGACATGTTGTTGATGGTAATAATGTTCTGAGGAGAAGAAATTGGAGAGGTCATTCCACCAATGCAGCTTGCAAGAGCGATACCGAGAATTAAGCAAGGAGCAAAAGTAGATCCAGGAGGCAATGTTCGAATGATAGGTTGCACAAGAGAAAAGCAAAGTACTGGAGTGGCAACGTTACTGATCCACATACTGAGGAAGCAAGCGACTCCCATATTGGCCAAAAGGACGAAGTGTGGTCTTGTACCAGCGCGGCTAAGAACGTGAGACGCAAAGGCTTTGGCAATTCCATACTTGCTAAGGGCAGCAGCCAAAGCAAATCCACCCAAAAGCATCATGATGGTTCCGGAAAACATGGACTGGAAAACAGCCTTGGAAGCATTTGTGGCGGTCATGACACTACCGTCGGGATTACGCATGACTTGCAAAAGAACGATGAGGAATGGGATAAGCATAGCAGTGGAATACAAAGGCACAGCCTCCGTAGCCCACAAGATAGCGCAGAAGATCAACAAAGCAAAGCAGTAGTTTTCAGGTCTTGAGCCAAAGATATCGACATTAAGGAACACAACAAAAGCAACCACTGCAACTAAAAAGCTGATGGTGCTGTTCAATAAGCCTCTCGTGACAGGAATGTTGATGTATGGAATTGTGAAGAGTGGCTTTGGGGCGTCCTTGACATGAGCATCCATTGTCCTTCGTTCTTGACCGATCATATCCTTCCAAACGGTGTTTCGCTCATAGACAATATGATCACGAAGATGAGTGCGGAATTCTCGAACTGCAGCATTGACATTGCCATTGGTGAAAACATCAGCATATATTTTTTCAACTCGTTCGATTTGTTTTTCCAAGGCTTGGCGAGTTTCCGTCATGAATGGTCTACTTTCCAGTACCATTTTTTTGAGGTAGATTTCACGGAGGTTACCATCCAATAGCTTGTCATGCTTCTTAAGAATCTTGTCAAAGCCTTTGCGGTTGAGGTCTTGGAAGCTCTGTAGTTCGGATAAAGCCACATACAAGCCAATGCATCTTGTTCGAAATGAGACCAGGCGATTGTAAGCAACGGTGGAGACAGATTGGGCTGACTGGAATGACTTGCGGGATACACTGGAACGGCGTGTACTGGTACGCGCCAAAGTGTCTACCACATTAAGGTCGCTCAAATTGTTGGTGCTGGAAGCAATATTGACGTAATGAGCTTCGCTTGCTTTGGGAGCTGCTCTGATAGCACTGGAACGGCGACGTTCATGGGTAGAGTCAAGCATCTCCAGTTGCGATGGCTTTAGTTCACCGTCGAAATCAGGACTCTCGCTGTCGATTTGAAGTTGTTCTAACTCTGCATAAAGCTCTGCTTCTTTCTCTGTGTAGAAATCAAAGACTTTCTCCAGTTGCAAGTCCAGTGCTTCAATGAAGCGCTCATTGTTACGATGAAACTCTTCATCAGAGAAATTGGTAGCCTTCTCTGGGTCCATATTAGGGTTATTGGACATTTCTTCTACCCGCTCCTTTTCCAATTGATAGATGAGTTTCTTCAAATGGTCATAACTGCATAAGTTGCGGAAAATAGTTTAATCACATAATGTTTGGAAACAATGACGGACAAAAAACAATCGAGTAGGAGAGGCACACTTACGCCATGTAATAATCTGTCCATTCTGGCACAGCATTAAACTGCAAAGTGTGAGAGAACTTCATCGTCGAGCCTTGGGAGCAGAAGAATGAAGGATAAGAAAGAACTGTAAGTTTTTCTAAGGCTAGTTCATTTAACAAAATTTAAGGAAAAAAATTTCAAGCTGAGCTTGATTCCTGGCACGCCACGACGGTTATGGCCCGATTTCACTGGTTCTACCAACCCAACGTGAGTCAACGTGGTTTTCCATACACGAACACTTAAGAAGAAATGCCTAAAACAACAAACACCGCTACATGTATTTTTCATTATGTACCTTCAACAGTACTTGTATCATGTATTTAAATGTATGTTTAATTGAAAACAATCAATTGTCACGGCAAAATCAGTGTCGAAAAATTCTTCATAGCTATCCAAATATGGAAATCCCACCTGAGCGGCATCTAAAAATCCGGGGGAAATGGTATCCAATCACTTTCCACACGTGCGTGCACAACCGCGTTTCAATGGATAAACGGGAATCAGATGCTATGTTTCAGTTGACTTACGGCGAACATCTGCTTATATGCTTCGAAGCCAGATATGAGATCTTTTCGGAACAAGCCAGGAAGGAAAAAGTTTCAGACAGCAATGAACGTGCAATAGAAGCTTCAATTTCAATGGCAAAACAATGATGCAGGTTGTCTTGCTGTGGTAGATTGATCACTCACCAGCAGTTCCCAGTGTTATGAAACGATACCTTTAGAACATTCTGGGTATGATGAGACATGAAGCTAGATCAGTTCTTTGTGTTGGTTTTATGTTCTACTAGGCTTGTTCCCCGTAGAAGTAGTACATTGCCGTAAGACCCTAAGATTGCGAAGCATGAGTACTGAGCTTAAATTATAACTTTATGCTAGGCCCAAGGCAATTTGTAAATCCGTTTGTCAGTTCGCATTTGCACGCAATGGCGACGCTCTTTGACAATAGATGTGAAAGTGTAATTGACCTGTCAATAGGCGCACCGTCGCGGGATATGATGCCAATTAGTATGATGGCAGCAGCCTGTCATACAGCTCTGAGCTGCGAAGATGCTTGGCATTCATTTCAGGTGAACTTGCACACCTTTATATATTCAGTTCTACACGCCACGCTTGATATATCTCTAATGGTCAATTTATAGTACGGGCCAGAGAGTGGGGATCATGCTTTTCGAGAAGAACTGGCTGTCTTACTATCAACTCAAATTTTGAATTTGGACTCTGACCAACATACCCCAGTACAAAGGCAAGACACGGTCAGAAGACCCGCGCATGTTTTGAATCTACTTTTTTGCTTAAATCATTTGACGCTATCTTGACAGCCATACCTTAGCGTGCACAAGCGGTGCATCGCAATCATTGGCAAATCTCCTGAGTCTGTTGACACATCCTATTTATACAACCCATGTCTTTTTACAATCGCCGACGTATCATTTGGTATTTCAAATGATTAAAGATAGAGGCTTCGATCAAAAGCAATTGATCGCTGTACCTGAAGACGCCGACGGAATTAAAATAGAATGGCTGCAGAAACAACTGGATGAGCTTCAAATCGGTGAAAGCTCAAGGCACCCACGTTTCTATAACGCAGTATTGTATACTGTCCCAACTTATAGTAACCCGTCCAGTACAATTTTATCTCCTGAAAGGCGCTTACAACTCGTTGAACTTGCACGTCGGCATAATTTACTTGTCATCTGCGACGATGTATATGACATGCTGTATTATGATACCACAATACGTCCACCACCTTCGCTTATTTCTTACGATCTTAATGACATACAAAGTCGACCTGGTCGGGGCAACGTTATTAGTAATGGAACATTCTCTAAAATCCTTGCTCCCGGGACACGCTGTGGATGGATACAAGCTCGACCTGAACTTATCAACTTAATCACAGAGAGGTAAATTCAGATGAGGTTCAACAGTTGAGAACGAATATTAACTGACTCTATCAATCCGTCATCGAAAAAATGGATTATACTTAGTGGTGTATATGTTTCTGGAGGCTCTCCTGCACACTTCGGTAAGGAAAATGCTGCAAAAAGATTTAGTCTGTTTAAAATCTAATCGATAGAGGTCTATGTTATAGTGAGCAAAATGATACATGAAGCATTGAAAAACGGATCACTATCAAAGCATATAAAAGACTCGCGCTCAGTGCTTCACGATCGACTTGTGAACGGATTATCGAAACCGATTGATAATTTACTTTTACCTTTGGGGTGCTCGTATTGTAAACCACGGGGAGGCTACTTTGTTTGGCTCAAACTTCCAAAGTCTATCAGCAGTATTCGACTTCAGAACACTATAGAGAAGCATAAGATAAATGTATCTTGCGGCTATGGGTATAAATTTGCAGTACCAAGTGAAGGCGATATAGAGAGCAAGCTTGATATTGGTAGACACATTAGGCTATGCTTCGCATATTACAACACTTCAGATTTAAATACGGCCGTTGGTTATCTACACCAAGCCATACAGCTGTGTATTGATGAAGCCGATGAGGAATGCAACTAACAGATATGTGCTTACTCAAACATTTAATAAACAGCTGTGAAAAAATAGGCATACGAAAGTAGCGGCAATCAAATTTGTAAAGGAAACACACCACTTTGATAATCAGAGCTGGGGATTTCCTCACCACCAACGTGTATTGGCTGGCTCCATGTGGGCACAAATATACAGCTCACAGGGTAACAGAAATTTGTTGCATTTCGAAGCTTTCACGTGACTTATGACAGGGCCAGTCGGGAGGCGCGAGAAAAAAATGAAAAAAGAAAAGTGAGGGAACGTCACCTCCAGCAGATTTTTCATACCTTTCTGTCTGTACTTGTTTTTGCTTTGTATATCATAGCTCTATGGTCTGCGATGTCCTCAATAACATCACAACCACCGACAAGAGGTTCAGGGATGCCACATTTGTCAAGAGAGACGACGTCAGAACAGAAAGATGTCCTTGATGCTCCACTAAAAGTCACTCATAATCCGACCCCGTACTTCTTAGAAACACCAAACGAGCGTGACAGGCGTATACGGAACTTATTTGAATCCCTCGATCGAAATGCTAAAGGTTACCTTGATTCGGACTGCATCCTGAAAGGATTTCAGCAGATGACCCACTTGCCAGCCAGAACAAAGTACGCTCGTGATCTACTGGAGAAGTGCGACACCAGTCAGGACGGTGTCATAGATTACGACGAATTCAAGATATATGTGGAAGAACGAGAAAAAGAACTATGGGCTATGTTCGAAGAGATTGATAGGAGTGGAGACGGACGATTGCAGCCTGAAGAACTGGAACATGCTTTACAGCGAGCGGGTATTCGAGTCACTAAAGATGATTTCTGGCAGTTTATGGAGGCTATGGACTCGGATGGAAATGGAGTCATTGATTTTCAAGAATGGCGGGATTTTCTTTTGGTAAGATATGTTCATTGGTTGAGAAAGTAGAAGACTTACATAATCGTTGATCTGGCTCTAACGAATTTCCTACAGCTTTTACCCAAAGAGACCAATATTACTGAGGTCTACAGATATTATCAAACATCAACACAGCTTACGCAGGATGCCGAAGTTGTTATTCCACCCACAGATGAAGCAGCCCGTAATGCTTTCAAATACCTAGCAGCAGGAGGGTGCGCTGGCGCTGTATCTCGAACTTGCACAGCTCCTTTCGATCGTCTCAAGGTCTTTTTGATCACCCAGACGACTGCGACTACGAAGGAATTAGCCTCTAATCGAACGAAAAGTACCTTACTCTCGGCAATGAAAACTATTTATTCACAAGGAGGCATACGCGGCTTTTTTGTGGGAAATGGACTCAATGTTATCAAAATTGTTCCGGAATCCGCCATCAAGTTTTGGGCATTTGAGTCTGCAAAATCTGTTTTAGCCAGAGCTACTGATGCTGAAGACAAAAATTCTATATCTGTTGGTGCACGTTTCATTGCTGGTGGCATGGCCGGCTTATGTTCGCAGTTTTCAATATACCCGTATGTCCACAACAACTAAGTAATTGGAATTTGCTCAACCGGACTTATTTTTCTTTTCCATTTCAGGCTCGAGACCCTCAAGACACGCATCATGTCGAGCAAAATCATTTCGTCATCGACTCCTCCGACTCCTCCAACATCTGGTCGTTCTGACTCTTTGATATTAACAACAGCGAGACAGATGTATCGATCTGGTGGTATTAGGGCATTTTGGCCGGGATTGGTAAGCTTTGGGAATATTTTGGATCCGTGTACGCTTATTGGATGGACTGCCTAACTTTTTCACAGACGCTGGGTCTGATCGGTGTTTTCCCTTACCAAGCCATGGATTTGGGTATGTTTCCGTTGTTAGTGCTCAAGTAAATGGAGGTCAAAGATGGATCCTAACGCGAATTTTTATTCAGGTATCTATGAAACCTTGAAACTAACTTATCTGGGATATATGGATAAGGCCGATGGAAAGGTACAACAACCTAACGTGTTTGTACTTTGGGGATGCGGAATGGTTAGTGGATCTATAGGCGCTACCAGTGTCTATCCCCTCAGCATGATTAGAACTAGGTAAGCTAATGTTATTACAGTGGAAATGGCAAGGCCGTCAATTTCTAATTGAACGTTGTTGGTGTTACAGATTACAAGCTCAGGGCACTCCAGCTCACCCACAAACATACACATCGGCTTGGAACGCTGTACAAATCACTTATGGAAAAGAAGGAATTCGTGGATTTTATAAAGGTTTGGGGCCAACGTTGTTCAAGGTATGTATTATGTGCTGTGGTTCATCTTATGGTTGATGTCTCCTAATGAATACTCTCTCCTCCAGGTTGTACCTGCTGTCAGTATCAGCTACGTAGTATATGAGCGCAGCAAGCGCTCACTAGGCATATCCTAGGATACCAAATGTACCAACATCTAGATTTTATTGTAGGCAATATTATATGATGTATTTGTAAATACTTCACTTCCCTCAACCAAAACCAACATAGAACATCCCAATATTTTGCCAAGCTACATAGATTTATTGAACAATTTCATTATATTGATGTGGGATAGAGTATTATGGGTTATAGTCATCATTGTTGAGTGTGTACATTCTGATCAACCATGTCTGCAAGCTTGTTTGCGTTTTCCTTGGCTTGCTCCTGATCGGTGTGCATTCTCTCTTGTCTTTCCTTCTCCTCAGCTTGGTGAATTTGGTTTAAAGAGGCGTCGTGCACTTCGCTAGGTTCGGAGCGGGTAATTTGAGGAGCAGAATCCTTTGAGTGGTCGACATTAGTGGCACTCTGCTTGTTATCTCCCTTGTTGAAGACGTTCTTGATTTCACTCTTGATTTTATCCATTTTGTTATAAGTATGTACATTGAATGTGGGATAAAGAGCGTCATTTTATATAAATTTCGGACCAGTCACAGTAATGAGCGCATTATGACGAAACCATTGCAGTTAGGAAAGTGCAGCCGAATGTCAAGCACGTCCTCCTCGTTTACTTAAAATTCTGGCATTGTCTAAAAATACTTCTACCATTGATGCAAATTCGGATGCCTCGCCTTGAGCCTGCTTCCTCTTCTCAGCCGCTAATATTCGGGTGTCTATAAATTCAAGTTCGAGTTCATGAGTAACATCTTGCTGACCAGAGGTGTCCTAAATGATGGAGGAATTATTATAAGCATATATTTAAGTGTGGCATTCATAAGCCGCCTTGAAATGACGTTTTCTTACCGGTGATTTCACTTGAGTTAGATCAAATTGGATGTTTCCATGAGAGTATGAGAGTCTGTCTTTATTACGTTCGTACATATGGTTGCCACCGGGTATTGACGCTGTAGTTGCGTCCGGCAGAATTAGTCATTGATCACAACGTTTACTGTCATTTACACAAAAATCGACTCACCTGGATTTTCAATACTCACAGAGATTCTGTAGTCAAAAGCTTGATTAGGCGAGTATATATTCAAATCCGCAATTCTTGTTTTTTCCAAGACACCATTTGGTACAATCTGGTCAAATGACAGCTTTTAGGCTCATGGTAAAAAATGTAGCGCTAATAGATCATTCGTTCACTAACCTCTCCAGATTGTTGATCAGTTGTTACTCGTATTTTTCTTCCGTCTGATAGCTTGAAAAATCTATCCCTTTCTCTGGTGTGTTTGTATTTCACGCGGCATCCCTTTTCCAACAGGTCAACATCTACTTCTCATCCAAACAATTAAACTTCTTGAATTCTTACCTCTGGTGGCTTTTGAACCATATCGTTGAGCATCTGGTTATACATTTTATGTTGATTGAGACTCATATCGCTCTTGAAGCGAGTTCGGAGATCAGAGTCTGGTAGGATTACTGGAAACATTTTTCAGGCAATGCACTCGACTTTATCACAAGACTTCTGTTCACTCACCAGTCTCGGTACCAACAGGCAAAGACAACCTTTGCCTCGTTCTATTATCTATTATAGTGCCGAGCTTTGCTTCGATCTAAACGCAGATATCCATCAGCCAATAGAAATCAAAAATGTAGTCGCCATTGATTAATGGTATAGAAAACAACTTCGAAATACCTCAATATTATCTTGATCGCAATACCGCCATAGGAAATTTGCAACATATTGAACGGTGTCGTTCATCGGTTTGTTACCAAATATTGTTGATGGTCGTGTACTCTCCATTCGCGCTCTATTCGCATCTAGAGTGTTACCATTCTCCGAAGTACCTGATGCCACTGTATCTGCATCAGTGGAATTTGGACCTATTTTTCGCTTTTTATTGTTGGATTCTCCTTGGTCTTTGAACTCGACCTTGTCCTCGTCGGTTGTCTCGAATGTGTTCATATTAAGTAGACCTTCACATACTGTATTAATTTTCCGCTGCCCAAAAAGAAAAAAAAATCAAGCAGGTCGAACGGAATCATGTGACATATTGCCATGGCCACAGCTTTGCTAGCTGACGATTTGTCCCGCAATTAACATTGAAAAATATTCACAAAATGAACAATATAAAAGATGCTTCTCGTAACTATTGTAACTACATTAATAGGCGCTTTTTGTGAAAAAGGGTAAAGAGGTCTTCTTTTATGCCATCCAAAAAGTGACAGTCACGCTATCCAGGGACGATTCATGGAAACTGTTAAGAGTTTGTGCTGCACCTTGAATCGAGTATCCATCCGACATATTGCTATAAATTGCCATGTTTCCAGCTCTTGGATTGTTCCGATCTATAACATGTCCTGAATATCCAGGATGTCACAGGTCTTCCTGTCTATATTCTCACGAGGTCACTGAAGGTGGGTTACAGTCGATATGTTTAGTGCCACACAACACTTGAACTAACACGCTTCCACTTTGAAAGAGCATATTGCCAAAAAGCGAAAAGTGGAAGCTACTAGAAGTCGTCAGGAAACAGAACGTGCGCCTATAGCTCAAATAAGCAAATACGCTACTTCCACCCAAGTACGACCTGTAGCAAAGGGACATGCAGGACCAGCAGCTGCATATGACATTCGCCCGTCAGCTGCGAAACTCCCCAGCAATTTATCGACTACAGCTGAAGCAAAGCCTGCTTACCGTAATATTATCAGCGGGGTGAGCGAAACAAAGATGAAGCCCACTGCTACAATATCCAATAGATCATCGACCGGTAGCAACCTTAGTCACTCTGTACCTGTACCAGTACTGCAGGTGAGTAATGATATATTCAATAATTCTATTAATTAGAACGAGCTAGCTCATGACATCTCGTAATTTCAGGCTAAATCAACTACTGGTGGACCGCCGATGATCCTCCCAGATCTAAAATCCCAAGTCCCACAGAAAGTTCGACAGGTAAGTAGTATACCTTTAAAGCTCTAGAAGGATTACCATTTTTAACATAAGTTTACATTGTACTAGATGACAGTAACCAGAATGTACGAGCAGTTCCTGCGCATTTATAAGCCATTAGACGAGCATATGCTGCTTGCCTTTCAGGACTCAGAGAAACAGGAGAGAAAAATCCATGAGACTAGTGTTAACCAAGCTGGATACAAGCAGACAGCGGCTGGCGTACTAGGACGTTTGAAAAAACGTTTACCCTCAGAAGATAAAGACGACATTGGAATCGACGGTGAATGGACAGACAAAAAGAGCCAACAAAAGACAGGGATGCGAAGCAAGCTTCAACAGTACGTCTTAACGGAGGAACAACTAGCAAAGATGAACTACCCTCTAGCAGATGCTCTCGAAATTCCGCAAAGCATAGATAGCTCAGTTGGAATAGAGCGTAAATGTGACAGGTGTACTAAGGCATTCATTGTCAAAGATATCTTGACAAAACAAGATATGGAACTATGTCGCTATCATCATGGGCGAATCAGAAAAGTCAAAGTTCATGGTAAAAGAAATCGTTTCCTATTTGTATCTACAATACGAGATTCTGACTTCATGCTATTGTAGGGGAGTACGAAAGGTTGTACTATTGCTGCAATAGCCCTCCTGAGAGTCTAGGATGTACAACTGGACCACATGTATACAAAGGTAACGCACGAAAAAAGAACTACCTTTGCACGCCTTCTTCGTATCTACTAATGTTTAAATATCAGATGAGACTATTGAGGCATTAGCAAAGCGTATTCCGTTCTCTTCTGTAAAGCCAGTCAGCGGTGCGAGCAAAGATGTACGACAAATTATCGCTCTTGATTGTGAAATGGTAAGCTGGATGATATTATGACATGACTTCTATGGAGATATTCTTACCTTCACACCAGGCATACACTACTGCAGGAATGGAGCTGGTTCGCATAAGCGCAATAGATGAATTCAATGAAACCATTATAGATGAGCTGGTTTTGCCTCAACACATGGTTGTCGACCTGAATTCACGCTATAGTGGCATTCAAACCTTGCGAGGTGCAAAGTATAATCTTCAAGATATTCATTTGATGTTATCGAAATTCATGGATGAACAGACTATCCTTGCTGGCCACGGATTGGTAATAATTTGTTTTAACTGGCAATTTTTTTTGCTGTGTGATTTCTGACGAATCAATCAATTTCATATAGGAAAATGACTTGAAAGCTTTGCGAGTAAGTTGGGTGGAATTGAATGTGATGTATCGGCTGTTCTGCTAACGAAATGGGTCTGTTAGATTGTTCATCCAAATGTTGTAGATACAGTTGCAGTAAGTTGTATAAAATGATTGCCCAAAACTCACATAACTTAATAACCCTTGATGACTCTTGCTACAGCTCTATCCGCATCCCAATGGACTACCGTATCGACACGGACTTCGCTTCCTAGCTAACAAGTATCTTCAAAGGTTCATACAAGATAGCTCTGAAGGACATGACAGTTTTGAGGATGCTAAGACTAGTCTTGATCTGATTAAGTTGAAAGTTGAAAAAGGTACGTGCAAAATGTCAAACACTGGTGACCGCGTCTAGAAAGGTGGATTGTAACAACATTTTGTTGCAGGCAAACAGTTTGGCTCCAACTAGACTTACGCGTCACATAATTGATTGATATGTAATGCGAGATAATGTTCTGCTTCTATTCAAACAGATTATATGTAAATAATGTAACACATATCGCTGTAGCAAAAATTCTAATAGGCGTCTACCCCACCCATCACTGCGTAGTCACCAGCAATTTCTTCCAATCCTCCTTACCATGACTCACCACGCTGTACTGCGAACTACAATTGAGAGTTTCTACGCTAATTTTGTTCCTTTCTTGTAAAAAAGTTTCCTTGAAAGCGTAAGCAAGCAAAAAAATTCCAAAACAAAAAGCGAGAAGTCCAGTGTACCCATGCCGTAATTTTTATGTGAGGGGAATTTGGCATGACCAAATTTTTCCAGCGAAACGAGTCATTTCAAAAAGCCAGCTTTCCCGAAAAATTATCGCCACAAAGACTGAGCACTGCCATGGCGAACAATAAGCTTCATGTTCGACTCAACGAGCGTGTGGAAGAGTATAAACTTACACCAGAAGAAGTAGCAGCCATCGACAAGGCAAGAGGTCAACTGAGCTCACATAGTAAGTACAATACAATGCTCAAAATCGCAGCAGCAATTAGGTTTTCACACAACTACAATTAGCCACCTTTGGAGGATTCGCTGGCGCAGCAGTGGGAGCATTCTTAGGTAAATACAATCGCATGGAGGACGTAACGTAGCCACCTTGTTGACAATATTCTTCCAGGTGTCCGGCGACGCTTTTCCCCTTGGGCCTCCTTTGCACTAGCCGGTGGAGGTTTTCTTATTGGTACACAAATGGGATTAGTGTCCGGAGCGTTGGCTGGCGTCAATACCATCAAAACGCTACCTAATTCTGAACACCTTATGAATCTCGTTCGAGACGTTCAGTGAGTGTTCAATTTCGCATTGGAATAACCTTCTACTTCCTACTTATAATGTCATCTGCAGGAATGAAATTTTGGCTGAGAAAGGCTTCAAGCGAGATTCACCGACTTCCCCACCGAGGCGAATGTCACCAGCAGAGCGCGAAAGTGAACTGCGGAATTACCAGCATGGCAATCAATTAGGCAAAAAGCAGGACGAAAATGGAGAGTTTATGTCGGAAGACGATTCTTTAACGGACAACAGCGGTATTGAGAGACCATTTGAAGAGACTGACGGTACGTAGACAATATGGCTGAAGGTGCACTTCATCCTTGAAATTTAATTTCTGAAACGCCTAGCAGCACCCAGACGTCAAATTACCGGTTATACACAACGACAGCAACCGGAAACGGAAGCTGGTCAAGATGAAGATGAGGGCAATGCAAACTACGGTGGACGAAGAGGAGCTTGGGAAAAAATACGCTCAGAGAACCTGCCTAATGAACGGCCGACCTGGGCAAAGCTTAGAGAGCAAGCTCAGAAGCAAAAGGTTGGCCAAGACTCCAGTGGAGCAGCTCAGGATAATGGTACGATGACATCTACTCAGCTTCAGCCTGACAACATTCCTCGTACACGAGAAGAGATGGAGCAGGTATCACAGCGCTCCCGTAAAAACAAATACGGTGACCCAGTTGATTAGTTTTTGTAAGATAACGCTTATTAACAGACAATCAAGAAATACAAAAAAAAACACTTTTATTATTGGTCTGTCAGAGCTAATTACATTTTTGCTGATACTAAAGCACCACCATCTACTGCAATGATAGCACCTGTGGTATACTGACCGGCACGAGATGACAAATAGATGCACGTTCCAGCAATGTCCTCAGGACTGCCGATACGACCAACAGGAATTCTAGCAACGATTGAATCACCAAACTTCTCTAAGGTAGCCTTCATCATCTTGGATTGGAATGATCCCGGTGCAATGGCATTGACAAGGATGTGGCGGTCACCAAGCTTGCCAGCAAGATGGCGAGTTAATTGATGCAAAGCTGCCTTAGAGCTAGAGTAGGCGTAGGTTTCAAGGCCAGGTACGTCGATGCCGTTGATAGAACCAATGTTGATCACACGAGAGGGATTCTCGGCAGTTGATTTAGCCAAAAGCAATGGAAGGCACCTGGAAGAAATGTCAGTTACGCAAAAAAAATGCCCATCAGCCTACCGATACTTACGCTTGTGTCAAGCTGAAAATGCGCTTCAAATTCAAGTTCATTACTTTCTCAAAGGCGTCTTCGGGATAATCATCGACAGGAGCAGCCCAGTTTGCTCCGGCGTTGTTGACAAGGACGTCAAGATCTATGCATATTGAATCGCGTTAAAATTTAAGTGGCGTGATAGAGGTACCTATGGACGTTGAACTCACGTTGCTCCTTTTTGGAAATTTCAGCAACTAGGTGCTTAATTTCATCCAAACTTTGCAGGTCGGCAGGAATTGAATAGCATTTTCCAGGTCCTTTGGCAGTAAGCTCCTTGGCAACCTGAAAGTATGGTGTGAGAACCCATTCAAAAACCCCCTTTCTCTCTGTTTCATCTTGTCTTTTGTTAAAACATACCTCGTCACAAACTTTCTTTGAACGAGCACTGATATAAACAGTGGCTCCTGATGAAACAAAACCCTGTGCTGGACATTAATGTCGAGTTACAGTACTAACAGTGCAAGCTGAAACCATACCGTGGCGATCATTTCACCGATTCCACGAGAACCGCCCGTCACTAGAACAACCTAAGATCCGGAGGCTATGAGCTTGCTGTGGTCAATGACTCTCCTCAGACATTGTAGAAAACTTACCTTGTTCTTAACGCTAAACAAATTTTGAGTATCCATCTTGTGAGAGTTTAGACGTACATGGTCTCCGGTCTGCCTTTATAGTGTGTGAAGAAACTCCTCAATTCTAATTACTAACAGCCAATACGCACGTGACAAGCGGTATTTAAGGCCATGCAAGCACCATACAGGGCAAGCGAACAAGCGATTGTTTTACTGATGACCAATCCGCTTTCCCTTCAAAATACATGCTTTTAGTATCAATGGTAATGGAAATCTCTTCGATTCCAGACGGCTATCATTAATCTGAATTCGTAAAGTGGCCAATGGGCCATACGAAATATCAAACTTTCACTCTTTCTGTAAATTGAGGGTTTGCTACTTCAATTTATATTGTGGCACAGAGTAAATTACGGATGCTGGCGCTTCAACTGAATATATCTGATATATTTTTCAATGTTATACGGATTGATTATAAAAGTGTCAGAGCACCTGTAGCTGTACTGCCGGCATTTTGGCCAGAAGGCAAGATGATTGCAAGCTTGATTCCTCCAGCTTGCTGCTGACACTTGAAGCCTGTAGAAGATGTCTTTGGACATTTAAGCAAGGTTTTGCTGATGGATAAATTTAAGGTAGATTGTGTCTGTGTAGGGTCAGATACACTGACTGCAACAGATCCATTTTTGAGGTTGAGCTTTAACAATACGATGGATGGCTGGTCAACAGTCAACGAGAACAGAGAGCCTTGAATATGCAGACTTTGTGAAAACGCTGAGGTTTTCGGCAAATTTAAGGATCCAGCTTTCCAGAATATGCTTCCTAACGTAAGATCAGCAATGTTCAAGACGGAAGAGACTTGATCATTATTGGCAAGTAGTTGAATGGATGCCTTCAGCAATGCAGACTTCGCTTTGAAACCGCTGTATGGCACGTTCAAGTCAGCAATATAAGCAAGTGAGCCGGTAGCTGAAGCCGGATGGGTGACCCACGACTTGAATACGTTGGTGGTGACAACAGTTGTGTCTATAGCTATAGACGACCAGTTTCCAGATTGCTGACTTGGAGAAACCGATAAAGTTGGAGCACTATTATTAAGGAACACATATCCAATATTACCATGCCAAAGCCAATCAGGGTTGGTATAATTGGTAGTGGTATTGGTAGGAACAGGAGTAGATGGGTTGGCCGAAGTGTAAACGCTTCCATTTAACTTACGCTGATCCAATACGGAGTACAGTGGTGACCCGGAATTGGTGGTGATACCGTTACCAACAACAACATATTGGTTGTCGAAGAAGAACCAACCCTTGCTCCAACTAGTACTATTTGAGCTGACCGACAAGGGATCAGTGTATTGCATTGCCCCAATACCAATATCTCCGGTCGATACACCGCCAACAAAATCGTTTACACCGAAAGCACTAGCTTGATCACAGTTCAGCGGATCTGCTCCATATGCTACAGTGGTTCCAGGGAGGAGATTCCAGTCCCAGGTGGGGAATATGTCAACATACTCATTGCCTGTCAAGTATGTATACACGAGACCATCTGACAAATGGTAGCCCTTGATATTCTGAAGATTTACGCACTCGGTATTACGAATACGGGAAGAGAACATCTTGAGTGATACAACATAGCTATCACGACGCATGATCTACATGGCGTATATGTTAGTTCCTAATTGTGTTGCGCATCATTAGATAGAGAAAACGTACCATGTAATCAGCATTCCAAAACAGCCGGTTTCCGTTCAGCTGACCAGGATTTGCAGTAGCTCCAGTTGCTTGCAATCGCTTTTCCGATGCGGATATTTCAGAGTATTGAGACCAAGTACTTGTGCCATTTGGATACTGTTTAATATTTACATCGAATGGCGAGTAGCTACTCATAGACACCATACGACCCAAACAGGAATATTCCCATCTTACAGTCTTGGTTACTGAGTCGTAAAAGCTCATCCATTCTGTACCCTCCAACAAGTTTGTGAAAATTGCTTTCTGAGCATCCACAGCCTGGTACGATGTGCCAACTGCTGCAGAAGCAAACAACAAAAAGTCGTTTGCGAAAACCATACCGTAGTTTCCACTGTAGAGGACACCATCGTGCTGGAAGAAAGATCCGTCCGCCTTAATGCCTAGTGATAGCTTATTCAGCAACGAAAATTTCGCAAAAACAGCCGTTCAGTGTCAAGCTTACCATCATTTGGATCCACCAATGTCACTACTTGTCCGTTAGCGTGCGTGAAAACATCAGCCATCAAAGTTTCATTATTGGTAAAGAGGGCCAAGGCAAGACCGACACTGGACACATCCAACGTGTTTGCTCCAGTCACTGCACCAAGACCATATACCCATTGATCGACTTGCGACCAAGAACGACTCATAACCCGAGTGCATCCTGCTGTTTGATTCACATCTAACCCTTGTTGGGAGAAGAGACAAGCAACACTGGCAGGCTTTGCTACGCCAATAACTTGATCATACCAGTTTGTATTCCAAAGCCCTGGTGTTCCACAAGGGCATGTGGCATTTGTTAGTCCTCCAAGGGCAATGCAGTCGTCAGACACATAATCATTGCTAAACCAATAGTTCATAGCCAGTTGGATTTTGGAAAGAAGTGCTGTGTTGTTCGCTGGGCCGGTGTAATAGCTGATGGACATGGAAGCTACATGGTCCCCATTAGTTTCGACAGATGTAACGAATGTTCTAGGTGATATTCTTACCTAAACGAGACCAGTGACTGATGGCCGGCCAGCTGGCGCGCCTTGCTGGACATCCACTGGTGTAGTCGATATCAGACCAGGTACCTGATGCAGTCAACGCGTTTGCCCTAAATTCATTTTTAGTGCTTTCTCCGTAGCATTCATACCAACTGGTAGTAGTTGCTTACCATTTCTGCGTACCCGATATTGAGGTCATATTAATCTGCGCTTGCATGAATGTCTGCTGTATCGTGGCGAGGGAGCTGCCGGCCACAGGAGCAGCATATACCCCTGCTAAGTGCCCGATGACTCCTGCGATGGAGAACCCTAGCAAGCAAAGCTTTACCATTTCAAGTGTCGTTGACAAGAGTAAAAAGTCCTATATCCTGTTTTACAAAACTGAACTGCTTTTATTGTTGTTACCCATCTAATTTATGTAACTTACCATTTGAGGATAAAGTTCCATCCTTGGGCCGGTCCTCTGCACGATTCATAAATGCTTCTGGCAGTGCGTACCCCGAATGACTCTTCATTACATGATCCTCAAATGCATGGTGTCGATGTCAATATCGGCGAGTATATTTCAAAGTTGCTTGACACCAGGATAAGTCGTATTGTTTCGTACCTATAGGGGGTTTCCTAATTTCGATAATGTGCCTCATTTGGACTTCTCGCTCATCCCACACTTCGTCCAAAATATCCCGACCGTAACACCAATCTGGGGAAGTCTAACCATCTTGTGTGCCATTATGAACCCACCATATTGTGGAGCGGAATGGTAAATCATAAAAGGGGTGTGTAGTCTTGTGACGTTATACAAGTGTACCTGGGAACTGGAAGGAGAGGGGTTACCTTAATTCTGTCATTTGTTTGTCTGTTATATTCAATGGTACTTTCCATCGCAGACATCAAAGCAATTAAGAGGAGCCAACTGTGTACTGCTTTCTGTTGAAATAAAAAAGTTCGCTAGGGAGTTGGTACAGTCAAGCAGACGTCCAAATATGAGCCTAGAAGTGCTGTAATTTATTCTTTTATTTCAGCTATTTATCAGATATCAAAAATAATGTAAGTAACAAGTATAAAGGACTACGTTGATAAATCAATGCAAAACATCATATTTCTTTTGCCTGGCCACTACCACGAAGAAGAGAACATCTCAAACGCAATTCTTAGAACCATACAGATGTAACCAATATCTTAGCCGCTCAAATGGCCGACGCAGGCAAGTGATACAACGATCGCTGAACCCGATGAGCAAGATCACGGTATGGTGTCATCTCGACCTCAACTACCTGAACCCCCCCCCCCATCCGCATTTTTCAATGGCTACCACCGCAAACTTCTATACGAAGGCATCCTAACTTTCTCAAAGTGGAGTTTTCAAACAATTATTTTCAGACGACGAACGCAGGAGCGTCACGGAACACCACCTAGCTATCCAAGGATTGAAGTACGCCTCTACCTTTTGTAATCCTTTGACTCAGCGCCGATTTAATAAAAATAAATCCAGGGAGAACAGTGTCCTTCGCATCCTCCAGTACACTTCTTCTGACCTTCTACGTCCATTTGACGCTGTGTCACAAATTCTTGCGTCTGACCTCAATCAAAGAATTCCGAACGCTTCTTACCACCTCAACAACGTCTGTATTATCATCCTTAACTTGTGTAGTCAGTTAACAATGCCCGGAAGCTTACCGCATATAAAATAATATCATGCACCTTCTTACTTCCAGGGAGCTACTGGCCATCATACTACTCTCAAAAAAAACCCCTGAAGGAAAGCCAGTCTACTCCGCATCAACTAGGTTTTTCCCAGGGACCCCGCTCTAGGAGCCTCACACTCTTCAACGCCCGTCTAAACTTGAGCCAATCTAACCACGACAACAAGCCAACCGTACATTCAACAACTACCGGCACAGCAATAGCAACAGTCGTTTCAACAACGACAAGCCGTCCAGCGACAGATACAGGCAACCGATTTACAACATTTCTGCCCGGTATAATCCCGGCTAAACGGACAGCCCATGGATCCACTCGGCCTTCCGAAATAGACCCAATATCCACTTCAGCTGCCGTATACTGATCTCTGATACACGCCCCTACCATTCCGTACAATCCAGAACAGCGCCGATTGTTTCGGCAAGAATTCCATTTTGTTGTCGGAGGAAGGGTTCTTCCGCTATTCATCATTTTTTTCTTAAGTCTGAAAGCCGAAAACCAATATAGTCCATACAGCTTCAAAGAAACCACTTAAAAGCTAATCCCAAACGTTAAGAGACAGACAATCTTAGAGACTAAGCACTCCAAAATGTCTGTTGCAGTGCCAATGTAAATTTTTTTTTGGGGTACCGTGCGAAAAATTTTACATTTGGCACTTTTTTCCACTTGAAATTCTATTTATTTAAATCGTTATATATAACACTTTAGAATGAAATCTATTATTTTAGAAAAATATGTTATATATTTATTTATAAATATTTATAAATATTTTTTTAATTTATGCTAAATTACAGGTAATAATTTGCATATTTATATTTTGTATTTTACTATAATATTGCTTAAATAATGTATGTTGTGTTTAAAATATTTAAAATATAAAAATATATAGCAAAAAATTTATAAATGTATTTAAATTTATATATTATGATCTAAATTGTGCTTACGTCACCGTACAAAAATCTATTCATCAATGCGCAGTGGCTAGAGGAAAGGGATAGTAGACTGGACGGCTCAGAACGTCCATATCACCTACCCAAGTATACATATTGCTGAATAATGCATCTCATTATAATCTGCTCCTTACATTTCAGTGAAAAATTTACCAATGTCATAAATAAAGCTAATTTTGATCATTAAAAAAAAAAAAAAAAAACCAGTGGCTAGAGGAGAATACGCAAGACAGGTCCTTCGTCTGCACTTGCCATGTCAAACAATGCCTGTGACGGTTTGTCGCTACACTCATGAACCTGGGAGGGCATCTCAAGGTGAGATTATCCGACATCACTTATGAGCGGATCCAAACAGGCTCTCATGGACCTCTTCCGCAAATAGGCAGACGTGATTTAAGTCATATTCGCAATCACTTTGGAGTGTATTTGGCGTGCCCACTGGGCAGCGGTGTTTAACCAATCAGACCATCCTTTTGTCTATGAAAAGATAGCCCACAATATACGTTCTACATTACAAACGCGAGTTATAGATGATTCTCGCACTCAGCCCAGTGTGCATTTTGGAAGTTCCCCCAACTCACCAGCCACCGCCACGGACGCAGGAAGCATTGCAATTCCTTTCCCGTTTATACCAGCATAAAGACAATTCAAGAAAAGGATATAGTTAATGCCTCTAAACAGAACCTGTAAGGATACCATAACCATAACGGCTTGGCATGTCTTCAGCTATTCATCGCGTCAATAAATACCAAGTTTATTTATTTTATTTTTAAAAAAAAAAAAAAGCCGCTTGGCTATATAAAGTCCCGTTTCTTCACAATCTCATAACCGGATTCCTTTTCTTCCTCTTCTTCTCCGTCCTGCCTTCTTTTTGGCCTACTATAGGGGTGATTGCTTTTCATAAATATATATATACACGATACAACAAGAAAGAATTATGGACACTAACAAAGTGGTTCCAAGCGTTGTAGCTTCTATTATCATACTATTTCCTGCCTTTCTTATTCTTTTTTTGACTACAAGGATGCTTAAGCTAACTCTGTTTTTCAAGTTATCAGCAATTGTTCTAGTGTATTCTTACTTGCTTTATCAATCAAACTTTACATTGATTTCAAAAGACAATGGCTTTGAAATGAGGTACAGCAGCAACTGAAATTTTTTTTTTAAAAAAAATAATTTAAATCTTCCTCTCCATCCTGACTACTTTCAGCATTACCACAGTGTGTTGTGGATTTGAAAGTAATAATAAAGTTAAGAGAAAAACAAAACAAGGCAGGTTAAAAGATTTCTACATAACGTTATCATGAAAGGCTACCCAGTTCAAGTTTACAAGAATATCATTGCACTTATGAAGTCTCAAATAATGCCAAAAGTAATGAAGTTTGATCTTAAAAATTCTAAAGCTTTTCAAAGAACTACAAGAAAAATTAACTCAGAAGGACAAGGAGGACATTAGATTTTATGCGTTGAATAATGACCCACAAGGTATCACAGGAACTTGTTGGAATGTTGGAACATTTACTACGAGTTTGGTTGTACAGATGACACCAATTCAGAAGAAAATATAAGTAATTACTCTGAGGAGCTATTTTATTCACTCATTAAAAACTGAAGACTCCCCAATCTTAGTACCTTTGTGTGTGTTTTTTAAAAAAAATGTGGGACATGCAGCCGATACAGAAAACTATTGGATATACGTCTTGTAAAAAATCTCATAAATAACATGCGCAGCCTTACAGCATCAATGATGATATTCATAGATGAATGTAGATAAAAATAAATTGAATAATAACGCTGTCTGTCTCTATTAGAATTCAATTACTTTATTTCGTAATGCTACCAAGGATCATATAGAACGCAAAATAGGAAACGGATACAGTAAATCATTACATAATTGCCGAACATTTCTACCTTCTGCTTCCTTTCTATTGCTCCTTTGACATTGCTAATTTCACTGAAATATTTGTCTATGTTAGCAGTTCTTCCTATTACAAGTTAAAGGAGAATTGTTTATATTACTAAGATTACGTAAAGCCGATGTAGAGCGAAAGCGAGAAGACTGATACTCTTTGTATCATAAGCAATTTTACACCCCGGAATACGAGGTAACTAGTCTGGAATCATTGTTTGTTACTGCCAAAGAGCCGGCTTTACATAAAAGTGCACATGAAACTAACAAAAAATGTAAAGATAGGCAAAGTACTGTGGACCGAAAATGCGTTTGACAACAATTGTTGCGTAATCATAAATCTATAAACCTATATACTAAAAATTAGGACAGCAGTGAAAGACAGAGGTTGAATACAGGTCAGCATAATTTAGTCAAATCTCATCTAGTGAACACTTTTTCAACACTTTTTCCGATATCATGATCGGAGAACATATGGTGCGAGTTAGCATCACAAATATCTTGACATTTGTGATTGCAGGAAGGAAAAAAATGATGGAGGCGACAAATATGCTTAATGCTCACTAACGCTTATGTTGTCAGACAAGTAGTAATCGGCTAAGGCTCGAAGTTATAAAATTTAAATATCATTCGCTTAAGAATATTCCTTTCTTTTCGAATGGTCGGTGTTATTCACAAGAATTTCTGCCAAAAAGGTTTGTACGAGTGATTGTGTCAAGCAATTGAGCTATGAATGAAAATTAAGCAGTTCATCGAGGTCTTCTAGCTAACGAGTTTGTGGCTCTCTTTCATTTGACGTTTTGACTGCTTGTAAGGTACATTTTTTAAATGCCGCACGTGATTAACGCGCGCCAAAAAAAAAAAGGGTAAAAATGAGCCAGTCGCGTTTCCAACTTTTGCACGCGATCAACAATCACTACGTCGAAACATGGATGAGAGCAGCACACTAAAGGATCTCCAATTTGACTTGCAACTTGTTCTCGGTGGTAAGAGGTCGATCCCAGTAGCGACTCTGCTGGAACGTCTCAAGGTAAGTTCGAGTCATACCAGGCACATCAGAACTTGCTTCTCGAACCTAAAGTTTTTGTCAACAGGCATTACAAGCCGAGCTGGAAGAATGCGAGCAGAACAGTGTTAATCTCGACTCCTTAGCAACAGTATCCAAGCAGCTTGTCAGTACCGAGCTTCTGCGCAGTAGGGATAAAAGAGTCAGAGCTGTCACAGCTTGCTGTTTAGCAGACATACTCAAATTGTATGCAGTCGACATTCCACCTTATAATGACAGCGAACTGAAGGTTGGTTCTTAGCCGATTTTTTCCTTTGGTTTACATACATCTTACATACGTTACTTCACTCTTCAAAGGCAATATTTAGTCTTTTCATCTCGCAATTAAAAGAGCTGGCAGATACAAATAACGAATATTACCGCGATCGATTTTACTTGCTCGAAAGCTTGTCCATGGTTCAGAGCATTTTAATCGTCAAGCAGCTAAGCAACTATGCTGCAATTATGACCGAACTCTTCAGAGCAATATTCTCGTTGGCAAAGTAAGTTCTTTCGATGATGTCTCAGCGGTAAAAGTCATACAAGCGATTAATGGTACTCCTGCAGCTCTGGAATCGAGAACAAAGTGCAAGTTTGCCTGGTTGATATTATGATACAACTTGTTGAGGAAGTCAAAGACATACCCCGTGAAGTAGCCGAAAGCATCTTTGAGGAATTGAAACAAAAGGTTGGTTGCGAGCGAATGTATCAGCCATGGCAACTAGTGAGAATACTAATCAAGACTTTAGACTACCGTTTCTCACCGCATGGCCGTTGACCTTTGTAAAAATACATCGGAGGTGCTTCAGAAATATGTCTGTCAGGTAAGGCGTGCTCAAGCGATTGACTGATATACTATCGGTCCGATATTGAAAATGGACGAGTTAGTACTTTTCAGATGTCCTACTTGAGGCAAAGGCCAGCGATAGTGAAGAAGACTACGAACACCTAAATGAAGCTCACGAGCTGATTCAAGAGATTCATCGAACAGTGCCAGATCTGCTACTCAATGTCATCCCTCAATTAGAAGAAGAGACGAAAGTGGATGAACTTCATGTTAGAACTCTAGGAACTAAAACTCTGGGTATCATGTTTTCAGAAAGGAGCTCATTTACAGCCGATAGTTATCCACAGATCTGGAAATCATGGCTCAACAGGTAACCATATTATTACTGAGGAGTTGCATCGAGAGGAAAGTGTATTAATTTTGGGCCTAAATTCCAGGCGAAGTGACAAAATAGCTGCAATTCGAATTTTGGTCATTGAAAGCCTTGGAGCGATATTGAAGTCACATTCGGGATTAAGCCAGGACATCATAAGTAAGACGGGCTGTTTTATGAGAGTTCTTCCGTCCTTGTTATACTACTGCTAACTACTTTGAACGTGCTTTCAGGCTGCTTTGAGCAAAAGTTGTTAGATCCAGAAGAAAAAGTCCGAGCGGCAGTTTGCAAAGCTTTGAAGCAGCTTGAATTGGATGTGATAAAGCATCAAGTGCCGAAATCTACATTAGAAAAACTCAGTTTGCGATGCAAAGATAAGAAGGTAAAACAATAATGGGATGAATTTCAAATGCTGATGCCTCTTTAACGTTTGTTTTTTATTATGTGTACTACCTAGCCGCTTGTCCAACAAGAAGCATTAGCGACGCTAGCGTTTCTATTCGATCAAGCATACGATGAAATGTAAGCCAATATCTACAGAATCTATGAAGCAGCATTTTCTCATGCATCAAATCAATAAGCTTACTAGGAAACGAAGAGTCACGAAACTTGTTTATATGGATACCCACCGCCATTATCAATTGCATTTACGTCGACGATAATCATTTGACGTAAGATAAAATAGCTCATGCCCGTAACGATGCTTTCTTTCTTGACCGTTTCTTGTTAGATGCTCCATGGAGAAGGTACTAGTGAATCACGTCATGCCTCCAAATGAAGATCCTATTGAACGATCCAAACGCCTATTATTGGTGTTGCAATCACTGGATGATCGAGCAACAAAAGGATTTTTAGCACTGATGCAAAGACAACACATGTGAGTGAAACGCTATGTATTCTGTATTTCACTGGACGAAACTAACGTGAATGCATAGAACTGCTTCGATTTTGCAACGCATAGTTGAGACATGCAGGGCTACAACGGTAAAATTTTGTTATCATCATTTATCGCGTCATACTTGCAATTCCTCAACTATTCTTAACAGAATTCAGATCATATGAACAATGGAAATCTAGAAGTGCTGATCAAATCAATCTCAAGTAAGTTGTCAGTAGTCCATCTAAACCAGTGTTCAAGGCATGCTCTAAACAATCATCATAGCAAAACTTCCTGAGCCCATCCGGGTGTCAAATAACCTTCGTCGATTCTGTGATTTGAGTGACGAACAGCTTTTAAATTGTTTAGACGTGCAACTTGGTTCCCAGTTCGAATATTCTGTGTACAGGAAACAGTCCGTAAGTAGATAACTAACTAGCTGGAGATTTACTCTTAGCGATGTCATATCAGTTGTATTGATTGTCTTGCAGACCCAATTTTTAGAACGTGTGGAACAAGTTCTACCTGGTACATCTGACACATTCACGACGCTAATGCGGCGGATGTCAGTATTCCTATTCGACAAAGAGAGCATATCGTATTTCCTACAACTTGAGAGTAATTCCATTATGGATGAAGATTATGGAATAGATATGCGAAGCGCTGCTCGGAAGCTGCTGAAAGTAAGTTCGCGTGGAGTATTTACCATTAATTGTATTTTATTCTTAATGAAACCTTTAGAGTATATCGAGCAACTTCCCAAGTCTTCTTCAGGATCACTTGGACAACCTGACGCACTTGCTCTTGAGCACGCCAGATAATCACCTTGGTAATATCAGCTCGTGAAGGAGTAATCATTAATAACCTACCACTAATGCCCATATATAGCCGAAGATGGTTTGAATCTTTTGGCGCAGCTTTGCAAGCAATGTCCAAATGTATTATTCTTAGACAGGTGCGGTCAAACCAAAGAATGTTTCTGCTATGATTAAATACGAGCTAACTCCCGATTTCAGCAATGCTGCTAGCAAGCTATTAACTGCCGCCAAAAGTGGATCACCGCAAGAAGTGGAGTATGCCACTGCGATTCTTACCAACGCTTGTAACGCTGACACCATTTGTGAGGACTTGTTCAACGTAAGTGTCCCATAATACTACCAGCGACTGTACTTTCTGTGCATTTTTTGATATATGCTGCAGGAGATTTGTTCGAATTTGGAACCGACAAATCCCAAATTATACGAAAGGTTGATTGCGCTCAACCAGATCGCTGCCTTTACCACATCATATTTCGATGGCTGGGATCAAAAGATAGCCGACTTCTTGATTGGTAAGATCAAGGAACCCGATAATGTGAGTGTCTCACATATTGATAGCAAGCATGTAGGTAAACTTCGGTTTGCTAATGTGATGCTCAACTAGATCACCGAGAAACAAGCACCTAATCCTGTTTGGGTGGAGACGGACAATTTGCCTAAAAATGCCAAGCTCAAGGCAAGTGCTATCACCTACGAGAACCCACATGAAAGCCAATTCGTCTAACCTTCTATTATAGTTGGTCGCACTTGCAATTTTGGTGAACAGACTAAAGAAGGTGGCTAAATCGACGAATACCATACCATCCATTGTAAATAATGTCTTCGACCTTCTTTGGAGTTTGCTAGAAGAACCACCAGCCGGATCAATGTAAGGGTGAATTAAATCGTCTACTTACGCGCTGACCTCACTGAATGACATCGAATGTATTTCCAGCCTGGCCATCAAAGCACAACTTCGACTTGCTTCGGCTTTAGCCATCACAACTCTTAGTCAGCTTGATTCTTACTCACAACTTGCATCAGTGAAAGGTTTTGAGAAGCTCGCTCTGACAGTTCAGGTAAGCTGCCTTCTAGTCGTGGCAGTTTTTCCTCTGAGCATTGCATTAACATGATTGTTCAGGATGCGGTGTTTGAAGTCCGTGCTGGATTTTCCGAGATGATCATTAGAGATTTGCAGTCTGGAGCGTTGCATCCAAGATACTTCGCCGTCTTATTTTTGCTTGCCCATGAACCTGAGAAGGATTTGATGCGTCAAACCAAGACATTCATAAAGAAACACGCAAAAGTAAACCATGGATGTAAGTGATTAAATTTGAAGACTGAATGATTTCCAGGTTTCTCTAATTGCTCATGGTGAATTTCATGTCAGTGGTGGCTCAGAAGTCCTATATCGAGATGTCCCTTGTTCAGTTGGTTCATCTCTTGGCACATCATCCTGATTTTGGAGAATCTGAAGAAGATATCAAATTGTTCATCCCATACATCGAACTCTTCTTGGATTGCGTTGCAACTAGTGACAATATTTCGTTCTTATATCATATCGGACAAAAGTTCAAAGCAACTACTGATGCAGTGGACCCTAGCCATAGCAAGGTAAGTTTTGTTGTTTTCGGTATACGAGGAAGAACAATTTGGCTCACAAACCAATAGCACTCGTACATTTTGAGCGATTTAGCCTGCGCGCTGATGCAACAGAAATGCAAAGCTTCCTCATGGTCACTGACTTCATATCCTGGAAGAGTAAAACTCTACACCGAACTCTATACTTCGTTTGCAACTAATGAACTCCAGACTGAGGTAAGTCAACGTTGGTAGGAAAGCCAAGCGATGGCAAACTCAACTAATGATGTATGTAGAATATGAGGCGCACATTCATGGTGCCAACAGTACTTCACGATAAAGAGAACATTGAAGCAGTGAATAATCAATCAAAAGAGGTAAGCACTTACGAGGGAATTTGTGAACTCCATTTACGTTTTGCTCACGTCGTTTGTATTGACTCAGAAGCAGGATGGAAACAACACCAAAAGAAGCAGGGAAACAATTCACAACCATGATTCTTTCAAAAAGCCTAAAACCGTCAGCATTCCAAGTCGAAAGTAAGTTTCTCCAAAAAAAATCTACAACCGCACAGTGTGTGTTGCTAACAAAGGTTTCCATCAGAATGCCTTCAAGAGAAGCAAAGCAAGGAGTACGCACGATAGTTGAAGATGAAGACGATAGTGATTAGCGCAACCACCCATGATTAACCCCAGAATAAATAAGTCAATATGTCTACAATGAAATGCTATCGTAGTCTATATTTTATAAGCTTATTTTTTTGGTGGAACACCGAGCAATGAATGGTGAATTTCTACTGAAGGAAGTAATGCTGCAGATGCCTTTCTTGCTTGTTGTTGGAGGAAAGAGCTATTAAACGCGAAAATAGTATTAGTATTGGCTTGATTGATAAATCCACAGCTTTTAGAAAATCATTAAACTTACTCCATAATGACGAGCGCAGCCATGGCCTCAACAATAGGAACAGCTCTGGGTGCAACACATGGGTCATGTCTACCCTTGGCTGCCAATGTTCCCCAAGCACCGTCGTACGATGCAGTTTCTTGATCCTTGGATATAGTAGCAGCGGGCTTAAAGGCTACTCTGAAATAGATGTTTTCACCGTTTGTGATACCGCCCTGTACACCGCCAGAGTTATTAGTTTTGGTACCTAATGTACCATCCTCCTTACGAACGAAGGCATCGTTATGAAGATGGCCGGGGATTTTTGTGCCTTGGAAACCAGAGCCAAATTCAAAGCCCTTAGTAGCGGGAATAGACAACATTGCATGAGCCATTATAGCTTCAAGCTTGTCAAAACACGGCTCTCCCAAACCGACAGGGCAATTGCGAATAACACAAGTGACCGTTCCACCAATAGAGTCCTTCTCTGCCGACTTTTGCATAATAGTCTAGTGCCAATTCCACAGTAAGTAATATGATTACGACACAGTATAAACCATGTACGGTTCAGTTGGGATACATACCTCTTTCATCTTCTCAGCTGTCTCAGGATGGGGGCATCTAGTGATATCCTTGTCAACTTCCTCCTGGGTGATGGTGTTCAGCATATCGTAAAATTCAGCAGAGACAGGTTCCTCATCTTCGAGTTGATTGACAAAAGGCATCGCAACCTTTCCTACGCTTGATACAAAGGCGACGATCTCGACGTTGTTTGTAAGCTTCAGGTACTTTTGAGCAATGGCACCTCCAGCTACACGACCGATAGTTTCACGTGCAGAAGCTCTACCACCGCCTGATGATGCCTTAACGCCATACTTTTGAAGATAGGTCCAGTCAGCGTGGGATGGACGGGGGTAGATATCCATTTCACCATAATCGTGAGGACGCTGATCCAGGTTTGGTACCTGCAATCCGATAGGAGTTCCGAGGGTGATGCCATACTCGGTACCAGAAAGAATGGTAACTCGATCCTTTTCATCTCTCTGAAAGTATATATTGTTAGAATATATCAGGAACTTCGTATCAACTCTTGACATTCAGTATTCGGATCCTTACCGGTGTTGTGAGCTTGCTTTGGCCAGGTCGTCTTCTCGTTAACTGAGGTTGAATGTCATTTTCAGTGAGTTCCATACCAGGGGGAGCACCATCGATGATGGCACCGACGCCCTTGCAGTGTGATTCACCGAAGGTGGTGACTCTGAAAAGTTTACCAAAGGTACTCATTGCGTTTGGAAAGTAAGGATGAGGACCTGTCAAAAAAAAAGAGAGAAACCAAAGTCGGTTCAGTGGCAGAGGCAGTCACATTTTGATTTGCGAATGTGACTCACTGCAGATTTGATTTTCTGATTAGTGCAGAGAGCCAAAGGATATTGCACTGTTGATACTTGTAAGCCCTACATAATATCATCATCCACCAGAATACAATTCTTATACTCCTATAATTACTCATGTAAAATAAAACTTTAATTTGAAAACTTGAAGCCAATGGTAAAAGTGGTAAATAAAGATTTCATGGCGAAGGAATCTTAACATTGCTATTGCGGGGCCCATATCACGACCCAGTCTCGGCCAGCTTTGCAAAGCACAGATGGCCATGAAAACCGCAAGATAATATTTAACAATAATGATAAACTTATCGTTGTCTATTCGATTTGATGATTTAAACTTGGAGTGGTTTCGAATGTGAGACCAATTTGATCTGTACCTTCTTTTACCTTATTTTGCAGCCCATTACGCTGAAATGGCAAATTTGACTTCTCTTTTGGCTGCTGCCCGGTAAGGTCTGTCAATTCACGTGTAAAAATGCATCCACTCGCACTTATTTTACAGAGCTTTAGCTATATAATATGTTGGAGAAACACTGCATGATTGGATTGCCCTTTATACCCAAATGTGAACATCTAGACCATAATGTATAAAATTTGACTTTAAGAGGTAGGACGTGAGAAACAATTCGCACAATTGCTAATGGATTTTGACTCAAAATATATTTATGCTTAGGCCTAGAACACGTTACTCTATGTTACAAAATCTTTTCTCCTGAAATGACATTAAAAATGTGTTAAGTATGTTCTCTTCATAAGTGAGGCATTCAGTGGAGTGGTTGGGGACCGTCGCCGAGAGGACGATAAATGTGAACAATGGTTATCTATGACGCTTTCTGCATGATCAGAGAAGTAATTGAGTAGGAGGCAATTGGGGGGATAATGGCGATACAGCCTTGCATCAGGTCGCATCGGTCATGAAAGGCAATAGAAAAAGTTTGTAAACTCGATCATTGCTGGTAGCTAGCAACTCGCTCGAGAGGCTCTTGTAAATGTTTGGAAACTGCTTCAACCTGGAAATTGCAAAGTTCATCAATATCGACGCCTACAATGGATATACTTCTCAGCCGCCTTACCTTTGCTTTGAGCAGACCAAGTTCGATGGTGCTATCTCCGACTAAGCAAAGTAGCATGGTGCTTGGTGCAGCGACGGCAACCACGCCTTCTTCGCAAGGCAAGATAAGTATTCTTAGATCGTCTCCATCAGCTTCATTTCGAAAGGAGGATCCTGTCATGGCGCTTTTGAGATAGGTTGACCATAAGTTGGCTGCGATCGCGGCATAAATTCGTGCTTCTCTATCTGATGCGGCTGCAAACGCAAGTAATGAGCCTCCAGTGTTCATTAGCCTGGTTTGATTAAATCGCGAACATTAATCGAAGGGTTGACTCATGTTACTGTTCTATTAAATACACCTACATCGCTGCTTTAATTCCACCTGTGGTTGTTTGTCGCAGAACTTGTGATATAACTTTTGGTTTTAGCATTATGAGGGAATGAGAAGACGCTGGTGGAAATCAATCCCAGTTCGGCGGGGCCATGTCGTAGCGGGGACAAAATTTCAGTTGCCTGTTCGAACGTTCAATTTTTCTATTTAAAATCCGTGGAATAAAGTACAACAACAGGTTTCATAGGATTTGAATACAATTTAGAGGCATTGTGATTTCATAGCTAATTGAACGCTTTGTAACTTGTTTCTTTTCTTTGTCTATCGTTGGACACCGTGGCAATATAGTGTGAAATTTGCGTACTTCATCAGTTATTTTTCGCCATTCACAAAAATGTCGTCGTCCATGCATATCCATTATATATATTTAAATGCAACATAAGTGAGGTGGCGGCGTTCATAGATGATACACGATACGACTGAATGATTAAGAATGACGTTCAAACCCCACAGAATATCTAACACGCAAAATATAATATGGAGCATGCTCAGTCGAAGTAATATTTCATTCATTTCCAAATTGAACAACTGGTTAGTGGTAAGACTTCTCAGCAGTATGCCTCTAGTATTGTCATTGTATTCGGTTGTCTATGCTGTTCATCTTGGTCGGCGGTCCCTGCTGCCATGTAGGAAATTTTGGAGCAAATTGATTGGCCGTCGAGCTCACTGTATAAAGATTTGTTTGGACAGGCAAAAAAAGTACGCCAGCATGTTTTGCAAGAGAGTCGTCGGTAGGCTACCAAGCCTCTCTCAACAAGTACAAGGGTTTTCTCAGCGAACAACAAGATTGTCACAGAGAAGCTTCATTTCACAATCCGGATCATCCTTTCGCAACAATGGCCGAACCCTGAGGGCCGATCCTCACTTTACAACCAATCCATACACTCAATCTGTCCTGGAGGTTAGTCGACAGGCAAGACAAGTTGGCAAAGCTGTTGGAATATTTGTCGTATCCACAACCGCAATTGTTGTCATTGGATGGCAAGGATATCACATATACATAGAGCACTTTTTGCACCCAACTCCACCTGAACTCAAACAAAAAGCGCGTAACCTTCTGCACGGTGCCTATGTTCGCGAAGAAGTACAGCCACAGCTGAGCATTGCGACACTATACGTCCAAGAGGCTTTGAGAATTGCTTTGGAAGAGCAACATATGGACGAAGATTCCGATGTTGCTTTAGCTCTGAGACGACGACTTGCTGAAGACTTCAACAGGGCAGGCAATCTTCTGGATTCGATTACAGAATACACCAGATTCTGGAAGCTGTTGATCAAACGGTTGGTGGATAAAGGAGAGGAGAATGATGCTGAAAAGGTGTTTGAGTTGATTGAGGTTTCCAAAAAGATTGGTGATCTCTACGTCAGAATCGGTGACTACAACGAAGCCGAGGAGAGCCTGGCTTGGGCAGTTCATACACTCAAATCGTCCCAAGCTGACCTGACGACAGTCAAGGACTTTCAAAAGCTGGAAACTTTGACTACACTCTCATTAGCCAATTTGTACGCCGTTCAGCGAAACTTTGATTTGGCTCTCCCGCTATACCTCCAATCTCTCAAAGCATCTAATCAAGCAGCCGAGCAACAACCTGAAGCATTCGTTTGTCTGACTGCAATTATAGAATGTCAGTTGTCAGAGACATTGTTTGGTATGGGTCGAAAGGATGAAGCTCTAGGGTGGGCACAGACTGCTTTGGAAACAGCAAAGAAAGGAATTAGTGAAGAAAATGGAGGAGTCGCCACTAGCGATGTAGAACCCGTCAAAGACTGCCAAGAGTGCGCTGGAGTAACATTGAATAACATTGGAAAGATGCTTGAGGTATGGATGCTTTTTCTTATTCTCATTTCTTTACCTAGAGATCTGTCGCCGTATCTAAGGGTTTCCATCCTATTCTCTTTAGTTCCGTAACCAATATGACCAAGCACTAGCCCACTACAGCGAAGCTATGCGCTATGCAATCGCAGCAAAGGACGCGGATGGAGAATCATCGTACCGATTCAATGCAGAGCGACTTGGTAACATCATTCAAAACCCCGTGGCCGACGAACCCGTAGTGATATCTCATGGGGATGTCCCGCCCGAAGTACAAGCCGAGCAGCCAAAGAGATCATGGAAGCAATGGTTAACAGGCAAATAAACGGTCGACTTGTGTGGAATTAAACATATTTCATGCAAATAATTTATGTACAATAATGATGATGGCGACTTATCAATACAGGAAAGTCTTGAATGTACTATAGACTGAATATATAAAAATGGACAGATGTTTGGTAAAGCAAAAGTGAAAAGAAAATAATAATAAACCCCCTCCCACAGTACAATAAAGATACGCGGTGCATGCAACGCATACATGATTATGGTGAAATGATGCCTTTCCTTAGGCTTTCGATCTCGCGAGTGAGTTCCCTATAGGTGCATTATAGATTAGAAATAGGTAGACGGATGGCAAAATACCGGTGGGATATTCCACTTACCCTGATTTTTGCTGCCAGTAGTAGCGCTCCTTGATGGCTACCTTTAGCTTACGTCTTAGTTGACCTTCGGGGGTAGGATGCGAAGGGCGCGAGGCACCAAATCCATCACTCTTGTATCTACGATCTTCCAATACGTTGGCAATATCTTCAAGTTCTTCATTGAATTTCTACAGAGTGCTAAGGTAAGTCATCGGCCAAAAAGAAACCTCACTGTTGTTTCAAATGCTTTACCTCGTATAAGATCTTGTTTTCGTCTGCTGTATCTCGATACAATTTCCGTAAATTTGTTACTTCGTTATTGCGCTGTAATGGTGCAAACATTAGTGTATGAAGAAATGACGGCCATCAGGCTGTTAACAAGTACTTACGTCTCTCAGCGTTTCAGTGAGATCCTCAATTTCCTGAGCCATCGTGCTACATTTGTCAAATAGTTCCTGCCATTTGCCAACATAATCATTTTGCAACTTGGACATCGATTTGGAAACCACATTCATTGTATCTGAGTTCACGGAGTCTGGGGTGGTAGACTGTGGTATGGAGGAAGCAAGCCGGACTACGGACGACCTTCGCTGATTCTCAGGAAGGAAACTTGAGGAGTCGAGGTCTGTTTTCAAGGCGTCCTGTAATATTGTCATTAGTTTTCGTTCTTTTTTCTAAAGTCTGCTCCCCCAAGGTAAAAAAACTTACTTTTTGGTAGTCCATGTCGTCCAGACTCAAGGAGCTACGTGTGCTGTGTATGCTATTGTCCGACGACACGGTACTGGAACGACTAGCTCTGTTTGAAAAGGATGCGCTATTGTTGGTTGCAGTAGATGATGCGACGCTGCTTCGACTTTCTGGGCGGCGGGGCGACCAGTCAGGTTCAGTCCACTTTCCGTCCGATTGGCCGTCGACTTTCGACAGCGAGGATCTAATAGAAGATAAATACTTTTGCATGTCTTCAAGCCCATGATCGAGTTTCTAATGTGGATGATGAGCGTTAGTAATCGTCACTATATTGACAATAGTTGACATATATTTGTTACCTTCTGCTCGTCAGGGTGGCCATCCAATTCAACCGAACGCTGCTGCATTGTCAATGAAGAAGTCGAAATACTGGTGCGAGTCTTCCTTCGTCCCCTCTGGTTATCTTCGGCAAAGTAATCTAAAAACATTTCAAACCAATTTAGTTTGAGCACATATACTGGTTATTGAAACAAAAGATCCTTGCACATACCTTCTACTGGTCGACTATCACTGACAGCATAACCTTGTGGAACAGTAGGTAGAGCCATACGAACGGGACGGGAACTTCGAACCACTGGTGGCTTTGGTGTCAGATAATCCATGTATTCAGTGCTTGTGCTACTGGATATTGAAGTCCCAGACGACCACATATCAGACTCGGTACTAGTATACGACCTCAGAGAGTTGGCACTGCATGAGCTTCTAGAGGCCGATTGTGAGTAAGGTGGTGGCTGGCTGCAGTCCATTACAGGTCCACTGATACTGTTCAGTCTGGGGCGGCGCTGATTTACAGATGGAGCGGCAGAAACAACAGAAGAGACAGTACTACTGCTAGTACTCTTAACAGGGGCCAAGCTATTTTGTGAGTTAGCCGTTGAGGAGCTGTTGGAACCAAACAGTTTTCCAATGGTAGGAATGCTTCTAGGTTTGGATAAGGATCGTGGTCGACCATCTTGCGTTTTGCGAGAAATGATACTGTTGATGGTCGCATATTTATCTTGATACAAGTTTGAATGTCTTAATTTAATTTCAGTAGCTTGAACTGAAAAGAAGACATGACAATGCGTAAGTATACATGATGATGATTATACCACCCTTTGCGGGACTTACCATTGTTCCAAAAGACGCTTTCAAAATCTATAGCACCCTCATCCGCTCTGGATATACCAGTGGATAATAAAGGCATAGAGTTGGTTCTTTCTCTTATAGTACCGAGGTGTAACTTGCTTCGAATGGAGAACCGAAATCCTCGAATGTCGGCATACACTAGGCCAACCAACCAAGGCGCATCGTCGTTTTGTGCCAAGCATTGATCAACTGCACACTCTCCTTCTTCTACGTAAACGATTGTAATGTTGCTCTACAAAGAAAGTATAAGTAGAAGCTGAGGATATACATAGAATTAAACTTTTATCTACCTTTCTCTTTACTGATGCATAGTTCCCAAAGTTGTAGATGTTACTGTAGGCGACGGTGCTTGATCGCGTGTGATGGTAAGTGGTCTCTGCAGCTATAGACAAAAAGGCACAAGATGAGATGAAGGCAAACGGCAGTGAAGTTTCGAAGGAACAGTGTCTTACATGATCCCAAGTACTGTGCCTTGGAATAGTGGAAGCTGGAATAGAAGCTGTCACGCTGCGATTCGAATGATTGCGTATTTCTCTCAATTTCGTTTTCGTCTTTTGGTGGGGCAATGGAGTACATGCGAATAGACTGTTCACTAAAATACTCTTCAAAAGAACTAGCAGCTGAAATGCCGGAACTGGAGACATTGGAATTGACTCGAAGTAAAAATGAGGACGCATGGGAGGCAGGGCCATTGAAAAGTTCGACTTGATCAATGTCTGACCATCCTTTAAACTTCAAGCTTCGGTCTCTTTTCAAAGTCTTTTCAGCTTTCTTGGCCAAAAATGATGATGTAGAACCGTTAGGCGAGGTAATGTCGTTATCAATACCACATAGGTCCGATCCAGATACAAAATAGGAAGGCCGACTGGCAACCAAGACTTTGTCTGTGAAAACCAAGATGGTAACAGGGCGCAACGGTTTTCTTGTCATAATGTCCAGTTCGGTAGCATCCACATGGTGTATAAGGCGTCTGCTCTGATTTACGAGCGAACATGGGGAACCTTTGATGGAGTTATAGAGGTTGAGAAACATGCGGGCCAGCCGAGTTCTGTTGTCATCCGCCATATTGGCAATTTCTCCCGCTTTTGACAATGCAGATATGAGAGAGGCGTGGTCGTGATGCTCTGGAGGCGTGTTCTTGATGATTTCTAAAAAAAGGAAACGGAGAAGAAATGAATACATGCATAGAACCTTAACGATGTAACCGTTGGCTGAATAGAACATACCCTTTAGAAGCATAGTGTATCGACTAATGCGTTGCACAGGTTCGACCAGCAAATCTTGTAACTGTTTTCGCTTTGCATCAGGATGATCTTTTGCCTTGATTAAAAAGCTTCGGTAGCTTTGATTAACCTTGTACTCCTTGGTATGAAGAGCGCCAGCAGCTCGATGTTCATGTAAATATCGGGTATAGCAGTCAAAGTTGGCAATCTAGCATTTGCATGAGAGAGAAAGGAAAATATATAAGTATGGAAGTACAAGAAATTTGTGGGGTATGACACAATAAAGTTTAAGTCTTACATGAGCGTCACAGATGGCTCCAAATGAGGCTGCTTCCGGATTCTTCTGGTACTTACGAAGATCTTCAAGAAATCCTTCGTTAACACTTAAGATCTGATCAATATTGAGAAAAATCTTGGTGCAGTTGAAAGGCTTCAAAATCGAGTTCATTCGGTCTTGTGAATATGATCTTAAGGGACGAGCAAACACATCGACAACCGTGATAAGATTTTTCACATAAGTTTCCTCACTGGATATGAACTCTTGAATACTATTAATTCTTTGTTCGGGATCATATTGTTGCTAATGGATTTAGGTTCCGATGAGAGTGATTTAGTTCTGGCAGTCTACACATTACAATTTCAATTCGTCATTTTAGTTTACCTGCTCCACAAACTGTTGAGAGTAATAGCTAGGAGATGGTGACGTGGGTGACGCATCCATCGATATTTCATTTCGATTGGATCTTGATCCAAGTATACTCAAAAATTGTTGGTATAATTGATATTGTGCTGCGGTGATACATTTGTTAAATAGGAGTTGAATGTAATGCAGAAGGCTTATGGGAGTACATGCTTACCAGGCGTTCGATATCTGCGGCAACCATCGACCACGATGTCTACTGTTTGGCACTGAGTAAACAAAAAATTAAAACGTGTTGTTGTTAGTTTTTTTTATAAAGGTGTTTCAAATGTTTGTTTTCTTCACTACTCACGACTGGGTGCTCCAACAGAGCCTGAAGGGCGTCGGTTGAGTCATTCGTCGCACGACGGTCCAAGGCAGGGGTGGCTGATTTCTGTTTGAATAGCTTCCAGCTATGAATGTAACCATGCTTACTCAGTACAGATTCTAAAGACTGTTGCATGGGTTAGCGCAGGTGCACGGATGAAGCAAGGGGAATTCAAAGGAGGTTGTCTAGCCATACCCTCAAATCGGTCGTCATGTTTTACAGTACACGCTCTTTGCAATGAGAAGGTTGATAGGCGTTTGCTGAAAAGAGCCGACAATGAGACTCTGTTTCGCGATAGACGATTTAGTTTTTGAAAGTTGTGAAGTGAAGAAGGCCAAGAAGCAAAAAGCGATAGAGAAAGGATTTGTTGATGTATTGAAGGATCCAGGTTTCCATATTTGGGTGAATCAACGGACTGACGGAGCGCAGGATGAAACTTATTCGCATGTGTCACAATAATTACTTTGCCAGGAAAGCAACACGCGAATGTGGACACGAAGCGATGACCCCAGCGTTACAACAATAAACACAGGTGCTCGGATCATGCCCGAGATAGCGTTTCATTAGCAACCGCTGTCGGGATCCTCATCCGATGCTCCTGGTCTCTTACCCTAAACAGTTCCTTGACGCTACATGCCGCCAATCCGCATCGGCACGCTTTACTGCGCTCCGTATTAAAATTGGTTGCACTAATTTCTACAACACGCTTGGCTTGCATCGTCACAGTTTTCGACAGGTTATCATATGTTCTCTGACCTGACTTCTAAAATAACTATGCGATCATGACTACATCATTGACATAATCTTACCGTTGACTGAAGTGTATACGTACCAGCGAGGTTGGGATGGAGTCAAAAGATAGCTCTGTCAGGCATTAAAAAAATTTTATGGCATGAATAAGTTGAAATTTCAAGTGCTGACGTAAACGCCTTGCGTCCACTCATTTGCAAACCGAACGACGCAGGGGATGCACTCCCTATCAAGTATTGCTGACCGAGTCTCCCTTCCCTTCCTTTAATATTAATTTTTTTTTTTTGTTCCTTTTATCGTGACGGTGAGCGTAAGGACATGGCCTGCTTGCTGGTGACAGAAAACGAAATATAAGCTCCCTAATGGCGTACATTTGCATCAAGCTTGATAAGCTGGCATGGAGACTCGTTCACACTATCGTAGCTTTTGCTTTTTTTTTTTTTCCTCAATACACCAAATCGTTTCCATATGCATGTGTTAACGCCGTTGCACATTGTGCTTCTATCAGGCAATTTATTTATATCGTTGTTGGTGGTTCTATTAAACAGCCTAGCATTAGCGTACTTTGAAGTGGCCAGGCATATGAGCAATTCAAGTACAGTCTACCTCATATCCGCCAATGCTCAAGACACACCCACCAGTCAAATAGAGCCGCGTGATTATATCCTAATTATCATTGGGCTGATATCAAGCGTTGCTTGCCTCGCCCTGATACTCTCCGACCTGCGACGAATTTGCTGCGGCTGTTCGAAGAAAATGCAAGAGCAGGAACAAAAACGGCCTAGCATCCTTGTTGAGTTGTCAGTTGGTACCATTGTACTTGTTTGGTGGGTTGCCATGATCACCTACACCCTTACAAGCTACGAAGGATTTCCAAAATGTACCATGATTGGTCCAAAGGATGTTACTAGCAAAGTCTACAGTGGATGTTACTTGATGGATGGTGCCTTGGGAGCTGGTAAGTCGTGTCGGGCTAATATTTCTGAGACAGCTGGGAAGAAACTCCATATATGTAACTTTCCATTCTCATAGGCATCCTTTCCTCCATCATTTGGATATTGACAAACGTGGTGGCTTCAACAAGAGCCCAATTGAATCATCCGCAGGAAAGCAAAGAATCTGGCCACAATGCGGTGGAATCGAACTTTTCAGTGTGACAATTTTTGTCTGACACCAGTTTCAATGTGGGAATCAGTTTCAACCTTTAAAAGTTGAACCAATCAGAGTAGGCGGAATTGTATGCCCTGGCGGTTCCCATCCTATCGACCAGAGCAATTACCCTGAGGATACATCATCACCTCAAAATAAATGATATCTCATACCAAGAGCTGTACTCTAAGGCATTCTATTTTCTCTTGAAACCATGGCTTCAAATTTATGCTGTTTGAGGCTGTTGCTGGTTGCAATCACTGTAAACGCCACGTTTCGCTGTTTCAAAGCCGCGCCACGGATTTTCTCACCAAACAGGCAATTCGTGGAGAGGGGACCGGTCATGACAGAGCCTATCATTCTAGCTACAGTGAAGTCAAGAGCAGGGACGAATGTTGTATTCATTTTATTCGTGATGAGCACTACATATATGAGCGATTTAACGGTATTGGAAAAAGCTGAATTTCGACCCAGATTGTATTGGATGAAATTGCCGCAGCATCACATGTGGAATATGTTCTTAACCCGTGATTGCTGATTCAACATAAAATAATCCCAGTATGTTGCGGGAAAGCTTCAATCCAACTTTCTCTTTCATTTACTATTTTGTATGGTTCCATCGCTTTCAAGCATCTTCTTTAAAATATCAAGGGTTACCAACAAATCACTGAACCGCCAGCGATCACGAACCTCGTCCGTTGATACCGATAGTACAGGTTGCAAGTCCGTTCACTTTAAAGACTTTGTCGAAACCTACGATTGCTACAGTCCGACCGAATATGATAGACGACCGTCCACTGAGATAGATGAATTCTGGAAACCAACGTCAATGTCCTCTGTTGAACGAGAACCTGATGAAGTCGACGACGAAGCGGACCCTGCCTATGTCAAATTGGTGGAAAAGAACACCAAAATCAATCAAAAAGTCGGTCATCACAGTATGGCTGTTTTGATTAGCTATCGAAGTATACGATAATCAAATACTGTTTCGATATCTATATACCCTGGCATGCACAAAGTGCTATTCTCACGCCAACCGCAACAGATCGTCGCACATAAACCTGTACCATAGAAACGCCAAATCTTTACTCGGCATAAAATGTCCTTACAAGGGAATTTTTGTTTCAAATTCCCTCGACTTTAATAAAGGACTTGTATTTATTGAATACTTTCTTACTTGTCTTTAACTTTTGTACCACTGAACGCCATCCACTGGCATCCAGTTTTTGAACACCATAAACCTGGCCAGAGCTATATTCCTTCTGCCAGGTGATGCGATTATTTTTGTTGGCCTTTTTGAGATCAGTGCTATATTGGTCCCAGCCCAAGATAGTGTAGTCCGATTGATCGTATTGATAGACACGAATGCCAGGGTTGTTTTGAGGAAGAACGGACGGTGCGTTTGTAAGGACACCTACAATGTCGTTTGTTTTGAAGTCGATGTTCACTTTCTTCGACAGTCCAGTCAAGCTGTAATCTTTACCATTTTTGTACAAAACGGCCAGATTATCGTCTAACCAAAGGAAAAACATTTTTAAATAAAAGGTGTCAGTGCCTGTTTCATTCGTCTTCAACGTACCATTTGTATGCCCTGTAAGATGGGCTGCTATAACTTCAGAGTATTTTCCCAACAAGTTAACATATTGCGAGTAACATTTTGATTTGTACAAGATGTCTGACTTGTCTACAGGCGGTACATGCGACATAAGGTACGCTTTCTTGTTCGAACGTTGTACCTCTTGCAATTGTCCTTCAAGCCAGACCAGTTCCTCAGCACCAGGCGAGCCTGCCTTATCACAATCAGAAACCTCTGTATTGCTTGTAAAAAAGTACATGGAGTTCAAGCTAATGACGGATGGGCCATTGGCTATATTTTGTACAAAGTAGCCACCGTTCGAGAAATCCGAGGTAAGGTTGAGGTCAAGTGGCTTCCAGAGCTGCTTAAGGTCTTCCAAAATGTTCATAGAATTCTTATCGCTTTCGGCTACGTTCATTGCGTTATGGTCGAACATATCGTTATTACCGAGAGTTGGTAGGAGCGTGACCTTGTTCATATCAAATGTCTTGCTAAAATAAGAGAGAACTTTCTTATGGGCAGCTAAAATGTCTGAGTCAGTTCGCTTGAGTTTAGAATCTCGGTCCTAAGTACCAATTTAGACCATTAACAATCATTTAGTCAGTCCGGATGATGAGAATTATCATAGAAACAGTGGGATATATAACTTACGTGGCGAGCAGTATCTCCAGTATAGACAATGAAATCAACGTCTTGGAATGCAGCTCCTTTCATAAAATCAAAGACAGAGTCAACCTATAAACGGAATGTCGGTTATTGGATGTTAAATCAAGTGTAAACAATACTGACTCAATATTAGTTTCATACCAGTGACACTGGGGAATCACAGTCGCTTCCTAGTGTTCCAAAATGTCCAGCAGTGTTTTTGGATTTGTCTCCATCTTTTCGATGGCAGTTTGTAGCAGGATCGGACTTCTCCAAGTAGTGCTCATCCAAATGGATATCTAAACGGATTTCATGGTTAAGATTATATAAAACGTACATGTATACAAATAATGACTCACCTGTAACGTGGAGAAAGGTACCAGATTTTGCCATGACATTAATTTTGCCTGAAAAAGTTGAGCATAGAGCCAGCGCAGCTGTGATCTGTAGAAGACGCATATATGTGACCAGTTGAAAGGAAAGTGGTGGTGAAGAAAAGAATGTTGAATTAGGTTAAGGAACAAACGAGGCACAATATATAGTGAAATAAAAAACCCATCACGAGCTAATCATGTTGTGGAGTGGGAAGTCAATGAGCGGGATCATGGTATGAAAGTCAAACTACGACGAATAATAACGTTTCGCAATAAACGCACCAGCTTCTAATTTAGCGGCTGTTGAAATCCGGTGATATAAATCTATTGTGTAAAACGGAACTACGGGACTAGTCAGTGCTTGTCCATGTAGAGAGCTTCTTCGACTCAGCGGTAACCAAAGAAAAAAGATTGAGAGAGCTCATGCCATTTTTCAGAGTGTTTATGATTGTGTCTTTCTTTTTGAAAAAAATTGCTTAATTAACGTGAAACGCTAGAGTTTCAAGTACCGAATACGCTTTGGATTTGATGAGTTCCGACATCATTGATCTGTTTGTCTGCTCATCTTAATTTCAGCCAGACCGGGCGTCGTGTTGCTTAGCTGTTGAGAGCCTTTTTATTTTTGACAATTAACAATATGTAGAAGCGGTGGTATGTAATTTTTTTTTTTTTAATTTCTATTATATGTTCTGGTGCTCGCTTTGTTGATACCGTTTGGCTGGAGGAGAGAAACATGCAGCCTGTCGATCGTATATTGTGAACAAGGTAAAGTGTAATCAGGAGGATCGTTTTTTTTTCTTTAGTGCTGAAAAACCTTGATTTCAACTGAGGATGGACTCGGCTTGCTGTTTGAAGAGATCGTTATGACCGTGATTGATGTGTTATGAGGTAAATTTTTTATAATCACATCACATTTCTAAGACCAAAATATTTCAAAACCTTTTTTCTTTTCTCTATGGGAGTTTTTTGTGGTAAGATTTATGGCTCGGCGTTGAAGTGGGGTTGATTTTTTTCACTTAACTTCTTGTCGCTTTTATGGAGGTTCTTCCCCCCCAAGACTAACTCAGAATCAGCTGCACAAATCCGTACAAGGGTAAAGAGCGGCAGCACCAAGTGGGTCGGCACTCCAAAAATAGGACAAGTTGTTGGAGGTCATGTTGGAAAGGCATGGACATGGTAAAAAGCAGGGAAAGGGGAAGTGAGCTTATCGATTGAATCCAAAACAGGAAGCTTTGTGCACAATAATGCGGAGGAAGGACAAGTTTCCTGATTTCAGGTGATGTCAGGATTTTTCACCTTTCGCACATTGTTCAGAGAGATCGCATTCTCTTCTCTCTCTCTTTCTTGTTTTTCATTTTTTTTTCTCATTTCATCTTCGTACAACTTACCCGCACGGTATGCCTTATTCTCAAATGTGCTATCATCACACCATTGACGAGCAAAAGCCAGCATGTATTGTACACCCACTTTCGGCTTCTGAAACTCGGAAGCCGTCGGTTTCATTTGACCTCAGCAATTTACCTGAAAAGTCCACCACCGAACCTATTGTCTTCACCCAAGATGGAGCTGATCAAGAGTCCTCTCCCATAGACATCAATGGCCAAATTGTTCCGGATAACATACTGGTTGCTCTATTGGACCGTGATAATGAAATGAAGGAGCTAGTAAGCCGCAACAAGGTTTTCTTCAGCATGTTGGAGTCCCATCTGCATATCTCTTGGCCCGATTTTCAGAGACTTTTGTTTGCTAGACGTGAACATGTTCCCGATGCTGAATGGATCCAAGAAATTTCTGACTATTTGGAACATGCCCCAGTCTTGTTCGAAAAATTCAAGGAATTAGTAGGGTATGAAGAATACTTGTTTGATTCGGACTCATACGAAGAAGATGATGAAGAATGGAGTCGACATGGATCATACGACGAATCAACTTTTGAAAACGTTGACATCACTTTAATTCGAAATTATCCTTCCAAGCTCACTGCCTTTCAAGAATCATACCCCCAGTTTTTCATCAATGCCAAGCGCTGTTTCACTCCACCCAGTACCGAAGTCGAGAAACAAGGCAATTCCACATTTGAAGAATTTGAAAAGCTCTTGTTCTGTTCTCGTCGCGATATTGAAGATGAAGAATGGGAGAAAAGAATATACGGTATGCTGGACAATTGGCCAAACCTCCTAGCTCAATTGAAAGAGATCATTGCGTACGAAGTTGACTGTGAGGATGGTGGAATTGAAGAAGGCTCGTGACATAAATATTCATATCATTTTGTTGGCTGTACGTTTTTTAACCCCACCCCACCCGTTTTTTTTGGTTACCCTGACTCCTTTACGTTCCCGCGGTAACGAACCCCCTAAATGCCATCACTCATGACACTGAAATTTGAATCTTCGTATTATAGCTACCTACCTATACACAGCACATTGTAAAATTACATCCGTTTTGATTTTAATCGTCCTCTCCTTCAGACCATTTTTTTATTTATTTTTTGGGAGGTTGCCAATGGCTGATGCCTTACTGTGTCATTCTGAGAACAATAGAGTGTAATTTGTCCATATTACCTATTGGTCTCTTTTAGAAAAGAACAAGACGGGAATTTTTTCACCTCTGCATTTTTATACCTCATGGGAAATAAGCCCAGCTCCTCCAGCCAGTCGACTGAACTGCTAGCTACATTCACCAGTGATGAACAAGCTCAGATTAAACAACAATATGCAAAAGCAGTGGGGCATTCCAGTTCGCCCGACAAACATTCCAAAACAGCATCGTTGCCTCGGGCAACATTTGAACACGTCCTATGTCCGCATGTTGACGAGGTCCTGCGAAATGCTATTGCAGCTCACTTAGTGGAAATGTCAAACGCAAATAATGACGTTATAACGCAAGAAGGTTTTATTCGAGGGGCATATTCTTTGGCGCGGGAAAATAAGGCAGAATCAATATATTCCCTATATACCAAGGTATCGCCCTCCTTACAGCAGTTTGTCACCCATGTCATTAATAGCGCGCTGCCATTCTGGTGGCAAGGATCGACGCTATCGATGGAGAAATGGGATTCCAATGAAAATCGTCGCGCCTGCAAACAGCTTGCAGATTATTTGGTTTTTAGTAAACCTCCAGCACAACGGAATACATTGACCGAAGATGACCTTTTTTCCACGGGCAACGCCGAAGTTAACACGTCCTGGAACGCTGAGACAACAGACAATGTATCGGCTGACACATTTCAAGCATGGCTGGCTGGCAACATGGAATTCAGCCTTCTTATCGATATTTTGATTTGTTCTATCTTCTGGCCTGAATCAGCCGACCGCGACAAAGCGCGCACGCAACATCATCTTGCACCAGCCATGGATAAGCCCAAGTTACCCAACACCGACTCATTCTCGAATCTTTTGGATCCATATATGTACTATTTATTGACGCTCCATATGCCTGCCGATTGTCTAGCGGGCCCCCATCCTAGCAAAGCGATTCCCCACAGTCTTCTATTTTCTTCTAAAGTAGACGGCAAGAGCTGGCAGAATTTTGCTAGCAACATTGTGAATCGCGGCGCACTCGTGATTGTCATCAAGACGTCAGACGGGGCAGTTTTCGGTGGCTATACTGACGAGCCTTTACAACTTTTGACACGATGGACAGGCAACCGCAATAACTTTTTGTTTCGACAGAGCCCAATGGGGCTGTGGGATGCAACCAATGGCACCAATGATCATTATCAGTACCTGTGCTGGGGAAAGAAGAGTCTACCCAACGGTAAAAAATACTCATTTAGTATGCGGTCTTATCTCAATATATCGGTAATAACCAATCTGTGGAACCCCGCATCTTGTTAGGTTTTGGAATGGGAGGCCAATTTGATTATTGCGGTTTGTGGATAGGGGCCGACTTTTCGCACGGACACTCCAAGGCTGGCCCGTTGTGCACCACCTACATGAGCCCCCGTTTATCTTCCCAGGAAGACTTCACCATTGATCAAGTCGAAGGTAAGTCCAACCCCACAAGCTATTGATGTTGGTTAGGAGAGAATGACTGATGGCGTTCGCTATGATGAAAAAAAAAGCTTGGTTGGTTAGACCTATCCCCATCGATGAGAATAACCCCGACGCAAGGTCACAAGGCTCGGTCTTGAATCACGCCGAAGAGATGGCATTTCTAGAAATGGCAGGCCGAAAAATGTACTCCAAAGACGTACGAGAAGCTGACCAGAAACAGGATACTGAAGCCAGTTAAACCTGGCTGGAGCAGCGTCAGAAAGACGACCTTTGGCCGTTCCTATGTAGCCATAGAAAAAACCTACCAAAATGAAAACAATATAGCTAGCAGTCCCTTCTAGCCTAGCTGGCTGCCCCCAAGTATTCATATCGCTGGAAAGTCATAAATTGGGAGTGTTGGTCCATCGCGCGGGCACCGCGGTACCAAACCAGTGTGATCTGCTTGGTTTGGCGGTGTTTACTGGGCGTCTGGTCAGAACACACACTCTGCACTACATATCTCACTAAGATTTATATGGAGGAGCACTTATCTACTCAACATGTTATGTTTTATTTTTCAATGCAACCGTATTGACTCTTCATGCCTACGTATTTTGCTGGCATTTGTATAAGAGCATGGCTAGTGTGTCGGCGGAGTAGCCAAAAGTTTATTCAAACGTAAAATGAAAAAGGAGACATGTGAGCTGTAGTGGGAATGGATGGTATTGCGGGAGGGGAGTTTTTCGCTTTGCTTATTTTTTTCGAATGGAGTATAGTTATTCGTGGTGCTTGCTGTTGGCAGTACTACTGGTGGGTAGCAATTCACTTGCTGATCGCTTGGAGACAAATACTCTGTAAGCAATACCTAGCACAATAGCAAATAGGAGGACGGTGAGGGCGTGGTGACTTTGAATAAAGCTATGATATTCAGTTCGGTCCTGCTCGATGGGTAAATGGGCCGATGGTTTCGTTGACACTCCTTCCAACAGATCGTTTTGTGCTTCGACGATGGACTTCAGCACGTTTTGTGGTTCATTCATCGTTAACATCCTGCCATCAACATCCTTTGGATAAAAGCGTGCATTCTGTACAAATGGGGGCTATAAGTCAGTTGCCGACGCTATTTAACCCACTTCGCTCGCCCGAAATCTTACCTTTGCATCGGCAATAACGATGCGGGGAAGGTCAGATTTCTTGATGCCAAAGACCTTGTTGACATAGTCACTCCACTTGACACCATCGAGCCAGGCGAAAAGAATGTTACTGTTCTTGTTGCCCTTGTCCAACCAAGCCTCTGTCATGGTCTTGAACTCCTTCTTTTGGCTGTTCAAATCTTTATCTCCATTGAAGAGAGCAAACGCCACTAGATGGTCGCTCTTTAGAATTTCTTCGGCATTGTTCAGGCCGATCTCATTGACAATCGGGAACTTTTCCTTCTGTACCCACGTCTGTACGGCTCTTCTATTCTCAGGCGTGTTGTCATAGTTGTTGGAGGCATGCACAAACTTGTGCTTTCCTTTAAGGATGATGGAGGCTGGCAGCTCGCCTATTTCATAGCCAAGATGGCGTATGGAGATCGGGTCAGCTGTGATGTAGAAAGGAACATCTTGGACAAAAGCCTTTGATACAGCAGCAATCAACTCCTGAAAACATGACGAATGGTTACGACGACTTGTACGCCACATGAACCCTGCCACCCTCACTTACCAAGCTTGCTTTAGAGTCTTCGTTGTAGAGATGAATGAAGGCAACTGAATCATCTTGTTGGATGGATGTCAGTTGGGCACCCGTAATTTCTTGAAGTTCGCTGATTGAGATGAAATAGGTCAGACAAAAAACCTTAAATTACGTGGTTGGTTCATTTTAGTCTTACCTATTGTATTTCTTGGTAAATTGAAGCATATTGTCAACTTCCCGAGCGCCTTTGTATTCACTGGTCTGATCTCCAGAAACACTATAATGAACACAGTTCAGCTTCTGCCATCTCTCATATCCTATATACTCGCAAATGTCACTTACAATTGAAGAGTTGGGTAACCTGTAATCTTATGTTTCATGCAAAAAGCCTTGGCATCTGCAATAAACAAAGAGCTCAGTACAATGACAACGACGGCGGCGTTATGCATATTGTTTTGTCCCAAGTTCTTACCACTGCCGGCTTCGCAATTGATGGAAGCAACGTTGATCTTATCCTTTAATGAGGAGGCCAGCTCAGTCCAAGCGGATGACATCTCCTTACAATACCGACACCATGGCGTATACATTTGGATGAACCATTGCTTGTCACTTCCTACCACTTTGGATTCGTAGGAAGCAGGTGTTAGCTGAATGACTTTACCGTCTGGATTGGCGGGAACAGGGAGGGACTTTGGTCTAGGCAGATTAGCAACGGCAGGTGCGTGCTCTTCTGCCACTTTGACAATGTAGGCTGCCACTGTGTCCAAATCGCGAGAGCCTGCATAGTCCTCTATGAACTCGCCGTTGACATACAATTGTACAGTAGGATATCCTTTAACATGATGATCGTTGCAAAGGTCGCCATACACTGTACAGTCAATTTTGGCAATGTGAAAGTTTTTGGAATCCTTCAGGTTAGCGTAGTCATCTCCCAGTTGAGTCCAGACTGGAGCTGTAGCGACGAAACATGTTAGCGAGGACGAACCAGTGCATTTTGAAAACGATACGACGACGTACCAAATCGCTGGCAGTGCCCACACCAGGGTGCGAAGTGCTCTACGAACCTATAAGAACACACAGGTTAGCGCAAAAAATCAAAAGAGGCAGTAGTAGCCTTGAAACCATGGTTACCATGTTCCGGTAGATGCCAGGGTTGCAAAAGACTCTGGTGTCAGATCAACGACTTCTGCAGATGTTATGCGGCATTGCAAAGTTATAAGCAGCAGCGTGGCCACAAGACTGAATGCCTTCATGGTCGGATGGCAGGCAAAGGGATAAGAGTGCCTGGGTTCTAAATCTGAGGTGGTGCTTCTCCTCAAAAAAAAAAAAAAAAAAGACTGCCTTGCTACTGTCGAGCTGAAACCACTACCACCCCACAAAATTTTGATATCAGGATCAAATGTTTTTTATTACAGTTTAGCTATCTACATATCTGAATTTCTGGAATTATGCACCAAATGTTTGCGAATCACTGGCTCTATGTCGTTTACTCGTCCCAGAATGGTATGAGTACGTTGATTCATGAAGCATAGGCTGGATTCACCCTCCCAATAGGCGTGCACCTGCCTTATGTTGCCAGGTTTTCTAGCATCATATAAAGCATCATCAAAATCAACTGGCCTACCCAGGTACTCTTTAGGTTGTTTTCCTCCCATATATCGCCGTACCACCTCGGGTGTTCCATCATGTATCTCGACCACCACGGATGAATGGGGTTGGCTTTTGCTTGAGGCAGCCACTGTCTTTCCTTTGTTTGATGTACTGCTTGCCATAACCGTAGGTGGCAGGTTGTCGTTTCTTGCTTGTGGGAGTTCAATCTTGACTGGTATTGGCTTGGAGTTCATTCTTGGCCGTGGGGAGGGAGCAGATGATCGGGGTGGACTTCTTCGTGACTTTAGTCGATCTGACCTCACGTTTCTTCGTTTCCTGTCCGCCTCTCTGTCACTGTTGTCAGAGGATGATCGTGGACGATCATGCTTCCTACTAATACGGTGATATTCCCGCGGTGAATCCTCCCTGTCCGAACGTGACGACGTCCTCCGAGAATGGAATTGATCGTGCGAGTGTTTATTTTGGCTTTGGCGTTGGGTTTTCCTGTCGCGAGAATCAGTGCGTTCATTTGACCTTGACGGTGGACGAACTGTTCTACGATCACTATGTACATAGTTACTGGATGAGCGTGGGGGTGGAGTTGCACTATGTGATGTGGGATGAGGTGGTATTCGAGTAGCTTGGAATTGATTAGAGTCAGGACGAGACTCAGGCAATGCGGGTTTCACAGGACTTCTTCGCAAGCCATCATTTGAAGCTGCTGCTGGGATCGCACTCTGTTCAATTGACGAAGTTTTTAAGGCATCTGGTGTTGAAGTTGACTGTGAGCGAGCGCTGTTATGTGTCGTGATGTCGAAGTTCAACATCTGCAACTCTCTCATTTGGAACAGCCTGTAGTTCTCGTATTCACTCATTTGCTTGATCCGCATTTCATTTTGCTCTTTATTCAGCTGCTCCTGAAGAACCATGGTATTTAATAATTCATTCCTGTGATAGAGCGAGAAGGTATTATATACATACCACTAATTCATCAAATGCAACCAATTGGTCGTTGTTTACACCACGTTCGTTTTCTGCATCCTCCGATGACGCTTCTTCTTCTGTTGCTGATTGAAAAATATTATGTTGGTTGTCCTGTAGCCATTCGCTTCCAGAGATTTCTTCGAACATGCCAACTTCAGACCGAGGATGAACATGTGTATACATTTGTGATATCCGATCCTTATGCAGCGAGCAAAAATCTCTTCGATTTTCTTGTAACTCATTTGATTGTAGATCACACAGTCGCTGTAGTTGCTGTTTATGCCTATTGACCAGTGTGTTCTTACGCTTGTTCACCATTGCAAGGGTCATGGTGCCAGTCGGCGTGTCGGCTGGAAGAAACAAGTCGCCGTTACTATGAAAAATCGGTCTAGTCAGCTGTATTTCCAGTGTCACTCAAACGATTGTTCAACCTACTCAAAGGACGATTCTTGAGCTGCCCAAAACGCATTGGCATAGTACATGGACATGTTGGACGTCCAGCATCAACACAGCTAAAAACCCATCAATCTGGACTGGTAAATTTAAAGCTGTTGGCATACTGATAGCGGAGTTTGTTTCTCAAACAAACAAAATGTACTCCCATTTCATTTTAATAATTCAGGTCTAATATTACAACGGATGATTCTAAGAGAACTATCACTACTTTTTCTTCAATCAACTGAGCGCCAATCACATCAATATCATGGCCTTGGGTTAAATCAACTAGAGTCTGTACGTCGGTTCGTCGCTTGCCATCTTCATGGCGGTAGTAAATATAAGCGTTTCGGCTTCCCTCCAATATGATAGAAAATGTATTGAGTGGATCGTGATAGATAAACCGTTTGTCTCGTTTGCTAGCCTGGACAAAGGCAAGTGCGTTAAAGGAAGCAATGTGGTTCACTGTGATTGGGTCGGCTCGTTCGATGGAGTACACAAGTCCATCAACATCCATCTTCAAGCAAATGGTTGGAAACCGGTCGACGGCAGGTTGAGGAAAGGATGTAGAAATCCATTCCTGTCCACCAGCCGAAACTTCTGCTGTTACTTTTCCAGTGTTTCCATCAATCCATGATAACGAAATGTTTTGGCCGTCGTGATCAATATCATCGTCCATTTCCGTTGCAATTGGGTGTTGTAGAGGTTGAGACCATCCCGGTATCCCCATAGGCTTGCTCTCAGCGTCACCTGTGAATTTCTCCAAGCGGGTACGGATCTCTTCCAGCTGATCTGGGCTAAGGTCTTCATGCACATTATCATCTTGCTCAAATACATGGAGCCATCGTACATTTTCATTCTTCTTTGCAAGTTCGATCGTCAGCAGTCCAGAGGAGGATTCAAAAGTCCACGTTGAGCTCTCAGAGTCTATAATATCCCAAAGCTTGCGGAATGGCATAGAAATAACTGGCTCATCTCCGTTTAGCACCATTAGACTCAGGTGGCGTACATCGAAGCTGCAGCTGATGGCTGTCTTTGGTGTATTTGGTGGTAACTGAAAGATGATTGTAAGGTCATCCGAGCTTTGTACCCATCGGTACGGCGATGAAGGTTTGCTGCTATCCACCGTAAATTCTGGCTCAGGATCCTCAGCCATTGTAACATCCTCATTTGTATGCACCAGGTCGTATGCATGAGAAGAGCCTAACACATACCCACTTGTCTCAGAATCGATTTCGCAATAGAACGGTATATCTCTGCCACGTTGAATGTGCTGGATAATGATTTGAACTAACTGGTGATCCTCGCTAGGCACATTGGTTGGGTACTTGAGGTAAGTGACGTTAAACAAAGTTTTGGAAGTAGGTGCATCTGCAGATAGGTGGGAAGGAACTTCATTTTGCTGTGAGGCGACGCTCCAAGTGATTACATCAATTTCGGACCCTTTCAATCTAGCAGCCTGTAGCACACATGGGACAGGAGAGAGTCCTTCCGTGCCGTCTCCCGGAAAACTAGCAAACGACACAATTTTGCCGGTGATGTTGCCACCTACATCATTGCCCAGTTGAATCAAGTAGATGATACCCATTCCATTGCTTGCAATCAGAGAGTCAGAACTGATCGATATGAGTGAAGGATACTGTGGAAATAACGGCATCGATGAATCTGGTTCTGCATAGGCTGGGATATCACTAAGTGGAGCCTGCAGCTGGACAATGGAGTGATATCGAGCCCGGTTTGAGGCTGCATCATAGTCGACTGCTATAACAGAGTAACTACTGTCCACATAGAACGTCAATCCCTTCCTATGCGAAGGGAAAAGGTGGTTGAACTTGACCCGTGCTTGCAATTCACGATAGCTCATTTTGCTATTGGTAGCTAGTTTTGGCAGTGAAAGTACATTGGGTAATGCAAAGCGATGCACATTGGTGTCATCGGGAAATACTTGCAATTTGTAACCGTCGAATTTGGAGTTGATGAGCGCTCGGTCTGATTTGAAGCGCAATTTGGACATGGAGGACATGAATCTATTGAATAGACTTTGACGGGACAATGCAGGAATTTTGGGCAGGAAAAAAAAAGGCGGGGCGAGAAGTGAGGAAGTCTTGGATCTCAGCTTGGATGTAAAACCGTAACAATAGGCAAGAGGTAAGTACACTACAATAATTATATATTTTTATTGCTCAACAATGATTTGGTTAGGTGCAGTACGCCGGCTTGTCTAGAGCCAACAAGGTGAAAGACCATAGCTGAATGGCATCAGCTTCGGTTGAGTCTGGTGTAAGTTCAGCAGGGCTTGTAACGACAAAAGATTGAGTACTGTTATCGAAAGTCCAAGTCCAAGTTTCAGCAAATTCAACATCGGGATTGCCAAGGATAACATCCCAGAGATTACATTGTGCAGTTTTTAGATTTGCTATCAACGTAGAATTGGAACACCAAGATGGAGCCTGTTTAGTAGCCAGAGAAGAAGTATTGTTACAGAGGTCTAATTGCCTTGCCAACCCAGCCACCACCATGCTTTGTTGAAATCCCCAGACACAAGTTCCGTGGTATGCAGCTCGAGTAAATACCTCCCAATTGGTGCGGTTGGAGTCGTACGCTGGATTGGCTATGAGCATGCCAACGTTAGTCAATAAGCCTTCAGGAAAGGGTCTCAGTGCATTTACAGTGTATTCCATCAAGTCTGTCGAGACATTATCGTTATACATTAGGTTGAAAGAAAGGTCGGAATTCATAATTTCCACAGGTTTATCGTCATCCATCAAGGACAAAGCATATATCTCTGTAGGAGGAGTAGCCGACCCATTTGTCGAGTATATGCTTGACGAAAGATTAGCGTAGGTAGTGTATTCTGAAAGAGCAGTTTGCGCATAAGAGGAATTCAGTGGTACTTGGAACAAGGGAAGTGCATGTGACTCCCACACTGCGGCATACTTGGAAGCATCATTTGAAAGCGATGGATGTAGAATATGTGCTTTGGCTAGTCGCTGGATAGCACGTAAACAACCAGGTACTAAAGCTGTGTTGACGTCAAACGGGATTGTTCCATAACCAATTCCTTGGTTAGAATCACGCCAATTTCCAACGGGAACACCGTCTTTGAGGTGAATTAGATTTTTGGCGCTAGGTTCATGTGCAAATGCAGCCGATTGTGTCATGACAAGCTCAACATTTTTTTGAAGAAGTTGTTGATAGGTCATGTTGTTTGCAAGGACAGCTTTTTTGGCCAGGAACGAAGTCGTTCTGCCACTGCCAGAAGGAAGATCAAGAAAGTAATGGGCCAAGGCTGGGAGAAGCTCAAAATTGGTGTCTATCATTTTGTAATCGTAGAAAGGCTGACTACCAAGCTCTGATTGGTTGTTCTGCATATTGATCCAAGATGCATAGTCACCTATGGTCTCTTCATGGCACAGTTCACCATCTGTTGCATTCGTTCTTTCAATCACTGCTCCAAGTGCTGCTTCAACTGCATCAGACGATAGTATCGGCATAAGGATACGGAGCGAAATTAAAGTATCCCGACCAAAGTAAGTTAAGAATCTCCATCCACCAGCCAGCATTTTCTCGGAATAAGAAAGGAAAGAAACTGATTTTACAGAATCAGCAGTGGAAGAGTTTGTGATGATGGTCTGATTTGATTGATTGATCAATGTTTGCGGTGGGATGCCTTGAAGTGAGGTCTCATTGAGAGTGACAGTAAAGTCATAAGTACCAGCTGGGAAGCTGATGTTATGGGTTCCATTATGTTGAATGGCACTGCCGGTTGACATGGTGAAATTCATAGCGATACTATCATCAAAAAATTCACGGTAGAGAGTCACAGAGTTCGTGTCAAGTTGTTGAACTGTATAATTCATATCAGAGTGAAGAAGACCGCCTCCTTCTACGTAGTCCCTGAGGGCTCTAACAGAGCCTAGCACCGCCAGGTCCAGTTCAGCGTTTTGGCTAAGTTGCCATTGTCCTGAAATACCTGTCTGGTTGTAAGGGTTGCTGACAGACTTTAGGCTTCCGTCAACTAACGAAATTGTCAAAGAGGAGCTGTTGCCTGAGGCAGCTTTGAAGTAGACCATAGCACCACTGTTTCCGGCTGGGAAAGCGGCGATAAACCGAGGCCTTGTGGAGGTAGCATTGGATTGCGTAAATAGAAGCTGGGAAGCCGTAGTATTATCCCTATACAAGTAATTGTCATAGCTACTGAATGCCACATGTTCTGTCAAAGTGTCTTGCGCAACGGCAAGACTAGCCAGTGCGATAACGATAAGGCTTGAGGTGATCATCGATAATCAGAGGATAAGGTCGCCATGTGCCCTTTTGACTTTATACTGTTGTTGCAACGCTGGCATTTTCTCAGGTTCTCTTTTAAGATTAGAGGCTTCCCCGTGGGGGCCTTACCAATCATAGAGGAGTAATGCATAAGAAAAAATTGGGGTCTGCTTTTGGAGGAAAATTATTAGCTGCCACGTAAGAGTAAGGTGGGTAGTGACGTGGAACTCTTTCTTTTCAATATCATCCTTTAATCACTGGCCTTTTGTGTTTTGTACTTGTCAACCAAGCAATTCAGGCAACGGTGTGAAAAATGAAGAACCTTATAACGTGCCATGTGGACAACCAAGTATAGCATAGACTGAGATCATTTAATTCCTTGCTATCCAATTGGGGATTATTCCATCATCGTCTGTCCATGAGTATCTTATTGGAATCTGGTCTTACATGATCATTTGGAAGACTCGGAGGTAGCATTGAATAGGGAATATGACGCAATGCACATTTCCTTATACCTGCCATGCAGTATTATAGATTCAGAATAGTAGTACTGTCTGATGAAAAGGAAAGATTCGAAGCCATGTCGTCTGCAAAACAAAAGAACCATGTAAGAGGTCTCTGGTTTGCAAGGCACCCAGTGGATGTTTAATCTTAATCAAAGATCGCCTAAGACAGGATAGCCTTTACGTACTAGAATTAATTTTACACTGTGATGTTGTACCAGCTTAATTATGATTTGTTGCAATAGAATTATGAAGTGAAGACACTGTCATGGAAGATATTTCTATGTGAAGAGGTTACATTGACTCCGCTGAATGTGGTGGTCCAGCACTGATCTTTTACCACTCGACAAGCACATTGTGACTGATACTTGTACTGTTTTCGAACCTTTAACTCCATGCGCCAAATCGAACGACTTGCCGTATTATATAAATATTTGCTATGCCTTATGTTAACTTATGAAGCACCTAATATCATTAGGTCTTCCGGAAGATTCCTATAAAAGAACTGAGATTAACGATACTGATACTTTCAAGTTCAAATCAGGAATGGCGTGAGACCTTGTGAATTTCCTTTACTTCACAGGCAAGGTCAAACTTACAAAAGAAAAAAAGAAAAGAAAGAGGATTTAAATTTTACAATGTTTATAATGTACCTTGAAATAGGCTCAGGTTTGGAAGGATCTGACAAGTGTCAGAAACCTGTGTCTCGTCCATATTACCTAAGCTTACTTGGGTGCATGCATCACGTTTCAGGCACAGGTAAGGGATGCATCGTCAATGTATGATTTTCAGGATGGTTTCCAAGTAAGCTATAGACCTAGTGGAGAGAGCAGTTCGGTTTCGAGGTTATGCAGATGTCTCCTATACACTGCTGATCTCTAAGGCACAGCCAGCTTACCTGATTTATACTTACATCAACCATGGGTGAAGGACACGACAGGTTCAACGCTCAGCATCAATAGCCATCTTATGTGGGTCGTCATCCGAAGTATCATTGATTGATTCTACTCATTAATGCTCAACTTCATCATGGTGAATAGTATGGGTAACTTTAGAATCTAAGTTACCACTCAGCATTTGACGTTTGAGCAGATTATCAATATGAGTTACTGATTGCCGTTTCTCCGTCGTACCTGGCTAGCCAAACCGGTATCGTAACAACTGCATTTGAGCGGACCTGAGTTGGTTCCCAGTTGCATTGCGCAGCAACTGACAAGTGAGAATTTTCTATTGTGTGTAACTTTTTCACAAAAAGTGCCATGCTCCGGCTACATACGGAATTCAGTTTTGCTCAATGGGCAGTTATTAGGAAGGATTTATATCAGAAGCATATAAAACAAAGATCTTTCTGATCAATCAAAGTTCGGATCACTTTGCAAGCTGGTATATTAATTATTGATCCAGCCAATATCTATCACCCGTCTAGGGATCGTCACAGCATATGGGATACCAGGTTTTAAAAGCTTTACCCAAGCCACAGTTATAACCATATATGAAATGATGCACAATGCTTTGCAAGAGGATGTCAACCAAACGGGCTGAGTACTACGTTGTAACTGACCTCGACATGCACACTTCCCTACTTTTTCCACTTATTGAGAAAGGCGGCCCAAAATAGGCTGCTTTCATAAGGCTAAGGTCTGTTTTATGTGCAAATGTGAAGATTCGATGGTGTTTGAAGCCGCTCGTACTACCAAGTTAGCAAGCATTACACAAACTAAAATGGTCTCTTCAAAGCCACTCCCCCAATCCTGGGCAGTTTAGTGGTTCTCTCGCATAGCTGCTACGATGTCAATGGTTGCACACAGATTCCTTATATTTTTCTTTGGCCAGCTGGTCGCGAAAAGTTCCTTTGACCTTTCTCCATCATGCAATTATTGGATATCACTGTTGCTAAAATAGCAGCAGTGATTAGCGCTGGCGTTACCATTCTCCAATTCACATTTGGGCTGGCCCTGGTCATCATTCTCGTCTACTTGATGCAAAACAGCAACACGCCAACCACCTGGAGCGTATTTGTTCGGACACTACACTATTCATCTTGGCCAACTATCTTATCAACAGACGTATCCAATTCTGACCATGTCGGAAAACGGGTGAAGTTGATCAGTACCTTATCGACTATCACCATGATTTTAGCAACCATCGCAGGCGTCATCACCCCACTTGGCTTGTTGCCCACTTTTCGACAAGACGCAGCCAAAGTTGATTTGTATCCAGTTAGCGACAACAAGATGTTGTATATTCCTCTGACACCGAGAAACAACTACTCAGAAACGAGATATTGTTCAGGGTATCTCAATCAAGCGGCACCATGTCCCGGGCAAACTTTGGTAAACGTCACCGGTCTTGGTGCACTACAGACCGATTTACATATACCTCAAAACATCACCACTACCTTCAGCAGCACACCTTATTCTTCTCCATTTGATCTCCAGTATCGCCGATATGTCTTATCGAACAGCGACTATAACGTTTCTGGGTTGTTTCCAAGACCACAGCTGAGCATAGCAAACTCCGTCGTACTTCGAAATCAGTTGTATGCGACTTCAGGGCTTATCGTTGATACCACAGACACACCAGGAATTGGAATCGGTGGTATACAGGTGCCTATACTCCCATACGGTGCAACCTGGAATCAAGACATTATGTGGATAGAACCCGTAACAAGTTGTGTAGATTTGAATTTCACCCTCAACTACCAGTTGAATGCAGCGGCCACCATCAGCTCTGTGTTTGCATCACCATCGTCAAATATCAGTATTGTAGATAACGGTGGATTCAGCAACCTCAATGTTACATACCCCGTAATTGGACGAAATGGGCAAGAAGTCACAATGGAAGACAGAGCCAATAAATTGGCCTTTCTGTCCTTAGCATACATCATGAGTCAATGGAACATCTCAAAGGAGAACACAGCGCTTGGAAAACGTTGGCCAATCACTCAAACTGGCAACATTGCTCTGCACCAGGTTGGCTTCTACCCATCATCTGATATAGCCGCGTTGTTTCCAATCAATTCTTCCCTCACTGTCAAAGATGATGCGAGCGACTTCAGTTCCCTGTGCGCCGGGTTTTTTGGAGCAGATGATGCAAATATTACGAATACGGCCGTCAAATGCGCAATGCTGGTAGGAGGTCCATCGCGTACTGACGGTGGAGACCCTCGAATAGATGAAGCTTTTTCATCCTGGCAGCAGCCAGTCTACGCATGTGCTTCAACCGTGCGTGCAAAAATGCAAACCTTGACCATCGCCTTCAACTCTTCGGTAACCAGCGGTAATTTTGATCTTTCTGATCTTACGCTGACTCGGCAAGATTCTAGTACTGTAATGACATGGGGAGTGGAAAAGACTGGCTTACCCATCAGTGGTGTTGATCCATATTGGGGACCAGTGGCCGACCAGTATCAGAACGATCCATCTCTGTTTACCTTACAATCAAATACTTTATATTTACCTGCTGGTTCCGGTTCCACTTCTATCTCAGGGCTTGGTAAAACTTGCCATGCTATGGCATTGCCTCAATATGCACTTAGTGCATCTATGGAAGCGGACGAATCTGGAAAACTCTACGACTACTCCGGGTCGTCCAATGTTGCTTTACGTCAACTCTGGACAAATCTTTCACTCTCAGCGTCAACAGCTTCAAGGATGAGCAATCTTATATGGACAGATGTTATGGCGAACAACCTTTATAGTAATTTTTCAGCGCAATCTACAGTGGTGATGCAAAATATTCCTTCAGTAGGGTACAACCTTTTGTATGCTATTCCAGCCTTCCTCTACCTGTTTGTGTGGCTGGCCATGGTAATCAGTGTCATTATATTGTTTGTCACCAAGAGAATCAGTATCCACGCCATCCGTCAAGCCTTGTATCAAACATCTCTTGGACGAATCGTCATCAATGTAGCCACATCATCACCCAATTTCAACATGAGGACGAGAGACTGGATAGAGACCGGCAATAACACTGTCATTGGCTTGAATGTCACAGCTAAACTACAAGGCGACCATATGCGATTTCAAATGGTGCCTGAGACATCCAATCTTTGGCAAGTGCTCAACCCAAGGGTACCAACCAATCTGAAATCTGAGTCAAGGACTCGCATATCAGAACCTCTAGAGCTCTACCCCACAGAGTATAAGCGCTGACATGGCATTTGTTAGTATAGAAAATCGCACCATTTGTAGCAATAATAATTAATGCATATAAACAACCTTTGTGATAGGGAAACATTTGGATGCAGAACGGCATGATACTAACCTCACGTCGTGGTATGAAGCATGAGGATATTGGGGGGAGGGAGGACAGAAGTTCGAGTCACCGAAAAGCGGAGTTGTTTGCAAAGATCAGTAACGCTGCTGAAATTTTCCTGTGATTTACATTAGATGATTATCGCCTCTTGTCCACTATGTCTACCCTTCCCATAACCACATCCGAGGTCGCTGGTATAATCAGTGCCTCGCTGTTTTTTATGGTGACCACATCGTCACTGGGATTCGTCGCTATCTTATTAGCCGTGATCAACAATAAATCCTCTGCGAATGGGTGGAGCGTGGCAGGAGCCGCTATTCAGTCTTCACCGTGGCCGTTCATATTACGTACGGACGCAAGTCAATCGCTAGGTGTCCAAAGTGCTATCAATACAATGTCGCAGCTAGCTCTAGTTGGCACTTTCTTAATGACTCTGACTGGTATCGTCACACCATTAGGTTTGCAAGACACTACCATATCTAAGCCGGCGCAAAACCTGGCCTTGTCATATATCAAGGATTTTGGGCCAATGGGATCAGCAACTGCCCCAAGAACAAAATATAAGGAAGGTCGACTATGCTCAGGGTGGCCAAACGTTGCTTGTGTTGGATCAACGCTACAAAACAACAACGGGTCCTACAATGTGTTTAGTGGCATCAATGCTAACGTTACATCCAAATTCACATCACCAGCCGGCACACAGAGTTCACTTAACATGCAATACAGACAATATTCGATGGAAATCATTGATGGTGTTAACACTGGTCAACCTACGTCAGTTGGAAAATTGGCCAACCTGCAGTCCTACATCACCTCTAACAGCACCACAGCAGCCGAAGGTATTGTGGTCGACATGACCAACACACCAGGCATCGGAATAATGCAGCATACGTTTCCATCCGATAGTGAAGGTGGCAGCTGGTTTAGGGATGTTTTATGGTTGGAGCCTCTGACCGAATGCCTTGATACCAACTTGACTATCCAATACAAAATATCAAGCGACCTAACCACACCAGTCGTTAATAGCACTGTCCTGGTCGATAAAGGCGGACTATTCGACCTTACTACCAAACAGCCCGATCCATACACTGACACTATTACCAGCATTGATCTTGCTCATCACGCTTATACTGGAGCAGTTTGGGGTAACCTTGCTGTCCTCAGAGCTATCAATATCACACGTAACGCTTCACATTATGGTAGCACATATCTGCTCAAGCCCAGCCCTACTGACAACATAGGGTATTTAAGCTTCTTACCTATCAATTACTTGGCTCAACTGGCATCTGGAAATCTTGGAAATGCGACTTACGTTTCGCCATCCTATGTTCAGTCTTATTGTCAAGGATACGACCAAGATAGTACATTCACTGCCTCAACCCGGATGGTACATTGCTCATTATTGCTGGGGACACCGCGCAGTGTGGATGGATCAAGCAACAGTATTTTACTTGAGAACAAAGTGTTCGAGCAGCCTGTTTATAGCTGTGCATCTACCGTTCAAGCCAGCATTCAGCAACTCAATGTCACTATGAACCAACAAACGGCGGGAACATCACCCTATTCCGGACTGCAAGTCTCTCGACAAAGCACCAATACGTCAATTTTATGGGGAATCGAATCAACCGCAATGAACGTTAGTAGCACAAACGCGTACTGGGGACCGGTGTCCGATGACTATGAGAATGACACACATCTCTTCACGCAACGATCGGAAGCCTTCCTTCTACCTGCTGGCAAAAGCGACTTTCCTATTATGATGTTCGGATCAGCGACTATTGACCCTGTCGATACGCAAGGAAGCTCAATTCCAGGTCTGATGTTTACGCTTATGGAAAACTTGTGGATGACTAGATTGTCCAGCACGATGAACAAGTTCGATTTCTCAGGAAAAGGTGATTATGGCGTACAAACGTTATGGCAAGAACTTAGCCAGACCGTCGATACCGCACCCCAGATTGTGAAATATGTCTGGACAAACCTAATGGCAAGCAACACAATTGGAATTGGAAACTTCACAATGGCTGAGGTTTCTTCAAAAGGCACCAGTGTTACTTACGATATCCGATATGCTATTCCTGCTGTTATCACATTGGCATTCTGGTTGTTCTTCATTTGCTTCAGCCTAATTCTCTTGTTCAGACGCCAAGTGACTTTAAGCGAAGTACGCAATGCCATCAATCAGACTGCCATTGGACGTGCTGTTGTCAACATGATAAATCCGTCCTCTCACTCACTTGCGAAAACAGAAGAGTGGGTCAAGGTGGATGGCAAAAGCAACATTGGGTTGGTATTGGGTCGCACCGTAGAAAACGAAAACACTGCCAAATTTGATTACGATCCAGAGGATACATCCTTAATCAAGATCTTAGATTCCATACCTCATTCTACGCTGTCAAAAGGGCCTTCCCACATACGAGTTCGAAAACCTTCATCATCAGCTTTCTCACCTTTAAATGACACAGATATTGCTCTGCCAGAGAACCTTAAACCCACCTACAAAAACAGAATGTTCAAAGACTATAAGCCCAACGCTCTTTAATAAGCTTTTACACATAATATAGTAATTGATTCGCAAAAAGAAATAAATGTAGATACAAATTTTGGGGGTTATGCAAGGATTTGGAATATCGGCTTTAACGTGTTTTCTTTTTTGAATGCATGTTAACATGTGCCCATTGTCAAATAGGAATGGCGGATGTATGTATGTGATCATTGAAGTTTCTCAAATCTATCCAAATGACAGCTTAGCCAACTTATCAAGTACCGATAAGGCTGTGCATACTTGTAGTCCGGCGACCGCCCATGCAACCAGAAAGAGTGCCCGCAACGCTGACTTCAAACTCAATCTTTTCAAACAGCAGTATACAATCCTGATGTGGATGAAAGTCTGGCCATATCGGCTTTTCTGAACTTGTCAACAATTAGCTCACGGCTTAATGCTGTCTGCTTCCCACAGCAAATATTATCCCTCTAGGAACTTTTGACCTATTGGATAGTTGTGCCTGAACAGAAGGCTCGCCTATCCTTTGCGACTCGCATCGACAAGCAACTACGCCTAGTCTAACTAGCATTTGCATCAGACTATCCTATCATTGACCTTATTCAAAAATTAGTTATGGATCTAGCCTTCTTGCTTGTTCCCAATTCGATAGGTCACACCCTCCACTACCAAGAGAGCTAAAGGTGACACGATAGCACACTGCCTTTTCTAGCAGAGACATTTTTGTCCCATCATTCACTCTCGCTAGCGGTCTCCAAGAAATGTATCAACAGGTAGCAACCTGAATTATACGAGTATGGGTTTAGCGGTTGTACAGTCGAATGCCATTCAGTTCGGTCTACTTGGAAGATGGTATATAAAATATTGCCAATATTCATAGGTCAAAATGCAACGTCTATTACTCACGTCTGCAATGAGGCAGAGTAGTTATCGGTGTGAACATTGTCAGCATATTTCCGGCTCTGATAATAAATATAGCAAAGTTTGTGCGGCAAGGCTGTCTTGGTGGGAGGACAGAACTTGAGCAACCTCAGCGGAGATGATCGAAAGTCCAGGCTGACGATGCCCATAAATATAGTTCATTGGTTTACTTCCTTCTTGGTAAACTATGTTTTTGTTTCTTGTTCCCAATGCTTATTCTTCCCATCACTTCTTCCTCGGTAGCAGGCATTATTAGTGTCTCTTTGAATATTTTTAACGTCATATTATCATTAGCTGTTGCTGCTCTCTTGATAGCCTTGATCAGCAATAGAACCACAGCAAATGGGTGGAGTGTAGCAGGGGCTGCAATACAGTCATCGCCTTGGCCGTTTTTACTACGCACCGACGCTGCCGCATCATTAGGTGTACAGACCGCTATCACCATTGTATCATATTTGGCTCTGGTTGGTACATTCTTGTTAGCTCTTACTGGTTTCATAACTCCTCTTGGCCTACAAGATATTACGATAATGAAGCCAGCACAACAACAAAGCATGTCTTATATACAAGATGATGGACCAATGGGATTAGCGACATCCCCAAGGTCAATGTATACTGAGAATAGACTTTGCTTAGGCTGGCCAAATGTTTCTTGTGTTGGAACAACACGCCTAGGGAGCGAAGGGTCGTACGCAGTTTGGAATATGGTATATGCCAATATTACATCCAAGTTCACATCGCCAGAAGGCACACAAAGCTCGCTTAATATACAATTTCGAAAATATGCGACGAAGGTTCAAAGTGGTGTCAATAACAATCAAGCCGTGCCAGTGGGAGAATTGACCAACATACAATCGTTTCTTCTTTCTGATAGTATAACGGCCGCCGAAGGTATTGTCGTCGACATGACCAGCACACCCGGCGTTGGGATAGTTCAACATACATTTCCGTCTGACAACCAGGGTGGCCAATGGTATCGAGATGTTTTGTGGTTAGAGCCTGCGACCGAATGCGTTGACACCAACCTGACCATCCAGTTCAAACTTTCAGACGATCTTACAACACCAGTAAACAATAGTATGGTCCTCGTTGATAAGGGTGGACTATTTGATCTCACTACTACTCAACCAGATGCTTACACGGATACTATCGATAACATTGATCTCCGTCATCATGCCTATGCTGGAGCCGTGTGGGGTAACCTTGCTGTCCTATCGGCGCTGAACGTCACAAGGAGTGCTTCCCACTATGGTAACACATATCCTCTTACTCCAAATAGCCTCAATAATATTGGGTCCCTAAGTTTCATGCCAATTGATTTTTTATCCCAAATGGCATTTGGAAACATCACCAGTTCTAGCTATGCTGAACCAACCTATGTAAAGTCATATTGTCAAGGTTATAACCCAGACAGTGCTCTCAGCGCTTCAACAAGGATGGTCAGGTGCTCCCTAATACTAGGAGCGCCTCATAGTGCCGATGGATCAGATATCAACATATTAACGGTCGACAAGGTGTTGGAGCAGCCTGTTTATAGCTGTGCATCCACCGTTCAAGCCAGCATTCAGCAACTCGACATCACGATGGACAAGCAAAAAACAGGCAAAACACCATACGCACAATTACAAATCTCTCGACAAAGCACCAATACATCAATTCTATGGGCAATAGAGTCAACGGATATGACTGTTCAGGCTGATAACCCATATTGGGGTCCGGTCGAGGCTAGCTTTGTCAATGATGCACATCTTTATACACAACAATCAGAATACCTTATCCTGCCGGTCGGCAAAAGCGACTTTCCATCTATTTCTGCTGGCGTTGTATCCCTTGATCAACCTGATCTCCAAGGAAGCTCTCTTCCTGCCCTCATCTTTACGCTCATGGAAAATTTATGGTTAACGCAGTCAGAAACCACCGTTAGTACATTCGATTTCACTGGCAAGAACGATTGCGGTGTGCTTGCATTGTGGCAGCAGCTCAGCAAATCAGCAGACACCGCACCACAAATTGTAAAATACATATGGACCAATTTAATGGCAAACAATGCAGTGGGGACTGGAAACTTCACGCAGGCCAATGTATCTCCATACGGCATCGGTGTCAATTACAGCATTCCATACGCTATCCCGGCTTTCATCACTTTGATCTACTGGACAACGTTCATATGCGTAAGCATTTACCTTTTACTGCGGCACAAAGTAACTTTGAGCGAAGTTCGCAACGCCATCAATCACACTGCAATTGGACGAGTGGTGGTCAACATGATCAACCCGTCCGCAGATTCTCTTGCCCAAACGAAGCAATGGGCTGCTTTTGAGGGAAAAGGTATGATTGGTGTGGTACTTCGTCAGTCTCCTGAGGGTGAAGATACCGCTCGATTTGATTACGACCCAAGGGACGAGCTACTTTGTAAACCGTTAAATTCCATACCAAAAGCAGTGCCTTTACCATCGCCATCTCGGTCTCAGTTACGGGCTCGAAACACTTCTTCCTTCAAGTTTGTGCCTTTAAGAGACACTGATGACCACGATCTCGCATATTATAAACCCCACGACGATAAACATAATGTGCATAAACCCAATGACTTGTAATTATTTTAAATTAATCACTGTATACTAGACTCTCTTTTTGTTTTGGAAGAGAAGGTACATGTAAAATAAACGTTTTATCCTCAACTCGCCCACTTTTTCTTGTTGGCAGAATAGATGGCTGACTTCTTCAAGCAATGAGAGAGTACACTTAGAACCCAGGGTATTACAAAGCGCAGTTTCGTCTTACTGTATCCTGTGTGTGTCCTCATTTGGAAGAATTATCGTGGTGCTGCTGTTAACACTACACAAAGCTCAGTTCCTTGAGATAAATCTGTGATTCAAATACCCCTCTTGACTTCTTTCAGTCTGTCGTTAATGGAGTTTATATCAGTATGGCAAGATGCAGTCGCTATCAATGTGGTAATAACAGTCATGTCAATCATATTTTACATAGCTGTCCCAGTAGTTTCTATATATCATATGCGAAATGGTCAGAGGTCAAATACTTTGAGTGTTTTCTCCCCGCTATTGCAACAACCCTTTTGGTCGACATATCTAAGCACCGATACTGGAATTCGAGATATGTCAAAGCATCGATAAACTGGACAAAATCATTATGCTACACATACGAATATTATTATCACCCTTGCTGCAAGTGTTACACCTCTTGGTTATGTAATACAACCAAGTTCACACATAATGGTTCTCAATACGTTTAAAGATGCCGGTCCTCTTTCTACACTATATACCCGATAGGGAAGGATATCAAGCATACGCTCTAACGCTATATCAAGCCCAATCTTATGCCCGGGCTCGTCTTACTCCACTACCAGCAACGGTGCAGTTCGTTAAATACTACAGTGCCAAGTAATATCACAGAAAAGTTCACAACCTACAATGGAGGCTTGTCACCAATGAATATACCATTTCGAGTAAATTGGAACAAACCAGCGAGCACTTTCTCCATAAGCAAATTGCTGTGTGCGTGTTATGATATTGTGCATCCGAGTCTACACTCATCACACCCAATCAGTCATCCAATATTCTGTAAATTTGCACTACTAGTGTACTATCATTCCACACAATTTGTTTTTGATTTGATGGAGCAGTATAACATGGTCTATCATACAATCTAAAAAGCCTACTCTGGTCGTTGGTCAGGATAGCTGCCAAGGACAAAGACATCAAGACAGTATTGCTCCATCTCCTTAACAGCCTGTTTGACATTGTCGTCCTTTGCATGTCCTGAGCACTCAACGAAAAAGACATAATGCCATGGTCTTTGTCGGGAAGGACGAGAATCGATTTTGGAAAGATTGAGATTATGCACTTTGAATACCTTGAGCCCATCGCACAAAGCACCAGGCTGACGATGGTCCACTGTGAAGCGTATTAATGTATGATCACACTTGGTTGGGTTATCCGAGGAAGTACCGAGGATCAAGAATCTAGTGGTGTTGGCTACCAGGCACGTATTTTCATGAGTACGTTTATGGGATCAGCTTTGGGCTCATTTGGGTACACTCACTTTTGATATCCTCAATGTCTTGCGCAACTACATTTAAGCCATAAAGAGATGCGCAAATCTCACTGCAAATAGCTGCTGCACCCGTTTCAACAGCAGCCAATTGAGCGGCTTCCGCAGTTGACTTGACTGGAACACGTTCAGCGTGAGGGCAGTTTGCTTTCAACCATTCCTGCACCTGTCCAAGCCCTTGGGGATGACTGTATATTTTTTTGATATCTTGTAATTTACTATTTGAAAGCAAGCATTGGTGAACCTGGGAAAGTCGGAAACAAGTAAATTAGTTGGCATATTGTGCTTAGCCCCTTCATGACCAACTTACCGTCAAATACGTTTCTGCTCGAATCTGAACATCCGTGTGCATCAAATAATCCATGGTCTCAATAACAGAGCCATACGTTGAGTTTTCGAAAGGTACAAGACCATAGGTTGTGCGGCCCTTTTCAACCGCTTCAAACACAGCTATCGGGGAATGTTTCAGTTAACATCTGAGGTTCCCAACACAAGGCATTTGTCAATCTGCTCTGCTCTCAGCCCAATCCTATAAGTAGCAAATCAATTTATACCTGTAATCTGTTTTTGAGGAACGAACGCAACACTGTCACCAAATCTTTCGTATGCAGCCTGGTGAGAGAAAGTGCCAGGGGGTCCTAAATATGCGACGGACACATTTTGCTGCAAGGATATAGAGGCTGACATGATCTGCACATGGGTTAGTGTCGCACATCAATCTACTTGTCCATCATTACATGTACCTACCTCTCGGAAAATGGCATTAAGAGAATCGTCCTTTAGAGGACCACGGTTGAGTCGGTTGAGCTATAGAGTCGTGTTGAAGCGGCCATGCTCTTGTTAGTATCAGGCACAGCAGAAATGGTAGGGACGCGCTATGATCGAAATACCTTTTCATACACTTGCTTTTCTCGTGCAGGCATATACACATGAGGTTCCTTCTCTTCGCTACATGGAATTCATTAGGCGCTTTGAAAGATCAGCCGAACTCGCTCAATCCAATAACCCACCTTTTGGACGGATCTACCGTTTCCATTTGGCGTTTCGCGGCCCCAATATCAAGAGACACGCGAGCGCGCTCATTGAGAAGATTCACCAAGGTAGTATCGAGCGAATCGATCTTTTGTCTCAACGACGGTAAGTCTGACATTTCGAGAAAACAGGGTCTGCAAACTCCGGACCTGCACGATGCTGAGATGATCGCAGGCAAGCAGATGTGACTGTGAAAAGATTGACTTCCTCTCCCCATACAACGGCTCTCAGCGGTACCTTTCTACCACTATGGCCAATCGTTCCCAAACAAATAAAGGCAAGTAGCAGTAGACAATCCACTTCATTTTAAACCGGTTCTAGATGTTTGTTTTTTACTTTATATTGAAAATGCCTCGCCAATCCAAAACTCCAAAGCTCTATGATTTGGAAGCGTTTATGGTTACCAGAAGCCTGCAAACCGAGCGCGGATCGTAATATTTAGTCTCAATTCATCAGGTCTATTAAGGCCTATACTTGATTCCTTCCTTCCCAAGTTAGGGCCAACAACAATATTTAGTCATTGCGCTTTTATGGTTGATCGCGGTGCGTTATTGTCACTGTATCTGCCCACCATAGCATTCAAATCGTGAAACACAGCCATTTCGATCCGGACTTACTCACTTTCAAGGTTCTCATTAAGCATTACAAGGTATGACACCAAAGTTCTTCCTGTTGATACCTTCGAGTTCAACTGTAACAGATCATGCTACCCAAATTTGCACAAGACTATTACTATAGCCAACGAAGAGTGTCTCACGGTCAGCTTGACAGTTCGTTGTGACGCATAGGTAGGTTCAAATACAGCATAAAGCCTTGATCTCAAGTAAGCGATGCACAAATAAAAACCTTGAAGCGGCCGGCGCAATAAGTTGGGGATGTACTCGATGTTGATGATTGCATTCAACATATCCCATATAGTATAACGGAAACATATGGGTAGGCAGTGGTAATCCCGCTATGCAAGAGATGGAAGGACCATCTCTAGCGAAGGGTCAGAAGCAAGGACCCTGAACATACAATTTGCAGATGGTGGGAACAATGTGCTGTGTTTTGCAGTTTATCCGTAAATGGATAAAATATGGCCATTTACAATTTGTTCAGTTGGTGTGCCTGCTTTCTTAAGTATGGTCCATTTGTTTGCCGAAGACGGACTATTTCAAAGAACAGTACTTTGCTTGATCTCTCCATCTATTCATTTGCAGCTGGATTACTCTACTCCAAAAAGAGAAAAAGAAAAATTGGGCACGGTTCGTAACGCCTAACAGCTATTATGGGATGGAAGTCTCCGCAAAAAAAAAAAAAAAAAAAAAAAATACGGTCAATTGATAATCGATGAAGAGCGGATCAAGACATGGAATGGATTCAATAGAACTCGTGGTACGAGTCCAAAATGTTGCTGGCATCATGTAAAGAGACGTAATCTATATTCCCGTGACAAGCATGTTTCCATTTACTCACTATGCAAACGTGCCCGATTTCCCCGCTTATTATAGAGCAATTTATGCTTTGATGCTCTATTGTGTGCGCTTTTGGTAAATCTTTAAAAGTACAGTGCATGTGTTTGCGGAAGCTAAGTTACCATTTGATGTCCCGGAAATAACACCGCGTTAAGACAAAAAAAATTATACTGCTCTAGATGAGATGGTTTAATGCCAGCTTCGTGAATTTCTATCTACAATGCGAATCTGCGGAATAATTTCACTTGTTTGTAAACTCCTCATCGTGGGGATGTTGACTCACAAAGAAGGTAAAAAACTGCCACGGCTTTTATTCGCAGCATCTAGTGCCCATCACTTGACAAAGGTGTACAGCATTATGATACAATGAGCGAGGTTCCTACATCAGCAGACCTGCATTCCATTTATCAACGTTTTCTTTGGAAATAGGTCGCATGGACTTTTACCCTGCTGCTAGCTGGACATGCATCGCTAGAAAATTTTTCGTCGGAGAGCCAAGCGGTAGTTTCTATCCTTGAAAAAGATTCGATAAGCTGTTTACGATTTAGTCCGTTATTTGCTATTCAGACCATCGAAGACTGCTCTGCAACCTTCCCAAGGTTCAGGATTAAGATTTTAAACATTTGATTGGGTGCACAGATATGTTCACATCATCGCGCCAAAAATAATGCTCTTCAACGTAACGCCACATCTAACTTGATTCCCTTTTTTTGGGTTTAAATCAAGTTACCTGGTCCCAGATTTCACCTGAAACTGGGAGTACAGAACGAGGATCAAAATCGACAGGATTCGAATTCAATCGAAGCTTGAAAGTGTTCCCACACAGCCATGTTGTGATGTTCACGCAACGCAATATATTTCATGCATCCAATATGCTGGTCAATGGCGTAATTCATGTCGCTTAGTGCGCCCACTATAGATGATTACTAACCACTCAAGCTATCATCACCAGTGTGCGTACGTATGCTTTTGCATTTATAAATCGTCCCTATTGCATTGTACAACGATGACTGTCCGTAATGGCAAAACATAGTTCCTTCGAGAGTCTTTTCCATGGTTCGTTAAAACATATACGCATATTTACATCGTACCATATATTAAATGGTTCAATATCTGAATTGATACGATATGCTTGTACCGAGCTAATGCTGTTTGACTCTCGGGGATAGCCGTGTATCTTGTCCCCGTTAAGAAGTTTCCTTTTCCGCCTATTACCTGGGCATGGCTTAACGGGCCTCGTATTTTTAATAGCCGTAGAACTTTCTTTCAAAGCTCTTATCAACAGCTTTAGATTGGAAGAGACTTGCGTACATACACACAGGAAGACCACATACACTTCGGCTATAAAAAAATCTGACAGTGTGAGAAAGAAGCCACGCCTTAGACAAATTGTAAAAATAGGACGCCTCCAAGCGTGGATCGTGGGATAATCGGTAGAAATTAGGATCTATCAAGCGAGATAAGGCGAAAAGTGACCCTTTTTTTCCTTTTTCTTTTTGGTAGGCGCGGACTTCGTCTCCAGTTATCCCACCCAACGCGCCATTTACCCCCACCCTAACGTCGCTGGGACACCCTTCGCTATATGGTATGGTCGAAAACTAGGTTCGATTTTAAGTTCTATTAGCCTGACCATCCAGTCAATCTGGCGTCAACATGACCTAACTGATGCTTCTAATCTCACTTGCCAAACTCAAGCGCGTGAACTATCATACTGGGGAACCTCGTCCTAAACGGAGCACCAATAGAAAGAAACAAATTGTTAGCAGCTAACAAAATGGTTGGTGGATCCGTAAGAACCCCGCTCGTTATCACACGATCCTTTTACAGCTTGTGTAGCCCACTGATTCACACACCGCCATTTGCCTTGTGTCTTCCGCCATGGTCTTTACGTTCCTGTTGGACAGTTCATGGCCCAATGTGTGTCACCAAGACCCTTTGGCAGTTTGCACCACCGTCGTCACATACTCAAGAGGCATTTAGCAGGCGTCCTTCAATAGCTCTTTATTCGTAACGGTAGCTTGATTATTCTAAATTCGTATCGCCGCCCGAAAGGAATATTGTAAACTGACAAAATGTCATTCCGTGCTCGTGTGCCACCTACATGCACATTTAGACAAACATGAAGTCAGCTTGTTAGTCACAGAATAGTATGACTTTTCCCAACGAATACATCAGTCTGTAAGCGTCTATCATGGAACAGATGCTGATCCTATGTGCGCGCGCTCATGTTAGAAACATTTGGTTCTGGATTTTGTGTAAACAAACCCAATGAAAGAAGGTGCCTTTGTTCTTGGTTTATCCGAATGGGCTATGGGTCCGCACGCCACTCCGCCCAGACCAATCATCGAAGCGATGAGCCGATTCTAGCGGACTTTCCCGATTAGATTAACTACATTTATTGGATAGAGCGAATTGAATCTCCATGACACCTAGTAAGAAAATGAACAGTAATGAAAAAAAAAATTTAGAAAAATATGCTATATATTAAAGGCCATTCATCACCTGTTGCTGTTCGCTCCCCTCCTTCCTTTATCTTTTCTTTACCTAGGAATTATGTCCGAAAAGTACGAGGACCAATCTCAGGTTCTTGATGCCGAACACATCACTACTCCTGCTGTCTACGACCACACTGAAGATGCCGTCGACGGTCCTGAACCCACCGAAGAAGAGTGGGCTTCCCTTCGTGAAAGTGCTGATTCCATTCCCGTTTCAGCCTTCTTGGTTATCTTGATTGAATTCTGCGAACGTTTCACCTACTACGGTCTTACTGGTCCTTTCCAGAACTACATTCAAAACCCTGCTCCTCCTTCTTACCCTGCTGATGTGCCTGGTGCTCTCGGCCGTGGTCAACAAACTGCTACTGCTCTCAACACCTTCTTCCAGTTCTGGTGTTATATTACCCCTATCTTTGGTGCTATCGTTGCTGATCAGTTCCTCGGAAAGTACCGTGCCATTCTCATCTTCAGTATGATTTACCTTGTTGGTCTTATCATCTTGACCACCACCTCCATCCCTTCTGCCATCGACAGTGGCGCTTCATTCCCTGGTTTCGTTGTCTCTTTGATTGTCATCGGTTTCGGTACTGGTGGTATCAAGGCCAACGTGTCTCCTCTTGTCGCTGAACAATACCGCTCCAAGGTTCCTTTTGTCCGTACCCTCAAGTCTGGCGAGCGTGTCATCGTTACTCCCCGTGCCACTTACCAAAAGATTTTCAACATGTTCTACTGGGGTATCAACATTGGTGGTCTTTCCGCCATTGCTACCACTGAAATGGAAAAGAACATTGGTTTCTGGTCTGCTTACCTTTTGCCCACCTGTATGTTCGTTCCCGCCATCATTGTTGTTGTCATGGGCCGCAAGCGTTATATCCAAAACCCTCCTCGTGGTTCTATCTTCGTCGAAGCTGGTCGTCTTTTCCGTCTTTCATGGCAAGTTAAGGGTGGTTTGGATGCTTGCAAGCCTTCCCGTTTGGAAGTTGATCACCCCGACAAGATGGCCAATGTTACCTGGGATGATATCTTTGTTGATGAATTGAAGCGTGCCTTGAAGGCTTGCACTGTCTTCTGCTGGTTCCCTATCTACTGGCTTTGCTATTCTCAAATGACCACCAACTTGGTTTCCCAGGCTGCTACCATGTGGACCGGTAACGTTCCCAACGATATTATGCAAAACATTGATCCTCTTGTTTTGATCATTACCATTCCCTTGATGGATCGTCTTGTCTACCCTGGTCTCCGTCGCATTGGTATCCCCATGGGTCCCATTTTCCGTATCACCCTTGGTTTCATCTTCGCTTCCGCTGGTTTGGCTTACACCGCTGGTATCCAATCTTTGATCTACAAGAAGCAACCCGAGTTGATCTCTGCCGGTATCCAAATTCCTTCCTACATTTTCATTGCCATTTCTGAAATTTTCGCTTCCATCACTGGTCTCGAATATGCCTACAAGAAGGCTCCTGAATCCATGAAGTCTCTCGTCATGGCCATCTTCTTGTTCATGAACTGCTTCGGTTCCGTCCTCCAATTCGCTCTTGTCTCCGTCACCGTTGACCCCAAGCTTACCTGGATGTACACTGGTATCTCTGCCGCTATGGGTATCTGTGCTCCTCTCTTCTGGATCTGCCATCACAAGGCTGATGCCACCGATATTGAAGAAGATGCCATTGTCCGTCGTGGTGAGCAAGAGGATGCCTACATGGCCCACAAGCCCACTATCGCTGAGTACGAGAAGGACCTCAAGCAGGAAGCTTAAACTATAATTAATTCTTACCTCAACTCTTGTTTGATATGTATTCATCTATAACTGCTTTGTAATAACATGTACGATGACTGCGTCATCTGCCTATAAAAATTAGACTACTCTTTTCACTATATTAAAAACAAAAAGTGTATGTAAACTTATGCAATCCTGAAAATGTGTTGAATTGTGTCTTTGGAGTGGGCTTTTATAAAATTGAATCATTATACCTTTTCATGCAGCTTCGTCTGCGCATGAAACAGTTGGAAACAACTTTGAGCGGTAGACCAAGTTGCAATACCCGTGTGATGTCTAACGCGTTTCATTTGCAGGCAGCGGCTTTACCTTCTCCTACTTGCCTGGCGCGTTACGCTCCTTATAAGATCTCTTGCTTCTTCCTTTCTGAATTAGAAATGAAGAGAGCTTTGCTAATGTTCATTTTCTTTATCAATCAGGCACATGGTTGTCCGTGCTACAGGAAAATTGCATTGTAGTAGTTCATGTCACTGAGGAGCGATTCAACAAAGGAGATGTCAAGGAGCTTTCAAATGAAAATCAAAAATTTTATCACTGCAGTGACAACTCAGTGAAATTTTCGATGCTCGTTGATCTCACGTTTATGACTCTGCAACTAAAGTATCTCCAAAACAAAACAAATGCATAGGTAGATCGTACTCGATTCCTCGAAATGTTACAAGTTCGACTTATCCATGACTTGTTCATGTATTCCTTAACTGCGATGATAGTCCAAGACGCCGCCAAAAAGTACTCTAACCTGTTCGCGACCCGTCATAAGAAAAAGAAGCGCAACAGATTTCGTATACCAAAAAGTGGTCTCGTCGTAACAAGATACCATACTTTTATTCAGAGTGTATATCAATACAAAGAGTTTGCAAGGGTTACAATGAACTGTACTATCGCAAATAATGGCCAAGAGCAGCTCTGTGAACTATCTTCTAGTCTCATAGTAGCTTTGGAAAAGTGTCATGAGCCGTCAGCTAGGTTAAGCTCATACAAACGACAGGCAGCAGACAATGTCATGGTCTTCTCGACATGAAGCTATGTATTTATGTTCTTTCAATAAAGAGACACCAAAGAGGTATGTCTGTTGACTACGACCTTGCGATATGATGCATTAACCCGGAACGAAGCCAAAGTTTCACACCACATCGCACCCAAGCCATATTCATGGTTTAATCTTCAATTCATATGACGGCTGCCAGCGTCTACGATAGTTTGCCTAAGCGAACCATCTCTGCGGCAGTGCTTTTTGATGAATCGTTTATAATTGCGTTGTAAAGAGGAAATTGGAAAAAATTTTCGAAGGAATTAAATAGTTGCTGAAAGCGTGACTGTGCATTCTGATGGAAAATTTAGGACAGACAATTTTTTTTTTTATTACAAGGTTGCGGTATGAAAAAAGTGGAGGGGTTTAGACGTCTATGAGGTTTTGATTTCGTCCATTTTACTGACAAGTAACTCATACGTCAGTATTGTCATTGCAGAAGCAGGTACAGTTCTTAATAAGTTGGTAGGCATGCCTCGATAGAAGGCTAATGGACCTTCCTCTTGAAGCATGATTTTAATAGCGTGCATTATACCATGGTACTTGTATGGTTTGACAGTTTGATTTTGAAGTCTTGTTCTGATGACTTCATGTGGGTATGTAGCCATGCTAGCGGCCATCTTGGATAACGACGAAGCCATAAGGATAGTCATCATTCCGGAAGGAGCATCTTTGTCGGCTTCTAAACATGAATTCCAAGGCCCGATGTTAGCGGACCCAACGAGATACAACGAAAAAAATAATAATATTCAACTTACTGAACCATATCTTGAGTTTCTCATATAGCGGAAACTGAACCGCAACATGGCTGACACCTAACAGTGATGGTCCAAGTCCCTTATAGAATCCACCTAAACCTTCCTCCTTCGTAATGGTCTTAAAGGCATGCAGGGTATTATTGTATCGATATGCCGTACGTTCGTTCTGTGTCTGAAGTAGAGGAAACCATGTCATTAGTCATTGACCGTGGGTTTTTTTCTGTTACCAAAAAATCGCCCTATGTTTTTATCTCCATGCATACCATAAATCTCGTCTTGATCACCCACAGAGGGTTGGTCAGGGTGGTGGAAGTTGCGCCTGCCGTCATCGCAGACAGGATGTGCACTAACCAGTGATCGTCCTCTTTGCCAATCTGTGATCCAACTCGTTCCTTGCAGTAATCATAAACTGTGAAATAAATCGCCCAAGTGGGCAGGTATCCAAAGATCGTTGGTCCGAGGCCACGATAAAGTCCCCGGATGCCTTCTTCCATCCATATCCGAGAAAGGGTACCTTTCAATAACAGTATCAGTGATCGGAAAGCCATGTGATATCATCCCTTTCTCCCCAGTGTTTACCATATGTGCCGCGGTAAAGCGCTATGCCTGGGTGTCCCGTACCCTGATTCTGTAGTCTCGTTTTAACAACGTCGAGTGGGCATGTTACGATAGAAGATACTATTCCGGCGCCCGCGCCTGCGATGGAATGCTTAACATTTTCATGGTTCTCTCTATGGACGATAGAAAAAAAAATAGTGGGGGGTGGGAGTCAGTGTCCGTTAATGGTCAAATGGAAAGCCGGAAGTCCAATGGGAACTTACGCTATGTTTTTCCACCAGTTAGCAGAAACACCCATTGAACTGGCGGTAAAAGTGATTCAATGTAAGATGCAGTAGAGGAATGAAAAATGCGTGGATGGGGTCACTAAGCAGAGCAGAACAGAGCAAAGCAGAAGGACTCGTTTCAGCCGTGGACTCCAAAATTTCTCGGACCTTAGTGGTTTTCGCACTGACAAAATTTTACAATACGTCGCTTCTCCGTATCCCGCCAATCATATGTCATTGTCTGGGGATACATCAGACAATTAAAGCATACAAGATACTCAAACAACCATGATGTCCACATGATCGAGCATTGTACATATACATGTATGCCTGGGAAACAAATGAACTGCAACAGTGAAATGACGTGAGTGAGCGATAAGAACGAATTCCGTTTATCGTACCCTCATTTTTGTGGAGGGCGTATACTCTGTGTTCATGGATGGAGAGGAGGCATTCTTTCTCTTTGTCAATGGTATCATTTCGCGCTATTGGAATATGTTTCATCCCTTGGGAGATACTGTGTCTAAATACGATGCATTATCATTCGATACTTCATTAAAACTCAACTACGTTTGGCAACGGCAATTGGTTACAGTAAACTAGCAAGTGGAACATTAATGTGGTTCCAATTAGCAGCGGGGGAAGAGCAGAGGGAAAGGGCAGCGATGTCATAACGTAAACCGCTCACTGAAACCTCAGACAAAAATGTAAATGCTTCACTGTCCGAATATGGCTGCCAAATTTTTTGAGAGCTACTTGAATGACACCGCTTGAATGTTTCCCGCAAGCGATGCATTTTCACAAACGGTAGAAGCATCTCCAGATGTAACTGACCAAGTGAGTGTTCGAAGTATATTATCAACGGGAGCCGTGATATATACTAGTTGTGAACTTTTCATCTGACTTGACGCCATGACGTACCCCTTTCGTTTAGACATGGCCAGACACTGCTACTGCAAATACTACAGTCCCACGCTGGCAGCTTCAGACTGATCAAGAAGAAACAGAGTCGCGTTCTCAAATTGAAAAACTCGGTGAGTGGGCTGTTCTATCAGTTATTAGACTCACCTCGTACCTATAGTAACTTGAGCTCTGCTGCGTCATGTAGAGCGTAAGTTGAAGATGGCTAAACGACGCCAGTATGGCACTGTTAGCAGACGTAAGAAAAATTTAGATTTAGAATTTCTGTCATGCTAGTAGAGCCATTTTTTTTAAATTCATGTACTGTCATAGCCGTCAATACCCCTTTTCAATACGCTGATTCCGCCTCCGACTCTGAAGATCAACCCCAGTTTGAAACCGACGAGGGCCTGTCGTTGTTATGGAATCAACAAGATGAAGACCTTGACAACGCCCTTCAACGACGAAAATTTCAAGACGCCTACACAAAAAGCTGGTATCATTATTTGTTGTGTTGCTGCCAACCGATGACAAGTAGCGATGTATCAACATAAAAACAAACTGTACCAACATCCGCCTGCTTTTTCTCTATGCCTTTTTAAATAATTACTTTTTTTTATATTTTTAGCCATCTATATACCATCTAAGCGACAATTGTACGGTTCTTGTCCATAAAGTAATCTATGACTTCATCGGTCACCTTAGCCTTGCGTTCTTGGAAAGCTCCAACAACTCTTTGCAATTCATCAATGCAGCGTTTCTTAAGTTCACCCGTCAACAAATCGCCAGACTTGTAGGAATCGTAAATACGCTTGAGCTCCTCATCATCCTCCAAGAAGAAGCTGAGATATTGGTATGACACATCGACGTCAGGGTTACCTCCGTTGGCCTTGTGTTCCTCAATCGTGACACCGCCACCAGAGAATGCATATCGGTTGATCTTGTTCTTGATCTTGTTGGGTGTATCTGCCATGAAAATAGCTGAGGTGTCAACCGAGGCACTCATCTTGGTTTGGGAACCTTGCAAAGCAGGGAAGAACTTGGCGTGAATCAACGCTGGCTTAGGGTATTTGAGCCTCTGAGCAACATCTCGAGTCAATCGGAAGTATGGGTCCTGATCGATGGCACAAGGGATAAGACTTGGAATGTCAGTCTTAGTACCAAAGATTTGAGGGAAAGAGTTGGAGAACGATGGTGCAGCTTGAACAGAGACGAAATGAAGTTTGCCAACGCAGTCACTAAAAAATGATGTGATATTAGTCAGGTTTACTCCAAGTGATATTACTCCCACTGCACACCATTTCCTAGACTTACGTATCCTTGAATCCAAAGGTAGCCTTGGACTGGTTGGTTGTAATGCATCTGGAGATTTTGACAACATTGTGATAGAATGCTCCACCAACGTGATCAAAATCGCTGAAGATGAAGGTCTTTTCTGGGTTGAATCCACAAGCAATGATGTCCTTTGCGTTCTGACGCGCGAATTCCCTGCACTTTTCGACAGTCAAGTTGGGCTTGAACAAAAACTTTTCATCGTCTAATTCAAAAGACAGAGTATTAAATCTCCATTCCATCAGCAAAACATGAAAATCCATACTAGATCACGTCTTACCAGTAAGTTGAATGACAAGAGGCGCATCAAAGACCTCTTGCAACCATTGACAGAAGACAAATGGAACCAAGTGACCGAGATGCATGGAGTCACTGGATGGTCCACGTCCTGTGTAGAGGAAGAATGGCTTCTTTGCTTCGTAACGGTCGAGAATACGATTGAACTCTCTGATCAGATGGGATGGGGGGTAAGTGACCTTGTACAACACCAACCAATCAGAATTTAATACGCTTTACCTATGAGAGAAGAAGACACCTCTTCGCAAGAAAATATGGGGCTTTCTGCCGGTGAGTTTTTCAAAACGCTGGAGAAGTTCGTCGTCAATAGCTTTGGTACCGAACTGGTTAATCAACTTGTTGTAGTCAATAGCTTGGGCCACACCATCTACAACAGCGCCTTCGACATCCCAGGGAGTAACATTCTGGTCGGCAGAAGCAGCGGCAGCAACTTCAGCTGCTGCAGGAGCCGGCGTTTCGGTGGCAAGGGTGAGATTGTCCAACTTTTCTGTTACTTGTCCTTCTGAAGACATAATCGAGGATGAGAGGAATTTTGAAATTCAAGGGTTGCGGAGATGCCAATTTAAACGTGGAAAGTGGCTTATATACTGTCTGTGGCAGGACTCAAAATTATTACTGTATTACTGTCACAAATGCTCAAACTAACTGCGGCGCGATGCCGGCCGAGCCAGTTGGCCATCCGCTATTGTGCAACTATTTACCAAAGCCAGAGAGACTATAAACTTGCTGTAGGCTCTATTCGCAAGGGCCAAGTTGTTCAGCATAAGGACAAGCCCATGAAAGTCATGGCCCGCGATCATGTTGCCACCGGTCGGGGCGGTGCGGTTATCAAGGTAGGAATAAAAGAAATTTTGTTCTCCAAAAGTGATATCTCTCTCAGCAACTGCATTTCCTTTTGATTATAATATGAACTCATTATCTTAAACTATTTCATATAGATGGACTTGCAGGATATTCTATCTGGACAGAAATTAAATGAACGTTTCAAGTCCAGCGATTCGCTAGAAGGTAAAAAAATTCAACAGCTATCAAATCAAAGCAGACAAGGCGTCGCATGGCACTCATGTATGACTTTAAATTCCTATAGTCTTGACGTTGGCGGATGAGTCGTATCAATATCTGTATAGTGACGCCGGCAAAATCCACTTGCTCCACGGTGAAACATATGAAGAGATTGAATTGGACGAAAGTGCTTGCGAAGGAGGTAGCAGAGCAATTTCCATGCTGGAGGACGGTATGCCGATTGCTGTCAGCTTCTTGACTACACCTCAAACTGGAACGCAGCCCATCACCTTCAAACTTCCTGCCAATTACGAGTACACCATTGAGTCCGTAGTTGAACGAGCTGGACAGGCGGCTAAAGGTACAGTTTACAAGCAAGCTATGCTGACCAACGGCACCAAGGTGCAAGTGCCTGAATTTATTGGGGAAGGCGAAAAGATCGTTGTAGATATTGGCGAGCTTAAATACATGAAGAGAGCGTAGAGCAATGACTCTCATAAAAAAAAAATCTTACGTGTAATTTTTTTTTTCCCGGCAATTGCTTAAAGCGCGTTGCTGTTAGAATTCTCTATACTGGCTGGTAACCTTTTTAACTTAGAATAAACTACACCATAATATGGCTACCACTCCATATCATGACAACAACGATGTGTTCTTTGACGACTATAAAACTGCCAATGCACGTTTCCATTCGCGACTGATGGCAGTTCAACAGCATTCCGAAGACTCGCAATCCAGTCGCCATCCTCGATCCAGCGAATCTCACTCTCGACCGGTAAGTGAACGAAATCGTAGTATTAGACTTCGTCAATAGAGCGATGAGGGTGGCTGACTAGAAATGGCTCCACATAGGGTCGACCGTCTTCGTCCCATTCATATACCAGCCAACAGGAACGCGAAAAGTCAGTGCTTCTCACCCAAATCGAGCAAATGCGCGACGAGGTCGAGTACTATCGGGCAGAGAGAAATAAAGTACGGCAAAGGCGAAAGGAAATGTCAGGGAGATCAAGAATGACCTTTGAAGAGCGAATGGCTTCGGAAAAGGACGAGGAAGAAGACTTGCAGGCTGTCATGTAAGTGGTCAAGTTGAGAGAGTTGTACGGTAACTGTAGTTGCTGAAACCTATATCCTGGCTTCAGTGAGTACCTCCTCTCACCTATAGTCACTGAGGAAGAGCGAATGACAGCCGGTGATTCACTGAATGAAACTAATCTGAAAATCAAAGCCCTACAAAGTCCGGAGGTACGATACAATGCTTCATAAGTGCAGGTTTACTATGGTAATGACTTAACATGATCTGATAGGTCATCCGAGCTTCTGAAGTCTCGCATATAATGTTCACTGATATTCAAAAATCTTTGGAAAAGACTCCATTCCACCGTAAGTAGCGTAATGGAACTTGGTGTATACCGTATAAATTGATCTTAACCGCATTCGATATAGAAACCATTGGTCAATACGAACTGGCTGGAAAGTCATTTGATGAGGAGTTCCGAGTATCATTCCGAACGAACGCTGATGAAGGCAGAGTGCTTGACTTGGTAATCAACGTTAGTCCCTCACTGTACTTTGACATTGGTCCTTTTCTGGATCGGTAAGTGATGTGCATGACTGTGGATACAGAAGCCCGAACGGCGTTAATGGTGCAATCATCTCCTATAGATTTCAAACCGAAGGCAATTTGCTTGGATTCTTTCGCGTGCTTGTACACCAAGCGAGGCTGCTTTGGGAGCGACGGCGGGTTTTCTCGTCATTGAGTTCAAGATATGAAGAAACGGATATCAAAGTTGAAGAAATTGGATACGAGCAACTAAAGTTTTCTAGCGACAGGTAAATGCGGTCAATTGATGGATTATCTTAAGATTGAATCGATTTTAAATTCGATTTCGTCGATTTCTTAGTGAAGAGCAGCCGGATTTATTGCTAAGCTGGGAGATGCCTCGAACGGAAATACCAGATCAAGTGGAAGGTATGGATGTTCCGAAACGAGAAGCTCCAAACATTCAATTAGAGGCAGTTGTCTCTCGTCGTTGTAAGCACATCAATTTCTGAAAACATCTGTAACATTGCACAATTCTAACCATCGGATTTTTCGTTGCATATGTTCAGGGTCTGCGCTGGACGCGGATGGTGTTCTGACCAAACTTCCTGAACGATTTAAGCGCTTGATGCAAAGGGTTGGTGTAGAAGAGGCGACAGCAACTCTTGTTTCAGCCATGTACTCAGAGTAAATTACGGATTCTACTAAAATAATACTATGTTCGTTAAGCACTATCTATGGGTATAATACGCTGTCATAATGTTCCTGATCCTAAATGTTTGGTTGACTGAATACCGGCGGTAATACTGCTAGTATACGCTAAATCTCTTCGAATATCCTTCTCCATTACAAAAAGGTTGGCAAAAGGCATAGCAATAGCTCTCATTCTTAAAGATGTTACGACTGGAGAATCATGAATACGCACATCATAGAGCCATCGACAAAGTCGGCGTAACAAATTTGGCTGTCCGCACGGACCAATGCTAAGATGTATCTGGGGTATATTAGAGCATTTGTCAAGCTACTTGAGATATTTTATAAGTTCTAAAGTCATATACACGTGGAAAAAATTATCAAATGTCCTTTGAGTTCGGGTAAGAATATGTCATTCTATATAATGTACAATATGCTGCAATCAGGGTGCGCAATTACGGAGAGACTGTCTGTCAAAGCCGCATTTTTAGGTCGCTTGTGGTGGATTGATGCGTAAATGTAATGGCCATTGCCAACTTTGATCAATACGAACTGCATATCTATATGATAGACAATGGCGAAAGACTCTAACCTTATCAAAGCGTTAGGCGCTGACATTTTTCTTCGATACCAATTTGTACTCACCGCTCCTCCTATCTGTTTGACAACTATAGCCAGAAATGAGAGTCGAGCATGAGCTACTGGGTTTGATGTGCGCTTTAATTCTCTGAACTGAAAGTAGTGTCAAGCGTTTTATCTATAGCAACATTGGACCGAAGCTCTCTTACCTCCATGGAAGGAGACTTGAAAGGAGGGACAATCCAGTGGCCCCTTCTCAAACAGAGTATTGCCAGTGAGCGCTGTTATAGCGCTGAAGCTTCAAGCTTAATAGTACCTACAATACACTCGCCCGCACCGCTGCGTCTTTCTCATCCTATGATGAACAATGCATGCAATGCCTTAAATTCAAATTAAAGCTCAAAATCCCTTTTTGATGTACATATCCAAAAGCCAATTCCGTTAATTTTTCTAGCCCTCTGCGCTCATCTAAGTTCAATGGCTGGCTTGAGATATAGTATGCAGAAACCACTAGATTTGCTGCTATGACATTTCCTTGAAGCAATCTCCGCGATCTCAATTGGTCGAAAACCTTGAAGAGAGGGAGAGCTAACTACTACAAAAATATCAAGGCAAATGTAGTCATCGGCCAGCCAGGAACATATCAACAAGAGTTGCTGGTCACATCATTAGTCACCAGCATAACTGACTGAGCTGGGTCCGCTTTATGAAGTTCGAGTTAAACGCTAGTCTTGGTGCCTATGGATTTTATCGCTTGTGATAGCCTTCACAGAGCATCTTAAAGATAGTGAGAAGAATTTTAGATAACAGGAGGTGGTGGTCTGACCACGTTTGAAAAGACAAAGAGCATCCCTATTTAAAGGAAGGTCGATCACAAAATTTTTGGGAAACACTCATTTTTTGTACCAGACCTCCGCAGCGACGAACAGGACGATCTCATGACCGAAGACACTTCGCGTCATTACCGACGCATTACAAAGACCTCGTCTTCATCACCTGTACAGCATAATGAAGTGACAATAGACGACGCTTTTGAAAGTAGTATTGATCAGTTCTTGGGCCTAGTGCCAGTAAAGCATTTAGTGGATTCAGTCCGTCAATCATGCCAACGGCATATAGATCAGCGCAAACGATCGCTTGCGCAAAAACGCAAACTTCCTACCAAATCCCTTGTCACCAAGCCAAACACTGTAGCCGATCTCCCCATCGTCTCTCTCCCATTCCGCTTCACTCCACCTACTAGCCTTTCACCCACTAGGCAGAAAGCATACCACAGCATTCTTAGCGATGATACACAGCAAATGACGAACCCACACCAATACCTATATTGGGCATCTTTATTTGACGTCCATCCTATGATGGCCAAAGCTCGTAGTTTGCTCGGAGACGTTACTCAGGATGCTTGGAGACGAAGTATGGTGAAAAGCGGCGTCGCTGGTGAAGAAGTGAAGCCGGCAAGAGAACTGGAAAACTATCTTGTTCTGCGACAACTGCAGAATGAAGCATATGCTAAATCAGCGTAAGTATGGTTTTAACTCAATTTGATGACTTCTCTGAAAAAGTAGACATGCTAACTTGAAAACATCTGATTTCCATCTATGGTTGTTTGTACTGGCGATCTTTTTCAGTGTGGCCGAAGGTGTCAAATTGTATAATGAAAACCAATTCAAGGACGCTCTTGATTACTACAAGCGAGCAGTCAACATGGATCCAAAGTGTGCGGAAGCGTGGTACCGAGCTAGTCAAGTGTAAGTCATTATCGCTACGCAAGAGTTTTCTAATGCTACCCCTTTCACCAAACCAATGTGCCACAACATTTGATGTGTGTTCTAATGTTTTTCCCGCTCTTTAGGTTTCTGCAAAGGAAAAATAATGAAGAGGCTATCAAGAATCTAGAACGAGCGATTCGGTTACAGCCGGAATATACCGAAGCCCAAACACTACTGCAAAGTATTCAAAACAGCAAGAAGGAACTGGATAACACGGATTTGATTATTGACACCGATGATGCCATAAAGGAATATGAGGAGCGACAAAAGGAACCAAAGGAGAAAGAAAAAGACCATAAGAAAAAGCGACGACGAGACGATGACCGATCAAAGCGATCTAGGCATCGTAGTCGTAGTAGGTCTCCACGTCGACGACGCAGTTCAAGCCGGGATAGACGACATCGAAGTCGTAGTCATCGCAAGCGCCGTGACAGCGATTCGGAAGATGACGATCGGGAGCGAAGGCATAGACGCCGTCACAGCCATACCAGTCGGAAGCGAAGTAGCAGTCGTTAATAGTCTATTCTAAATCAACGACCGAGCTGCAACATCTACGCTGTCATGATTGGTCCTTTGCCAGTCATGCAACCCGTCAGTAGGACGCATGTCAATTAATAGAAACTCATGTAAACATTATTAATGAATGCTGTGAAACAATTTTGGCTTTAGTTCTTGAGATTCATATTACGGTAATGGAGGGAGGATGATTTCGAGAAAAAATAATAGATAGTTCTGAAAATTGTTCATAGAGGAGTTGCCTGTTTTTCATATCATGTGTTGTGAATAGCAAAGGACAAAAAAGAAGCGTTATAGAGGTTTATCATGAAGGTGAACACACAAAGAAGAAATCGTGTTAAAGGGGAAAAAAAATGAGGTAGAAGAAAGTGGAAGGTGGGTTCCTTCAAGAGAGGTATCATTATGAGAACGGGAGTAGAGCTTGTGTGATATTACTTGGGTCGTTTGAGGGGGGGAGAGGAAAATTAATCACATAGTTTACAGGTGAAGAAAGCGAAAATAGTAGCCCAGAACCCACGATGGGCTCGGCCCTCATTCTCGTTATAGTGATTCGCAGCTGGTGCATTAACGTCCATGTATCGCTGAGGTTTTCCTGTAGCTTGATACGGATTACCTTGGTCGTTCATGTTAACACCTTCTCCAGTAAGCTGTTGTCGTTCACCCCTGTCTTTCTTTGGTGGCAAATTAGAACCTCGTTGTGGCGATGGTGAGGAGCCCTGCAAGATAGGAAGGGGGTTATTTACATGCAAAATAAATTACTACAATGAAGATCAAAAATTCCCCGTTTTTCTAACCTCAACAAACTGGCTATTCTTGAGCAACATCCAGTCATATATACCGTCATCTTCTTCATTCACTCGCTGCAAAGCTTTGTCGAACAATTCTCTACAGAAGTCATAGTCTGGAGTTTCCTCAAAAGACAACTTTCTAGCATATTGCAGGTATATTCCAAATTCCTCTGGATAGCCATCACACAAGTCCTTAATTGCTGAACTTTGTTTCTTATCACCAATCTTTTCATACTTTTGTTTGTTGGTAGCTGCCTTTAGGCCTTGCCATGGTAATGAGCCTCGTAAGAAATACATAAAGACATGACCCAAAGCTTCTAAATCATCTCTTCTGGATTGTTCTGAAAAAAATTGCATGGGGTTTTGGTTAATGGAAGATTTCATCATGGACTTCCATGATATTGGTTTACAAAGGGCCTTACCTCTTCCTAAATGGGTGTTGATGCTCATATATCTTGCTGTACCAGATAAGGATTTTCGTTCACGGTACGGAATATGTTGCTTTGTCTTTGGATCCCGGTATTGTTTAGCCATACCAAAGTCTATCATATATATAGTGTTCGCCGTCTTATGTCCGGGACGGCCAATGAGGAAATTATCGGGTTTGATATCGCGGTAGATCAAGTTTTTTTCATGTATAGTTTGTACGCGTGTTATCTAAAAGCACAGAGGAAAAATTAGACATTTTGGTGCAAGGGCATACCCGTTTTTTTTTAAAAAAAACAACAAATTTGGCCCTTACCATTTGTTTTGCCAACATAGCAGCGGTTTTGGTACTGAATTTCCGACCACACATATCAAACAAATCTTCCAGACTTGGGCCGAGCATGCTGATTACGAGTATATTATACAGTCCTTCCTGGCCGAAATAGTAAGCGGTAGGAAATCCGGCTAATTTGGCGTATCAAAAGGGTCAAAATGGCTGCGGAAAAGACATGGTTTGGCTGTCAAATAATTAAACTGTATGTACCTGATCCAGCCAATATTTTGTACGCACGATATTCATCTCTGAGTTGTGGAGCGTCGGATTTCCTAGGTTCGAATTTGATTGCGATTTGTTGGTTGTTTAAAAGGTTGGTTCCTACAGATGGGGCACAACAGATAAAGTTCCTTGGTTAGGTATAGTCTAGGGGAAGCATTCAAATTCAAGTCAAACTTGTTCACCTTCGTAAATTACACCAAAGGAGCCTTCACCAATCTTCTTGCCTACACGATAGTGGACTCCAACTACATTGGAAGAAGTCGAAGAATTGGCTTTTGACTTGGAACTATGTCTCTGGGCACCGTGATTATCGACCATCTCGCATACAACAACGGAGCACTTTTGGTAATAGAATGGAAGTCTTTGAAAGACGATGTAAAAATGGAGTTAGGGATGAATTGAATAGAAGATCAGGTTAATGTTGACCAAGCTGAATGCTCTTTTTTTTTCCAAAGGCATTTTTCCTCCGCGTCCCCCATTAAGGCAAAAACCCAGATGACGACAGCCAAGTGAGCTCTGCCAGCCCGGAGTTTAAAGCCTCACGTTAAACGTGGCTGAGGTTGAAAAGCAAAAAAGTGAGTCAATTTGGACAGAATGAAAAAAAAAAACTAAGGTACCTTCTTTAATTCTGACATGGACCCTCGATTCGCTCTAATTCCACTACGTCCCGAGCATAAAGCGCAAGTTGTTCAACTATTGATAGGTACGTAATGCTAGAGAATATGTTCTGTACTCTTCGCTTCGTTTACTCAAAGTTCTTCAACCTGTCAGACTACTCAGCTTCCCTTGGTATATCGCTGTTCTTTCAAAACTTTGACAAAGAAGTTGCTGATTTCCCAGGTGCTTACACCGAGGAAAATAGAGGATCCTTTTTTGTAGTCATCGACAATCATAGTGAGACGGAAAAGATTGTTGCATGTATAGGTTTGCGTCCCTTCAAAGGGTTTGCAGATACAGACATGCTGGATTATCCTCTTGGGTCGCCTGAGACGACCAAAGTATGCGAGATGAAGCGATTGTATGTCATTCCTGAATACAGGAGATATAAGATTGGAGCCGCTTTGGTGGAAAAAGTCATTGAGGACGGAAGAGCACGTGGGTACACCTCCATGGTACTGGATACCATTCCTACCCTTGTTGGCGCTACTCGTCTTTACCAGGGTAGAGGATTTAAAGAGATGTCAGGATGTATAGATAATGCGGATTTACAACGCTTGTACTTTGAACTGGAATTGTAAAGATAGAAATCGATGTTAGATATTGATGTTAGATAGAGTTGTTGAAAGAAGTTCATAAAATAGGCAAACTAAGAATCAAAAAGCTCAAGAAGCAATATTGCTTATGTTGCCGTTTGTGTGTTTTGTTGGTGGTTTCTGTAAACGAGTCCTTTACGCTGGTTTGTGAAAGAACGCGTGTCAATTAATGACCGTCACGGCGAAGTTGCTGAGAGAAAAAATCGGGTTTCTTGTATTAGAATTCTGTCATTCTACATTTACCTTTGCTTATGCTTCAAGCCTTTTGACTGACCTCTCTATAACAAAAGCTTTCCAACTTAGCTATTTACGGTCAGCCTAAATTCACCTTCTGTAACATACCCCCACTCAAGTTTAGTAGCCTATCAACCATAACAGGCGCAGGAATCTGCAATACAAATGTCCGATTATTCCAGCCATCGAAGTAGCAGTAGCAAGCGAGACAAGTATAGCTCCTATGACGACAGAAGGAGTAGAGAACGCAGAAGCAAAGAAGATCGAGATTCTGGTTATGATCGTGGACGACCAAGAAGCCGATCTCGAAGCAGACCCCGTCATAGTGGAAACGACGGCTCGTCCAGTACTTACAGGAGTTCTCACAGCAAACGAAAAAGGTCGTACGAACGAGATTACGATTCTTCAAGATATGGAGAACACTCACGCCACGATTATAACGACAAATATGATCGAGATAGCGACAGAGATAGACATAGAGACCGAGACAGACATCAGCGGGACCGAGGAAGAGATCGGGACAGGGATCACGACAGAGATCGAGGAAGGGACAGAGATAGGGACTCTGACAGACACTACTCTTCATCAAGGAGATCCAACTCTAAGTATGAAGGAGAGCAAGGTCCAGACGATACGGAAAAGGCACCTTCGTCATCGACAAGGAAGAGCTATAGATCGCATAGCAGGGAACATCGAGAGCGGAATTCTCGACAGGATAATGATAACAAATCGGTAGCTGCCGTCCCGGCACCTACATCGTTCGATACTGATTCTCTTCCCAAAGCTCCTGCTGCATACTTTCAGCAACAGCAGCCTCATCACCGCCCTCCAAGCTGGAATTATGATACAAATTCATATGCTCAGTCAAACGCTACAGCATGGGTCGGTGCCACTGATGTATACTCTGCATCAGCAGAAGCTTACAACCAGCAATATGCAGGCTATTATGGGAACCCAGGCGATTATTACCACGACAGCTATAACCAGCAAATATACCACTCAACCGATGGAGTACCACCGCCGCCTCCACCACCCTTCCCATCAGCTCAAACCGACAAAGATCCAATGTCTATACCACCTCCTCCTCCTCCACAGCCAATGCCAACGTGGCCACGGTATTCATATGATGGCTTGCCTACTGGGCCTGCGGCCGATCGAAACAACACGGTGGTAGCAGCCGACAGTCAAGCTAACGTCAGAGTACAATCGGACGCATGCCACACCTTGGGAGTGGACAATATATCGCCAAACATTAATTTGAATGTCCTGAAGAATATTGGGTACCCAGTCAAGGCATCGGATGAACCCACTGAGAAGTATGAAAAGATTGGTCAAGTAGGAGAAGGAACATATGGGTAAGATGCAGTGAATTTAAACAATGATGCTGATGGTTTACATGTTAATCGAAATGTTTCTTTTGGACAATAGCAAAGTCTACAAGGCGAGGAGCAAAGTGACAGGCGAGTTAGTGGCCCTCAAGCGGATACGGATGGAGTCAGAAAAAGAAGGTGTAAGTTACTGTAGCTGCATTTCATTTCATTGTCTTCATTCCAACAAATTCTTTTTTGGATTTCCCTAGTTTCCAATTACGGCCATGCGTGAAATCAAATTACTGCAGAAGCTTCGGCATAAGCGAATTGTACAGCTATCCGAGATCATGGTCTCCAAAGGTAAGAAAGCCCGACTTACACGATGAATTGTAAAGTAGCGAGATTGACTAACATATGAAATGGTAGGCTCCGTGTATATGGTTTTAGAGTATATGGACCATGATCTGACAGGGGTTTTAGGACACCCCGAGTTCAGATTTGAACCTGCTCAGGCAAAGTCTTTAATCAAGCAAATGTTGGAAGGCGTAGCGTTCCTGCATCATATGGGTGTCTTGCACCGTGATATCAAAGGTAAGACAAATGCGCTGTACAAGGAGCCTTCAACAAGCTTTTTGTTATCATCATGCTAAGATTCTCCTTGCGACATAGGATCAAATCTTTTGTTGAATAAGAAGGGCGAACTCAAGATTGCCGACTTTGGTCTAGCACGAATCTTTCAGAAGCGACGCACACACGACTATACCAATCGAGTCATTACACTATGGTACCGACCACCGGAACTACTCCTGGGAGCCACAGCTTACGGCCCAGCTGTCGATATGTGGAGTGTAGGGTAAGAATGGTGGTGATGACCGTGCTGGCCGGTAGGCAGAGATTAAATCATTGCGTTACAGATGTATCATGCTTGAATTTTTTACTGGCAAGCCAGTGTTTAACGGCAGTGATGAGATATCACAACTTGAAATCATCTACAAAATTATGGGCACACCCGATGAGACGATTTGGCCAACGGTTGTTGATCTACCGTGGTGGGAACTGATGCGTCCGAAGCAGCCTCTGCCAGCCAAGTTTCGTGAACTCTTTGCCAGGTATGTTGACTATGAAGTTTTGCAACAATGCTTGTGAATATAGTAATGATACGAAATCCTATTAGTCTCATGTCAGATGGAGCGCTTGAGCTTTTAGAAGCGCTGCTTGCTCTTGATCCATCGAAACGGCCATCCGCGTCTGATGCCCTGAAATTTCCATACTTCGTGGCTGAATCACTCGACACAGGTTCACCGGCAAAGTAAGCTACTTCTCAATTGTTATTTTTTTTCTCTCTTTTGTGGTGATATCACATCACATCCACTTCAGCGGGCGCTAACTCGTTACCAATAGCTTATTAGAAATTACTGGCGATTGGCATGAGTATGAATCGAAGCGAAAACGCAAGTCTGGCACTTCATCTGCTTTGAATGGAAACGGAGATGTAAAAAAAGCATCTGTGACCGATAAAAGATAATACAATGTTTGAACTTGTCATCTATTATCCTATCAGCCTCTTCCACTGTGTGCTTGTGTGTATATCGAGGTCAAGGGATACTATGCAGATACAGCATATAGGGACGTGTAGCAAAACCTCTGGTATGGCGACAAGCCGACAAAACTAGAATATTTTGATGGCCGTCCAAGACCCAGAAATGCAGACAATTGTTGCTGAATTGAAAATGTGTTTAGTGTTTGTTCGAGTCAAATATTCAAGATTAGCAGACAAAAGGTTTACATTCCTCGCTATCGCAGACGTTTTGACATCGTAAACACGACTGATCTCACAACGCAAAGAGCCAGAGAGAAGAAATATGAGCGATGATGGCGCACTTTGATGCCATACTACCACATCGTAGATGTGACTTACCTTTGACACGACCGGCCATGACAGCATGGGACCATTCTCTTTCTGTATGCATCCTTTCGTGCCTGGCTCGGCTTGCCTGTTTTTCGATAAATAAGGGGATCCCCTGGCTCCCGCCGTTGTTCACTTTCCTCTTTTTGTTACGGTTTAGCAATAATCCCTTTCTTTTGAGTTACCATATCCATTAGCCTTTGTCTTTCCCGTACTGTCGATCTTTATCAAAAACTACAGATCTTGATCCAACAAGTCTCGCAACAGCCCCACCACGTCTACAACAAAATCAAACCCATCTTGATACAATCTATCTACTTGTGTTATGTCCTATTACATTTTTCCTCCATCATCCCAAATATTCACAAATGGCGATATGTCATGGTTGAACGAGGTACCTATCTATGTTCAGTCTACATTTTTTTTTTCTTTCGCTGGTTGGCAATGAAATTTCTCAAGTTGAAATTGTCTATGGAATGCCTTACCCTTTGTTTCCTGGTCAACTATGCTAACATCAGCCTCAATTATTTTTACTCCATCCAGGATAAACTATCTACAAGCTCAGTGATGCTAGAGGGACAAAAGATGAGCATGGCCCCGCAAGTCAACTGGGTCAATATGCAGCAAAACCATCTGTTCTCGCAATCTCAGGTAAAAATTTCTTTCGAAATTGATAGCAGCATTCTTTGAGTTTCATAGCTTCAGCCTTTTTAACAAATGATACTATGAATACAGCTAGAAGCTTATGAAGGTGAATCGCAAGTCATGGCTGGTCTCGTGGCTTCGGTTACAAATGATCGCCATCAAAGGGGTGCAGGCTATCCTAACGATGAACGTTGCACGCAAACATATGAATGCGATCCCGTCTTCGACCATAAAACACAGGTAAAAAAAAATTAATAGACATGATTTTATGAAAAGACATGAAACTAACCCTGCAATCAGTCGATATATGCATGTCTTCCCCAGGAAGCTGAATTCTCTATGGACACTACGTCTGACTATTCTTCAACGCAATCTGTTCTTGACGACACTTGCAACTCCATTACAGGCGGATCGCCTATTGTGCCTCGCATTCCAAGCAAGCGATCGACATCATCACCCCCGTCCAAGCGAAACAAAAAATCCTCAACATACTCAAGATGGACCTCAGAAGAAGATAGTCATCTACGACAGGCCGTTATGCTATACGGCCCTCACAAATGGTCTCTAATTGCTTCGCACGTACCCAATCGAACTCCGATGCAATGTTCAACGCGCTGGCTCGGTGCATTGAAGTAAGTGTTTCTCTCTATTATAAGTGTTGGCCACACTATATATGAAACTCATCGTCTTCTAGCCCCAACATATACAAAGGAAGATGGACGCAGCATGAAGATGCGGTGCTTCGGTATGCAGTACAAGAATATAGCAACATCCCCGACGGAGAAGATGGCGCACAACCCATACCCTGGAACAAGATTGCGCAACGTATACCCAACAGAACCGGAATTCAATGCCAGGCGCGCTGGACGGAGGCATTGGACCCTACGGTGCGAAAGGGAAAATGGAGTGAACCAGAAGACGCTTTACTTCGAGCCGGCGTCCAGACGTATGGCAAATGTTGGATCCGAATAGCTGAATCGATTCCTGGCCGTACGCAGCGACAATGCAGAACGCGTTGGGTGCAGCTAAAGTATAAGGAGGAAAAGCAGAGTGCAAGAACAAACAGCAAAGCATCGGATAAATCTTCATCGGATGCTGCACGGCGAATTCACCACTCCCGTCAAAGATCCAGTGTTCATATCGAAGACGCCGTGGCATCCACATTACCCTTATCATCCTCTTCATCTACAGTGTCATGGGAAGGAGAAAGACGAACACCCTTCGATGATGGGTCATCTGATATGGTGCAAGTGGCGAGCAACAACTTCTTCTCAGCAACAGATTTGAAGCAATATCATCAAATGGTTCCACCCTTCTCTGACGTCAAATTCGAAGTATCTCGGATATACATACCAGGATTTGGATTAGCCACCACCGACGACTGGCCGCGATGATCTGTCTTTACCATCTACTGAACTTACTCGCCATACTCAATTCATGTACAATAGCTTTCTGATGTCTTCTTCTTAAGATTGATAGATTAAAAAAACAATAAATTTGAAGAAAAAAAACCCGGTATATGGTCTTTTGTACTGTGGCTGGATTATTGTTACATACTGTCGACGGCCATAATTTTATTTCAGACGAGACGAAAAAAAAAAGAAATGGATGTATTGGTTGTGTATAAACAACATGATATAATTTGCTAATGCCTCAGCTAGCAAACGACTTTGCCCTTCTCCAAAAACCCGTGTTCTCCGTCTCCACCAAAGAACGGTGGGCAAATGCAAAACTTGATTTTCCCTTCGGTTTTGCCTTTGACCTCTACCATGGTTTCATCGTCAAAGGATTGTTCACCTTCCTGGATAGGCAGGATGCTTATATCAACGTCTTGACCTCGGATAGCAATAGAGAGTTTCAAGCTCTTGTCTATGATTTCTCGAATTTTACTATAATAAGCTCCATTGCCATCTTGAGCAGCTTGATCTGTTTCGCGCATGACAGGATCATATATTTCAGCCAGATCATTATAGACGACTTCCAATATATGCGCCCGAGCAGACTGGGCTTCCATTTGGATATCGGTTTCTGGCTTGCTCTTGGCAATGATAGCCGTCAATTGCTGTCGCAGGCGGGTAGAGAATTCCGAGCCGTGGTCTTGCAACCAGCGACTCATTTCAGAGTACGCACCATTGATATGTAACCCAGGATACAACGGGCTTTTGAAAATCAGGTTGTTCAAATGCTGGTGGATTAATTTTTCTGTGAGCATGTTGATATGACCGTGTTCCAAAGGGGTTCCCAGCTCAAGCAAAGGTAAGTGCGGCCACAGGGCTTGGAATTTTTCAGTGGCTTTTTCACGATCTGCCTTCTTGTTGAGACTCATGACAAACCGGGTAATGCCGTACTTTAGAAGTTTGAAGGAATCACGAATGGTTGATAGATCATCATCGGTGGCTCGTATAATTTTAGTGTGTTCAAAGAAATTATGCTCAATGCGTGCATACTCTTGTTCTCGTCGATGCAGCTGCTTCCGAGTTTGCGCCAAGTCGCCGTTGAGTTCTTTGTTACGTATAGTCTCTTGCTCTAAATCTGCTTGTAGTCGGTTGAGCATCAAGTCGTAGTGCTCCAGTTGCTTTAAAAGTTCCTCTTTCGATTGTTCAGACAATGGGTGTTCTTCTACTTCTGTGGGTTGGCTCTGGTCGAGCGGATTGTCGGTAGAATTCTGTTCACTTTGATTGTCAGGATGCCTGTCTTCTTCACCAATGGGCTCGTCCGCAGGGGTATATGATGAAGCTGGATCGCTCGACGATATAGCTTCTTTGGCCGCCATGAGTGACGACGTACGCTCTAGTCGACCTTCTATGGTTGGAGTCATGTTAGGATGTGGAACCAAATGAAAAAACAAGAGTCCCTGATATTTTTAGGTTAAAGTATGGAAGTCAGCTTACGGAGGTTCACTTCGTTTCTGGACTGTGGAACGGAATACCGGTTGTTTTCGTTGCCAGCTAGATAACTATACTCGGCTCCGTCACGATAATTCTCCATGACCGAATCTCTGGATGGGGCTTCGAATGAAAAGCTAGTCGTCTGCGATCGCTTGTCGAGTAAGGGGCGGTTAAATTGTGGCGCAGGGTTAAACCCAGACGTCTCACGAAAGGTGTTATTATTCCGTTGAATCACAACGTCAGAAGAAACCGAGCGATTGAATCGAGGTGGACCATTGGAGTAGAATGTCGGACTGGAAGGACTTGAGCGATCATTAGACCAGGAATTGAACATGGTAAGTGAGAGTGGAACAAGCCTTGGCCATCCCCTTTGCTTACTAGCCGCTAAGCATTTATCGGTCACTCAGCTGAGCGTATTAACAACGTAAAATCGACGTAGCGTACTATTTCCGTAATTCGTCCTATCCATTTTGGTTTTTTTTTTTCTATGAAAATTGGCAAGGCAAGTCCACGATAGAACGTAATCGCATGCAGACCACGCATGGTCCACAAGACTGTACATTAGTTCGCGGTCTGGCATCGGCTCTAAAATCATAGGAGTTGCATCCTCCACTTTGACCTAAAGCCAATTTTCTCAGCGGGAAGAGGGGGTTTTTTTATATGAACGCAACATCTGAAATTAAAGAAAAGAATGCATTGACATAAATACAGCAGTAGCTCCCCCGTTAGAGCCGCACTATCATAATTATTGAGCTACAACTACTCAGAGGCATTAAGAAGTGCAGTGCGTTCAGATGGTTCATCTTCTTGACTGCTATGGATTTCATCAATGCCAAGTCGCTTGCTACGGTAATGCCATACTATGCACATGACAAGCAGGGTGCCTTGTAGTATGCCAGTCACCATGTAGGTGATCCATGCCGTCCAGTTGGTACCAGGTCGTGTAGCAATGGAATATACAAAAAGTGCAGATCCTGTAGTATGGTTAATGAATGGTGTCGTATGCACGTTACCAGTTCTGCTTTCTCTTACCTGGTGTCTGGAGTAGCATCATAGGAATGCTCAGAGCTCCCACAGTCTACAAGTAATGATAGCGGTAAATCAAAAGATTCTCAAGCCCGCCGTACAGCCATTTTGCTCCAGATTTCTTTTCTCTTTACCTTTCTGCGCCAAGTTTTCCAAATTTGCGGTAAGTACTGGAAAGCGGCCAATATCATGCTCAGAATGCCAAGTATGGATGCCCAAAGATTGGTGGCATAATGTTCTGGGCCACCAACTACTTTCAGGAGAACAGCTGTAACGATCACCGACGCAACCAAGTGAACGACACAGGTGACAGCTATGCCCAGAGATATCTTCCATTCAGCACTGCGTTCAACGCCCCTTGGTAAATCCAAATGCAAAGAACTGGGTTTATGTGGAGCATGCTTGAGTTCTTCAGGGAAGTAGAGTAAGAATAGGATGAAACTGGTGAAGATATATGAGATTATGCAGTTCACGATAATGGTTCGGCGGACTACTTACATGATGCAAAACATACACCACTGCAATCCAATCTGGAATACTCCCATCAGACTTTCTAAGCACGATCCTGTAGACTGCAATGCACTCATTTACAATCGCTTTCTATAAATTGAAGAAAACCATGTATGTAGACTTACCAGCATGCTGCAGCAAGTGATGGCATCCCACTGTAGTAATATGATATTAAGAAAACTTGACGTGGCCGAAACAACTCCAAGCAACAAAAACCATGCGCTGAAACCTTCGCTGGTTTTGTTGGATATAATTCTATAGTGCTGTAGGGACAGAGAGTTGAGTCACTGTGCATTGTGCTATTCATGTTGTAATTCTCCTTACTTGCGGAAGGTAAGACACCACCAGTCCTACGCACAGGAATAAACTGATATACAAGGCATAGACATCGTGGTGCGGCTCACATATTTTGTCGTGTACAGAAAACGTCGTCAAAACTTCAGCATTCCAACCAGTTGATTTCGTTAGCTCTTCCATGGGAACAGATTAGGTCGACTGAAGTGGAGTGAAGGGGATTTGGGGGCCAGGACTTGGTTGCAGGTGACTCGTGACTGGCTTCATCTCGAAGTGTCAGCAGGAGACACCTATTGGAATTATTACCCAAGGCTGTTCCGTACTTGCACCTGTTTACCATTGGGATATTGGATTCAACGGACTATACGATGATTGCCTGCCGATTGCATATTGAGTATGGACTTTAATTTTAAGCTCGCTTAGGTCAATTATGGATGTATAGATCAGATTTGTTCATTTTTATCATTGATTGTTACTCGTTTGATGAGAATACTAGTCATTCAATACGCTTTATTCTTCAGCTGGTGTAGGCTTACGCTACCTGTCTGTTGCTTACAAGGTAGTTGCAGTTTTTGGCCAAGTGGATAACATATCACGTGCGCAGTTTCAATTATTGCTAATGGGAGGGCGATCAGACCGTGGTCACTGTCCCGTACCTCTCTCGTGCTAATGGCCCTGGAAGCACTGACTGCACGACCGAATCTGGAAGACAATGAAGAGTTGTTTTCCAGGCTGGCCTTACAGCTTACTGGCAATCAGAAACAGCTGATAGAAACGTCACAATGGGCACGAGATTATGTCGCCACGCTTACATCCATGTCCCTGGAAGACCTGCATGCACAACCACATAAGCTCACACAGGAAGATTCAGCCGTCGAGAGAGAAATCATGACACTGGCATTTAAAGAATACCCCACATTTATTCGAGCCGAGAAATGTCGAAGCGACATTGGTGACAGTTTCGTCAAGATGGAAGATCAATTGAACAACCTGTCACAGTCACTGCCTGATTTCGAACAGCTATGCAAGGAATTCGCTACAGATGCAAAAGCCTTGACGGAAGAGAGACAGAAAACCGAAAAAGTCCTAGAAGACTTGGATGTCCTTGTCGACATTTTTGAAATCCCTCAGCTCATGGATACCTGTGTTCGAAATGGCTATTACTCTGAGGCGATGGATCTAACAGCACACGTATCACTTTTATTAATGCGCTACAACAACATTCCCATCATACAAAATATTCACGAAAAAGTCCAACGGTCGTCGGACATGATGTTAATACAGCTCATCTCTCTCTTGAGGGGCCCGATCAAGCTACCAGCCGCCATGAATGTCATTGGCTATTTGCGACAGATGAGTTCCTTCGAAACAGAAAATGAATTACGAATATTGTTCTTGCGATGTCGCGGTGACTACTTGAACCAACGCATAGAACATGTCAAGAAAGTCAGTACGGTTGAATTGGATGGCAAGACCGATTGGCAGCGGTTAGGAAGAGATTCCTTTGAGTACATCAAGCAATACATCGATGTCATCCGAGAACAAGTATTTGAAATCATCACGCAATATAGCTCAATGTTCTCCGACAAGCTATACGGATCAACAGACGATCAAGCGCAGTCTGGTACCACAGAGCTGCTCACGGCAGGTGCAACACTATCTGACTATGTCACGTATATATTGGAGGAAATGCGGCGGACGATTGAGGAACATCTAGTCAACATCAAGGATATCTCACAATTGTCGTCTTTATTGACTCAACTCATGTACTGTGGAATGTCCTTAGGCAGAGTCGGGCTGGATTTCCGATCACTATTTGCCATGCGATTTCAAGACGCCATGTTGAAACTCACGCAAAGCTTGATTGATGATGCAAAGAAAGGGTTTCTGGATGCCATTATCAAAGCTAAAACTGAAAATATACCACCCTCGCAATGGATGGCAACCAAATCCAGTAGCAAGCAGCAAACGGAGGAAACACCAGAGGGACAAAGCAGACAGCAGATAGTGTCTCAATTAATAGAATATCCCGTCATTGCTGTTTTTACCAACGCTATATTAAGCTTGTTCAATGAACTTCGCTTATTGGCTCCCATCGCCCTTGTCCAGCCTATCAACAACTACCTCGAGGCAACTCATTTGGAAATTGCTCAACAAATCCAAATTTATGCTGCGCCTTATCTTCTCACTGATAGCTCGACAAAGCAGAACATCAAGACCGAGCAAAGCGTCATACGATCGTTTGCTTCTGGTTACATTCGATGTTGTGTACCGTATTTGCGACAGTGCCTACTGGATGGCATCTATGCTGACGTGTACCTTGAAGAAGTCAGTAGTAATGGATTAGAAAGCGAGATGAAGGATATTCTTCCCGTGCTGAGTGAGCTTGTGAATGTAGAAGACGCCGCCTTAGAAAATCAGGCTCGAGATGAGCAGAGCGAAGTGGTTTAAATTGCCGCTTTGTGGTAAAAAATAAAAAAAAATCCCACCCAGAACATCTGCTGACCTTTCAAGTTCATTCTCTGTCACACCTATAGCCTATTTTAACAAGCAAGACGGACCATGTTGAATCCTGCTATATGGCTACTGTTGCTATCGATATCCATGCTGATCGGCTCATTCCTAGCCGGTAGCGTACCTCTGGCATTCAAGCTCTCTGAAGCGCGATTACGATACTTGTCGGCTTTGAGCGTCGGTCTTCTGATGGGCACCGCGCTGCTGATCATTATACCAGAAGGTGTAGAAACGTTGTACTCGGCACAAGAGCTTGGTTCAACTTCTTCAGCTTTGCCTCCCTCTTCCATTCAAGGGAGGCACATTCCTGCTGCTTGGCAGGATGTCCACATGGCTCCAGCCAATTGGGACCATGTCACGTTGGACCGCCGAGTACCGCCAAGCGACGACACCATCAAACAATATGGCTCCAAGGTTGACATCAATGATGATATGGATGATGTCAAGCCGAAAGGGGCTATTGACCATGCTCAAGCGTCCGACGTACCCATCAACCATGAAACTTCAGCACATCAATACATTGGTCTGGCACTAGTGTTAGGGTTTGCTATCATGTTTCTTATTGATCAAATCAGCTCCCTTCATGTTCATGGCAGCAGTTCCAACGGCCATCCCACACCCATTGAATTTACGGAATTGAACCTCATGCTTGAAGCGGTGGAGGAGGAGGATGAAGAGGATTTAGAGGAAGAGCAGCAACGGGATGATGAGAATGAAACGACGCCGGCCAACAAGCAAACCCTTCCTCGTCGCGACCTATCTCCAACTTCAAGGTTCCGCCACGCTGCTCCGAAAGGGCCTTCCCAAATGACTCCGACCGTCGGCTTGGTAGTGCATGCTGCTGCTGATGGTATTGCCTTGGGAGCGTCAGCAAGGCATCCACATTTGTCGTTTGTGATTTTTTTCGCCATCATGATCCACAAGGCTCCTTCGGCTTTTGCCTTAACCACTGTCCTCATGAACGAGGGGTTCATGCGAGCAAGAATCCGTCGTCATTTGTTTGTGTTTTCCATGGCGGCTCCGGTTGGGGCCATTCTAACCTATGCGGCTCTCTTGTTCTCGGGCAGTCCCGATGACCAAAACATGGCGTGGTGGACTGGAATGTTATTGATCTTTTCTGGAGGCACGTTCTTGTATGTTGCCATGCATGTCATGGAAGAAGTCAAGAACCATGCTGCTAAAAAGAATACCAACTTCCGTGTCAACGGCGGCCATAGTGACAAGATGACGCGTTCAGAAGTTGCTTGTGTTTTGATTGGTATGTTTATACCTGCTATACTAAATATTGAGCATGGCCATTGAAACAATATCCGATGTGATAGATTTCTTGTACATTTAATTTCCCCCATTTTCTGTTGGGCCTTTTTTTTTTTTATTTTCTTTTTGTTTGGCATGTTTCTGTTTAATATAAACGAGCAATTTTTGGTCTATTCCTGAAAGTGATCCATTCTATCCAGGATTAATTTCTCAATGGCATCGACTTGTTGTTGGATGGTAAGGTAGCTTGTATCGAGTTCGACGGCGTCGCTTGCCTGTTTCAATGGACTGACTTCTCGAGTGCGATCTTCGTGATCTCGTTGCTCTAATTCGGCCTTGATCTTCTCCACCGTCTCGCCTGACTCCAGTTTATTTCTCTTGACCATTTCATCGTACCGACGTTGCGCTCGTATTTGACTGTCGGCGATGAGGAAGACTTTGAGCTCGGCATCGGGTAGGATGACGGTACCGATATCACGTCCATCCATGACCATTCCCATGATGGATTTACCATGGTGCGTGACGCCTTTTCTACCTTCAAAGGTTTCTGGGTAATCGCCACGAGCCAATCCTCGTTGCATTTCAGCAAGTGCCTCTCGCACCTTCTTGTTAGCGGCAACGCCACCTATGTTGGATGTAATGGTGGAGGACCGAATTTCTGAAGAGATATCTTCTTTCTTATCGAGAATGACAGATGTCATGTTGGGGAATGTGATAGTGGTTGCTGCAGCAAGCTTGCCGATTTCCGTAGCGTTCTTAGGATCGGCTGGAGATATACCCATGCGCAAACATTTGAACGTTATCTATGGACGTTTTTGTGGGGTATGGGTGAGCAGTTGAACGAGGTGTAAACCTAAAAATTGAGTTGTCCTGGTGCTTACCGCTCTGTACATGGCTCCGGAATCAATGTACCCGAATCCTAGCTTCTCTGCTAACAATTTAGCAGTAGTGCCTGTGGGGTCATGGTAAGGCAAATCAGCCGTCAACGAAGGTTTCAGTGGTTTCTTTTATGAATTATACTTTTTCCCGAGGCAGCTGGTCCGTCGATAGCCACTCTGAATATCCTTGTGTGCGACATGGTATGGGGAATGAAAAGGAATGCTTCAATGACGGTATTATAGGGTTGCTGGCGTCTTTTCTTTTTTTTTTTTTGGCGCGCGCGGCGGCTTGACATCACGTACCGCCGCCGTCACTTCAGTAGAAAAATATCCGTTTCTCTAAGCTAGACAGCGCACCATGCATTTTTAAACCGTTTCTGAATATGGTGGTTCAGTGTACAGACTATCGATTTTATTGCTCTACGAGGCTATAGCAGGCTTCCATATCGCTTTTGCGTAAAATGTCCGCGTTCAGCTTATGCCAAACTGTTGATGGAAGCAGCAATACACATAACGGTTGCTATCAAGTAGCCCAACGTATAGCTCTTATTCTACCCTTTATGACCACGGCGTTCTTCAAGCTTTTGAGCAAAGAAGCCCTCAATGTCCTGTTTGGTAACCGTCTTGTTGGTGTCCTTGAAATTGGTCAAAAACTCTTTGATTTGCGATGCCATGGTGTTGTAAGCAATGGTACTCTCTATAGCCTTGACTCGATCCATCCGCATTAATTGCTTCATGCCTTCTTCGAAAATTGAATTCCCTGCATCCTCATCTTCTTCTGGTTCGTACGTGTTTTCTGCTGTCAGAAGATACGAGATATGGTTATCGAGATATGAGTGCCTGCACTGTTGGAAGGAATTGTTTTAGACATTGATATCAAGTGTGTGAGGGCATTCGTTGTAAGGCGGACTATATTACCTTGTCACATCTACATAAGCCATCACGCCAAGTTTCTCGTAAAAATACGTCTGTTTTGTATTTCAGCTTATCCGCTAATCCCGATGAACCCAGTTAGTTGGAGTATCGCCACCGAAACCCATTATCATGAATAAATTCATACCATGAAATGCTTTTGGATCATGTGCCTGGCTTTCCACATCCGTTGTTGTTGGAAGTTCAGCATCTAATTTTGTTTTCTTGGATATGCTTGCTTCGAGTACATCGCCTTCGTCAAGGCTACGCTTCAATGGGTTTCCATGGCTAGATGCCACTCTAGTGACTATATCGTCAAGTACATGTGTACCCTTTTTATGGTCGATGAGCCGAGTTACTTTGTCGCCATTTTCTATGATACCCAAAATAAATCGTTTGTCTACGGTGTTCACTACGAATGGATACTTTGCAGTGCAATCCCGACAGATATAATCGTCCCAATCATCTGTAGGTGGCACCTGTTATGATGGCACTTATTAGTCAATGTTGTATATACTTCATCTATGATGTCGGATGGTGCTCACCTTGCCTATGCACGCTTCATGAAACCAATCTTCGCATGTCACGCACTATGAGAACGAAAGGAGTTAATATCCATCCTACCACTACGATACGGAAGCGCGAGTGGGTAACATCATGCTCCACTTTTATGCGACTCAATGTCAGTTCACATTTGCAGTCATCTTTACCTGATACATGGTTCCCTCTTCCTTTTCTGGATCATACTGCACTTCGCACCTATGCAACGTAGCGAAGCGGGGTCAGTTTTTCGGTCAAAAATTTCAAGCCTCGTAGAGATGGTACCTACCGACAATACTGTCCGATGAAATTATGATTGTAAGTGTTATCATCGTTCCGAGAACCGGCTTTGGATTCCATATCCAGTTCACAGGCTGCTCCGCCAAACTTGCTCTTCAGGCCACAATCGCAGCGGAAATTGCGCTTGGGAAACAATTCCAGTACTTCGTGATCAGCATGGCATGCAATGGAGCATCCATAGCACATTCCAGCAGGGTGGTGTGGGTCCAGGTTGGTGCAGGTCTTGCAAGCATAGACAGCTTGGCGTATGTGGCCTAATTTGAAAGTGCAATTCTCAAACTTCCCGGGAAGAATATCAGCAGCCTCCTTTTCGAGCGCCAGCTGGTTTTCGAGGTACTCGACTGCAGTTACTGTTTTCTCTCCTGAAGAGTCTGTCATATTCGAGGTCTGAAAAAAACGCAAGGACGTGTGGCCGTTACGATTTCCAGCGCGAGGCGTTGTTCCAATTCGCGTCGGTCGGCTTTATGTGAAAAAATTAAATTATCGAGTGACAGCGCAACGTCACCCGGCCGCGCGTTAAGCTGGTGAAGGACATCATCGCGGTGAAAACGCAAAGCTACCCTTCTTATTTTTCTACACCCTATATCAACCCATAATGGAGTGCTTGTTCGGCATTACTGGAAAGGATTTTGCCTTGATGGCAGGAGATACGGTTGCAGCACGTAGTATCGTTGTTATGAAGGCGACCGAGGACAAATCGCGTGCCCTTACTCCACATACCGTCTTGTTCTATACTGGTGAACCGGGCGATACCGTCAACTTTGCTGAATTCATTCAACGCAACATTCGGCTTTACGGAATTCGAAACGGTATAGAATTGCGTCCCAAAGCTGCTGCAAATTATACCAGACGAGAGCTCGCTGATTCTTTACGAAGCAAGGTACAGTACAGGGGCTGATCATGAGGTGGCCGATGCGAAGGCGAGGCAAGCACAAGCATGAACCCCCCAATGTTCTTTCTATGAAACATCCTCTGCAGCCAAACTAACTGAAATTTCCCCCCTTTACCATTTCACTTCACAGCGGCCGTATTCAGTCAATATGCTGATTGGAGGATTCGACACAAAGACTGGTAAGCCAGAATTGTTCTGGCTCGACTACCTTGGTGCTATGACCTCGTTATCATATGGTGCTCAAGGATACGGAGCTTATTTCTGCACATCGCTGATGGATAGATACCATTATCCCGACATGGACGTTGAGGAAGCAAAGGAGTTGCTCCGCAAGTGTCTGGAAGAACTCAGAACTCGATTTATCGTCAATCTGCCCAAATTCACTGTTAAGCTTGTCAACAAGGATGGCATTACGGATATTGAATTGTAAATCAGAAAGAAGGAATTCCAACTTGCAACGTGTGTGTGATTTTTTTTTTTTTTACAAATAAACCCTGTACTCTTTTTGAAGGTATGAGATTAGGACGGACGGGAATGGAGAAGATGTGAGGCAGAGAGTGTATCACGCATGCCAAGTAACAACAAGGTATCTTTGTGTTATATAAAATAGTGTCTACGTAAGCTGCGGTGCATTCTATGTAGTACGTCAGGACGGTTTACGAATGGAGAGGCAAGGCATCGAAAATAGAAGTGATGATACTCATCAACCAACCGAAGCATGTATCGGTTTGCGCAACGGTGCCTTCGTCACGATGTTGGTCTCCGAGGCCAAACTCATCCACGGCTGCTGACTCCAGATGCGATGGCTTCAAAGCCCAAGCAAGTCGACGAAGCTCTCTATCGGTAATAGAGGGGTTCATCTGGAATTGAATTGTTTTCTCGGGCTCGTCGATCACCACCGTTGTTCGTTGCGGCTCAGTTGACTGGGCGACAACGTGGAAGCCTAGTATCTCAAGGAGGAGCTGGGGTTGTTCTATGGTGACCAATCGCACTCGCGGCATGTCCCAAATAGCAAGGCGTGAGTGTTTTCGTTGATAATGAAGGAAAGCAGCCAGTCCGCGAATGAATCCTTGTAGAGTGTCACCGTGCTTTTTGGCGAAAAGCCCCACCATCTTCCGTCGGTCTTGGTCGCTGAGTGCTAATGGCTTGGACTGCTCAACCACCTGGTCAATGTCACTGTCCAGTACCTGCTGCTGCCGTTGATGCCACGATTGACGTTCCTCTCGCTTGACTTGCACATATTCTTTCTGCTGTGCGCTTGGTAGGGTATAGGTATGGTCCTGTGAGACTGTGAATCCGAGCTGTGCAAGGCTGGCCGCTATGGCTGGATCCTGAGCGATGATCTCGACATGGTCACCTTTGTGCATGCATCCTGTTTCTACTAGAGCCACCAGCGCACTGGCATGTTGATCGCCATCAAAAGCGTTTTGACAATGAAGGCGCCATGTGTCCATTGGTAGAAATAAAGTCAACGTCGGCTGGCCAACCTTCTAGAAATTTGTATCCCCTCCGCTCCGTTTGGTCTGGCTAGATTTTTTCATCGGCATGCTGTTCAGATATACCCTAGAATCTACTGCTTTCAATGCTGCTGCTACATCGCGAGCTTTTTCCTTTTTTTTTTTTTTTTTAATCTGTTATATTATTACACTCTATTTCGAATCTTTAGCTTGATTTTGCTAAGTTGAGAATCAATAGAGTCTAATTGCTCCTCCAAATCCTCTTTACGCTTTCGAGACTGTGGGCCGCCTCCTATGATGGGTATTTTGCTGTAATCGGATTGAAGCTATGGGAACCCATTAGTCTATGATTACTGCACTACAAACACAGCAGTTCAACTTACTCGCTCTTTCTGCTTGACCAACATACGCATTTGATCGTCAAGGTCGTCGCCGTCGTCGCCGTATGTATAGATGCTATCTCGTTTGGACGCCATAGAGGTTCGCTTGTTAGGTGATGAGACAGTTTGATATTGCTCGTCGTGGTTTTCAAATGTGGTGGTGAAACGAGGAGACGAGTACCGGTCTTCGCTTTCTATAGAATTGATCGAGTGCCTTTGCGACAAGTTTGGCAAGGTGGAAATTTTCATGGATTGAATCTCAGGGCTAACAGGCAGATGTGTGAGTGAGCTGCTGGTGATGCATGCGTAGGATGGAGGTGCCCCAGTGTTGAACCTTACCTTGTCGCGGGAGTTATCCGTTCGGGGGTAGTAACAACGGGTTCTGGTCGCTCTTCTATTTTATTTACAACGTTCACTCGAAGTAGCTGTTCCAAGGTTGACTTTAGAACTTTTATCTGCTCTTTGCTTTGATCAAGCTGTCCCTGCAACGTGGAGTGTCAGTGTAATGCATGGAAGCCCGTCTTTATCAAGAGCGCTAACTCACCGTCAGTCGATTGATCTCTCTATCTTTCTTGCCTATTTGATCTTCATACTGTAAATGCTTTGATTCTATGTCCAGATTTTGTACCTGTGAAAAAAGACAGAGTTTAGACGTTATGCGCACAGACACGTTTTTCGCCATCAGTGGAAAAAGATATTCACCTCCAACTCTCTCCTCATTGTTTCCTTCTCACGTTCAGCATCCCTGTAGTGCAAATTGGTCGTTTAACAATTATGTTGGCGTGAAGAAACGGCACATGAATACACGAGTGAACTATTTTATTCTTAGATAAACCCCCCCCCCTGGCCATTTGACGACTGCTTACCTTGCGCTGGCATTGGCTGATTTGACCTTCTCAAGCAACATGTCCATATCCTGCATACTGTGGTCGTTTTGTTCCTATCAAGGGGGGTTCAGTATGGTGTATTGCACAATGGACGGGCATGAACGCGGTACAACGTACCTTTTGTGATTCTAAATGTGCATTCAGCCTCTCGTTTTCGTCGGTAAGGTCATCTACCATCTGACTTAAATAGTCCAAATCCTTTCCAATGGCTAGTTTCTGGCCCTGCAGCACTTTTATGACCGCTCTTTCGCGCTCAAGTTCTGATATTAATTCTTGTTCTCGGTTGCTGCTTACAGCAGGTTGAATGTCATCAAGAGAGTAATAAATTTCCTGGGTAGTCGGCATGTCTGCTGGCTTGGAGGGTTGTTCTAGCTCATTAAGGTTGGATGTGGCGGGCATGACAGCAATAGTCAGCGAATCCGCCTTTGCTATGCGCGGAGGCGACTCTTTTAGGGTATCATGGGAGCTAACGGATCGGACGGAAACGCTAGGCTGACGCAGACGGCTGGCTTGCTGTCGCAAAGACGAGCCACTGGATGTTCGGGGGATGGATGATGAGGAAGTTCTTAAGGAATTCAGTTTGGGCAGATTGGAGCGGGACGATGTGGCAGGTACAGTGTCTGCTGTGGAGGGTGGGACGATAGTATGAACATCGCCTGAATCAGGAATCAACCGGTTATCGACTGCATCGGTCGATTGTGAAAGGGTGATCTTGTTTTCGGAGGTAGTTACGCTGCTATTGGATGTATTCAACACCTTGGGGCTAGACAACGAATTGATCTGTGCAGTCTGGTTATTTTGTGTCATGGCACTCTCCATAGGGGTGACATTGGAAATGGTATGTACAGATTCTGGCTCAGCGGATGTCGCTTGCACAGGCGTATCCGTGACGCTCAAAGTCCGAGACGGTGGTGACCCAGTGACCTCAGGTACGGAAATGTTCATAGTACTATGTGACCTTGTGATGTTTCCAGTAGTCTCTGAAATGGTTCTTCGATGATTATAACTTGACATAAGGCTATAGTCGAAAGCACAAACAAACAAAAAAGGAACGTGGGTTTTTAAATAAGGTGTGAATATTCGGTGTGTGTGATCCATTGAAAATCCATCGGTACCTGAGACGTTTGTTTCTCCTGGTACTTTCAGAAGGCTCTATGCGTAAGCTGCTGGCGACTTCCGCCAGTTTGTCCGTGGATGATGCCCGGGACAAGATCGAAGCTGGCCATGGCCAAATGGATTATTGTTTGTTTTTATTGGCATTCAGAAAGTCGTAGAGGAATAGAGCTTACCAGGTCGGGAAGGAGTACTGTCACCGGAAGACTTTTGCTTTCCTAGCCCCAGCTTCTTCCAAAATTTTCCAGACTTGTCTTTCGGTGCTGTGGTTGACATGGTGGGGGGGCGATCAATGGCAGTGACAGCGAAGAAAAGCTGGACAGGATGGAAATTTTGGGCTAGTGGACAGTGGCTTTCAATAGGACTAATGTTGATTAATTTTATTTTTTGGCTTGAAATGCATTTTTAGAAGTACAAGATGAAAGGAAATGCAAACAAAGAGGTGTTGCTGAATCTTTGGGGCCATGGTACGGGGTCCTTGGCCATTTTATTGAGTTTTTTGATTGATGTGTCCTTGGGTAAAAAACTGAGCAGCTTGGTCGGTCTGTGGTTCTTTTTTTCTCTCTTTTTTTTGGGCACCAAACTAGCATTCGCCTTTGAACACTAATTGTGCTGTGGTGGGCTCTCATAATAGAGCATCTAATTAAGGTGTTGTATCTAAAACAAGTGCTTTTTTGGTTGGTTTGCGAGGGTTGCGCAATGTGATGAAAAAGTCTTTCCCAATGTAAAGACTGGCTTTCAAATAGGTTGTAATTGGTATACCGGGGGCTGTAAGATGTTGAGGTATAGATGGGCGATGCTGTCAACGCTGTCATTGAAGAACTGATTTATTCATCGTCATCTTCTTCGGCAGGCTCGCCTTTTTTTCCCTTTGCCGCGTCTTTCCGAATTGGAATCTTAACGCCCTGACGTGCGAATGCCCTAGACAGTGGAGTTGATTCTAAGGGTAACAAAGCATTAGATTCACATGACAGCAAGGGATGCTGGAATATCATTTTTTTTTTTTTTTTGACAGCTGTGTTCCTACCTATCATGCCTGGGAACTTTTTGGCGGAGAACACTGTGAAGGGATCGCTAAATGTCTGGGCAAGGACCCTGGATGGCGATTCATTAATTCCTTGCAAGTATGGCCTGTGCATTGAGATTGGGTTAGTGATCTATTGAGAAACTGGGCGTGCGGTCATTGTATTTTCCCGATACGTTACGATCCAACGTCCACTAGGGAAAATCCTAATCTAAACGTGCCTTCCGTGCGGATACTCAAGTCCTGAAACACAAAATAGATACCCAATTGATCTTCGGTGTCATATAGCTTGGCAGCGGATGAAACCAATGAGCCGATCAGGTTTCTGGTAGCAGCCGGTGATGGGGTGTCAATGTTGGTTCCAGAAGGGTTAGAGTCGGGATTTAGCTTGGTTCCAGCCACGGCTATCGTTGGTGGCGAGTGAGACGAAGAAGCTGCAGCTGCTGATGACATGGCTGCTGCGGCTGCACTGCTGTTACCAGGCGTGAGCATGGGTGCCTCGGATGGATGAATCACCAGGTTCACCTTGGACGAAGCATCGGCTGTCCATACATCACATAGCACTACATAGAATGAGACGTCCAGGTCGCTATAAAGTGCATTTAGTCTTTGTCATGTCCGATGAAGGCCGACGGACGCCGGTTCTCCGAAAAAAAAAAAAAAAAAGAAGAGAAAGAAAGATTTACCTGACTTGTATAGGATACCCTTCATTGGTAGTCACGGTCAACTTGATTATGGGAGGAGGAGTAATTGGACGTCTGTCTTTATCCCCAAAGCCGCACATGCGAGCTCTTTGTGGTTGTTGCACCACTTCCATTAGATATATGCTGCAAAGAAGAACGAGACCATTAGCCTAAATTGTTTGTTCCTAGTGTTTCAGTAGTCTGTGGGTGTCATAATAGCGAATTTTCCAGGGCGGTGTCAAGTAAGGGGGCAGAGGAGGTCGCCATAATGGCTAAATGTAGCCATCTTTCCATTTCTACTTACTTTCCGTACTCAGCCGTTGGTGGTCTATCATAGGGTGGCACCACCCAAGGGTACCGTAATGGATCACCTCCATCACGAGGCTGATGATGAGGATCCAAATAAGCCAACGACATTAATTCACCAAAGACATCCTCCTGAGACCGCGTCGCCTGCGACGATGGCACTGGGCCAGGTCGAATAGTGGATGTTTGAGTGTGTGTAGGTTGTGTAAAATAAGTCATAGCATCGGGGTGATCGAAAAATCCATGATGGTTCGTAGTATCATAGTGAGACCCTACTAAGCCTGGACCATCGTCGTCGTCTTGGCCCTCTGGTTTGGGTGCAATGCCCGGAATGCGATCTTCACATTGGTCATGAGGTAGCATGTTGAACCGCTCCGCGAGCGAGAGACCGGGCAGTTGAAAGTTGTAATAGCACAAGATAAAAAAGAAATCAAAAAAAAGAACTGGCTTGTTTCCAAATGGAACAGGTAGCTAAAGCGAAGAGATGGGAATGATCGTTCGCTACTAAGGGGGCTTAATGGTGAGGAAAGTAAGCCATAAAGAAGACTCGAAAAAATCAATGTAGAGGGAGAGGAGAGGAGAAGAGAAAAGAGAGAGGAGAGAAGAGAGAGACAGAAACTTGGAGTATTCTAGATTAATTGATTTGACCCAGGCGAATGGTATTCTCTCATTTTTTTTATTATTTAGGTCGGGAGGTATCTAGAGAAGAGAGGGTTGGTTATGTACAGCTGGTTTTCTATTTTTCCTTATGTCTTGCCACCCTTCTTCTACATCTCCGTTCCTTCATCCGTCCAAGAAACACGTCTTGGTGGGGAGGACATGGCACTTTCATTGAGAGGAGTTGCGCGAAGGCATGCAAAAGAAAGGCAAAGCGAGGAAAAAAAGGATGGAAAAGGGCATTAGTTGGTGAGTATCCGTCCAGTACGCCTGCTCATGGGTCAAAACCAAGGGAATGGAACCGGATGCAAGAAATTTTCTCTTCTAACCTCCACCTTGCCGATTTCTCTTTTCCTCGCAAAAGGGACTTCTTCCACCCCTCGGCCTGAAGAACAATCAACTTTTACCCACACTTCGGTTTTTTATTTCCATACAGCTTGATTCCCTTTTGGAGAAATATGCTTGTCTGTTAGCTCTAATGATTTGTTCAGAATTTAAGTATCAAAGGCAGCGGCCGAGAAGGGTAATATCGTTACACAAGCTATGCAAGCACTTATGCCACCTTCCCAATATGGCCAGAGTTGAGTCTTGCTGGGGGGGACGGTGGGTTGCTGAAGCTAGACAACATGGCCAGGAACACCATTGGCCCTGAGGCAAGCAGTGCCTGACCCTCTCATCCATCAGAAAATGCCCTGTGCATTGCAATTGACGCCTTACTTCGGGTCTGACCGCACCGCAAGACTGACCATGCAACTGTGTTTCAAAATGACTTTTTCGGCCCTCCCCCCCCCCTCCGATGGCCTGTCTATATGAGCCCACTTTTTCCTTGAAACTGTGTAAATGGACTTTTCAACATCTAAACGCGCGGTCTGCGACAAGGATGACACCGCCTTTTTCTGATCACCACTCACATAACCCAGTTGGTTTCATATGGGTGACGGTCGGATGTAGAAATTGGGATCGGCATGTATCAGTCGTTGTAGCGCAACCCTGCGCTCCAGTAAACGACAGGTTAAACACTGCAGCACCGGCTTTAATGCTTTTCATGTGCGCGAGCCCAAGCGTCATGATAGCCAACATGAAGGTACCCTACATACACTCCACCCCCAGGGATCATCGGCGCATTGCCTGATTTCAACGCAGTGTTTGTAATGCTCAATTTGGAAATTTACAGCTCAACGATGGGTGGTCATCATCGTGGATTGTAATGTCAATCGGCTAAAGTATAGTCCTTCATAGAGTGTCATTGGGTGGAAAGAGGAGGTGATCGAGATGGGGTAGGGTCAGTTATGAATTGCCAGGTGGTAGTTTCATTCGAAGCTATTATTTGGTTGGTTCCCCTTGAATCAGCCCCAATCCGTTGGGTGGGGTAAACCAACATTCATCATGCAAGGTAGAGACGATGGCTGGCTGCTGCTACCTTCGGCTTGGCGTATACGGAATGAGCGACCACCCCCCCCCCTCTTTGGCTGAAACTGGCTTTAAAAACCACCTGGCAATAAAGAACAAGGTGACCAAAAAAAAAAAAAAAGGTCGCTCAACTACAAATAAAGATCTTCGTAGCGAAAGTTCTATGGTCTCTGTTTTACCTATGAGCGATCTAAAGGTAACATGATAAACGGTATAGCCGCTGCCATAAACTCAGTCATACCAAGCCCGACCTGGTTATTGATAAACCGATGCCATCATTTCTGAAACATCAGCCTGTCCAATAGTTTAATCTAGACAGCCTCTGGTGTAACTCTGAGAAAATCGTTATACGCTAAAGAGTAGCTGCCTCCACAACACTTAAAAAATGCTTCAGGGCTGCCTATGCCGTCACTCCGAAATCCGGACCTCCGGGCTGACTTTTTCTCAGAAAATCCGATGCACGGCCAGCACTGGACAAATGAAATAAGGAACAAACAAAAAACTATGTATAGATGTAATGTGGATGGATATTAGTTTTAAGAGAAGGAAAGGAGTACAAATCGGTGGAAATGATAGTAGTTTTGTCGATGATGGTATTGAAATGCTAGCATTTGTATATAGTAGGGGGGTAGGTGGGTGGTTCTACGGATTTTAAAAGCATCTGGAGCAATTGTTCCAGCGCTGAGAACCACCTGTCCACATTCGCATAAAAGCAATGAACCGCTCTTGTTCGGCGGCAGAGACAAATGGTTCGCTGGCCGGCGAGGGTGCTTCGTTTTCGGTAGGCGGTGGTCGTTTGAGCTTGGGATCTGATCGAGCCAGTGCCACTTTGAGTCGCTCAATCTCCTGTTGATAATCCACAACCGCATTCATACCCGCAAACGGATCTTCTGCATCAGAAGTGCTTTTGTAGGCTTGGCGGTAGGGTGGTAGGGTAGTACTTGGGCATAAATCATCTGTCACATTGATATCTAGTGTGGTAACCGGCGTGGTCATGGATGTAAGTTGAAAGAAGAGACGAATAAATAAATAAAAGAGAGAATATAAAAAACAGAGGTTTAATATACATTACTACTTACAGTATGTCTTTTCATGATTAGACGTCTTGATAGGCGTAGTCGATTTGAAAGCCGTCCGGGAGGGAGTCTTGGGATGGCCATCATCACGAATGGGACGGTGATTCCCGTGACTTCGAAGTTCGTTCCATTGGCGATCTTCCACGTTATTGCTTAAAGTGGATGCTGACATTATTTTTTATATGCTGTTTGCCTTGGTATGGAATGGACTACTTGATACAATGATGGGAGGTGTTTGTTTTTTAAAAATGGATTAATGCGAGTGGCGGATATAATAATGTGAAAAAAGAACGCGAGTGCGTATATGTATAGAAAGAAATGGTGTTGATATCGAGCGGTTATGTACAAACACTTTCTAGTATGTGTCTAGTGCCTTAAACCAGAGTAGTGGTCGGCAATGTCAGTGGAATGAGAAGGCAATTGGGAGCATGTAAGAAAGGGCGAAAGTTAAAAAAAAATAAAAACAATACTGGCCAGAAAAAAAAAAATGCTTCTGAGTGTCAATGGGGTGAAAAAAAAAAATAAGGAGCTCAACTACGAAATTTTTCAAATTCTACGACGACGTTTCTTCATTTCCATTGGCACTGCATATTGGCTGGAAGGGTAGACTTGCGGGCCAATGAGGGAGGTTGGCATCCTATCATGGTTCTCAGTTGTTTCAGAAGATAGGTTCTGAAGGGATGAACCTCGTGAGGTGGGGCGACGGTTCAAGTGGTGATGGACAGCCATTTGTCGCTCGTTCAATTTGCGACGAGTATCCTGAACGCTTTCGCGCTCGGGAGCATAATAAACTCGAATCTGGCCACCATAAAATACAGTATCGTCTAATTTTCGTTTCACCTTTCTCGCACTGGCAATGGTATCCAGTTTGATCAAAAACACGTTGTAGAGATCGGACGCATTGGCATGGTCATGCAGTTGTGAATGCTCTAGAACCTTGCCAAGCATAGAGCATTGTCTCACGATCTCATTCTCTAAATGATAAGGAGGCACTTGTTCGATAATGAGATAAAATGATTCTTGGAGAATGGTGTAGACCGTCCATTGCTCCATAGTGGGTTTAGTATGGCTGGTGGGCAGCATTGGAAAAAATGACCCATTCAGAAATTTTGCAAGTCACCTTAAGCCCAAGCGGACTCCCTTCCCCTTTACCAGCCCCACACACTTCTCACACTCCATAGCAGAAAGAGAAATCTCCATTTCTCTATTATATTATAATGGACTCATATTTTCAGGCGGTAAGAATTCACTTTTTTAATACGAGATTGCCGCCATTGGCATCATTATAGCCAATCCTCTAAATTTCCACCATGTATAGGCATTTACGGTGTCTACTCCATACACACCACCTCCACGACCCTCTCTTTCACCCAGTCTAACACCACGTCTACCACCATTTCCTCCGTCCGATCCTGAATTCAAAGGAAATGAGTTCAATAGTCCTGAAGGCGTCTGGAAACTGCGCAATGAAGTCTACAGTGAAACCATACTGCCACATTATCCAACGGGCACGCATGCTGCCTTGGTGTCGATCAAGTACAAGGAAACGAATTCTTCGTCACTAGGGGCTATTGCTAATTTAACCTTGACAAACTCTGCCACATCCTCTGTGTCCGATAATCTCACGTCGATGACAGGTTCAGACAAAGGAGATAACGCAACCACTCTCACAGCGGATTCGGAGGATGAGGAAGTCATCGTCGAGAGTGCATCGACGTTATCGCCAGCTGTTACATTTTCACCGGCCGTATCCAATGTCGAGGAGAGTAAAGCTTCATTAACAATTCCAATCAAAAGTGCCCATGGCAGTGCCCAGAGTCTTGGCTATGCAAGTTCGCCACTGTCCAGCAGTGCCAGTACCGCCAGTACAGTTTATGTACCACCCAGTGGGGCACCGCGGTCCCTTTCCATCAACACCGCTTCCTTGTATCATAATAATCAACCATCGTCTCCTGTGGTCTCCGCAGGGCCCATGTCCTCCTCCTATACCAATGCACATTCCGGAACGGAGTTTATGTCGCCGAAAGCCTTTGATATGGATGTTACTGCATCCCCGCTCGGCACTAGTGGAAACTCTTTCTCTTCGCTATTTGGAAGGGTTAGTAAACATAACCCACGTAAACCCAAGAATAGTATTACCAAAACAAAATCAAGTTTTGTGAACAAGATCGTTACCAATGAGCATCTAGCCAAGGTGTTAGCAGCCAGGACAAGTGACGATTCTTATTTATTTTACAACGTTGGAGCAAGCTTTATATGGATGGATGCTGCATCTAAACCCAAGGTTTGTTGGTTTTTTTTGCCCAATGTTGTGATTTTGCCAGCTGTCTCATGCCTGTCTGTCTGCATTGTAGGAACCTTTGTCTCGCATTATATTTTCAAAAGCTTATCCAACCTCCCATGACGTAAACCTTCTGACAAGAGGATATGATCACTTGGATGTCATTATTGGCTTTTCATCGGGCGATTGTATTTGGTTTGACCCATTAGGAAATAAGTACTTTCGGCTCAACAAAGGCGTAGGTTGAAGTATGATTGTTATTTGGTAGTCTATTTCATTCACTTACCTGCTCAACTATTAGGGTTTGCTGAATTCGTCAGCCGTGACCATGATCAAATGGATTCCAGGGTCCGAGAGCATGTTTATGGTAGCATACAATGATGGTTCAATACTGGTTATGGATAAAGAGCGAGATGACCAAGCGTTTACGCCTGCGCAAAACGATGGATGGGCTAATCAACTGTAAGCAGATATGTTTCATTTCTCGAAGGGCGGAAAGAAAGCTGACCTTTTTTTCCAATCAGTTTCCATGTTACTAAACCTCATAAAGGTTTCAAGCATAACCCGGTATCGCATTGGAAGGTCAGCCAGAAGAGCATTAATGGTAAGCTTAGCAGCAGAAAGGTCTCCCGAATAATCCAAATTATTTTTTTATTGACCCCTCTTTTTATTTTAGCCTTTGCGTTTTCGCCAGACTGCTTGCATGTCGCCGTGGTGGGTAGTGACGGCTTGTTGCGTATTATTGACTATACGACCGAAAGGTAGGTAGTACAAACCTTATCTTTCTTGGCAAGTTTTGCATTTTCATTCATCCATTTTCTGGGGTTGGGCACAGACTTCTGGACACCTTCGGGGCGTATTATGGCAAATTGACTTGTGTGGCGTGGAGTCCTGATGGACGATATATTGTGGTAAGCCTCCCTGTTTCAAAAGAAAAAACGTACTTTCGCAGTCTATTCATCGTTGGCTTTTGGTAGACTGGAGGGCAAGATGACCTGGTGACCATCTGGGCTTTTCGGGAACAACGCATCGTTGCCCGCTGCCAAGGCCATAACTCATGGGTAAGTTGTTTTGTCAACACACGTCAGGCAATTCCAAAAGCTTTACTAAAAATGTGGATGGCCTGTTTTTTTTTTTTTGGCTTGTCACAGGTCACGGGCGTAGCATTCGATCCTTGGAAGTGCGATGAAAAAGTGTACAGAATTGGAAGTGTGGGCGAGGATTGTAACTTAATATTATGGGATTTTTCAGTGAGCGCACTGCACCGGCCTAGATTTGTAAGTGGTATCAAACACGTAAATGTCTATAGGCTTTACTCTCATCACGATGCCTCCTCTAGAAACATCACCGTACCTCATTATCCCTGACCAATGCAAACGATAATACAAGTTGGAGGTCATCCAAGCCATACCTTAATTTGGACGCTGGTGTGAGATCCATGATTGCCAATGGCACGAATCCGCTTGGCTTGAGACCAGAGGCTGCATTGGACGAACAAGACACTACCTCAAGTTTTTCTTCCTTCAGCAAGATTCGACGAAAACCAAGTGTCAAACACCCTTTGTTTGCAAGTCCGGAATCAAATAAAGGGACACCAACAACGGATTCTGCGCACCATATTCGGTTACCTGTCATTCACCCTGCGCCAAACAAGAACCAAGTGTCTTTCTTACAACCAATCGCAGTTCGATCGGTCCATTCAGACCCATGTGTAGATATTATTTATAGAGAGGACGCCATTGTAACCACAGATCGAAGAGGTAGAGTACGTACATGGACAAGGCCAGTTTAGACGCTGAATACCTTGGACTTTCTTCTTAGAAATGACTCTCGATTTAATTTGTACGTTTTGTTATTTTTTTTTTGTCTGATATTTCCCACTTGCAACTGTACAAATCAAATACATTTAAAACAGATTCAGTTGGCTCGCTACCAATTATTTTTGGGAATATGACAACCTAACGGAGCTACCTTTTTATGGCTATAAATGCCAAGAAGGACCAGACTTCCGTCAAAGGGCTTTCGAAGCCTGCCATGGCGACGCAGCTACGTTCTTGTGGTATTTTACAATGAAATTCCAAGTTCTGATGATTTTGCAAAGGAGACGCTGGCTTCGTTTGCGCCACGTTGAAGGATTGCGCGATGACTCCATTCGTTGCCCAAATTGAGGTATCCCGTGTTTCGAAACGCACAAGAAGGCAAAATGGCACATCCAAAGTCAGCCACTGTCACCTTGCCTCCATTTAAAATAATCCAGCGTGCCTTGTTTTCATTCTTTTCTCTCTCTTCCCTTTTTTCCAACTCGCTTCTGTTTTTCATCTTGCCAAATCGTTTTGGTGACCTCAATCCATCGGTCGTCATCTCATTTTAAAGAACCTACCTACACAATGTCAACTCTCGTACACCGCTTCCCAATGTCTCCGCCTTCGATAAGCGAAACCAATGATATGTTACTGTTGTCACCCCCATTGACGCCCACTGATCGCATGGATAAGAGCTGTCCATGGAAGCAGGCCAATACAACGTCATGGATGTCATATCAAAATTGTTCAACCAAGCATGACTCTAATAGAACAAATAGGATGGCGCATGATCAACAACATGATCATCCAGTAGCACCTGTTGTTATTAAAAAGTTACAGTCTGACAGGACAAAACGCAACAAGTCATTTATTCAGTCTTATCGTCGTTATCATCCCATGCAGCCTTCTTTTACCTCTACTCAAATGGCCCCACCACCTAAACGGTGCGTTCGCAAATCCACAAAAGCTTATCGATCCCCGGCCATTGATAACAATTCATTGAACATTTTTGCTTTGGACATTTACGAAAGCTTACTGCGAGAGCCCCATCAGCTTGTTCGCTCCGTCATACCATCACCTCCGCAGCCGAAATTGACGACAACCGTGACGAATGACTCAGCCGACACTGCCCAGCCATTGACTCGCAAGGAAAAGTCTCAGCTAGCCAATGCTGCTTCGTATGACGCCATGGACATAGAGAACGATGAATCCACTGTATTTTCCCATGAATGGATACCCAACCTAGATGCTCTGGATCACAAGCATATAAAGATCGTTTGGAAAGGTACAAGTTCGCTTTTTTTATCATTTGACTCCCGGCCCGAATGTGGAGAAGAAAAATTGCAATTTGTGCTAGACACTACTGACAGATGTGATACTAACATACCCCCCTTGTTTACCTTTGTGCGGTCTCCTTTGGGTTTCCAGGGGCACCACTCAAGATCAGCCACCTTCCAATGTATAACAAACTCCACGCTACGGAGGCCACCATTGCGTCGACCTTACGATTGACGCCTGTACAGTATATCCGATGCAAACGCACGTTGATTCGAGCTGCAAGTGAATATGAGAGACATGGTACTCCGTTTCGAAAGTCGGATGCTCAGAAATTATGCCGAGTTGATGTCAACAAAACAAGTAGCCTGTGGTCTATCTTTGGTGAGCTAGGCTGGCTTGGCCAAACATGGCCCAATTGAAGAACCACGAAGAAATGTATTTGAAAAGAAAAAAAAAAAAAACAACCAGACCACCCACTTGCTCTCACATTCGAAAGGATCAGTGCGATGGTGGGGAAAGCTTAAATCACCAGCCTCTTCCCTCTATTTTTGCCTAACAGCACAACTGTGCCCTGTGTATTACCTGTAGCCTAGTATTCCATAATGATCACATCATACATTATTGGCCTCTTTTTTGGCCTTCTTACACTACCCTTTTTTTTTTTCAACATAGCATAACATAAATAATTAGTTTTGCTCGGGAGTGAACAGTGTCAAAAACCAGGCAGTGTTGCATCCAGCGGGTGGACACGGAGTATGGAAATTTCAGATAGCATTCCCTTGTGACCACTATTCAGCAAAAACGTGGACGGACCATTGTTCAAGGCATAAACTTTAACCGGCACAGAAGAAATAACGTTAAAGATGTATCCGTAAATTCACAGTAATCTGCACGTTGGTCTGCGAGCATTTTAATCTTATCGAGTTTTTGCCATAAAGTCGAAGGCACCGCATCCGATCTTATCCCAACCCACCGCCTTTTTCGTAACCTAGTGGGAGCTTAGCAAATAGAAATGAAGCAAAGACCTCACATGCCGTTTTAGATTCTTTTAATAATGGAGGTCAGCCGTTTTATTATATTTCAGATATGAAAACTGGGATGAGCAGAAATACCCAATTGGCAAGGGAAATAATGCCGTCCAGTGAACCAAAAGTTTCCACCAAATTTATTTTTGCATACGCCAAGAAACACTTCCTCCCCCCGCCCCATAAGATTTATTAAATCATATTATGAATAGAACAGATTATTTTTTTTAGTTTATATCAAACATGATCCTCAGAAGAGCCAGTTAGGTCATTGTGTTCCCCCACTGTGTACCTTTGGGTTTGTTACTCATGAGATAGCACGAGGGGTCGAAAGGACACGAGTAGACTGGTACGCAAAATTATTGGTGGACATGAAAACGTGATACCCGGTGGAGTAGTCGGTGGAAGGAGTGGTTGATTCGCATCTCCAAAGCCAAATACACACCATAGCTTGGTCCCATGTTTCTCCGTTACTCTTCCCTCTAGTCATTTTTTTCTTCCCTGTCTTTTATCTTTCAGAGGCTTCCTACTCTAAATGTCTGCAAGCTCACAATCTGATGAAAATAGCTTGGACACCACCAACCATATCACCGTAGAGTCCAACAATTCATTATCAGCAGCTCCTCACAAGAAACGCAAGCATAGCACAAAGAATACCTCCAAGTCTGTTGCTACTATATATCCTCTTACTCCATCACCCGATATGACCGGCAATCATGTTCGAGAACATATACCCGTGATTGCATTGCCACCTGGCATGACTTCCGATAAGCACTCTCAGACTCCTCCTTCTTCGCCTCCCAGAGCAGGCTCAGTCGATTCTCCCAAACATCAACAACAGCAGTATCACATAGCCGATATGTCGGTTACATCGACCTCCCAACCACCCACCTCATATAATCCACAGATGCCTGTTCATCCGCATGTTATTATTGCCGGTCCTCCTCATGCTATCTACTATCATCCTCAACAAAGCCCATATTATCCACCTATCCCCATGAACCCTAGTACATCACAACATAGCAAAGATAGCAAAGGAAAAACAACGGATGAAGACGGCCAACAAGGATCCAATACTGAAAAAGGAGATTCGGAAGACGCTGCTGCCAAGGTATCAGGTCAACCACAAATGGTTTCTGGTGATCCGTCTAATATGCCGACCTTTGCCTATTTACCCGGACAACCCTACTCATATCCTACCTACATGATGCCCAATGGCTCCATGTCATCGTTCCCCGTTGTGTCCCAAATGTCGCCACCTCTTCATCCATCGGTTCCCAATGGAAGACAGGAAACCACAGCCGACCAACGGGAGCAACTTCGAAAAGTGTCTCATAGTGCCATTGAACGAAGGCGACGTGAAAAAATCAATACCAAAATCCAGCAACTTCGACAACTCATACCATCCTGTGCTGACCAAGATCATTTGCATAAACTCAACATCCTGCAAAGTGGCATTGAATATATCAACTATTTGCATGCTGTTTTGGGAAATATGGAAAGTCAAGGACAAAATGTCTTGGAGTCAGCTGCTAGAAACGATCATCGGATGTTGGCTCTTTTACAACACCTCAAGCGATTGTCGCCAGCGACAAGCCAAGAAAATTCCATGGTGCAACCATCGGCTCCTGTCATGTTCCATCACGATACTTCCAGCACGACGGCAAAACGGAAAAGATCCGATGAACTGGACGAGAACGAGACCGCCCAGCAGGGTCTCTTGATGCTTTCACAAGCTTGTGTCAGTGACGAGCATAATCCCTCAGAAACAAAGCACAAGGACATGAAAGTCAACAGCTTACTCTGTGACAGATAAATGAAAAAAAAACCCTTTCCCTCCCCCATCTTTGTCATGTCGTTTTTTTTGTAGTAAATGTTTGTGTTCACCACCAGTAATTCCTTCTTTCAAATATTCATAAAAGGCAAAATGTTACAAGCCCACCTTCGTGATAGAACGTGCGCAATGCATGACGACATTGCCAAATTCTTTCTCTTGTTCAAACCACACATTATATCATTGCCTTAAATTTAGACGCGTCTATTTTTACTAACGCCAAATCAGACCAGCATTGGCTTGGACGGCCGCCTGAGCATAGCCTCTAAAAAAGCACGGAGTTAACATCAAACAGACCTCATCAATTTTGTGAAAGAAACTGTCAGCCTAAGAAAAAAAATATTCAAAATCCCATTTTCAGGAAAATGAAGAACACCAGTCGTTCAGTCCACGTCGAGCATGTTGATCAATGTTAGGGGTCTGCAGTTATTCCCCAAAACCTATTGGTGGTCAGGCAGAAGGCACGTACATCTCGTTATTTTTAATTGAGCCTGCCACAAGAGGTATGATTTCCTTGAAGGATTTAGACGATGTGGAAGGAATTGAAAGTTTTCACCATGATATTTTGATCTCATAACGTCACGACAGCCCAATGATGGATGACATTATACGATGGCCCAAAAAAATTGAGTGGGGTTGGGGGGGAGCACCAACTCCGCTTTGGCCGAACCGCACAAGCTTGTACTGAAAACGCCAGGGATATATTTTTTTTGTCATAGCTTTTGTTGTTACCGAATCGGTGCCTTACCTCATCCATGTCCATCAGAAGAAAAAGAAGTACGAGAGCAATGGACCAGCAAGCGTTCTCTCGTGATGCATCAGGTTGGCATGATCATCTAAGCGTCTCCAAACCATGCCATGTTCCCTAACCACTATAGTAGATGAAGATAACACCGAGCTGACACCAGACACCTTGCCACCTCGTGTATCAAAACGCTCCAAAACCGATGAAGATTTAGACCAAGCGTTACCTGCTCCTCAGGCCGCTTACGACTTCAAAATAAATCCCGTAGGTGATCGTTCGGTGCCCATATGTATACCTACCTACCCACTCAGTTTTTCTCGACCATAGCCTCCAAAAGATCGACCGGTGCGCATTTACTGCGATGGTATCTATGATCTCTTCCATTTTGGGCACGCAAAAGCGCTAGAGCAAGCCAAGAAAGCGTTTCCAGACGTCTATTTACTGGTTGGCGGTAAGTCAAGGGTTCATCCGGCATGTATGCGGGTAATCAGTGTGTTGACTTATGACCTTGTAGTCTGCAGCGATGCTGAAACACATAAGCGAAAGGGAAAAACCGTCATGACCGATCTCGAGCGATACGAAGCCGTTCGCCACTGTAAGTGGGTGGATGAAGTCGTGACCAACGCCCCTTGGACGGTGACGCAGGAATTCCTGGATGAACATCGGATAGATTACGTCGCCCATGATGCCGAGCCTTACCAGTCCAAGGAATCCGGCGATGTCTATGCATTTGTCAAAGAGCAAGGGAGATTCCTTCCTACCAAGCGAACAGAAGGGATCTCTACCTCCGATCTGATCACGCGAATTGTCCGAGACTACGATGCCTATTTGCGAAGGAACCTGGAAAGAGGAGTGAGTGCCAAGGACCTCAACATTTCCTTTTTCAAGGTAGGATGGGTTTTTTATAAAAAGAATTTGGGTGGCAAGCGGATACTTTTGATATTGACGGACACCTTTTTATAGGAACAAGAAATCAAGACCAAAAAGTCTCTGCAGCAGATCCGAGAAACCGTCAAGGACACTGTGGTCATTTGGGAAGGTCGCAGAAATGAATTCGTTCGAGGCTTTGCTGGGCTCTTTGGAACAGACGGCATGGTTGTAAGTATATAGAGGATGGTTTCCCACCACGCACTGTCTTACTGACCCTACATCCACAGGACAAATTCTTCTTGAACAGACGTCGCCATTTATTGAGGGGAGCAAGTGCACCCAACAGTCGTGAGCATTCTGAAGATGAGACCACCACTAGCAAGAGCGAAACGGATGTTGAAGCCGAAAGCGATCACCATTAATTCTTTTATTCTTGTACATGTCATGTATTTTTTTTCCCTGTCTTTTTTCCTTTTCGTCTTTGCCCTGCCCCCAAAGAGTATTTACAAAGCTCACCTCAACCGCTATATACAGTATATTCAAGCTCTCGAGACACTATATTAGAGGAACAACCCTTGGTCTTCGCCGACTCGTTGGCGCGTCATGGCTGTTTCCGTTTTTTTTCTCTTCAAACCGCCAATAAAGATATCCCCATTCCAATCTGTTGAAGTTACAAAAAGAATTCGAAAGTGTCACCGGGCAAAATATGTTAGGCGTTGAAACCAACACCCACCGAACTTAAGCAAGAGAGCTCAATAAAAAGGGCAGTGATAACAATGAAGAGTATACATATAGCCTACTTGCTGATTTGTAGCAAGGTATGTCGCTTAAATGGTTTTCCATCGTATCTTACGATACCCTCTCTGCCTCCAAATTTACAATCCCATCGGTAACTATTGAGCAACACATTTTTTAAACCGGAGATGCAGATCGTCATTAAGGTGCATATATGGCTCACTTTCACCTAATGAACGCCTTCTACCCTTCAAATCATAGCGCCTCCCCTTTGCATTGCATAAGCAGGCAACTGTATCCTGTTCACCCTTTGCCCTTCTCATCCTTCTACCCCCCCCTCCTGTTACCGATGACTGCTTTCCAAGTTGCATATGTAAGAACCTGTGGTTTTACGTTTCTTTCTAATCGGGATTACTTTTCAAAACATCGACTTAACTCATTGTCTGATATGCAACCACTCACGCTCATCTTAGCTATAGGAGCAGTCATCTTATCCTGCGGTCCGCGATTCTCTTCCACTGCCGATGCTCCTTACTCAATAACGTATATCGTTGAAAATGGTGCCCCTCAGACACTTTCCGTCGAACCGAATAAATGCACAAATCTCCCAGAAGAAATAGTTTCCATTACCAACACTGCGCCCATTGCCATCCTCCTTTTTAAAGGTCATGATTGCCAAGGTGCGCCTTCTATAGTCTTCCCACGAATTTCAATGACTGAAGAAGATCCAGATACATATTCTGTGCTGATAAAGTAACATAATTATAACAAAAGCTTTATACAAACTTTTATAATAAAAGGGCTTTGATAACAATAACGAGTATACGCATAGCTTGTTTGCTGATTTGTAGCCAGGTATCTCACTCAAATGTTTCTCCGTCTTATCTTGCGGTCCTCGGTTCTCTGCCACTGCCGCTGCCCCTTACACAATACTATATACCGCCGCGGATGGTTCACATGGAATAGTCACCATTGCACCAGGCATTTGCCAGGCTCTTTCAAATGGAGCAGAATCCGTTATCAATACTACGCCCAGCATCATCTTAGGTTATTCTGACCCTTATTGTGGAAGTCAGCCAGCTGCCATCGCGCCAGGAACAAGATATTTGGGATCACTACAATTGTCGTCCGTGAAGATACCATAATAACCTGATTATGACAAAGGCTTTAATAATCTCAATAAAAAGGGCAGTAACAATGATAATGAATATACAGATAGACTTGTTTGCTGATTTTTAGTGTAGTATGTCACCCAAATGGCTCTCCAACTCATCTTTACTGCTTTGCTTCAAAACTATTAAGATTGTCAGTAACCATTCAGCAAACGGTTCTTTTAAACCTCAGATGCAAACATCCATAGTTGCGCATATCTGGCTCACTTTCACCAATCGACTGCCTTCAAACCTTCCAAATTATAGAGCCTTCTTTTTGCATTGCATAAACAGGCAACTAAATCCTACTCATGCTTCGCCCTTCTCATCCTTCAAAGCCCTCATCTCTTTGTTGCCGATGACTGCTTGCAAATTTACATATATAAAAACCTGTGGTTTTACATTTTTCTCTGTTAGAATCACTTTTTCACTTTGGCGTGGCGAATGGAATCAATTTATATGGGTAGGCAAGTGATGGAAACAACGGATACATCAAAAATGACACGGGCACAATCCACGCTTTTTGGAAAACAGCTCATATACAATGCCTTGGATGCAAGTGTTCGCTCTTGGTATGAAATACATATCAAGCTTGTTGCTCATCATTCACAATGCTCCAGTCACTATCTGTGATGTCTGCACCTCCGGAAACCTCTGTGGCTGAATCAAAGATATGACTGGACGCCTCACTTTCGCCACTCGACCTGCCCTCCTCTTCCAGGGTGCAAGAGGATCCAGTGAACGACTCTTGTATGATTTTACGCATGATCGATTGTTCGGATTCGCCTTCAAGCGTATACTCAATTAGCGGCCAATAATACGGATCAAAGTAGTTGACGTCAAGATGGTATTGGGAGTATCGCCATAGGGAAAGATGTATGTCGAGGGGAAGAAACAGCTGGGAGGCCAGTGAGAGTTCTTCACAGAAACGCGTCAAGTCGAACGGACCGGAAAATGTCTCTTCAATGGGATCCCAGTTGTATTGCGCCTGGAGCATTTCCTTCAGATCGCGGGTCAACTCAAGTGTCATTTGGTAGTCTGAGGAATATAGGTTGGGACTGTCAAGGACAAGACCGTCTAGCATGAGCCGGATGGTCGGTGCCATAGCCGACGTGATTTCCGATTGCAGCAAATCCGTAGCGCGATAGAATTCACAAGCAACCATGAGATTGTACAGTCGAGTGAACGAGATTGGCCGGTTATTTGGGTCATAAGCATAACACACTAATCGAAGAAGGACGCTCTTCCATTTGACACTGGGTAAGACTTCTGTAAGCAGTCGTTCCGAATAGGCTGTAAGGTTTTGCGCCGGCATTTGTTTAGCCATTACCCTGTTGCAGTCTGCCATGGCGTTGAGGCCGAGAAGTCCAAAGTCCAGCTCGCGACTAATCCTTATCATGTCCATGGCCCATTTCTCTATCCGCTGATAAATGTTTCGTAGTATATTTTCAAGTCTCGTTGCATCACTCGGTTGGTCATCGTCCAGGTTGATAGCACCCATCACAGTCGATATTTGAGATTCCATCAAATCCATGCCCGAGTTGCCAGAAGTATGAATTTTACCCTCCTGTATCTTCGAGGACGAAGCTTTCTTACGCCTTGAGCGTACCATTGACTTTCGGGGGGTTCTTTTGTCTTGATGCAGATCCGGCATCTTATCTGCTGGTTTTTCCCTTCCTCCTACGAGCAACCAAGGTGAGCCGTCAGTAGATACATACTCGGTGAACGTGGATGCCATTAAAAATGGGGTAAGCTTGTGTGTTATGCGAAGGGGAAAGCAGTATGAAAAGTGGGGGCAATGCAGAGATACACAGCGTATTAAGCTAAGCAGAAAACATGACACAAAGCCAGACACACACGGCGTTCCGCCCCATCTGGGGAATTGTTTGCGCCGCAGTTGCAAGTTTCCATGGCGCAGCCTTATTAAGTCAACATTCAAAGTTGGAAGAGTCCAGAATCTTTAAGGGATACACTACAATGCTGGGTAGGAAGCCTTGCGAATAGGTAGTCGAAAAATCATGGTAGAATTTTTACACGAAAAATGGGAAACGAAAGATTTATTAAGTATACAATTGCTAAACACCAGTGAAGTACCCCTCATAATTATCTAACTTTACTACACCACTTCTACAAGCTATCATCACTGGTTTAGTCAGATTCTCTATCGATTTCACTCCAGTCGTTTTCAGTAACATCGGCACCGGATATCTCAGTGGCTGAATCAAAGATACCGTCAACTGATGTCGTTTCACTCCCATCTGTTTCATCGTACTGATCGTTATCTTCATTTTCATCGTCTTCAGGATCACTCCAAAGAAAGTCCACCGGGTCATCCTGCGGCCTATAGGTGGTACCTTTATCCGTTCGTTGGACTGAGCTTTGCTCAAGCCGATCTTCCAACAATATATCGTCATGTTCCTCCTGAGAAGGTTGCGGCTGAGAATGACCACGTTCCAGTCGTCTCAGGTTGAATGTTGCAAGTAATATTTCGTGAAAGTTCATCGTGTATTTTGACTTTAATCCCATTGTCTCCCAAATTTCTTCCTTCACTACTTCATTCTGTTTAACATAGTTCGCTTTGAGATCCGAGGAGACGACTAGAGTAAAGAACGTAAGTACATCGCTCAAATCCTTCACGTCGAAAGGGCTTGAGAACTGGTCTTTTTCCGGGTCCCAACTGTACCACTTTTGTAACGTCTCGTTAAGGTCATCCACCAGTACTAAAGTACTGCGACAATGTTCAGTTGGTCCTTCTTCCGCTTCTACCGTGATGCTTTCAATCAGGCATGAAAGGCTGGAAGCAATCAAGCTTGTAGCGTCGGACTGAAAGACGTGCCCTTCGCAAAGGGCCTCTGTCAATATTTGGAGAGTCATTAGGTTATTTTGTATCTGTGGCCGTTTCAGACCATCGAATTCCGTTCTTGCATTAGCATATGTGAACAAGTCATTGAACGCTCGAAACTGCTGAATCACAGCGGGGCTAGCCTCAATCACTCTCTGCGCTTGTGGTTTCGCTTTTGATTTCTTACTCGATAGGAAGCCCACAAGCTGCTGAATATCTCGGTCTATTGAATCTTCAGGACCTTCATGGGCCACTGTCGTCGACGAATGTTCTGTGCTTGTACCTATAGGTCTATCCTGGTTAACTAAATCAGCTCCCTGGAGATGCTGAGGTTCGCTGGCAACTGGAGAGCTTATGGTGGCATCCGTATAAGAAGGCAATATCTCTAAAGCCTTCCTATGCTCCCTGGGTCTCCAGTGGGCAATGGGATATTGAATGTCCATGGGTTGCGACCTAGGGACTTGTGAGTGATCCAAAATGGTTTCTATCGGCTTATCGGTTGATGCGGTGCACGATGTCTGGTCGGTTATATCCTCGCTCAACTGCTGTAGCACATAATTCAGTTTGGAGAGTTTTTCCCTCTGTTGAGCGATTCTTCTGGTCAGTTCTGCGTCAAGGTCAGGCAAATTCAAATCCGTGTCCAATGATGGCGACGCCTGTCTTTTTCTATCCGTCATAGCAGCCAGTGAATCTGATGTTCTACTGTCACAGAGATCAACAATTTTCATTGAAGTAAATGGGGTTGTAGAGTTTGATTTCTGATAAAGAGAGAGGAAAATCAAAGTGTTGTGTTTGTGAAAAAGAGGTCAAGTTCCCATAAAAAAAAAAAGCTGCGCGATGGGGAATTCGGTTAAAGTTGGTCTGTGCGACAATATTTTTTCCTTCGTTTTTATGTTTATCCATATCAAGTTCTAAAAGTGGGGTATGCTGAGCAGATGGATCGCACAGCTGGCAGATGAGATCAATATCATGTTCACTTTGATTTCCTTACGTATAGCAAGAGGTTGTACTGAACATAGCACACAGGCAGTGGGATATCTCAATAAACTCGGCATTGTCAAACACAGATATTTGTCTTGGAAAGTATTTTGCGGGTTGCTTTTATGTTTATTTTTCTGACCTTGGCCCCCTATTTCAAGCATAAACCACAGACTATTCAAGTGTAAGTATCGCTGCCTGATGATTCTCAGCCATTTAATGAAACCAACAACGTTGCGTATTTAGCTGAACAAAAATGAATGCAGGCCAAGACTTTACGCAACGACTTGACCTGACAAAGAAGCACTTGGCATGGTAGGGTCCCCTTTGAAGTGAGAAAAGCAGACTCATGGAGGAAATGATGCTGCGGAGGCTGTTTATATGTGATTTATAAATTATCCACAGGCAGAGATGACTTCACAGTCTCATCGCCATCTGTCGCCGAAATTTTGCCAAAGTCTCCGCTCAGTCTTTATTGCACGCTCTTTATTTGTCTTTCCCACTTTTTCACTTCAAAATGTCTTCTTGGTGTAAGTCGATAATCTGCTCTAATGCTGGCTCTCGATAGTTTGCAACATGAACTAACATTGGCTCGCTGTAGTTTCCCAGTTGTCTAGTACAGTTTCCAATGTGACAGGCATTGGTGGCACCGTCGAGAGCATCAAGACGATGGCCGACACAGCGACGGATGGCAAGCTCTACCAAGAGGTGGTTCCCTCTGACTTGGAATGGACGCTTGCATCTGGATCCTCCACAGAGAATCAGGTGTTCTATGTCACCACTGCCAAAGGCGGATTTGCGTTTGTCCAGCTGATCCACTCCAACGTCGGGTAAGCTATGCATAAAATTTTACGCTTTTACCCAGGTAGTCGAAACACCAGCTGACGTTTTCCTCCCCTGCCTCAGTCTATGGAACCCTACCATCTCGTTCACTTGCCGATTTTACGATCCAGAGAGCAATACCAACTTCTTCAGAACCATTACCACCGACAATTTTGTTCTGTCTGCAGACCGACGATCCACCAAGACTGATCACATGTCAGTGACCTTGGACCCTACTTGCTCAAAGTATACCGTCTCGATCAAGCACCCTGACTTGGTTGTATCTATTGAATTTGAGAAGGTGGATCATGGTTTCAAGGTCGGAGAAGGCAAAGCCTACCTTGGCAACGCTGGATTCGTGTCACACAAGTTCTGGCCTCGCGCTCAAGCTAAAGGCACCTTTATCGTTGAAAACACAGTGCATGACGTCGAAGGTCTTGGCATGTTCGTCCATGCTATTCAAGGAATGCAACCTCAGCTTATTGCTTCCAACTGGAACTTTGTCAACTTCCAGTCTGCTGAAGCTTCATTGGCTATGATGCAGTTCCAAACTACTAAGCAATACGGAGCCGTCGATGTCAACCAAGGCTCCCTTGTGTTGGACGGCAAGCTCACGTGTGTGTCAGTCGATAACCATGTTGAACTTTTGGACTTGGAATTGGATCCTGAAACTGAATACCAGATCCCTAAGCGTGTCAAGTTGACCTGGAACGGTAAGACCATTGAGGACCAAGATGGCGTCGAAGCCAAGGATGTTAAGATCACCATGATCGTCACCGTCAATAATTTGTTGGACAAGATCGATATCTTGAACGAAATCCCTTGGGTCATCCGAAAATTGGTTCAGACCTTCGTTGTCAAGCCTTACATCTACCAATGGCTCGACAAGGCTACGGCTGAGATTGTGATTGGCGAAAAGACCATCACCACTGAGGGCCAATGTTTCCAAGAATTGGTCTTTGTTTCCGGCTTCTAGACGTGTAGTAGTAATTTCAATCCCTTTGCTTTGTCATACAGTATATTGTATACACTGTCCTTTGCATCTCTACCTTTAATCTTCCTGCCACCCGCATCTCACTTTTAAGTGCAAAACCTGCACATGTTTGTTAGTAGTAGTAATTTTTTTTTCTGCTGTTATTGTTTTCTCCTATTGAACAACGACTCCCTCTTCTATTTCAAATGTTTATGTCAAAAAAAAATAATTCCCTCATTGTCCGTAATAAACAACTTGGTTATCTAGCCTAAAATCACTTCAAAGAGCTTTCCAGGGTTTTGGAAGTCATTGTGAACCACATTGAAGAGCCAAGTATCGTCGCCTAGATGCTTTAGCAGATTTCTTGACTCAGACTCGGGGGAATATTGCTGTTCCCACTCTGTCCACAGCTCAAAAGCTTCTACCTATGGAAGTGAAATCCAGTCAGATACAATGAATGAACGGACGCACCATAATGAATGTCCTTACCCTCCAGGCGTCAAAACTGACTTGCTCGATAATAGTAGGCTGGACAATCTCTTTTCCTGGGAACACACCCCAGGTTACTGCATTTTGGGAATCGCGGTCGTCAACGTTTGTTTTAGAGTCTCCAGCGCGATTGGCAGCGTAATATGTAATGAAAGGATCTTTGGCGAGCTGACGCAAGAGAGCAGGAAGCTTATCCGAGGTGACAAAGAACTCAATGAATTCCTGTAACAATGAAGTAGAGTTTGTAAACAAATGTAAGTCCCCATAGTCTTGTACGCAGTGCCTTTAGCGAACTTACCTTCTGATACACGTATCCGCCGCGAGGACCCCAGCCAAACATAGGATCATCGCTGGGAGCGCCATTAACGGAAGGTTGAGAACTGACAGTCCATAAACCTGCTTTGTTCAAGGTCGACAGGGACTTTCGAATAGCGTCAGTCTCAATCTGAAGGGCTTCATCACACCATGGCAAAGACTGAAGTTCTCCAGAAATATAAGCAATGAACAGGCTGGCAATGTCGCTGGGCGAAGTGGGGTATCCCCATTTAGCGCTTGCTTTGGAAGTAGGTTGAGCCACACCAGCACCGTATGTATTGTCACCGAAAGCAGGTGATCGAGAGTCACCATATCGACCGTTAGGGAACTCATCCCATGTTTCGGCTCGGTGAGCTTCAGCCAAAAGGGCGGTTGACTTGGTTGATTTTCCATTCAACAGTTGTTGTGCTGTTGAATTTTGAATACCTTTAGGCAAGAAATCCAAATCTTGTAGAACAAGACGAACCGATTTTTCCAAGTTCAAAGTTGAAAAGTGAAAACAGTTGATGTGATATTTGTGATACAGCTCTGACACAATACTTGTGGCCAACTTGACACCATAATCCTTAACAGCTTGATCGTCCGCCTAAAAAAGGAAGGGCAACCAACCCCAACATTAACATCGAAATAGATGTCGATCAAAGTCGTGTCTCTGAACTTACTTTGATCTCATTCATATCCTCTAATATGTGAGGAGGGACTTTGGTGTTACACAGATTGATGATCCTGCGAAAAGCCTGATGCGATTGGATGGGCATGACACCAGGAACAATAGGAACAGAGATGCCAGCATCTCGACACTGCTTTTGCCAATGGACGAAGGAATCAACGTCATAAAATAGCTGAGTCACAATGAAATCGGCTCCGGCTTCTACTTTTTCCTTGAGGTATACGATATCTTGACCCTTGTCTTGCGAATCAACATGTCCTTCTGGGTATCCAGCTATACCGATACAAAAATAATCACCGTACTGTTGGCGGATGTATCGGACAAGATCTATGGCATGGCAGAAACCGTCATCGCAGGGAGACCAGTATTCCTGACCACGAGGTGGGTCACCTCTCAGGGCGAGGATATTCTGAATACCGGCATCCTTTGCTTGCTGTAAAGTTTGGAACAAAGCTACAATTAAGTTTCATTCACTTTTATAAACCGTCTACACATCAATTTCTGCTTACCTTCAATGCCTCATCCACTTTGTCTTTACCCATGTTAGTGCAAGTCAAATGCATCAAGGTTTCGATGCCATAGACACTTTGAGCTGTCGCACATAATCCGATGGTTCGCTCTGCAGTTGCACCACCAGCTCCCCATGTACATGAGATAAAGGCAGGCTGTGTCTGGGCCATACGACCTAAACGATCGTACAAATTGGCTACACCCTAAAATTTAAGACATGAATGTTGAATGGACAAGGTGAGCTGCATATTCTCGGTATGAAGTGAGCCACGTACAACTTCTGTCTTGGGGGGAAAGTACTCGAACGAGTAGTGCGGCTTTCCGTCCTCTCGCGGTTGGGAGATCTTGTCGATGATTTTCATTACCGAGTAATAGCGGAGGTAAACCGAGGGGGTTAACTTGTCTGTTTGATGCTGAGAATAAAACGCAGTCCACTAGAGATGGATCCATCAGTTCGGCTTTAGGTCGAATTGAAATAGAAACCCTGGCAAGTCAGGCTTCATGGATGAAATGGTTACAGCGTGAATAACTTTTGACAGGACTTCGCTAGAACATTAGAGCTTTGCGAACGGTTACCATGGCAATAATTCGAAAAGCAAAATTATACCTCAACTTGATGAAATGATGTCCGTTTCGCCAAAACCCCTTCGTATCTCCGAAACCGAAAACCTCTTGATGTGAACATCGGAAATAAAGCAGAAATAAAAGTTCGAGGTTGTGTTCTTTCCATGATCGGCTTCGCGTTCCATTCTGCAAGATCCCCACGCATTTCTTGCATACTCTCATTACATTTAAAAAAAAAAGTAAATAAAAAAGAAAAACATTCTTAGCGAAAGCCTTGTTCAATCTTTGCAGGACCCATTTGGAGAATCAAATACAAAGCTACATTGCTATTTTTTAACCATCGTGGGCTGCTTACCCACGTGAATATGACGGGACGCACAATTATCGATATATCAATCCACACCCGCTAATCCCTTCTTGTTGTTGTTGCATTACACTTATTCTCACCCATCCCCACTCTAATGAAAGCTTATACCAGTGAAGAAGTTGCAAAGCACAACACTGACAAGGATGCTTGGGTCATCGTCGAAGGCAAGGTCTATAACGTCACCGACTTTCTCAGCGAACACCCTGGTAAGCAGACTTTGGATTCGTTCGGAATGTAGCGAACAAACTCGTCTGGAAACTAATAGATTTTTATAAAAGGCGGTAAGAAGATCCTCCTCAAGAGCTCTGGCAAGGATGCTACGGCACAGTTCAAGAGCTTCCACAATGATGCTGTTCTCGAGTCAGTTGCAAAGCCTTTCTTGATCGGTGTCGTGGGTAGTGATAAGAGCAAGCTTTAAAGACTTAGACTATAGTAATGATGGTTTATAAAAGAAAGAAATCTCAACGTGGTTGTTGTTGTCAAACACTAACTGGCTGGCTACAGTAGTACATTATAGTAATGATACAGAATACAAAAGGGGTACGAACGGGGAGGGGGATCTATCGAAGCTTCGGGAGAGGGGCAGTGAACTAAAGTTGGTCAAGTTCGTTGCCATGAACTCTACCATCTCGAAGTTCCTGCTCTAATTCTTCTAAAAGAGCTTCGTCTTCATCCATACCAAGCTTCCAGTTGGTAGTGGGTTTTTGAGATGGCTTTGTAGAGCTCTTTAACTCTGTGCTTTTACTAGAGAAAAGAGCCGATCGATCTTCAGATGCGGCTCGCAAAAAGGTACTGAGTGAGCCTTCCTCAATGGCCACCAGCAAATCCTTGTATTGCTATGGTGAGACGGGTTAGCATTAGATCGACAATGATAACATCTCTGTCATAAACCCTTACCCCACGGTATTCGCCACCCACAAAGACTTGGGGGACCTCCTTGGCTCGGCCATCAGAAGTTCCATTTTGTCGCTTCATGTGTTGTAACGCTTTCTCACTACTAGCCACATCGATCAACTCGTACTTGACTTCATTGGTAGACAGAAGCTGGATGATTTCTTCTTGGTTCTTCTTGATCTAATGACGCGGATGGGTCACTATGCGATGATTAGCTCTGCCTTCAATTTAAAATTCACTTACATTCACGTTACCACTGACGCTAGATATGTAAACTTGGACCTTTTTGGGATCTTGTGGGTAAACATCAGGACCATCGTCATCAGCAACAACCTTACGTTCACGTTGTCTTGGGCCACCCGTCTTTCTCAATATGGAAAGAGGTTGCGGGGCAGGCCAGGAGACAGCATCGGTAGGCATTAAGCGCCAATTAGAATTCTTAGGGAATTGGGAGTTTTTAAGACCCTGGAGCTGTGCTTGTTGTGACTCTCGAAGGTTGGACAATTGGCTATGATGCGATTGCTCCAGGTTGGCTAATTCCACAGTGTGAGCATGCTCTGCTTCCTCAAACTCATGTAATAACCGCTCAAGCTCATCATCCACTGTTGCGTTACGGCCGAGCTCTGCCTTAGTCAAACGTTCCTTCAATTCGCGCATCTCATTGGTATGCTGATCCTTTATGTTGTAAGCTTGTTCCTCTTGCTTCTTCTGCAGATCACCAAACGCGGCTTCATGCTGAGCTTGCAGCTCCTGGAGAGCTTGAGCGTGCTGTTCCAGAAGTTTATCCTTCTGAGCCAAGGTCTCGGAATGCGACCTTAGGGTCTCCTCGTGAGCCACCTTTTGAGCCTATTCCCGAAAACATGATGATGCTTGCATCAGTACCTCAATTTTACCTATGATGGTAAGAGGGCACATTTTGACTCACCTCAAGCTGAGCATTTAATTCCTCCAATTTCTTCATGGTCAGCTTCTCATTTTCCAAGTCCACAGTGAGTCGACGCAGACGTTTCTCCTGCTCTTCATCTGCCTTGTTGGTATGGCGGGACTTTTCAAGCTCTTCACGAAGCTCATTGAGTTCGCTTTCTTTTTCAAGCAGGCGAGAGGCAGCTTCAGTATTCTACACAGGAGCAAACACAAATGCTATGGTTAGAAGATTCCTTCAATCCCAATGCCATCAAATAGAACTGAAGCTCTTTCTTTACCTGAGATTTCAAAAGCTCCAATTGTTCCTGAACTTCGGCAAGTGCTGGCTTCGCAGCTTCCGCAATCTCTATCTCATATTTGTGCCGCATCTCCTCAAGCTCTCTTTCCTTCGATGCCAAAAGCTGTTCCTTCGATGCCAAAAGCTGTTCCTTCTCAGATAACAATTTTTGAATCTCCTCATCGTGTGTTGGGACATCGCCTTGCCCATCATTGACCACAATACTTGGTACCTCCTTCTGAGCAAGCTCTAATTGGTCCATATGTTGGCGGAGCTGCTCCAGTTCCATCTCCTTTCCTCTGAGAAGTTCTTCTTTTTCAGACAACAGCTTTTGAACTACTTCGTTCTGAACAATGTCTTCGGCTGGGGCAGCAGAAGGAGTGGATTCGGAAGCTTGTACCTGCAATTTTTGACGGAGCTGCTCCAGCTCTGCATTTTGCTGTGCAATCAGCTCCAAGTTTTCATCATTCTATGCAAATAATCAGCACCGAACCCACGGTTGACTCGAATCATTTTTTTTTCAGTGAGGTTATCTTACCTTGTGCTTCAAGGCGTCAAAGTCTTCACGCATTTGAGCAACTGGGGATTTGCGAGTGGACGCAGGGGAATTATTGGCGGTACGGGTACTGCTAGCCGACCGATTGGAAGCCACGCTCGGTGAACGCTTATGAGGGTCAGGAACTCTACCACGAGGCTCGGCAGGCGTACGCAGCGAAGTTTGCGATGGAGACTTTTTCACGGTCCGACCTTCTACAGACAATCGACTGGGAGATGGAGTTCGTCCTGGTCTAGTGGTGGATTCCCTTCTTGCCGAAATGCCATTTTGGCCCGCGGCAGAGTTCGGATCGAGAAGATTGGGAGATGTTTTAGCGGTGCGCATGCTAGATGCGGCAGTTGGCTTGCCCATGGGATCGGTCATGGACCGAGCAGCAGCTTGGACATCATCTGGGGACAACATGGACTTTTTAGGGTCCTTCTTACGACGGCTCATGCAGCTCATGGTGGCGAAGAGGAGGAGAAAGGGTAGTAAAACAGAAAGGGGAAAAGTCAAGGAAATGAAAAAGGCCCTGTTCCACGTGTGCCAGGAGGTACCGACGAATACTTCCTTTGCTTTGCTTTCATTTCATTTCATTAGCTGTCTTTTATTCTTTTGACATTCAATTTCTCCTTTCTTTTCAGTGAGAATGCAACCTCCTTTGCCGAAAGGATCAGTTGACAATATGCTTCCAAATTTTTAAAGCCGTTCTGATTGCAATTGAAAGCCCTGGTTGTGTCGGTAGCACAATCTCAGACAGGTTGGGCAGTCACGTCACCGCTACAAATTCGCATGCTGAAAATTTTTTCTTTCTGACTATAAATACTGAGGGAGTAGCTTCCATGTTGTTACTCAGTTTCTCTTCCTGTTTAACGTAAGTTACCCTATTTCTTGTAAGTCATGCAGCACATGGTTTTGTCAAGTTTAATATGATGCACAACTTATTTGGACCCGAATCTATTCCGATGTTCACATCTAAAACTACTCGACATGTGGGTTATCCAAGGTGAACAATCTCTGAACAAACAAACTTGACAAAACCTGATGTGTATTGCATTGATATATAACTCAATGACTTTATGAAAACATCTTGCTCACTCATCTATGTTCTACCTAATAGGCCAGGCCAGTCTGTCGATTTACGGGAAAAGAGAACTGACGTTTAGTGTCGCATTTTGTTTACGGATTAAAATAAAATTCTATTTGCATTGAATTGAATTGTTATAATGATGATAGTGACAATAGAGAACAAGTGGAGTAGCGTGAGACAAAGCATGGTACACAGCTACAATTTTTTATACTGCCTGGGCTTGCTATTTGCAGCGGCTTTGATTCAGATGGGGTAGCGCGCATGAAATGGCCAGCCCTTCCCCTGGATTTGCATCTTCTGCTTCCTTTTTGTCTTGGTTTTATTCCCACCAACCTTTCAGTTATCTTCATGACCTGCGATTTTGAGGAAAGGAACGCAAATATATTCGATGAGTATGACGCCTATGAAGCACTCGCCCTCTGCGTCAGCGAAGAGATTCGGCTAAACAAAGGTAGATCCACATGGTTGACAGCGTGGGCCAGCCTTGTACTCATTCCAGTCAACCATCGCAGGTGTGTCTGTTCTCTTCAAGCAGCGGTTTGGAGGAGTGCCTCAATTGCAGGCGCAAAAGAAGAAAGTCGGCCATGTCGTTCACCAGGTGAAAGATAAAAAACACATCTTCTATCTTGTATCAAAGCAACGTGCATGCAGTCGGCCAAGCTACGCAGATTTGGAACTATGCTTTGTTGAGCTTATGAAATCATGCACCAGGTTCAATGTGAAAACACTGGCTATTCCATGTGAACTTGGAGATGGACTGGAGGTTCTTGAGCCCAAGTACGTGAAAGAGATATTGATAAAAACATTTGGAGGTGAGATATGCAATTGAATGGATTTGTATCTTTGATATTTTGCTCATTTGACTTGTTCACAGGTTGGGATGGAAAGGTCGTTATGTATAGACAGTTGGAGTAGTATGATCGCACTACGTTAGATAATTTGGCCTTGTCTGCGTAGGGCTCAAAGTACGTCAGTCCTGCGCTGAAATTTAAAAAATGTTATATTCCCCTCAATTTCGCCCTGTCCCTTAGTGCATAACTTTTAGCATGTCAAGCATCAAAGACAGTTTGACAGCGGAAGCTGTGCAAGATCGCGTCAATGAGCTTCTCCTATCGTCAGGCATCACATACAAAGAATATGTATTGGGATTTGCATTCGCTGTTTATGGACTAGAGACGTATCTCAGGTTAGATTACACATACTATTACAAAGATCCCATTGATCACAAACGCAACCCTTCCTTCACAATCTAATGCATTCCCTTGGTTATTCCTTCTATCTTCTGTTAATATCAGCTGGCGTCAGTACCGAAAGTACTTGGAACCCAAGAGGCCTAAGAATCTGGCCGACATTGTGTCAGAAGAAGATTTTACAAAGGCTCAGGCATATGGTGCCGATAAATCGCGGTTTGATTTCATCGCAACTGCCTACGGTCAAGTACAGACCGTTGCTATGATTGTGTACGATGGCCTCCCACTTCTGTGGGATTACTCTGGCTCTCTCATGTACAAATTTGGTGGGCTCGGTCCGGAATATGAGGTACGAGGCATTCTTCGGTTATTCCCTAATTTTGCTCTATCCGAGCTTAACAAAAAGAAACCATACATTCTAGATTACCCAATCCTTGGTGTTCTTCTGCGTCTATGCTATCATTTCTACTGTCTTGTCACTCCCCGTTTCGCTTTATTCTACCTTTGTCGTTGAGGAACGTCATGGATTCAACAAGCAATCTCTCTCCTTGTTCTTTACCGATCTTCTCAAGGGCCATGCTATCGGCGCTGTTATTGGCTTGCCACTTGTGGCTGCTTTTCTTTGGATCATCCAGTCAGCTGGCAAGAACTTCTTCTTCTACGTGTGGATATTCATGTAAGTCTACAACATCAACAACAAATGGCATTTGTACGCTATGTGTCTAATCCGTTATGCAGGGTTGTTTTCCAAATGATTATGATTACTCTCTACCCTACCGTCATTCAACCTTTGTTCAACAAATTGACTCCTTTGGAGGATGGTGAACTTAAATCAGACATCGAAGCTCTTGCTTCTCGTATTGATTTCCCTTTGAAGAAATTGTTCGTCATTGATGGCAGTAAGCGATCCAGTCACTCCAATGCTTACTTCTTTGGATTCGGCAAAAACAAGCGTATCGTACTTTTCGACACTCTTCTTGAGCACTCTACCATTGAGGAAGTGTGTGCTGTTCTTGGTAAGTTTGCTTGACGTTGGTATAGGGTGTAGAGATGGCCGAGACTAAATATGACCGTGTTTTGGTGTTGCAGCCCATGAACTTGGTCACTGGTCCATGAACCACACTCTCAAGATCCTGATTGTCACCCAGCTTCATCTCTTGGCCCTGTTCTGGCTTTTCTCTCTTTTCATTAGCAACACTGCCCTTTACCAATCTTTCGGATTCTCTACCAAACCCATTTTGATTGGTTTTATCCTGTTCCAGTATATCTACGCCCCGGTTGAGAATGTCATCAACTTTTTGATGCATGTTTATTCTCGAAAGAACGAGTACGAAGCTGGTAAGTGTAGCTGATGTAGTAAGTTGTACGGCACGACACTGAGAGTGACTAATACTTTGTTGAATTCCACGTCTATAGATGCATTTGCGCTCAAGTTGGGATACGCCGAAAGCTTGCGGTCATCTTTGATCAAATTGAACGTTAAGAACTTGGGTAACTTCAACCCTGATCCTCTCTACTCTGCATGGAACAAGTCCCATCCTAGTCTTGTGGAGCGTCTCGCCGCCCTCGGTGTCAAACCTACTTCCGACAAACCTGTCGCTGTTGCTGAAAAGGATGATAAGAAATCCCAGTAAATCCTCAAAAAGTTCACTCTAAACTTCACTCCCAGCCCCTCGTTGATAGAAGAAATTATATATTATTTTTTTCAAAAGATCTAGTTGTAGAGGTACATGGTAATTTTTTTTAGTTCTCCTTCTTTCTTTTTGTATTTTGTAAGTATAAACTGTCATTGCTCGCATAAACAAAAGTCAATTTTTCGTTCTGGTTCGTCCTGACGACTTTGTCGGCAGAGGTAATGGGATGACATAGGCTGGACGTTACGTAGTGCATGGCAGTCCAGGCTAGCTGGTGTGGATTACAATAGGTGAAGCATCGAAAGGCTGCGGGGATGTTTGAGGTTCATGGCTGGCCATGGCCCGTTAGCTTTGATGGGCTGGATCTTCCAAAACGACGAAGAAACGCCCGTCGGTGCCATATAGCATGCCGTCCGAAGGGTTCGGTAGTATTGTGCATTTGCCATCCCGAACCATGTCTAATGACACATTGGCTATTCGCTAGAATCTGTCAATTGATAAGGATGCTTGTATGTCATCCAATGCATGCAGTTCCTTAGCGATACTGCCGTTCCTAGTATTGCAGTGTGAGCCAAAGGAAACGCAATGACGGGCGACCGGTTCGTACTTACACTTGAAGCAGCTTTTCAAGAGTTTGATCCATTTTATCAAGACACTTTGATTGACGTATTATATTCAATGATGTTCTTCCTCAAGTTTGCAATCAAAAGAAGCGTTTCTTACTGTTTGAGTGTTCTTTAGATACTGATCCACTTGTGTAAAAGCTTTGGCCGACTTTAAGGTCTCTTCGGCGACGTCAGATCTCCTTATACTTGCCTATGACATATACACATCTGAAAATATTCTATAGGGGACTCAAGGATGCTTCTGCGGAACCAATACCTACCCTTATGCAATTGCTCAGTTGTTCCACCGTTTGAATGGCCGAGTCATTGGATGATTGTTTCGAAAAGCCAAGCTGATCGTCTGCACCCAAAAGAGGAGATACTAGAGATGTGGCTATAGCACTGGCTTGATAGCTACCACTCAATCTTTTGGCCAATGTCGAGGGACTGGATGTTTTTGGTCGGTACATTGGATGCAAGCAGGGTCACGACCGGGGAGTATGATTAAAATCCCCCAAGCAAAAATAAATCGCACTTATCTCATTTTTTTCACCACTTCCTTTCGTCAAGTAAACTTTCATGCGGGGCATTGCCAATATCACAGACCTCGTTAATGGCTTCCGCTATTCAAAGGTTCTGTTTGCATCTGTGAAGCTTGGTATCTTCGATACGCTCGCACAGCATAAGAATGGCTTGGCAGTGCAAGAGCTTGCAAAGAAGCTTCCCAACCAAACCTTTGAGACGACTGATGGATTATCGAGACTCTTACGATGCTGCGTTAGCTTGGATCTCCTTTCCATGGATGCGGAAAACCGCTTTTCCGTGCTACCAGAAACGAGAAAGCACCTGACCACATCCAGCCCACAAAGTTTGGTAGGATACATCAATCATTCCAACGACATGCTGTATCCTCTGTGGCAGAACTTGGAAGCATCTGTGGTATCTGGTTCAACATGCTGGAAGGAATCATTTGGGTTTATCGAAGGAGGTGATCGTGCCAAGGCATTCGAACACATCTATCATGGCCCAGAGGGAGCCAAACGATTCCAGCGTGCTATGGAAAGTGCAGTGAATATGTCGGCTCCACAGATCGTGAAAATGGTCCAGTTAGATTGGGTGTCGGGTATTCTGGACTTGGGAGGAAGTACAGGACGATTTTGCAGTCACTTTTTGGATGCCAACCCCCGTTGCCAACGAGCTATGGTATTCGACCTGCCGCATATTGTAGATCTAGCCCAAGATATGCGCAAAGACGTACCTATCAACCATCGCGTAGAATTCTTGAAAGGCAGTTTCTTCGATCCACTTCCCGAGCTTCCCGGCGAAATCAATACCATCTTATTATCCCGGATTTTGCATGATTGGGACGATCCAACCTGCGAAATCATCCTCAAGAATGTACATGCTGCACTGGTTAAATCAAAGGCTCGGCGTGCTGGCGTAGTCATCTTTGATATGCTGTTTGAAGACGACACAAAAGTAACTCCAAAAGATACCGCCATCCAAGATGTTAATATGCTAGTTCAAACCGTAAGTCTCACCTGTAAACTTTTTATTCTATTTCAAAATGTGGCCTAAACCCATCACCTACAGGGAGGACGAGAACGCAGTGTCAGCGAATTGACCTGTTTGCTGGAGAAGAGCAACTTCACAGATATCCAGGTACATCGCACTGGCGACCTGCAGGATGTCACTGTTGCTTTCTGCAAGTGAATTTGACGAAGCAAACATATACCTTCATTTGATGATTTTGTATTGTAGTACACTTCTTCCATTCACCACATCAAACAAACCGATATTGCTGCAGGCCATGAAAAAAACTCTACATTATTTACATGATGGCATGAAAGCATCCACATATACGATGAGTGTGCTAAGTCTAAATATAAATAAAGTAAAAAAAAAAAAAAGAAAGAAAGAGATAGAAGAGTCGAACGTAGTTTCTTGTAGCAATATAATAACCCAAAAAAAAAAGGTGCTCGAGGAGGAGCCAAATGGCCAGTGGTGCGGCCGGGATGCCTTGACGGAAGGCAGCCTGGGTAATAGGAACGGTGCCAGGAAACCGCAAAGATATAGAAAAATTGAAACGTTTTTGGATAATAGAGTCAGGAAAGAAAAAAATTATATACGCTATTGTACACGAGTCGCTCAAAAGTCGAGTCCAATGTTGAAAAGTTCATCAGTGGCGAGAGTGCTGGCTCTCACCCTTTAGGAAAAACTTAAAATATTCATATACGCTCCAGCTAATGGCGGTACTCGGCATATGTGTAAGCACTCTAGGCTTATATCCGCGAAGGAAACCCTTGTATCCATAGTAGTCGTACACGATTTTGATAGCATCCCAAAGTCCTTTTGCGTTTCTCACTCGGGGGTCATTGCTGGAGCCTCTGGTTTGCAGTAATGTTTTGACCACATCTAATGGGGTTGTGATGGAAGAAGCTGTAGCTCCTGCGATAGCTCCTGCAAGCATATGCGTTTTTGGGTCGTATCCTCCATCAGAATTGATTTTTTTCCGGAAATACTCGTATGTAGCAAATTGTATGGATTGAAAAGGAATAGAGATACCCAAAGTAGTGGGTAAAGAGATGTAAAATGCGATTAAACCTTCATGAGTATATATTTTTCGAGCACATTCTCGCACAGTTTTGTAGGTTGAATCTTGAAGCTGCATGCGCTGCTTGACAACTAAGAGATGAGATGGTAAAAAAAAGGAGTCAGTTTCAACTGGTACTGAAAACATTGTCTGACTGGTAATGCAGAACACTCACCGTCAAACGGGTTGAGGAGCGAATCATGAGCAAGCGTAGCACATGCGCCCGCAGCGCCAGAAGCAACCAAGCTATTTCCACCATCGCTAAATCGGTCTTTGCAAAATTCATACGTGGCAAAGTGGAGAGCATGAGCAGGGCCTGCTCCCATTACAACAGAATTGACGCCTCGCCACAGATTCCGATGCGACTTCAGATTATTTCCCATCATTTGTCGATGTTCCCGAGCTGCTGTCGCCATAGCCTCACTGGCACTGATTGTGGTAGTTGAAGTGATAACTTGCGTTCGGGTCTAGATAAACAATTGAAGTTTAGGAGTATGGAACGCAAGATGCTGTATGCACTCTTCTCACCTTTATGCTATCAACGGGGTACATGACACAATGCTCGCCTATACCAGCTAGCGCTCCCGCTATCGCGTTCTGTAACATGGTGGAGTTGGTGCCCAGCGACTCGTAATCGAACTCATCTTCCATGGTATTGTGATTACAGTGAGAATCTGGGAAAGAGGACTAGAAATTTTAAAAACGTTAGCAACGGGTTGGAATAGAGCGTTGATATAGGGGTATGGTTGGCTATGATGCAAAGTGCCCCCATATGACATTGTGGGCAGCAGGATCGATGGTATTGTCTGGTCACACTGGTGCTCCGTATGCGAGCACAGGTTTGAGGAAGAGATCTTGGTCTTACCTTGACAAAAGAGTGGAAGGAAACTGAATGTACCGGTTTGCCAACGTGGAGAGATCTCTTCAAAAGTCAATTACACCAACACGGCCAAAATACTGACACAAAAAAAAAATTTCCAAGAAAGCAGTGGTAAGGTTGTGCCCGAGGTTTTTTCTATTTTGTCATCGTCAATTTTGTGGTGGACTGAGTTCAGCTTGGTGCGATGACAGGACACCACTTCCCCGCTCAAGTTGAACTAGCAATAGTACAAGTTACTAGATACAACTGCTCTTCCTTTGATGTAGGAATACACTCTTGCAAACGAATATAGTGGGCGTGTCTTACTGGCCAGCAAAATCTCACCATAAACAAGGCGATAAATTTGCCACTAGAACAGATTATCACACCGATAAAAATGATGCTCATAAGTTATGATATAAAGCATCAACCGCCGGGCAAGGTTGCTCATAACAGCAATATCCTATTGCTTCGAATATCCGTAGCACTGTCATCAGTGTTGTGATGATCTTAAGCACTTTTTTCTAAGATGATGGAGAATGAAGTGGAAGATATACGATAGCCGATGCATGTGAAAGCATGACCGACGATACTAAGGACGATTGCCAGAGTTCTCGACCATCAACTCCACGAAACTATTCATTTGCTCATGGGCAATGACACTGTCGTGGTTCTCAAATCTTCTCTCGTTGCTCTATGTCAGTACTTATGCACATATTTCATTCTCAACCCATCAATCTATGAAAGCGCGTGTAACCATCTGTCTGAGTATTCCGGGATTGGCTGGTGAGTGTATCACACATTCAATCGGTGAATGAGTATTTCACATTCAGTTAGAGCATGAAATCCTGCAATGGTAGGAGACAGAGTTGAACAGATTTTTGATATTTAGATGGATTGCAAACATAGCTGCTATTTTACAATCAGTCACTAATATTTTCTTTGTCCAGTGACTTCTTCGGGAAATCCAATCTGAGCGTCCCACAAGCATGTAGAATCCTCGTTGGTAGTGCTAAGATCGGTTGACGACGAAGCATTACTTGAAATAGTAGCTGCCGATGATCTTCTTTGATCGAGTATCTTTGAAAACTCAGAAAACGGCAAGTCCATAAAGCTACTGTTAGTCTGATAGAGAGATGTTAGAACATCCATAACTGCAGCATAAGGTTACAAGATTGAAAATCTCACTGGAGTAATGGTTGCTGGGTCTTCGCTGACTAGATTAGGTACTAGCTTAAGCTTTTCAAGAAATGCGTGGCCTGGATCCATTATTTTGCGTAGGAGAAAGAGAAAGTGTAATGGAATGAAAAACGCATCCTACACAAGCAATTTAACCACTCGATTTTGGGGTTAATAAGGGGCACTATCCATTGACCCTACCCCACTCAGTAAATTAGTATCACCTGCTGCTTCAGCAAGGAGTCGACACAAATCCGCCGATATTGATATATATTCCTCACATTGCAACCCCTCCAAACTAAACAATTATGAGACCACGTACAATTGAAGGCGGGGGAAAATATTTAAATTACTTATAGGGAGGAATATTAAAGCAAGCACTAGTTTATGTGATAAAGAGCAGGTCATGTTTCAAGAGAATCAATATCTAATCATGCCGCTATCCCTTCTTTCTGGAGCAGGTAGTTCTACAAGTCTAGTAAGATTGAGAGAAAGGGTATCTGCTGTGTTGTCCTTGCCAGAGGGGTACAAAGTAGTTGTCCGATTTCCATGTGGTTTTTGTGCACATATAATAACGATATGCTTGAGGATAAAGTAGGACATGATACACCCTAAAATAAGTTGAAGGATATCAATAAACCCATTGTGACAAAATAGTTAGTGATAAAGGAAAGGTGACTTGCATGCAAATAGATGAACAATGGAAAGCAAAGGCAAAAACGTAGGTATAAACGCTATGATTCCAACCAGTATACCGTACCCACTTGCAAGAAGGCTATTTGCAATACAAAGACAAACATGGGTCAGTTTTTTTGGCCATTGAATAGCAGCTGGTCATCGACTTACCAGTATAGCAAGCCATTGTGTAGGAGAGCTTGCTTAAGGCTGAGTTCTAAGCATATTTTCTGCCGATAAGCTTGCAGGATAAACATAACATAGGCCGCCAAGTAGAAAGTGATATCGAGGATCGCCTTGCCGTAGATAACCCAAGCGCCTATATCGGTACGAAAGTATAAGTTTAACAGTTTTACCATCACCCATCCACTTTGTTCGAAGGAATACGTGATACATACGAGACTGGGTAACGCATACAAATGCATTGACTGGGATGGCTACCAGCTGGCCAGCAGCCAATGAGATCATGATGTAGATGATAATCGACGCAAGAAGAGAGATACCGGTGATAAGGACCCACTTGGAACGCTTGATAGCGTATACGCGATGCAGTAACAGAGCTTGCAGCAAGAAGTCGCCGATGTTAATGGCAATCAGCTCAGCCACAGCCCGAAATTCACAGGAAATCGAAAGTAGGTACTCGGCCAAGCATAAGGCAGAGAACACTCCACCGAGTACACACTGGCACATGAGGATCACGATGACCTGAGACCAGTTCAATTTTCGAAAGCAAACATAGCACTGTATGCATTGCCACAAGAATGCCACGAAGCAAATCGAAGTCACCATGACTGACATGATGAGAGCCAGCATCACAGGGCCATCAGTCGCAGCAGTACTAGCCACGGTCGCTGGTGGTGGTGTAGGGGAGGAAGTGAAGCTGCTGGTCGCGGTAGCGATAAAGGACATTGTGGAACGAAAAGAAAGTGAATCCGATTGAATTGAAACAAAGAAGTAGACAATGCAATAAATTACATCAAGACTCGAGCCTTCAGCTTAAAATAAACATTATGCTCTCATTCGCTAAATCCTTTCAATAGACATTGTACGACATTTGCGACACATGGCTGCTGACGCCCATTTTTGATGGATCAGATGTTCGATTTTAATTTGGTATGGATGGTGAGAAGCTTGGAAAAGACAGATGAAGGTTATGTAAAAGAAAAAAAAAAGAATTTACAAAAGCAATTAATTTGACAGGGAACAGTAAGCAAATTGAGAAAACTGAAGACGACAAGAAACCAAGATAATGGGTAAATAAAGAAGTGTACCAAGATGCGTCAGTCTTGCAGAAATTTGGAAAGTAAGAATGCCAGTCCAGTATATTCAATGTCGATCATTGAATGCGCTTCTCAAGATGCAGCATGATATCCATATCGCTCGAGAAGATTGAGTTGCTTGGCCTGGCTACTCTTTGTAGACTTTTGTAACGATTCGTGGCGAGATTGCGTTGCTTTCATTGGAGACAGCTTATTAGACGGTTTGGATAGAGGTACATTTTTGTTGGAGGCTAAGGTTGACATAGATAAATGCAAAATGGTGTCAGCAACAGACATGTATGTAGTCACTGTCAGAAAAAGTAGCTTCCAACTTACATAGAGATTGTAATGGCCGCCTTGCCAAGTTCGACTTGGTGTTGAGCTCGTTTAAAAATGGTTGTTGAATGTTCTTTGTCTGTTGAAAAGTTGACAGAAAAAAATCAGCATTGTGACATAGCGTTGAAATATATATGCGCATGCTGCTTTTCCTTACTGTTTTTTCCATGCCAAACTTGGCTTTTATACCTTGGAGGATTTTGTCAGTGTGGCGGTCATTCTGAGCCAGCAAAAGACGGTCAATGCCAGCATTTTCTTGAGTAGCAAGAGGAGGCTCCTCTTTCTTTTTGGCGGGGACAGACGATAGGAAAAATCGACTGACGGTGCGTATAGTGCGAGCTTGTGTTGAGATGGATGGCACAGTTCCTCTGTGCTGGACAACCGAGGGCCCAGTATGAGGCAGGGTCAATCGGTCAACTCGTTTATCGCCCAATGTATGGGTGGATGTACGCGCCCTCAAAACATCCACACGACCGTGATCATTAAGCTCGCCAAGTGCATCGGATGATGGTCGCTTCAGAGGCGTAGAAGAACGGACTACATCCTGTGTTACGCTCATGGCTGGTGTCGAAGAGTCGGAAGATTGGGATGATATAGACAAATCATGCATGACTGACCCCATCAAACTGCTTTCACGTCGAACGAGTGGTTGCTGGCTATTAGGTTTAGCAAGTCCAGCTGACGATTTTTGATTTTGTGATGCTGTGGATGGTTTTGCTAAGGCAATGCGAATTAGCTTTCTCGTTTTCTTTGTTACCATGAGATACAAAGCGTTGGACATACCAAAATAGTTTGCAATGGACTTTTGATTAGCTAAAGCTTGGTTGTTATTCTCTCCGTTACGTGTAGAAAGTACATTGGATTTTGGCTGTTAAATTTGGAATGCAGAAAGTAAGCATAGAACACGATAAGCGACAGAAACCAATCTGAGATCCTTACTGGTATATTTTCCTTGTTATCGTATCTCGCATGCGATTGGATATCAACAATGGGTTTATGCGTACATGGATGTACAATGCCTTGGGCAACTTTGGTGGCCGTATCCTTGTCGAGTTTCTTACCCAGGAATGACATGTCGTTGGTGTCTAGGCTTTCCGGGAGAGGCGTCAAATGAATCATCTCCCCACTATCCACATCATACACTCTCTGATAGAGAAAGGTAAACTCAGCACGGTTGAAGTCCAGTTCGTAATCTACCGGCACAGGAATCTTTCCTTCGAATCGTATAAACTGAATGACCTTATCTGCAGTTTTGTACTTTTGTAACAGTTTATGGGCGGTTTTGAGACCCATACCAGATAAAGAAGGCAAATAGTCGCAGCCGGAAAGGATGCACATTTGTCGAATGTCACTTGTCGTCCAGCCTTTCAGATTGATATCGGTGACGGACGATAGTCTATCCAAATTAATTTCAATGCCTTCACCATATTTATCCAGTTTGAAGATGATGGTTTTGCAGCCAAATACAATCATATCTGAATCTTCCGTGATGACGGCGGTCACTTTGCCAGATTTCATAAGATAAGCCAATTGACCATCTGCTTCATACGGAGCAACAACATATTTCACATTTTCTTTCTTCAATTGCTAAGGTTACGACGAGGATGGTTAACCGCGAGTGAGAATATCCATGGCTCCTGATGTAGATTTAACCAACCTTTATGACTTGATATGCCATTTCAGGCGTAACATCGACGCATTTTTGAAAGCATTCAAAAGCCTTTTTCCGGTCACCGACACGTAAATATTCCATGCCTTTTGCCCTATACTCTTCGCGTTTCCTGTGAACAGTGGTGTGAATGGATGTAACCTTGCAAATAGTGCCGAGGTGGCGGGGCAGACCGCGAGCAAAAAAATGAAATACATACGCATGTCGATCTTCCTCGGTATGGCGCTTAGAGGGTAGCTTTCCGCCGTCAAACACAATAATAGGGTCGATCTTGTTGAATTTTAGCATTTTGATATAGTGCATAAAATATTGGATATATCTGTATGACGCGAATTAGCATTGATTGGGCATATCAAAGATGGCGGCCACCCGTGCGCTATAAACTTACTTGTCTGTGGGTTTCCCCATGGCAAGCTCCATTGCGCACGAAAAGACGCCCCTGTGGAGCCACACGTAGCCGTCGACCGCAATGGACTGTCCACTGTACTCTCGAATGTGAACTTTTGCATGAATAGATTTCAGAATGGGAATGAGGCCGGATATACCCATCGCCACAAGTTAGTCAAGAAGTGCCAAGAAATTCAAGAAGGATTCAAGAGAAAGATGGAAACAAGTTGAGGATGGCTAGCCGCGTGCGTTGTTGTGCGTTGAACCTGACTTTCTTTTTTTTTTTCCAGCCAATTTGAACCCAAAGCGATATTGGCTGAGTTTAATTACATTATGATAGCCTGCACACAACACTTGGGTTTTTTATTGAACACAAGCAAAGGATATAATGAAACACTTGGGAAGAAGAATATGCGTAGTCTAGGTAAATGGTCTATTTGTTGTGCCATATGAAGTTGCGCAAAGAGTTCCAGTTATTCGAGTCGTTGTAAAGGTACTGCATTGAAGCTTGAAGGGATGGTTGCAAGACATTTCTCTCATGTCTGAACTGATACATGACCACACCCCATATCAACGCAGCAAACACCGGCCAAGTATGTTGTGGTGCATCAATGATCTTGCGCTCAACAGGAGCCTTGGCCAAACCGATGAGAACACGTGAGAAAAGGTATAAGACAATCTAGGGAAGAAATTCAAATTACTATTTGCAGCACACACAAACCCACTACTGCTCCTCTGATCCCATACCTGTTGATTAATATTATTGTTGGTACCGAAAACATAATAACCTCCAACTATGCCAGCAAAGAAGGAGTGTATGTCCTGTTCCTTTCCTCCGTTCATGTGCTTTTGAACCAATAGGAGAGTCTTGTAAATGGTAACAAACATGCCCAGGTTCTTTGCGTGTTGCTTGGTAGCATTAAATATGAAACGCAGTTTATCCTTGATTCTAGAGGTTGAAGCTTGGTGATCAGCTTATGATGCCATATTGGCCGCCATTTCAGAGATCACAACAACTTACGGGCCAGTTTTAAACAGGAAGGTCATAACGACGGCATGAGGGAATCGCACCTTGGCACCATACACAATACCATTTCTGAGACCTTTGACAATAGCCAGTATATCGTGATACTGGGGATCGAGAATAATCTTTGTCAATGAGTCCATGGTTGTGAAGAAGGGAAAGAGCAGACTGGTTTAGGCGGGCTTTCTTTCACATGCCAAATAGCCTGAGTCAGCCTGAAAAGGCAAATCGTGCTGACTGACACTTGAAAGCAAAGGAAATTCTTCGGCTCTAACCAGGCAAATGGTTGGACAAAATCACGGGTACCGACAAGCTATAGCGTAGTATAAACGAAAGAAAGATACAAAACTCATATACATCGTTTTCTACATAATCGTACTTCATTTCTTATTCAATAGTCTTTTTGTTTCGCTAGCCTCTGAGCAAAGAATTACCAAACCGTTGTGTGTAACATAAAGCAAAGTCAGTTCCGTGAAAATATTCTTCATGACAAAAGCACATTGTCAGAACGGTAAGAAAACAACAAAATAGAAAACATAATTTCTCCCAAGTTTATGTATACCGTCAGTGAAATACCTTTGTTTAATAACAGTTGATTTGCAAAGTCAACTAGCTTATTCGCCCAACCTACGCGGGCCTATTTACAATCAAGTTGTTGCCTTGATGGCGATACCTGTCTCCATTTGACACCAAAACCTTCACGGCTGGAACGACAATTCTAGGTTAATTCCTCTCTCCCAAGTGTTCTGGCTGGTAGAGCCAATCCCTTCATAACCTGTTTTATTTTTAATATGGATATGAAAAATTCCTTATAACTAGGCACCTACCGGTTGGCCATCTTCTTTCGATCTTACAGTTTCCTTTCTTTTCCCACTTAGGGTATATATCCACACACACACCTCTTGTCAGAGAGAATCCCCCCACATCTCGTAAATTTCAGCACAGATGTATATACAAAAAGCCATCTTATTGGCACTTGTGGGAGTTACTGCCACAGTTCGAGCTCAGACAAACGAGACAAGCGAAGAGGATGGCAGTCCGCTTTTGACGCCTTCCAAACCTCCGCTTACAGAGCCATATGTTGCTCCTACCGAGCCTAAATACAATTATGCCGAAGTGATGCACAAATCATACCTATTTTACCATTCCCAAAAATCGGGTCATTTGCCCTACCAAAGATTGGCCTGGAGAAGCCACTCTTGCAAAAACTGCATTGGTGCACACGGTGAAGATTTGAGTCAAGGATGGTATGAAGCCGCCAATACCATGAAGTGGGGTCTTCCATATGGTTTTACTGCCACTCAACTTGCATACAACATCTTTATGTTTGGAGATGCTATGAAGTCTGTTGATGAATTGGCCGAAGGTCTTGAGTTGATGAAGTGGGGTGCTGGTAAGTAATGAACCGTTTAGAATGAAAAAATAGAATTAGAGTCAGCTTACTCAATTCTATCCCGATTGAAGATTATCTCATCAACGCTCACCACAATGATACCCATTTTGTCGGTCAACTTGGTGTATCCGCGTTGGGACCCATTTCCAAGCAAATTGAATTGGACGTTGATTTCAATTACTGGGGTCCTCCTGAGGAATATGAGGATTGGGTTCCTACCGGTCTTCCTCATACTGCTTACTACAGCTCTGCCGATGATCCGGCGTCTGAAATTGCTGGTGAATATGGTGCAGCCATGGCTGCTACCGCTGCTATCTGGAGAGAATACAACTCCACTTATGCTGACGAGCTCATTGATCACTCTATTCGACTTTACAAATTGGCAACTGAACATCCTGGTTCCTATGTCAACAGTAGCCAAAATGCATTTGAGTGGGCTACCTTCTGGTACCCATCCACTCGCTATGAAGATGAAATTGCCTGGAATGCAGGATGGTTGTATGCTGCTACCAAGGATCCCCAATGGTTGGATCAAGCAAAATATTGGTACCAAAAGAGTAACGAGTCGTGGTACGAATACTCTTGGGATGAAAAGGGTGCCGGTATGCATGTTCTGATGTATACACTCACCAAGGATGATTTCTTCTACAACAACGCTGTGGAATATTTCGATTTCTTCCTCCCTGGACCCAAGCAACAGGCCAAGTTCACTCCAAGAGGATTGGCTTATGTTGACCATTGGGGCTCTGTTGGTTATTCCGGTAACATCGCTTTCTTGATGTTAGCCTTTGCCAAGTCTTTAGGATGGGATCATCCCAAGTCTAAGGAACTGACCACTTTTGCCATCCAACAAATCAACTATGCTCTCGGAGATTATGGCTACTCGTGGGTCGTTGGGTAAGTTCAAGTCAAAATTTGTGGCGGAGAAGAGTTATTCTTATAGAGGAAACATCTCGTCATGTTTGTTTGCTGATGCCTTCATGCTTCATAGCTTTGGAGACAATTATCCACAAATGCCTTACCACAAGTCTTCCTACAACGCCTACATCGATTATCCTATGAGAGGAAGATTCCAAGATGAGGTTGAGGGTGATTTCACTGGATCCAAGACTAAGCAACGATTCATCTTGTACGGAGCAGTAGAAGGAGGACCTAATATCGATGACACATACCATGACGATCGTTCAAACTATGAATACTCTGAGGTGACACAAGACTACAATGCAGCATGGACCGGCGCCATCGCAGGATTGATTGACTATTATGGCTTTGACAAATTCGAGCCTTACACTGACTGTGGGTTGGACTTGGGCTGGACTCATCCTAATGCCTCTGCTCAACCCGTATGGCCAGCGGATGATTGCTACCATACCTGCAACAAGGGATGTCCACGTGGCCAAATGTCTTCCAGTCACTCATGGAAGATGTTGATGAACAAGGTTAACTTTGACGGCACTCCGATTACCAACCAGAAATTAGTCAGTACCAGCAACAAGAAGGCGAATGTCTCCGTCGCCGGGGATAAGAACGCCCCCAATGCTGCTTCCTCCAAAAGCAGCAGCGGTAACAGCAGCAAGGCCGTGGGAAGTCTACTTGGCCTTGTCATGATCAGCTTTGCTTTATTGTTTTAAATTAAATCGATATCCCATATACACATAAAAATCGGAGATACGGCTGTTTAGAAATAGAAAGAAACAATAGACGAATAAAAAGCTCACGCCATCTTTCTACATCCTAAGCTGCCCCTATTACTGATGTCATTACGGAAGCATTCGTGCAACGTACGTGCATTACTGTAAAGAGGACCAAACTATATATTCTGCTGCGTTTAGAAAAAAGGGGGGGAGGGATTTTTTTATATTTACATCTGATGGACTATATTACTCCAGTTTGATTTAGTTGATGGTAGCTAGCTAGCAAAAAAATTGGAAATGCAAAAAAAAATATATGAAAAGAGGGGGAATGGGAAGTGAGCGTTGGGTAGAAATAGGGACAAAGACGGAAGGCTTGCATTTGGTTCACATCACTCGCATACCATAGCTGGCAATGTCCATCAAGATCTGAGCAGCCTGGAAAAAAAAAAAAAAAAGATTAGTAATGTGTCAGATTGAACAACGAACGGAGTGGGCCACCAACTTACTTCCATGACCTGTACTTGTTGCTGCTTATTCATGTCCAGCATGCCTTCCACCATACTCCAGCGATCCATATGTCTGTCCCAACGGTGTTTGGCTAAACACTTTGGGTGTGCAAATGAAGCTCCGCAGGCGTCGCATTCCATTCTCCCTCCTACTTGATCACAGTCGCAATGGTCGTCTTCAACCATGGGCTTACTATTCTTTTGACGTTTGGAATTCCCTTTTGGTTTGATATCAAGTACCTCATAGTGAGGAGCCTGGTTCTGACGCTTCCGTTTAGTGGGTTGTTTACCATTTTCCATGGCTGGCGGCGGAGGCGGTGGTTGTTCCGTGTGTGGAGGAGGCGTAGGATACATTTGCATAGGATGATACACTTGTGGTGGTGGAAGTCCACTTGGTGGTGGGAGGATGTAGAATGGCTTGCCGTAGTACTGCGGTCCGTCTGAATGAGGTGGTGGAGGAGGGTAAGGTCCATAATTCGGTGGTGGCGGATAAGCAAACATAGTGTTGGGCGGTGGAAGGGGTTGTCCATGTGGGAATGGAGGTGGATTAGGCTGTTGCTGGTCAATGGTGTGCTCGGCAGGCATTGAATGAGAAGGGAAGTGTCAAAAGAAGGAAAGGGAAACAAACAGATGTTCAGGAAAAAAATTGCTTCTTTTTCACAATTGCCGGGATTTCAATCCCAAGAAAAGAAAAAAAAAAATCATCGGAATAGCCAGACAAAGAGTGATCTGTATGATCGAATGGCATCATCTACTGATCCACTATGGATGATAGATTCAAATTTGCGAAAATGCCATGTTGAATCATGAAGCTATCAGTCTAGCAGGAGATGAGCGACGGTTCACCTTTAAAAACCAGGTTAAAATAAGGGAACCTCTTCCGAAATGCAATAAAAGTTTTTTTTGCCTAAGCTACCGTTTTGGAACATTTTTAAGCACCGGTTCATTCCCAGCTGCCACGGCCGCTCATTTGCCTTTTGCCTGGCTTTACAGCAGCAGTTGCCTAAACCCTCATCGTCATGCCAGAGCCTACCAAAGAGCAAATTCAAGAAGTCTTTAAAAAGTTGAAATCAAGCAGATACAACAAGGTACACCTACCATTACCATCATTCATGCATAATGACTCGCAATCTCTAAATTAATCTCCCTGCATTCGCCTTCAAAGGTTTGCTTTGATTGTAACGCGAAATCCCCAACATGGTCATCTGTTACCTTTGGTATCTACTTGTGTCTTGACTGTTCTGCATCTCATAGAAATATGGGTGTTCATATTAGCTTTGTTAGGTAAGTTGGATCGTTTACACCCGGTTCATGTCTCCCATTATGCAGTCTGACCGCCGCCACACATTGGCTTTTTAGGTCAACGGTCTTGGATACTTGGACCTGGGATCAACTTCGCACAATGAAAGTCGGCGGTAACCAAGCTGCCAGAGAATACTTTTCTGCACATGCTGGTTCATCTGCTAATAAGGATGCTAGAACGAAATACTCCAGCCCTGCTGGAACCAAGTACAAAGAAGTGTTGGCCCAGCGCGCCAAAGAGGATGCTATAGCGTAAGTACCAACCCATCGTTTGGGTGATTCGTAGCAGAATTTTTAAACTTTTCCGTTCTCTAGTCACCCATCTTTGTTGGACCTTGAAACTGAGAAAGAGGCTGTCACACCCGCTTCATCGACGCCTCTCTCACCTGCTGTGTCGGCTGCGAGCAACACCACCACGCCTGATGTACAAAAAGAAAATGATGACTTCTTCACCAACTTTGAAAAGCCAAAGCCAGCCTCTAGAACCAGTTCTAGTCGCACAACAGCCTCGTTACGAAGTAAATCTAACCTTTCATCATCCGCCAGTCGTGCACGAGTTGGAGCCAAACCTTTGAAGCTTGGTGCAAAGAAAGGAGCTGCAACATTCAACTTCGAAGAAGCTGAGGCAAGAGCTAAAGAGGAGAGTGAGCGGGCTGCTAAACTTGGCTACGATCCCGCCGCTGAAGCTGCCGAAGAAGCAGCGGCTGCCGAGGAATCCAACTCCGGTTCAACTTATTCGTCCAGATTCACGTACAACGACAACTCAGTATCCAGCAGCAGCAATAACCAAGCTACTGAGAAACAAGAAGATATAGATAAGCTTGGATTCGGAATGTCACGACTGGGATTTGGTGCTGTTCCCCAAGCTTCCTCTACTCAGAACAAGGTCAATGTTTCATCTCGAATGACTGGTTTCGGCTCCAACCCACGTAGCTTTGACGATGAAACTACATCAGAATCCACCTCAGCTCGTGACAAATTTTCAAACGCTAAAGCTATCTCTTCCGATCAATACTTTGGTCGTGGAAACTACGATGAAAGCGCCTCTGCTGAAGCAAGAACTCGACTCGCCCAATTCAAAGGCGCTAATTCCATTTCGTCTAGCCAGTACTTTGGACGTGATGAAGACGAAATGGCCCCTCGAAATTCATCTAACCCTGCTGGATACGAGTGGGATGATTTGCAAGATCACGCTACAGACCTTGCTCGTAAGTTTGTAGATCAAGCCTCTGCTGATGTTGGTGCCCTTAAGGACATTGTTGAACAAGGAACCTCCAAGGTATGATACGGTTGGTGAACGGGAAAAAGATGGATGTACATGCCTTATTGAATGTTCTTTTGTTTTCTTTTCTAGTTGTCGGACATGCTGCAAGATCTTCAGAGCCGCTATAACTATTAAATTCTTTCTCTCATTTTCTATCTAAATGCATCGACAGCCCTCACAGTAGATCCAATCATTTCTATTTGCCATGGTCCATCTTTCGTACGTCTTTGAATGAAACCCCAGCGCCATGACGATATAAGTATTGGGAACAAAAAAAGAGGATCATAAACATAATCATCCTTACCATGCTGTTATTGTAATAAAGTTTACATTTGATATCCTTATCACTCCACCGAGTTGTTTCAAGGAGTATATACACTATTGAGTTTCAACATTGTCAATATGTTTTATTTCAATTTGAATACTATCTTTCTTTTTTGTTAATTAAATCACCCTATATGACCCTGAACGCAAAACAACCTGCTTGATCACGAACTACCGCCTTATATGAGATGAGTAGTCTGGACACCACAGGCTTGGAAAAAATTGTAGGTCCCTTGTACTTCAAATCCAAGTCTCTCGTACATTCGCTGTGCGTGAGTGAGCTGCTTATACACTTCAAGGTATATATCACGACCACCGGCAAAATCCTGCAACGCTTGGGCGGTGCAAGCGGCAGCTAAGCCAAAGCGCTGGTACTTTGGATCCGAACCTACCACTTGCACTAAACCGAGGTCCGAGCTGCTTTTAGGGAAAAACAGCATGGCGGCTGAAGCAGCAACATGACGACCATCGTCCAATGTCAAAACGGCAATAGCTGTCTTGTATTCATCCGGCATACTCAATTGTTTGACAAGTTTAATGCGTAACCACTCTGGGTTGTCACCATAGTTGAAGGATGCTGCGAATATGTTGATCAATGCGTCCAAATCATCCATTGTGGCGTGCTTGATCGACACATTTGTGGCGTCCATGTTCTTGATGTGCGCCGTTGCAGAATCCTCCTTAGCCTTCCATCGCATGATAAGATCGGTGTCATGCTCAATAGTATAGGATGATCCCAGAGCCTTGAAATGAGTTTCGAAAGCTGCCATGGAAGGAGTAGCTCTTTCATCAACGAAGAATCTTGGAACCAAATTGTCCTTGCGGTACTTTTGCTCTAAACTGGAAATGACGGAGTCAATATCTTGCTCCTTCTCCAAGCGCAAACGGCAACAAAAGTTGGTCATTTTATGTTCGGGATTATCAGGGTTGAAGAACGCCAGATACTGCGGTGTATCTTCCGTAGTAGCTGCCAGGGCTTTTCCATTTTCAAAGTTCAGAAAAGAATCGTTGTCAATATAATCGCGGCCCATTTTGTTGAATAGTATTAAAGAAAAGTAGAATGAGAAGAAAGGCGTGAGACACTGCGGCAGTGAAAAGTGAGCGAACAAAACTGTGACCATTGATTCTCCGCGTTAGCAGCTGCGGCGCATGGTTATACAACATGACAGCTTATATCGCCATCCGTACGATTAAATCACATACCAGCGTAAGTAGCGTAAAATGGATAGTTTATGAATGCCTTTGAGGCTTCGCCTGCAGTACAATATATTGCCCTTGTGGCCGTTTACAGCTTAACCAAAGCCTGTAGGTCACATGACTCTCACACAAATTTTGAGTTTATAAAAGTGGTTTCTGGTAAGCTCAGCAGACAGCTCGGTGGTCATGGATGTGAACGTGGTAGATGATGAGGCACAATACCAAGCCATTCGTCACAATGACAGAATATGGAGAATACCAATACGGAATATCAACGACAAGAAAGTCCTCCTCTTATCCGACATTCAATCATTTATACCCTCAGCCACAGGTGTAGTCAGCAACGACAAGCTTGTACCTTTTGTCATTGACCAGAACACAGGCGCCCAATTACTGCCCAAGCGAATTGAAGTCAAAACCGCCGGCGCAAATATCTGGGACATATTACACTCTGACCCAAATGACCAAGATGTGTCTACTCGAATAGCGCAGCTTGAAAGCAAATACGAAGATCTTATTAATCGACTGGACCGCTTATTACCAGCCAGTGATGACACCAGTCTTGAAACCAACCCACTGCACTATTTAGTTATCAATCCAAATTCACGGACTCAGTTGGACGAAGATATAACCGAAAGCAGCGGCTCGTCCGACTGTCATCGCCAAGCCCTCAGCAGTGACGGCTTGTCACATGAAAATGATGAATTGAGCGAAGGAAGCAACGATAACGTAGAGGTGACCCCGTATGCAGTGGATACATGCGACGATGCGCGGCACATGAGTAATACAGTACCCCGACTATCCGTCGGCAGTACTCTTCCAGTACGTCAGAACACAGGAGATCCGGATGAACCACCATCGTATGAAAATTCCATCCTGGGTAATATACGAACATTGACAGAACGACTGTTGGAGTTTGAGGCGCATATAGGGAATCGACACAAGAGTCCACGATGGTTGACGGAGCGGAATGAATGGCTTAGTCGAACGCCAGGCAATATTGAACAATTTGCCATTCATCTTGTGGAACTCGAGATGGCTTTGCTGTGGACCGCCGTTGCTGAGAGTTGGATCAATGAACGAGAGACTTGGCTTAATCTTGTGATGAATGCTCGATCTTTACGGCATCTGGCTGGAGCTCTTATCAGTCTTGAACGGCATACTCTTGTTCTGGACGAAGAATGGCCAACGGTCCGAGAGCGATGGGTCAACGACTTGTTGGAAATGCTAGTTGTTCCCTACAGCCATTCCTAGTTCTTTTCTGTGTTTCTTCTTACTTTGTTTTAAAAAGCACATAATATTCATTTTTGCGCAATAGCTACATTCGTCCCCTTTGTACCGCATGTTCGTAACCCATCTTTCCTCTGTCATGTCACCCTGTCTTTGCTCAAATTTGTACCCAGTCACACTATCATAAAAGATAACCATTACAGTCTTCCATTGTACTCATAACCCTCACTATTACAACTCTAAAACGTGAAGCACATTAACTCCATGCACCAAACTATGTATCCGCAGAAAAATGAACAATTTATTCATTTATTAGGAACTTTTTTTCAAAATGTTGGGTTGAGGGTTGCAGTGTGAAAAATTTGCGAGATTTTTACTGACGAGCAGCAATCTCCTTGGCAGCGAGAGCAGCACGCTTGCCCATCATGGCCTCAGACTTGGGGCCACGGAGACCACCACCCCATTGGCGACGGTGCTCCTCGAACTTCTCGTTGTAGTTGGACTTGATGGCAGAGACAACAGCAGAGAGCTCAGACTTGTCAGCATCCTTGACTTCAGTGAAGGCAAAAGCAGTGGCGGTCTTCTTGTGGACGAGAGTTCCGAGACGAGCCTTGCCCTTGACAATGCAGTAAGGGATGTCCATCTTGCGGCAGAGAGCGGGCAAGTAGAGGACGAGTTCGATGGGATCGACATCATCAGCAATGACAACGAGTTGAGCCTTCTTGGCCTCGATCAAAGCAACGATGTGGTTCAAACCGTACTTGACGACAGTGGGCTTCTCGGTTTCAACCTTCTTACCCTCAGCCTTGGCAGCAGCAGCAGCACGGAGACGCTCCTTCTTCTCAGCAGTGGTCTCGGGTCTGTACTTGGCAGCAAGCTTGAAGAGCTGGGTAGCAGTGTTCTTGTCCAAAACCTTGGTGAACTGGTTGATGGAAGGAGGAACCTTGAGGCGCTGGTTCAAGATCTTCTTTTGGCGTTGAAGACGGACATACTCGGGCCACTTGACGAAACGGGAAAGATCGCGCTTGGGCTGAATGTCTTGACCGACACCAAAGTTGCGGCTACGCTTCTCAATGAGAGGGTTAGCGGGAGCCTTGGTAGTTTGCTTACCCTTGACGGGGTAGGGAGCGGGAGCAACCTTCTTGCCAGTAGACTTCTTAGCCGGGGGCTGTTAGGAGAGCAATAAGATGGGTAAAATTTAGTAAAATGGCCTAGTTGTCAGGTGTGAATTTGAAGAGGGCAAAATTGGAGAATGTCGGATTCACAGATCATAGAATGCAAGTGGCCATGATGAAAGGAAAAATTCGGCCTATTTCTCCATCATCGTATCACATCGATCCATCCATAGCTCTTATTCATCCATCTGTTGATGATCTATGCATTCTTTGGTTGCTTTCCCTTCATAATACATGATATCCAACTTACCATTGCGAAAATAAGAGAAAGTTCGACCCATTGCAGCTTGGTCGACTCAATATATCGAATTTCGGCTGCCGCCAAAAAAATTCCGTGACCACCTTTTTTTTTCGAACAATGTTGGCTTCGTATCATCCATGTATCGTGCACTCCATCCTCTTCATTGATAACAATACCTGATGGCAACATTAGCCACTGAATTGATCATTGAAATTGTCTATGAAAAAAAATATCGTGTTAGAGACAGATTTAGTTTGAGAATTAACTACCACTCAGAACTGTTGACAACTGCCTGCAAGCTTGGACACTTTGTTGTAATACGCAGAGCATCACAATCACAATACGGGAACGATGTGTCTTGTTAAAAAATTTAATGAGATAAAGATATTTATTGATAATTCTATGGCAGCTTTGCGTACATTGGCCATTCCAGTATATGGCCCGCGGAATGCTATTGAATAAAAATAATTCCCAGAAAAATTTACCATTGATGCTCACAATTACAGTTTAGGCCACTCCCTTACGCCGCCACCGTGTACTAGCCCTCCAGATTCAAACAAAAAAGTTAAAGTAGATAAATATGATAACATTGGCGCATCGATAACATCTGTACTGCTCAGTGGTGGAAAGTTGCACTGTCATGTACATATACTCACATTAACTTTCATACAAAACAATTGATTGCGCTGCTAAATGCCTGTCATTGTCTTATCATGTGAATGAAACATAAAGCTGAAATATTGATCTCGATGAATTGATCTTGATTGAGCACAGTACAACCAGGAAGCATTAAAATCAGCTAAAGTAAATGCTGCACAAATAATATTAGACGTAAATTTCGTTTAGGTTCCGGGCACACGACCCCGTTAAGCAAGCGTGCCGATAACCCCACAGTGAATTGTCCGCGGCTGTAGATCCAGGGCAGCGATTGTGCCACTGAATGGCCGCACAGCTCTCCTGTAAACTCTCAAGTTAGGAAGAGTGGGGATGATACAATCACAGCATTCTAATTTAAGGTTTCGGTATGATCCATTAATACGGTTGGTATAGGACTCTAAAATCCATTCACAACTGAATGTTGTAAGGTAACCTTTGTCGTGAAGAGTAGTCATTCTGTTATAACCTTGTGGTTTGAAAAACCAAAAAGCATTTGTGCCCGCAAAGCTTTCAGTTCTTTCTTCATCCCCATAGTCAAGCTCATCGATCAGCACATCTATGCAAATAATTCCCCATACTTTTGATAAGTACCCCATAATTCCCATACAGAGTTTGTACAACAGTTTAAGAGATGATGATGGGATTTTAATGGGGGATGGGGGGTTCAATAACGGCTGGAGACGGCGGGTGAACATCACAATGACAATGTCCAGCAAACACCGCGCCCAGGGCGAGAATCACGTGATTGGGAATTTTGAGGCAGCTTGCGACAACGCTCATGCTCGTCTTGCTTACCAAGTTCAAAGAAACAGCAATCACATAAAAGCTGGGATATTGTGATGAATACAATAAATTCGTAGGGTCATCAATCGACTTTCCTTTCAATTCATCTATTTTGACAGGTCATCACCAATCCATGGCCGAAAGGGTTTTCTCGATTGACAAGCTGTCAGACGGGCTTGCATTCACATTAATTGTAAAATATAAGTAATAAAAGCTAGGTTATGCCTACGTTCAGATATAATGATGGATGAAAGGACGGCGGCACGCAAATATCTGCCAATGATAAAGCAATATAATGCATGAGACAACGCAAAGTTACGGAAAATACAATTGTACGAATGAAAAATGAATTATAAAAAAATAGGGGAAACTCTTGCAATGAAGTACAAACACATCACATCAACAGGAGCTTGCAGTAAATAATAGGGGGTCCTGCCCATCGTGCTTAGGTAAGTAAAGTAATAGCTGTGAAAATAAATATAGCTAGTGGCCATTTTGATGTATGGAATATGTTGGGAGATGGAATATTAACAGGTGAGGTACAGTGTATGACAGTCGATAGGTTTGCAGATATATAAATGACAGGGGGTTTGACTACATATTGTACTGACTCGGTGACTGTTGCTCCACTGAGCGGCCCTGTGGGGTAATGTAGCGTCAGTAACATTAGCTTCTCTTCTCCCTATCCTCACGTATAAGCGCCTCACCACTCAATTCCATGAAGTGTGTTTCATGATGAAAGGACTGGAGATGCATTTCAGTCAGAAAGCATTGTGGCGCAAATTTTGGCAGTGGTTCAATATGATTTACCGATTTAATATACAATGCGTGACCTAGGTTGTTCGATCCAGAATATGGATGATGGTATTGAGGTACATGCAGCTGTTGTTATACAAATTGGTCAAATGGTTCAGAAAGAAGAACATGCCACTATGAGGCGCGCACCTTATGTAATCCCAAGCTCGCACCCGCGATCTGCCAATAAACACAAACAAGTATGGCAGTGATGGGTATGAACATTGAAATGCAGCGTTCAAAAGATAGAAAGAAGAAAATAGGTATGAACCATTTTTTTTTCCAACTGTGATGCTATTAGACTATAGGGTGATGCTTACAACAGGAGTGCCTATGGTAGAGGAGAGAAGGAGAGATCAGGGGGGTAGAAGACACAGGAGGATAAAGATTTAGGCTTCGCTGCCGCAGCGTCCATCAAACACACAGAAGCCATTTTATGTACTATGATCAACCTTTTCCCGTTCTTCCACCCGCCCTGAAGGGAATGAATGCCCAGACAAAGGAGTCTGACTGAGTGGGCAACCGAGGTTATTACATAATGCAACAATTTGCTTTGTATACCTGAAATGGCATTGTCCTCACTCCCTATCATGTCAAACTGAAACATGACTGTTGTTAGCTGGTTTCCTTTCTCAAGAAGTAGCCGGCCGGTCATGAAGAGGCAACGTAGTCATTTGTTATTGACCATTTGCAGATCATAGTATAACAAACAAAGGCACTCCGTCGCCAAATTCCCCACGATGCGGACTTGCAGCCATGGGTAGCATCATCACAGCTGGGAAAAGACTGGCAAATGACCGAGACATACTCCGCTGCGAATGGCACCTCTTCGCTCTTAACCGATTTCAAGTGGCGCTTTGAAAAAAAAAAAAAAGAACCACAGTATTTATATATTTTTCATGTAGTGTTCCTGTATGTGCACCATGGCGATTCATCCTTTCTCATTCGATCCAAGAGAATCATCCACGTCATATAACTCTATATCATAAACTATTTTTGTCACTCTATTTTAGCGTATTATACCGCTCAGCTATATTTTCAATATACGCTGAAGGTAATCTGGGAAATGACGGGGTATAATACAGTTCTTGTTTGGTTTGGTTAGCTGGGCAAGCTGCAAAGAAGTAGGCAGTCATGTGTAGTTATTTTTGTTGGGATGGCCGGGTTTCACAATTCCCCATTTGGAACCCACAGACTTTTTTTTTCATTCCCAGTAAGGAAGATAGTGTCCCACTCCATGATGGATTCTGAGAAGTGGGTATAAGAACGATCTGGACCTTCATCTCCATTTCTTAGCATGATGGTATCCGTTTACAAGGTCGAGATAGACACACACGTTGATAGTATGAAGTGAAAGGCTTTACCATTTACGGTAAAAGTGACAAAAGCATCATTTTCAACGGAGCTCAGGGAATACTGTGGGGTGGGGGTTCTCTGCAGGGCCCCCCACGGAAAATACAAATTCGAATTTAGCCGATTGGGTCAATGAGGACTGTTCCTTGGATTGACCAATCAATGGCGCTCCACATAAAGCGGCGGGCTAAGCCGTGGATGATGATGTGCATCTAGTTTCGGTGGGGTGTAACAAAAAGTGCTTGGAGTCTTTTCTCTGTTCAACCTACTTTTCTTATTTTTTAATATACTCTTTAATAATCATCACTTCTACAATGCCTAAGAAACTCTCTACTTCCAGTAAAAAGGCAAAAGACGTAGCTCAGGACGCCAACGCTGATCAGCCAAAGCGATTTAAAGTGACCCTAGCATGCGTCGTATGTCGTAAGAAGAAGGTCAAATGCGATGGAGTTCAGCCGGCCTGCTCTCGTTGCAACAGCATGGGCATCAGTTGCGAGTACACCGATCCTCCCAGAAAGCGCGGCCCTCCTAAGGGCTATGTCGAGGTTATTGAGAACAGAGCACATCGCATCGAATCTTTACTTGGGCGAGGGCATCTCACAGGTGACCACAACCACCCTGGTAAGTCTAGGAAACCTTCAAATATAGGCTAGGTAGTCTCACACTAATCTGTCCTTTCAACAGCATGGAAAAGCGCTAAACTTATCCATCGTGCATCTATCAGTAATAACATGGCTACACCCAACCGCCTTCCACAACGCCATAGCATCAGCGCTCCATCACCACCGGTCACGGGAGCTGATATAATACCATTCCCAAATGTTTTGGGAAAGCTTGGTGAAAATGGGGTGGTTTCATCGTTGGCTCCTTCGCCTGTCAACACGTTTTTTGATTTACTGCAAAACGGTGTTCATCAACTGGCTCAGAGTAATGCTCCATCTTCCTCGGAGTGTGAAATTGTAAGTGATTGCTGTTCAATTTTTGGTTTCGAAGCAGAGATAGAAATCGACTGATTTCCTCCCCCGAAATTACGTTTTCCCGCGTTGTCCTGACTCCTTATTTTTTTAATACCAGCTCGCTCCAGAAGTATCAGATGCCTTGGTGGACAGCTATTTCACGCACTTCAACCAAGTATTTCCAGTATTGAGCAAGCCTCATTTTGTAGATCAGATGAAGCAAGGACCTTCATCGGTCGATCCATTGTTGTTGAATGCGGTGTATGCTACCGGAGCACAGTACTGCCGTGTTACGAAACCAGACATGCCAGTCAACGCCGATTTCTTTATTACCCGGTGTCGAGTTTTACTGGAGGAGAATAGTGAAGAAGCGACGATGTCCCGACTTCAGGTAAATACTCTTTTGAAACTAGTTGGAAAAAGTGGAGGGAAAAAAAAAAAAAGTTTAAAGTGACTAACCCATGTTCCCCCGCTCGCTTATTAGGCATTGGTCATTTTGTGCTGGGTCTCATTTCTATTAGGTCAGCCACGGAAGTGTCTGAAATTTCAAGATCTGGCATTGGCTTATATCAACGAACTCAACATTTGGCACGATACAGAAAACGACTCGCAAAGCTCTTCCCAGATGGATATGGAAATGAGACGGCGCTTGTATTGGGCTTTGTACATCAATGATAGATGGGTGGCCACCACTTTGGCTTTACCGTGCAAGATTATTGAGCCTTATACCTCTTGCAAGCTACCCATATGCGAAGATGATGAGTTGTGGGCTGGAACTCAAAATTTAAATTCTGAGACGGATGCAGAACAGGAACCACTTCATAATCATCAATCCAATCAAATGATGGCTTTTGCTCAAACCATCAAGTTAGCTCGTTTAGTCGGCGACATTAATCGTCAATTCTATTCGCCTACCAGCCGCGGGCCTTGTTCAGCAGCCGTGTTTGCTTCTATGGATGCTTCACTGACACACTGGTTACTTAACCTTCCGCGCTTTATGCAGTATGAGAAACCAAGCGATGACACCCCGCCATCACCCGTATCCCGACTATTCCATATGCTCTACTACACCGTTCAGATTTTGTTGCACCGCCCCAATCAATCTCTCTCTGCTCAGTTGAATCCTTCTCAACAAATGAGTTTGAATATCTGTAGCTCTGCCACTAAAAGCATAACGCATATCGGAGAAGAGATGATCCGATACAATCAAACCGCCTATCTCTTCAATACTTTCGTGTTCAGTGTCACCACTGGTTGCTCAGTTCATTTGGAGGCTCTGTTTGCAGGAAGCTCACAAAATTCAGTAGCCGCCAAAATCAACTTGCGACGAAGCTTGCGTGTTTTAGGTGAATGTAGCCGAAGCTTCATGTCCTCAGAAAATCTTGAAATCTTTGTATCAAGACTTTTGGAGAGATGCGAAGTTAGCTTGGATGAAGAGAATGATGGCGAGGAACAACCTGGGCATGTCTCCAATGCTGCTAGTGATCGACGCTTGAGTATCAAGAGACCCATGGAAGATCCACCCAATAATCATCAACCAAAGCGGTCATCGGTACATTTGGAAGCCAACCCAGAATTCAAGCAAATGGCAGCACGTCGTTATTCACACCCGCTATCGGTGGATCCTTTGCACCAAATTGCCTTTGGGCACGTCATGGTGGATCCTACCTCTCCCGATGCAGCTACCATGGTGTCGTCTTCAGGATGGCCTGCCGATCCCAACGCGCAACAGTTGTTCACTGAGATGGATTTGGAAGCTTTGTTAGGTACACCTAGCACACCCAATATGGCGTCCTTTTCTCCAACTTGGTCATCCTCTGCAGCGTCCACCATGGAAACGTTGATGGCAACTGCTGCTCCTGTGACCACCATGAGTCAAAGTATGACTGCATTATTGGAAGACACTTCCAGTTTCTTCGATATGTTGGACGCTCAAAAGTCTTTACCACCAACCGCCATGCCTATTATGGCGACCACCACTGCTCCTGATGCGCTTCATAATTTTTTATGGAACGGCCCTGGACCTGAGTCGTTGAACTCTCTCTCATCGTCCCCAACATCATCTTCAGGGCCTCATTCACCTGTCTCTCCTACACTATCCACGTTTTCTGCCATGAATACTCCTCAGGCAAACGCGTTTCAAGGATACAGCAAACCTGAACTGCAACTCCAGCATACTCAGCAACAACAACAACAACAGGCACAACAACAACAAGAGCCTCAGCAGGAACCTGCCTTTAGTCTTTATGACTTTGCAGTACCTCGCGATTTCTTATCTGGAGCTATTTAAAAGTTTGGGACTTTAAAGAACAAGAATTTCCACTATCCCCCACATTGTAATGCGCATACCTTTCATTATTTTTCATCCAAAATCTGTGATATTCTTTTTTCGTTGTATTATTTGTTCTTCATTCATTTTTAGTAACTCGCGCTATCTTGAAACTGATAGTATATTTTGTAGTCGCCTCGAGGGTTTGCTCAACTTCTCATCATCCACATTGTGCATATCTGAAAATCTTGTATAAATCATGCTTTATTACTTGTTGCAAATCGAGAGACCTATAATGAAATATCGCAGGCTAAGAAGGAGGTGCATACAGCATTATACTGTGTGAGGTGCTTTGGTGAAGCCATCATCAGACGGCTGTTCCGAGCTTATGTAGTTATGAAATAGCTGCGTTATGTACTTCGATCACCCTAAACCTATAAACAGGTAGGCCCTGCATTGTTTCTTCAGAGAGAGGAAAGTGCCATCCTGTAACATGCGTGGAAGTTTTTTTAAATGTTCCTGGAGAACCTTGATTTCTTAATGTTTGTTGTCAAATTGGAAAACATCTAGAAACTTCGTGGAAGGCGATGGGAGGTTTCTGTGCCTATGCAGGAAACCCATATTACCTTTACAAATCTCGAAAATATAATAAATGATGTAATTTTTCAACAATGCATATGCATGTCTTTGTACAGAGTGCTTACATCTTTTGATTAGTGAAACATGAGGTGGGTTGAACTAATTATCTTTGGCTCATGTTCGAAAATGGGGTCGCTGGTGTGTTGGGTTACATGAGGGAATGGACAACCGCTGATTACGATAACATAGCAAATCAACTAATCATACTCCAAAGCTTGAAGCAGCAGCATACTGTAAAAACAACCATCACCGTGACCACCCAGTATCGGACGTTGCATAGTTTCATTTTTCTTGGTGTGAGGCGACATTATTCGACTGGGATATACAAAAAGAACCGTCCAGTGTTCCAACTTTGAAATTCTCCACTTTCCCCCATTCCACCTTTACCCAAACACCTGTGGCATGGCCAGCCGGAGACCGAAAGATGCCAAACACAATTGGAACCAGGAAAATGTTGCCAACGGCTGGAAGCAAGTATACCTTCCAAAAAGCTTTAAACTTCCGTTGAGTTTCCTCATGACGTGCTGTTCAGTACAATGGAAGTCCACCTTTTTCAATCAGCGAATCTAACTGAACGATCCCTTCTATAGTACTCCCGAAGTTCTGAATCTTAGTTTAGCTTCATTGCAAGTCAATGGCAGCACACAAAAGCCATCGCCTAACCAGCACATTCCAAAGCCTTCACCGCGATCGTCAACATCGGCAAGTCGGCAATGGGATTTTACAAATAGTAACGACAGCTTGAATGTTACCGACTGGAAATCTCCAGTTGGCATTACCATAACTCAAGGCCGCGAAGAGATCTTCCTTGCAACACAAAGCTCACCTAAGCCGGCGGCGGACGAGGCTACGTACGGCGGCGAATGGGTAGACCTTGATTGGCAACAGAAAGGCGTTAAGGGCAGCAAGAAACATAATCCATTTGTACACTATACCACTCCACACGATACTCGAGCTTTCAAGCTACAGGTTACGGCCAACGATGCTCCCTACTTTGTTGAGGTAGAAGTTGATCATGAAGCGTTTAGAGACCACCCCATTGTTCCCAGCCGCGAAGAACTCCTCAATCCTCCCGTTCATCTTCTTAAACACAACACAATGCCTTCCAAAGAACGTAGTAACAACACTGATCGCGGTCAGATTCCTGGAGTTCCCGTCATGAGAGTCTTTGGCCCATACGATAATGTAGATCAATATGCGCATACACAATTTGAATTATTGCGCTATGATTGTCTCATACCTTTACAAATGGCCATTACCAGTTACAAAACCATTTGCAATCCTCCCACTATAACCGATCAAACTGAAGCCGCTTCCTATGCGCAAAGATGCGAATCCCTTCAGCGGAACTTTCGTGTTTACGAAAATGTTCAACTGGATAGTCTTGTGTTTGGATTCCATCAAGTTGTTTATCGAATCAGCTTTCGTTTACCCTATGGTGTTTCGGTGAATTGGGAAGCCTCCAAACGACTCATTCCCGGCACACTTGTCTTGTTGTCCAAGGATGGTTTTGAGAAGGACATCAAAGTCGCTTGCGTATCTCATCGAGAAGTCAAACCGCTGACAGGAAGAAACCGATTCGAATTCCTTCTCGACATCTCGGTAGAAAACGACAACGATGCTGATCCTTTGGGGTACGGTGATCCGAATGGAAACAGTACACCTCATGTGATGCTGGAAGCGACTAGTGGCTATTTTGAAGGTATTTGAAAACATTTTGGAAAAAAAAAAATTCAATTGAATTCTAACCTTCTTACGGACAGCTTATAAACACATTATGACTGTCTTACAGGATGTGACAGTTTCGACCTTGCCGCTTGCATCTCATCTCATCAATTTGGATAAGAAAATTGGAATTCCAAAGTATGCTCAATTGAAACGATTCTATGATCTTTCTCTCGAACCCCCTACTGTGAAAGGAGAACCACCCAAGTTTCCTGTGGATATTACAAAACTCTTCCCACCCTATCCGGAAATGGGCTTGGATGAAACACAATATCGAGCTTTACAACGGATCTTAAGTCGAAAGGTGTCTATCGTTCAAGGTATTTATTGTCTTGCACATTTTTCAAAGTAGCATTGATTTAGTTGTTCACTCATGCTTTATGATAGGTCCACCTGGTACTGGTAAAACACATGTCGGTCTGGCTGCCACTCTGATTCTATTGAAGAACTTTGAAAACGACATTTCGCTTGGACCTATTGTCTGTATCTGTCAGACAAATCATGGTAAGCAATCCTCGATAACTCTGTGATTCTAACCCAGATTTCATCGCTAACCGATCCATTTGTCTCCGCTGACAGCCATTGATCAGTTTTTGGAACATATCCTCAAACACAATCAAAATATAGTACGTGTTGGTGGTCGAAGCAAATCAGAAGCCTTGACCAACCACACCCTGTATGAGCTACGAAAAGCAGAAAGAGAGATGGGTCTTTCACGTATATTTCGCAAGAGACACGAACTTCAAAAGAAAATTAATGACCTGCTATTCGAAATGTATGAGGAACCATGTGTTTCCATAGACTTTATCACTAAGGCACGACTCCTTTCACCGCAGCAAATCGATAGCTTAAGGCGGATGACAGATCCTAACCAGATCAAGGAGAGGAAGAAACATCCAGACGATGACCTAGATGACGAGTGGGTCATCAATTCTGACATCCCAACTAATTTCACTAATAACCGTGGCAAAGATAACCAAGAAGGCAGCCATGCCAACAAGGAGCCTGTCGTGAACAAGAAACCTCCCAACCCTGTTGAACTGTGGCTTGGTGGAGCGGTCAGTACTGTCCATCCATTGCAAGCTTTACCTGGCTATGAAGAATTGGATATCGCCAAAGGAGAGTTTTTGGAGCAACAAAAGGGCCTGGTGATTGATAAAGAGGCTGATGAAGAAGATGCCATGGATGAAGAAGAAGTCAGAGAAAACATCCAGAACTTCAAGGATGAAAGCAACAGTAGCAATAGAAAGGATCCCTGCATTGGCCTCAACCGCACTTACTGGTTTCAACCATCCAATCCAACCAAAGGGGCTTCCCCTGTGAACAATGCTCCAGGTGCCAGCAACAGTCTTGCTGAACGTCGGGCTGTCAACTATGATTGGAAAGACAATTCGGTGGGCCAACAGCGGAGAACAAAATGGCAACTGAGCGACGACTGGAGTGTGTGGTGCCGAGGGTCCAATGACCTTAGAGAATGGCCCATGGCAGTTCGACTCCAAGCGCACCGTGCTTGGATGGATTTGCGAAACAGAGAAATTGTGAGAACCATTCGAAGTATCACGAAACAGTATGGCGCTCTGTCTCGAGATTTCAAAGCCATACGGACAGCAACGGATGCCAAAATATGCAGGCGAAATCGCGTTATCGGTATGACCAGTACCGCTGCAGCTAAATACCACCATCTTTTAGAAGCGGTTAAACCACGTGTCATTATCTTTGAAGAAGCTGGTGAGATGTTGGAGTCCCACATTATCAGCTCCATCACTTCATCTACACAGCATATCATTCTCATAGGGTAAGAAGCATATGATAACCAGATAAATGCGGAGAAGCAACATTGACACATTATGTTTATTTAGAGATCAGCAACAGCTCCGACCTAATCCATCGGTATATGCACTGGGTGAATACCACAATTTCAATGTGTCGCTATTCGAACGCTTAATTGTCAATGATATGCCATTCACCAGACTATCCCATCAGCGTCGCATGGCACCCAAGATACGAAGTCTAGTCAACCCCATCTACCGCAACCCTCCGTTGATGGATCACCCTTATGTACATACCTATCGATCCATTCCTGGCATGATGCAAAACTTGTTCTTCTTAATTCATAATGAGCCAGAGTCTCATATCTCGGAGTCTGCCTCAAAATATAATGAACATGAGGCTCAGATGGCGGTACTGCTGACATCGTATTTGATTATGCAAGGCATTCCACCCGATATGATCACCATCCTTACCATGTACTCTGGTCAGCTACGTAAATTGAGGGAATGTCTTCGCAAGGAGCGGCGAATGGGAGAAGATACCAACCTTGTTCGAATCAGCAGTGTCGATGGATTTCAAGGCGAAGAAAGTGAGGTGGTAATTCTAAGTCTGGTGCGAAGTAACAGCATGGGAGCCATTGGATTTCTTAAAGTCGTCAACCGAGTCTGTGTCGCATTGTCCCGGGCGAAGAAGGTAAATGGGGCGGGCTCTTTTGCTTTTATTGCCTTATTTGCGTTTTTATGGCCATCCTCCAATGAGCTCACCGACATTTTGTCTTGCTTAGGGAATGTACATTATAGGGAACGGAGCTATGCTGTGTCAACGAAGTGAACTGTGGAACGAAATCATCGGGAATCTGGAAGATCAACACCCAGACTGTATCGGCGAGCAGTTGATGCTACGCTGTCAGCAACACCCGGATCGAGTGACATCGGTTCGATATCCTGTTGATTTTAAAGATGTTGAAGAAGGTGGATGTGGGCAACCCTGCGAAATCATCCTGCCTTGCGGACATAAGGTAAGTGGGGGGGGGTTGCGTGATAGCGTCTATCTAACCTTAAACTAATTTAATTTTTGGATTCGTTTTTCTATCTAACTATCGGCTTAACCTATTCGACTTTATCAAATTTCAAGTGCCCCGCCAAATGCCATGTTTATCCGCATGAGGACAACGTCGTGTGTCGCCAACCCTGTCTCTTGACGCACCCAACGTGTGGCCATGCCTGCCTACGTCAATGCCGTGAACCATGTGGAAAATGCCTATCTTTCGTGCGAGTGCGTATGAATTGCGGACACGAGATGGAGATAGCCTGCGGTGACACGACACCCGCCAAATGCAACAAATGCCTACCTTCTTCGTGGTAAAACTCAGATGGAGGAGGAAATTTTCAAAGAAGTCCCAATTTAGCAATTCAACCCTTTTTTGATCAAATTGGCAATCCTTTTGATTTATTAACCGATTGGAAATAACCCAGTTCAAGCCCGTTCGGTCTGAAAAAAAAACTAAAATGATCCTAGTAGCAGCAGGTCTGGCCGCTGTTCCGAAAGACAGACGACTTGAATGGAGACGAGATGCTCCAGGATGACATGGTAACTCACAATCGCCCCCCCAAAAAAAGATCGACACTTGTACCATATCACCACCACGGAATGTGTTCCAATAAAAAACTTGTTACAACAATTCCTTGGGGTCATACGACCTTGCAGATTGCTGATAGAAAGTGCAGCCAAGCGAGCGGAATGCTACAATATGTCTGTGCTCCCGATGCTATGATTCGTCAGGCTTTAAAGTCGAGACACATGATAAAGAATACTCGTATTTAGAAAATCATTCCCTCCGTGGAGTTTGCATCTTGTTCTTTCTTTCTTTCTCTCACACCTTGGCCCTGTTTTTTTTTCCTGATACCTCACACACCATGCCCTTTGCCACGGTACAGCCAATGCTGAAACGCTCACGGTTTCATGCTCCTCAATCAGCTTTGGAGCATCCCAACATGTTTGATTTACACGAAAATCTGCTTCATAATACGATAAAGTCTCACGATCGTAATCTATTTCTCGACTATTTGACCGATCAACGACGAATGGTCCACTCTCCCTTTGATAAATTGGCTGCTACCACCACCGATGATGACATGGCCTCCAGCCCATTGTCTTTGGACAACGATATTCTAATGCCTATCGATATCACTAGCTGCTTTGGTGAACAATTTGATTCTCACGAGTCTCACTCCATCACGTCTTCCGACGATATCACGACATTTAGCTTTGAGTTTGAAGGACCAGGGACGCCTAACTCACCACCCGAGACCCCTACCACTCAAAATATCCTATGTGATGCTCTCTCCAAGTTTAGCATCGCGTACACTGAACAAGGCATCAAGATGGAAGCCAAAGTCGGCAATGTCAGTGAACTAAGAGCATTAATGAACTCCATACCCCAATTGTCGTCTCAAACCGATGCACCCACCACGCCAACCGACCACACGACTTCCATCATTTGTCGAAATAAAAACATTCAAACTCGGCCAGCCAATTTATTCGAGCGAGCGTGGTCGGCCGGTCAAAAAATTTGCCAACCATCGCACAAATCCCAGATGAGCCGTAAACAGATCATCGACGCATGTATACAAACCTACTTTGACTGCTGGGTACGATATCCGCATATCTTGACCAAAGAAGAATTCAAGACGTATTACGATAGCTTTGAAAACCCAATGGATAGCCTTCTGGTGAATGCCATCTGCTCCACCACGTACAAGCATACTGTCACGCACCACGCCACTTCTCCTGAGATGGCCACGTTGGCCTGCGATCAACGAAAGATTCAGGAACAAGAGAATTATTTCTTCAACAAAGCACGTGTGGCTTTGGCTCAATCCTTTGATGTCCCGGATCGATACACCGTGATTTCCTTGCTGTTTCTCTCCACCACCGCCGAAAGCTGCCAAATCAATCTGTACACTGGCATGGCCATGTCTGCTTTGCATCAGCTGAAAATATACCCTCGCATGGCCAAAACCGACGTGGAAGAATGCTCCTATGAAAAAGAAATGGATGCGCGATTATGGTGGTACGCCTGGACCATTGACCTCTATCACCATACCGGTGGCAGTCCGAAAAATGCCCCACCCCTTCCCTTCACGGGTGAAATAGCCTTGCCCACGTTATATGAAGAAGACATTGACGAGACTGAAATTGGCCTGTTGGTGGAAGTTCAATGCATACGCATCTGGCGTATTCAAGCCGATGTTGTCGAGTTCTTTTACGAATCCGACCCGGAGACCATCATGTCAGCTGAACAGCTCAATGGGTTTGAGTCTCGTCTTGAGGCATGGCGTGCCGAATTGCCCTCGTATTTCCAACTTGACTCGGGTTTTGAGTACGGCTCAGAAGATATGTTCCTAGGTTGCCTTCGCCTCCACCTCGAATACAACGCCACCATGATCATCCTTCAAAAACTCTTCATTCCCGACCTCAATGACCCTACCCCTAGCAAATCTTCTCTTCTTGCTCTCAACAAGTGCTTGAAGACCGCCATCTCACAGCTCAAGCTCCTTAACACCTGCCAGAAACTACCATTGGGTCACTGTGGTTTCGATCGGGATGAACTGTGGAGAGCCTCAGAAGTCGTCTCCTTATCCCTTCAAATCTACAACACCGTCCGATCACAAGTAGACAAACGCACCATTTTGAATGGTGTTCGCAAGTCAGACCTTGAAACTGGCCTTTATCGTGCATTGCATATTCTCAAGGGGACAAGAGAGTGGCAAACCAAGAGTATGAATTGGACTCAAGTCTCTGACTGGCTCGATATTGAAATTCAAAAATTCAAACTACCCCCTGGCCAAACCGACGAAAAGATGATCAACAACCCTGCTACTTACTTCACTGCCAATCTCAAACCTGGTTGTCTTCGTAAGCTGTCTACTTCAGACGACCTTGTTCCCGTCAAGGATGAAGACCGAGAACCTACCTTGAACACCGTTCCCAAGCGCCGCACAAGCTCTTCTCCCTCCACCATGTTGAGTGTCCTCTCGTTCCCTGTCGGAAACACCGCCTCCAAAAAATCAACCCTTGCAGAACCTGTGGTCTCGACGGCAAAGCCTGCCATTCCCATCCAGTTTCACAATAATTTTGGTCCTTCCCAACCCTATATCCAAGACAAGACTCCTCAAAGCAATTTTGCTCGAAATTCTACTAGTCATTCTGCCGGTAGCAAAAACCAACCTCGCTTCAGGTATTTCAATCCAAGGAAAATGAACAAGTTCATGTTTATTGATGAACATCCTGTGCTGTAAACGGACGGTTTGGGTCTCCTCTTGTTATTTTATCTCTGTCTATCCCCTCCCCTTACAATGCTGTATTTTACCGAAAGTCGTGTAGAGCTCTCAATTTCTTCCCCATTTTACTTGCTCTCTGTGTAATTGTGCTTATTTTATTTGGTCTTGTTTGTTACCCCCTTCTTTCTGTGCACTTTTTTGTTTTTGTTATGCTTATTGTTTCCTTTGCTTCATAGTCTTCATATTTTCAAACGACCTCTTTCTGTATCATTCCGTGGCTTATACTCATTGCCGATCATTATTCATTCCTCTGTACCAACAAGGCAGTATAATAACAAAAAAAGTATTGTATTGACATCAAAAGTAACTGGTCTGCTCATGTCTTTATTTATTATGTATGCCGCTATCAGAGTTACATACCAAGCGCGGTATCATGAGGATCCGAGTGCTGCGCATGCAACAGCCTCCCGTTGGGTCATCGAATACGTCGGGTGACCGTAGGCTAGGTTACATCCATGGCTGCAGTATGAACATGACATCCTTGGGCGGCGGGCGTATCGCGTATAAATGCGGTTAGCAGATCTTTAACGACCGAAGCCAAAATCATGATAGAAAGGTTAATACTTTGGAGTAATTCAAAAAGCATTTTTTTGGGGGGGGAACGGCTTCTTTCATTTTCGCATACCTATCGTCCAGTCCCAAGCTTTAAATTTTCACTCATTTTTTTTTTCAGTTAAGCCGAAGCATGGAAGGTATGATTGCCACTCTTCTTCAAAGCGTGGAGTCTTTTTTAATTTAGCAATAAAAAGGTGCGGTTATTAGACAACGTACACTTCATAAGCAAGGGGCGGCTGTCCATTGGCAGCGTGCGGGTGACGTCTGAAATTTCCTGTAGGCAATAGACGGTAGCTGAGTGGCGGACAGTCAAGTGTTTGAGCTTTATCACTTGACAATGGTAATCAATACGAACTGCTGGTAGAAACGTCAACGCTGGCTTATGATTAATCATACCATTCCTTACAGGCAGGAGCACTTGAAAATGCGCAAAAGAACATGCGCAAGATACGAGACCATGATCGTGAATCCGATTTTGGATTGGTGTACGCAGTGTCCGGACCTGGTATGTAACAGATGATACTTGATCGACGAAATCTCATATCGGCTGTGTCTACTTTCCGTCGTCAAGGACAGTAGAGGACAAGGAAGCGACCAGCAGATATTGTTTTTCAGTATCAAGCCATGCTTGACGTGTTTTTGCCATGTAATCATCAGCGGTCTAATGCTTCATTTTCAATCATTCCATAGTCGTTGTTGCTGAAAGGATGTTTGGTTCTGCAATGTACGAATTGGTACGTATACTTCACCATCGTCGATGTTTTTGAATACTTGATTTACACATATCTTGAACGCCAATAGGTTCGCGTCGGTCACCACGAACTAGTTGGTGAAGTCATTCGTATTGAAGGCGATAAGGCCACTATTCAAGTTTACGAGGAAACTGGTATGTGTGTCTTGTTAAACTGTTATTGTAAAAAGCTTCCTTTTCTCATGTTGCTCTATAGGCGGTTTGACCGTTGGCGATCCTGTCCTTCGTACTGGCAAGCCTCTCTCTGTTGAACTTGGCCCAGGTATGTAAACACTATAGAAACCCCCAGCACAGTCAAATTCTCTTTTTCACTCATCTTTCGATCTCTAGGTCTTATGTCCAACATTTATGACGGTATTCAGAGACCCTTGAAGGTACGTCTTGAAACTGCTTGCATAACAGATCAAGAGCATACACTCAGTCCTTTTTTTTTTTACCCGCGTTACCATAGGCTATTCAAGAAGTCTCTCAGAGTATCTATATTCCAAGAGGTATTTCTACCCCTGCTCTGGACAAGGCCATCAGCTGGGATTTCGAGCCAGTTAACTTTAGTGTAATGAATCGCGACTTTGATTGTCACCTCTAACCATCTATCAGATAACTAACTTCTCTCTCTACGGCTATAGGTCGGCGATCACATCACTGGTGGTGACATTTATGGTACTGTCTATGAGAACTCTTTGGTGTCTGTCCATAAAATCATGCTTCCACCCAAGTCAAGAGGTACCGTCACCTACATTGCACCCAAGGGTTCTTACACTTTGAACGTAAGTCACGGAAACAAACCCAATATCACTCCGCAGCCACACAACTAATGTATGCTTCTTATAGGATACCGTCTTGGAAATCGAGTTCGAGGGAGAGAAGACCAAGTTCACTATGCTTCAATTGTGGCCCGTTCGTGCACCCCGTCCCGTCACCGAGAAGCTTTCAGCCAACGAGCCACTCTTGACCGGTCAAAGAGTTCTGGATTCTCTCTTCCCGTAAGTACCTTATGCTTGATCCGCCTATGATCTGCATAACAATCCCATTTTTTTTCACACACACACATAATCTAAACAATCAATTTGCCTATTATATAGATGCGTCCAAGGTGGTACCACCGCTATTCCTGGTGCTTTCGGATGCGGCAAGACTGTCATTTCACAGGCTGTGTCCAAGTTCTCCAACTCTGACATTATCATTTATGTTGGATGTGGTATGTTATCTTTGTTTGGAATCAAGCGCATTTTTCGTAACACGCCATGTAACTTATTTTGAACTTGTTCTAGGTGAAAGAGGTAACGAGATGGCTGAAGTCTTGATGGACTTCCCCGAATTGTCTATTGAAATCAACGGACGTCAAGAGTCTATCATGAAGCGAACAACTCTGGTTGCCAACACATCGAACATGCCTGTCGCTGCTCGTGAAGCCTCTATCTATACCGGTATCACCCTTTCTGAATACTTCCGTGATCAAGGCAAGAACGCCACTATGATGGCCGACTCTACATCCCGTTGGGCTGAGGCACTTCGAGAAATTTCTGGTCGCCTTGCTGAAATGCCTGCAGGTAATGTTTGCAAATTGACATTATTATTTTTTTCTTGCCTAATCGATACTAACCCTTCTTAATAGATTCCGGTTACCCTGCTTACCTTACTGCTCGTTTAGCCTCTTTCTACGAACGTGCTGGTAAGGTTACCTGCTTGGGTAACCCTATGCGTGAAGGAAGTGTCACTGTTGTTGGAGCTGTTTCTCCTCCTGGTGGTGATTTCTCCGATCCTGTGACAGCCTCTACTCTTGGTATTGTCCAGGTATTCTGGGGTCTTGACAAGAAGCTTGCTCAACGTAAGCATTTCCCATCGGTCAACTGGAGTTTGAGTTACAGCAAGTACATGAACGTCTTGGAACCTTACTACGAGAAGGCCGATCCAGAATACTCCACCCTCCGAAATAGATGCAAGGAAATTTTGCAGATGGAGGAGGATTTGTCTGAAATTGTTCAGCTTGTCGGCAAGGTAGGTCAAGTCTTGTTTGAATGAATGATTTTTTTTTTTTGGCCACAGTGTATTGACCATCATTGCAGTCTGGTTTGAACGAGTCAGACAAGATCACATTGGAAGTAGCCCAGATCATCAAGGATGACTTCTTGCAACAAAACGGATACAGTAAATACGATCGTTACTGTCCATTCTACAAGACCACCTGGATGCTTAGAAACATGGTGGGATTCTATACTCACGCCACTCACGCTGTTGAAGTGTCCAACAACCAAATCACCTGGTCCAAGATTCGTGAGTCAATGGGTGATATTATTTACAAGCTCTCGTCGATGAAGTTTGAGGTAAGCAATACCATGCCATGCGTGGCGGCGCGGGGTCCAGCGCACGTCGGACGGAATGACGGATTTAACCACCCCCTTTATTTCTCCTCCTTTCACCTCTAGGACCCTGCTGAAGGAGAGTCTGTCCTATCTGCAAAGTATGCCGAACTTCACAAGGAGATTGAGAGCCGCTTCCGCGACCTTGAACTGTAAATTCAATACAAATGATGGAATAAACATAGTCGGTTTTTTTTAAGTAACGTCGGCTGAGCACGCGTTCTGTGCCACTTGCGTAGCAGTGTGAGGGTGTTATTGACGTACCATTTTGAAAGAAGTGAACAAGAATGACAAAACAACATTACGATGGTTGGGTTCTTTTCATCCATTCCTTCTCCCCATTTTTGTTTTTCTTTCATATTTCAGCGACCATTGAGTTTGACTGAGGATGATGTTTATCTTGCCCTTAGGGTTTGTCTAATGGATTTGGAAATTCCACCAAAAAAAAAAATTTGTGTGAGATTGGAAGGCGCCGTTTGAAAATGTAGCCAATCAATCGGTTGTGATTGAAAGCACCTGCACCTTGGCAAGAGCTTGGAGCCGTGGTATATATCAAAATAATAGGATGGAAATGTGTGCTTGAAATACCATGAAGCTTTTACTATATTATAACGACCGTTTGCATTCATTCTTGATAGCCGGATGACTGGATATCTTCTGACATCGGTTTTTTTTTAGGCGGGCGGGGGAAGGGGACTGTAAGTGGAGAATCAAAACGATGAACACTGTGAAAAAAAACAACAATTTTTTGGCTCAACCCGTGCAAACTTTCTTGCAAATCCCTGATAAGATCACATCTCCCACCTTAATCAGTGACTCTCCATAGCAAGAGTGTGAGGGTGAGTATCGACCACTTCTCTTGTTTTAACTCTTTATCAAACACTTGGGCGGAGCACACCGCACTATTCGGGCTGTGAGGCAACGAAAGGGTAATGGATAGAATGAACCCATGGACGAAATCCCAATGTTCATCGGTCAGCAGCTTCCCATTGTATTAGACAAGACGAAGCATGGGGGTTTGACGAATACTAGCCGCCTGGTCATTCAACCTGCCGTCCTTAAAAATGATCACAACCCCATGCCACCAAGACCGGAGAACGCGCGAAAATGCAGGAGAGGATGATGGGATGCAATATCATCTGCATTATTTTTACACCACATCCAGTTACCCCATGCCAAGCATGACGCTTTCTTTTCGCCTAAAAGGGTCAAAGTCGACCTCATTACCAACAATCGGCTATGATCAATTCATTACTGAAACGCGAGGCTAGTTCAAGAAGGAAAACTCCAAGCGGCCCTGACCTCACGGTGCTTTTGAGCCAGCCCAATCGCAATGGCCACCACCACTTGTTGCTCTGCCCAATTTTGAAATCTTTGTTCAACGGTATTAACCAATGTCTCTGCTCTCCTTTTAGCTTTTGGGTACACCTTTTTGCGAATCTTGTTTGCTTCTTTCTTTTTTTTTCCTCTTCACTGCTTCCGCATTAAGGTTTCCGATCAGTGAACAAAAAAAAAAAAAAGGATTTAATCCACCTAGTGAGTACATTACAAATCCAGATCCTACGAGGAGATAGACCTTGAGTTAATAACCCACTGTTTCCATAGGTTGTGAACAGTTCAAAAAAAATATCAACTCAACAGAGAGGTTAATCTGATCATGGCTCAGCAACGCGATATGTACAACCAGTACATACCGCCAAATGGGTACCAGCCCAATCCTGCTTATGCCCAACAACAATCACCGCAGCAACCAGACGCTATGTCTTCACCTCAACAACAACAACAAATTCATCGAAATTATGCTCCAAATCCTGCTTATAGGCCCACTGTTGCATTCGGTCAAAGCCTGCCTCCATCTTCATCAGCCGCTGCTTATCAGCAACACATACAGATGCAACAACAAATGCAACAAATGGGGTATGCTGCACAGCAACCTCAAAACATGCAGTTCCATCAAATGAACATGCCTCCCCAAGGCTATCCTCCAAATGTGGCCTTCCAGCAGCAGTCCATGCACCGACCACAAATGCATTCCCAGCAAATGTCACCACAAATGCAACAACAGATGCATCAAATGCAACAACAACAACAACAACAACAGCAGCAGCAGCAGAGACCCGTCTATCAGGGTAACATGGTATACGGTATGCCTCCCCAAAATATGATGCAGCAACAAATGGCAAGGCCTATGCACCAGATGCAACAACAGGCACATCGATATGGTCCACCACAACCAGGTCAACAAAATATGATGACCTGGAAGATGATGTCTCAAGGTCAAATGCACCAAGCTCAACAACATCAACAGCATTCTGCTCCTGCTGCTGCTCCTCAAAAAACTAGACAATCCACCAGAAAGACTAAAAAGAGAATTGTCTACGATGAAGCTTCTTCTGATGAAGAAGAAGAATTGGTGAGTGGAGCTGTCTTGCCTGCATTAGCCTCATTTCGTTTTCACTAACTCAAATTCTTATATTTACCACTTTTTTTTTTTTGTAGGATCTGCCATCCGAAGAGTCAGAAGACGAAGTCAGCGATTTTGATGACAGCGATTCTCCAAGATCTAAGAAAAATAAGAAAGCAAAGAAGGATCCTTCTGCTGCAGCTTCTGAGGAAAGCGAAGACCTAGTGACTATTCCTATGGGCACTAAGGAGTTTGAAAAGATTTTGGATTATCGAAAGAACCCCAGCACGAACAAGGAAGAACTGTTGGTCAAGTACAAGGTTAGTTTTAAAAAATTCTCAGGTTGACAGTCTTGAACCTATGTACTCACTCTCCCAACAGAACATGAGTTACCACCATATTGAATGGCTACCTATCACCAAGGTCGAATCTGCTCATTTAGGAAAGCATCGTGTCAAGAAGTTCTTGTCCAAATACCAAGCTGATGGCGAAAAGGGTGAAGACTATGCTGAGTACCTCAAGGTTAGTATATGACAGTGTATATTTTATGGTGAGCCCTGCAGACTCTAACCTATATTCCATCTCAGATCGACCGTATCATTGACGAAGGCGAACTCAATGATCCTGAGACCGACGAACTCAAGGTCTATTACCTTGTCAAGTGGAACAATACTTTCTACGATGGCTCTACCTGGGAAAGCGAAGATGATGTTGAAAAGGTAGGTTTTTACAAAATTCGAGGTTTTAATCAGATATTTGGAACGCAAAATGCTAAATTCGTGTCGTTCTCTTCTAGATCGATGAAGCCAAGATTGATGAATTCCACACCAGACGACAAATGCCAGACCAAAAACGCGCCAATCCTCCTGCTCGTCCTTACATTAACCAATACTTCAAATATGATCGATCACCACGGTTCGTAGCCATTATTTTTTTGTGACATCGCATGCTACATCTTGTACTCCATTCCTTACCCATTTAATTTTGGTGTCTTTTAGATTCAAGTATAGCAATGAATTACGCTCTTACCAATTGGAAGGCCTGAACTGGCTTAGATTTTGTTACTACAGTTTCCGCTCTTGTATCCTTGCTGACGAAATGGGTCTCGGTAAAACTGTACAGTCTGTTGCCTTGCTCAATGATATCTACTGTGGTCTCAACATCCGTGGACCTTTCTTGGTGGTTGCTCCATTGTCCACTATCCCTCATTGGGAACGTGCATTTAAAGCTTGGACTGACCTGAATACCGTTGATTATCGTGGCAGTCAACTTGCTCGCGCCTTGGTGCACGACACGGAATTTTTCTACAAGGACGCTGATGGTCAAGTGATTCCAAACAAAACCAAGTTTGATGTCTTGATCACAACCTACGAAATGGCATCGGCTGGAGCTGCTCATTTACGTGAAATCAACTGGCAAGCTGCTGTGTTTGATGAAGCTCACAGATTGAAGAACAAGCAATCCAAGGTTCTAGAAATTCTCAAGACGTTTACCATTTACCACAAGTTGTTGCTTACGGGTACTCCCCTGCAAAACAACTTGGATGAACTCTTCAGTTTGCTACACTTTATGCAGCCCGAAATTTACAGTGACGAGCGCCTCTTCTTCCACGAATACGGATCGTTGCAAACTGCTGCTCAGGTTGAAAAACTTCAGCTCATGCTCAAGCCTATTATGTTGAGACGTTTCAAGGAAGATGTTGAAAAGTCCATTCCTGTCAAGGAAGAAACTGTCATTGAAGTTGAATTGACCAACCCCCAAAAGCGATACTACCGTGCTATTTTGGAGAGAAATTTCGGCTTTTTGAAGAAGGGTGCTCGAACCAACAAGGAATTGCCCCATCTTCGCAATATCATGATGCAACTCCGTAAATGCTGTATCCACCCTTATCTTTTGGAAGGAGCTGAGGAAGTCATTACCTCGGAAAGCAATGCAAAATCTCAAGAATCTCAATTCAAATGCTTGATCGAATCCTCCGGTAAATTGGTTTTGATTGACAAGTTGCTCAAGAAACTGAAGGACGGAAACCACAAGGTCCTTATTTTCTCACAGTTCACAACTTGCTTGGATATCCTGGCTGATTATCTTCGTGGCCGCAACTATGCTTACGAACGCATTGATGGTGGTGTTCCTTCTGAACAACGACAAGCTGGTATTGATCGATTCTCAACTATGCCTATCGATGAGTCCTTCGTTTTCTTGCTGTGTACTCGAGCGGGTGGTGTGGGTATCAATTTGACCGCTGCCGACACTGTCATTATCTTTGACAGTGATTGGAATCCTCAAAACGATTTGCAAGCTCAAGCTCGTTGCCATCGTATTGGACAAACCAAGCCTGTTCAGATCTACCGCCTTGTGTGCCGCAATACCTATGAAAAGGACATGTTTGACCGTGCTGGTTTGAAGCTTGGTTTGGATAAGGCTGTCATGAGACGCATGGAATCTCAATCCAGCTCCGTAAACGAAGACGAGACAGGTGTAAGCAAGAATGAACTCAACAAGAAGGAGATTGAAGATCTTCTGAAGAAGGGTGCCTATGGTGCTATGTTGGATGATGAATCCTCTGCTCAATTCTGTGCTGAAGATATTGATCAAATTTTGGAACGCAGAACCACGGTTGTTCGTCATGAAGGCAACGACGCCGGTTCCATGTTCTCCAAGGCCACCTTTTCTTCTTCCGATGGTGCCACCGTCGAGTTGGACGATCCTGACTTTTGGGAGAAATGGGCTGCTAAGGCGCAAATCGAAACCACGGAAGCACCTGATGAGAATGAACTCATCGTGTACCAGCCAAGACGACGCCGTCAAGTTCAACGCTTCGGAAGCCGACCCGCGGATGGCTCTGTCTCTTCCAACGAAGGTGAAAACGACTCTGATGCTTATGTCGACGATAAGGAACGCGGTCGTCGCAAGCGTGATGGTATTCGCCCATGGAGTTTATCTGAAAAGACAAAGTATGAACGCAAGCTCATGATCTATGGTTATGGTCGCTGGAAGTCCATGAAGACCCATTTCCCTCGCCGCTCCGAGCGTGACTTGAAGGCTGTCACTCGTGCCATGATGCGTCTCATCTTACCTACCATTGAACGCAATACCGAGGAAGATTACCGTTTGATTCAAGATATCGAAGGTCTATTGGATAGCGATGTTGATGATGAACCAAGAAACAAATCCATTCCTTACAACAATGCTACCAAGGCTCAAACCGCAGAGTACCGTACTTTCCTTCTTGAGGCTCCTCAAGACTACCTTGATCATGTCACCAAGAAGGGTAGAAATATCATCTTGCGCATTCAGATGCTTCATGTGATTCGCGACAAGATTGTTCCTCACGAATGGGATGAGGCTAAGAAGCTGGAAATTCCAAAGGTGACGGGTAACCCTCCTGCCGCCTGGTGGGGTCACAATGAAGATCGTGATCTGCTCCTTGGTATTTGTCGATACGGCTACCAACAGTATTACGCCATGCGAAGTGATCCTGAATTTAGTTTTTATGGTCGCAAGTATGATGACAGTCAAGCCGGTCTCGATGACGAAGATGGCAAGCAAGAAAGCGATGCAGAAAACGAAAAGAATGGAGATACCGACGCCAATGGTGAAGCCTACATTTGGCCCTCCAAGGCTGATTTGGGTATGCGTCTCCGCCGTATCATTGCTGCCTTCCTTCGTGAGAAAGCCATTGTCAACCGAAAGGAAAGTAGAATGCAAAAGCACATGGAGAAGGAAAAGGCCAAGGAAGCGGCCAGAGAACGAACCAAGTTGGCACGCCAGAGAAAGAAGGAAGACCGTCTGGCCGAAAAGCAAGAAGCCAAGTGGAGAGAAACTTCCAAGCGGTGGTCCAAGAAGAGTAAACAAGACTTTTTGCGTACCGTCATGTCCTTTGGTGTAGAGACCATTCCCGGTGATCCTAACATCCTTTGGGATCGCTTCAAGGAACTCTCTGGTTTGGACAAGAAAACGGATGAATCTCTGGATTTGCACCTGCAAGACGTTATCAGCATTTGCGAAGACGTTGTCAAGCGACATAACGAGAACACCAATGGAAATGGCACCGCTGCCGGTTCCGCAGGCGGCAAAGGAGCGGATTCTAGTTTTATTGAAGGTCACAGCCGAGATTCCAGTATGGATCCCATCCCAATGCCCCTTCCCCCTGTTTCCGAATCCGGCGATACTCAGACGGACGGAGAAGAAAAGAGCAGCGAAGTGAAGCAAGAAGATGAACTGCTTGAGAACGATGCATCTAATACCGATATAAAAGATGAGTCTGTTCCTCCCAAGACTGAAGAATCCGTCACCAAGCATGAAGATGATATGGGATTGGACCAGGAGGATTTGGAGGACGATAAAATTGACGATGACAAGAACGATGATGATAAGAATGACGATGACCAAGATAATGATCAAGATGGTGAAGGTCATGATGGTGATGCCATTCCTTATGATCGAGCTCGTCGCGTCCTCAAGCGAATTGAACAAATGAAGACTATTAGAGAATCAGTCATTGTTAATCCCGATCTTGACGATCTACTTTCACGAGCACGCAAGACCTCTGGATTGCCCAGGTAAAGTTTCATGGACATAACACAGATATTGAAGCAGCAGGCACAATTGACTAATCCTCTTCACACATCAGCTGGTGGAAGGTGCCAGAGCACGACAAGGCTTTCTTGCAAGGTATCTGTAAACATGGTGTCAACCGCAGTGACCTTATTGTCGCCGACGAGGATTTGCCATTCCATCACATCAAGAAGCAAATTGAGAGTACCAATGAAGCTTCCGATGCTAAGAATGAGGAGGGAGAGGATGGTGTTACGGATTCAGAGTTTTTGTGGCCACGAGATCTTGTCATTGCCCGGCGCATTGATTCCTTGTGCGAACTTGTGCTCAAGCCCAAGCCATTGAGCAAGAGAGGAGCTACTTCTCGCAAGCGCAAGGCTGCTGATGCTAAGGATAGCAAGCCGTCTGGACTCAAGCTCATGCTCAAGGTCAACAAGAATAAGCAACAAGACTATGCTAGTGAAGAAGACGAAAGTATGGCCACTTATTCATCAGACGAGGGAGAGGATACCGATGATATGCTGGATCAAGCCAACCAGCGTCTCAACAGCCGATCTCAAGCTAGCAGTGTATACTCTCAAGCTAGCCCCAATGCTGCTAACCACCAGTCTGATGTTAATGAGGAGATGCCTTCAAAAAAGCCTCGTCTCGACGAAGCTACCGCTGATGCCCCGTAGAAATGATTTACAGCCGTCGTTTTATTATTGTTCTTCTTTTTCCCCCAATGAATTTTTTTTCTTCATCTTCTTATTTCTTTCTTGTTTGTAATGCAATATCATAAAGTATTTGTGCCCGTCTATTTTAAAAAAAAAAAAACGACTGGGTTAAGTTGCTTAAGGAAGTGATGGAGAAACAAGTAAGGGAATGGATTGAATTTCGAAAGGACTTTAGACTGCGCTGCGGTATAATTTGGCCTGCTCTTGTCAGAATACCCTACAGGTACATTCAATGCGCCAATGCTCGAAACTCCACATCACAAGCGAGACACAGTAATGTGGCAGGCAAGAAATGGATTCATATATGAAACCAACCATGATCGAATAGTGATTGTGCTGGAGGGAATCATACAGGTCAGCAGAACACAATAAACATACTATATCAGTGCTGTCAAGGATTTGGGAATCTCACATTGATCATGTCTAGTGTCGTTGGGAATTTCCTAGCTCTATCTTTCGAGTTGCGTGCTGTGAGGACTTGAATTCAGATATCAATGCCTTCGTCTTAACCACCGACGGTGTACTGTACAAGCTAGAAGCATCGAGCACACTTGTAGACGGCAAAATGTATGCATCTAACTAGTTCTGATATGCACCCAAGCCTGCGATACGTGCAAAGATTGAAACTAACTACCGTGCTCATTTCTAGTCATGAGGTTGAGCGACCAGCAAAACGCGTAAAGTATACCGAGGAATCTGGCATGGATTTCGTCGTACTTTCGGTCAGACGCGACCAGGTGTTGGCGGACGCGGTGAGTGCATAAAAAATTTCGCACGTCGCTGCTTGTCGTATTAATTCGGTTCGTACAGCTTGCACCGACCGTTTGGATTCAAGCCTACAATATGGATGATGTACCTGGTTGCTTGATTTACCATGTCGATGGATCTTTAATTTTTTGGTCTATCCAAGGCGAGCGCACTGTTGTCTGCAGCCCAGTGTCTGCCGATTCAAACTATGTCAAACCAGATGATAATGTCTGCCAGCTATACAGTAAATACTCTTCAAACTTGGTTCCCCGCGATATATTTACACCATCTCACCTGATACATCAGTTCCTGCAGGTCGCTTGAGTGAGACTATGCATAGTAACAAGAAACGGTAAGATTAAATAGAGAACCCCGATTTTGTGGCAACTAAATCTGATGCTTTTAGCAGGGTCGACGGAATTCTGTTTGGAATAGGAAATGGTAACATTTATTACAAAGCAGTGGATGAAACAAGCGAAGTTTGCATCATGGACCACCCGGTAAGATACCGTGTGACGGATCTGGCGTCAAAGTACGACTACTGAACACAATCATTGATAGGATACATTGCACAGTATACACCCGATATTGAGACCTTCAATGTACTCAACAGGCGGTGATGACATCGAATCTGTTGTTATTCTGACGTATGTATCTCTATTCTGTATGTAATATGACACATTTTGCCTAAATGCTTTATTTTTGGTAGCCTGGAGGGAACAGCTACAACGGTATACACTACGGAAACTTCCTACCACCCAGAAATACGCGTTCTTTGCTTGACATCATCTGTAACCGCAGCAGTATCCAATATAGTAGGGACTCCAGTGTAATATGTAGTAAATACCAATGGCGGTCGTATGCTAATGTGCTTCATTTAGGATCGTCTATACGTTCTTGACAATAGGAACAAGCTTTATCAGTACACATTCCTCGATAAATATGATTACAGCAAAGGGGAAAAATTGGTTTTGGTTGCCAATACCTCAAACGATCCCCCTGTGGTTGATATTGGACTTTTCAAATGCACGGCAGGTTATGAACCTCATGAAACAGAGCTACTAGCGGTCTTGGCTGATGGCAGCCTTACAAACTTACCCATATCAGAGAAGTAAGTGCGTCACCTATCAGCTTTTACGAATCTGAATGCCTAGTAACAATGCTTTTGTAGAATGCCCGCCTATGATGAACAATCTTTGCAGGAACAAATCCAGTTCACTATAGAGGAAATCGAAAAATGTCGTCAGTCGCAGACCCTGTTGGACGAAACTCATCAGTTTTTGAACTCGTTGCTTTCAGAATACAACATGACCATACATAAACTACAACGCATCTTAGACATGAAATCTAAACCTAAACTGAAAAGTGACTCGAAACCTGCGTTCACCTGCCATGTCAAGCCCAAGATTCTCCCCGCCAATTTACGCTCCCTGGTATCCATCGAAACATTACTTAGCATTGAATTACAGACCGATATCTCAATACGGTGGGGAGAGAACTGGCGCCGTAAGTGTGGCACCTTTACACTCCAGACTTTATGTATGTATCACTGAACACTTCATTAGTTTGCATTGAAATGGATCCTTGCTCAACCGCGATCGGCGAACCAGCAGCCAGCGGATCAGCGCCTGGTGAGCTATTAATGTGCCCATTGGACGACTTACGGACATCCGTGAAGTGGTTAGTTTTAACTTGATTGGGCATAACCATGTGTCGCCACGCATAGCAAACTGAAAGATTTTTCTCCATTAGGGAACGCGATTTTGCCGTCAATGCAAGGCTGATAGGTCTACCTGTTTACGTCAACATCAGTCTCGCGTTTTTCCCTTTTTTGAGCAACGTTGAAGATCAACATGAAAATTCTATTGGTAAGTCCTCGTTTATTCATGCCAGTTTAGGATTTTGTTTGCTCAACTTCAATGCATTACCAATATGTAGATGGTCGGATTCTGTTTCCTGTACACGGCATATTTCTGGACATGTTGTGCTATGCAGCACCTTATCCACCACTTTCAAAAGCCAACTCTGACTTTCGTGGGAGGAAGCGGACCGCGACTGACACGATAGAACGTAGTCGAACGGCAGTGGATATATACGGGTCTGCTATGAAAGTTTGTATTTCTTCTGGCGCCAGTTTCGGATGAATAGCGCCTGTCCTGATACTGATGCACCGATTGCCACATAGAAACCTTTAGGCATGGTACTTCCACAAAGCTTGCTGCTCAAAGTACGTACGAGTGCAGCACCTAGAGATACTTTATGCCAATTGGCACTCTTCACCCTATTGTCAGAAGGCCTAGACAGGTAATACCTACCTTCTATTTACAAAATATATTTTGCCATTGAGAATATATATCATGAATACTAACCCTGTTTTCGATCGTTCTTCCGTGCATTCAAATCTCGCTCAACAGCCAACTTCTGAAGGAAATCATGGCTGAACCAGAGAAAGCTGTATTCACCCTCCCGCTTGATCGAAAATTACCTGTGACCATAACGGTCCGGCAACAGCCTCAACAAGGTACATATCGTACATAGGGGGACACCTCTACCTTATGTGTATTCATTCAATTCCTTTCGTTGCAGCCTCTGAACAGCACCATTATCTACATATCTTGGTTGAATGCCTACATCCATTCATTTTGTTGAAGGCTTTCCAGGCTATCACCATGCGCCTCAGCTTCAATATCAGTGAAGGTGATTTTTTATATCTATTGAAGCCATCACTTTAAACTTTACTAATTAAGCATGACATCGCTGTCTATTTACAAATATTCAGACATGACGGACGAGATCAGAAATGCAAATGTTACTCTTGACCAGGATATTTTGCATCTCCAACACCTTCTCCAAAGCGACCAGCCAGACCTTGTTGAAGCATATAACGCGTTGTCACAGCACTGTCAGTCCCTTGACTTAGGCACTATGGTATTGGAGGAAAAAGATACCACGTAAAGAGCCTGCTTTCACGACATCAACACCGGCCGGCAAATTCGTCTTGCTCGCTCTAAATGTGTATATTCAACCTGAGGAGGACGAAAGAGTTAAATAAAACAGAAACAAAAATTACGTTCAGTACTCGGCCAATATTTTTACCCTTTGACTATCGATGTTCTCGCGGAGAGCTTCAAGTGCGGCTTCGCGGCACAGATTGTCAATGTCGGAACCGGTCCAACCATCAAGCTCCTCTGCTAGTTTATCCAACTCATCCTTACTAACATCCATAGGAATATTCCGACTGAAGCCTTGGAATAACAATTTGCGCTCCTGTTGTAAGCATGCCATAGCAAAACATCAATAAAAACACATGTACATTTGCAAGGTGTTGGAGCATCGCTTTAAACCTCAACCTACCTCTTTACCAGGCACAGGGATATGAATGTGCTCGTCAATTCTTCCCGGCCGAATGATAGCTGGGTCTATGACATTGGGCCTGTTGGTGGCTACGCATCATTCTATGAATCAGTACCTGCTCTGTGCAATTGTCCAAGGTAACCACCCTAATGTAGATTTATCGCTAATTACCTGCTAGTATAATCACATCGCTGCTGGGGTCTCCCGGCGTTGATTTGGTGAAAAATCCGTCCATTTCTGTGAGTTGAGGATCCCCAATAGATGATTCAGATTGTTAAAAAATAACGTCATGAGGAAGGCAAACGCAAACAGCCTATGAGCATGTAGAGCTCGGTCATAAAATAAGGCACTTGCCTGTGAGGAAGCCCGTCACTATTCTATCGCTCGTATTCTCAGATGAGGAACTTGTTCCACGCCTTGGTACCAGGACATCAATCTTAAGGGTTCACATGATTAGGCGCGATTCTTGTTATACCGATATCGTGTGATGACCTACCTGGTCGATGAATAAAATGCAGGGAGAATTCGCTCGAGCTTGTGCAAACATCTTGGCTACATTTTTCTCAGATTCGCCAACTATCTTGGACCGTACTTGTGACCCCTTTGACGCTATGGTTAGATTTACAATGATATGTGTGATGCACTATCAGCTTCCGACCCACCTCAACAAGCATGAAGTTGATACCCAACTCCGCGCCTAAAGCACAGCATAACATGGTCTTGCCAACACCTGGAGGCCCGTGTATAAGCACTCCTCTGGGTGGGTTGATGCCAAGTTTAATATACTTTGATCGGTCTTTGAATGGCTCGATGACTGACACCTAGAAATGAAAGTGGAAAGGACGTTAGAGAAAGCGGCGCTCTGACGAAGGTTTGAACAGACTTCAAACTTGCCTTCAAATCGTTGATGGCGTCATCCACACCGTATAGATCTTTAAACCGCACGTCGGGTAACTGTCATTCAATCAGTATAAAGCTCGCTACCTGAATTGAAACCTTCTCGATTTACCTTGGTCTGATATTCATTGAAGTTGGACGGCTTGATATATGTCAAGGCTGATTCAAAGTCGCTTAATGTCGCAGGAACCTGTGTTTTCAGCCTTAGTACTACTATGACATAGTCACCATGACCTATTCCTTCAACCTACCACACTCCCGTCATCGCTCAGATCAGCCTCCCGTTTGACCAAGGACATGACCACCTGGCGACACAAGTTTTGCAAATCGGCAGGAACAAATCCATGAGTTACTTGAGCAACCCGGTGAATGATACTATGCTTTGTAATATCGTTCTCAAATGGTATCTCTGCATGAGTTCAGTACGTTAGTGAATTCCTCTAGCATCTTTCAAAACAAGCCATAAACTCTCCCTACTTTTGCAAAGTACAGATAAGACGTTTTCTCGCTCTGCTGGAGTTTTGATGTTGAGTTCTACCACCCGATCCAGTCGGCCAGATCTTGTCAATGCAGGGTGGATTGCATGCGGTCTATTCGTGATGCCTAATATATTTCCATTTAATTTCCATGTCCCTTCATATTCACAAGTGGGTATAATCGCCTACCTATGACAAACACGTAGCTGGAGGATGTGGGCTGGTTGATTTTATCCAACTCATTGGTCAAGACATTGAAGGTTCGGCCTTCCACGCCTATAGTTGTGCCACGGAGTAACGTACTTCAGTGAGAAGTAGTGCTAAACGACTTGATCTGTGCTGATCCAACTCAGCATGGAATATGAAACTTACCTGCTTTCTTCACAGCCGTCTCACTAGCAATCATATCTATTTCGTCCAAGATGATAATGGATAGTTTATGATGTGCCATTTCCGAAAACGTTTTTGAGATGACAGCTTCGCTAGCTCCTTCCTCTATGGGTACACGAGAATACGCGTTGTGAGTATGAGTTCAATATACTGAATTATGCTGCTATCTCTTACCAGCTCGAAAGACGTCTGGGCAATTCAATATCTTGGATGGCAGTCGCGAGTGTTCTATGCATGATCTTTATTAACATCACCACTTCATAAGCATTTTGAAACTGGAGAAGATATACTCACTTGCGACGGCAGCAGCCAACGCTGTCTTTCCAGTGCCGGGTCTTCCAGTCAGCAAAGTTCCCTTCCCACGTGGACCGTTATTGTTATCCGCTTGAACATAGATACTCAATAGCGATATTTGATCGAGCAATTCCTGGACAATGTGATTTATTCCTCCTATTTCCTTCTGAACATTTGACCTCCATTCTTCTAGAGGAGGCAGATTCACGGTATAATTCGGCGAATCCATGAGTCGACGAATGTTGTCCTGGCAATTGTCAAAGTAGGCACGGGAAACGCTGTGCTAGAATTCAGAAAATTTTACCAGTCAGAAAGTCTAGCGAGTACATTTGATGTGTGTGCAGAACTTTTATACACTTGTAAAACAAAAGCAAGCCACGATATCTGGGAATTGCAATTGCCATTCCATTTTTTTTATGCATACACTCCATGCCTCGTTTCTAGAGCACTATACCAGACAAATACGTGGCATTGATGTATTTGCTGAAGCTTTCAAGCGTAAGTCAGCAATACAGTACATTCACGCCCTGGCGATCGGTATATACCAAATATTCTCACTCCACAGAAGTTGTATCAACTAACTTTCCTTCATACAACGCAAAAATGAGCCGGACATCCCACGATACTAAGTAAGCAATGAACCAAATGCTAAATAGGCAAAAGTACCAATGAAACGGACAAATGTGATAGCTCCGCTTCGACTACACGACGCCTAGACTTAGTGAATGGTAATTCATAAATTTATGTATCAATTTACCTTGCTGCTTTTACCTTAAGGTACTCGCTTGTTTTTTGCCTGAACAATGGTATTTCCCTTCTCACACTCTAACGTCTTCGATCTACACAGATTATATGTTCTGCAACAGTGTCGATGTTTACAACATATCTAGTTTTCCAACAATGCCATAGCCTCTAGTTTCATAATTATTCTCATACGTTTCCCCTCAACAACCCCTTGCACTTCCATGGCTACCTACACCGATGTGAGACTCCCTTGTCTGTGCGCGTAAATGTCGACCTTTTTAACCCCAGAGGCTTAGAGCAAGTCACAACAAAATTTTGTTGTGACCGTCAAGCTTTGTGTATAAAAATTCTATCCAAGGCAGCAAATAATTTTTTTCTTTATCAAAAAGAATCCACGAGTGCAGCCACGAGTCGGGTTTAGAGCTTCGGCTCAATTACCTTGTCTTGCCAGGGATCATCGATCTCTTCGCGCTCCAGATATTCGATCAGCTAAAGAAACCAGCTTCTTTAGCATTCATTTGCTGCATGGGAAGTTGGTGCCGACTCTGGTCATATAATCCCCCACACCTTTTTATAACAACAAAAGAAATAAAAAAAACATTGGGAATACTATTCTTACTGAGTGCTAGAAAACAGGTTGCTTCAAGTGGTGTAGCTGCTGATGTGCTTGATATCTGTGCCAGCTAGTGGTGCTTTTAGTTTGAATACGATGATAATGACTCATCATAGATATTCTGCTACATGGCCTTATTGTTTTAAGAGAGCACGGATAGCCAGAAGACTCTAGCACCGTACGGTCAACGTGTATAATTATGAACAGTTTGATACAGAGGATAGAAACATAGATAGACTATGGCTGATAATATCATTGCAGTCAAATGCTTAAATATGGAACATTCTTTATTGATGATAAATTTGCTGCAGCCAGTATGATCAAGGTTCAACTACCAGGCCGAGGAAGAAAGATGAATGGTTGGGTGTGCGGCACTTCAAAGCTGGTTAAATTTCATGAAAGAGCGGGCAATTCAAGGGAGTATTACCCACTCTTTCCCTTGCCAGTCATTCACCATGGAAAAATTAACCACAGCTGAACAATTGAACTCTTTCATCGACTCTTACGATAACTTTTTGTTCGACTGCGATGGTTCGTTTCTACATGGAATATAGTGTACTTCCCTGCATCTCTCGTCCATTGCTAATACTCTTAATCAGGTGTTCTTTGGGAAGGCAGTAACGTGTTTCCAAACGTCAGAGAGGCCATGCAGCTCTTGAGAACCAAAGGTTGGTTTTTTTGATGATTTTCCGGTCTGTCAATATCAAAATATGTGTACTCATGGTACCTCTCGAACAGGAAAGCGCATTTTCTTTGTCACCAACAACAGCACCAAATCCAGAGAAGCTTACTTGGATAAGTTCAAGAAGCTCGATATCGAAGCACACTTGGTAAGTTGCATGGAAAAATACCATCGGATGCTTTGACAGGATATCTCATATAGCTTATATTCTCTCTTTTTTCGTTTGTGCTTTAGGACGAAATCTTTTCTTCAGCATTTGCCACCGCTGCCTATCTCAAGAACGTTGTGAATTTCCCCGCTGACAAGAAGGTTTATATTGTGGGCATGTCTGGTATCTCAGAGGAATTAAAGGCTGAAGGCATTCGTTCTTTCGGCGGTGTGGTTAGTAGCATAGGCATTGACGAATATTGGCTATCTCATTGCTAATTTGGAATGTATAGGAAGACGATGGTGCGCGCTCAATAGACGACATCACCGACGACCCGGAGGTAGGGATTTGCGCACCACTTTGCTCTTTTACCTACGCCTAACTAACCTTTTGCTCGGGCAGGTCGGCGCGGTTGTCATGGGATTGGATGTCAACATCAGCTACTACAAGTACTGCAAGGCATTTACCTTCCTTCATAACCACCCAGAGAGACTCTTTTTGCTTACCAACGCAGACTCTACTTTCCCAACTCACGGAACTCTCTTTCCCGGTACATAATCAACTTTTTCACCTTTTAATTTTGTTTATCATTAACATCTGCCATTTGTAGGTGCCGGTGCCATCGCATCTCCTCTCATCACTGCATTGGAGCGAAAGCCAGATGCTATTCTTGGAAAGCCAGCTCAAAATATGTTGGAAGCCATTTTGGCTGAGTAAGTAGCAATGCCAGCCTTTACACACATACCAAATTCCATCCTAATCCTTCGTTTCGTTCTGTGCACTAGATACAGCTTGGATCCAACAAAGTCTTGTATGATTGGCGATCGTTTGGACACTGATATTGATTTTGGTAACCGTGGTGGTTTGACCACTCTCTGCGTCCTCACTGGTGTCACTCGAGAGGACAAATTGTTGAGCGATTCCAACCCCATCAAAGCCACTTTCTACGTTGATTCTTTTGGAGATTTTGCTTCTCTGACAGGCTCCACCCTTCCCAACTAAACACGAATAGATATAGTTGAATAGATATAGTTGTATTATTTTAGATTATCAACAGAATACAATGAACTTATGATAGACGCATGATGGTTTGCAGGCGGGGTATTAGCGGCTAGAGACGTGCTTCTGGGTATTTCAATAGTTTTCATGTACTCTTTTTTTTTTTTCCTTCTTTGTTTTGTCTTTAAGACGTACATCAACTCTACTTTCCTCGCTTATAATCATACAGATTGCCCTATAACAAGGCGGTTTCTACGAGGCTGTGCAAGGCATCATAGTCCGACCATTTTCTCACCAGTCGAGTTGTTTTTTGTCACAGTGTTTACTGGCGCGCAGCACTAATGAGGATGAATGTCCGCAGCCGACTAGATGAGAGCCCAGACTAAGTTGCAGAAAGCATCATTGATGTCAAAAATGGACTTGAAACTCGTCAGTGGCAAGTACAGCTATGTGAGGATTACCCAAAACCGCACTCATTACGAGATACGAGAAACAACCAACATGAAATTTTGGTAATGCAGTTTGGAACTTGAAGAATTTAGTGAAAAAGAAGAAGAGCAAATACAAAGCAGTCAAATCTAAGAAACATTTGCCACATTATCGAGAGTTGGCGAAGATGTCGCAAAATTTTCAAGGCACTCTAAACATCTTTATCTGAGGGTTTTGATGGATTTATCGCTGCCTTCATTCAGTTTGTATGACCTTTAACAGATCGCAAACCACTTGAAGCGCCCGGACACGATATATGAGGGCTTGAAAAACAGCGGTGCTAAATATAGAGATCATCTAAGCACCTTGAATGATGGGTCTGCAATAACGGAACCAATGATACATGTGTTCAGTCGATAAATCATCCTATTGTAAGCAAGGATTTTGAGACTTTACCTTTAACTGGAATCATGGATCTCGATCATATCGCTTTCGTTTCTAGAAGCGAACAAAGAACTGTCTGCATATTTTTAATTTTTAAACATCCATAGCTGCGATCTAATCATACGCTACAAGCGAGCAGTTTCGAACCTCATAACATCATTACATTCTGCCTTGAATGCATGATTATCGAGACTCTCATATACGTCCCTTACCAATATATATTCCAATGTAGATATTTTAGCACTGTGTAAATAAATAAATCAAAAGGTGAACAGCGTGAGTTTGGAACATATTTTATTGGGACAGATGCAAACTGAGTAATATAAATTAGTCAGATGTATTGATGACTTGAGAGTCAAACACAAAAGCTAAATCATCAAAATTTTTCGGAAGCCAGAATCAATAAATCTTGTCTCTCGTTTAGAATAAGTTAGGTACTATCTATGGTACAAATATGCATGACGTAAAACACCATGTAGTCTTGTGGACTGCAGCAACATAAATCATGAAGAACTGTGTTAATTATTTTATTCCTCAGCATATATATCATTTGCAGTGCCGGAGACTCAGCACTTGAAAATTAAATAAGTCATACGCATATACAAATATCGTCCTTAATCTTATATATTACACATAATTTATTGCACTAACATCGATGTGCATTTGTTTCATGTAATATAAATACTGGAGAAAAGGCTTCTAGTACCTTTTTTCTTGAAAAAAAGAAGGAGAGGAAATTAGCCATGGTTGCTTAAGTATAAGCGATTTCTATCCATAAATTCTGTATAGATTGAAATGATCAAATGAACTGCCTGCAAAATTCTGCATAGCTTGCAAAAAAAGAAACTTTTCTTCCTTCCATGGGAAAATAGCATACGTATATTCATATTCCAAAATTTAAAAACATTAGGAGAATGTTCGACGAAGAAAAAAAACAGCATCAATATATTTTAAGTTCAAGAACAACAAGGTACTATAAACCAGTATGCGTGCTCTACGGTAGAAATTTCAGAATAGGTATATATTCATACTCCATCAAAACTAATACTATTTTATTGTGTTGTAGTTTCTCTACTCCGTTATGATCAGTATTTCTGATATGGTGACATAAATATGAAGGAGAAGTATATAAACCATTTTACCGTTTTTGGTTAAGGAAAAAAGTATCTTTTAAGTAGTGGTAGCAACTCGTATAGAGTGCATTACAGTGTATAGTATATAACATTTATTTAAATTCCCTTATATATTTGCACCAGAATCCAGAGAAACAAGAAGGGCCTTGTGGTGCAGTGGTAGCATACTCGCTTTGGGTGCGAGTGGTCCCGGGTTCAAACCCCGGCGAGGCCCCATTTTTTGGATTTTTTTCATTGGCTAACTGAGCGGAGTTGGAAAGGAAGCAAAGCAGGCAGCACATCACATTGGCTTAGGCACGACTTGGCCTGATGCAGACTGTGACTCGAAGACTGTATGTCGTCAGCAGAAGGCCGTTCACAAAAGCATGACATTGGGAAGCTGCTAGTACAACGGGCTATAAGTATGATAGCATGTATTGGAATCAATATATCTTGTTTCTGCTATTTTTTTCTGTGTTGTGCCTTTCTTTGGCTTCCCATAAAAATTGAAGCACACGACAGCCCAATCTCTGCATCTTTGCATTAGGTGAAGATAAAATTTACAGTTACAATTTACATTATTTATTCATTCCATTCTATGTACAAAGAATTATAGTAGAGACCTGTAACTACTTCCCGGTCCCTACAAGGGAATCACGCTAGGTTGCCCCTTATGTTTGGGCCTTAAGATCACGCATTGTTGATAAGTGGATAAGCTTTGATCTATAAGTTCCGGAAAGGTGATTTTGTCAAGAGCTTTCAAATGTTGAAAATGAGATAGAGCATCCGTGGCAATCCATTCTTCCCCCCTTTCCAATCTCCATATTGTTCGCTTGCTTCCACTCGATATGCTCCTTGTCATCTCGCGCGACCGCCTGTTTCTGCACAGTGCTAGGAACTCCACATTGGGAAATATCTCGGCTAGTGAGCGTACATCTGCATTTTCGAGAAACATGCATTCAATACAAAGGGTAGTGATGTTATAGAGTCGCACATTGCTCGCTTGTAAGCGTGCGATTAGATCATTGCCTTCCATATGATCGAGATAGAAAGTATGCAAGCTGTTTTTGTTGGCGTCTAAAACAAAAGGAATATGATCGAGAGCCATGTTTCCAGCGAAGGATAAGGTCTTGAGGGTGCTTGTCTTAATCATGGCTTGATGTATTGACTGGTCCAATGTTTCGTCAGTTTCCTTGCTGTAGACCCACCATTCAAGGTGCTCCAGGCTGTCTCCGAAGTTAGTGATGTTAATTTGCGAATCATCATACTTCATGAGTCCGAATGCTTTCAACTGTTTGCGACCTATTTTAAAATCATCCAGATTGACTGAAAGAGGTCGTAGATAGCTATGAAAATCTATGATCAATGTGTGTAGAGTGTTTTGACAGTTTTGCAATATCTTCTTTAACGCTTGGTAATCGCTTGTATGGTAGACAGTGGCCGTGAACGATTGTAAATATGGCATGGTAGGCAGTGATGGCAACATGTGGGTAAGAATATCTTCGCAGCGAGTGATATTGAGATGTTGTAGCCTAATGAATACATCATTGATGTTGTTTAAGTCGTATGGTTCCAGCTCATATCCGAATGATCCCTTGAGAGATAAACTTGTCAATTTAGACCATTGTGAGGCCAAGTTGCTCCAATCGAATGGCACTCCACTATCAGTATCTGAAGACAAAATAGGCAGACCCAGATTCGATGTATGGACGTTTGGAGTTTTGGAAGCAAGTCGAGAAAGCATCGTCGAGTAACTGTGTATATCATCATGATGAGAATAGCCTGTTATTATTTCCACGGATTTAACGAGCTGTCCGAGTGGCTGGTGACTGCTGATGCTACTTTCAACACACTTTTCATGGTGGTTCTGGGAATCGTTGATAGATTCCACAAACTGCTGGAGCTTGGCATGCGAATAGAAAGATATTGTTTCATAGAGGAGTGAGTTTGCAGCAGCATTCCAGGGCCAACAAGTGCGACTGCAACTGATCAAGTCTTGCGGGTCAAGGTCTTGAAAAACAATGGACAGTATCTCACTCGGGAATTCTAGCCTGAAATCCATTATCTAGAAGAAGAGTAAACAGTGGTGAGCATGGAGTAGGAAAAAGAAACAAGAAAAATAGTGTTGTTACCGCTGATAGGAGGCGGCGTTTGGAGGCGGTCAATACTGCGTCGCACAAGCAAAGTTTTATTTCTGTGGTTCTGTCGGCAGATTTAAGCTACCGAGATCTAAAAGAATTAACAGTAGAGTTATATAATGGTGGGAAAGCGACAGGAAACGATTAGAGTTGCGAAGGTACAAAATAAAACATTTGGGAAGACTGCTGATGGAGTAAATGGTAACCTGTGCGACAGGTGTCTGAGGCGTTAAATCTCAATGATGACAGTTTTGTAAAATTTGGGGAATTTCTTTGGGAGATCACAGATCTTCTTTTGAGGACAACAAGAGGTCAAGTTACCTCTCTAACAATGACCAGCCTGGGCCAAACAAAATAAAAAGTCAAGGGGTGAAGCTTAAAATATCAGATTCAAGCATGCTATTGGTTGTGGCATAATGGGTTCAAATTTTTCAATGACGAACGCCATATTCTACAGGGTTAAGGAATCGCACGATGAGAGCCAGACACTGCCAAAATGTACAGAAAGGGTGGGAATCCATCACTTTATCGCGGTTGCCTAGGTATATGAGGAGATAATTGTGAAACGATTGGTGATATTGAGCGCTGAAAGGTGGTATTGAAAACTCTTATGCCGTCAAACATGTGAGCTTGCATGGCCATTGACGAAGGTATAACGTTAGGAACCGTCAACAGAGCCGGCTATATTTCTAGCTATGATAGCATCAATTGTAATAATCATGTTTTCCAGTTCTGCTATATGTATAGAGCCACATGGCTTCGCATCAGTTGCTCTATTTTGGCTATGTTGAGTTGTAAGTCAGAGACGAACAATTCCTACGGGATTGACAAGGCATGAGTGAGATGAGAAAGATCTGATGAGGCAAAGGAGAGTGATAAAAAACAGCTGGATTCTAGGTCATGATTAGGTCAGTAGTAGTCAGTTCAATGACGACAGCCGATTTTCAAGACTTGATGTCAATAAATGTAAAACGTACAATCGACCGTATTTATTCATTCCATTTACAAGGAGCAATAGTCCATGTATGTAATTAATTATCGGCTCCTACAAGGGTATTACGACGGGTTGCACTTTATGTTTTGGCCGGAAGATGTTGCACTGTTGAAAAGTGAATAAGCTTTGATCTACAAGTTCCGGAAAGGTGATTTTGTCAAGAGCTTTTAAATGTTGAAAATGAGATAGAGACTCCGTGGCGATCCATACCGGACCCCTATTCAATTCCACAATCGTAAGCTTGCTTCCACTCGGTATGCTCCTTGTGCTTATGTTCATTGTGCTTACGTTTCTTGTGCTTATGTTTCTTGTGCTTATGTTTCTTGTGCCTTTTATCATCTCGTGTGAAAGCCTATTTCTGCGCAGTGCTAGGTATTTCACATTGGGGAATATCTCGGCAAGGGATCGTACATCTGCATTTTCGAGAAGTGGGCATTCAAAGCAAAGTGTAACGACGTTATAGAGCCGCACTTTGCTATCTTGTAAAAGTGCGATCAGATCGTTGCCACGGGCATGATCGACATAAAAAGTGTGTAGGCTGTGCTTGTTCGCTTCTAAAACCAAAGGAATATGATCGAGAGCCATCTTTCCAGCAAAAGATAAGGTCTTGAGGGTACTTGTCTTAATCATGGCTTGATGTATTGACTGGTTCAATATCTCGTCGGGTTTCAGACTGAAGATCCACCATTCAAGGTGCTCCAAGTTGTCTCCAAATTTGGTGATGTTAATCTGCGTATCATCATGCTTCATAAGCCCGAATGCTTTCAACTGTTTGTGGCCAATATTAAGGTCATCCAAATTGAATGAGATTTGCGGATAAAAGCAAAAAAATTCTATGACCAAGGTATGTAAAGTGGTTTGATAGGTTTGCAATATCTTCTTTAATGCTTGATAATCGCTTGTACGGTAGATGGTGGCCATAAAAGATTGTAAATATGGCATAGTAGGCAGTGATGGTAGCATGTGGGTCAGAAAATCATCGCAACGAACGACACTGAGATGATGCAATCTACTGAATACATCATTGATGTTTTTCATGTCGTATGTTTCCATCCCATATTCTAAAGACCCTTTTAGAGATAGACTTGTCAGCTTGGACCATTGTGAGGCTAAGTTGCTCCAATTGAATGACAAGCCATCATAAGTATTTGAAGACAAAATAGGGAGATACATTTTTGCCTTGTGGACGTTTGGAGTTTTAGAAGCAAGTCGAGAAAGCATTGTCGAGTAATCATATCTATCATCGCGTCGAGTATAGCCTGCTGTTATTTCCACGGACTTAACGAGCTGTCCGAGTGGTCGGTAAGTATTGATGCTATTTCCGACACACATTTCATAATGGTTCTGAGAATCAGTAATAGTCTCGACAAACTGCTGAAATTTGGCATGTGAAACAAAAGATACGGTTTCGTAGAGGAGGGAGTTTGCAATAGCATTCCAAGACCAACAAGTGCGACTGCAACTGACCAAGTCTTGCGGGTCAAGGTCTCGAAAAACTACGGGCAATATCTCATTCGGGAGTCCTAGGCTGAACTCCATTATCTAGAAGAGGAGTAAACAGTTTATGAGCATAGAGTAGGATTGAAAAATACCAAGGAGAAGTGCCAAATTGCTGTTGATAAAGAGGCAGCATATAAGACGGCCATATGGCAGTTATGCAAAGCAAGTTTAACACCAGTGGCTTTATTCAAAGATTCAACATTACCAGATTCTTAAGTAGGAAGTAGCAGTAGAGTTATGTAATCGTGGAAACGGCGGCAGGCAACAGTTAGAGTTGCGTAGGTACAAAACGAAATAACTGTGAAGACTGCAGGATGGAGTAATGTTGTCCTGTGCGACCGGTACCTTAGGTGTTACATCTCACAGATGGATGCGTGCGAGAATTCAGCAATGTATTTGCGAGAGATCGATCCCTTTTGAGGACAAAGTTACCTCTCAAAATAGTGAACGACCATTTTTCATTCGAAATGAAAATCAAGGTACGAAGCTGAAAAATATCAATTTCAAGCATGATGTTCGTTGTGGTATAAAGTTTTCAAGATTTCAAATTAAGAAGTCTAAAGTCTACAGCGTTAAGTTAATCGTACAACCAGAGCCAAAGGCAGCCAAAAGTATTTTAAAATGGGTGGGATATACCACCATCCGGGCTTAGTTGCCTAAGTCTATGAGTAAGGGAATTGCGTAAAAGGTTGGTGGTATGGAGCGTTGGGAGTCGGCATAGGCTGGGCCGATGGCATGGCTTGACCTGGTGTGGGTAGTGACATTGGATAAGTAAACGGAGCATAAGCAGGATCAGACTCTGAATGAAGCTGAGGATAATAAGAATTGCTGTGATAAGAAGGCACTTGCTGACTCTGGGAATGATAATAGGCATTCTCTGGAGAGTAATCTGATTGATGACAGTTTACGGGTTCAGGCATTTGGTAGGCTGTGTTGGTCTGGTTTCCATACGCATGCAAAAGTGGCTTCTGTGGCGAATGGTGAGGAAGATAGTGACGTTCACTATCATTATGAAAATTTGGAATTGGCATTTGCGGCAGGGATATAGAAGGAGTATGACCATAATGCGAAGAGTTAGAATACGATGATGGAGAATTATGTGGCATAGGCATGACTGGATGATGGTCAAAAGATGAAGGCGAGCTTTGAGGTGCAGGCATAGCAGAATGGAGTCCCGGAGGTGAAGGCATTTGAGATATAGGCATTGTGGAATGGTAGCCAGGAGATGAAGGGAGAGGTTGAGACATGGACATGTTTGGAGAGTAGTGACTACTATTAGCAAAGGTGCTACTGTTGATAGAGTTACTATGGGACAGCGGTAAACCGGAATTTTGGGATGTTGAAGGCTGAATGGCAGGTACGACTGAGTGTTGGCTATGCGATAGCGAGTGACTTCTGGAGAAGCTTTCATGAGGCATTGATTGAGGAGGACCATTGGGGGAAAATGAAGTTGGCGCTGTCGAGGTCTCATACACGCTACTAACAGTTGGCACTGGGAATCTTTGAGACGCTGTGCGCGATGTTGAATTTTTGACACCATCACCACCGATGGTCGAGATCATTGCGGAGTCTACACCATTGATACCGACAACGTTATCAGGGCTGACACCAATGGGGGTCCGATTTGGGTATGCTCCATCAACTCTATTGACATTGCTGTTATCCTTGGATTTGGATTCAGTCAGCGCTGTAGCCGCTATTTCTGTTCCAGACACCTGAGATGAAAAAGGGATGATGGGAGGTGGTCGACTGGATTGAGATAGAGAGGATGTGCGAACAGGACGAGGGGCTACAAAGACTTGCTTTGGTACATCATTCAGCTTCTGTTCTGTCTCGCCGCTCTCTGAATCTGATTCCGTTTCTGAGGACTGTGGTTCTGGCTCTAGTTCTTCCTCGTCTAAATCGAGGTCTATTGGTATAGCGGCGGGCGGCCAAGTGGCGACAACAATAGGGATCTCTAAAACCACGTTGTTTGACTTGGAGACGGTGCCATTTGAAGGGTTGAGGTTGATGCTAATGCGGACTTGATATTGAACATTTAATATCTTGCCATTTATGTCAATTGTTGGTGGAGTGGACGTTGGAATCAAGATGTGTGGTGTGGCGGAAAAAACAAAGTTGCTGGTGGAAACGTTCAAATCTGTGACGAGAGACCGAAGAGCATTCTGTACAGGTGTTTGATTTTTACTCTTTCCGAAAAGTGCAATGCGAATCAGCTCGACTTTAATTCCTTTTTCTCGGGTAAACGGTTCAAAGTGCTTGATGGATAATTCTATTGGTATGATGTCACCTAACGGAGGAGAGAGAGTTGAGTATTGGAAAGACTTTCTCAGTTTCAAAATACTAAACCATGTCATGCGCACCTCTGACAAATGCAAATCTTGGCATTTTTGCAATGATGCGAACCTTGCGTGTGTCGTTGGAACCCGATATCGTGACATCCTGACACATTTCCGCTTCATGGGCGAATTCTGGCCACTCGGCATTAATATTCTCCAATATTTGCAATGCGTATTCTGCCTTTGATGAGAGAGCATCTGGGATAAGTGGTCTCTCATGGATGGCTGTAATACCATATTTAATAGAGCCTCGGGCAAGCTTTGTGCTACTGGGTAAATTCAAGTGGCTGTCAACCAAAAATTCGAAAGAAAAACTGTGCGTGCGTGCGTCCAGTGTGCCAACGTCGGCAGCAACTTTGATTTGTTTTGTAAAAAGATTGAAGGAATCGCCACCAGCTTCTACTTCGCCTTTAAATATGACTAGTATACAATTCGTTTTTGTTGGCTTATCCAAGGAGAGTGTCACCGTTCCTGACAAAAAAAGTAAATGCGTTTAGATTGCAGAGAAAGGACTCATTTCGAAGGAGATCCCAGAAAAAATAAGTACCATTGATGGTATCACCAGGAAAAAAATATCTGGAGTCATTAAGGGTAATGTAAAATTCACCTCTTCCCAGCATGCAAAAGAAGTCGGTCAAGGGGTATTTTATGCGTAATCGGCCAGTTGTTACCCTTTTTAACAGAGCATCAGGTTGGTCAGCAGCCAATCAGATGGCTTCTAAACTTACTGTACGTACTATGCGATTTCAGGAAACCAAGGCTGTGGCATTTAATAATTACGCTTGCCTAGTGGATGTGGCGGGATGTATTACACGTAATCGTACTAGCGAGCATCATAGCTTGTCGGAATATGGACATTGTCTACGAGAACCACACCCCAGCCCATTCTTTGCGTAGTGTTATCTTCAGTGTAGAGAAGAGCAATCTAATATATTCTATCACCAATCGTTTACCTTCGCTTGCCTGCTATTTTTGAGTTCAGGTATGTTAAAGACAAACTGCGTCTATTCCTACTTTTCAAATACAGCCATGATCGCAAGTGACAGTTTCAATCCAACCAAAGAAAGTGAGGTTCGATTACACATCCATATTACGCATGCTCAATTTATATTCATAGAGCTATTCTACTGCAATGTTACATTCATTTACTATGAGCGACGGATTTTATATAGAAAGCTCAAGTACCGGGACTTATGCTTTAAGTGCACGTTGTTGTCAGAACGACTGGTTGATGGGTGGCCCATTACAGTTCTATGTGACTGCCAGTTACGCTGGTTTGTAAAAATTCGGGAAAACGATACGCATAACACTACTCAACACAGCATGCCGATTGCATTGGGACTCGAAGGATCAGCCAATAAACTTGGCATTGGCATCATTCAACACGATGATACTGGAAAATCCCCAGCAAAAGTTCTTTCCAATATAAGAGATACATATATTACCCCTCCTGGTCAAGGATTCTTACCGCGCGACACAGCACAGCACCATCGTGATTGCATTCTACAAGTTCTTCGGAAGGCAATGAAAGAAGCGAACGTCACACCAAAAGATATCGACGTTATATGCTTCACAAAAGGTTAGAGTCTTAAGATTATAGAGCAAGCATTACCCAGTGCCACGAGCCAACCTTTTTTTTCCACAGGTCCTGGAATGGGCGCACCACTGACCTCCGTTGCCGTTGTTGCGCGGACGTTAGCCTTGATGTGGAATAAGCCTATGGTGGGAGTAAATCATTGTATTGGCCGTAAGTGAATGGATGAGATTGCACTTCATTATTTATTTTTTATTTTCCTGGAGACCTAAAATCTGACTTGATTTAAATTTGACACTGACTTGACAGATATTGAAATGGGCAGAGAGATCACTGGTGCTGGTAATCCAATTGTTCTCTATGTATCTGGAGGTAACACTCAAGTCATAGCCTACTCACAGAATCGCTACCGTATCTTTGGTGAGACCTTGGACATTGCCATCGGAAATTGCCTGGATCGATTTGCTCGTATCTTGGGATTATCCAACGACCCAAGTCCAGGTCATAACATTGAACAATACGCCAAGAGGTTAGTACTAAACCCAGTTTATACCGTTACAATGGCGTCTTGAGTAACGATTATACTGTATTGCAGAGGGAAAAATTATGTCCCCCTACCTTATACCGTCAAGGGCATGGACGTATCATTTTCCGGCATCTTATCACACATTGAATCGTTGGCTGAGGAACAACTCAAGGCTGGAACAGTTACGCCAGAAGATTTGTGTTATTCCCTTCAAGAGACATTATTTGCGATGCTAGTGGAAATTACTGAGCGAGCAATGGCGCATGTTGGTTCGCAAGAAGTTCTTCTTGTTGGCGGTGTAGCATGTAAGTCTCTATGTCATATATGTATGTTACATGATCAACCAGACACTAATAAGCAATATGTAGGTAACGAAAAATTACAGGAAATGATGGGTCAGATGGCAGAACAGCGAGGAGGCAAAGTCTTTGCCACCGATGAAAGGTACAGAATAAATATAATGCACGAAGATGTCCCTGGAATTGGCATTGGCAGCAGCCGCATCCAAAGAGTATGCTTTAGACTTACGCATCCATTTTCAGATTTTGTATCGATAACGGTATAATGATTGCTCAGGCAGGGTTGTTAGCTTACTCTACAGGATATGAAACGCCATTAGAGAAAACGACATGTACTCAAAGATTTAGGACGGACGAGGTCTATGTTGCATGGCGGGAATGAGATGTAATAAAATAATTAATTCATGGATGTGTTGTCTGTTTACATTCAAAGCACAGCAAATCAAACGTTATTGTAGCCCTGTCACCGGCCTTTCGAATGGCCACCCAAGATGAGACAATTATTTTATGCAATAATCCAATCGGCAGTAGATGGCGTACCACGTGTATCATGCAATTACAAAAACTTTACAGCGATAGCATCATATAACAAGATTATAGTAAAACTGGTCATCAATAAATGAATAGCAACCTTTCGCGAAAGTTAAAGCTTTTTTCTGGCGTTGACGGGGACAATGCAAAAAGAAAGAAGCAATATTTCTGGTTGCAGAAAATTGCCGATGGCAGTCACCGTCATTCATTTGATGTCCAAAAAATTAAATGACAGCGGTTACAATAAGCAGTATTTGATTCAAACATGTCAAAACGAGCAAGTAAGCGGGAGTATCCTAGTGATTCGGCAACGACACCATTGCTATCCGGCCAACCCAAGCCTAGTAAATCAACCCCGGTGTCAGCTTCAAAAACAATAGCTTTTAACTCACAATCACACCTTGCAAGTCATGGCCATGGTGTTCCGACATCAGATCAATACCATACATTTCCACAAGAAACCCCAGCTCCGGCCCGCTCCAAGCCAAAGCAGCCTAATCGAACAACCAAGACTTCGCAGAAACTCAAGCTATTTCCCGAAGAAGATGAACAGACTCTCATGACCTCGGAAGACTTGGACGCTACAGTCTATGACCAAATAGCTCAAATACCACACGGCTTTGCTCGGTTAGAGGCCGAACGCTTGAGCAAAATAGATCGTGGGCATCTACCAAGAGTAACCGCGTATTGTACAGCATCGTAAGTATGAATATAGCGGCAGGCTTTCATATCTCCTCCTCTAACACTGTTCGTTTGTCATTTTCAGAGCATATCGAATGGATGAAATGGTGAAATTCTTGCAGTCCAAAAAAGCATCCAATGGTGCGGCACCCAAGAGATTTGACGAATGGTAAGATGATCATATAATACTTCCAAATCTTTCTAATATATGTGTTGCTAATGTATGATCGTTTCCAGCGTGTTTACACCATATTCATTCAAATACCCCCTCTCTCCTCCACGAGATAACGGCGAGACTAACACCGGATCAATTTTCCCAAAAGTATTCTTGTTTGATTACGGCGTGGTTGTCTTTTGGGGAATGACACTTGAGGAAGAACAAAAGTTTATGCGGGAGATAGAACCCTTTGAAGAGGAGCGACTTGGTATGTGCTTCGCAAGCAACGTTTGACTGAGTCCCATTCCACTAACTTTACTAATACGTCATTGTTGTACAGAAACTGATGATGTTGAAGTTGAAGAATTTCAATTCCACTATAATGAGCAGTACCAGCCAAGGTATACTATTGATATTTTGAAACGAAGTTCGGTTCTGGGTTATTGGTATAATGACGATGTCTTTAACGATATCATCTCCATAACTTCGAATGCTATGATAAGATTATCAGTGGAAGAGTACTAATCCCGTATCCATTTCCTCTTACCCAGAATTTACAATGATGTTATCACTCTACGACATCCACAAAACTACCTAGTCAAGTTGACGATATCGCATGCTATTGCTCAAAGTGTAAAGATGACTCTTTTTGAAAGATTGATTGATGATACCATCAACGAAACGAAATACATCCCGCAAGTTATGGCTGAGAGCGGAAAGGTGCACATGTCCAGGTAAGCCAATATATTTGATAATCTATTAGCCCTACAGAACTGAAGAAAAGCAGTAAAAGACCATGTCCTAAATCATCTCAATTTCTGACAGGGTTGCAATCACCAAAAAAATCGGCCAGCTCTTCATTATGCGCATCAATGTCAATCTGGTCTCTAACATTCTCGATACACCTGAAATCTTTTGGTCAGAACCAGCATTGGAACCCTTGTACAGTGCAATTAGAGGATACTTGGAGATATCTCAGCGTGTAGAATTGTTGAATCAGCGTGTCCAAGTTATCAGCGATCTCTTGGACATGTTGAAGGACCACTTGAATAGTTCACATGGTATGTGAGAGGTGTCTGCTGTCAACAGGAGTAATAAGATTTACTGAATATCGTTTTACATCTAGGCGAGCAGTTGGAATGGATTGTAATTTGGCTTATTGCCATGGAAATCTTGGTTGCTGTTATTACCACTGGATTGGATGCGTTTAGTTTATCTCAGAAATAGATGCAAGACAAAACGGTATAGCGATAGCGGCAGAACGGTGGTAGCGTTTGTCAACACTCAAACCTACGGTGGATTGACATTATGTAACCGAATTTCAACAGTGTAATAAAAGCGAGCTCAAACATTTTTCTTGATTCTTTAAATTTATTGTTGACTATAGCCCTTCGCTGACAGCTGCAGCCTGGCTGACCGACCGTAGTCTGGATAAAAGGAAAATACAGGGAAGTTGAAATTTTCATCTCCTTCACAACCCACTGTCTTCTCGCGCACGTTGTACGAGTGCTGTTACTACCCTTGAACGCATGCCTTTAAATTGGCAAGTTCCATATGAAACAGCTTTGACATTGCTGAAGTCTTGCTCTACTGATTCAGGTAACAATGGAGTTGTGTTGACGTGAATTCCACTTTTGTCATTCCTTTTTCTAAATCCCTTGCCACCTTCAACGATTGCACGGCCATACCGACCCTATCACTTTCGCCTACAATTTTATCTTTTGATGTAGAACTCCAAAAATGTGGCTCCTCCGTCATCCTATTGCTCGAAAGATGTATACAAAAGCTACCGGATTCAGTACGCGCTGAGGAAATGGAAAATTTGCGACACTCTATTGTTTCGACCGATAGTATGGTTGATTTGGCAGACGAAAAAATCTTGGCAATACCGTATAAAGATGTGCCATTGTCCTGGCGACGTTTACTGACTGATACAAGCTTGCTGAAGGCATTATTTCAAATACTTCTTATGCACAACTCCAAAGAGACCATCGAAAAGACTCAACTATTACGACAGATATGCCATGGCCTCGATACTGCTATTGTCGTTGCTGGCGCTCCTGGGCATGATCGACGGATGGTAATAGACAGTATTTTAGATCTTGCGCAAAGCCAGCTACATCAGCTGCAAGTCCACAGCGACGCCACCACGGACATCAAACTTTCCAGTAAACGAAGGCGTCTGGTGGATGAAGAATCTAGCCCTATGACACTTGGATTCCCTGTCAAGACCTTCGGTACCGCGCCTTCATTTATGGAGTTCAACAATTATATCAATAGTGATTCAGCAGATCCAGTTGTAATGGAAAACATCATTGATCACTGGCCCGCCCTAAACGATCATCCATGGCACTCAATGCCGTATTTACTTTCAGTGGCAGGAGAGCGGCTTGTACCCGTGGAGTTTGGTAGTCAGTACACTGATTCAGATTGGAGCCAGCGAATGATGCCATTCCGTGAATTTGTTAATAACTATGTCCAGGTGGGCGCAGCCGGCAAGAATGGCATTGCTTATCTAGCCCAGCATGACTTGTTTCATCAAGTGCCTCGCTTAGAGCAGGATATCATCATTCCCGATTATTGCTACGTGACGCCAAAGATCACAGAACATTATGAACGCCAGCCATCGGATGTTATAACCAACGCCTGGTTCGGCCCAGGAGGTACAGTCTCACCATTGCATCATGATCCATATCACAACTTGCTCGCACAGGTGGTGGGTAGCAAGTACATACGACTTTACGCTCCAAGTCAATCTTCTCGGCTTTATCCGCATGCAGGAATGATGTCCAACACAAGCCAGGTCAACGTTGAAAAGGTAGATGAAGCCCGGTTTCCCAATTTCAGAGACGCGAAATATGTTGAATGTGTCTTGAAAGCCGGCCAAGTTTTGTACATACCAGTAAGTATCTTCACGAATGAGTAGGCTTTGCAAGTCCATGTCTTCTCACCTATTTACACCGCAGCCTAAATGCTGGCATTATGTTCGATCGTTGGAAACGAGCTTCAGTGTCAGTTTTTGGTTCTAATGAAAAAGAATTGTTAGCTAACGTTGTAATATATCACTTGTATCATATTAGAAAAGACATGTCAGAGACTTTAACTGGTTACCTGTATCTACGTATACTGTTTAATGACCAGGTTATGCTTTCTCATATACTATAAACAAAAGCTGGTTATGGCCGAAAGTGAAGTTCAAATTTGTTGATTGTAGTGAAATTCACATTTTATTGGCCAATGGCCACAATACCGTTTAGTTAGGACTGCTCGCTTGCAGGGTTTAGCGGTCTCAACCTAGAGCCGCATTCATATACCGTTATTCTTATATTGTTTCCGAATTGCCTACCCGTACGAGACTTTGTGCAAAAATCGAGTCTTAATCAAGAGGAAAGTTGCTGGTGAAATAGCTGGTCAATATGAGCAGTAACCAGAATGGCGAACATTTGAAAGAATTAGAGGTACAGACCGACATCTGAGTCTGCAACACCATGCTAGTCAAGCTAATCCCGATCGTACGTTTTCTAGGTGACTGGCTGCACTCTGCTTCGAGACATTAAAAAGAATACGATTGTTGATATATATGGAGTGGTAACCAAGTTCAAGCTACCTACAAAGACGAGAGGGCAAGGTAGTGTACAATTTATGCTAACCTTGGGTGGCACGTTCTAAGCATCTAAAAAATTTACTGTCGCGTCAACAGATTTTGTATGCTCAATATCCGTGGCAGATCCTTCGCGTGGTATGGGACAAATGGGGGATACTAGCATTAATTTATTTCACCACAATAGCCAGACGTTGCCACAGTTTCGAGGCACAGGCGATATTTTCGTCCTACGGAGGGCACGGGTCCAAGCCTTTCAAAACAAGCTACAATGTGTTTCCATCAAAAGTAATACAACATGGGCAATCATACCGAGTAGACCCTCGGGAAAAGACCCCTCAAACGAAATTGTCCCTGTAAATATACCTGGTATGGTACTATCGCTGGACGAGAAAGACTATCATGTCATTAGGATATTACAAGATTGGCTCCAAACCATGCCAAGCAGTGGCAATACTTTTGCTACACTTGCTCCACAACCGAGCGGTAACAATTCGACGACTTTTCAATTCCCTGGAAAAATGCTTCGTACCATTTCTCAAATTAATCGACCCGGCCTATTTTCGGATCTCGTTGCAGAGGTATGTCGGTATTTATATGCATTTGGTCTTCTTTGTACTTATATCCGCTCGGGATAGGTCGTTGGCCATTACAGCGACACGGAGCGAAAAACAACTCAGTTACTCGTGGTTGATTATACCACGAACGAACTGCTCGTGGACCAAGAGATTTCACGATTTGGAGTCGCTGGCCGACGCGTCATAATGTGTACTTTGTTTGACGAGCATCATCAATATTGCCCCAAAGTTAATACGGGTAGCTTCGTATTCATCAGGAACGCAAATTCCAAGCTGGACATGAATCAATGCCTTGAACTTCGAGTCCATGGTGACCGTGATCGCAAATTGATGAATCCAGGCGTGCGCTTACTGGCAAGAGATGATCCAAGGTTGGTCCCCTTACTAGAGTAAGTCAGAACTGGAATGCCATACCTTGTTATATGTCAATTCTCTGTCACGTAAGCTAATTACTATTGCATGTAGAAAAAGGCACGAGTACATGTCATCGATTCAGCAGTTACCCAAGAAGAGTACACTACAGCTAAATTCAGATTCGTCCCAACAGCGCGTGTGGACAGGTATGCATATGAGCCAACTCTTCATCGTACCGGGGGCCAAAGTCAATCTAACATCTTGTCAGTGACAAAGCATAAAGATATTAATATCACTCCATTAAGCACCGTGGTCGCTTCCAAAATGGCAAGTAATACTATACCGTGTATGCCATTCGAGCACAAAAAAGTTAATGTTGTCAATACATGCCCCGGTTTTAGACGGTAGACAAGTTCAGAGTTCGAGCATGTGTAATTGATTATAAACCAAAGATCATCAAGGACATGGTTCGCCCATGGTGCTCTAGATGCCAAAAATCGTAAGTACGTTGGATATGTATATTCACAAGTTATATTATCTGATTTCTTGCCGTGCCATTTGCAGATGCTCCCCCTGTGAAAACCCGAATATGTCATGTACCTTTTGCATGGCCAAAATAACCGTATACAAGTATCAATTTGCCTGTCTTCTACAAGATGCTCATGGAGTTCAACTGCCGGTTATATTTTACGATAAAGACGCAGTAAGTATGTCTATCACCTATGTATGTTGGCAGCACATGTACTAAACAATGCAACCGCTAAAGGAGATGTTCCTGTGCAATTCAGCGCCATCAAAGTAAGTTATACAACATCTAATGCGCCACCCTGTCTTTGGCACTAACGTTGCCTCCCACTATAGTTTGTATTTAGAAGACTATGCAGCTAGCGAGCTCAAGGAGCAGATTGACACCATCTGCCCTGCTGGTAAAAGTAGCAATGTGTGGCTAGACTTTTGCATTCAGTCTTATATGGTTGATATTGACGGCCAAAAGGATCGAAGATTCCGAGTGTTTGACACAGAGCTGAAAATTCATTAAATACAACATGCAAGAGTCAGCGTAATAAGCGTAGTGACATTTTTTTCTTTTATAAAGTTGCACATAGTGGTTTGGAATAGGTGGCTTTCATTCTGTGGTTTTTGAAGAAAAGAAAAGGAGACGAAATATATATGCGGCCTTCAAAGCTGTACAATAACCGCAGTTGAGACATGTCTACGGGAACTAGGCTGCTTGAATTAGCGTGATATTATCACCTTTCAGAAGAATACGACCTGGTGAATGTAGATGGTTAGCAAACATGATGAGAAAGCTATATAGAGCTTGTCATCAACTTACCAATCTCCTTTCGTGTTTGGGTCTTGCTATTTATCTCTACTGCCTCGTCGAGGACTAGGTTCATGAATTCGTCAAAGCCCTAAGGATAAGAAAAAGCGTGTTAGTTGCAGTGTCTCGGGCAAGGTGCGGTGTATTGGGCCCGTGGTCAATTGATGCCGAGGTGAATTGAATCAATGGATCGTGAAGGCTGCGGGCCGGTACAGGTATGAAGTAATGTAAACTGAGAGCTGTACGTACAATAATTTTTCCTTCAATTCTGTTGTCTAACTGATCGTAGAGCCAGATCTGTACTGTTGATTTCTAAAGGAAGAAGGGTGTAAGTAAATAGGCGCGAATGTATATAGGTAATCAAGGTGGATCAGCTTACATTTTGGAGATACCTGAAGATCAGGTTCTGCAAAAGCGTGAAAAAGGTAAAATGTCAGTATACATTGCATTCGTGGTCGTGTCCATCAGCACTGCCAAAACGAACTTACAATGGGTTGAACCATAATCCTTTGTACTTTGGTCGACATGATTGTGAATTACAGTGGCACAGAAAGGTAAGTAAAGGTTTGATGCGAGTTCGTTGATGCGACGTCAAAGTACTGTGTTGCCGGTTGATTCAAGCTCAGGCTGCGGGTGGGCCAAAATTGGGTGGCTTAGGTCACCGCTACAAGGCATCACTTCTGCGCGAAAAAAATTATTCGTTCTCGCATGGAATTGGGATTTTAGAGAGAAAAAAAATTGAAAAAAGATGTACAAAGGGAAATTTATTCCAGGGTAAACCCAATATGTTCTACTGGCTACCTAAACCGTTTGTTACTGTAGTATTATGCTCTATTCCCCATCTTTGAAACCCATACCGTTAATCTCTTTGACTTCAAGGACCTAACATCTCTTTCCTACATATGCCGCTACACTTACATGTGAACTGTTTTATCGTCGCTCGCTGAGGCAAATAGATTGGGATTCTTGGGATTCCAGCAAACACTATTCACCATAGCATTGTGACCTTCCAATACTTGTAACAGAGAACCGTGTTTTCGATTCCAAACGTAGACATGGTTATCTGTTGAAAAAGGGTAAATTGGACGAACGAGCACATCATATAACTAGATATGGCATGGCTATAGTAGATCTCACCTTCACTACCGCTAACCACGAATGCTTGGTTGTGTCCGCCAAAAGTCGATCGAATAACATTGTCTTTTTGTTTCTGACCGCGGTACTTGTTCACTAATGTCTGGGTATCTAAATCCCACAAATGCAATTCTTCCGAAGAGACATTGACTAAAGCATATCGACCGTCATCCGATAATGAAACCGATGTTATGCTGTGGTCTTCACTGAACTCACTGGATTTTCAAGCAGAATGAGTAAAGGAAAGCAAGTCAGAAAAAGGTCGGTTAAGGTACTTACCAGCAGCAGAATGGCTTGAGATTATTCAGGTCATATACATCAATATTCTTGTCGTAGGTTATCGTCACCATCCGTGAGCCATCCTTGCTGATTGCTAAATCCATCACACGTTGGGTTGGCCAGGTAAAAACCACATTACCATCGACATTCTATTACGGGCAGGAAGGCTCAGTAATTCAGCTTCAATTGTCGTTGGTACCGATTGGTATAGCTTACCCAAAGATATAAACACTTGTCCAATCCACCCGTTATAAAATGTTCGCCATCTGGCAACCAGGCACAAGAAGTGACATGATCACTATGTTTCTTGAAAGATCCTATGAGACCACCACTCTGTGTTATGAAGCAAGGCAGTTTTAATTAATCGAGCTTGGCGAGCTGCAAGTAAAAGAATGGTTGACTTACAAATGGGTCCCATAACTTTACAATACTGTCTGACGAACAGGTCAAGAGCATTCTATCGTCCGGCGACCATGCGCAATATGATATACCGTCTGTGTGGCCTGCTAATGTGGCGGTAACTGCGTACGTCTAGAAGAAACGAGTCAGATCATGTGAGCAAGACAACGAGCTCGGCAGCCAAGCCTTTTTTATATATATTTTTACTCACTGTCATATCCCACACTACACATGTTTGATCTTTTGATACTGACGCAAGATATCGTCCATCGTTTGAAAAAGCGACGTACCACACTTCATCGGAGTGCTTCTCCAAAACTTGAATCGTTTTAGTTGGAAAGCATTGTGTTCTACAAAAGCGGCAATATAAGATGGGGGAAATAAATAGCAAAAGCAAATAGAGTCGTCGCTTACTTGTCACAAACATGATCAGAGTATAATGGGAATTTTTCTTCTTCGTTGTTGTGGTATAAGCAGTGGTTCAGCTGTTGATCAAATGCCTGATATAATAGAGTGTTGAGACGATGCTCGGGAACCATGACGTTGGGGGAGACAAATCCTAGAGTAAGGGGAAAAAAAAAGAGATAGGCTGGTTAGCAATTCAGCGCATACTGTTCGTCATGCAATAACGACATTACGTTGTAGCTTGACTAATAGTTGCTGCCTGGAAGCTCCTTCTTTTCCATCCCATGCAGCATTTTTCCGTAACTCTTCAGCAGAGGAGCACATTATCAAACTAGAGTGGTAAACTGAAATGAGAAAAAGTGGCTATATCATGGGACTAGAGGAGAAAAGCGCTTTTGCGTAACCCACCTGGAAAGCTCATGTAATTGTTCTGTGCTGAATTGAAGTGGAGCCAGTTCATTGCGAAGAACATGAATGGCTTTTTTGAGGTCACGATCTTCTAGGAGTTCGAGGTATTTTTGCCGACGAAGGAGGAATTTAAGTTCGATAGTATGAGCATTATCTTTGAGTTGCAGTGAAGGTAGCAGGTCGTCCACTTTTGCCCAATCGCCCTGTAAAACTCCTTGTCGAAACTGGATCACAGTTGAAGATTCTAAAAGGAAGCCTGATTCTTTCTCGAGAGTGGTTGCCGAAGTACTTTTGAAGCCGAAAACGTAGTAGAAGGCGTTTAGTTTAAGGAAGATAACCAACAAAACTGATACAGTAGTCAAGAGGTTTGCTTTACCTATATCCCAGATCTTGTAACGATTGCACCATTAGCCGTACCAGCTCATGTTTCTTGACTTGCCTATTACCATGCTCAGAAAGCTGGACCCATTCAGTATGGCCATTCGTTATTGAGTCGGATGCGGGAGTAGTTAGAGTTCTCATGTTTAGAGTCCTTTGTCGCTTTCTTTGGTGAGGCTGAGAAGAAACACTGAGTGGGGCAGCTGTTTCGGTGCCTTGAACCAGTGATTTGTCAGAAGCAATCGTGTCGATTCAACACCTTATCCCTTTCTACAAAGGGAAAGCAGTAGAACAAGTGCTGGTTTTGAGGAGCTGTCTGCTGGACTCCGAGCTTTGAGGCCACTCCTCCGCCTTGGTGCTAAAAATTAATCACGTGTTTGGGAGCCAAAACCTCATCTGCATTACCGGCGCATTGGCGATTACCGAAACTACAGTATGACATTTTATTCTCCAAGACCGACATTTACAATATATTTTCATTTTCTTCTATTGCTCTTTGGCTTATTTACAGTGTAGCCACTAAAAAACTGTGGGCTAGCCTTGCTGGAATTGGTACCTTGTCTACTTCCAGATGGTTTACTGCTAATTGTACGCATACGTACAGCAGCTGCCTGTTTTAATGATTCCCAATCCTCTTCAATATCCTCTTCCAACTTTTTCGTCTGCTTCTTCCCTACGAAATTAGATTTCAAGATTCGCCTGACAGCTTCAGGGGACTTTTTGTACATGACAGCCAAGGTTTCTGCCGTCCATTTCAATGGATCCTGTTGAATTTGTAGGCAATAATCAGCATCCTGTGCTATAGAATGTAATAATAAATTATCTCGACATACCTCTCGAGCTAACTGCTTCATATGGTCCATTGCCTCCCTAGATAAACGATGTCGAGGCTGCCAAGTTTGGCCATTCAATTTTTCCCTTATGGCCAGTTTATGTCTCTGATATTCTGGGAGCGCTTTGTTTTTTCTCCAATAACTTGGTGAGTGTTTATCAAAAATGTCGACTTCTGGTGGAGCTATTGTGTCGTCTGGTGAAGCGTCGGCTGCACTTTCAACAGACGGATTCTCCTGGAGGGCAATATTCTGCCCGGGTCGCTTGGATTCCAGTGATAATGCTGTTGACATGAATGTCGAACGTCCACATACTGCGGTTTGAATTACGAGGCGTAAAGGGCTATGAATCCGACATGATCTTGACAGAAAAGTCGACATGTTGCGGAGAGAAAATTTCTGTTTAGCGAGTTTGGCCACTCACTTGCAATTGTGTGCTTACGGACCTGCAAACGAATTTGTGGATATTTTTTTTTTATTGACTACAGCTAACAGTACTACTATCTTGTCTACCGATATTCATGCGGAAGGGAAAACAGGCGAATGGGATGGTTTGCATATTTTGCATTGTATCTCTCGACCAACTGTGGCTCATATATTCTGGAATCTTTCAACTGGTTGCCTAGTGTTAGCCAGCCTGGCTGTAGATTGTGCTCGCGACCAAACATTTCTGTAGTCCGATGTTTCCATAGTTAATTTATCAACAAGTCAGTTCAAAAAAAAAACCAGTGGAGATAAACTTGCCAAGTTTACGTGTCCCAGGGCTCAAACGATTGATGATATCATACAATTCATCCGGCTTTCGACTAGTCTCACGAACTTCCGATACCAAGACGTCGCAGTCGAGGCCAACGTTGAAAAATGGATCATTGCCTTTCCTACCTATCAAACAGTGTTCCTTGCTATGGTTTAACCAATGCCCTGTTCTTCCGGTTCTAATGATTCGCTGCAATTGGTTTGTCTTGACCCAAACAAGTTCCTGTACGAGCTCGTAGCCCCAGTTCATCAGACACTCTCTACCCAGCTCCATAGCTCTGCTGGTGACCCAGAGAAAAAGCAAACCTCGGTCCTGCAATTTGCTTATTTTAAGATCTTTCATTTCGTCATCCGTCATAGTACCATATGGTAGCTGCAGCAGAAAGCTGATATAAGGGCCAGTCACTTGTGATAATCATTAATGAAGAAGCTTACACTCATATGGATATCCCATGGCGGATCAGCTAATATCACAGTGAATTTGCCGATAACGTCAAAGTCCAATTTTCGAATATCGCACTTGATCCATTGTGGTGGAAGCTTTTAAATGGTTAAAGTACTTTAAGAATATGCTCATCTGGTATGTCGAGGACTTACTAATTTCTTCCGCTGCAGCATCTGAGTTGACGAGCGGTTTATACATGTCATGACCTACTCTTAAGATGCAGTCTTCAGTTATAACGGCTTACCAGAGGGTTAGATAATGTTGGGCGCAATATGGGCTTCAATTCTTCGGCAGTAGCATCTAGGCAGTAATGCATGTATTTGCACGACCCCATTCGGTGGCATGTATTCAGATATGAGCAATCCCCAAGCTGACTATCAGTGTGAGAGTTCAGTATATGTTTGAAATGAAGTCTGTCGCATGTACGGTTTTCGATTGATCTCCTCCTACACTCTTGCTTTGTCCCATGCTCACAGTGGCTTTTAAAGCCATCGAGTGAGGATTTCCACTGCTCTAAATGATTCAGTAAAGAAAGTGACAGTGAGTTTCTACCACGCATCTTAACTTACCGTCAGCCTCTGGATTTCCTCAGATGTTGTTTCAGTTTGTAAAAGCTCATCTAGAGCAACGGGACATACTCTTTGACGAGATTCATGTGGGTAATTGTGGTTTGGGATCCCACTATGCTGTTGTTTGAATTTCTTTCTAGGCGGAACTTCATCGAACCATCTGTCAGAGTTTTGGTACCGGTTATCACTTAGAAACTGTATAGAGTGGCAAACTGTAGTAAAGCAAACCTATAGGATGGATCAGCCATGTTTTCCCTATACAATAAATAATTTCAAGTAGATTCGCTTTCTTTTATGCTACAAGATATATGTGCACTTATTACCGTTATGCTTTTATGCCGACTCAGCAGCATGAAATGCAAAGGTCATTTGCATAGCAGGTTTATTGAAATACGACAAGACTTGATGTTGTAGGCAGTAGCTCTTGAAATACATATGAGACAGGCCCTATAAGAGACTATGGTAAACAAAATCCAGTAAAGCAAACTTGTGTCAATGAATGGCTATGTATGGAATTTGATGTAAGAAAGGTTAGGTGTTTAAACGTGTGATCATACAGGTTTGAACGATCAAGTAACAAGCTCCACGTTGATCAATACAGTATGGATTGATAATGCAGGTATAATTCATGGATCTATAATAATTAAAACAATATATTATATCGCAGTTGTCTAGGAATAAAGGTAACTTCAATCGCAAAGTATCATATGCACCCTTAAGCAACACGGCGCACTATAAATCACATGACCAGATTCAGCTCAAAATTGTAAACTCAATTTGATTGGCTGGATGTCGACGTCGCCAGGGTGTGGGTAGTAAGCCACACACAACAGTTTCTTGTCGACACATTATCATTCGTCATGTCATTGCACAAGACCCATCAAGAAACACAGCAACGTGTCCCTACTTATCACGACCCTTGGGCACGTCGTGAAGCATGGAGAAAGAATCCTATCTTCTCCAACCGCGCTATGGTTCGCAACATGTTCCCTGGTCTTGGAATCGCAACTGTCGCATTCACCATCTATTGCGGATATGATTGGGCATTTGGCAAGAAGGAGCACCATTAGATTATCAAGTTTCGATCGAATCTCCCGGCAAAATTGGGCAGCGATCAATCAAATAATATTCTCGTATAAGGCTCATTTGTCCAACTCAAAAGCTCGAATGCGATATTTGTTCATACCTTAGAGAATTCTGCACCTGCAGGCTTTACATCTTTCACCTTTATTTTTTTTTTGAAAACCAAAATGCTTATAAAACTTCTACACCACTTCAGAATGTGTGTCGACTTCTGTGAGGAAAAGCTTGAGTGTGGCGAGGCAATGAGCAAACGCAAATCCATGGGTTCAATTTTATGGCAGTTGCTTCAGTCGTAAACTACTCAATAGGGTTAGGTTTAGGCTCACTGTGCACCAGACTTAAGGACTCGATAAGCTCGTACGTCGTGGACGACTGAAACCGACGTTCAGCTAGTAATTAGAGACCTGAAACACAGGCGCCATGATATCATAGAAAAATGGATACCTGTCATCCAGGGTTCGAACAATAGTCAACATGGACTCTTTAAAATCATACAATCTTTAATCAACGGTTGAGCTTTGATATTTCGGCAGGTGTTTCTAGGTGAGCATTTTATACCAATGGGCTTCTATAGCATTTTTCTCCACCCAGACCAAAATAAATGTAGGCTTGTTTCACTTGATTTCAAACCAGATACAAATAACGCACTATGGTTGAGCTCGGCGGTTTATTTCCTTCTACCTCTTTTGCAACATGAGCTCAGCTCTACCACCTTCAGTTGAGGTGCCCATAAATGACGCTTTTATTTTTCAAAGCATGGCGGGAGCATCGCCCTTGCTATCACCATCGTCGCCACTTTTGACACCAAATTCTCAGCCCGGGTCGCCCTCCTGCTTAAACGAAAGCATACCCTTATCACCAATCGAAGACGGACAGACTTTCAAATCTGGCAGCCATACCTTCGTGCATAAACTTTACGAGTAAGCATAGTTTGATTCTTTTGTCTGAGAGCACTGATTTGGACTTACATATATGCTCTAGTATGATAGAAGATGTAGATTGTCATCCATATATCTGCTGGAGTAATGACGGTACATCCTTTGTCGTCTATAACGTAGTTGAATTCGCCAAGGTACTTTTGCCAAAGCATTTTAAGCACAACAACTTTTCCTCCTTTGTCAGGCAGCTCAACATGTAAGTGTCTCTCTGTTTTGAATGAGTTGCATTCTAGCGTGGTCGATTACTCATCACTTGCTATCTTAGGTATGGATTCCATAAAATCAACAAAACCCCAAGAAACCAAAAATCAATGACGAAGGACCAAGTGTGGGAGTTCTCACATCCTCAATTTCTCCGTGGTCGACCGGATTTATTGGACGGCATAAAAAGAAAGGCAATGGACAACGACATGTACCGACGAGAAGCTGGTGACATGTACGGCCAAATTTCGATGCTACAAGTTTCTCAAGCGGATATTTTCAAACAGTTATCGCAATTGCAATTGACTGTGAGCCAACTATCACAACAGCTAAACCAGTCGCTGACGGCACAAAGTGACCAGGCGAATTTGATTAAGAGTATGATGGAAAGCATGACTACAAGTGGCATACCTGGTAAGTCTTTAAGAAAGATTAGGATGTATTTGATGCTGCCTCTGGAAAGCACTAAACTTCCTGTATTTTAGTGCGAAATTCTCAATATGATTCAAATGCGGGATCTTATGGTTCAGGGAATTCTCCGTCAGTCTATATTACCTCTCCACAGACTTCGCAATCAATCACAATACCACAACAACCTTCGGTTTTCCAGAGTCAATCCAGAGGCATGAAAATGAATAATCTAGTAACTGATAACTACATACAGACGACGCTGCCATTATCACCTGATACAAACAGTTTCAATCTAGCATGCAGCATTCCGCTTCCACCTAGCCCAATGACTTTATCCCCCGACAGCCCGTTTAGTGTGATGTCGGACATGCAAGACGATGGCATGAGGACTGATTGACTTGACAAAGATTACAATATGTTTGAATACGAATCAGGCAACATAAATGCTGGAACAAGTGGGGTTTATAATACATTGTCGATAAACGCAACGAAGGCTTCAGAGGTATTATTTAAAGAAGCAAAAAAAGAGATGTGAGTCAAATGTTGTAACCCCCGTTTTGTATATTCTTTACAATAATTTTATTTTGTAACGTTTCACTGAATGAAATTTATGAAACGCAAGTCAAAAACATAAGAGAGCCTGTCGGTTACTTTGTATGAAATGGGCATTGTGGTTGCCAGATTAAAAAGTGTTTTAATAAAATAAAGATTAGGCACGCTTCTCATCTTCGTAAGAAGGAGGGCGGTTGACATCGGTAACGGGTTCAGCGGGTGATTTAGAATGTTCTAATTCAATACCCTGGTCTGAAGGAAGAATGTTTTCTTCCAAGTAGAGACGGATGTCTTCCTTGGCCTGGTCAACATCAATAAACCAAATGATGACAACGGAGATAATGAACAATGCAAGGACGAAGGGCCAGCCTTTCCAGAGGTTTGAAGTGGTTGCAGTAATGGCGCCAATAACGACAGGTCCAATCCATGAAGAAGCCTTATTAACAACACCAAAGAGACCGAAGAACAGGTTCTCTCTACCCTTGGGAACCAATTCTGCAAGCATAGTCTGTTGCCAAGCCCAGATAGGGGCGGTGAAAAGACCTGACCAGACATAGAAGATCCACAATTCCCAAGTGTTGTGAATACCGAAGTTGGTGGTTCCAATACCAATGCTTCCCCAGATGGGAATGACAGCTGTCAATCCGATGATGATCAAAAGGTTGGTCTTGGTTCTGATCTTGAAGTAGCGTTGGATCCAAAGGAAAGCCATGCAACCAATGATAGAGCAGACAGCCGAGACAAGATTGAGAATGGTAACTTGTTGGGCGTTAAAGCTGGTGATCTGACCTTGGGTGATACCGATCATAGAGTTGAGGGTGTTGACAGCGTCGGAAAACAGGAAGTAGGCGATAATATACATAAAGAGGTAGCGAAGTTTTCTAGCCTCTCTGAGAGCACCAATGATGTTTTTCCATCCAATGGTCAAGTGGTGCTTATCTGCGGGAAGAGGAGGTCCACCACGGCGAGCAGGGACCCAGATGAAGTATGGAATAGCGTTGATAACCCAGAAACCACCACAAACGACGGTGGAGATATAGTTGAAAAGAGGAACGTTACCAAGAACGTGAGCGGTGCCATCATCGAAAGTATAGTTCTCCCAAGGTGCAAAGGAAGCACCAGAAAGAACAGCAGTAACGATCAAGAAACCAACGTTGGAAAAAGTAGTGGAGATGGCACTAACGTTGTTTCTCCATTTCTCAGCTACAAGAACATATTCTTCTCGTGAAACATTGGGATCAAATCGAGCTTGACGTACAACAGGCAAGTTGTCAGACAAAAGAGGGAAAGCCGCGGCATAGAAGACCAAAGAGGCACCATAAGAAATCCAAGCAATACACATAATACCCATCATACCATTCCATTGACTACCATCGTTGTTGACCCAAACGATAGGAATGATTTGAGTGAAACAGCCGACGATAGTGGCACCAAGCAGGATCCATCTGGTGTAATTCAAAATATTAGCAATCTTTCGCTTTGGGTTAGACACTTGCTACGGTCCTTGAAATTTTTTTTACCTGTTCCATCGACCATAATCACCAAGTGATCCAAAGGTAGTGAATAGGACAAATTGAATAGAGAAGGCAATGGCCTGGATATACAAACTCATGGAAGCAACTGGAATAGGGCCGCCAGACCATGGGACGTAACAGACTTTGTCAGTGTTGCTGGGATCACATCCTCTGACATCGGGGGTATCCAAGTAAAAACCACCCTTATACGCCAGAGATTGAAGGATGTCTAGGTGGTAAAGCAATGTGAGTTGGTGTCATATTCCTGTGGTGGAGTCAGTCCTCTGTTTTTAAGTACTTACTTGGCATATAACTGTTCATGGTGAATCCGTTATCACCGTTATAGTAGAGGTAATAACCCCAAAGTTCTCCCTTGGTAGCTGCTGGTTGCTCATAGTTATCACCTTTGGCAACTAAGGCTTCTTTGGACTGAGCGCTTTCATCGATGACGTCTCCTTCGACCTTGAAAGGGTCGGAGAACAAAAGCTCTTTCCAATTCGACATTTGTTAAGAAGGATGGAGACCAACTGAACGAGAAAATCGAAACTTTGATGCTTTTATATATGTTACAAGGATCCTGAAAGCTTAACGCCACCTTCCAGGTGATCACAACAATTCAGGGTCCTCCAATCTTGAAGAGTGCCTGTTTCTTCTGAGTTAGTTTCCCCATATTTGGTGGCTGGACGTAAAATTTCTCTGAACGCCTCCCACACAGTTTGGCCGACACCTTCGGGTTCCAGAATTTATTTTTTACGACAAATCAACTTGGGAAGAAAGACATGCCAGACCATGAACTTTTTCGTAAAAATCAGTTGAAGAGAAGTAGTTGAGTTTATATCAAAGGAAAAGAATATTGTGCCCACTTCTTGATAGTAAAAGCATTTGGGCTGGGCAAGCAATAACAGTTTAATAAGCTCTTAAAGTTTCACGATTCATAGCACAAATCGCCGTACGACCTTGTTCCTAATAAGGAAGCCCTAGCGCAGGGTTTTTCCTTTTCGTTTTTGGGTCAGACCCTGGATCGCATTGCTACCCAACATGTCAATCGCCGTATTGGTAGCAGTAATTTCCCAGGCAAAACCGCCGGGCATGACACAAACACTAAAACGCACACAGATAAGCTACGAGTGTAATGTTGGGGGGTTTGTCTAAAGACATATTTTTATTGGGGGACAAAGAAAGAAAACAGAATGTATCTTGGTGAGTGAACCAAATGGTATCTAGTTAGCATTCAAGTTTTGTTGGTTGACCAAGTCAGCATATACACCATCTAGTGCCAATAATTCAAAGTGGTTGCCTTGTTCAACAACTTGACCATCCTTGACCACCACGATGAGATCCGAGTTTTGAATGGTTGAGAGTCTGTGACTGTAAACAAAGAAACAAGATAACAGTCGGGTTAAACAATATTCCTTGTCGATGGCCGGCACATTTTGAGGGGTAGGTATATATTTAAACTTACGCAATAGTGATAGTAGTACGTCCACCTTGAGCCAGGGCCTTATCAAGGGCTTGCTGAACGAGTTTTTCCGATTCACTGTCCAAGGCAGAAGTGGCTTCATCAAGAAGTAAGATAGCGGGATTACGGATAAGAGCTCTGGCAATGGCAATACGTTGCTTTTGACCACCAGACAACTGAGATCCTTTGTCACCGACTCTTGTATCCAAACCGTTGGGAAGTTCATCAATGAAGGTGAAAATATTGGCCATCTCTGCAGCGGCATTGATCTGTTCGTCCGTCACATTGTCCGACTCTATTCCGAATCGGATATTGTCGCGGATCGACATGTCGAATAGAACAGGCTCTTGACTGACAAGTGACATATGACTGCGAAGATTATGAAGAGAATACTCCGCAATGTTCTTGTCATCGACCTTGGCCATTCCTCCTTTGGGATCATACCAGCGTTGTAATATTCCGATGGTGGTTGACTTGCCACAACCAGAAGGACCCTACATCGAGGTACAAAACGTCAATAACAGTTGGTTCATAAACAAACAAAGAAATCTCCCATTCTTTTTATATCTCGATATGCATATGGGTTTTTGCCCTCTTCTTTCCAGTTTCTCTCTTTTCTTTCTGAAAATGTAAAACAGAGTACTCACCACCAACGCAATGGACTGGTTAGCCTTGCCCTTGAAGCTGAAGTTGCCCTTGAAAATCTCAACGTTGGGTCTAGCGGGGTAAGCAAACCGAATGTCTTGGAATTCGACATCACCACTAACACTTTCAGGTTCCGCTCCCTCTTGGTCGGGATCGATGAGAGGTTGACGGTCGATGAGCTCAAAAGTGCTGATGGCAGAGTTCTTGGCTTTCTCAAAAGTGGATGTGAAAGTTGAAGCACGGCCCATACCAGTAGCAGTAATCATGATGGCCATCAAAACAGTAAACATAGGTTGGAATGAAAGCTGACCGCTCTTGATCAATCGGATACCGGCGTAGAAAGCAACAGCGTTGGTATACAGGTTCATACCTTGAGTGGCACCATACTAGAAAAAACACGAATTTAGTAACTGATATTGATGAATGCAAGACCAAAAATTTTCCCAAAAAAAAAAACTTACGCCAACAGACGCCAGGAAAGCCTTCTTTTGAGCAAGTTTGTGGGGTCGAGCAATTGCCTTTTCATAACGGTCTTCAAAATATTCTTGCTTTGTAAGAGCAGCGACAGTGCGAATTTCCTTGATAGCTTCGGCAGCAACATCTCCACTTCGTTCATAAGCCGTCTTGGTTTGGTTCTCAAAACCACGATGTACTCTCGATTCGTATCCAGTAGCCAAGGCCATGAATGGAGCACAAGCCAAAACAATGAAGGTCAAAAGCCATCCGTTGACAAAAGCGATGGTGAGACCAGTAATAGCGGTGACGCAAAGTTGCGCAACATCACCCCACACTTTGGTGATCAGTTGGTTGACATTGGCAGCATCGGTGGCCAGACGGGAGGTTAAAGCACCGAGACTGTGAGATTCTTCGTCAAAGAAACCATTTTCTTGCTTGAGCATAGCCTCGAAAGCAAGAGCACGTAGGCGCTCAGTGAATCGTTCTCCAGCAATTTCGAAGCAGATAACTTGGGTAGAGAATGCAAAGAATGCACCAATACCTAAAACAACAAAGATAAAGGCATAAAGATTGGGTCCTTGGAAGGGAGGTGCCCACTGAGGATCGGTTTGAAGCATGACGATAACTCTGGAGAAAATAAGAGCGTAAGCGGGGAAGATGACACCGGCGACGGCAGCTCCAAGCACACCAAACAAAATGAGATGCCATTCGGATCGCATCATGGAGGCCACTCTAAGAACAGGAGCCTTCTTCTTCAAGTTGGCCTTCTTTTCCTCTTTTTCCTTAAGTCGCTTGATTTCATAAACATCCACATCCGTATCAGCGACATTGACTCTTGTCTGGGCAACGCGTTCAGCATCAACGATGTCGGTTGCAATTTGGACAGTTTCCTCTTGTAGTGCACGTTCAAGCGAAGCGTCATCGAGCGAGTCATCTTCAAATACATCCACTTCTTCAGGGTCACCTTTTCCTTTGGCAATAGCATCTTCTTGCATCTTGATCTTTTGCTTCAACACGAGCTGCTTGTAAACACCATCTTGTTCCAAAAGGTCATTATGCTTGCCAGCTTCCACAATGTCTCCATCTCTCATAACAACAATCAAGTCGGCATTTTTGATAGTGGACAGTCTGTGTGCAATAACAACAGTTGTTCGGTCAGCTGAAGCGATATCCAATGCCCTTTGTACTGATGCGTCAAATTGTTCGACAGAGTCAGTTTATGAGATCGATTTCATTTGATCATGAGCATGCTTTGACTTACCAAGGCGTTCAGAGGCGGTATCCAAAGCAGATGTAGCCTCGTCGAGAAGAAGGATCGGTGGGTTTTTAACTAAGGCTCTTGCAATGGCAATACGCTGCTTTTGACCGCCGGAAAGCATGCCTCCGTGTTCACCAACAATGGTATCATATCCGTTTGGAAGTTGGGTAATAAAGCTGTGACAATTGGCCTTCATGCATGCAGAAATGACTTCCTCTTCCGTGACATCTCCAGTAACACTGCCCATGAGAATATTTTGCTTGACACTCATATTGAACAGGACAGGTTCTTGACTCACTACACCAATATGCTGACGAAGCCAAGAAACATTTAGATCCTTCAAGTCAGAGCCATCGAGGGAAACCGATCCCTCAAGAGGGTCATAGAAACGTTGAATCAGTTGAATGCTGGTGGATTTTCCAGAACCTGATGGTCCACAGAAAGCGACGGTCATGCCTGGCTTGATGTCCAAATTAAGATGTTTCAACACGGTGGTGTCAGGTCGAGTGGGGTATTTGAACTTGACGTCCTTGAAGACAATGTGACCCTTGACTGTATCGAGTTTTTTACCAGCAGTGCTATCTGGATCGATCGATGGGATACGATCGATGGTGTTGTAAATCTTGTAAGCCGCACCCATAGCACTGGTCACAGCGCTGAGCTGAGGAGGCAACTGCAAAAGTGACATGGCACCTGTAAACAGATCACGTTCATGTAAGTGACCCAAATAGAAACATTGATGCGCATACAATGGCACTACTTACCAATCATCATTGACATGAATACAACCAAAACACTAGAGCCATTCATTCCATCGGTCTTGTTGACGACAAGTGTGTAGCCATACCAGAAAGCGAGACCATAAGTGGCAAAGAGGATGAACATGAAACTACCAAAGCCCACGCCGAGGACAATACCCTTCTTTCTACCGACCACGTAAGCCTTTTGTAACTCAGCCTTGTAACGGTCGAGGAATCGCTTTTGCAAACTGAAAGAGTAGACGGTTCGAATTCCAGCAATTGCTTGCTCGACAACGGCACCACCATCGGCATAAGCATCTTGACCCATGGTGGTAAATTTAGTAATGTAGATACCGATAAAGATACCACATCCACCTAAAATAATATATGTTAGGTCCAGCGATCAATACATGTGCAAACGTGACTCTATCAAAAGACTTACCCATAATTGGCATGGCGGCTAATAATACCAGGGCCAATCGCCAACCCTTGACAAAAGCAATGACAAAACCTGTGATGAATTGCGAACAGCATTGAATGAAGATGCCGAACTTTTCACTGATACCGTCCTGAATAAGATTGGTGTCAGCAGCAAGTCGGGTGGTCAAAGAACCTTCTTCCGCTTGATCGAACCAGCCCATGTCCTGACGCAGGATAGCATGGACATACATCTTGCGAATACGGCGGGTCTGGAACTCTCCAGAGAGGACCCAAGAGCATTGGCACAAATAACCAAGTACAAGGTTGGCCGTACCAAGGTAGACAAAAATTAGAATGACTGGCATCACAGCCGCCAAGATATCTTCACCAGGGGTGGTTAATACTTTTGTAAAGTCCGTCAAAAATTTGCCTAGAATAATGATCGACACAGGTTGAATAGCACCAACAGAAGCGCTGCAGATAACACCAATTAAAATGAGAATCTTATCGCGCGCATTGGCAAATCGGAACAAGGTGAATATGCCAACAGCAGGTTGCTTCTTCTTCTTCTCTTTATCTTTCTTCAGGCCAAAGATGCCGGCTTTGGGTTTGGCCCCCTCTTTCTTTTCGGCGAGTGGGGTAGGATCGGCAACGACTCCAAGATTATTGATGGCGGGTGGTATAGGTTGTTTTTCTACTAGTAAATCAACAATCTCATCTCGAACAGTTTCAGCGTTCGAGTGATTGTTGTGGTTGTCAGAGCTTGTATCAGCCTCCTTGTCTACGGTTGACATGTTGACCGAGGGTGAATGAAAGCTATCGCTCTATTTTTATTAAAAAGTTTTGGAAAAGGCGAAATCAATTCCTCGGGATGGATAAAGAGTTGGGTAACGGAATAAAGCAATCTGTTTTGAGTCAAAGATCCCCCCACACAATTATTATATATGATACTGGATCAAGCCCAAAAAAAATTCCCAAAAAAAATTCGGCGGAAACGCCGCATACACCCAGAATTACTTGGAAATCAACTATTTCGTGCGACTGCGGCAACACCGTGTAACCGAATGCAATCATGAAAAGCTGTCTTTTCAATCAGTGACAACAGATAACTTGCCCGGTATACAGAACATTCAAAAGTATGCCCATGGCGATTATGTGTGAATGGGTAAACAGGTACAGATCACAAAGCTGTGCTTCTCAAGGTCCAACTTGCGTTCATTCAATTTGTGCCCTAAGGTCAGACGAGCAAACTTGGCGGGGAAGAGCTTAATGTGTTCTCCGATTATTTCTCTGGTAGAGTCAAGTTGGGTTTTCTTGACTGATAGATTTCCGTCTGATCGGACTGAAGTGCGCGCATAGCCCTTTCCCTTCATATGGTCATAACTGCCTTTCCGGGTGAGAACGGACCCTGCTACTTGGCATTGTTCAATTTCTACTGCCGCTACTTGGCATTGTTCGTTGTGATGCTTCTTCCGCTTATCGTATGTGGTATGGCCAACCTGTTTTAAAAAACTCGGTCGCAATATGAACATGGTAATTTGAAAAATTTTAAAAATAAAAAATATCCAGATTCCGCTCGGCGGAGCACTCCTACGACTACTAGAAGGATCTTCCACCTCATGGAAACTTGGTGCTGACCATAGGGTGACTGACCTGAGGCCAAGAATGCTATGTAAGGTTGACGACAAAACCATTTCCCCTATCGGATCTAATATAGCCGAAACAACTGTACCACATGCGTAGCACGCCGGCTCCAACAAGTGCCCACATGTGTATTCAACTAACAACGTGCGAATAATAAATGTGGTCAGACATTCACTTCCAATTTCGTAATGTCGTATTGCAAGGACATCTATAAGTCTTATCTAGCTTCGTAGCTAGTTATTTACAGCGGCCCCATCAACTGTCGTAGGCAATTATGCTACATTGCCACCGCATATTAAATGTCCGCTCAATATTTCATTTTGCGCATGGTCCACCAAATTTGCGTTATTGTGAAGCATGGACTCTGATCTTGAATCATGACAATTCAGCGGACAATGAAGAAAGATTATGCTGGCAATTTTGATTGAATTTTTATATGATATCAAGCTAGCTGAAATTATTTTTGCAGATTAAATGAAGAGTAGTGTGAGTGTGACATACAGGGTAGAGCAGTAAGAGGTTGACATGATCAATTATGTACATGTACATAGTAGCTTGTAGATGATGAATGAGAAGTAAGGTGAGTGTAATGTATAATAAAAAAAAAAAGAAAATCTATATCTTAAGCCAAATCCTCAACAGGACCCTTGATCTCTGGAGCAGGAGATGCAGCAGCAGGATTGGCCTGTGGTTGACCTGGAGCGGGAGCTCTGTGCAGTTTGAAGTGCTGGACGAACAAGCTGGCGATAAATGCAACTCCTCCGAAGGGCACGATGAGAAGGAACATTTTGCTCAAAGCACCACAATAAGCATCCTTTACTTGAGATTGCAATGGTTCGGGAAGATCCTTGACCAAGGCGAAACTATGTTCAGCGATTTCGATGGAGAAAGGAAGAGTCAAGGTGGAGAGATCGGTGGCCAAGGTGTTATTGAAGACAGTGCCGAAAATGGCAATACCGAAACAAGCACCGATGGTTCTGAAGAAACCGCTAAGAGATGTGATGACGGCAATATCCTTGGGAGGAACAGCGCTTTGACCAGCGATCATCAGAGTTTGCACACAAAGACCGCATCCGGCACCAACAATAATGAGGAAACCAATTTGTTCGCCACGGCTAGAATCAGCATCCCACAGAGTAAGAAGACCACCACCGACAACGATGAGGGCAGTACCAACCCAGAAGAATTCACGAACACGTCCGGTCTTGCTGCACATCAATCCAGAAAAGATACTGCAGAAAACGAGACTGAGCATAAGAGGGAGAAGCTCTAGACCACTGGCTGTAGCACTGTCACCGCGAACGACCTGGAAGTAGACTGGGGTATAGTAAATGGCGCCACCGAAGAAGCAGATACCGAAGAAGAACTGAGTGATGAAAAGAGCGACGGGAGTACGTTGAACGAACAAATATCCTGGAATGATAGGAGACTTGGCTTGCCATTTCTCGACAGCGACGAAGACAAACATAAGGAAGCCACCAACGCAGAAGAGAGCAATGACAACTGGAGCGTTCCATGGATACTGATTACCACCCCATTGGAGAGGAAGCAAAATGCACACAGTACATCCGATCAAAAAGACACTACCGACATAATCGATCAAACCGAGCTTCTCTCTAATGGATCCTTGGGGACGGGGAAGATGAAGGAAGAGAACAACCACAGCAAGAGTAACGGCACCAATGGGGATGTTGATGTAGAAGCACCATCTCCAACTAGCGTGATCAGTGAAAGCGCCACCAAGAAGAGGACCGACAACGGAAGCGACACCAAAACTGGCACCAATCAACCCCTGATATTTGCCGCGATCACGAATAGAGACCAAATCAGCAATGATGATCATAACCATACTCATAATACCGCCACTATGAACGCAAAGTCAGTTAGTCGCTATCACAAAGGATTAAAACGAACGGTAGAAAGAATACATACGCGCCAAGACCTTGAACAGCTCTGAATGCGATAAGCATATCCATGTTTTGAGCAGCACCGGAAACAATAGAACCAGCAAGGAAAACAATGATACCGAACAAAAAGACAGGTTTACGACCAAAGATATCGGCGAAACGACCATACAATGGCATTGCGACGGTGGAAGTAAGCATATATGAGATACCGACCTGTGGATGAATAACAAAAAGAGGTCAATTATAAAAAACTAACACAAGATACCTTAACTCAATGATACATACCCATCCAATTTCATCGGAAGCGTTGAAGTCAGAGGAGATCTTGGGTAAAGCGGTGGCAACAATTGTTTGATCCAAAGCGGCAAGGAGAACAGCAAGCATCAAACTGAAAATAAAAGGGGTTAGAAGTTTTGAACAAAGGTAATTGCCTGCAGGTATCTTCAGTAAAAGATCAATACGTACCCAACGAAGATTAGGTAAAATTTGACGCCAGTAGGTCGAGGTGGCGTGTCTGCAGGTTGCTCAGCAACTGGAGCTCCTACATCGGCTGCAGGGTTGGAAGGGATGTGTTCCATGTCGATAACCTTCTCATCACCGTAGACTGATCCAGCAATGGTTTGCTCAGTTGAAGCAGCTCTGCTTTCGGTGAAGTTGACAGATTCTTTATTCTCCTCAGTAGACATAGTCTTTATCTCGCAAGAGGCGCAAAAGATGAAAAAAGCTGATTTGATTAAAGAAGAAAAAAAAAGTGTGCATTTATATAGGCCCGCCGCGGCCTTCCAATCGCGTACCAATTATGGTGATTCTCCAAATCGAAACGGTTAAATTTCGCACCGTGTTCATCAGCGATGCCGAGGCTGGCTTTCAACACCAAAAAATGGAATGCCGTACCTTCATTTGAGTCATCTGCTCCCGGATAAGGCTGTAGCATACCATCCGTCTGGCATCACACTGTTATTCTTGCTGCGGCGAGACTTCACGTCAGTACTATTGCTGTAATGAACTCTTCAAATCCGCCGAATCTTCATGAATTTCTCTAAATACACCACTTCACGCATTTTCGTCAGCACCGAAAGGCTTGCGTAAGCTGGCATTTAACCTCAGGATGTGACATTTTAAAGACATCTGATAACCAGTAATTTCTCGTTTGCCGTCTTGTCAATTGTGCGTTTTTAGAATAGAGACGGATGCCTGAATGTTTGCTATTGCCTTTCAAAATTGTTGACTACAGAAACTGCTTCATCCTTTGCACTGCGCCGATTCATGCCATGTCACCTGCACTCGCCTACTTCTCCATCAAGGAGAGGTGTTTGAAATAGCTTAGTCACAGTAGTTTCTCGGTACCTCTCAACGCAAGGACCGATCAATCAAATGTCCATTTATTATAACGAAAGCTTTTCAATTTTTTGGTCCACATATCAGCACATAACATGTTACTACTGATGCCACACTGTGAAAAGATGAAATCGAAAGTTTACATTTCAGTCGGTATCGAAGTAAATTTTTACAAATCAAAGTAGAGCCTTCGCACAAAGGTGCCGAAATTTGTGATCCACGTAAGACGGAGAATAAATTTCCCTGACAGCCGGACAAAAACTATCAGATCCTCATGTCCCCGGCGCAGCGCCGAATTAGTGGCTGCAAACAGCAGTTATAACGTGCACGGCAAAAAATCTACAATCATTACCACCTGCGGACATTCGGTCGCTTTGCTGATGCTTTCAGCAATTTCAACACCTTTGCTATTTTGCAATCTGCTATGTAGCACAACCTTTCACTATTCTATCCTACATGTGCAGTCATAAACCCGAACTGACTCTGGCTCTTAATGACTAGCACAATACTTCGTTATTTGTTATATAATGTCTTCTGTGATAAATTTAAAATGGTTGCACGTTACTGGTTTATGTATCAGTAGATAGCATGATTATCATTATGAAACAAGTATGCTAGGTCGGTCAGATCGACCAAAACGCGATCGTGTGTGTTGATGGCATGTTCAAAACCACGCTCAAACCAAGCCCTGGCTTACATTTATCACTGGATAATGCACGAGAATCTGTTCCATGAGATCATTAGTGTTGTGATCCCAATCACAGCCTTTTCTTAATATTTCCTGAAGTATCCTCTGCTCCTCTCTGCTCGATTGTCAAATTAGACAAAATAAACTTCAAAAGCCAATCGACTGTGGACTCATGTAGCGCCATGGTTCAATATGAACATCGCCGCCTATTTATGGTCTGAATTTGTGGGGTTATATAATGTATTATACAGGTATACTAATATGTTAAAAATTTACAGTTTACAAAAGTAAGCTATAGACAGATTGCTGTCATTTTTTTACGTTATCTAGAGTAGGGAAAAGGGATGCTTTTCAATTTCTCATATTCAAACCATAGTCTCTACTTGTCCCTTAGTCACAGCAGGTACCTCTTCGACAGTCTTCTCTTTGGGTGCTGGGCGGGGAGCCCCTTGGAGTTCAAAATGTTGGATGAACAAGCTTGCAATAAGAGCAACCGCTCCGAATGGCAAAATCAGGAAGAACAATCTGTCCAATGCTGCACAATAAGCGTCTTTAACTTGAGTTTGCAATGGTTCGGGGAGATCTTTCACCAATGCAAAGCTATGTTCAGCTACTTCGACAGAGAAAGGGAGAGTCAAACCGGAGAGATTTACTGCCAAAATGTTGTTGAAAACGGTTCCAAAGACAGCAATGCCGAATGAGGCGCCAACCATTCTGAAGAAGTTACCAAGGGATGTGATCATGGCAATATCTTGCCCTCCAACCGAACTTTGAGCAGCAATAATCAATGTTTGCACGCACAGACCACATCCACAACCCAGAATCAAGAGGTAGCCAATTTGCATGCCACGGTTAGAATCGACTGACCACGTCGTAAGAAGCCCACCTCCGATCAGAATTAGAGAAGTTCCTATCCAGATGAACTCACGCACATGTCCAAATTTACTGCAGAGAAATCCGGACATAATGCTACAGAAGACAACACCGAACATGAGAGGGAGTAGTTCGAGACCGCTAGTAGTTGCGCTGTCACCACGAACAACTTGGAAGTAAATTGGAGTATAGTAGATTGCACCACCAAAGAAACAGGCACCAAAGAAGAACTGGGTAACAAAAATAGCAAGTGGAGTTCGTTGTCTGAACAGATGGCCTGGAATAATAGGTGACTTGGCTTGCCATATTTCCACGCCGATGAAAATAAACATCAGTGCACCACCGACACAGAAAAGAGCAATGACAATTGGAGAGTTCCAGGCATACTGATTGCCACCCCATTGCAAAGGTAGCAACAAGCAAACTGTAAATGCGATCAAAAAGAAGCTACCGATATAGTCGATCGACTTGAGCTTCTGTCGAATGGATCCTTCAGGATATGGGAGATGGAGGAAAAGGATCACTACAGCAAGAGTAATAGCACCTACAAAAGACAGATAGGTTAGTTTACGTACGTAATAAGGCTTTTGCATACGGCATAGAAACTATTGAACGTACCAATTGGGACGTTGATATAAAAGCACCATCTCCAACTAGCGTGATCGGTAAATGCGCCACCAAGCAGAGGTCCAACAACAGAAGCGATACCGAAGCTAGCTCCGATCAAGCCTTGATATTTGCCACGATCGCGTAAAGGCACTAAATCTGCGATGATGATCATGACCATACTCAGAATACCACCACTACGATAAAGTGAATCGAGTTAATTTTATCGCTTGAACATCGATATATAAATAAAAAAAATAAAAATTCCTTACCCTCCAAGCCCTTGAATGGCTCTAAAAGCAATAAGCATGTTCATGTTTTGAGAAGCACCTGATATAATGGAACCAACAAGGAACGTAACGATAGCAAATAGGAATACGGGTTTGCGACCAAAAATGTCAGCAAATCGTCCATATAGTGGCATTCCGATGGTGCAAGTTAACATATATGAGATGCCGACCTGTTGAGATTGTTAAAGGAATGAGGAGTCAGTCACGGATATGAAACATTACAATGGTCAGATCAGACATAGTTAACTTACCCAGCCGATTTGATCTGAAGCATTGAACTCTGAAGAAATCTTCGGTAAAGCAGTAGCGACAATTGTTTGATCCAAAGCAGCCAGAAGAACAGCGAGCATGAGACTAAAGACAACATCCCAGAGTTAGTGTATCATGTATGCAACGCATTTAGTTATGTTATCCTCACAAACATACCCAACAAAGATCAAAGCAAATCGAAATCCAGTTGGTCTTGGTGGTGTGCTTGATGGTGGGGATGCCACTGGTGCCTCTGCCGTTGACGGGCTTACAACCTCTTCATTGTTGACAGCCTTCTCGTCATCAAAGTGCGAGCCTGCAATTGTAGGTTCCTTTGAAGGAGATTCTGTTTCACTTGAATAAGATTTTTCCTTTGACTCCATAGCAGACATGATAATATCAATGAGGGCGTACTGTGGTAGTAGATGATGTGCAAAAGTAAGACCAAGAATTGCCCATTTATATATCAATGATGTCGGTCTTCGAAATGCACTGACCATTTTGCTGGAACCCGGTTAAATTGCGTACCGCTGATACGCAAGCAAGCCCAAGCATAGCCATGATCTTTACAAATTACTAGACAGCCCTCCCCCCCCCCCCATTTGAGTCATTTATGCCCGATTATAAATACAAATTTTGGTCTGCACAATTTCAGTAGGATCAATGCCTTGACAATTTCCTCCACAAGTTGCAAATCGATCGTCTACTACGGAAAAATCAATATCAACATGCTCGATTCATACAGCCTATCAACATCAAAAATTATATACAACTTTACTAAATAGCACGGTCATTGTCGGAATATGCTAATACCGCAGTAAGCGGAGAAAACGCTTCGACCGACCATGACATCTGGGGGGGGGGTTCAACACCATCAAAGCTCTAAATGGCAAGCCAATGCTGCCGTAATTTTTGGCGACACATGTGCACCTGGTATACACTCTCCATGTTCTACTGCTACCTTTGATTTTTTTGATTTGCTATTTTAAATTCAAGGGAAATATTTATCCGTTCCTGTTCTTTCTTTGCAGTCACCAGGCGATTGCGTTACTCCAATAATTTTTATCCAGTATTGATATGTTGACCCCCTTCAAGTAACGTAGCAATGAGGTTGACAAATTTGTCAGCTTTGAAAATGTTCACTTTCACTATTGCTTCTGACCTCAGCTTTCTATGGTACTGGAACGCTGCATGGTGTATGTTTAGTTCTAACTACGCGGTGATGCGGTCAAAAATTCCACACCTTACCGAGACAGGGCGGCGATGCGGACCAAAAATTTCAAGCCTTGACGCCGATCAAACAGATTTCAACAACCGAAAAAATCTGAAAAATTTCCTACCGTTGCCAGCGTTAGAGCAAAACAAAATTTTGGCTCCGGTATGGTGATCCAGGGAGCACACACCTATTTGGACTACAGAGTCTATTAATGTATGCTGTACCGGGAGAATATATCCGTGTTTCTGGTTAAAGAAATGCAAGTGCTGTATACAGGCGCAGTAAAAAAACCCCCCTCACTGTATGAACAAATAAAAAAATGACCTCAATACCTTCCACGCAGGTACGCTATAGTCCACCATCGTAAAATCGAATGTTTAACTTAAAGATCTCTCGTTAGAGAACTAGCAGTTTGAGGTAGAAATTGCTATATTCAAACTTAGTCACCGTAAGATGAACCATTATGGGAAAAAGCAAGTCAATATCATATCGTACAAGCACATTACTGTCGGCAGTACCTTCACTGAATTGCCATTCCTGCATGCCGACAAAACGCTGCCCGGACTGTTGTTGCCATATCAAGGCTCAGCACAATGTCCTTTTGCGGACGTGGCTTTTTGAGGAGAAAGTGCACAGCATCACCAAAGCAGCGCTCATTGGCCCTTTGCCACCAATATAAGGTTAATTTTTGCCGTCTTTCATTTGTAATATACGTATTTGGCTTTTGCTCAACACTATAACAAGATTTTCTCTGCTTCTAATCCATTACATGCACATATGGTGAATTTCAGAAAGCTTGCAATGACTAATCAAACACTGTTTATTTCTTAGTTTCTTCCAATGTTGCGGTCGTCCATTACGCGAGTTACGGATATCAAATCGATATGTAAGGGTGAAGGCCACGTGCATGATACAAAGTAAACCTTTTGGCTGAGAAAAGTTTGTATCGTACTGGCCGTTGCATGCAAATCACCGATGTCAGCTTCACCACAGTAGTGGGTCCTCAGCTATCTCATGGTTTACTGCCTAACGACCTCTGTGAATGCAAAAAGTGCTCAACAATCAAGCTATCCATGAAACGTTATCAAACAAAGACTGAGTTTGCAATGAAATATGTCAGCCATCCCACCTTAAATGATGGAGTGTATGAAAGTCGGAAGATCAAGATGGAGACCGGGTTGGGAACTATTCGGTGAGTGGTAGAGAGTACCCTTTATCTTCAAACCTTGTCATTGTAAGACGAGCTGTTGAAGATGGTTTCTCCCATAGTTTCTCTTCTTTCATATCTATGCTGCACTAATGATGTATAAATGTGAGCGAAATGTCGATGAATAAAAAATAAACCGGATGGGTTTTTTTTTACTATCCAGCGATCTGATCACTGAGATTAATAAATGTGCTAACAGTCGATTTCAGGCCCCGGTTTCAAGTTGCGCATCTCAATGTTTGGGCTATTGATGGCAAATCATTTTAACTGATCTACCCGAATTGAAATACCTCTCATTATGCTTGACCGAAAAATGCAAAATACTGTTTCTATTGTCTTCAACTGAGCACTTCTTGAACATGAAATGTAGCATCTGCCCCTCTGTTATGACCGTTGGCTATCTCTGTCCATACACCTATGATAGCCAGCACACTCGAGTTGAACACAGGAGGCAATCAGATGTCTCAGTAACATCTACTCTCTCAGCGTGGAGGGAGCATACCGTATTTCAGCACTCCGGTGAACCTTTTCAAATGCTGTACAGCAAATGACTCATACTGGGTCATTATCGAAACAATAGGAGATGGGCTGTATCGCTGTGGCTACGTTTCATAACGTAGATTTTCATTGTCACAGTACTGTCACTCAAATTCATCTTCGCGTTGATACCATTCACTGCAAAAGGTGAGATTGTCCATTGTATGGGCTGCGTAAATTAGATTTGCATACAGCTGCTACACAACGTACAAAGGAGACAATTGCGGTGTCACGGAAATGTACGACATATCAAGTCAGTCCTAAGCATCGCTCCCCCGCCTCTACAAGCAACAACGTGGGCGCTGATTGTATTATCATGCACACCGACTACGTTTATTCATAGGGTATAAAAATTTAATTGTTATTACCATTCACCTGCCTCCAACCAGACAGAGGTTTTCATTCAGGGTTAATTTTAACAACACACCTCCCGCGATTTTTTGACATTGACAGGTCATAGGATTTGCCCTGAAACTTTTTAAAACTACGGGATGGCGTATCTCAACTAGCTTTCTTCGTGATGTCAGTTGCAAGTCTCAGGCCGGTACTAGGCTTTGACATACAACCGAATACAAGTCTTCAAGTTGATATACACGTGACCAGCACGTCATCTGTCATTGGAGCCCGCCAAAAGTCTCCTCTGTTCATCCAAAAAGGCTCCTTGTTTTCGAGAATGTCGAGCACAGTTAAGAATCCACGTGTTTCTATTGAGGTATTTAGCGCTATTATTGACAAGAAAGAGGCTCGTTTATTTATTTAAATCTTCATTGTCGTCAGTACTGTACACAATGTCGTTGGATGCTTCGTTCGGGTAATGACGGTGTTTTGAATGTATGGCTACCATTGACAACTTACTAACGTGTCGATATTCATAGCGTGGATGGCACAGGAGTTGTTGACTACGTTTGAAAGCAGTATTGGAGAAGTGGCACTCATGCCTGGAAAATCTGGCGTGTTCAGAGTCATGGTCAACGATGGTGAGAATATATATCTGGACCGCAGTATGCATGTAATCCAAGGCTAAACTATCGTGCCTTATGGTGTTGCTAGTACTGATATGGGATAGAAAGGAAATGCAAGCCTTTCCTGATATCAAGCATCTGGTATGCAAGTGTAACAGTAGATTGTCACGGGCGATATGCAAGTACCCATTGTTTTAACTGAATGTCATTTTATCGCTTTATTAGAAACAATTGGTGAGAGACATTATTGATCCCAACAAGCAGCTCGGACACAGCGATCGGAAAGATGCGAAAAGCGATCCAGAACCCAAGAAAAATGATATTTCGCCGTCAGCTTCGGATCCACAAGAATGTTTGACATGTGTTGAATAGAAGTTGAGTTGTATAAAAGGATATTTTTGGCAGTAGGAAGTCCGCTGACATAGCACAAAGATGGTTCGAAAGAGCGAAATGATTATAAGAATCAAACTGGTAATGAACTCCGGTGGTTGGGGGGAGAAGAGGGGACCAGGATGAGAAAAACTAAAGAACCTGGTTTACACCAAATTACTACGATGAATGACTCCTGTTATATGTGTCATTGTGGTATGGCCCATTCCAAATCGTCGGATCAAAAAAAAAAGTGTTCTAAAGGGTTCCTTGACGCACTGTACCTGGATCTACCATGACGCAGAACCTCTTGCCACAGCGAAACCCAAAAAAAAATACAATAAAACAAAAATAAAATAAAAAAAAAAAAATTTTAGCAGGAGAAGGTACTAGGACCAAATCAGGCTTGGATGCTGATGTTAAGCCTACCCAAAAAAAAAAAAAAATAGTGTTTTGATGATGTGCATGTATCAGCAATTTTTTAATAAGTTTGCGTCGCTCTCTCCCTAAATCTTCTGTCTTTTCTCTCTTATCTTTTCCATCATGTCTGAGCCCGTTGTCGAACAGCCTGTTGTCGCCCCAGTTGACGAACACGTCCCTGCCACCACTGAACAGCCAGCTGCTGAGGAGGCTGCTCCTGTTGCTGCCATCGCTACTGAGGAAGCTCCCAAGACTGAAGAACCTGCTGTCGCCGCAGCAACTACTGAACCCATCACTGCTGAAACTCCCAAGGGTGAGAAGAGAAAGTCCAAGATTTTTGATCTCTTCAATAAGATCAAGGTAAGCCCATCGATTTCTTTTTTGCCGTCAAACCGGACTTTGGAAAAAAAATGTGTCAAAAGATACTGATAAGCTGGCTGAATACAGCTTCCTTCTCCCAATGGTGCCGCCAATAAGGAGACTAAGCTTGAGGCCGCTGCTGAACCTGCTACTGAGACTGCCCCTGAGCCTACCACTGAAGAGCCCACCGAAGTTGCCAAGACTGAAACTGCTCCTGAGGCTGAATCAGACGCTGTTGAACCAACTGAGGGTGAGAAATCAAAATCTAAAATCGCCCACTGTCATGTGGTCAATTATGCACACATAGCTACTTTCACTAAACAAAAATATTCGGTGCATTTTTAGAAGTTAAGGAGGAAACCGCTGCTCCTGGTAAGCCTGAGAAGAGAAAGTCTGTGTTCAACTTCATGAACAAGATCAAGGTATGGACACATTTATGATTTCAGCAGTACATAGTTTGAAAGTTCCAACGTCAGTTATTGACCCCGACTGTCAATGGAATCCCTTTTTTTAGCTTCCCAAGTCTCCTGAGCTCAAGTCCACCGCTGCTCCTACCACTGAAGAGCCTGTTGCCGCTGAAACTACCGAACCCGCTGTTCCTGAGGCTACTGAAGCTGTTGCTCAGCCCACTGCTGAGGAATCCACTGCTGAAACTGCCGCTGCTGACGCCACTGGCCCTGTCGAAGGTAAGAATACCATCATCTGATCTGACTCATAGTACAATGGTTACATGATGTCATGCAAATCCCTTTGGTAAAGTATACTGACCCATATTTAGCTTCCACTGAAGAGGCGCCAGCTACCCAAAGCGATAAAGCCAAGAAGTCTGTTTTCGGCCTTTTCAACAAGTTGAAGGTATGGGGGTTACATTTTTTCTCATCAAGGTCGTACTCTAATCGGTTTCACTAACGTTACCGTGATGTTTTGTTTCGTCTCAGATGCCAAAGGCTGCCGAACCCAAGCCTGTCGAGGCAAAGGAGGAGCCTACTACTGAAGCTGCTGCTGAGCCTACTGAGGAGACCCCCGCTGCACCCGTCGAGGCACCTGCTGAGACCGAGCCTGTTGTTGCTACCGAGCCCACCGAAGGTAAGTTGCATGTGGTTGTACACACATTATTAGCCAATAAGATTTTAATTCCATATCGCATTCATCCAACAGCTGCTACTGAAGAGAAGAAGGTACCTTCCCGTCCCTCCTCTCCTCTTGGCCGTTCAGTCACTAAGTTGTACGGTAAGCTTAGCTCCAGATTCCCTAAGGGAAAGAAGGATGTCAAGGAAACCCCTAAGGAAGAGGAAACTGCCGCTACCGAAGAACCTGCCGCTGCTGTTGAGGAACCTGCTGTTGAAGCTCCCAAGGTTGAGGAGGAGACTCAACCTGTTGCTGCTCCCGTCGAATCTGCACCAGTTGTTACTGCCTCTGCATAATTGAGTGATTTCTAAAATCTATTCCACTATCATGATTTTTTCATTATAATTTTTTACTCTTCTTTTCTCATATTATAACGTACACTTGACAGATATTTATCCCACCTTTTAATGTCGCAGTTAGTTTCCATATCTCTTCGTAATTTCACTTAATACTGTTTATTAAAATTATTTTGCGCTAATGCCAGTATGATTATAAATGCTGTACATTGGATGAATACATTGGATGAAAATGTAGAAGACTATACATTACCCAACAGATCATTGGTACTCCTGGTCTAAGCAGGGTGCTCGGCGCCGCATCCTGGTCAGATGGACGGGGGCGAAAAAGACTTTCAGAGAAAACCAGAACTAATTATGTGATTAGTCTAAAATTTCGGCCGCCTGAAGTGAATACTCATTCTGATAGGTACGAAAAAATATGAATTTGCCTTTATTTCAGATTACGAGAAGGACTACAGCTATGACAATGAGGGTCGGGTGAATGAGGATCGTGCAAACATTGGATACATGTTCTGAAGCATGTGTATGTGGCGCTTACCAGCGGATATCGGTCCTCAGAAGAGAAATACAATATTGGACATGGACTGTCAGCTTTTGCTACACATTTAGGACGATGATTTTAGAGTTATGCGCAGGTTTGAAGCTCAGTTTTGTCTTCAGTCTCTCTTGTATCTACGCTGCAGACTTCTGCAGCATGCTGTGGTAATGTTGGGAAGAATTGCCCTCTTAATATAAATGCTCCCTCACTTCCAATACTATTGCATGTTTGCGTTTCTCAACTATAACCAAAAATTTCGAACCGCTTACATTTCCTGATGACTCCATTCGGAGCATCTGATGCAGGACCGAGTATGATTGCTGCATTAAAACCACAAAACGGCGTTGGCTGCTGATATTACAATGCTTATTGATATGTGAAAATCTCCTTCGTTTGGGCTGAGAATAAAATGGCGATCAAAAGCCAAGTGGGCTACGTTACTACGTTGTAGGAGCCATAAGGAGGTACGTAAACTACACCATGTAGTTTGAACCTCACATTCCCCGTTATTAATTGATTTTGATGTTATGGCGATGTATCCAAAGGTGGAAAGAGGAGACAATATTTGGGGTAAATTGTAACGATATACTGAGTTGACCAAGACCTTCATTGAAGCATCTATTGTCTGCGTGAATAAAGCGAATTACCTCTGACTTGCTCTGATTCGTATGCTGCGATGTACCACTGGGATAGACAAGCTACGCTAAAATGTGCATGATGTGTTTACTGAAGCTCAATGAATTTGTAAAATTTCAGTCCCATAAACCAATGTTCAAAATCATGTCATTGGAGGGCAGCAACATACACTCCGTAATACTACCATCAAATTCGAACTAGGTTGCCGTAGTGGGCCATTTGGATTTATAGAGATCTCATTCAGAAGATGAGCTAGAGACGAACGACAGTTCAATGTAATGGAAAGAAATATGTGATGAGAGCAGCCGTTCATGGCGCCTAGAGTTCTTTTCTAAGCGCAAAACTGATTAGCAACAAATAAACATAACCTTGCATGAAGACTGCATTCTTTAATGCAAACATTTAGAACCAAAGGTTTTTTTGGTATAGTAGCTAAGTAACATGCTAACGAATAACCCGATAGAAAAAAAGCACCATTAAAATTGATCCAAGGGAAAGAATGAATAAAACTATGTACATCATAGCCAAAGGGCGGCATAAAAGTGGTCCAAGTATCTCTCAAGATGAAATATTTTTTTTGAAGACTCTCTTGATATTCTTGGAGATGGTGAGACCATCCAGTGTTGTCTGCGAATTTGCTTTCTTACAATCGACCATAGATGATGACTTGGTCTTTTTGCTACTCTTGATGGCGACATTTTCCTTTTCGCATTCCAAGTCATCATTAGAGTCCGAAGCTTTTCGTTTGGCAGCTTGCTCTTGCTGCAGTCGTTTGGTGAAAGGTTGCATCAGGTCTACCCAATCGTCAGTATCGCTAATGATCTCATAATCAAAGACCTTTTCCCACTCTTTTGTGCAAGGTGTACGATTGACAAATACAACTCGGCCATTTTTGTTGGAATGAATGACGCGGGCAGCTTGCTTAATGAATTTTTTAAGAGCTGGGATTTTTAGAGACGTACCCATGACAATCATTAAATCGGGTCGTTTTTTTAAGTCGGTGAATTGCATTTGACCAATCGATTCTCCTAAAGGATGATCTTCATTGTACAACACAATATCGGGACGGAGAATACCTGTGGCTAATGATCGCTTGCCAAGGCGGAGTCGCTCGTCATATAAGTCCTGGCATTTGGGACATGGTGGAGGAGTACCATCACGGAACTGCTGTTGGTGATCTGGAGAGAATCCGTAGGAGGCAGGGCAAACCGTGCATTTAACTTTGTTCATGCTACCATGTAATTGGACCACAGGTAAATCTACTAGCTCCTCCAAGCAATCTATATTTTGTGTGTAGCATCTCAAAAGCTGTCCATTATCTTGTAATTGACGAATAAAACTATGTGTCGGCGTAGGCATAGCAGATGATATGAGCGACTTCAACTCAGCCATAAAAGTGTAAAAAACTTTGGTAGTTGCCTCTTCTTTGAAAAGTGTTGCATCAAAAAGATCGCGTCCTTTGACTACCGTATCTGGATGCTTTGACTTGACTAGATCGTACAGTCCGTTGGTGGAGCGAAAATCCTATCGTAGCACAAAGTGGTCAGCACTAGGTCATGAGACCTCATCAAGAAACAGTATACATGAAACTTACAGGAATACCACTACTGCAAGAGATGCCAGCACCTGTAATGACCAGTGCACGTTTACATTTCACCATATACTTTGCCAGTTCCTTCAAGAGCGGCTCCGTAACCTCCGGAGGTTCCGAAATGGTAATTTTCACTTTCATTGGCAGTGGTAAAGAGGAGTCGGGACTGTTGTGCCGTTACCACACCTTTTTTTTTTTCAGCATATGGTCACGTCACCGCCTTTTTTTTTACGGCGGTTTGAGAGCGGTCGATGAAAATTGCCTCCATGCCCCTCGTCGGCTGTATAGCAAAAAAGTCTGATCTGGTCACAGAAGAGTGCACTGCGACAAGTGACCGTAGGGATTGTTTGCATAGTACAAAAAAGTATATCCAAGAAAGCTATCTAAATAGTTCATCAGTAAAAAAGAGAGATTTAATATCTTTTTCCATACCACTCCTTGAGACAACTACTTTAACGATGGATCAGCTCCATTAAACTTAAATAAGTTATACCTTCACGGATTTATTCTATTGACTTGACCAGGATTTTTTGCGACTTATACTTTTAGACTCTGAATAAAGCTGATCTTTGCCTGCACAATCTATACTGACATGATCCGCTACAGAAGTAAATCATTTTGACATCGACTTTGTTCCTCGCAAACTCAATATGGCTGGACCACACAAATTATTTCATGTAGTAGACAATATTAGATTTTCACGTTTCATAATTTTTAAATGGCTTTTACTAGTAGCTGATAGGTTCCATCCTAGCTATGTTTAGTTGGTGAAGCAGCAAAGTACGAATGGTACCTTGTCACTACTTCTTCTGCGCGATACGGCTTTGTGATCATGTGATTTTTACTAGTGGCTTGACTGCGATTTTTTTTGTCGTAAAATAGTGAACACGAAAAGTCGCGCTTGAAAAACAATTTTTACCAGTTTTTAACAAACACGAAAATGGCAGCTCTAGGATGGGATACAGGCAGCATCTATTCGACCAGCGTTCTACCTCCAGATCCAGTGCTACTTGCCCAAGCTGCACTTCAAGACAAATTTCTTGCCTTTGTGGAGAATTTTCGTCTAGACAATGACTACATCTATCGGTAAGGCACCCGTCGCGTCTGCCGACACAAGCCTAGCATGTGAGTGCAGACATCTTGTTCTATAGACTTTTCTGATGGCTTTCTATTTTAGTGATCAACTTCGTGCCAATCTTATGACCAAGCAATACTATTTGGAAATCGACTTGGGTCACTTAATCAGCTTTGATGAGGAGCTTGCTAATCGACTTACCAACAACCCTACCGACTTGCTGCCTTTGGTAAGTACCAGTTGTATTTTTCAGCACTCGCATTGTCACACCTCTAACACCATATTTACTGGATTTAGTTTGAACAATCCATACAAACCACTGCAAGAAGAATCTTATCAGGAGCCGAACAACTGCCTAAGATCCAAATTACGCTTCGTTCAGACGCAAATGTAACTCAAATCAGAGAACTCAGCGTATGTATTTATCGGAAATGATCTTTTATTTGTTCCATACTCTCAACAATACCCACCTCTTCTACAGTCAAACGACATAGGAAAATTGGTCCGCATTCCTGGTATCATTATTGGTGCTTCTACTTTGAACTCGCGGGCTTCAACGCTTCACTTAGTATGCCGCTCCTGTTCATATACAACTGAAATCACTGTTGAGGGTGGCTTTACTCCACTTCAAATTCCAAGAATTTGTGGAAGGTTTGTTGATGTGTGCTTATTTTGGTTTGACGAATGGAACATACATCTGACCTAGCATATATAGGCCATTGGATGAAACAAATAATACCCGCTGTGACATGGACTCCTACTACGTTGTACATGACAAGTGCAAATTTGTGGATTCGCAAACGCTTAAATTGCAGGAAGCACCAGATATGGTACCTGTTGGTGACTTGCCGCGACACACCATTCTCAATGCCGATCGGTAAGATGCCATAATGTGCATGCTACTACTCACGCCGCATTGATACTAAAGTATATCATGCAGCTTTTTAGTCAATCGAGTAGTTCCTGGTATGAGAACTGTTGTTATGGGCATTTATTCCATTTTCCAAAACAAAGGCACAGTAAGTGGACTCAATTGGTAGAATTATCAAATGCTGTGAAACTGAATAGTGTTTTCAGAAATCCACTGGAGCTGTTGCGGTGAGAACTCCATACATTCGAGTAGTTGGTCTTCAGATCGATCAACATAACAATGGTCGCGGAAAGCCTGTGTTCACCGATGCAGAGGAGGAAGAGTACATTAGAATGGCACGACAACCCAATTTGTACGAGACTTTTGCCACCAGTATCGCACCATCTATCTTCGGCAATGCTGGTAAGCAAACTATGCAATGTTACTACTATTTCATGTTGTAATTTACTGAAAGAATTTCCACGCCAGATATCAAAAAAGCTATTGCATGTCTGTTGTTTGGCGGTTCCAAGAAAATCTTACCCGATGGCATGAAACTCAGAGGTGATATCAATGTACTCTTACTTGGTGACCCTGGTACTGCAAAATCACAGCTTTTGAAATTTGTCGAGAAGGTATTATCCTTGCACTTGCAATGTCTATGGTGTGGAAAAGTGATTGACCATGTTTTCTGGTTCGTTCTTTGTAGGTTGCGCCAATTGCAGTTTACACTTCCGGAAAGGGCAGTAGTGCAGCCGGTCTTACAGCTTCGGTTGTTCGCGATCCCAATACGGTATGATTGCCTACCATAATCAGAACCTAATACTTTGCGAATTAAGTGCTAACCTACTGCATCTCATCAGCGTGAATTCTATCTTGAAGGTGGAGCGATGGTACTCGCGGATGGCGGTGTTGTGTGTATTGATGAGTTCGACAAGATGCGCGACGAAGATCGAGTTGCAATTCACGAAGCTATGGAACAACAAACCATTTCTATTGCCAAGGCCGGTATCACCACCATCTTGAATTCAAGAACATCAGTGCTTGCCGCAGCGAACCCTATTTTCGGAAGATACGATGACATGAAGAGCCCTGGAGAGGTAAAAATTGGGTGATATACACTCAGGCGCGCAGCAAGTGTCTAACCTCTCTCTATTTATTCAGAACATCGATTTCCAAACCACCATTCTTTCAAGATTTGATATGATCTTCATTGTCAAGGATGAACATAACGAAGCTAGGGATTTGGTAAGGGGGATTATTGAAAATTTGGACTATCGAGTACTGGCTCCCTAACATGTGTTGCATCCAGTCAATTGCCAGACACGTTCTGAGTGTTCACATGAACCGACAAATGCAAGACAATGTTGTGGGTGATATCGACCTTCAAAAGATGAGAGATTACATCAATTATTGCAAATCGTAGGTTCCATTGAGATACCAAAGCATGACCTGAACTTCACTTGTACTAAGCATCCATCATTAGTAAATGTGCTCCAAGATTGACCGCTGAAGCTGCTGCTAAGCTGAGCAGTCACTTTGTAGCTATTCGAAAGGAAGTGAAGCAAACTGAGAAGGACACCCAAGTTCGATCATCTATTCCCATCACCATCAGGTAAAGCAAAGTCTCTAAGGCAAAGGCACCTAATCTCATTCATAGGTTACTCACTGAGCATTATTTTCAGACAATTGGAAGCCATCATCCGTATTTCAGAATCATTGGCAAAGATGACATTGTCCCCAGTTGCTACTGAGGAACATGTCGATGAAGCCATACGACTGTTCAAGTTCTCTACAATGGATGCTGTGCAAAGTGGTGGAGGTAAGATCTCAAACCGGTATATTAGACTATTGATGCGCATATATCTCACCCTTCGTTACTTCTAGCTGATGGAATGACTCGTGTTGAAATCATGAAGGACGTGCAAGAAGTTGAAAAGGACATCCAGCGACGTCTTCCCATTGGATCTCAGGTGTCCGTGCTGAAACTCAAAACTGATTTTCTTCGAAATGGTCACTCTGAAGCTGCCATCGCGCGTGCTCTGATGATTCTTGGAAGACGCGGAATGCTTCAGTTCCGAAATCAAGGCAAAACAATATATAGACAAGCTGTGTAAATTCTCTAACTATTTTGCACTGCATACTTTTATTCCTTAACGCCATGTACATTATTGCTTCCAGCCATTTTCTTCATCTTCCAACATTCGTCTTATTTAATGATACTATTCAAATCCATATCTGTTGGCTTTAGCGTGGATACAAAAAGAGGGACCCGCTACGTTCTTCTTGCAGTGATAGAGAATCGAGTTGTATGATGCCGTGTTGGTCAAGTGTTTGATATACAAAACCGTATCTTATATGTAGCAAGTTAAAATGACTAGAACGTCGTCAACTTATTACGTACAACAGATGCAACTGAAGCTATAAGTCAACACTATGTGATAAAATTACCATTGATTGACGCTATTCCATTCCTATGAAGGCACTTATACAAAAAGTAGATTTGTTTTCGAAAGAAAAAAAAAATAAAGCTCCCACAACAAGAGACCCGACGGGGGCAAAAAATCTCTCAGTCGGGGAATTGAACCCCGGTCTCCCGCGTGACAGGCGGGGATACTCACCACTATACTAACTGAGAACTTGTTGAAAGTTGGTTTGCCAACTAATTTATATCATAATAGTTTATATTAGTGTAGCAATGACACTACAACGTACCATTTTACATTAAGTGGAGTATCAAAAAACGGTTATAAACCGTATATAAATATATTGAGCAAAATGTTATAATAAATTGTCGATAATCCCGAGAATCACAACACCTACGTTGGAATACTAGTTGTTAGACGTTCAGTAAGTCCCCCAAATTACTGAGGTATTATGGCGATGAAACACAAAATCTCAAGTAAAACTAACCTTAATGTCTCTAAAATTTTTGAGAGTTATAAAAATTTTAAACTACAATAACTGGCTACTTTTGAAGGTGAAATAAATCGTAAAGCTAATATATTGCTAACTGTACGGTATTTCTTTGTTTCATTCAATTCAGCACCTATTCATCTACCTGCAAAGTTTTTTTGTATCTTTACTCAAAAATACTACAATAGCTATAGGTCTTGATTTTATTAATGGCCATGATTGAGTATATCTTCTCAATTTCTTCGAAGTGGCTATCTTTTAATCATTTAGGCGATTCACGTTTGGCCAGTCCACCTACAGTTGTGGCTCTCACCACATGAGGTACGACACTATAGTCATAGCCTGTTACAGTTTCAACATCTTTTAAATTAATTCTAGAAATTTTTGAAGCATTTCTGTCGGTGATCTTGTCTTCAAATTTATTCTCTACAATTACTCCCATTCTGAAATCCTGATCTTGATCGACCTCGGCCATGTCGAGGTGACCTTGAAGATGGAATTAGCCTTAGAGCGATCGGGCCCACTGGGACAGCGTCTTCCATTATACGAGTTGGAATACTGGTGGTTTTGGTAAATTTTGAACTTTGCCTATGACTACTTGTGGGTCTACCAATCGCGTATGTCACTCCTGAGCTGCAACTCAGCGGTCCATAAGATCCAAGCTTTTGATGTTTCCTCCGGTAGGACTCGTAAGAGATGTGTTGATGAGTAGGTTTTGTGTTGATAAAATAAATAGACCTTTTAACTTGGCTTGCTGTCATACAGCTATCATACAATAAGACTTTGTTGTCTACTTCAGTACGATTTTCTTTATCGCAGTGCCTCGCTTTGCTTTATCACGTGCCAGAGGGTACCTCAGACGGATTTCGGCCGCTGCTCGCTTTTGCTTGCTCAGCACTTCTAAACTTCGACGCCATTTCATCGCTTACGCTAATCCGCCATTGTGAAACGGTCAATGTACGGTTGTAGCTTGTCTTTAAGAAGATAGGGTCACGAATGTACGCCAGATGGAATGGCGCAAAATGCATCGCGGCAAGTTTTAGATTTCGGCATGCAGAGAGGTAAGCTTTCCAACCCCTACTGACCCAAAATCTTCTACGAACCTTTAATATTATTCGCTCGCTCCGCAAAAGGAACGTATAGTACCATTCATTTCCCCATATAGTGGTTGTCAACAGTGGGTTAACTTGGGTATCTCTCAGGGTAAGCTGGTTCTTATGATTTTTCAAACGAGACTTATACTTGCGGTAGGAAAGAAGTCCGCGACATGTTTTCATAATCTAGATAGTAGAAAAATGACCGGTTTGTCTCAAGAGTAGTGGAAGCGTATATAGGAGCTGTGGCACTGATGATTCTTCAGCGGTGTTTCCATATGGTCTATCTCTCCTAGACAATACGTCTGGCACCTAAATGTCTTTGTCGGTTTGTACTGATCTTTCCTGTACGAACGGGTGAACTTCCACTTTTCATTTTTGATCTATAGTTCCCTCCGGTTCTTGTGGAAGATTAATATGTATTCGGCAGTCTCCTCTGTTTGCTTCACTCGTTGTAGCTGTTGGCAGGCCAACGCCCAGAATTGTTGGGATTGATTTCTGTTCTGAAGAGCTCGCAAAAAATATTACAATCGTTTATTTCCATGACCTTTTTCTTTATGTGCTGAATCTCTTTCAACTTCTTTCACGTATACTAGCGTCGCTGCACAACAAATTGGTTGGGAAAGCGACTTGTCTGGTAGAGTCCATGAACATGAAATAAAAATTCCAATCTATGAAGTAGGTACAATGCTTTGCTGCAAGCGCTGTGCGAGCACTCTGGATGGGTCAGTAACGATGTGCTGAAATTTCTATATCGTGCTTGCTTCATCCCGAGCTCTGCTTTATATTCGTTTGTTCCATTTACATTGCCGTCATTCCCTGTGCATAACATTTGCGAGCATTTGGCGGTATGTTCTGGGAAGCTGTTTTATTGGTTTGGTACTTATATTTCTATGGCCAATAAACTCTGTTTTCACACGCGTCAGATGGTTTTAGTTAACAATAAAAATCAGTTGTCGATGTACAATAACTAATATAAGCTGAAGATTTTGCTAGTGATACGACCTCAACCATGTCCTAATATTTTCCTTAGTTGTGAAATTATTTTATAGAGAAAAGGTGCGGACCAAGCAATAAAGAGAATAACTGAGAAACTCTATAACTGCTGATGAATGTTTGATGTCGTTTCCAAGGCGAACTGGGACTAATGGGGAGGTTAAACTTTCAAAGATGCAAACCAATGAAGTCAACAAAAGGTAGATGAATGCACCGGAGCCGCTAATAGATCGGCGTGTAAAATAAACTAGGTCATCCACATTGTATAAAATCATTAATCATAGCTAGAATGGCATAAATGCAGAGGACATAAAGCAAATCGATGTTATAGTCTTGATCTATTTTGTGTGTATGCTTCTATAGCTCGTCATGAATACAGGTGCAATTAATTTAAGCATTAGATTAATATTAACCTACTTTATTTTTCTGTCGAGAAGTTCTCAGTAAAGCCCCTCAATATCGTTCAGTGTTATATCGATGCACGTGCAGCGGCAGCAACCTAGCATGTAATAGAAGTAACGGCGCAGGTTAGGATCAGCATTTTTATGAGACAAATTCAAATATCCAATTTACAACAATGGCTATGAAAAAATTTACATGCAGTATGTATAAGCTTGAATCAAAAATTTGCGCATATATTAAGCGTTTACTGTCACTACTTTTGCACTTAACGAGTATTTTAATATATATAGACTAAAAAGTGCCAACTTTCAAGAAGTTCTCAGTTAGTATAGTGGTGAGTATCCCCGCCTGTCACGCGGGAGACCGGGGTTCAATTCCCCGACTGAGAGATTTTTTTTTCACAGCCTCGGCGGCCATGTTTTTTAGGTGCGAGCTTTGGTCCATTGCAAACGAAATCCTAATCGTTTCAGATGGTTGGATCACTATGTTCTTTTGACAACTTGTCGTATTAATTGGAAAGGGTTCGACTCTTTTGATATGTCATAATCTTTCTATATCATCTTTGTTCTCACTAGACAGGTGTTAAACTTTATGCAATAGCCTTCTTGACCAAAGTACTTCGCCGTTCTTTACCCACCTAAATAGATTTCCGTAGCACTGCGGTGTTACCTCCAAGTTCACTTCAATACGAAATATATTGCTAAGTAATATGGTCATTCATGGTCTGAGAAGGCAGCCTGGAAGACGACTGCATTCAAGTCTGTTTCCCAGATGAGGACCTCTCTCTAAACCGAAATTTATTGACACCTTGCCTTTCATCAAAAGAATCTTTCTTTTCTTGTTACTTGAAGTGCACTATTACTGTTTTTTTCGAAAAGTTTACGCAATTTGGCAATGATGTACCAAACACTGCTTTCAGCTCGCTACATCGTTCGAATTATTGGCTCTGCCTTCGGTTTGACAAATGTTCCCCACCTACGCCAATCAGTCCTATAAAGAACATCTGTCGTTCCCCATCTCTCTTTATTGAATGACCTTTCCTTATCATACCTCATTTTATATAAATTCGCTACTCTTTCTAGTACAGCTCTCATATATAAGGCACCGTATTTGGAGCTACAATCAAAACCGTTTGTCAGACCTTCAATCCTGCCGATTATTTAACAAGTATAGACCTATGTGATACCTTTTAATTGCATCGTTCATTTGCATTAAAGCAGAAACCTTTCAAGGCCGCTTACGTAGGATAGTGTGCGTCGAATGCATAACCCGTATATCGATCAACCTCACTCATTACCACAAGGCATTTTTGTGTATGGATCGTGGCTCGAAAGTGTCCAACCTAACTTCGTACCGTTCAGCTATGTAAGTCCCTTTCACGGCAACCAGTCGGGTTGACACTTCTCTTACTTCTAAAATCATTCTTCACTGCATGGAGAAACGGCCATTTAAACCGAAATAGAATATAAGTTTTCGACATCCATTCTGTGCTTACTTACCTTACGGTTCCATCTCATGGATGCCCATCGAAGGTCTTACGAGAAAGCTGTGTTGGCTCTTGGCTGTGTTTGTGTAAATACACTTATCGGGTACTGTATGGATTGGTCTAGACACGATATTTGAACAGATAGCTCGAACAGCTTCTCTCTGATGGCGGTGGTATCTGAGGAGAACCGTTTTATTCAACGAATTCGAAGAAGGTTACCATACACGCTCATTGTGATTCCAAGATCTGTGCAATAGCGACATTCTTTACTTACCTGGTATGCCATTTCAGCCCACCTGGTCGAAGCAGCCTCCCAGCGTTGTCGCATGTTCAAAGTGACTTTGGTGATCCGCAATGTACTGAGATAGCAGCAAGCCTGTTCTGGTATCAATAGACATTATATCATATTGGTGATGTCACACATGACCAAGGATGCCAAGATCAGTTATAGGGCGTTGGAATCCAAAGCGTGTTGTCGCAGGAATATTTGTAGATGAAGCCATCGCTCACTGCGATTGTCCTCTACCATATATATTTAATGGCTTTCATCACCTGTCCACATAACACCTCCAAAAAATTAGAATATTTTCTTTTTCACAGTCTCTGGCATCATAGTTCAAGGATACAGTGCCCCAAAAAAGTTCTTCAAAGCTATGGCTACAAACCAAAAACCTGTGTCAGTCATAAGAGGAGGTAGTCCGGATTCCTGCGTTTTCCACAACCTTATAGTAAAGCAATCTCGTGAGAATATGTTATAGAAACCCCAAGGTGAACTTATCGTCGAGTCAATAAATACATAAAAATATTGTCATAAGGATCAAATATTCCTAATATAATGAACTTCACTGCTGAAAGATTCTACAGAATAAAGAAGACAAACAGAAAATACTATAGTAGTAGCACATATAGGCTCTATTGTTGTGGTCTTAGTAAATACTAAAATATATATATAGGCACATCTTTATGACACTTCTCATAGGTGAGAACGATTTTATTCTGTTTAAGGCTGACATGCTTCTTTGCAAATGACGAAGTCATATCTCATACCAGTGACTTATGTATGGTAATTAAGACATGTTACTATCGTACAGTTTCATAATCAAAAAAGATCAGCTTTGTAAAGCGGTAGTTTCGCCTAAGATATTGTAAATTTACCAATGATTTTTAAAAAATTCGTACAAGTGGATGTCCAATTTTTTTTTCTCTCTTTTGCAGGCAAAAAGGATATAATATGAGCAAGTAAACTCATCAGTTTACTATCATACTTCAAAAAATTTCACATGATTCAGTGGTACTCAATAAAAAGATACGCCAATATTTCGTTGTTTTGCAAGGAAATGGCAAATAAAGTATTCAAGCTGTTATTCCGCGCGAAATAATATATTATGTCCAAGAAAATGACTGATTGAAATTTTTATTTAATGCTACTCAAAAAGGAACATAACTGAGATTTTTGAGAGCTTCCGGTCTTGTGTACTGCAAGTATGTTCACTGGCTTTTGTGGTGAGTGCGCTGCCTTTTTGAAACAATATTCAAATAAAAAAAAAGCCTGTGCATCGAGCGAGAGGGAGTATTGTATTAATACGAAAATAATAGAAGGCTAAAAAAATATATTTTTTTTATATTGCCTCACATAGTAAATACATGACGCTACCAGCAATTATTACAGTAGCACGAAACTAACCACTGGTAGCCGCTCATTATATTGCTAAGGCGTTTAAAGACTAAAAAGTGCCAACTTTCAACAAGTTCTCAGTTAGTATAGTGGTGAGTATCCCCGCCTGTCACGCGGGAGACCGGGGTTCAATTCCCCGACTGAGAGTTTTTTTGTCAGCCTCGGAGGCCATGTTTTTAGGTGCGAGCTTTGGTCGATTGCTTCGAGGGATTGGGATTTGGCTGATGATGGACTTTCTTTTGCAGCTGCAAGGTTTAATCCTTATCCGTGTTCTATGTTAAAGAACGGTAATAGCCTGATAGTAGTATTTACCACATGTCAATGTTCAGACGATCACAATTTCAAAGGCATTAAATTGATCAGTAAGTCATCAATTTTATTATGCATGGATTAGGTATATCGAGTGAAATCTAACATTGCTTCAAGAGCCATGATTCCATCCTTGCTAGTTTTCACCGCAGACATATCATTGTTCGCTCCAGGTTGGCGTTCCTTAATACGTCTGATTTGTCGTAAACGTTCAACCCAATGTGAGACATATTCATGACGGCCACCACCACCTGACTCCAAAAAGACCTGAGAGAAAATGTTCGCATGAAGAGCCATCTGACGTATGAAACCTGGTAGTGTTTGTGCAGACACCATCTTGAACTCTGCCATAGGACCTATCTCAGACATATTAGCTCGTCGCTGCATGATCACTTTAAAGAAGGTGTTGTCTGTCCCGGTGGAAGTAGTGTAAGGATCAGGATGCTGACCAGCACCAAGAGCATTGGTAGCAGAAGCAGTGGGACCAAGAAGTTCATCGCGTGAGCTGAGGATAACCTTAGATGAGTCTTCAGAATGTGGAGAAACGACAATATTAATGAAGTTGAATTGTCCAGGCAGAGTGTCGAATGCGTAATCTTTTCCAGAATCATTGTAAACAATATGAACAAAATCATTGCCGATATGCCTCTTCTTAAGGCTGCATTGCCCATCTCTTTCCAGATTGGTCGGCATGAGGGTTGCTGCATGGAACACTATTTCAGTTGTTTCGTCGTTCCAGAAATAAGCATATTTGCCATCAATGTCCATTTCACGATCCAATCCGCCAGTGTTGCTCTTACGGTCTTTCAGTCGTTGGATGGTACCAAGACCGTTGAGAAATGTCACATAATCAGGAGATCCATATTGATTGGCGAGAATTTCGATTTCGTGAGACTGGCCAGGTCCAACATAGACGACTCCTATTTTATGGAAGTTAACCACAGGAACCTTATCAAACATATCGAGGGCTCGCTGGAGAGTATCATCGTCGGGTAATGGTGGAGATATTTCTCGTAGATGGGCTAAATCTGCATAGTTTCCAAACTGTAAATACAGGAAGCTTGGGTCGAATGCATATTCATCTTTTCGCAGGCGACTCATCGTTGAAGATCCTTTGTCTGCAGTTGTAGGTGGAACTAGAATATCTTGTATATTGTTAGCAGACTTGATGTCCGGTGATTTGGCATCATCGGTAGGCTTCATCTCATGCTCTGTTGCCTCTGACATATTGGTCTCGGTATTGCTTTCATTAGTGAGTTGAGTAGTCGTACCGTCGCGATGTCCAGAGTCGTGATCGGAAAGTTGCACAAGATCCGTCAAGCCAAGTCCTCCGTCTGAATTATAATGCATCATCAAAAATGCTGGTAAAGTTAACGTGTCGATGTCGTTGCGTCGAATATCATTCTCGATTTTACACATGATTGATACTGTTCCAGAGGGTCGGCGAATCGTAGCTTCCACCCAACCCGTTGCAGATGCCGATGTCAATGTGAATAACGTATTTCCTTGAGACCAGGTTTTCGACATTTTCTTTGTTGATGAGGAAGGACCATTGCTACCAGAAGAATTAGATAGCGAAGAATTCATCAGGATGTCAGAAACAACGGATTTCTTAGGTGCTAAATCCGCATTTGCAAAACTGAATCGCGATAACATGTCAATGCATGTCAGAGTTTGTTCGTCTATTGTCTGCGTAGCCGAGTTTGCGCTCAATAAGCCCTTGACGATGTATGCGACATGGCGACGTCGTTCTCGTAGTGGAACAGCTATAAACCAGACGGTGATGACCTGGTATGCCATAATCAAAAGATATTGAGCAAATGCGCTTTGAAATGGCTGGGTACTGTTGGTGGAGCCAGGCGTATTCGCTTCATTCAGATGGCCAGATGACGTAGACGGTGTAATGTTTGGTGATTTGATGCTAGGAGAGTGCTGAGGGTTTGTGAGAGAATGTGAATATTGTATATATTTCAAAGCAATGGCGAACACTGGTTTGTACATGTCTCCGGTGAAGTTGGCATATAAGTTTGGTAGCCTAGCGAGACCAGACAAGAATTCCAGAATATGCACAGACACACTACTATGAGAAATGATTTGAGACATTTTCATAAGAATTTCGTTTAACATCTTGGAGATCGACAAGGGTAGTTCATGGCAGCAAACCGTTAATGCATTGATACAGGCTTTTGTCGCGCTAGTAATTTGCATGATACCAAAATAAAAGCAGAATACCAGTTCATCTTGCTTATTTTTGCTGAATATCCGGCGATAGCTGATCATGATGGTCAGCACATTATAGGCAAGGATACTGAGGTCATTACGCTTGATGTTTGATGGAAGGTTGGTCACATTTTCCAAGAATGTATGCTTTGTTATAAGCTCGCACATGGTTCCTCGAACTTGCTGTAAAACCTCAGTTGCGCCACAAAACAGATGCTTGTTGCTCATTTGAGCAGGTAGTGATTCCATCAAAAAAGAGACAGTGTTCCAGTTGCTATCCTTAGTGATAATATCCAGGTAGCATCTGAGAAGTTCAGATGCTGGCAAGATCCCAATGGCTGCCTCTTTTGATATATCTTTTGGGCTGTACGATACAATTATTCGACTTGGGCGTTCATTGTACATAGTAAAATCTGGATCGGCATACGATGGGTCTGAATGCGTGATTCCCAAACCTCGAATTTCACGGACTTGGACTCCTTCACGTTGACTATCCTTACGTGCCGCCGTATTTGCTGGTGACTCTTGATTGGATGGAGTATGTTCGGTTGGCTTACGAATTGATGAATTCTTGACAGACTCTTGGGGAAATCGAGTGCCATTAGCGTCAGAGCTTAAGATACTTCTGTCTCCCAATGCAAAAGAGTATTGTGTCGAAGCTTCCAGTGAGGTGGAAAGGTAAATGTGATGATCTGGTCGACATCTCAGACGAAGAAGAACGTCAAATGCTATGATTCGACAACTGTCATGAACAACCTTATCGTCGTCATAATCTCTTGCTATGGATAGAAGGCAGTCAAACACAAGTAGACAATATTTCGGATCCGAGCCTTGAAGAAGTTGATCAAATAGTTGCACAAGCCCGCTGGCAGATGCCACTCCTAAGCAGTATGGCGTCTGTGATGAAGAGTTGGGTAGATCAGATTGTTTTGCTTTGGCATCAGACGAAGTTGAAAGTGAATGAGAGGCGGTCGGCCGCGGAGTTCTCTCTTGGGTATGATGCTTCGATGAGCGGCGAGCCATCTGACTAACAGAGCGCTTCCTTTCACTTAAGGTTTGCTGAGAAGGCTGGGATTCAGGATGACGCATTGACCTTGGTTGACCGAGACATTTGCATTTAGAGCATGTATTCAGCGCCGACACCAAACTTTGAAAGGCTTCGTAATCGTTACAATCAGTTGCAACTTTGACAATGAGACTGACGGTTTTGTCGATAACATCTTTATCCCGGTTGGTTTGAACGACACCGGCTATTGGAATTATGATGCTGTTGACAAGATCGTTTAGGTAGAAATCGTATGTTGCATCGCATATATTCAAGATGATATCGAGCATTCGTAATCGAACCGTTCGAGAAGATGTAGGGCTTATGAAAAAAGTATATGTTGTCTCTTCCAAGAGGGACAACCAGGTTGCTGATGACGGCATGAGTAAATGCTCGGATTCGTAGTAACTCAAGAGACTCAACGCAACATCTTCTGGCAGATACCGTCGCATCAAGTGAAGGATATCCATATAGCTGTCTAACGGACCCTTATAATTGTTGTTATCGTGCAGTTGCTTTATATGTTGTAACAAGGCGAAAAATTGTTGTATTACGCTGGCCTGACTGGACGATGATAGGTGATCGGTTGACAAGTGTTTGACATGGTGTGTAGTGTCATCGCTGTGGACTGAGTTTGTGGGCGCAGCAGCATCAGCAATATCGTCCTCGGAAATGTCATCCAGTATGCTCTGAGAGTATTCCCGACATATGTCCCAGAAAATATCCCAGTCAGTCGTTATAATGGTGTGATTTTGTACACAAAGTAATAGGCTTTTGAAAATTTGAACGTTGATTAGAGCGTTCTTTTGCCGGAGAGCTCGTCGCATATACGATAATAAGACAGTACTTGAGGTCACATTGCCATAGTTACTTCCACGACTTTCCGCACTCCAAGCTGCTTGTGACAACAGAATTAAGGCTCCAAAAGCGATAAGCTCTTCGGATGAGCCTGAGGTAAGCGGCATTGTCATTGATTTGCAAAGTGTCAGCACAGCACTGTGTGCGCAGTGGGACCGCAGTAGATTTTTGAAGATCGACGTTGCGAAAGTCGCAGGCTGATATGATGGAGATGTGGGATCGGTAACGATTGCTGCTCGACACAAGATGTCCAAAAAGGCTTGCAGGCCATCCATTGGCACGAAGCCATAAGGAATGATGACATCGGCAAATTCTAGACAAGCCTTCTGATCAGCAGCGTCCTGAATGGTCCAAAAGCAACGCTTTATCGCCAAGATTACTTCTGTTACTTCACCCTCCTCAAACATGGCAAAATTGAACTTCATGATGGCAGTTATAAGACGAATGATTTGCTCAAGGTGTTTGGTGGCAGAATTTTCGGAATGTCCTGGACTTGTCGTATGAGTGTTGACGTTTGCTGATCCATCTGCTACTCGGTTGACCGATGATGAAGATACAGCGGAGGTCATAAAGCCGCTTTTATCGCCAGCCTTATCTACAGGTGAATGTGATAATGCTATATCTAGCCAGGAAATCAGCAGCTTTGTGATGTTCTTCTCGAAGCTCGTAATATCTCGTCCATCCTTAATAAGTTTTGAAAGTACTGAGTACATATCCTTTAAATCATCATAAACTGTGTGTTCTTTCAAAGCGTTGTAGAATGTCACTCTAGCCATTCCAAGACTCTCGTATTGACTGTCTATGCACGCAGCCATGAACTCGAATACTACATGTCGACATTCCTTGGGGGCTGTTGGTTGCATAATATTTTGTATGGTGAAAAATACATTTTCGAGGTGTGTAAAGGTGTATCGTTGACAAAGAATGGAAAATTCCTTGATCAGTCTCGTCCTAGTTACTATGCTTTGAGAGGATTCCAACAGCGGGATGATCGGCCTTGCATCAAGCGGTACTTGGGAGTTCAAATTGTTCAAATTGAGGCATGATTCGATTGTAACGCCTGTGCCTTTGGGACGCAAGAAGTTCGAGAGCCAACCTGAAGAGTTTGTCGACGAAAATCCTTTATTAGCCATGGGGCATCAGCAGCTTTGTATTGAGTCTATGAGTGAGAGCGAACAGAGGGAGTTCTGGATTGATTTCCTCGTGACTGCTCAGTAGCCCAAAGTTGGGTTTGACCAGCAAATTCATAGAAAAAAGTAACCTTTCGTATTTTTGTGCAGACTTTGCGACTCATGAACTATTCTGCGATGCCAATATTTAATTGCACAACTGTGCTTTGTATTGAGATGCAAATAAAAACTGGTTTTTTTTTTTAAGAGAAATTATATTTTAGAGCATGGTCCTGGAGACTTTTCCTTCGCATCGTAGAGAACGTCGATGTTTGAGTTTCAAATAGAAAACATGCGGTCCGAAAGGCATCGGATCGTATTTGATATGAAAACCAGTTATTTTGCAACAAGGAAGAACAAACATCGTAAAAGCTTCGATATCTATGCTTCAAACAATTGATTATAAAAAAATATACTTAACAGTGCTTCCTTTCGACAATCGACCACATATTTCCACTAAATAAGCGTGCACCAACAATACCGTCAGAAAAACATAAAGAGATGCAGTCGCAAATGTTAACATAAACTGCAATAGACAGTTTGGCGGCAATCCAGACGTTCCTGTTGGAAGTGAAAATTAAAGTGGTCGCCATCTAAGCTTGAAATACCGACTAGTAGCCTGTAAGTATCCTTAGTTCATAGTATATTCCATGGTCAGTGAGCTGGTTTTTTTTTCAAATGATTTGAGCAATCGATGTTCCATCAAGCAATAATACTTTATCGTAGACACATGGAAGTGCAACTGTTACTGACCACCTTTGTCATTTTCGACACAGTGATTGTGAAATTACTCCTGCATCAGCTCGCAAAAACGGCACCATAGGACACCGACTTTCGAAGATATATAATGAAAACCAAAGCATATGAATCTAACTTTGTCTAATTTCCGTGACGCTTCAGAAATTGACTGGGACCTGAATTTGTCTTCCTTGCAGCTGCTGGTCAACTTGCTATCGTCTTCCCATTCATAATTATAAGATCGCACGTACAGGCTAGAGTTTGCTTATATTTCAGTGAACGAGATTGCAAACCGATCTGGCAACTGCCAAATGTAGGAAAAAAATTATCAAGAGCTATCTTGCAATAAGCAATTTATATCGGTCATGGAATGGGTCGATGATAGCCCGCAAGACAAGCTTATAGTTATATCAAATGACCCATTCCACGTTCTACCACTGATTATTGAATCATAAACGTAGCTTAAGCAAGATAAACAAAACAGATCGTTCTTTTGAAAAGCTTTATAGTCAAGTTTTCCTTACTATAATTGCTCATAGTCAGGCCAAAGTGAGATGAAAATGACTGTATGATGTTAAGGCGACAGCAATGCGCCATTTGTTGCTCGTTAATTATTATTTGACATCATATAGAGAAGCCGCCATGTTTATGTGATGAAATTTACGTGATGTCGTGACCATAAAGCAATATTTTCAAAGACACTTTCAGCATCGAAGCTTTTTGGTCATAAGAAAAGTAAGCGCGCACATCAAACACTTTTTTGTCGGGTATCAAAACCAGCGGATTGCAAGTCACAAATTTCAGAGAGAGATTTTTTTTTTTTTTTGCCTTTGCGAGACAAAACCTATTGCAATTTTGTAGATCAGCATTGTCATTCAGTAGAAAACATTGTAGCTCGCCAACTTAGATAGATCAAAAATGGTTTCGAAGAACTCGGCATCAGCGGTGAAGAAATCCAAAGTAAGCGATCGTTCAGCGAACACAACCGCTGAAATCACACCCCTCGAGTCCGAGAAGAAGAGGAAGGATTCACACATTCAAAAGAAAGACAAGGCTCTAGCTGTCGCCAATCACATAACAAAGCCTAATGGAGTCGAAAAGACGGTTACAGTGTCCGAAAATACTGTCAATAAGTCTGAAAAAGCTAGCAGCTTGCATCAAACGAAGGCTCTTGCTGGAGTGTTGAGTAGATTCCCCATTGTCTTCACGAAAGACTCAAAGTAAGAATCTCTCTTTCATACGAGTTCTTGTAAAAATCGCTGATTCCTAACGATTCTTCCTTATTGATATTAGATATTTCTTTTGCTGTGTTTCCAATACCATCAAAATTTATAATGTCACCTCTGGTGAAGTAGTGAAGACGCTATCGACATCCGCTCTTCAAGGCGGTCACCGAGACACCGTCACAGCTTTGTGTCTGAACCCAAAGAATCCGTTGCAACTGTACTCTGCTAGTTTGGACGGGACAATCAAACTTTGGGACTATAATGACAACATTCTTTTGAAGGTGATGATCTAAAACGGAACACTTGAGCTATGCACGAGGTATATGTACTAATGATATTTTTGAAATGTACAATGTAGACACATCAAGTCAACCTACCCATCGAAAACATGGTCATTTCACCACAGCACCCAGAAAACGCTTATATCGTCACCAGAAGATCTGGATCCAATCCTGGTAAGCTCATACCGCCCGTGATCATGATATCAGAGACATCATATTCATGTATACTTATATTCATATAATGATTAGAAACCAAAGGAAAAACTGCCGTATACCGATATGCCTTCCAAAAGAGCAACCAGCCTGATGGCCTTACTCGCATCACCAAGTCAAAGGATAGCTCTGTCATCGCCGTTTCGGCTGATGGCCGCTTCCTAGCAACTGCTTCTCGCTACAGAATTTCTATCTGGGAAATCACTAATGATAAAGAAGTGAGCAAGGAAGATGTGCGAACGTAAGTTTGAAGGTATAAGTGAGAGTGTTACTGGATGATCATAGCTAACTTCCTTTCTTTGTGTCATAAAGGTATACATCTCCTGAACTAGTGACTTGTTTAGCATTCAGCCCCACAGAACCATGTCTAGCCATTGGTGACGAGGCAGGAAAAATCACGTTGTATTATTGCTTCACTCCTGAAACCGAGAAAACTCCTGTAACTGCATTAATGCATTGGCACCATCGTCCTCTCAACACATTATCTTTCACAGCTGATGGCGTGTACTTGCTGTCTGGTGGTGAGGAGCCTGTATTGGTCATGTGGCAATTGGAGACGGGCCACAAGCAGTTCCTACCCAGAGTCGGTGGTGAGATCAAGTCTATCACCATCTCGCCAAATCAATCACTGTATGCACTTAGCGAAGCAGACAACTCTATCCGGATCATCAACGCAGTATCTCAGCAAATTGTTCGCATAATTCAAGGTTTGCAGTATGGTAAGTTTTCTACTCTGGGCTATATTATGGAAATTTCCAATAGTAAGGAGTTGCGCTAATCAGAGCTCCCACATAGCTCAAGTTGCATCCAATACCTATCCACTTTACACTGGTCTTGTCATCGAGCCTCGAAATCATCACGTCGTTATGAACGGTGTTCCCGGCAACATCCAGTTCTATAACCCATACTTGGACTCACATGTGTTAGATTTGGAAGTTGCGCCGATTACCAGAATATCTCGCCCAGATGAAAATGAGCTCATTTTCTCTCTTGTGAGACATGTTGCTTTCATGGACGACGGCTCGTGGATGGCTACAATTGATTCACGCGACGATAATGTCACTACACCAGAGCTCTATCTCAAGTTTTGGGCCTGGGATCCTGATGCGCAATCGTATATTTTGAAGACTAGAGTAGACTACCCACACTCTGCAGATATTACATCCTTATCCTTCAGACATGGCTCTGATTCTGATGTATTGATGGCTATCACAGCGTCCGCGGACAAAACATTCAAAATCTGGCATTTGACGAATGATCTTGGGCGTCATCATGCAAGCAGTGAAGCATCCTGGGCTTGTCGATCAGTTGGCTTTTATCGAGATAATACACCAACCGTCACTTCCTTCTCACAAGATGGAAGTATGCTTGCTGTTGCCTTTGGTCAGGTTTTGACTATTTGGGATCCAATTGCAAATAACATCCAAGGTACCTTAGCCCTTCCCCCACAGCAATGTCATATTCAACGATTAGCATTCCTGGGCAGTACACCGTTCATCGCTGTTGTCACAAAGTCTCACTTGTATGTCTGGAACTTGCTCACTTGTACAGGTAAGAAAGGGTGTTTGTATGGAAATATCTATGTGCATTTACTAAATTCGCTTTTATTTCGAAAGTGTGGTGGAGTTACAATATGTCGATTGATCATCTCGCAGTAGATCAACAAACTGGTGTATTCGCTGTGGTCTGCAATGCTCAGGACAGCAAGGAGTCGCGATTCATTGTCTTTGAGCCTACTTCTCCCGTTCCAAAGTTCGTGCATACAGCTTCTGAAATATGCAAGGCGATTGCATGGATACCTGTGGAGAACCATGAAGTCAGCAATTCTTTATTGTCCTCCAACATCGTGTACTTAAACCAAAACTGCGATCTGCAAGTATTGCACGCATCTGGTGATGACTTGGAAGTGGAGCAAGAGCTTGAAGGCGCCAAATTGCTCAAGGGTAATACGGAACGATCGTTCTTTGCTGACATTTTCGGCAAGTCTAACAAGTCTGCGGAAGACCGTCGATGGGATCAACAACGGGTTGAAACAGCTGAAGCTCTGCGACAAGAAGCAGCAAGTGCTCCAAGAAGCCGTGCTACAGCAAGAACTAAGCAAGGATCGGAGTCTACCTTTTTGGATGCGCCAAGCCATGTTATACAAAGTGTGGATAGCATTTTTGAGCTCTTCATGGATTCTATTATGCCCAAGCGACCCGATGCTGAAGATCGAGATGCGGAAATGGACGAAACCGATGAGGTAGAAACTGCTTCCCACACGGAATCGGAGGCTGGAACAACTTTCGATATGATGGCAGCCGCTGTGCCGTTGTCCGTTCAAGAGGCCGATCAAGACATTGAACTTGTCCCCGTGTTCGACTCTTTGAATGAATTTTTCACCAAGACTGCAGGTTTGTCAACATAAGCTTCTTTACCAAACAATGCAGAGTATTGATTCGACTTCTTACATACGTACTTAAATTTTACAGAGTTGAACATTAATGGAAAGGTCAACGGCGCAGTTCAAGTTGAAGAGGAATCATCATCTGATGAGGATAGTGAAGAGGATACAGCAGACATAGAATGGTAAATCGTAAAGCATCTCCACACACCATGTACATTCACACTTAGATCCTGTAGTTATATGTCGGGTAGCATTCTTTCGCTGTCATATTGGCTAAAGTGCTGTCAGTCGAGTACAGACCAGACATTTGAATACATTTTTTTAACAACAATATTAACATGGTATTTGGGGAGAGATTGACGTTTTTTTTTTTCTTTAAAATTTAACTTATCGACTGATGCTTCGTTTGCAAGCTAGCAAAAACGACCCATCCAATCATATTGATAAAAGGTGGCGGTTACATCTGTGTTGTGTGCTATTTTATCGAAAACATGCTAACATGGGGCATATAGTGGGGCTTTGGTACATTATAGAAAAGTACAGCACAACACATCATTCATCCTCTTCCACAGACACAGCCTTTTTTCGCTGCCTGACACGAGATGCAATCGTATCTGGTTCTTCGCCAGAAGTTGGTGAACTGCTCTTCAAAGAGTGTTTTTCGAACTCTACTTGATCTGTGTCTTCTTGTTCCTCATTTTCATCGAGGGTATCGTCTCTGGATGCCATAACGCGACGCGAAGACGTTGATCGACCTCGATGATCGCTGTCAACTGATCTATCCCTTGCCTGTGAAGTGGGTCGATGTACCTCTGCTCCTCTACTCAGACTCCTTGCAACGTTTGGCGAAGAAGATCGGCTGTTGGCGGGTGAAACACCAGGTGGGAGGACAGGGCCGCCAGGATGGAGCTGTCGTGAGCGTCTAGAAGGATTGAATTGTCCACATTTGGGGCATATGTATTCTATTGACTATTAGTACTCTTGTAGCACGGCACAATGTGTCCAGAGAAAAATATACTTACGAATTGTTTCGATCTCTTGAGGAAGAACCAACCCGTTATGAGTAGAGCAGTGATTACAGATCAGCGCGTATTTCGTTTCTGGACCATCTTCACCCACTAGGGCATCCACTAATTTATCATACCACTGACGCTCTGTTGGTACTGAAGGGCGTAACTGCAATTGGGCTAGACACACAAAAGCATCAATATGTGCTTGTAGCTATGATACATCATCTGAAATAGTTACTTACGCATAGGTTGTCCAAGTTGAAGAGGTTGGGCTTTAGAAAGACTGTTTGGTTGCATATTTGGGTTCGCAGCTCGATTAGGGACGGGATAGTTAGGTGCCATTTGAGAGGAGCGACCTTGAGAAGCTTGTAGGCCTTGGGGAACTGAACAACAAAGATGATTATTACATGACATCACGGCATGCTTGACTTTCATTGAAATATACTAACATTGTGGATTTCTTTCGCGACCTTTGTTAGAGGAACCAGGGTGAGACGATGGTGGCGCTGGCTTGGCCTTTGGCGATGACGTCTGATCGTAACGCTCAAGGAGCGATTTGGTAGTGTAATAGGATGTCTTCTTCTTGAGCTCTTCAACTTTGAGTTTTTGCTTAGAGCGAAGGCTCGACAGATTCGACTCTGTAAAATATACAGCATTAATACCGATGCTAGCTGACGGATTATAGTGTACACCTGATTCTCCTTACCTTCGTTTGCCTGCTTTCGATTATAAAACCACTTCAATCCTCGTCTGCCGAGGTAAATGCTAGAAGGCGAGAGAACACATGAGCAAAAAAGTACCTAGGATCCAATTTCTTAGGATACCCCTCTCTTTTTCATATACTCACATTACCGGAATTAGGAGTACGGGGGCTACTTTGAGAGCAAAGGTCTCGAACTCGACGTCTGCGTTATGTAAGGTTGCAAAGCAATAAGCTAGGTATATAGCCCACAGCGCGAGTCCGTAAAGCATAAACATAACATTTATTCGACGTTCCCGTATCTTGATCTCAGAAAGCTTCACTTCAGCCTTTTGGACCTTGTCGTCAAGTTCTGATAAGATTTTCTCGTAGTCCCCATCGTCTGTTTTCTAATGAGTTGAATCGTGGGAGACAGTAGCCCAAGGCAACGAAGATAATGAATACTAGGAACAGTCAAACATATTTTGGTTTCTAAGAAATACCTTTTGTCTTGAAATCCAAGCACCCATTCTAAATTCTGAGGATCGATCAAGGAAGACTTGGGACGATGAGAGGAGGTCAGCCGAGTGCGTGACTCTCCGTAAGTTCTCAGCAAAATATTGCCCAAATGGCCCAAAATGGGAAATTTCTAGTTCATTGTCACGTCCATCACAATATTGGAAACAACTGAGGAGTGAAGTAGTTTGCAGCAATCAGCTAATGACAAAGGCAGAAGTGGTTCAAAAATCATTTATTTGGTTATATGGTCTCATCAGGCTACTGTTCACAATTTTCGAAAAGCTTAGCGATCTTTACAATATCGACGTTGCCTCCGCAGAGAATGACGCCTATATTTCGAATATTTTGCTCATCGCACATGGCTTTGAACTCTTTGTTATGGAGCGCAACAGAAACTCCCACTGCGGCACTTGGCTCTATACAGAGCTTGAGATATGTCCACACCAGCTTCGTTGTTCGAATGATATCTTCTTCTGATACCGTAAAAACGCCGTCAACTTTGTCCAAAATGATGGGAAGTGTGTTTGTGCCGACATTTGTAAGTAAGCCGTCAGCCACAGAAGTAGCGCCTACTGCATTCAATACGTGATCTTTTGCAACGAATGACAAAGAGCAATCATTGACATTCATAGGCTCAGCAGCGAATATCTTAACTTTAGGACTTAGGTTTCGGATTGCCGTTGCGATGCCGGAAAGCATGCCACCCCCACCTACTGGTACGATGATAGCATCTAAAGGTGTACCTTGGTCTTCAGCTTGTTTTAAGAGTTCCAACGCCATTGTGCCCTGTCCAGCCATTACATTGAAGTTATTGAAAGGATGAATGAATGTTGCACCAGTATCTGCTATCACTTTAGCAGCCTAATACGAAAATTATGTTGCAAATCAATACTCCAGCCGAAGTTTTTAATTCATAGTCGTAGCTAGTAACGTACCGTATCTTCCCTTGCTTGTAAAGTAGGCTCACATTCAATTACTTTTGCTCCATATCCACGCACGGCAGATTTCTTGACCTCGGGTGAGTTACTGGGCATAACCACATACGCTGGTATACCACGAAGTTTGGCTGCCAATGCTAAAGCTTGAGCATGGTTTCCAGAGCTATGTGTACAGACGCCTTTTTGAGCATCCTCATTGCTCAGCAGTGCAATCGCATTGCTGGCGCCTCGAAATTTAAAAGCTTGCAAAGGCAGGAATGAGCTTGCGCTGTCGCAATCATTTATTCACATTGTATACTGTGGATTACTCACAACCACTTTTCTGCAACAATTCACATTTGAACAAAAGTTGTCGAGTGAGACCTTGATATTCGGCAATCTCATTCAGGATGGTAGAAGTTAATACTGGTGTGGTATGAACGTGAATTCGAGCTGCCGCTGCTTGTATATCGTTAATATTCAACGTGGTCATTTAGAGGGGTGAAAAAGAGAGAAAAGGTTTATAAGGGAAGTTTTCAGAACTCTTTTTCTATGTCCGTAAGACCTATTGCATTTCGCAAGCAACAGCTTCGGTTTCGTCGTCATCGTCGTCATCCATTTCTTCTCCTCCATTCCTCTCTATCCAACGTCTTCGTGCAGTAAGCCTTGCAGATAAGACTGCCAGCATGCTTCGAGTCAGAAGTCCCTCTCCCTCATGCTCGACGCTATTTTGTTGATTTCTTGTCACAATTTGGTCCATCTGCCACATCCTTGATGAAGTCGTATAAGAAGTCTTAGCTGTAGGATCTGTGATAGGAGACGTCGAAATGCTGTTTGCATTTGGTTCAAATATCTTGACCGTATTATCGATTCCCGAGATAGCCACCACAGGATTGTAGGGATGACCCTGCATATGCAAATAGTTAATTCACCCGATACACTATAAAGCATTATCAACCTTTTTCTCTTACCTGAATTACGTTTACCGTTTCATCGTCGGCTTTGAGTATTTGTACAATGCGGGTTGTCTTCTTATCCCAGAAAAAAGCATTTCCTTCATCACTGCCAGACACTATATATTCGTCATTAGGCCCAAAAAAGTTGACATCCTTGACCGTCTAAATTTGACATTCAATGCAGTTAAGAGCCTGGGCGGCGTGTCATAGCATACTTGATCCTCAAAAAGCTCTTACATGTTTGTTACAGTGTCCAACGTATTTTGCTCTGCGACCAATAACGTCAACATCACTCTCTAGCTGACTACGATCCTTGTTCGTACTGCTTCGTATGCGTATCCATTCGTCATCAGAGTCATTGTCCACCTCGTCTTCCGAATCTGTTCCATGATCTGCGTCATTGTCATCGTCGCTGCTATCATCGCTGCTACTATCAGTCTCGATGGTATCATCGCTGTCGTTCTCTTCATCATTATGGCTGCTGTTGTGCGAAGTTTCAGACTGTTGATTCGTACTCTTGCTGTCGTCGGTCGTCTGATCGCCAGTCGCAAGTAAGAGTGCATCCTCAGCTTCTTCAAGTTCATCCACAGCATCGTACGGATCGCTTTCAATCATGGCATCTGATTTTTCTTCAGTTTCTTCTGTACTGTTGCTAACACGTAGCCGCTTTCCTAATTTACTCGAACCTACTGTATGGCTTCATCAGTATGTATAGTTTTTCAAACCCAAATACACGACGAGATTCAATAAAGAAAATACGCTCCAATTGCGGTATTGTTTATATATTTACCTGATTCGACGCTCTCATGATTGCTCGTATCTGAAGCGTGACCAGAGCGCTTCTTGATATACAATGACGTGCCTTCACCGGGACTTTGAGATCCATCACTTTCGTTATTGTCCAAGCATAAAATGTACATGTAGTTTACCCAGTTCGTGGAGACAACTTGGTCTAATTGCTCTGATAGCTGTATTGTGGGTTGACTTTCTGTATCGTCGTTCTCATCTTCGGGTTCAGATATGCCTTCTAGTACTTCTTCAGCTTTTTTCATGTCCGCTAAGAAAGAGTCCATCATATCGAAGGGACTGGAAAACTGAAAGTTGCCATCCAAGATTCCATATTGCTCTGATTGCACTACACTTTCGTTTTCTGCTTCTGCCATACTTTTGTCAGTAGCTGTATTTACATCCAATGAGTCTGAAGATTCGGCTTTTGCCGCTGTATAGAGCTCAAGAGCATGTGTTGCCAAATTACGAGCTTTTTGTATCCATTCTGACGTTTGATCCATGTCGTGCTTTCCATTACCACGTCCAACCAACCAGAAAGATACAGCTAGACACCATAGCCCTCGCCATGTTTTTGGTGCTATATGTTCCGCCAGCATCATGTCGCGTAGCGCTTCGGAGCTGTCAGTTTTTGCATTTTCACTTCCTGGTGTGTCAACTTGTGATGCCAGACCTCTTGACGCTGCCTCCATGCCGAAGCCCCAGACCTTGCGAATAAGAACCTCTTCTTTGTTTTTATCATCGTGGTAGAGTCTTGCGGTCCAGTTGGCTATTGAACTCATATGCTGATTTTCGATGAACGTACTGGTCTTTTGAATCGTTTCTTCAGCATTTCTGCTTTTGAAGCTGGCCACTATTTCCTTCATGTCACTGAGATTCTGCAAACGCATAGCCATACTTTCATGTGTCGAACGCTTTCTTTTTGAGCTCGATTTGAGTCTTTTAGATCTGCTACGTCGGACTGGCGAGTCGTTCATATTAAACAGATAAATTCCATCAGAGGACCAGCTTCCGATTAACTAAAAAAAAGTTCGACATGTTATTCACAAACCTTCATCGGAGATTGAGGATTTGATATTTTAACGTACCTCTTGACCGTTGGCATCGCTAAATTTACAGGCTGTGACATGCTTGGATCGCCTAGATCCAGTATCTCGGTCGTTGGCAAACTTTCTAATACATCGTGACATTTTTCCAAACGTCGGATTTCGCCCAGCACCTCCTCCTCCGGAACCTATCATTCTGCGATCATGAAGATAAATGTACGTATCCATGCCACCGACTGCGAAATACTCTGGCTTGAGCTTGTTTAGACTGATTGTGTTGAGATCAATATCATACGGGTAGTAATTGAGTAGCGGGCTGGGACATCCTTCCGGCGCATCTGATGGTAAGTTGGCGTTGGGATAGGACCGAGCTGGTCTATGTGACGCGAGAAGGAAAGACCGAACTGTATGATGACTGCATATATGCGGACGTCGTAAGTCAAAGTGTCGAACAGTACCTAAGTTGTACATATTGTTTAGTCCATAGATCTATATATACCAGCACAAAATCATCAATTCATAGCCATACCATCTTCACTGCAAGTCAGGAATTCAAATGGATTGCGATCGTCCACTGCGATCCTCTTCACTCTATCTCGGTGACATGTGTATACATGACGCAATCCGCTGCCACCTGACAAACGCCCATTTTCCAACGATCTGGCGGAGACGTCGAAAACTCGCACTTCTGAGTCTCCGGCTGCTGATACTATTACAGTGTCCGAGGTCTTAGGCATAAACTTTGCAGAGAAGATATTCGCCCTATGCCCTACGAAAAACAGATTCAGAAGAACAGAAAACTGTCTGTCAGCTTTACCAATGCTACGTACCAGTTTCAATGTTACAGGCTAGGCGATAATCATCAGTTTTCTTCCATATGCATAAGTGGGTATCGTCGGAGCCAGACAGAAGCTTGTCACCTTCTTTAGACCAGCTTGAAAGGACAATACATATAATGAGTGCGAATCGCAAGTGTGTGCATGAGCTAAGAGAGTACGATGATACTCACTATAGGGAGTTGACGCAACCTACGTGGCCATGTAATTCCTTTTGTAGGTCCAGCGTTGCAACCGTGGATTGATCAGCGTATAGACCTGGTACTAGAGATAAATTTACGGGCTGAGCAGTCGTTCAACTAGCAAAGTGTTTGAAGTTCAATGTGCTTACCGAATCTCTTAGTTTTGTGGTCTCCGTAGGAGAATATGTAGTTTCCTTCTTTTTCACGCTCAAGCAGAAACTTGTACATGAAGAGCAAATAGAGCAAGCATACTTGATTGGCCGCCTGACACAAGCCGAATTTTTCTTTTTGTTACAAGATTTTTATGTAAAATTTATATCCAGTGACGTTAGGTGAGTTAACTGGCCAGGCGTGAGACCATGTGCACGTTTTGACGGTATCGGCAGCGATCCTGTCAAAAACATAACACCTTCAAACTAAATAGTAGAAATTCAAACGTAGATTTGCCTCCAGCTGTCATATCCCCAGCTTTTCATTGTTTGCCTCTTGTGTACATGTTTATTGAGCGTTGGCACGGCCCGCCGTGGAACAGGCGCATGATCATCGTGGACAAAAAATTTGGGTTGGGTGGGGGTCGGTGTGATAATGAGAGAACCGTTAATCACAGGCCAATTTTAAGACATGTAAATACATGTATCATGTAACATTGTTCCACATCGACTCGTGATAATTAGATTGACGGGGGATTGTTCCCAGCCCTATTACATGGCCGGCTCTCAGCATGATAAAGGAAAGATATATGCGCCGGAGCTGCATATGAATGTCTTTGAACTGCTGTATCTGATCTGCGAAAGGCGCAGCATAAGCTTCGCGGGGAGAGAGGGAGCTGTCGTAAACAAACATATTGGTCACCTCCCCTTTTCGCCCGTTTTGTCAAAGTGGTGAGAGACCAAAAATAATAATGCTTACCTTTTCACTTTTTTTTTTACTGCTGTTCTCTTCTTTCCCCATCTCAACCTCTTTTTCAACGCCAAATATTATTTTGAATGGGAAATCAATACAGCGGTTACGATCATTGGCCACCAGAATATGACTATGAGTACTCATATGGATATCTTGTAAGCACAGTGTTATACACCTGCGTCTATACGTGGCTCCACCAACATTTGATTGAAGTACTAACTGAATCGCTTTAGCATCGGTCAAATGGGCTCGTCAGCCAACGTTTAACAAGTCTCGTTCAACGCAATGCTTATCCGTATTATGGCCAACAAATGGCTTCTCCATACTACAATTCATATCCTTACGGGTATCCATCAACAACACCGCAGCAGCAATATTATCAGCAGCCTTATCATTCAGGCTACTATCCTAGAGCACAGTATGCTCTTCCGTACCGCCATACATCAACCCCATTGTTTTAAGTTCGTTCTTTTAATGATACAATAATATGGAAAGAAAAATAAAAAAGAAAAAAATCATCAGGCGTCTTCGCTGTACATTCCCCTCGTCCACGCATTTGCCTTGAAATTAGTAAGAGAAAAAGCCTATGATACTAACCACACGCTTTCAGCCAAAAAGCCTATTAATTGAAATTTCAAAGATTTTGTTTTTATTTATTAACCGCAATCGCCATCCTTATCTACAGTCAATGCGCTTTCATTTAACGACCATCGCCAAAGACATCAACAGGCCAAACAGGTTTATAAGTGGATGGCACATTGTACCGGACACCCTTCGCTCCAAGCTTGTTAATAGCCTCAAGATCTTCTTTAGCGAGTTCGAAATCATGAAAGTTGGATTCGATTCGAGAGGGAGTAACACTTTTGGGAATGACACTTGTACCCCGTTGAGCAGCCCAAGAGATCAGCACTTGTGCAGGGGTTTTACCAAGTTTTTCAGCAATCTTCACGACAGTAGGATCATCAACTACACGAGTGGCACCAGCGAGATTATTTCCAAGGGGGCTATAGGCAGTCAAGTGAATGCCGTTCTTCTTGCTATATTCCAGCAAATCATCTTGAGGGAGATAAGGGTGTAACTCAACTTGGTTCACAGCGGGGATGACTTTAGCGGTCTTCTTGAGCTTTTCAAGTTCGCCAATCGTGAAATTTGATACACCGATAGCCTTGACTTTGCCAGTGTCAAGAAGCTTCTCCATAGCTGCCCACGTTTCTGCGATGGTGACTCCGTCATCCAATTCAACTTTACCATCAGCAGTAGTGGGGAAAAGTTCTTCGGTAGGTTTGAAGGCGACTGGCCAGTGGATCAGATATAGGTCTACAATCCGCGTCAGAAAGGCTACTCCAAATAATAAATTTAAAAACATGACACTGCTTACCCAAATAATTGACACCAAGGTTTTTGAGAGTAACATCCAAGGCTTTCTCCACGCGGTCGGGGCGATGGCTATTTACCATGAAGGAATCAGAATAAACCCTGTCTGTTGTATCGTCATTGACATTCATAACAAATACCTGTTATTCCACAACTTCGATGTAATAAAAATATGTTCTCGGGGTACTTTGACGTTTTTAAGAGCTTGCCCAACTTCGTGTTCATTACCGTCTGTTGTCCTTCCGTTAGTGATTTGTTGAAAGAACGAATTGACATACGTATGTAACTACAAACTACTCACAAACATGGGCGCAATCAATATGTCGATATCCATAATTGATAGCTAGTTCCAAATAATATCCTTGTTACTTATCTGGTCAAAACGTGGTCAGCATAATATATACTAGAGCTTACCATGTTCTGTAGCATTTTTGACTTCATTTTCCTTTGCAAGCCAAGTTCCTTACGATAAATGCATTATGTATCAGCGTAAAATTTGGTGAAAACCCTTTCCTTTCCATCTTGTTTCTTACCCAGTCCAACGAGAGGAATTTCAGTGCCGGTGTTGAGCTTAGCAGTGCGACCAAGAGCCATAGTGTCAGAGGTGTAAAAATATGAAATGAGAGAAATTGATGGAAAGCGCAGGATTTATATATTGCATGTTGAGACGTAAACTCCGCTACTTACTTTATCACTACGTCACAAAGTTGACAAGTGTGAGAAAGAAGATTGGTTGGTCATGGATGCGACAGACCTTGAAGTAAAAGCTACAGTGAGGAATTTTTTTCCGAAGTTTAATGGCTTAATTAGATCAAAAGCGTAAAGATACTGGTGTTGTTGAATTTCTGGTTCGTTAGTAGCATTGGTCGCATGCATTTTGTCTGTCGTTGTATCCGTGGAGATACTTCTTCTACTTCTGTCAGCTAATCCACACACTACGTGTCGTGATATCAGCGAAATCAAAAATCTAACGATTGCCAAAGTTCACAAGACTCTTTTTCAGAAAGCTTCTATAGCAAAAAATATATGTATCAGCTGCACAACATTTCTCGCTTAGATTAATGGTGTCAAATCAGCGTTCAGAAGATATATCGATCAATCTTAATCGATTAAAAAAAGAATGTATAGCAAACATCGATAAAGTTTTAGTAGCTATAAACACGCGTGGTCAAGGGGGGGTTTTTTTTAAAGAACTTCTCATGCAATTGACAAAATATATTTAAAGCGACTTGTAACTTCTTTTTTTGCCTATGAAGAAGACAGAATTGTACGACTTAACGATACTACCGAGAACTATGAGTACTGTCGTCGCCTAAAATACAAAATGACAGTTCAACCGAACGCCGGTTCAAGGGGACTTCTTTACCAGCGAAGTCACATTGAATATCCTCTTAAATTAGATTTCTTTTACATTTTTATATAATAAGTCACGAATCAACAAGTATAAATAGAGCAGTTGATTAATAGAATAAAAAGCAGTTTTTAACCTCACGAGAAGTTCACTCGTCTGCAGGATAATACAATAAGTCATACAGTAATCTAAACGACAGTACCCATCCCCTTCTTCCTTTCTTCGGAACACATTTTTGTCAAATTATGCATTTAAAAAATGCAAAAAAATCTCTCAGTCGGGGAATTGAACCCCGGTCTCCCGCGTGACAGGCGGGGATACTCACCACTATACTAACTGAGAACTTGTTATAAAGAAGACCACTTAAAGCAATATACTCTAATACTATTTGAAAGTAGACCTCTCACGACACTCAATTATCCATCAACTTCCGCCATAACTACCTCCATAAGACACCTTTTTATACGCGCCCATCTCAGCGCATTATTAAGGTTTGTTTTTATACATTTTATTATCATAAAGTTATCGTCCAGAACAATGGCTGAAATCTGTAGTGACTGACTCAGTCTACCTGGTTCATTCCGGTCGTAGCCTATTAGTTGTCCCACAATTCTTTTCTTTTATTTCTGTTTTTTTAATGCCACTGATTCGTTTTTATAGTGCAAGGTACCAGTGACATTTTTTGCAGCTCCTTGTCCATGTTCGTTACCGTGATCTCCACGTTGGTAACCCAACAGGCATCATGGTAACGCATAACGCACCTTATAGAATGATATGTGCCTCTGAAAAATTCTATAAACTTGGATGTGGTAGATTATAATGATCGTGTATGCTATGACTATCAAAAGCCACATCACATCGCCAGCTATCGTCTCACACAAAGTTCAGACAACAAAGCAAGGAATTCAAGAACTTACCGACGCATCAACAGCTGCCAAACATCTTATTATATTAAACGAAGAAGAAATAACAAAGATAACTATTTACACTGTTTTTTACATGACTTGGAAGAACGTGCAACTGAAAAAATCATCGTAGACCTAGGAGAAATTGTCACCGTTAAAATTGACCATGTCAAGGAGCTACTGAATGCTTTGTCGGCACCAAAGTCGGGATACCAAAAATAACTCCCCTTACGAAATCAAATGAAGTCGAAGAAACATCTTGGGTCAGATAATCTCCTTTGACGACTTGGAATCCACAGAAACATCGGATTGAGATCAGGAGATTCGCAACTGGAGGAGGGGAGTTAAAGGCGGCAGCTCGGCTGAAGAAAAGCCACACTCCAAATATAATCAGCCACCAAAGGTGGAAACCCCCAGGAGCGCAGCGTTTTCTCATCAACACGAATGTTCAAATTTGAAAAGCCAAAGATTTTACGGAGCCACACAATATCAGCTATATCTCCTGAACTGGTGACTTATGGCTATTATGAATTTCACAAACACATCATCGACAATTGCCAAACTCGATATACCGCCACCTTCAATGAATATTTACCGAGCTCTTTTGTATCGAGTTTTTCGCCCTCTGAGGAGGTGATCTATAATCTTCCAGGTTATACGAGCTGCATAAAGCTGAGGCAGGAGGTCGAGTTTTACGACAAATACTATTGCGTTGCCGCCGCTGCACTGACATGTGTAACACAGTACGTCTATGGCGTTGACTGCATCTTAACTGATGATCCTACCAGAGGTGGTTTTGAACTGCTGTACAGGCCTGTGGACATCGAAAATATATCTAGGTGGTTTCATCCTTATACGCTGAGCGATACAACTAAAAGTTATAGCATAACTTTTACCCGTGTACTTTTAAGTGCGTGGCATTTGAGTCAGCACATTTCTGATCTCAACTTACTCACAGACCTTGTTTTATTGATAACTGCAAGTGAGCTAGCCCCATCTGGGACTATACTGACTGAATTGGACACTCAACTCGACGTTATTGAGGTAGCAAAAAGGTGCGTCCCTGTCAAGGTTTTACGGACTGTTGAAAGTATAATGAGGCAAAGTCACGAAGTTATTGCTTGGCCGCTGGACTTGCGTCAAATGGACATGCATTTCGAGCCAGGAGGTATTCTAAATGCGGTTTCGAACTCAATACCCTTGAGTCGTAGCATAGTTATGGCTGCTAGGCGATCCTCTAGGGGAACATATATCAGCAGGGTGCTACCTGTTGTAGAGTGTAGCTACAATTCGTCAAATGAGTTCTTGCGCAGTTTCAGCTACTACAAAAGACTCTTCGCGAAGGTTGCTGAGCCTGGTTTACGACATTTCTTGTCTGAAAAGGGATACAAAGTACGAATTCCTCACGTTGTTTATCCCTTCTTAGCATTCCTAGCGTTGTTCGCTATAATCGTACTAGAAGAGGGTCTTAGGAAAGCGCCATGGATTACAGTTGATGGAGTCGATCCAACTTCTTTAACATCCCTCGTGTTGGTTATTGAAGGCCTTCTGCTCGCGCTATTAGTTTCAACAACTGCACGAAATTGGAGCTGGTATGATATGATCAGAGGCGTGATATACTATGAATCCTATCAAGAAATACCAAGCATAATCCGGCCTTCGATAAACTTGAACATGTTTATGGTACATCTGTTATGGTATAATTCAGAATATGCCAAATGCCTAGACAGTTATGATTCTTGCTCACTGATGGTGGAGCGAGAAGGGTCAGCTACAATACCCAGAGCTGTTACAATGGAAGAGTTTGTCGCCTCTGGACATGTCGTATTTCGGCATCAGGACATCTTCTTGGCGGTGAAGCTAAATTACGAACAAAATGTTACTACGGGAATTTCCATGATGGGGTTTGACAGAGGATCCTTTAAAATACACATGGAACCGTGTGGTGTAAACGTAGCAACTGGCTACGTCGTTGAATGGAAGGAGCGGCAATTGTACAGCATAGGAGCATCCCTCCCAAGCCACATGGGTTTTCCTAACACGACATTACCAACATCCTTTATCGAAAGGCTATGTCCAGGAAATACTTTGATGGGAAGTCCTGTCATGATTAACCCACAACAAACTGAGAACGAGGCGCTTCCAGTCGCCGGTAACAAGATTGACTGCGTGCACCAGATTGTCAAAATTCAAGACGATAAAATCTGTACGAAGGACAAATGGGAAACCACAGCTTGCTGATCAACAACAAGAGTGTGTAAAAACCCAGAGACATATAGCGACATCCGTACAGAGCATAGGTCTTCGGTGTCGGCAAAGCCATGAGTGGAGATTTGCCAGGTACAATCACTGGCCTATTAACAGAGTGAAACCATATGATTTAATTCAAATCAAGATAGCCAATTTTCTACAATAAGATAATATTTATATTTAAGACATTTTATACCTTTGAACCTCTAAAAGAAAATCTTAGCATTCGTTGTGAAGGTACTTATATATTACTAATTCATACGCTGAAGCAAACGGTCCTGGCACAAATTGTAAAGATGCAGCTAAATATTTTGAAGATGTGCTTTTTATCAAGAATTACTTAGGTTTGGTACAAGTCTTATGGCATTTGATACTACTTTTGACATGACTAGAAGGGAATTGGGAAGAATGCCGTCATTAGTCTGTCTAACGAAATCTGGACCATCCTAAAATCGTCAAAATGAGTAGTGTTTACTTAAACACGCCATTACCAAACGTGGTATAACCGTCGAAAGGTGAACAATAGCTTAGATGCCAAATGCTGTATACATGATTAATCAGGCTTTTTCAGTGCATCTGAGATCACCAAGGAGAATGATAGAGGTTAAACCTCATTTTTGCTTTTTATGGGATGTGATTCCCCACGGTTTTTGCACTGGGACTGTAGGACTGTACCTACCACTGTAGCTGCAGCTTTTCCCCCTCTTAAAAAATAGCACACTTGCATTCGGCTTAGTATAGTTGATTTCAGAATTGTCTAATCATTTTCGCTGAAACTATGAGTTCAGGAATCTTCTGTCTGGGAGTTGTCTATAGTACATAGCTGTGCTTGCGAGATTCACAGTTTCCACGCTAATCAGTTGACTTACAGTTAAGCGATCGATTGAGGCAGATCTTTATTCGTTTGACGAATTTTATTGCCCATGCTAAGAATTCCCTTTTTGTGAACTTCTGCAAGAATATTTGAGTTAAAGTACTCAACAATTATTAGGCAGCAATCAATTTTCCCTTAGATATACGAAGTTTGAACTACATGATTACATTGCTATGTCGCTTTGGTTTTGATTTATGGCCTGCACTAGTTCTACCGCGGAATACATATGTCAATAATGCTATTCCCAGTATCGACAATTTTTTTCAGACTTCTTTAACTCTGACTTATTTAACATTTTAATAAAATATAATCCATAAAAAAACGAACAACCATCTTTATCTATCTATATTAGGCACCTCGGTAGTTACCATGTACCTTATTTTTTCGAAGTCTTCAACATGTAATAATTCAGACTTACTTGACATACAGTGACATATTCAACCACCATACATTTCGATAATTTCAATTAATCCTGTTATCTGTTATCATCATGTCTATATCTAAGAAGGCATATCAATATGGCATTTCTACAAATTTTCCTTCAGTCACAGATATACCCTTTCTTTTGTACTGGGTGTCTATAATTGCGTTATTTACACCCATCCAGAATTACGTGAAAATGATAGCAGAATTAAGTTCTAGAGGCATAACATGACAATTTCCGTTGAAATGTGCATTTGAATTCATTGATTAAACCCTCTTCCGTCTTTCCTTCTTTAACTTCTGACTTACCATGTCAGGAGTAACTTTTCGTAAAAGAAGGTGCAAATTTTCAACACGGAGTTATTGCCCTGAATCATGATGTATCTCAATAATTTTCAACAACAGTTTATTACCTTGACTACTCTCATTCCACCGATTGCAAGTTTGTCAAGCACGTTGGACTATCTGAAGGAGTCATTGCCATAATGTTTGATAATATAAGTAAAACAAAAATAAAAAAAAAATTAACTGTATGTAGAGATTTAATTCTGCTGGACAATAGTTTTAGAGGAAGTTTGAACTGTTTCATATTCTGTATGACGATGTCAGCCTTTTCCAACATGTTTGATGCAAATAGTGAGAAAATTAGTGGAAAACTAGCATTTGGAACTGAGCATACAAAAAATAAAGATACCAAAAAATTATAGCAACAATTTCAAATGTCAGATCTATTCATTCAAGTGCAATATGAGCAATTGAAAGTATTGTAGACTTTTTGTCAAAGTAATTACCTTGGCTTTATATTAGCACTGGTCAAAACTTTTTCATACAAGTTCTCAGTTAGTATAGTGGTGAGTATCCCCGCCTGTCACGCGGGAGACCGGGGTTCAATTCCCCGACTGAGAGATTTTTTGCATGTTTACAATTTGCCTTGTTTTTAAAGGTCACGTGAGTGATACGTGACTCATCTCGCTGTCATTTTAGCTCTTAAAAGATCAAATCTGTAAACTTTTTCTTTTTATTAACTTTTAACGAAAGTCTACATGTCTTCTGACGCACCAAAGAAGCTATGGGGTGGTCGATTCACCGGGGCAGTTGACCCTCTCATGGATGCTTTCAACGCTTCCATTCATTTTGACAGACGAATGTATGCTGCTGATATCATCGGCTCCATCGTCTACAGCAAAGCTCTCGCAAAGAATGGTATTATTTCAGAACAAGAACGCGATCTCCTTATCGAAGGTTTGGAAAAGGTTCAGGATGAATGGGAGAAGAATACTTTTCAACTTAAGCCTGGTGATGAGGACATCCATACCGCTAACGAACGCCGTCTCGGTGAGCTAGTCGGTTCCGTTGCTGGCAAGCTTCACACTGGCAGAAGCCGAAACGATCAAGTTGCCACTGATATGAGAATTTGGATTCGCGAAGAAGCTACCAAGGTTCTTGCGCATGTTAAGGAACTCATTTCTGTTGCGGTGTCCCGCGCTGAGCGAGAAACCGATGTCATCATGCCTGGATATACCCACTTGCAAGTAAGTCAAAATGTTTTTCAAAGGGTATCTCGGCAGACCGTTAGCGTTTCTGACCATATATATAGCGTGCTCAACCTATCCGCTGGTCACATCTATTGCTGTCTTATGCTTGGTTATGGAAGGCCGATGCTGAACGCCTCAGTCAATATATTGAGCGTATCAACTACCTCCCTCTGGGATCTGGTGCTTTGGCTGGACACGTATTCAACATCGATCGTGATTTCATGGCACAAGAGCTTGGTTTCGCCGGTATCATTCAAAACTCTCTAAATGCTGTCAGCGATCGTGATTTTGTTGCAGAATTCCTTTTCTGGGCTTCCCTCACAATGGTCCACATCTCCCGCTTCGCCGAAGATCTGATCATTTACTCCAGCGGTGAATTTGGATTTGTACAACTTGCTGATGCTTACAGCACTGGCTCCAGTTTGATGCCTCAGAAGAAGAATCCAGATTCGTTAGAGCTTCTTCGTGGAAAGTCTGGCAGAGTATTCGGAGACGTGAGTATAACGGTATTGGTAATATCAGTATCATCTTGGCGTTTAAATTAATTCAATCGCGTTGCAGATGTCTGGTTTCATGATGTCCTACAAGGGTATTCCAAGTACCTACAACAAGGACCTTCAAGAAGATAAAGAACCGCTTTTTGATGCTGTTGATACCTTGTCAGGTTCATTGCAAATTACTTCTGGCGTTCTAAGCACTTTGTCGGTAAGATAACATTGTCCTTGGTTTAAGCCAACTTTCAAACCAGATGACATTTTCTAAACATGTCCTCTTCTAACAATTACCAGATCAATGCTGAGAAGATGAAGGCAAGCTTGAGTACAGATATGCTTGCAACTGACTTAGCAGAGTATTTGGTGCGCAAGGGTGTTCCTTTCCGTGAAACCCATCACATTGCCGGTGCTGCTGTCAAACTCGCTGAGGACCGCAAATGCAATATGAGTGACCTCTCAGTTCAAGATCTTCAAGGTCTTCATAACGCTTTTGCTGAAGATGTTAGTAAGGTCTGGAACTTTGAAACCAGCATCGAAAACCGCAACACTCCTGGCGGTACCAGCAAGAAGACGGTCTTGTCTCAAATTGATTTGCTCAAGAGCTGGCTCCATGCCAGTCAACAAAACCTTCACTAGATGTAGATTAGAAAGAAAAAAATTTGAATAAAAATAATTTGCCCGATTTACGGTAGCAACATCTATGTGGACTGGTGTTGACACGATCAAATTCAGTGCGGAACAACTGGTGCGCTTCACATTCGGTCTAGCAAGGAAGCTAAAATGTTAAGGTCAAGAGAGATCGCATGTTAAGATATTTCAGCATATTATACCTGAGCATAGTGAATCCAGACTACAATCGCATTTACACTTATGAATCATACAACGTACATGGTTTAGAGATCATAAAAAAGAGGAAATAATGATAGTATTTCGCGGTAGTATCACGATCACAACCGTCAAAAGCTGCAAAAAGCAAAAAAAAAAAATCCCGATGGCAAATTTGCCATCTTTGGAAGCACCTGGCGTTAAAACTGATACAAATTTATTCAACTGTGCCAACTCAACCAAAGCCTTTTCCGTTCAAAGATCCACGGTGGCCACATAGAAACTTATGAAAACCACATCTTTGACGTTATTATCGCCTCTGAACAATGTACACCCCAAAGGTTAGAAGCTCTACGTAGTCGGATAATCGTACGATATTTGCGCTGTTACTAACAGGCAGTTTTTAGTCATGGTGACTGACGCATTTGCTTCGAAATATTCACCCACAACCGTAGCAGAAAGGGGTATATGGAAGCAAGAGTTGGAAACAAGCCTTCGACGTTGTTCCTCCAGCTCTATACATACCCCAGTAACCCCGAAGCCATCACAAATACATGTTGCGGCAAACAAATCCGACGTCAAGTTCACTGGCCCTGCTGGAGATTTATCCTACGGTATTCCATATACTTCGGAGACGATTACTACCAGCACTGAGCGAGAGCTGCAGCGCTCGCTGAAGGAAATCAAAGACTACACAACTTCATTGGAAAATAAGCTGGAACAACAAACAAGTGCACAGCAAACGCTAAAGCAGGAGCTATTCCAGCTGAACATGAAGTACACAAGTGAGCTTGCGAGGGCGGATAGTATTGGTCATGAAAAAAGTAAAATAGAGCTGGAACTGGAAGACTTGACAGCAACTTTATTCGAACAAGCCAACGAGATGGTTGCACATGAAAAGAGGATATCCCAAGCACTTGAGGCGGATAATTGGCGACTTTGCAAGGATCTATCTGCTGCTCTGGGTAGACTAGCGGAAGAAACTATGCAACTCACCGAGTTGAAAGACAAGTTTTCAAAGCAAGACACGGACTGGAGGCACCTTCGATCGCCATATCCAACTAGCCCAACCATGTCATGTAGAGCTGAAATTGAGCAAAAAAGTAATGTTAATGAAACAGGTCGATCAAGGTAAAATTTTGCTATGATGTGTCACAGGGATGTTGGTAGAAAACTAATGCCGAAGTGCCTAGGATAAAGATTCCTTTGCCATCCTACCTGCCGGACATCAACGTAAATAGCAAGCCATACCAAGACTTCGTTCATTTTTTGACTCACTGCAAAATCACACCGACCAAACTTCAATACTCAATTCCATATATCAAGCGCAGCCAGACTGAAGACGTCGAGCCGTGCCTATGGTTTGGAGAGCATGCACCGGTGACGTGTAAGAAGATTCTTCAAGCGATCATGAGGCAATCTTGTTTTATAGAAGAGTGTAAAAGTAGCGTTGAGATAGAGAGGCCAATGGCATCTACTTGGCTCTCCTTGCGAAAAGAAGACGAGACTGACGGATGTCAACTATGCCTTAGCAAGACCATGGTGACGTTCCGCTTCCGATTGAGCGAGAAGTGCGACTGGATATACGTTGACAGCGGATGTCGCCAGAAACTGGTGGCTGTCTGTGATTACTATGCATTCATTCGAAACATACTGGGTGGTCTGTACACAAGCCAGATACCCCAAAGCCTATACCACGAGAATTTGATGTTGAAAGCGAAGATGTTTCAGGCACGTGTTGGTTTGAACGTACATCATAGTACAGAAACATTCATCATCCATACCAAAAACTAATACCAGAAGCACTGTGGAAGCAGACGAGACCAAGTGATGTATATGCATCTTTGATAATTTCATCATACATTTGGTTATTACTTGAAATAATCGCTATCGATCGCCCAAGTGTTTGTCGGGCAAAATAATTTGCCTGAAAAATAAATGAAAAATACCCCTACCATAATTCGCCATCCTCGATGTTATTTGATGGATATTTGTCTGTTTGAAACAGCCGAGACAATAGGGCTCGTTATCAAATACATCTGCTTTTGCTTTTCCACAATATTCTAAATTTGGTGGTATCGCATTTGAATGACGTTATAACCGTCATTCCCTTGTTTAACTTTTACCTGTCATCCTGCTAGTCATGCTGGTTATTCAAGCCATATACGTCGCATCAGGCGCCAGCAGTTGAAGAAGTCGTGCGAATATGCACTCACATACATATGTTACTTGAAGAATGACACTCCCCTTTAGTAGGTATATAAGTAAAGGAGTATTTCTACCAATTTTACGACAGCCACCGGAAGGTTTTCTGAACAATCGATCAATCGCAGGACCGAAAAAAGAAAAAATTAAAAGTGTTACAATCTACCCTTGACCACAGTATATAACAGACGTCGGAAACTGCTCTCTTACATACAATATTCACTATGCGTTTCTTATGTATCATCGCACTTATGGCACCCAGTATACAAGCTGCATTGATTTTTACACTCGGCAGTCGAAAATCCCCAGCGCTGAGCGTTGACGGGAACTGTGACCAAGTTCCAAGTTACTTCCAATTTTCACAGCTGGTCGCCAACAATGGAAACGTCGATTGCACTATATACGAAAACAATGACTGCACAGGACGGTCAACCATAGTACCAGCAAACATGGAGATCGTAAACATTCAAAGGGCAGAGTCTTCAAAGTGTTAATGACTTTTCCTAAACCTGTAAACTTTGCTGTTCTAGCCTTACCATTGGCTTTTTTTCTTTTCTCTTAACAATGTAAATTGAATTTGCATTGGCATTTGCCCTCATCCTAATATTTGTAAAAAATGTCTAACAAGCTCGGAATAAAAAGCCATCATTTGAAATTCTGATATGGCCTGGGATAAACCCATTGATCAGCCAAGATGGAAAAAATTAGAGGAGAGATGAGAATGAATGCTGGCTAGTTTATTATAATGCGGCTATGAAACGGTATATCATTGATGCCTCTTGCGTTTACGTAACAATACTATTGCGTAATCGCATAGCTTTACCTAACGACACCATACGCTTGATGAACTTGCCAGTGGCATTAGCGTTAGACTCCTTTTGTTGATTTGCTGTACCGCCATAGTTACCAATCCCTTTGCCGATGGTAACAAATCCAGGGTCCTCAACTGGAATACCATCTGTCAGGTCCAGACCGGCTGGAGTTAGCGACCGACGATGTGCCAAAATACTGTTACGATGATTGGAATGATCCTGGTCATTGCTTCCAAAAAGTCCTGTAGTTCCGTTTGATGCTGCTTGTCCCTCTTTTCTAATCTTATCCTTATTGCGTTTGATACCACCAACAGGAAGAACATTTGACTTGCTTTGGTCATGTGAAAGAGTATCCATACGGGTAACTCCATCAAATGAGTAACCAGCCGGCGCTGTCGTTGCTCGCTTGGCAGTTGGCTCCATGACTGCAGACCGTCGCTTCTTGGTATGTTTGTGACGCAAAGAAGAGGAACGCGTTGGAGTTTGCCCACTCCTACCTGAGTTCTCAAGGTTATTTGAGGTGGTGGGAGACGGTCCCGGAGGACTTGACGGTGAAGCTGGAAGCGGTTTAGCTATAATGTTCTCAGATTGAATAGTCGTCACTGAACCCTGTGATGAAGAATGCGACTTCAGATCGGTATCACTACCCAAGTCAGGTAAGGAAACCCACGACGATGACACAGAAGACTTCGTCTGCCCAGTAGTAGAATAAGGAGAGCTAGCTTTTTTTAAGGTCATCAAATCTGCCAAATGTCGGAAAGAGCTTTTCTTCTTTAATTTTTTGTTTTGTGAAGCAAATAAGTCGTCACTGGAAGAAGCTCGCTGTCCTGCATGATTTGAACCATCTGATAGAGGGTGTGCTGTGTTTCTCTTCGTATTTTCCACATTCGCAAAAGTAGGCGGTTGCTCAATGACTTGCGACACAGCTCGAGGCGAAGAAGCCACTGATAGAGAGGAAGAACGTTTTGGTACAGTGCTATCGATGGGTTTTCGGGTTGTCCAGCCTGAATGTGCACTGGAAGCCAAACTGGAAGATCTTCGCGCTGTACGCCGATCCGCTGGAGGGGGTATACTTGGGGGTGGTGGGAAAGACACTAGCGGGTTTGAGGTTCTCACATCCAAATCGTCAACAGTGATGGTTTCCAGCTCGCTCACAAGGGACATAATGGAATGGTGTTCGCTAGCAAATCCCTTTGCAGTGTTCTGTGATGACTTGAATGGCAATTCTGGTAGTTTTGGCGCAGTGTTGATGTGGATATCTACTTTAAACTCCATATCAAACAATGACATGAGCTCGGACGCAAGATGTTGTGATGGCGTGCTTGACGACACAAGTTCACTACCCCAGCTTAGGCGATTTCGATATGGATTTGTTGCTAATTTTCTAGGTTTATCATCTGCTGGAGGCGGTATAGGTGCAACGGACACATTGGCCTGCGAGGTGTTTGGTGGCGGTAATCTGCTATCCTGAGACAGTCCGTTCTGCATTGAAGACATGGGCTCTTCAGGAGGTGATTTTAAAGTCTCATTGGGCTGTGAAAATAATGAGTTTCGCTTGTTCGTAGATTCCACACTTGTATCGTCCCAGTCAACATCGTCCGTCCAAAACTCTTCCTCCACAGGTGAAACCGGGGATACTTGCTGAGATGATTCGATGGCCTGTATATATTGAGCAAATATTTCTTCCAACCCTTTCTGTGACATATCGGCCAAGGATCTGGAGTAGGGATGTTTAATTTAAAGATCAAGAGAAACATTTTACCATTGCATCTGGAAACTTGCTCCCACAGAGAAAAGGCAACTTACTCTGGTGAAAAGAATTCCCATCTCGTCATTTGGTCCAACCACTCTGGAGGGGTTACTTCATAAAGTTGCTCCAGCATATTCTTTATCAAAGCAGTCTTGAGTAATGAGTGTGAATCAGGGGTAGTGAACGTCAATTGGGCCAACTTGTAATTCGAGATGGCTGCAAGTTGGATCGGATTGTATATAGCTACCATCTGTAGTTTGGAAGAGGAGGTGAGCCGTGTACATAGCTTTGGCGGAGAAGGAACTTCAGTATGGGCATTATCGACTTCAACATCCATACTCTTTGTTCACAATCGCCTACACAACGTAGTTAAAGTATAACACGCTTTTTTTTTTCCTTTCCCCTGAAATTTCAAAGACTCTCCAACGCCTGCTTCCATATTTACACTCGTGTCACCACAAATCAAAGCCCAGACTGAATGAGATCGACCGCCAATTCCCATGCAGTAAAGGTGGCCAACGCGTTTAATATTTGTGCTTGTTATACAACCGATCCAAACAATGTGTTATCCATTTTTCTACACTTGACACTAAATGATGTAGTAACCTCCTTAAACCGTTTAGCTGACCGTGTACCAAGTATTCCTTTCATGAACACTTCTTTGTCCTGAAGTGTTACGTGCGGAGAAGGAAAGCCATCCTACAACGTATCAGGAACCCGTTTAGTAAACCGTACAAGTTTTCTTTTGTTTTTGGTAGCAAAAGTCAGTAGAAATGTTACCTGATGTAAAAGACTGGCTAGCCAATGTCGACTGACTTCGATATAACGACCCGTCAGTTTGTATAACACATCTATCAGGTAGCTCATCAGCGACCTCGGAACCCGTCCACCGATCCCCTTTGAAATGACTAGTGTTAATAAGTAGCAATATTTCTAAGGACGCGTAATCACAATCACAAACCAAGAGGAGGTTTTGCGTTAGAGCATATCCAATGTTGAGGGTAAGATCGTCTACGAATTGCCTTAATTCTGTGCCTTCTGCAGCATCTATTGCAACCGTTTCAGCCTGTAAGTTAGAAATTGGGCGGAATATTAATCATCTATGTCGAAGACCCATCGTACAGTAACATACTACTAACCGTAAAAGACATCACAGCTTTCAGAGCAAGCCTTTCTTGAAGTGTCATGCCCGCGATTGCCACGGAGAATATGCTATTTAATATATCAGGAGGAAGTTGGAATAGAATAAGGGGACATCTTCGAATGACCTAGTAAGCAGTGTCAGACTTCCTGTAATAACCATTGTTCCATCATCCTTTGACTTACTCTAGATAAAAGGCTGAAATAGGAATATGTAACGTCTGGATATTCCTCCATAGCTATGAGTGCCATTCAATTAGCAAGGATGTACAAAATAGATACTTGATCCTTTTACTTCAAGTTTATTCTGTTGTTTCTTACCATGTATGTTGTTTATGCCACTCAAAGTTTTTGCTGTCAAAACTGCTAAAAGTTGCCTGAGATTATCACGGTGAGCATCGTATCCTCCATAGACAGTAAACACTAATGAGGCCGTATCTAGCCATGGTGTGAGTGGTTGACTTTCATAGCTGTGTTGGATGATGAATAATAGAGTTGAAAGTGGTAAGCAGGCTAAAGGGCTCATGGAGCGCAAACCAGCATCTAGGAATTGACATAAAACCTACAAAAGGCTTAGAACTCGTACCACATACACAGATCCAAAAAAGACATCATTAACGATACTCACTTGTGTGGTTTCTTGATCTTTACTATACAAATACACAAGTTGGGTAATTGTGTCATTGATGGTTTGAGATAATTCTGAAGCGCCAGGGACAGTCTCGTATAGAGTGTTAATTGAACCACTGGCAAACATATCGTAGGCAGCGTTTCTAGCAATAAGTGATTGATAGTCATCGTTTGGGGATTGAAGTCCTCGGCAGCAGGCAGCCAAATATTGAAGCTGAGCTTGAACGTTTTTTGCAGCAGTAATTGGATCGCTTTCTACAACAGAGAGCGTATGCTGAATGTTGCGTACGATATCCCCAATAAGTGCCTAATGAAATGTAATCAGTAACGAACCCAATATGCTAGTAGGCGTAAATGCGGTCGTTTCTGTACCATTAATGGGGCTATCATTTTCTCAGGTGGAAATACTTGGATGACCGCCGATATTGATTCAACAACCTTTTGCTTGACGGTAGGCTAAGGTAGGTTTGTATGTGAATACCCCACAGTGTAACAGGTTAAGCTAAGAAAGGGTAGCGGATGCCTTTAAACATCTGTGACATACCTCTACTCCAATTTGTGCAACTTCTTGGTATAAGGCAATGAGACTATCGATACCATCAACTAGAGCAGCACGACATGTATCGCAAACATTCTTTAGCGAAGAAGCAGCAGCTTGAGCCAGCTTTGCGTTGCTTAAAGCTGGTATGATATAATTCAAGACATTCAGAAGGTACTGTGGATGATTCTTGAGCCATTCCGAAAATGAACCTGAATGGTGTCAGTAAACCACCACTGACATTATATTAAATTGTAGCATACTGCACTTACCAACACAGTTAAGAGCCATATTCTGAAGTCGAGGGCTGGCATTTCTGGGTATTTGCCCAAATATGTTGAATTCAAAGAGTTGAGCAATTTCGCTGCTACTTTCGGGTGGAATCTCATCGCTTATGCTGTACAGTGCGAAGAACGAAGCTTCAAGTCGCTATAAAAGGTGTATGGTTATATAAAGAACAAGTCTCTTGCCAGGTGTATAATCAAAGGTATCATACTTGTTCATGGTATTCCATTGTTTCTTGCCTCAAGAGTTCCATTTTGATATCCTGGAGCAACAACAGAATCATATCATTGTGCAATACATAATACGGACTATTGAGAGTATCCGCTATGTCCCTCCTATAAATGCGAAATTTGTCCCTGACATCTGCCCACTTGTTGTAAGAAACTGTGTATGTGCACTGAGATCCATGTCAAATAGCCTTACCTTTGGACCAATGCGTGAATTCCGCTTCAGAAGGAAGCATGGCTTTATCTCTCAAAGCCAAGACAAGCTGCTGGTAAACTACATAAGTGTTTTCAACGCCCTTGTCCAACCATATCACTTCATTTGTTAGCCCATTTCGCTGCTTGTGTTTTTCAGCAGTAACAGGAAGCCAATCTTTATCCGCTAACGTCTCTTGTAGAACGTACCAGAAGTTCAAGGGAATTTCGCTAATCTCTTGATCTTCGCCAAAATAGCCTGGATATGTTGTTAAGCTCATCATTAATTCCAACAGATGCAGTACGCCTGGCTGATCCATGTGGTCTGAAATCGTTTCAGTGAATGTTTCGCCATAAGTAACAGCTATTCGGCCCAAAAGTCTGGTAGTGTGGTCGTCTTCATCTATGATTAAGCAAGAAGAGACCTCATAAGTAAGGATCGACGACTCACAATCGTCTTTAGGAATGACTAGGCTGAATACCGTCTACTCACCTCGAATGCTGTCTGATAGCCTGGTCATGAACCACGGGCTCCCGATATAGTCCTGTAGATGCTGCCGTATGGACGCCCACGTGGTCACTTTTGGCAACAGCATAATTTCAACGAGTACATCCACAACCTCTTCCAAATAAATGTCATTCGTCAACAAATGGACAGATTTTTGAAGCAAGCTATGTGCGTCCCTATTTTTTGATGTGAACATTCGTATTAAACTTTACATGATGTCACTGCCTACTTACTCTGGAGATATGCCATATTGAACCCAGCTCTGGAAGCATTTTAAAGCTTTTTTCTTGAGATTAATATTATATTCTTCCGGCTGAGAAATATGACTGTGTTCGGAAAGTATGCCTTCTAGCTTTGATATAACATGCGGGAGTCCATCCTTTAGTTCTTGCATAATCTGCAGTCTGATCGATAATAAATTAGGTGCATCTACCACCGTGGTCCAACCATTATCTGATCTAATCAACAAACCTGTGACCGCCAATAAGTTGTGCAGTGGTGATGTCTTCTGGAATAATAGTAAGGAGTTCAAGTATCACCATGTTTGCGTCTATTTGGGTATTTGAGACGGTTGGTACGGCAGCTTCCAAGTACTGACAAGCGCTCACTATGAAATTTGACCAGTTCAAAGGTACCGCTTGTATTGCGTACGCTGTTAGCTGTTGACTCCAAGTTAGTCCTCAAATTCAGCCACATCATATAAAACATCTTACGTACCGCCTGGCATAGTTTCGTTACGATGAATGCCGGGCCGCTACAGCGACGTGCGATCGCATGCAGCAGTTCTTGCCGCAACCATTCGATGCGTTCTTCTGGTAGCGTATCCCTTCAAATTACTTTTCATTATCACATTCACATTTGAAACGATGCGAAATGAAACCATCATTAGCCTTACCAGTCTCGAGTGATTTTAGCCAAAAATGTATGAGCTCCAAAGAATTGTGCATTGATAGACTAGTTTGGCCATAGGTTAGACTACGCTGTGATGTCTAGAATATACAGCGTATGCCACTTACTGAGGAATATAATAACTGCGAGGCGGTCTCCCAAGCAAAAGGCTGTTTCTGTATAAGCTGAAGTGACTCTTGGATCTGCTTTGTCGTTAAAGGATCTTGGCTTGAATACAGCTGCTCAATCAGCTGTATGATATTATTTCAGAGTTTTAGATGCAAAATGACCACTTGACCAGTTAAAGTAGTGCCTAACACAAGGAATCTGAACGATTCAAGTACCTGTTCCACTTGTGGTGTTGATAATGGTTCCATGTACCAAGGTTCTAAATCTCGAGCTGTAACAAAAAACCGAGCGTGTTTGAAAGCAGCAGAAAAACTGCCAAACTCAGCCAAATTTTACTGACCGTCGTTCCCCATCTTCAAATCAGTCATGAGCGCGGATGCACAAGGATCAGGAACTGAAGACGTCCACAAATACGTACCAATGTATATGGCGCATAATGCCAAGACGATGCAATTTGCACGAGCAGGACTGGCTGCCATAAGTGGATCTGCAGCTGGAATTCTTGGACTCAAAAATCTATATGGATTCGCCTTTTACGCCGTGAACTGGGTGCTCATTTCTTTTCTTCTACTCGCCATCAAGACTCAATTCAAACCTCATTTGTTCTTCAAGGGAGGTGCAAAAGATATATTTACTGACGGTTTCATAGGAGGACTTTTGTCTTATATCCTTTTCCATACTTTTCTATACGGCTTAGTCCATTTGTACCAATAAACATCACCATTCGGATATACATTGTAAACCATACAGACACTTTCGTCAATTGACAGATCATATACGTGAATATTTTTCCAATGAGCAGTTATTAAAAGGCAGAAATTTAACAGAAATTTACCGGACAAAATCTTTTCCTTGGTCTGTGATAAAAAAATGTATTCCATATTTATTCGATATTACTGACGATGGCTATGCTGAGAGAGTCCTACAGCATGCTTTTGAAGAACGTGGTAACATGAGATAGATCAATTCAATTGTATTCTATCCTGAGATGTAGGGCAGTAAACTTGCAAATTGCCGTCCCAAGAATAACTGGATGCCTTGCTGCTTTGGGGTAAGAATAGTTGATTCCAAATAGTTTTAGCTATCCATTGATGCGCTATGACGCTAGGATGAACTATAAGAGTAACATAGTCAACTTCAGTCGTCTGGCAATCTCTGGTGGTGATTTTAAACACTTACAACAATCAATATTGCTAAATGCCTGTATTGGGAAAGTACCAACTTGAATGTTCGCAGGTGTGTATACAACTGCGAATGATGATGAATTCAAATTTTTGTAGTCTTCATAGATTTGTTGGGCTTGTGCAGCGTATCCTGTTATTAACGGTCAAGATTTTATGAGTTTAGTCGTTAAATTTTTAATGCGAGATTCTTAAATCAACTTACCATCAGCAGTTGCGTCCATGATGGCCATTCCAGCGGCAGTTTTTGCACATTGACATTCGATGGAGTTTATCTCGAGGCTAGTGCCAACAAATGGTTGGCAGTAGCTTTGATTGGCGGTTACAGTGTATACCGGTGATACTCTAAAATCTCCCACTATTTTAATGCATTGTTAGTTTAGATTAGGGAACCGCCTGCTAAAAATCAATAGATAGAGTCACATTACTCAAGTTTACGATGACATTGGGAATATTTTTCTGAATGCGTTGAACCGCGGCTCTGAGATAGTTTCCATAGGCAGTTGGTGTGTATTGGCCAGTTGTGTCGTTGCAAGATGAACACTGATCGTTACCTAGAGGAAGTGTAAATTGCTTTGGCTTGTAAAGTTTATAAGCAAAGTATGGAACACCTACTTCCGATTTGGATGGTGATCAGCTTCCAGTCGGTGAAATAGTTACCTCCCGGCAAAGTCAGCATGGCTAGCCACATGTTTAGTGATATTAGCATTTACCTCTTACTGTTGAATTCATTTTACACGTACCTGGAATAAGGTAGTCCAGTTCATGCTGAAGATTAGAAGCCAATCCACCGCTTTGTGCAGCGTTCAAAACATCCTGAGTAGGCTTGTCTATTGATGAAAACGTAAGTCCCAACAACGTCATTTAAATATGGACATGTAATAATAATATCTCACACTGAAACGGTGGGCATGTTGTGCCAGAGCAAAGCTAGAACAAACTCAGATGTTTATATGCAGCTGAGAGCATGATGTGATAGATGCTAAATTTACCTCCACCAGGTGCTCACCCAAAGACATTCCTTTCAGAGCGGGCTGATAGTTCTTCATCAGCGTTGCGAGTGTCACAGCACCGGAATCGCCACCTATAGCGAAGCTCACGCCGCGGTCTTCATTAAGATTAGCAAGGTTCACAATGGTAGGGCCCTGAATGCCTTTGGCTGCAAAGCCTGCTGTTATGCTAGATCTTCGATCAGTTTCCTAACTTGTACGCATGCATTGATAGCAGGACCTACCTATCTCCGAGAGCGGCAACCATCTTGATATCATCGATACGCAAGTCGTGAACTGTAGTTGCTTTAGATGTCCGGGGAGTCAGGGCAGGGCAGCTGCTGATACTTGATGCATAGGTTGCGGCAGCAATTGTAGTATAGGCCAATATCGCTAGGTTTACTAAAATCATATCAGTTAAGCTTCCAGTGATCAACTCACAGTCTGCTTGGACCTCCGTTTAGTGCTTCTTTTATATACGAATGAATAAATGTAGTGATGATTTCCTCACATACTGCCTTGACCGGCTGAACACATCCTCCGGAACAGCTGCCCTGAATTTCTAAAAAAGGTGTTACATGTAACTCCCACTCTGGGATTTTCCAACAGTCGATTATGTGCAGCTGTAAATGAATTTCACGTGCGTATATTCATTGTTTGAATCTTACAGGCAGAGTTGTTAATGAAGTGCGTGGGGCTCTAAAGAATTGCTAGCTGACATTATGGACAACAGCCCTCAAATTATATTGTATCTTCATTTCTCAAATCCTACTTAGTTGATTTAACTTATACACAGCTGCCTTGATTGAATGAACATGTGGTCCTTGTGAACGAGTAAATCTCGCTTGAGATGGAAGCGAATAAAATCTCCCACGTACAAGTTGCTTGGGAATGTACGTACTAATACCAAGTGTCCATTGTTAGTGTGCCACAAAGATCTGGAAAATGACCGGTGCAAGAAACCGATGAACCAGCACAGTGTTTCGCACTTGGGGGCAAGTGGGCTTTGTGACCATTCTTTATTGGATTCATCTGCGTACTGACATTGAAGGTGGTATCATTGACAGCTATATTAAAAGGTAAGTAGATACAATTTATGTTGTGCTCAATGTATATTTAAATGTTTTGAAACGCCATTGCTAAGAAATATTGCTTATTTTCCAAGAAGAATTAAAAATATGCAACATATCCGTTTCCGATGTCGAAGCGATTCACATGTCACGATGCAACATGTATTACCAATCGATAAAGTGAGCTGGCAATATGCTAGACTGTAGCTAAGTAACATTACTAGTGTGATAGTGAAGATATTGAGATGCAGCCATGATTCCTTGCTGTAATGGCCAAATAGGTGTCCTTTTGAGACAGGATACTAAATACTACATTCTAACATGTAGTTGAGTTGACGCTAACACCTATATCTGGAACCGTGTGATACACTGGTATTGATGGGTGATTTATCGCTACATAGCAATTTTATATGGCACATTAGATGGTTATAAATCCAATAGAGTTACAACAAAGATGAAACGCATTGAATTTCATGTGTATAGACCCTAACGGCGTCTCTTGCTCTTGTTAAAAATTTCGTTGATGTTATAATACTAGCTAATTGCAGACGCAATGTGTTCCTCCAGCTTATTCAAGTATCCTTGTTGTCAAGCGCAAGGATTAGCGTAGAGCAAAGCAATAGTAAGTGGAATTTGATTGGCTGACCAAACTGCTCTACGGTAAAGTGGCTTGGAAGTCGAGATTTGACTCTCAACTCAGTAAGCATTCCTTTACCCGTACATTCATAATATGAATATTCGACAGGCTACAGTAAGTACCTTATGGCATGGAGTATGCATAAGTGTAATTCTGTACTAATAAAAGTGATTTAGGTTGAGGACTTGATGTCCATGCAAAACTGCAACTTGCTCAATTTACCAGAAAACTATCAAATGAAATACTGTAAATTTCAAGGATCTTACAATTCGTCTACAATTGCCGTTCACCACATTAACACTTTGTTTCTTCAGATTTATACCATGCTTTGTCATGGCCTCAGCTGTCTTATGTTGCTGAAGATCACAAGGGTCGAATTGTCGGTTACGTTTTGGCCAAGATGTATGTCGAATGTTCTATACTCGAGTTTAGAACCATATCATGATCAAAAGTATATTTATGAGGTTTTTATATAGGGAGGAGGAGCCTACTGATGTCCCCCACGGACACATTACATCTCTATCAGTTTTGCGAACATATCGACGACTCGGTTTAGCTGAGAAACTTATGACTCAATCGCAGAAGATGATGGTGGAAGCTTTTGGTGCTCACTACGTGTCATTGCACGTCCGAAAGACCAACCGTGCCGCACTTTCTTTATACAAGGATACGCTCAAATTCAATGTTGAAGGAATAGAAAAGAAATATTACGCTGATGGTGAAGATGCATACGCCATGCGAAAGAATCTGATTGATACCAAAAAGTCAGTACCACGCGGTGTCGTAGAGGAGATCAATCCCGCGGTTGCTGCACACTAAAAGATTAAATACATGTAAATCTCATAAAAGTAAAAGTAAAGGAGATGCATAGAACTGTACATTGATTTTATTGTAATGGTCTGTAAATTGTTTGAGGATGTCCTTTAACAATTGGGAATCATTTTAAAGAACACCCAGGTGATGATAGTGGGTAATGTTTACAATAATCAGTCGAGGTTTGCGTCTAGAAATTGTTTGATTTGAACCAGCAATTCTTTCTTGATATTTTCATTGACGCTTGCTAGAAGATGGGCAGAGCATTAGAGAATCTTCCATAGCTATGTCCTTTGCCATTTCTCTCAACATACCTCTTGCATGATCCGAAAATTCTGCCAATAAGGTGTCCATCGATACATTTTCGATCCCTCTGGCTTTAAAAGATTCTAGTACAGCATGATAAGTAGCTGACTAGATGACATTTGAATACAGTGAGAAGCATCCGCTATAGTCTACCTGAACAATGTGCATAGAGGGCATCATTCCATCCAGTTTCCGCCAATCGTTGCTTTACAAACTCTAAAAGCCTTTGAAGTACAGTCCATGTTAAAGCCATTCTATTATTTTTGAAGGTGATCCTCCATACTTTTACAATAAGCTTACCTAGCTCGTTCTCCTGAGAGGACAAAACGTCGGTCGATAGCAGCCTTTAGTTCAGCATTTGACGCGGACATTGTCAGAGTAGAGTGGGCTCATGGGCAGGGGAGATTTTGAAGTCGCTCATCCAACTCATGACTGCGAAAAGCCACCTGCTGACGTTTCGCGGTAGGAATCCAACACGGTGATAACCGTAACAACAGCCCGCCTAACCTAAACCTGCCTTCGCACTTTGTCCATTGTTTGATCCTCTCTTCGAATAACTAGCTGAGAGCATTCTTTTGACAGAAAAGCTCTTTACTATTTTTCCTTGACTTCTAATTTCCTTACATCTAAGTATCGAATTAGAGCCAACGAATCTTCCATACCCCCACACATCTCTCGTTTCTCTTGTGCTGGTCCGCCACAACATGCTCTAGTGGCAAGTTCTCATTATGAGCAGTGATTCCGATTTCTCTTCTTCCTCGAATCCTAGTCCGAAAGTATCTTCTTTCCCGAACCGTAATTCAAATCTGAAATCTCAGAAATCGAGCTTAGCACGCATAGTCAAAGCCCAAGTCACCCTTTTGGTGTCCAATCTAAACGCTGACAATTATACAAGGAACACATCAGAAATCAAATCGGTAAGGATCAGGTGTAATATCTGTACGAGAGAATGTCTTGCACACAATCTACGAAGCTGTTGCTTGGATTTTTCTCATACTCTTGTTCCTTTTACTCATATCCCACTTTTGTTAGCTTATCGAAACACACGGTCCCGAGATCCTAGTCCACTTATTGCGTTTCCTATTAATCGAACACTCAAAGGATATCAACCAACAGTCGGAAGATTTTCCAACCTTTCGCTTGCTGAAAGAAAGTGCTCATCTCCCAATTCAAAAGTCGCAACCTCTTGCTTGTTTCTGTGAAGCCTTAATATCAGCTTGCAAGAGCGAGTCTCTAGTTTCCTTCGATCTAGCAAAGTTATTTGAGCAACTTGAATTTTCAGCTGCAGAGTCTTTCGCTCTAGCTTGTGCATTGCAGCCCGAAGTAAAGCAAGAGATTGCCCAGCAAGGTTTGATATACTTATTCTATTTATTGGAATGATGTCGTGCGCGTCCTAAAACTGACCGTTTTGTTTCGATATATAGCATCAAATTTTATCAGAGAAAACTATCAACACGCGTCTTGGTCTATTCTCAATAACCAGTGCAAATCGGAAATCGCTATTTCTTGGATTCAACAATTCATTAGCAAGCCTGAAAATACTACAGCTGCTACTTTAGATTCGAAAGAAATAGACAAGATAAAAGAAGTGCTCAATACCTACCGTCAATCCGCACCGAGTTTATCATCTCAAAATATGACACAGTGAGTCCTCAGTTTTGTAAACATTGATAATTTAGCAATGGTGATTCTAACAAAGCATGTATCTAATAGACCATCTGAAACCTCGAGCGGAAACTCCAAACTCAGTAGCCTGTTGCTGGAAGCTGGCTATGATAGCTGTGCCACTCCTTCTTCATTAGAGAATATATTTCAGCAAGCTGGAGAAATCAATGAAACTGATGTTGCTCAAGCACTTGGCCTCATGGCTAGAACTCATACCAATCTTAATGGCGTAGGCGATGGTTCACCCGGAAACACTTGGCATGTTCGTAATTTTGCTGCCGCTATCAAGAAAAATGTAGGTTCAATTACGTTGGTATCAGATTCGTAGTGCATGTATTTACCAAGTACTGTCAATTCAGTATCCATCCATCAATTGGAAATCCGTCATTCATAGTCTGGATTATGAGCATTTCCTGTTATACGATGCAACAGGACTTGAAATGTTAGTCCAAGCTTGGAAAGAAGTGACTGGGGTAAGGAGAATTTACTTTGCTTTTTGGTTGTCTCTGCACACATTCACGTGAACTTTGGCTCATAACATTTTTGTATCTGTAGGGAAATGAACCCTTTCCGATTGAGTGTTTCTTTGGTAAATGGAAGAATCTCAAGGGCCAGCTTAGCGCTTTGTATCAAATTGTGAATGCTCCACAAGAGCTCTTGAATATCAATGATTGTGCAACAAAGAAAATCATCACTGTGGATGACGTAGCAAATGTTAACGCAAATATTCGCAACAGTGCAACTCAACTGGCAGCATCACAAATCAATTCATATGACTTGATTGAGAGCGTCATTGGCTTTGTTGATACCGAAGTACACGAGGATGCAAAGGTGTTTTTGGATATCCTTATCAACAGATCGCCTGAGCTAGTTTTCCTTGGTCTTGTGGAAATCGAGGTACGTAGCAGTCTAGTTGTTAGGTTGTAATGATGCATTGTCACCAATCTTACTTTATGTTTATAGCCGTTGCGTAACAGTCTCCACGAAGACTTGATTGCACGTTTCTTGATTCTATTCCTAAGCGGACACGCAAATTCTTTACTTGTTATGACGAAGCTTTGGCAAATCGCTCCGGATCTGCTCATGACCAGTTTTATAGAATTCTATAACAAGGACGCAACATCTATCTCGCGAACTTTAGATATAGCTCAAGAATTGAAGGTACTGTGTTTATTTCATTTCGGACACGCCTGAGTACTTCCTGCGATGTTTTGCCTTGTAGCTAACTCACTTTCCATAACCATCTTTGCAGATTTTACCGCAAGTCTTGAACGCTAAGCCTTTTAGCTTTGCCATTGACCTAGCTGCACTTGCTTCCAGAAGGGAATACCTGAAGCTGGAGAAATGGTTACAAGACAAAATTGCTGAGCACAAGGACGCTTTCATTACTGCATGTCTGGATTTTTTGACACACAAGATTGCTTCAGATGTCTCACGCCGCGATAAATCAGTACCTCTGACAGTCCCTTTATCTATTGAATGCATGGGAACTTTCCTGAAAATTCTAGGAGACAGGTACGGTTTTACAAATGCATGCATTCCCTTTCAAATCTCCTTTTGCTGAATCATTAGTTCCTACATGATAGCCCGATGTCGACAGAAAATTCCGAAATGTTGAAGGAAGTCCAGAGTATTTGTCTCCAAGCTTACCCAAAGCTTATGAACATTCGCTCCCAGGCTGAACCTGGATCGACTGGTGGTGAAGTGTCATTCTCTGCAGACGTGGAAGACGAGGCTAACTTGTATTATGAGCGCATTTATAGTGGGGAGATGACCATCGATCAGATGATAGAACTATTGAAAAATTTCAGAAACTCAAGCGAGACAAGAGAGCAAGACATCTTTGCTTGCATGATTCATAATCTATTCGACGAATTCCATTTCTTTTCGAAATATCCAGACAAAGAATTGGCTATCACCAGCGTGCTCTTTGGCTGTCTAATACAACACCATCTTGTGTCGTTCGTTCCTTTAGGCATTGCTCTACGATATGTACTGGACGCTCTCCGCAATCCCCCTGGTTCAAAACTCTTCCGTTTCGGTCTTCAGGCCCTCACACAGTTCCTATCTCGCCTATCGGAATGGCCTCAGTACTGCGCTCATATCCTTCAAATCACGCAATTACAGCAAACCCACCCAGAAATAATCCGAAAAGTGACAGCTGCTCTTCAAGCCAGTAACTCCAAAGCTGCTGATCCTTCCATTTCTCAAGAGACCTTATCCCATTCACTATCTGACGTTGTCCATGAGGAAGAAGGCAAAGGGAAAGACCAAAAACCAGCCTTTTCAGCTTTAAATGTCCAAACGTTGATATCGGCTTCAGATGAAGGGCAATACGAGGTGCCAAGTGAGGCCGTACAAGATAAGGTTTTGTTTATCATCAACAACGTTGCAGCGAACAACTTGGAGACAAAGACAGCCGAGCTCAAGGAGGTTTTGGCTGAGCCTGCTTACCGATGGTTCAGCAACTACTTGGTCGTTAAGAGAGCCAGTATTGAACCCAACTACCATCAATTATACCTTCAGCTGCTCGAAAGCATCAACAGTAAAGCTTTGTTTAATCATGTGCTGAAGGAGACGTACACCAACATCAAAATCCTTCTTAATTCGGAGAAAACGGTTCAGTCATCTTCGGAAAGAACACTGTTGAAGAACCTTGGCTCTTGGGTAGGTGCAATGACATTAGCACGCAACCATCCTGTTAAGCACAAGCACATAGCGTTCAAGGTAAATAATTTGATGCTTTTATCGTGTAAACTGGCACTCATACTAATGTTACCTAACTCAATCTTTACAGCAATTGCTCTTGGAGGGATATGATACCAATCGCCTTATCGTCGTGATACCATTTGTTTGCAAAGTCCTTGAACAAGGTAGCAAAAATTCGGTTTTCAAGCCGCCAAACCCTTGGGTGATGGGTATCCTCAAGTTACTGGTAGAACTATACCAATTCGCTGATCTTAAATTGAATCTCAAATTCGAGATTGAAGTGCTGTGCAAGAGTCTAAACATAGACGTCAGTGGTAAGTAGTTTGTGACATAGCGGCATTTGTGAATGAACTTGAGCTTATGTTAATTGTCGTGTCTTTTAGATGTTTCTGCCACTTCCTTATTGAAGAACCGACCAAAGGGCTTCGGAAACAACCTCATGATTGGTGACGGTGCTGTTGTCGGTGCACAAGACAGCTTTGACGCACTCGGACGTGGATCAGCTGCAGGTGGCCTTAACCAAGGCATTAACGCTGATTCCGGATTGAACGGGAACCCTGATGATCTTTCCATTGTCCTTCCTAACCTTGCACCATATCTTACATTCAACCCTCAAGTTATACTTTACACTACTCAACCAGCCTCTAAGCGTTGGGTGCTACAAGCTGTTACTGCTGCAGTTCGAGAGGTATGAAAAATTTATACCTTGCGCTTAACACGAAACTTGTTTATTGTATTGACGATTCACACCTCTAGATCATTGGACCTGTTGTCGACAGATCCGTTCAAATTGCACTTATTTCTACAAGAGAGTTGATCACCAAAGATTTTGCTATGGAGGCAGATGAAAACAAAATGCGAAAGGCAGCTCATCTAATGGTTCAAAATCTTGCAAGCAATCTTGCCATGGTCACTTGCAAAGAGCCACTGCGTATCAGCATGACTGCAAGTCTTCGAAACATCTTTGTTGCAAATGGATTTACAGATGTAAGGATGATTGTTCTCATAGAAACTCACCTACTTTAGCCAAGATGATTAATCTTCTGTGTTCTATAGGCTATCTCCGAACAGGCCATCTTATTGACTGTTGCTGATAATTTGGATCTTGTGTGTACAGTGATTGAGAAGGCTGCTATGGAAAAGGCAGTCTCTGAAATCGACGAAGCACTCCTGGCTGCCTATGCTACTCGTGTCAAGCATAGAGAGCAACGCATTAACCAGCCATATTTCGATGTTAATGTTTTGTCAGTGTCTCAGTACCCTCTGACACTACCAGAACCGCTCCGCTTGAAACCCAATGGCTTACAGCAACCACAGATGCGTGTTTATGAAGACTTTGGTCATATCAACAGAGCCATCAACAACCAAATTGCTTCAGCTGAATCTGATAGACAGGTCCGCAACATGCGTCCCGAGGCTAACCCTGGCTATGGATATGGACACAATGTCACGGGTACTACTACTACACAAGGATCTGGATTTGATACTGCTCAAGTCAGTGCTCATCAAATATTGGAAAAATTCGCACAATATGTCACGGAACTTGATAAGCAAACAGGGCAAACCAATGTCGCCAACTTCAATGCTTTGCCACCCAACCACGATATTCGCTTGTTGGTCCGCCAAATACCCGTTTTGGCTATGTCTAGCTTTGATAAAGTGGAAGCTGCCCTCACCTTCGCTCAAAAGGTTGTTCAACTCCTTTACAAGTGTGACACTAGTCTTGCTCGAGATACATATGTTGTACTCTTGGAACGCCTTTGCGAAACTTCAATGAGTGTGGCAAAAGAGGTCACGTCTTGGCTAACACATGCTGACGACGAACGCAAGTACAATGTCCCTGTTACTACTGCTTTAATCAAGGCTGGATTGATTATTTTGCCCGAACAAGATTTGGAGCTCGCAAAGTTGATAGATAGCGGTAGGCCTACAGTGATTGATTTCACGGCACGATTGATTCGCGCGTGTGCCTTCGACGAACCTCCATGTGCAACAAGACAGGATTTCACTGCATCATTGGAAGCTCTCGGCAGATTGATCCAACGTGGTAAAGTTCCCGATAGTGTGATTCTACTTCAAGATGAAATTCGTCGTCGATCTCAAGGCCAAGCTCCCAAAGAAGCTGAAGACGAGGAGGCTGGTGGATTGCGCGAACAGTTACAGTTCTTATTTGCAGAATGGGTCCGCCTTTTCCAACACCCGTCCTCCAATGACAAGGCCTTTGTTGCGTTTGTCACACAGCTATCTCAGCGGGGTGTGTTCAATGTCGATGATATCTCATCCATGTTCTTCCGCACCTGTATCGAAACATGCATTGATCATGCCATCCAGTACAAGACCCTTACAGAACAATCTACGCCTGCAGCAGCGTACCAACCGATTGATGCTTTTGCAAAGCTTGTGGTTCTTGTATTGAAGATGCAAGTTGAAAATGGCAAGCCTGACAGCGGAAATACTGCTATCAGCCAATTTACTAGAGTGCTGTCCATCACCGTCCTTGTATTGGCTCAGCACCATGAACACCGTAGACAGCAATTCAACCAGCGACCCTTCCTGAGACTCTTTTCCAGTCTGCTTAGTGAGCTTAGTTCCAACGAACAGGCGCTACAAGCCATTTACTTCCAACTCTTGGAATCACTCGGAAACACATTCCTTGCTCTACAACCATTCTATTTCCCAGGATTTACTTTTGCATGGCTTCAACTTATCTCTCATCGACAATTTATGCCAAAGCTTTTCTTGATTGAAAACCAAAAAGGATGGCCAATCTTCCAGCGCCTGTTGATCAGCCTCTTCAAATTTTTGGTGCCATTCTTGCGTAATGTGGAACTGCAGGACACAACACGTTTGCTTTATCGTGGCACATTACGAGTACTCTTGGTGTTACTGCACGACTTCCCAGAGTTTTTGTGTGAATATCATTTCAGCTTTTGCGATGTCATACCCACTTCATGCATACAATTGCGAAACTTGATCCTCAGCGCCTTCCCCAGAAACATGCGACTTCCTGATCCCTTCACCCCCAACTTGAAGGTTGATCTATTACCAGAAATTAACCAACAACCTAAAGTTCTCTCGGATTATACCTCAACCTTGATCGCTAATAATCTCAAGCAAGATATCGATGCATATCTACAAGATAATGAGCCCAAAAACTTCTTGGCTGATCTGCCCAGAAAACTTACAACGGATACTAATGATTCTGATGAAGAGCAAGGCACTAAATATGATATTTCTGTCATTAATTCGCTAGTTTTCTATGTCGGAGTACGTGCCATAGAACTTGGCCTTCCCATGAATCAAGGTGCCCCAATTAAGATATTCCAACATTTGCTCGCCGAACTCGATTCTGAAGGTATTAACGTATTGCATGTGGAGATGTCGTCGCAATGTAAGAACTATGGGCTAATTCCTTTTTTCCCCTCCAGGACGTTATTTGTTCTTAAGCGCAATTGCAAATCAATTGAGGTTCCCGAATAGCCATACTCATTACTTTAGCTGTATCCTACTGTACCTCTTTTCTGACGGCAATCAGGAAATCATCAAAGAACAAGTGACTAGGTATGTGTGGTACATCAAACTTTATGCTATATACATTAGACATTTAACACGATTTTTACTACATTAGGGTACTTCTTGAACGCTTGATAGTTAACAGACCGCATCCGTGGGGATTGCTTATCACATTTATTGAACTGATCAAGAATCCGCGATACAACTTCTGGAACCACTCGTTCACTAGATGTGCAGCAGACATTGAGCGACTCTTTGAAAGTGTATCAAGGTCAATTAATCATATTTAGAAATATTGATATTGAAATGGCAACGAAGCATAACATGCTTGTTGTGCGACTGTATTATAGTAGGCCACCTTTTTTTCCTTCTTCCATATTTCTTTCCCTACTTCCTTCGCTTTGATTGTAAAAACGAAATATGTGACGCATCGATTTTTTTTTTATATTTCTTTCTTCTTCTATTCTGTGTTGTTCTTTATTCATTTTTTTCTTCAAAACATCCTTTTATTTCGGTTATTTGCGTTGGCCTTTGCTATTCAAAACGGCTCCAACTGTCTTCTGATTGTATACATTTGCACATTATAAAAAGGATGGAGATTTGTTGATATTCCCGAAGGGTATAAATTGTCGATAGATACATGGTAAATAGCGTTGGTATAATACAGTGTCTGGTGCGAAAGATAGTCTTCTCAGCGCCTGCGATGAAACTTGGATCGATTTTTGGAAGGCAATCGAAGAGCGACAAAATTGTTGCTAACTTGAGGACCTGATTTTTTTTTTAAAAAAAGAAAACGTTAGAAGACCTCTTTCTCCACGTGTAAGCATTTATGAACTCAAGCTAACCTGTATTGAGTCTGTTGCTTCTTCGTTGACTTGTGCGTGCCTTGGGCTTGGGTTTAACATCAGACTTTTTATCTTTTGCCTGTGAACTTTTCGATATGCCTTGTTCGCTGCCCGATGATCCTTCTAGCCCTGATGATTCAAGAGAATCTGCATTATCACTCTTGTTCCTCAAACTTCTTTTTTGAGGAAGCAATGGCGAAGATGTGCCTGTTTCAGCAGGATGACTCTCACTGTTGCTGTCAGAATCCTCATCTTCCGGTGATTGTTCGTGTGGTTTGGACGTGACCGACCGCTGGCTAATTCGAGACTTGGAAGTGTCAACGTATGGAACTTTGTAATAACGAGGGTTAGAAACTATAACAGAACACTTTGCGCTATCAAAGAGAGGACAGCTTTCATACTTTTATATCGTCGTGTTTGCCTCTTCTGTATCGGTTTCTTTTTCCAAACTTCTTGAGCCACATTGTCTTCTCCGGACTGTAATGTAGAATACTCAGGTCAATACATATCAAGCATATCCATTTCCAAGGCTTTACATACTTCATTTCCCTCTAAAAGTTGTTCTTGGTCACTCTCAGCATTGTTAGGATCTTCCAACAGTACATTTCCAATACCACCATGATCTGATAGCTGTCGGAGGAGTCGCTGCCTCCGATCGGGTGAAATCAGTAAACGCCGGCTGTTCTGTGTTGATGCTAAGCTACTGTAGAAGCCAGGCATGATATGACTCTGTATGTCTTCGGTCTTTGCGGCACTTGGGCTGACATTACTCTTGATGCCCCCTGTTGACGGCCGCGCAATTCTGAAACTCAACGGTGACAACGATTGATTTTCTGGTTGTGATGACTTTGTTGACTGACTATGTGATGCGCCAGGCTTTCCGAATTGCCTTGCAGACATTGTGCTCATATCGTTCAAGGAGTTGCTGGGAGCAAACCCCTCTAGACCAGGCCGCTTTTCTCGTCGTCGAGGTATGTGCCTCGGAGTCGACAGTCCGGCATGCGTCTCAGCAACGGCAGTTTCCTCCACCATCCCTTCCAAGAAAAATTGAATACTCTCGTCACAGCCTGGTGCCGATGTGTCTGCAACAGGGCTGGCAGCTTCGACTGCTGGTGATTCTTCTGTTAATTGCGTAAAAAGATCCAATAGTGATGGCTTTCCGTTGCTTTCGCCTTCTTGAAACACGGCTTCTAAAGATTTCAGGGCTTTTGGTGAAGGATAAGTTTGTGATGAGAGTTTAGTGGGTGTACGAAGTAATCGCTTTGCAGTTTCGTTTGGACTGACACCATGTTGTCGTCGTCGAGCGGGACTCATAGATGGGTTCGACTCCTGTGAATGATTTGCTCTGTTCTGGTTATGTTTGATGGTCGATGGAGAGTTCCCATGCACAGAAGAAACAAAAGCGTCCACCTTCGAATGTCGTCTGGTGGGAGTAGCACTGGCGTGCCGCTTAATTCGTGGCGACTCAAACTGGTATGATACTCTTCTTCCAGAGGAAGGTGTTTCCGGTGCTTCCGATTGTGATACCGTTGTTCGCTTACTGGAAAGTTCATTTTCGTTTTCTTCTGCCATGGGCAGCTTTCGTTTAGCTGCAGTACTGTGTTTGGTAGCATCCGTCTTACTAGTAGTTGCTCCAGCGGAAAGCTTTTTCTTTTCGGCTCGATAATTTTTATATTCTGCCTCTAAGGTTACCGTTGATATGGGATAAGCAAAAGGTTGTAATGCAATGGAGGCGTCCCTTGTTCTCAAAGACTTACCTATTGAAGGGTTTTCAGCAATGTCCTTTATAGTTGCTTTGCGACCATGGGATTTTAAAAAGCCTGCTTCCCATTCCTTCAGTCGACGCTTTAAAAGTCTGAGCTGCTTGTCAGATTGAGTCATGTCAGCGGGTTTTGTGCATGCACTTCACAATTCATTGCAAATACGCGACTCAGCGCGTAAAATGGCACCTCAACCGCCGTCACAAAAATTCAAAGTGATTTTTTTGTTCGTTTCCCAAAGGTATACCGCCCAAGCAGTAACCAGCTAATTATGAGTGTCCAAGGCTTTTGGGGTACGTCGAATAAACGCATACGAACATGATGGACGTAATATCTAAATGAATCCAACTTCTAGGTTTACAAGTCGAACCAGAAAATACCTACACCCAGGTTGTTGATGCTTCATTCCGAGTCACGATGGCCGCTTTGGGCGAGAGTTTGATCGGGGTAGGACGAACATGTGTAAAAGTTGTCGTAGACGACAAGGAGTTTGTTCTATGCTCACTCTCGCCAGACAAGGTATGAAATAAGCATTGTATTATGGTCAGAAATATTGCAGTATGTTATATTGACACAGCGTGGTATGTAAAAGCACGAGCAGCAAACACTGGATCATACATTTGTGGAAGGCGAAGAAGTCACTTTCATGGCCACCGGTAAAAAGTAATGGAAGCTTTAAATTGAAAATGACCTTAGATTGCGGCCAATGCTGACATAGTTACCCACTCTCTGTAATAGTGCTGTACATCTCACTGGTAACTACGTGCCTGATCAAGAGGAAGCCGATGACGAAATGGAAATACCGCCTGAGTTGGCAGCTCTTGCAGCTAGGATGAGAGCCGCAGAGCAAGATGATGATATGGGGTGAGCAGAAATTGATTTGAGGTTTGATGATTGCCGTTCATCCTATTGACTTAGCCTCTGAAAGTGACGATGAAGATTCTGAGGAAGTTGACGCAAATCCTCTCAGTAATTATACCCCTATATATATAACTATGTGAAACGAATGAGGCTGACATGATTTATCTTTTAGCAAAGCTTCTCAATCCAACTTCAGAAATGCTAGAGTCCGACGAAGAAGACGATGACTATGAGGCTGGCGATTCTGACGAAGATGAGGAAGACGACGATGAGGAAGGCGATCTCTCCGAGGTACTTGCTAATACTGTTGCTAATGCAATCCGTGGCGTACCAGGAGAGTCTGATAGCGATTCTGAGGAAGAAAACGGTTTACAAGATGACGAAGAGCTAGATGACGAAGATGATGATGAAGACGAGGAAGAAGACGAAGACGAGGAAGAAGACGAAATCGAAGATGAGGATGACGACGATGAGGATGAGGAGGAAATTGATGAAATGGAGCTGGAGAAACAAATCCTTTCAAAACATAAGCGACCTGGTAACCAACTTCCAAGTACACCAGAGGCAAAGAAACAAAAAGCAGAGGCAACCCAGCCCAAAGCTGCCGTTGGCGGCGTCAGAAGCTTGTCTAATGGAATGACCATCGAGGACTTGAAGTTAGGTCAAGGCGAAAAAGCTAAGGCGGGCAAGAGGGTAAGACATCCGATTGAAGCATGTTACATGCTGAAGAATGACTGATGAGGTTGCTTTTCATAGGTATCTATGAGATATATTGGAAAATTAGTCAACGGAAAGGTGAGAATCACCACTATAGTGTGCTGCTATCTCCAGTCATTTGCTAACCAATAACTCAAGGTCTTTGACAAGAACGTAGCAGGTGCACCATTTACCTTTGCTTTGGGACGTGGAGAAGTCATCAAGGGATGGGACATTGGCGTTGCTGGTATGCAAATTGGAGGCGAGCGTAAATTGTCCATACCCGCTCCTCTGGCTTATGGAAAGCAAGGATCACCTCCCGTCATACCACCGAATGCTACCCTCATCTTCAACGTCAAGTTACTTGCCATTAAATAGACCTCTAGAAGAACATGAATATAGCAAAGATTATAAACGGAGTGTGCATACAATACAAAGCTCATGTGGAAGGAAGGTTTAGAATTTTATTGGGACTGAAAGTGGGGATAATATGGTATGTACATGGCGAATAATTACACCTGAGCTTCTAAGATTGGGGTCAGCGACGACTTCTGCTTACACTTCAACAATAATTGTTCACCAATAATATCTCCAATTGTATCTTTGACGCTTGCTTTTGTTGCCTCATCCACATCATCCAAATCTTCCATTGCTTGTTCTTCGCCTGAATCGATCTGTGCTTGTTTATCCTCTTCAATCAATATAAGTAGTGAGTCCTATGGTGAAAGAGCAGTCAGTTTCATAGCACACCAGTGAGTTGAGCAGAGTCAGTAATATACCAACCGTCAAGGCGTCTCTGCACTTTGATGCTTCAAGCTGTCTAATGGTACCATCTGCTTGAAGAGGCTCCCGAAGTATGTTATCAGCGTACGCTTTGGTATTAGGTAGAATGACAGTTCGAATAACTTCTCGGCCGAGTTGATTCAAACCAACTATAGCACCATAATGTGTAGTTATGGGTTTTTTAACATCCAGAAAAGCATGCAAAAGCGTCTTTGTGATTCTGGGTTGCATGGTATGATATGATTTTCCATACCGCTGGCAAACGAGTGCCATCAGCCTAGCGGCAAAATCACGAACACTCCAGTGGTCGTCCTTAGGATTTTCGCATATTCGCTTGCCTACCATACAAGAGATTATTGCTGGCATCAATTGATTAAGCTGATAGAACGTAATTAATATACTGGCAACATTTTAGTTGTTGAGGTGATGGTGACTCACGTAAGGATCAACAAATAAATGTGGACTACTGAGTAGAGCTTGTATCATACAAAGCATTGATTCGCAAACTGTAAGGTTTCGAAGATTTTGCTTGACCTAAGGAGAAGAATTAGATGACACATCATTTTTGTAGAACTTGGATATACGATAAATCATTCCATCTACGCACCTTTTCCACGATGAATTGTACAAAGTACGGCAGGAGTTGATGAAGGCCAGGGTCTGAGCGTAAGCTTTCATAGGCTTGGAAACGCAAACGCTCTTCCTCGCTGACAACCGCTTCAGTGATACGCTCATAGTACAGCTGTAGCTCCTTTGACAAAACATGCTTGACAAGTGGCTTAACATCAATTTGTTCGTTTCCAGCAGCATTTGTACCATTGGCCTTTGATCGCTTGCTCAGCAAATCGGATTTCGCATCTATATCTTACGTGAGTAGAGCGTCTCATCAGTCACAAAAAAAAATTCGAGACATATAAACGTACCACTAGGTGTTGGGTTTTGTGGAATAGCGGGTTGAACACCTTCGATGGCCAGCCAGTGAGCAGTAAAAGTAACATCTAAGGGAACGCGAGGTAATGGTTTGTTGAGGATAGTGTCAAAGTCAACTTCTTCATCGCCAACGTAGTAGATATCGTTCATGTTTGCCGTCGTTTTCTTAAACCTCAGCGGATTTCCTGACGTGAAGCCGTACAAGGGCTCTACATTGCGAACGCGTAGAGCAGCATTAATATCATCTACTGTTAGTCGAGATCGCTTTGAATGGCGCATGAACTTTGTCGCTTCCTACATAGGCATAAGGGAAAACGTTAACAGACTTGTTTGGAAGAGATAAACGGGTAATGAGTGGATTCTAACTTGGATGATCTCTTGCAATCGATAATCAACATCATGGGCAAGTGCTGTACAATAGTCGTCCTTTGGGTTAGTGATGCCACAACTTTCGGCAATACTCTGTAGAACACATTAGCATTGCATGAGTTGGATGGTACCGAGAATATTTATAGAAAGAGACTCACTCTGACAGTGTCCTTTGGCCAAATGCTCATTTCGTCAAAGTAGCTCGCTAGTGTCGCGAGGCCCGAACACCTATAATTTTGGGTGCCAAATTGTAACCAAGCCACTTCACATTTCTTTTCCCAATGTCGGCTCCCAATGAATTAGTGCAAGGTGAGCACACAGTGCAGATTTGAGGAGTAAAGCATTAGCAGTTGGCTAACTGATAATAGCGTTGGCACAGCGGGAGACTTTAGCAGAAGACATTCTTACGGACAAAGAGCTGGTATGACTTGTTCCGTTTCAGCAACCCGCTGGAATCCGATAACCTATAGGGAGATCTTCCAATTTTTATCCACTCACTCTACTTTCCGATTTGTAGATAATAGATTCAGATAGAAAGCGAAACTCGAACAGAGAGGCATTGACTAGCATGCGCAAAAAGCTTGCCAATGGTAAGTGCTGCTATGGCATACTATTAAGAAAAATTGGTTCAAGCAACTGATGCATTAATATTTCGATGATAGAGCAAAAGCTCTGGGTTAATATGGGTGACATGTTTATCAAACTTCCCAAGAAAGACATACAGGTCATGATCGAAGATGGTAAGAAGCCTATAAGGCAGCAAAGTCCTTGATTGACAGTGACCACGCATATCCGCTGACCATTATCCTTGTTACAGACCAGAAAAAATTGGACGAAGAGATTGAGAAAAGACGGGATACAATGAAGAAAAAGGCGATGAAGTTGGATCAATTGGAACAACTTCAACCAAATGGCAAGCCATTAGCTGGATATGATCTTCAGGGGATGAAAGCCTCTGATTTATACCATCTCCGTAACCGCAAGATTGAAGAACGAGATTTATAAAAATCATCCTTGTACATAATTTCTAGAGTGCTCAAAAAGTCGTTCCTTTGTAAAAAAAAAGCATTCAGCACCCGTCATAAACTCTGCACCCCGTCATGTCATTTTATGGTTTTTATTCACTCAAAACAACAGTATCACATTTTACTGAAATATCTCTGTGCTGAATGATAACTTGCTACATTTGCATGAAAGAGGTGACAAGCATTTAAGCATCCCAGCTGCTAGAGGCAGCTTGGGTGTTAGAGTCATCAGCCCAGTCAGCAGTGGGAGCGTTGGCCCAGTCAGCAGCACCGGCAGTGGCAGCAGGGCCTTCAGCAGAAATGCCTTCAGCAGCCCATTCAGCCTCAGGGGCGGAAGTCCAAGCAGTGTCTTCTTGCTCAGCGGCAGCGGCAGCAGCAGCGGCTTGCTCCTTCTCAGCTTCCTCAGGGTCGCGGTAGAAGAACATATCAACCATGACGTCCCAGGGGGTGCCGTACTCGAGAGTACCGCGGAGACGGAGAACTTGGCGGGTCAAAAGCCAGTAAATCAAGCCAAGAGCGTGCTTACCCTTGTTGTTGGTAGGGATGGCAACATCAACGAACTCCAAAAGAGAGTCAGTGTCAGCAAGAGAGATGACAGGGATGTTGACATAGGAAGATTCCTTGATAGCTTGAGAATCAGTACGGGGGTCGGTGCTGATAATCAAGCGAGGCTCTCTGAAGGAGCGAGTGATGTAATTGGTGAAGGTACCAGGAGTGAAACGACCAACGATAGCTTCAGCGCCAATGTACTTTGCGAACTTCAAAGCAGCACGATGACCATAAGGACGAGCAGACACAACGACAATGTCTTGGGGCTGGGGGGAAAAGATATAAAAAATGAATGAGTACACACATATTATCCACTCGTGTACACTGGTGCTAACAGCGCAGTGTCGTTAGAAGGTATTCGTGACTTACGTTTTCAATGGCAGCAATGATACGAGCAGCGAAAACGAGCTTCTCCCAAGTCTTTCCAAGGTTGATGATATGGATACCATCATTGCGACGCTTGTAGACATAGGGGTTCATGACCGAGGTGCAGTTCTTAGCTCCAAGGTGGCATTGGGCGCTGAGAAGAAGCTGAAGATCTTCCTCAGTGGGGTTCAAAACTATATGTGATTTTACAACTCAGCATTCCATAATGTAACGTTAATGCATATTACATATCTTATAAGACGCTTACCGGCTGGGATCTTGGACATATTGTAGTAGTTTTTACGGGGCTATCGGTAGTTCTTGCGAGTTAAGGTGCACTGATTTGAAAATTTTGTCAATTGAGATTGGGCATGTGAATTTTCAAATTTCAAGCCAATGCGTCGCGATCAGTATCTTGGATGGACATAATCCATCCATCTACCTTAAGATCAATGCATATCTCACTTACGAAGTCTGGTTGAAGGCCAAGGCGAAAAAGAAAGATCCACCCTTCGCAGAGATGCAACGCTTTTTGCTTGCTCTGCCCAATTCGAGCTCCGCCACCCCCTTACTACTTCTACAGCTTGGTTGACCTCCTGAGACATTTTGACAAAAGATTTTGCGAGCTTCTCACTTCACTTCACTTCACTGCACATGATCACAGGCGTATAGTCTGCCAACTTTATATGAAAAAGTCATTTATTTTTTTAAAGGACGAACACTGGGTGTCAGCGTGAGGAGTGAGAAACAACTTAGAATCTGAGCTTGGAGAAGAACCACTTGTTCTTTCCAGTGTTGTGTCTCTCCTCAAACAACTTCTTGATCGTCTATATTGCACAAAGAATGATATTAATTATCTATACCATAGCGAAAAAACAAATTGCATTTAGCCATATACACTACCTTCTTGGCGTCCTCGCGCTGGGAAGGCTCCTTGAAGGTTTCAGAGGAGATGGTACCCTTGATCTGTTCAAGCTCGAGAGCATAACTGTGCATATCGCATCATTAGTTCATGACTCGTAACACCTTTCGCTTGTATACAAAAAGCCAACGTACCGAGTGGGCATCATGTGGTTGTAGTTAATAACCTTGATGAAAGGCTTGACCTTGGAACGCTTAGCGACCTTCTTCTTGCCCATGGAGCGAGTGACCTTGAGAGGGTAACGCTCGACACCGGCGACGACAGCGTAACCGTAGGGTCTGTCCTTGGTACCTTCGTCGTGGTCTATTGAAGTGAGAGGTGATTAGTTAGCGGTTCGTAGGGAGGCATTAGAGAGAACAGGTTGTAGGGATGGACAGCGAATGTTGATGTGACGATGAGTAGGTCAATCAGTCGAGAACTGAGTGTGTCGTTTGTGCAAGCACTGGTGTAGCGAAATTTGCCATGGCTTAAACATTTTCCGATGGCAAAAAAAGTGAATGTTGAATCGTCGAAAAATTAGAGGTCGATGGTCAATGTTTCTTCGCAATACGCTCATCCTGTTGCTGAATCCATCACCATACTGTTGATAGAGTGAAATTGATACATACTACGGACGATAACGGCCTTTTTGCCGGCGTAACGGCCCTGGAGAATGACAACGACCTATATCATGAAATATTAACGTTAGAAAATCCGTTTTCACTTTTGGAAAAAATCCATCAATCATCGAGATGATCAATCATCCATCCATTTCTGCATCCATTCATCAAGATACTGACCTTGCCTGCTTTCAAGAACTTGACCATGACTATGAAAGTGAGCGGTGAGAAAGAGGAGGATTATCGCCTTCGGTGATGGCCTGAGTATAATCCGCAAGAGGTGTCGAAGTGACGTCACAATAAAAGCTGAGGCAGTCTCGCAATTTGGAGTGCAAAATTCAATATTGCTGGATACACTTTTTGCTGCAATCTGCCAAACGAAGGCAGCCGCTATCTGATGTATTTAACATAGACTTTGGCAGCTTCTACTCCTATGTTCCAATACCCTTCAAGCTTTCCTTCCCTTGTATCATCCATAAATGAAAAAAAAATCGCAGAAACTGGCTTTAATAACTAAGTTATTCCTTTTTTTTTTAACATAGACCGTGAGATTACAACGCCATTGAACGGCTTCCTTACAATAAACCAAAATGCAAATACATGGATTTCTCATATTGTTCTTGTACAGCTAACTTATAACATTTTTACTTTTTTTCATTTTGCAGCGATAGCGAATCTAGTGCGAGGTCTTCTGGGTTCGCTTGCGAATCGGGTGTGTTGTTGAGCACCTCATCTAAGCTGACATGGCGAGAGAGTTCTGTGAGGACCTGTGAACAGAAAATGTAGGATGTGTTATTGTGAATGCTTCCTCTGTTCTAGAAGCCGGTGTGTTACTTACGGTCTCATCAACAGGAATAATGGATTTTCTCCTAAATTGTTGATATTGGCCATTGGTAGTCTTAAATTGTTGCTGTTTCTTTTGGGTCAGCATTTTTTCCCATTGACGAATTAGCTACTACTTTGCTCGCTTACCATGTCCGGGTGTATATCATCGGTATGTTCTTGGGTATTCTCAAGTTCCACATCTTCATCGTCACTTGATACATTCAGTTCTGCATCAGGGGAAGCTGGAAAGGAACATCAGTATTCGTTCTCGTGCATACCTTAAACGGATCACATCACATACCATTGGTTATATTGCCTCCAAATAAGGATTGATGCTCAGAAACAGCAAGCTGTGCATTTTGGGCAGCTTTTTCCTCGATCAGCTTCCACATATCCTCTCTTTCCTTTTGTTTTTTACGTTCCCTTTAAACAGTTGCAAGTTAGCATAGCGTCATCTGTGCTTGATACCGCCATTTACTCACAGTTGACGGTTGATCCTATATGTGTTCGTGCAATCTTCGAATAAAACTGGGTTGATGTCCATAAACAATTTGAGGGCATTATATACAAGACTCAAAATAGCTCTGTTTGAAGGTAAATCGGTGAGCTCATGGTAGATTTTGCAACTTACGCCAGCTAAAAATGAGTGGGTGTACTTACTGATTCCAATGGGATTTACTATTTCGATAAAGCGGGGGGAAGACGATTGGGAGTATGACTTCGATATTTTCTGCCATCAAACTGACAATGTATTCATTGTTCCAATAGTATAGTGCCCGCTCAGCAACCTGACACAAAATTATTAGCTCTATGTGGAGGTGGGAAATTGCTTTTTTTCCCCCAAAACCTTACCTGTATGTGCGTGCTTGACACGCATTCAGCAATTCTAGTAAACAAAGGGACCATAATGATTTGGAACTCTTGTACATCGATTACTTCTAGAATTTCCTCTATTTCCGTCAAGAACATGACTTCCTTTGACGTGTTCACTTTTGGCCAATAACGTAACAGTCCATTAACCACCTATACGCAAAATGTAAAGTTTCAGGGTTAAATGCAGGTCCATACAAAAGCTCAACTGCTCTAAAGAGCGATGATGTCTTACGTCTGGAGTCAATGCTTGATCCTTTTCCAGGAATTGTACGACGCAATAACCAAGTTGTGGGTGATATAGGGCCAATGATTTGGCTTTGTGCAAGGGTAGAAGTACTTTTGTCAAAAAAGTCTTGTGCTCCTCCTTCAGTGGCAATGCAAATCCGTTGATAATACTAATGTAAAGATATTATAAATGTCTGGATAAAAGGCACGCTCGCACACAGCATCTCTTGCCTACCTGCCAAGAATTTCAAGCAATTCCGCAATGCCGTTATGTCGCTCTGTTTCGTAAACGAATTGGAAGAAGATATTATTGATAGATCGTCTGATGAATGCACGCAAGTTCAGAAATTTGCCGTATATTCGATGCAGAGTCGTCTTTAAGAAATCCCTTTCTCGTGGATCCTCACTATCAAAAAGCTCCAAAAGCTATTTCATCAAAAGGAAGGTTAGCTCTCCATGTAAAATCAGTATGCCCCGTTTAAAAGCTTTTTTACCTGTAGGATAAACCTTTGGTCAATGTACTTTTTTGCATAATTTGTATTAAAATCCGGGGATTCAATGCATCGCAAGAAAAATTCGTACACGATTTGCAAATGTGGCCAGGCCAATTCTAGCACTGGTTCATCCTCTTCAGGATCAAACGCATCACCGATGGGGTTCACAGGTGGAGGAATTGTTCGAAACAGATTGATGGCAAACTGTGATGAATCCATTAGAACAAGCTGCTCCGACAGTGCTTCAGCAATAACACATATTCCAGACTTACCATATTGATTACTTCAGCGTAAATAGGCTCCGTTAGTACACCTCTGTTTGCATTAATGTATTCAAGGAGTTCTTGCAATGTATGTCGCTTAATTTCTTTGGCCTTCAATTCGGAGGAGGCATCATTAAAGTCGAAGGTCACAGTACACTGGCGAAGCTTTTGCAAAAATAGATCCTGACGTTGCTTGGCGGGTACATCTAATTGAGTGCGTTGATACGTTACACCGAAGGCATATGAGAATCATTGAAAGCGCAGGTCTAAAAAAGTGAACTAGGTCAACGTACCGTTGAAGGCTGGAGTCTCTTTAATCTCTTGCTTTTCATTAACATAAAAGCGGGAAGACTTTTGTCGACGAGGGCCTTTGCTGATGGGGATCTGATCTTTTGGGGCATTCTTCAAGCGAGTGAGGGCTCCGCTTCTAGGTATATCACGCTCCCCGGATTTCGGCATACTGAAGGAAACTTGATTGTGTGGCACTTGATTTGGGTGCGGGGGTTGGTGATTCTATTAATTGTTACGGTTATTTGTTTTGTTTTCAATAAGCCGTTTTCATTAGTATGAAACATTATCCCTAGAATACCATACCATTTCAGTTTTGTCCTCTGTGGCGGATACGACAATGGATGGTGTGCTTGGAGAGGTCAAAGGAACCGGCTGGGATTGTTTTACAGTTACGGTGTCTAAAGGAGGCACTTCTTGCTTTGTTGGTTCCGTTGGAAGAGACTTGTCATTTGGGCCAGTCGGTTTTCCTCTTGATAAAACACCCTTCCACCCTTTCATCTTGCCACTACTGGTAATGTAAGTCTAATGTGTGTTATTGTTCGATCTATAACCTTGAGCTTAGTAGCTCACGGATGGTAAGCAATAAAAAAAGTTGGGTTTGGGTCAAAGTAGGAGACTTCAAAGAACTTTAGTATAGCTCGAGACTTTGGTGCGCTAAATGGGGTCGAAAACGTTCAGTGGATTGTCGGTATTCGGGAAGTGATTAAAGCATTCATGAGTCGGCAAGTTCCAATAGTCGGACATCTTTGAAACTACATACCTACGAGAGATTAGACGAGGAGAGAGTCACACCGGTTAAAGAATGTTCAAAGTGTATCTTGTTTGGATTAAGGAAAGGTTAATGACTTGTTTAAGTCAAGCAACAGCAAAGGGCTGAAATGAAGATGGTTACACCACCCAATTTTGCAAATTTACTACTTCTGCTGCAGCAATGCAGGTAATACACCGCACCATAAAACCATCATTTAGAACCATAGTCAAAAACTACTATTATACGTTTGCAAATGTTCACCATATTCGATGGTTCTCAGTACATAAAGACCGTAGAGCTTGATACTCGCATCTCGGCTTACTCAGGCACGTCAGTATCGTGTGCATCAAAAGACGTGTGACTGGCGCACCAAATCATCGAAATTCGGGTCTACTGGAAGTTGCGGGCGCGTAGTTGAAATTTTACAGTACCACATGACAAGCTCATTTCCTGGAGAATCTCAAGATCATCTTATCCTCGATGAGGAGGAATATATAGAGTATTTAAGAGCTCAGCGAAGAGCTCATAGGGCTGGAGAAGGAAACCGCTTTGGCAATTTAGACGATGACGATTTTGACGATGCTGCACCACAACTACCACCTATTCCGGATATGCGCTTTGAACATCAAGTCAACCGTTCAATAGAAGCCTTGCAACAAAAAAACGCTTCTAACCTTCACATCTTTCTTTCTGTGATTGTTAAAGACCAGGTTGTTATGCCCTTTCTCAATGGTTTCTTCTGGGGTATAGGTGCACTTGCCTTACGTTGGTACCGTTACCGCCCAAAGCATGGAACTGCGCAGTCTAAAGGAAACGGATTTTGGCGTGGTGTGGGCCATAAGGTGAATACGTCTATTCGGTAAGTTACATTCTATGAGGATTTATAGACAGATCTTGGATGTAGGACTAACATTGTTATTATCAACTTGCCACTGTTCAGAAATGCATACCACTCCTTGGTCCACCTTCCTTCATTGATTGGTCAATCCGAAACCTCTGAATGATCTATAGAAATAAATGTAATATACCTTTGAAATTAAATGATAGCCTACTGGCAACAGTCGATGAATGTGCTGACGGAGTTTAAAACAACGAGGTATAAAATTGATGCGTTTGTGAACTGCGTGAATTCGTCTGGTGGAATGCTCCCCAAATTCAAGTCATGTCAGGTCCCTCGACGAGATCAGCATTCTTGAAGGTTCGCATTGTTAACATTGATCACTATTTGGCTGAACCAGGGTCAATGGACAACACACTTTCTCCATTCTCGTCTGAACCTCAAGCTCTGCTGAAAGTTCCTATTGTTCGGGTCTTTGGCTCTACACCAGCTGGCCAAAAAGTTTGCCTTCATATTCATCAGGTAATGCCGAATCAACCTATTTAGAAATATAATTGAAATAAATACTCATTCTATGGTGTATTAGGCGTTTCCCTACTTTTACGTGCCTTACCCTGAACAAGATACATCGCTAGACGCACTACAATCTTATTCATATCAGCTTGGACAAACACTAAACAAAGCCATGGCATTAAGCATGAAAAAAGACCCTAATTCACCACAGCACAATCAATACGTGGTCGCGATAGTTCCGGTTAAAGGTGTTCCATTCTATGGTTACCACGTAGGATACCAATGCTACTTAAAAATTTATTTGCTAAAGCCGTCTTACAAGTTACGGATGGTCGAACTTCTTCAGCGAGGAGGCGTTATGACAACCTTTTTTCAGCCACACGAAGCGCACATTCCCTATGAACTACAATTTCTAATGGATTACAACTTATACGGCATGAACTGGATCGAGTTGGACAATCGAACAGCCGCCCCAATCAAATTTCGCTCGCCACTACCAGAGGAAAGGAAGGCTAACATACACTTGACGCCTGGCAGTAATCCAGAGCAGACAGAAAATATATTTACTAAATACACTGTATCGCCCAATTTAGTATCTGACGAGTATGAACGTTCGAGTCATTGCGAATTGGAAGTAGACGCCATCTGCAGCAGTATCATCAACCGGCGTACGCTTCAGGAAAGAGATATTCACAAAGACTTTAAAGAGGCATTCGGTTTGCTAGCCAGTCAAGAACAGGAAATTAATTCTCAAGAAGCGAAACTTGTTCACTCGTTAGCTGCTATATGGGAAGAGGAGTCTCGCCGTCGTACATCGAAAGGGCAATCACCCCAAGTACCACCTGTCACCCAAGAGGATAATCGGAAAGAGCATGAAGGTTGGAATTCAGAGTTGGAATACAGATCTAGAATTCATGATCGCATTCAGAGTGAACAATTCTCAGAGGAAGACATACGGAACATGATGGATAAAGTCGCAGGACACGGTCAAGATCTCGATCACTTATTAACAGCTTGGGAAGCTGTCGCTGCGATAACCATGGATTGCCAATCGTTGAACGTAAGTATTTTGTCAGAATATATAGTTTAGAATGTCAAGCAATATGATTGACTTTAAGTCAATAGATTGCGGCAATCACTCCTGAGCGACCACTATCATCCAATGTAGGAATCACTCCTGGGCTGGCCCAAGGAAAAGGATACGAAAATCTCATTGATAAGAGCATTCTAGATACCATTCTCGATGATGCTGGCGATCAAGAAGTGACTGATGTGACAGAAGCGGCAAATGATGCCGCCAGAGAACAGGAGCCGGATCTATTTGAGAAGGGTGAATACGATCTCGAAGACTTTGATGATCCTGAAGCTTTGCAGTGGATGGCACTTCAGGAAGAAGGCACGTCTCAGAGAAAACATATTCAAATAGGATACGAGGAAGAAAATGAAAGGGACGTATTTGCTGAAATTAGGTAAGCGTTTTATGGATGCTTCTCTTCTGCCAGCAAGTACTGAAATGCTTATGTATCTACAGACCAAGAAAGCTGGACTTCATTTCTGAGCTATCTAAGTATTCTCAATCATCTTCACAAGGTAGCAGTGATGAATATGGAGTAAAAGGCAAAGGGTTGGTGATATTCCCTTATTGCATTGTATACTGCATGACATTGACTTTTTTTGCACAAAATTTCCTTTGTTAACAGTAGAAAGGAGCCCTCAAAATCAATTGATCAAGTAGATGGAGCTAATGACGAAGATGATGTTGGAGATGGAAAGTTGAATACTGATCCTCAACAATTGAAATGGGAATCTATTGTTCAAGGCAACAAGAATAAGTCTTCTACTGGCCAGACTGTATCAAATACAAATGCCAGTAAAGATACACATAGTGGCCGCCAAAGTTCAAATAGTAAAGCAGAGAAAATGAACGAATCAACCCGTAAAAGAAAGGATCACTCGGATGAACTGGAAACTCTTCCTACTTCACCGAAAACTCGAATCCGCCGAATTCGTAAGACCGCAACTCTTGACATTGCTCCAGCGCCTGTCAGCCCGTCAGAGCTTTATACTCCTAAAGACTTCATAGAAAGCGAGCGAAATAACAATATGCCTTTCAACATATTCGTCGCCGACCAATCCAACCCAGGATCCCCCCTACTATACTCTGAATTTACAGAAAACGAGAATGCAATACCCAAGGAATTTCATGTTGTAAATAATGGCTCTCCACCTTTGTTGTCTCACCGGGAGATGTCTGTACAGAGGCAAGAACTGCCGTCGGGACATACAAAAGACGAGAAACCGGCTACTATTGTTCCTTTACAGTCGACTTTGAAGAAGAAAGATGTCGAGGAACCAGTAGAATACCCAATGGCAACTGTTTCCGCAGTGGAAAAGAAAGCTTCAACGCAAACATCTGAGACCAGTGCTCATTCGCATCAATCCATTGTTAATTCAGAAACAAGCGAAGAAGAAAAGTACTTTACTTCCAGGCTGAACAGAATGTGGTCTCCCAAACAGTCAGAGACTGAGGCCACCGCATTTCGACACCACCCGCCGGACATAACATCCCCCACACAAAGCAAATCTCAAATCATGAAATCGACACCAAATCCATCAGAGTTATACGGCCTTGAGAATGATACCCAGCCAGGAACAGAGAATGAACCAAATCTAGTATCTACTGAAGTGACATATGGTGAACCTCCACCTACTTTAGATTCTAAACATCGCATAGATGTTGTATATCAAGAACCTTACTATAGTGATAGAAGAGATGCTCCTAGGCGACCAAAGATATATGCCGGAAAGGAATTCAAATTGAAGACCCTTGAGCCGTCTAGTTTTGAAGAGTTTTCGATAATTGGACCAAATATCATTAATTTAAATTCAAGAAACTCTGTCCGAACTGCAGAAAACTTTGACAATGTCAAGTCCTCAACAAGCAGCTGGACACCATCGACTATTCCTCCAACTTATAGAGATGCCTTGAAATGGCTAGAAAGAGAAGCTGCCCACCTTCACGAAGAAGAAGAAAAACGCAAGCATAATACCCAAGAAAGTGACCGCATTAATGCCAATTTCGATTCTTCAAATACCCCTACCAAGAAAAAGCAGGTTTATACCCAGGTTAGTCTTGATGTTTCAAATAAATCTTTTTGAATTATTTATTCTAACAGCACTATAGATTGAGCCACCTACACCGCAAAACCGCTATGGTATCAAATTTATGAATACAAAAACTGACGCAATCAAACCTATCAAAGAGCACCTCGATTTACTGAGCGTTGAGATTCATGGTAAATAGCATTATATTCTACCTTAAAGTTATGGGTGTGTGCGATACTAATCGATCTATTTTAAAAGTAAATTCTCAACAAAATAGATTACCTGATCCTCGTAAAGACCCTATTGAGATTATTTTTTGGTGTCTTCAAACTGAAGATGAAAATGTATTATCTAATGGTCGGCTTCCTGGGTATGTATAGAAGACATTGATTGAAAACCAAATATGAAGGCTAATCTCAAGGTATTTCAGCGCTCGTCTAGGGTTGATTGTTTGTCACAAAACCTCTATTGAGGAACGATTTTGTCTTCCAGGTACGAGTTAATGTAGGGGTATAGAGTAGATGTATACCTGGCTATATGGCTAATTATCTTTGCAGATATTGATGTTCAGTATGTTGATGACGAGTTACACTTACTCGAGCTCTTTGTGTCCAAAGTTCGACTTTACGACCCTGACATCCTTGCTGGATACGAGCTACACAATTCTTCGTGGGGATACATCATTGAGCGATGTGTGAATCAATATGGTAAGTTCGCTTCCTATCAATCGATCGTGCTTGTTGGTTTGCTATAGACTGACAGCGTTTTTGAAAGAAATCAACCTTATTGATGAGCTGTCCCGAATTAAACCTGGCGCTGTTCATGCTCCTCGGTCCGATGCATGGGGGTATCGAAAAGCCGCCATTTTCCGTATTGTTGGCCGCCATCTATTGAATGTTTGGAGAGTGATGCGCAGTGAAATCGACCTTACAAGTTATAGATACGAAAACATTGTATTTCATCTACTGCACAATAGGTAAGTGCCAGACTTCAGTATGATCGATTGAATGCTGAATTATGATCGTTAAAAAAAGACAAAAAAACGATAGAGTGCCTCACTACTCTAATAAAACGCTGACTGGCTGGTACACATCCAAAAATGCAACTCTCAAAGAAAAAGTATGTCGTTACTATCTTGACCGAGTTCAAAGAAATTTAGAGCTTTTGGACGTCTCGAACATGCTCAGCCGAACAACAGAATCAGCCAGAACGTTTGGAATCGATTTTTATTCTGTCATAACTCGCGGGTCTCAATTCAAAGTGGAATCAATGATGCTTAGAATCGCTAAACCGGAGAACTTTATCTTGGTTAGTCCCAGTCGCAAACAGGTATGATGCTTGAAAGAGGGATCACTTTATAAGGTTACAAGGCTAATCGAATCCTTCAGGTTGGCGAACTAAGTGCTGCAGAATGTCTCCCACTGGTGATGGAGCCCATATCTCAATTTTACAGCAGTCCAATGCTAGTTCTGGATTTCCAATCTCTTTATCCTTCGGTCATGATAGCATACAACTATTGGTAAATGTTAAGCTTTTATGACTCTGCGTTAATTCTATTGATGCTAACTACTCTCGTTAGTTACTCAACTTGTCTTGGAAAAGTCGAAAACTTCAAAAGGGAGTATATCCAGAGAAATCAACTTCGATATGGAATGGACACACTGGATCTGCCTCCAGAAGTTTTGAAATTGATGGAGGAGCATATCAATGGTAAGATGATATACCAGAATCTCTTGTTGACTTTATTGGAAGACTAACACTATTGCAAATCATGATAGTTTCTCCTACTGGGCTTATGTTCGTTAAGCCTAGTATTCGGAAAAGTTTGCTGGCGAAAATGTTGGGTGAGATACTGGATACACGTGTGATGGTCAAGAGGGCTATGGGAGAAGAAAAGAAGAACAAAGGTCTTTACCGACTTCTTGATGCTCGACAACTTGGACTCAAATTTTTAGCCAATGTCACATACGGATACACTTCTGCGACTTTTTCAGGGAGGATGCCAGCGGTGGAAATTGCAGATAGCATTGTTCAAACTGGCCGTGAAACACTGGAGCGGGCAATCGATTTGATCAATAATACCAAAAAATGGGGAGCACGCGTTGTGTATGGGGACACCGATAGTGTTTTCGTTTATCTTCCTGGTCGATCGCGCGACGAAGCTTTCACAATTGGCGACGATATTGCTGACACTATCACAAAAATGAATCCAGTTCCGGTTAAGTTGAAGTTTGAAAAAGTAAGCCTATCCGGTATATCCCAAAAACAATTGAGCACAAACTAACAGGGCGCTCCCAAATGCAAAGGTATATCATCCATGTGTATTGGTGACCAAAAAACGATATGTCGGATTCAAGTATGAAACCAGGGATTGGAAAAAGCCAGAGTTTGAGGCCAAGGGAATTGAAACTGTACGTCGTGATGGCATTCCAGCTACACAAAAGATGTTGGAACAAAGTCTTCGGTATGTTCTCTCCTCAAGCCAATGTTTGCAGCGCACAATACAAGTGTATTTACTTTTGCTTGTATCAGTATCTTATTCAAGTCACAAGATATGTCAGAGGTCAAAGCATATTTGCAAGATCAATGGATGAGTATACTTTCAGGACGAGTGTCAGAGCAGGATTTTATTCTCGCACAGGAAGTTCGACTGGGTGAATATAGGTAAGAAAAAGCATTTTTCATAGTGTGTGAAGATGTTGTGCTAATCACACATTCACGCTGACAGGGAAGGCTATGAATCGGTAGGTGCACGAGTGGCCATGGCAAACATGAAGTTGGATCCAAGAGCAGAACCGCAATATGGTGATCGCGTACCGTATGTGATCGTTGCACGCGGACCAAATGTTAAACTTCGCGATAAGCCCATGTCTCCCCTAGCTTATATGGCGGATAGGTATGGCATGCTGAATAGCGCTAATGAAACATTCTGCCATAAAATAACCCCTTTCTCACCTATGCTGCTTCCAGTTCACTCCGGCTGGATGCTGAGTACTACATCACAAAGCAAATTATCCCGGCCCTTGAGCGTATATTCAATTTGTGCGGTGTCGGTAAGTATATCTTTTTGTAGGAAGGCTCGAGCTATATTTATTTCCAGCAATTAAGTTATTCGATATTTCAAGATATTGCAAGTTGGTACAAGCAAATGCCTAGACGAAAGCAAGCCCTTGCTTATTCATTCTCACAATTGGAGGAGTATAACGGAAACTCAAAGACACTCGAGCAATACTACTCCAGCCGACACTGCGTTGTTTGTCGAAAAATATCAGATAACGGTAAGATAGCCTTCAATAGCTGGTTCAGGTACATGCACTGGGAGCTCACAATAGTACGTTTGATCATAGAGCTATGTAAAGATTGCCTCATGAACGGAGCAGAAACATTGTTCACAATGAAAATGCGGTTAAATGATGTACAAACACGATTTGGGAGCATTCAAGAAGTTTGTCAGTCATGTTCTGGTGTTTTGAGTTCACTCTCTGCCTCTGTCGCTGGTGGACCTGAATCTTCCTTTGGATCAAGCACAGGCTACGCTGATCACCCTTGTGACTCGATCGACTGTCCGGTTTTCTTTCAACGACAAAAGTTGAAAAGAGATGTTCGAGTTCTCTCAACTTACGATACAATTATAGATAGATGGTTCTAAACCAGTATATCATTGTACAGAACAGTTTCCGCATCATTGTAGTAAAACGCCTCCTAACAACATGCTGCATAACAATAATAGGTCTTCGAGTTTGTTGTTCTATTGCATGTTTTATTAATCAGCTTTGCGCCCTACACTATCATTTCAGTCGATGACTAGTAATGGCTGAACCATCCTGCGCCAAGTAATTTTGACGAACAACACTTGATAATAAAAATCATGTCATTGCGTAATCTTCTGTTGACAGTGTAGAACAATTTTGGTTTTTAATTATTCGGCCTTGGGAGGGACGATGAATTTCTATTAAAAAGAAAGGTGATTAGTTCTCTGTTGTGAAGCAACTGGTTTGCCAGACAAGCATCATGTCCACAGTCGGTCTGCGGCTCATTTCGCAACATCAACGCGTATTTGGCCATAGTGCAGATTTCGTTCTGTCGACGTTGACTGCAAACATAGCGAGATATTCAGATATCGACATACCTGTTCACCAGCCTTGCCGTTTTCCCACTTAGCAACCTTGAGGCCGTTGGCATCGCGGCGTTGAGCGGCAGTGCGAACATCATCCTTAAGGCTGTTGCGGACAGCGCGAGCGCAGATCTGAGCGTACTTGAGGTAACTATGCAATGCAAAGCAGAGGATGCGTTGGTTAGCCTTTGCATGTTAAACAAAAGAGAAAAAAGTTCGAGGTGGTTTGCATGTCAAATGTGCGGTTGAAGGTCGAGAAATCAACAGCCAATGGCTTAGATGCTGAGGGAATTCTACAGCTATTCGGTCGATGTAATCTATTCCAGACAACGCATTCAGGATATGAATGTATTTGATACGTACGAGATACCAGCGGATTTCCAAGGAGAGGCCATGACTATCACAGGTTATGGAGTATTCACAAAAAAAATTGAGAGACGACCAGTGTTATGGGCAAGGGGCACCTGGATATTTCGTGACATCATCAAACGTCACAGTAATTGCATATTAATTTGTTTTACTCATAAAATATTAAAAGTACATTTTCCTTTCAAGGTAAGCCATAGCAGCCTTCAAAGTTTTGTTTTTTCTGATCGGCCAGTGCAGTTTTTCATGCTTTGGAGGACGGAATAGCTATGAAAAAAATGGGAGTGATGAATCTATTATTTTTTGCTAACCATACAATCATAACTGGGATGATTGAATTCAATGGATCCACCATTCTTAAGAAGATATCCCTACAAAAAGTAACCAGTAACTGCCTCGCAAAAGTTGAATGTGACTGACTTTTTTTTTGCGAACTTCGAAAAAAAAAAAAAGTGATAGCTTGACCCATATTTTTTGGTTCAAACCGTTATGGACGATAGATTTCAGGACGCCGAAGAGAGCGATCAGCAAGTGATGGCCGTGAATGGCACTACTACCCACGATGAAGAAGATTATGGAAGTGACGACTATGATGACTACGAAGACTTTTTGGACGACGATTTGAATGACACCGAGATCTGGACAGAAGCAACTGGTGGTAAGCTTTGTTAATATTCTCGGCTTGTACCAGGCAATTGCGAAGTATTTCTCACATCGTTTTATAGATTTTACCAAACAATATAACAGAATGCGACAGCAAGCAGCTGCGCCTACAAATGCCAATGTGACAAAGCCAGCTGCTAATACTCAAGGACTTCAAAAGACGAAAACGAACGTTACTAAGCCTGCTGCAGCTTCAGAAAAAACCAACAAAGAAATGCTGGATAGTCAAATAGAAGCTCTCAGCAAATTTGCTAGTAGAATTCACTTGGATGACTACAATGTTGGTAAAGTGTCATCTTCAGTTGCCGCTGATATGAAGATGTCAAGTAGAAAAGCGCAGGGCGACAAGTAAGATATCATTTACTTCCTATACTGGGGAAAGCTTTCATTCTAACTGTGAATTTCTAGAGTTGTAAATAAGGATAAGTCAGACAGAGCAACCACCGAGCAAGTACTGGATCCTCGAACTCGAATCATCTTGTTCAAAATGTTGAACAGAGGAGTCATTTTCGAAGTCAATGGTTGCATTAGTACAGGAAAAGAGGCCAATGTGTACCATGCCACTACAGAAGATGGTCAACACAGAGCGGTGAAGATCTACAAAACATCTATCTTGACATTCAAAGATCGTGATCGCTATGTTACGGGAGAGTTCCGATTCCGACATGGATATCAAAAGTCCAATCCTAGAAAGATGGTGAAGGTCTGGGCAGAGAAAGAAATGAGAAACTTGAAACGTATTCATCAGGCTGGTATTCCTTCTCCGGAGCCATTGCTGCTACGAATGCATGTCCTCGTCATGGGCTTCCTTGGAGACAAGAACGGCTGGGCTTACCCAAGGCTAAAAGATGCTCAGATCGAAAGTTCTCGATACCCTGCCTTATACGACCAGCTCATTAAGAATGTCAGAATTATGTACCAAGTCTGCCGACTTGTCCATGCCGATTTGAGTGAATATAATATATTGTAAGTTACAGGTTGGCGATTGAATAAGTTTGCTCATGCTTTTGTTTATTAACTTGTTCGTGCTATACAAGGTACCACTCAAAGACACTATATATCATCGACGTATCTCAATCTGTTGAGCATGACCATCCTCATGCATTTGAATTCCTTCGCAAAGATTTGTCTAATGTCACAGACTACTTCAAACGAAAAGGTGTTGACGTGCTTTCCTTCAAGCAATTGTTCGATTTTGTTATCAACCCAAGTTTCGGTAGTACGGAGGAAGAAGCGGATCAAGCTTTAGAAAAGGTACATGTGGAGAAAATTAAGATTCACTAATCCATAGCTTATGATAGGAAGGTGTAATAACAAGCTTCGTCTTCATAGCTCAGAAACGAATCTACTCAAATGGATGAAAAGGATAAGATGGATGAAGAAGTGTTCAAGCAAGCATACATTCCTAGAAACTTGGAAGAAGTCTACGATGTTGACAGAGATGCCGACGTTGTTGCAAGAGGAGACGGAAAAGACGTAAGGATTTACCAGCTTATGGACAATGGGTGTCTCACATTTTTGGCTAATGTTTATATCCAACGTAGTTGATCTATTCCAGCCTTTTGAATGTATCAGCACCAACAAGTGATAGTAAAGCCACCGGTTCCAAGTCAGAGGAATTGAAAGGATCTAAGAATGATGTTATCTCGGGGGTTTTACAAGACTTAGCTTCCACACCCAAGAAGGTGTCGACGCCGGTTTCTGATGATGAAGAAAGCGACGATTCAGAGGATGAAGATGAAGAAAGTGAAAACGATGAGGAATATGACAGCCAGGCAGAGAGTGAAGATGATAGCGATTTCGAAGAAAGAACACCAAGAGGTAAACGAAACGAAGACAAGGATGCGAAGAAGGAACGTAAGAAGCAAGCTAGGGAAGAAGCAAGAGAAAAGCGAAAGCACAAGCTTCCAAAAGCAGAGAAGAAACGAAAAATAAAGAACAGCAGTAGCAAGAAGAAGAAATAAGCTCCAAAGCTGCTCACTACTAGATTCACATAAAGACCATCGACCATTTTTCTTTTTTAAAAAATTACATTCTTTAATTATGTTTCAAATACGATGCTGTAAATATCATGTTTGGTGCTAAATCGCTAGATACAATGGCTTCATAAACCTCCTCCTACACAATACGTTATTCTTCAATACCATGCTCAAACAGAAGTCCCTTCAATGCATCAGGATCATGGTTTTCTATCAATGAAGGGTCGTTTCGATGCTTAAGGTACCACTGCTCAAACCCTCCTTGGAGGACCGATACCTGGAAATAAGCGTTGGTCAGTAAACCTGTATAATTATGATACCGATCGCGCATGCAAGTTACAAACCTGTTGATCAGACTTGATTCCTTGTAAATGTCTTGATTCCTTATATATGCGGGCGGCCTTTGGTCCTGTACATACGTTGTAGTGGTATTGTTAGTTACGTGATCAGTTTCGTTGGTCGTATTCCAGTATGCATATCGATTACGAACCTCGGGCTTGTGACAGTGCACAGTGAAAATAGACCTGGGGGACATCTTTATAGTCTTCAATAAGCTTTTGGACATCTTCTAGGAAGTATCGGGATGGAACGTTAACAGCTCCAGGAATATTGCCACCCTAAGATTGCACAAGCATAATTGTTTAGAAAAGTAAAGTGAGTTCTAACCAATGTATGGAATTTGTAGTACCGCAAAGTCATGATCTCGCACGTCGATAATGACATAATCTTTCTTTGGAACTTTTGTCTTGTTTTTCAGAAGTTGTATGATTTCTGTGTCGTGAACAAGTGGGGCGGTAAACGAGGACATGGTAAACGGCTCCTGTTAGATGGTTTCTCTCTTGACTTGGTAGGAAATGAACCGTGACGGCCTTTTACATAAAACTCAAAGCTGCCAAAAATGAGCCGCTTGGCGATCAAACACTTTCCTTCGAAACAATGTATAACGGCATTGGATTGTCTACACCTCGTGGTTCAGGTAATGATTTAACATGATTCAACGATCACTTTAACTGTACCTTGGAATTAACTTTGTCGATAACAGGAACCAACGGTTATGTTGTTCGAAATTTATCCTCTCTGCGCCCTCAAAATACAAAGCCTAGAGAACAGTTTGGATCCTATGGTGATGCACAAAGATCAAGTCCAGCTATTAGGCAGCCTAACCAAGAGATTCTTCTTCATGATCGCAAGCGACAAATTGAAGTAGAATGTTTAAAGTTGAAAATGACTCTTGAAGATGATGGGTATGAATATTTTCGAAACTTGTTATTAATGATCGTTACAAGTTCTTATACAAAATGTCTTTTCTTAGCATCCCTGAAGACGAAATTGAAGCCAAAGTACAACAGTTGAGAGAATCCTTGCTTTCAAAGCTGGAATCTGTGAAAGCCAAAGACGCAAAAAGGTAAGATAGCAATTTTTACTCACCTTGAAGGATGCTGCTTATAACTAACGTTCTTCACAGTTTACGCACTCACGAGACACATCAGCTCTCAGAGGCTAAGCAGTTTGAAAACAAAAAGATGATGCAAGCTTTGAGAATTCAGGAAACTGATTATGTTGAAGGTGCGGCATTTGATCAAGAGCTTCAAAAGAAGCTGAAGCAGGAACGCATCGCCAAAAGAGAGGCTGAATGGGCAGAACGACAAGCACAGCGTGAAAAGGGCCGAAGAAAACCCAGTCCTCGACGATCCAGAAATACTAAGAGAGACAGAAGCCCATCAGAGCCTCGCCGATCAAGGAGTCCTGATCCAAAGCATCGCAGAATCTCAGAAAGGCGTCACCCGTCAGCGAGTCCTGTCAAGGAAGACGAAAAAGTACCTGAGAGAGGCCGTCCTCTTCGTCGATCCAGAAGCTCTAGCAGAAGCTACAGTAGAAGTCGGAGTGATAGTCGCAGCGCCAGCCCTAGCAGAAGCCGCAGTGACAGCCGTGGCAGAAGCTATCGACGCAGAAGCCGCAGCCGAAGTTATAGCAGCCGTGATAGAAGCGATAGCAGAAGCCGCAGTAGAAGTTACAGCAGAAGCGACAGAAGCTACAGCTCCGATAGCAGAGACAGCAGAGATCGATCGCCTCCTCGTCGACGTTAATTGTAGTTAGTTTGAGCATAATCCATTGGTATAACATACAGAGAACATGTACTCTCAACTTTGGATACAATATATATCTAAAAATTAAAAAAGACAACGGTTGGTACAAACTACTGCAAAGCATAGGAAAGATTCTGTTGTGGACAGTCCAGTCGATAAAAAGCATTTATGTATCAAATTATGTGAAGACTAGTACACGGTTTAGCCTATGCTTGATTGATTGTATTATGCAAGCGGCAGAATTGCTTCCAAGGTTGGCCATATTACAGGTAACTACTTTCTATAAATAACCATTTCTGTCTGTGTACATTTCCTGGAAAATATGGCTTCTATGCTTATCGATTTCGTTGTTCCCCGTGTTTGTTGGAGTTTCCGGTTGTTCCGGGGTAGAGTTTGTTGATGGAGGTTTGTCGTAATTGCCTTCGGCCGGTTTCGGCAAAGGAGGGATGTCTTCCACAGAACTATTCGTGAGAGGATGCCTTAACGGAGAATCACCACGGCGAATGGAGTTGACACTGGTGGCGCTATGATATGGGTTCATGTGCTTGTCGTTGATAGAGAAACTTTGCAAGGATTCCGACATGCTTGGCTGGCTTGCCCACTTAGGTCGCTCTGGTTGAATGGATGATGGTGTTTCATTGCTGGACGATATGATTTTTGTTTGGACAAGCGTGATGTACTGTATAACAGTACGCATGGTCCAACATGTCGCCGTAAATATGGCCATCACTCGAACAGCAAGCCAAAAAATTTGATAGCTTTTACCAGCAGCGCTGACCGCGCTGGATAATGGCCTCTCCAAGACAAACAGTATGACCACCAGCGCTATCCATATTAAAGTCATCGCTAATCCGATATTTCGATCCATAGAGGACACCTTCAGGTTAGAGCTACGAGTTAGACAAACTAAAACCATGCTGGCTAGTATAGAAAAACCGCTGATAAGAAAAGATAGAAGTGTAGCTATGGATGGTTGGTCTGTTGAGAGTTCGCCGGTGTAATACAGCCTATGAGAGGAGACGAATTCTAAGCTTTGGAGCGCAAGTACAGCCACCGCGCCTAAGAACTGTAAGAATAGTAGAAGGTGTAATAGTAGAACTGCCGGTGGCATTTTCGATATCTTAGTTCCAAAGTCCAAGTGTTTTTAAATAGTCTTTATGTCCTGTACCAAACATTATTCGATATTACTTTTATACCTGTTCCAAAAAAATAAAAAATAAAAAATAGAGTGTCACTTTGCTGATCATCGTCTTCTTCAGCCTCAGGAGTGCTCATCAAACTACGTTCTTATTGGTTGCCTGGAACAGGAGGTATAAGCTTAACAGACTTTGGGCATGCCATCAACAGGTGCCACGGATAAAAAAAGACCATCGTAAAAATTTGAGGAGGTTCATACTATTTTCGTGTTATAAGCCATGAAAAGAACATACTCCATATTATGAGTTTATGGCACTGCTTAAAATGATAAATAGTAAGATTTGGAGTTTTGAGATGGACAATAACGTGGTGCTGGTGTCGTAATTGGTATTTTGCCGTCATCATCATCAGCTCCATCAAACTAGTTTTTTTGTTTTTGTTTTGTTTTGTTTTGCTATTGTCTTTACCCTTCTTTGACATATATACTCAAATGGAGTTTTTATTCTTTCCAGAATATACTGAGTACTTTTTAACTAAAACGATTAGGACTATATTACATTCAATAGGCACATCTATATAAACAAACTGAGCATAGAAAGGAAGAAACGGAAACAATGATGGGGCGATCGAACTACCAGCGAACGACAGATTACGTACGCACCACGCTTAAAGCTTGACTTGTAAGCGTTCGACAGGGAAGGTTCGTGCAAGCCATGCATGGACAGGTCCCAAAATGACCAGGCGCTCAAAGGCAAGACCAGCGACGACGTTACCCGCACACAGACCCCAGAGCTTCCATCGGAAATCAACAGGTAAAACGTTATGGCCAAGAGGGGTGTTGTAAAGTTCAACGTTGGAGGTAACGCCATAGTAACCCATTTCATGAAGCACAGTAGGGGAACCACAGTTGAAGCGCATCATGCATCCAAAGTTGTTAGGGTCAGCCAATAGCCAGTATGAGACGATGGCAAGGTAGGCAGCCCAAAGGAAGACCAGAATGTAGTTGCGCCACCAGCTTTGACGGAACTTGTAACCGAAGTTTTGAACAGCAGCGTTGTTGATAAATTGGAAGAGACAGACGAGAGCCAGAACTTCAGCTTCGAAATTATCAGCCAACAGCCACCACTTTGAGACATCAACGGCAGAAGAGTCAAACATATTACAAACAAACCACGGTTGCTGGAAAAGCATACCAAAAGCTCCAATAAGGAAAATCCAGTTGATCAGGACAAGTCCAATGGTGGAAATCAAAATCTGGGGGCCAAGAATACGAGCAGTAGGGCGTTGAGGCTCAAGACGAGGGTTAGCCTGGGACTGGGAAACAGCCCAGGTCAACAAGACGGTGATACAAGCATCGACAGCAATCCAAACAGCCTGGGACATGGAGAGAGAGAAATAGAAAGTAAAGATCTTCAACATCATCATGACTTGACCGTATACTGTGGGCATCAAATTAGCAAACCAAATCGCGATGGTAAAGTAGATACAAATTAATTGAAAGTCAATACTCACGAATAAGGTATTTATATCCGGTAACCGATGTAGCCAATGCTGCACGTCCTTGGCGAATAAGTTCAACACAGGAGCGGACAGAACGAACACTGGTGGAGAAGGGAGATACGATGGAGGCTTCGGCCTCAGACATAGCCAAACCGACATGGGCAGCGCGAAGAGCACCACAATCATTGCCACCATCACCAGTCATAGCAGTGATACCACGCTCTTGATGAAGTTGAATGCATTGAACCTTGCCATTGGGGGTCATACGGGCGAATACACGGATATCCAAAAGATACTTGCGAATCAGATCGTGATCAACCATCCAGTGGAAAGCCTTACCAGTAACAGCTAATTCAACGGGCGTATGGTCACGGTTGAGGAGATAATCATCAGGGTTGACATCGTTGAAAACTTCAGGTTCGTCAACGTCGGTCCAGACAAGACGATTGGTTTCCTTGTCCAAATCAGCCAGCAAGACCTTTGCATTAGGATCAGCCATACCACATTGACGAGCAACATAGACACCAGTAAGGGCGGTATCACCAGTAATCATGACGGTACGAGTGGCACCACGCTTGAGTTCAGCAATAGCTTCAGCAGTATCTTCTTTCAATTGATTCTTGAACACGATGAGACCACAAAAGTCGATGTTCTCTTCCATTTGATCTCGAGTCCACTGATTGAAACTTTCCAAACCACCAATTTGATCCAAATCAATTTCGCGATGAGCGAGAGCAAGAACATAACAACCTTGACGAGCCAATCCAGCAGTGACCTTATCATAATCCGAAGGAATGGATGCGGGGATGGCTAAATCCTTAATCTTTTCATAGGCACCCTTGACGAAGATATGAACTTTGTTGGTTAAGGTATCCAATACAGCGACCGACATCGACATGCGAGCGTGAACGAATTCGAAACGCTTGATCACATGAACAGGGTGAGCTTGTTCTCCAGGGGTATCGGCCGGTGGAGTCAAGGTATCAACGTATTTAGGATCAGAGGATTCCTCAAGAGTCCACTTGCTAGCTCTGAACATTTCGATATCGACAGGGTTACCAATGAATGTGCCATTCAGCGTAGTAACGGCATGGCAAGAAGCAGTTCCGATTTGCATCACACGAGGGATATCCTTGATAGCAGTAATATGCTCACCGAATGTAGGATTGACTTCTGCGGCACGGTGGGAAGCAATATTATTGACATCTTCGATAGGTTGGACACCAAAGAATTCGAGACCTTCTCTTGTAAGAGTACCAGTTTTATCGAAACAGAAAAGTTGAACTTTGCCAGCCATTAAGATTCTAGGCAAATCGACACAGAAGATCTTTTGTTTGCGAAGGCGGCCGGCAGCAACGGATTGACCTACGACCAAGGCAGCAGGGAGAAGAGGAGAGACCAATTGACAGATACAGAACATAGCATAGAACCATGCAGAGGTACCAGCAACGTAAAGCCAGATAGCAAGACCACAGCAAATGGCACCACAGCAGAGAAGGATCAAAATAACAATCTTGATCTGCTCATCAAAGATGAAGCTGACCTTGTTGGGGAAAAGGATCTTCTTGACGAGTTCACCCTTGTCTGTGGCAGTTCCAGTCTGAGTGACTACGGCAGAAACAGGTTCATCTTGAACACGGAGAGCTTGAGACATAATGGTTCCAGAAAACAACGTGGAAATCTTTCCAGCTCCCAAACGATCGTAGGCAACGTCTTCATCACGAATGGGGAATTTACGGATTGGCAAGGGTTCACCAGTAAGAGAACTTTCATCAGCGACAATGTTACCGCTGAGGATGATAGCATCACAAGGGGAAGTTTTTCCTTCGGCTACTTCAAAGACGTCACCTGGTACCAGATCAGCAGTAGAGTAGGAACCCCATTTACCGTCACGAAGAATATTGACGTTATCGGTAAATTCAGCCATCTTCTTCAAACGATGTTCAGAGCGGAGACGGATGACAACCTTCAGAAAGGCGGATAGAAGAATGACACCGGTGTCTACCAAACCAATCTGCCAGTAGGCAAAGTAGTAGAACAGCCAAAGGACAGTGAATTGGTAAATGTAGAAGAAGGAGGTGAATTCGCGAACGACAGCCATGAAGAAGTTGGGAACGTAGACAGCGATGAAATTGGGACCAATGAGTTCCTTACGGTTACTGGCTTCCTCAGTGGTAAGACCACCGGCCAGAGCTCTCAATTCCCTGTTGGTCTCTCCAAGCTCAAAGTCATGGGGAGTAAAGAGCTGGGTTTCGGGGTTGAAGACAAAGCGAGTACATTGATACTCAAAGTATTTTGTACCAGCGTTTGTGTATTGCAATGGAGCGGTGTTAACAACAACATCGAGACCAAACATTTTCTTTGCTTTCGCTTCCATGGCTCTGACGGTATCCATAAGAACGCTCGAGTCTTCAAGCAAGACGACAGCTGATAGAATGGGAAGGTTAAATTCAGCGCTGGTTTTGCGGGTGGATCCGTTTCGATCTACAACTTACATGGTTCATTCTTTTCAACTTGTACATATTGTCCTTGATTGTAGGTGCATTGAATTCGGTAGAAGTTTGGAATGCGGGATCGGAAAATGACCAGGGTAGCGAACCAGAAGAAGAGGACATACCACATGCCCATGAAAGTGGACGATTGCACGAGCGCGTCGCCATTAAAAAGTTGATAAGCGGGAATCCAACCACGGGGATAGTAATCGTAGACCATAGTAATCATCATGCCGACAAGTCCCAAGGTTTGTAATCCATAGACAACAAACATGACAACACCGATAGGATCGCGCTTGTAAGCTTTGATGACCATCTTGTCTTGAGGCTCAGTGGATGAGATATAACTGGCAGTATCATCTTCTTGCTCTTCCTTCTCACTGGGGTTGGAACCGGGTAGCTTTTCATCACGATGATCAGAGTACTTCTCAACTCTAAAGTCTTCGACTCGGCCGAAACTAGCCTTGATAGCCTAACATTTGTCCAAATAAAAATTAAATTATTAGTTTTGTGAAACCAGTAGCAGGGTTGAAATCCCGTTTGACTTAATTTGGCATGCACATAATTTGCTGCCAGACCAAAAAGAACAAAAAAAAGGAATGGAATAATCCAGGATTGAAGGCATATATCGACAAGATAGCGTCATGAACACTTGTCACCAAAATGACTTGAACATACCTTTTCGCGAGCAAGCTTGTACATATACCATAAACCATTCAAAGCCAACAAGGAGGCATAGAAAACCCACAAGGCCAAAAAGAAAGGAGAAGTAAAATCAGGTGGACCATCTGCTACGTATTCTGCAGGACATGTGTTCCACATTGCACCCTGGGCGTCTGGTGCCCAATCTCCAACCGAGATACCAGCATCGGATTGACAGGCTGCTAGACTCTGCGCAGTCTTGTTATTTGCGTCAAATTGAGGGATGGTGACAGTTTGGTCCATGGCACAAGGATACATGTCACCCTGAATATCTGGCGCACCAAAGCAAGCGCAATATGAACGTAAATCGCTTGGGCAGCCACCAGAATGGCATTGACCGTCTACACAATAAGTTTCACCAGAAGCACAAGGAGAAGGCTGCCATTTTTGAGGGCATTGCTGGATATTTCGTACACAAATAACTGGGCAGGGATAAGCATTGTAGGTAGGCAATGGGCAAGCATTACCGTCAAGATCGTTTCCATTGACTATTTGAAACAGGATGGTCAGTTTCATATGTCATACACGCATTGTAGAGCCATGAGGTGGCGGCTTTTACCTGTGTTCCATTTGGGAGTAGCATGGACATTGGCAGTGAGGAGGCCAAGTACCACTACCAAGAGCATCAGGAAAGATTGTCGGGTTGGTCTATGAAACCAACTCATGATGGAAAGGAAGATATGAGGTTTTAAAAAATTTGATCTATGTATTTTATATGATCGGTTGTTAGATTCACGGTCAACTCGCTGGGTTAGGGCCTGGAGATTCAGCAGAAACCATCCTTGTTCAAACTCCTACTATTCCCCGTTCGGTGTCTCAACCCATTCTGTAACCACCTACGCCTACGTAAGGTCAATGCTTGGTTACCAAGTAAAAAATGCCCTTTAGTGTATTGTTCAGATTCATGTCATAAAAATCAGCCAACAGCTGTCAACCGGCTGAATCATTTACGTTACCATGTTGTCGACCTTACCATCTCTTCGTACTTCCCCACAGAATGAAGTTGTGCAAAGCAGTTCCTGGACTTCCGATTTGACGGAACGCTTGCACTAAACCATTTTGTTGTTCTTTCAGCGTCTGAGCTTCTATGCTTAAGGTTCCCGCTTCAAGCCAATAATGGACATGATCAAGATACGTCAGACCCCAGGGTAACGTGCAGCCAACCAATGGAAAATGGAAACTTCTTATTACCCATGTTTTATATTAGATCTCAGACTGTCCAAGTACTTTCGATCACAACACGATATCTTGCCATGCATTTTCCACCATTGAAAACTCAATCATTCATATCCTATGTTTGTTCTATCTAGGGAGAGTTGTGGGAGGAAAGTATGCTAGATAGCTGCGATTCTAATCAATCACCAGTATTTGAAAATAATTAAAGGTAATACTCGCGAAAGTATTGCAAGTACATCTCCGAACCAACGGGAGTACTCAGCCGGGATAAGATGCTGCTTCGTGAAATTCTCAGGCTACACATGGTAAAGTGTGGTATAGGTATGGACATTAGCTAGGCGGGGGTTTTGTCTGCAATATCGGCTTTGGTGACAGGACGTGTTGCACCACAAATTTCGGAAGTGAAGGAGTAGGTGTGTTAGCGTCTTTTAATGGCCAATCATCAAGTGGTTCATACCTGCCACTGTTTTTTGCACTCTCCATATCAGTCAATTTAGTGTTTAGCTTCCCTGTTTAACTTTTTATATCATATTGTCATTTGATATACTGCATAACTTTTGTTTTTACAGAATATGGTCAAGTGAACATGATGCCACACAAAGAAGTACTGGTATGCTATAGCTCCGCTTTACAGTACTCTAAGCAAATGGTCCGACTAAGCAAAGTAACCGCCTGGTTATGAGAGCCATTCTGGTCGGGCTTCCATTCATATTGAAAGTGAGCCCAAGACAATGTTTTGTTCTATATGAGCCCGGTTCACCTGGCTTTGAAACAACTCTGCAATTATTTGGACGAGCGAGATTGGTTGTTGTGTCATGGGCATATACCTTATTTTGAGCTCCATGTCTAATTTCTAAACATTGTGTATTCATGCAATATGCCAGGATGGTACTGTTCAAGCAATAACATGACCTGGAATATTACATCTGATTCACAAATAATTCTGATCAGAGAAAGCCGATTGTAATGATAACCTATTATTTCCATAACTTGAATGGTAGTACATGATCTTGAGTATGACCAAGCGCATCATTAAGGACTTTGCTTATGTCAAATATAGTACTCGTATTTCATGAGATTTCTTCGGCTTCGAGAAAAAGAACAAACCGGTCTGTATGGCCGCGTTTATACGAAAAATGAAAAAATCGGGAAAACCGGCTAACCCACCGACAAGCGCTGTTCCCATGTTTATGGGCAAGGGGTTTAATATCAGCGTTCATATTTAATGGCTTGCGCGTGTCCCGCTTTCATAATATTTGCACGGTTCGTATTAGCTCTCTTTTCAAATGGTGCTGGAAATGGATCTGATACCGATGTTCTTCTACTCCTAGCATCGTAAAGTGACAGGTTGCACTGTCTTGCTTCCATACCATAACTCGGTTCGTTTTAGCTATCCATAAAAGTTTTCACGAGATCGCTAGGTAGTGACTCGCATGACAGCTTGCGCTGGCAATACTGCCTTTGGATGACTTTCATTGTCCTCAGTAGCTGCCCGCTTCAATTTTATAACTTGATGCTTAACCCGTACCATACACGACAAGGTTACCGTAAGCAATACAGACATTATCAACTGATTCAAATTTGAAGAAAAAAAAAACGACTTTTTAATGGTTATAGTCTTTTTCAAATGAGCGAACGCAACTCGGTAGAGATTCGCTGTACTCTACTGGCCAAATCAAACAATGAAACAAATTTTACATAGTGAGTTCCTGCAAAGAATAACGGAGTGAATTAGATGTTTGGGGATTAGGGTTATACATTCATGCACATAGATCGTAACTTACCATGATGGCGTTGACAATGTCATTGTTGTTGTTCTTGAGGGCCTTGATAGCCTTGCTGCGGCTGACGTTGGCTTGGGAAACAACCAACTCAATATCCTTGTCCTCAACACCAGTGGCATCAACTTCACCTTCCTCCTCATCTTCTTGAGCAGCAGTCTCGGTTTGCTCGGAGGTCTCGGTTTCAGCAGCAAGTTGTTGGGCAGCAGCAGCTTGAGCCTGAGCGTTCATGTCTTCAACGGAAGATTCACCGAAAACGATGTAGGTGTCAGAGTTGACACTTCTGTAGACATCGGGCTTGGCAACAACCAACAAGACCTAAAGCGATTGCATAAAAGATTCAATTAGTATGCGCTCCAGCTTGACACTTGAATGCGATCTTGAAGATAAAACTTACACCACGGGGACGGCGCATGGTGACGCGGGTGATACCATCAACCTTCTTCAAGCCGAGGGCCTTGATGGCCTTGCGAGCCTTCTTCTCACCACGAGATTGGGGAGTATCAGCAGCGCTGATCTCACTCTCCTCGAGCTCGGGAAGCTCATCCTCGAGCTCTTCAACCTTAGGGTCGACAGGCTTTTCAGCGAATTCGGCGGACATCTACGAAGAACGCGATATAAAGTCAATATATGTGTAGAAATTGGTTGGCATTGGGGGAAATGCAAGTTTCGTGTAAATTGACGTGTGGTAAAATGGCGATCGGTTCGTAATGCGAACAATTCGGTTTCTTCAGCACGTCGAGAAGAAGTTGTCGCGCGCCTGAATAACCCATCCATCCATCCATCCATCCATCCTACATCAAGCATTGTATTCGTCCCATTCTTGCATCCATGATATTGATAAGGGCTGATATACGTACATTTATGTTTCAAGAAGGAACTACTTGGTGAGGGTTGAAGCAGCCGTTAAAGCTGCCACCCCAATATTACAAATCACGTGATAAACTTTTTTTTTGCACAGGTCTGGGCATTGAGCTGAGAAGCGTGCCTCAGAGAGCGGTGCAAAACTGGTATTCAAGCATTTCGCCTCGAACTTCCAGTAGGACGAGCATAGCTGTAGTATACAGATTCCAAGTATATCTTAAGCTATATGGCGTTCTCACTACACCATAATGAACGCTATTTGCGATCGCTAGAAGATTTTGAGTCAGACGTAGGCTCGCATCCAGCAAACGCGCAAGTCTTCGCTACTAATGACTTTCTGGATGTTCTCTATAACTTAATCAAGGAAGCCAACGATCAAACGAAGGGCGTTGCCGATCACGATGAGAGCTATGAAAGCGAGATCGAGATACTGAAAGCGGCCATTCGCGCTTTTGCGACTGTCGTTCCATATGTCTTTAGCTCTGTGTAAGTAGCATCACCCCTAGTCAAATGAAAGAGCGAATGTAATTTTCTAACGGGTCTACCAATATAGATGCCAAAATGAAGCTGAAACCCGTCTCTGGCAAAATGTCAGCGCTGTCAAAGAAATACTATTACAATCGTTGATTCATCACCAAAACCAAGGTGTTCGATTTGCAGCCATCAAATGCGTACAAGTGTTCATTCTCCTACAGTCACGAAGTGAAGGCGATAGGTCAAATTCCAGCGTGAGTACGATGATATATACATTTTTATTGTCTTTGGAGAGCCACTAAAAATCACCTTTCCAGAATGATATAAACATTTCGTTGGTCCGAGCAGATCATAGAATACTGAAGGTTGATCAGTTGCTGGAGGAGGCACTTTCAATGGTGAAGATAATGGAATCATTATTGAAAGCCCCAGATATGTAAGCATATGAAAGCTTATTAGTGGTGAAGGATCAACATCTGACTTTGCATTCGTCACGTAGGACGTCTCCAACAATCACAGCTACGCTAAATTCCCTCGTACCTTTAATGAAGAGGCGGCCACAATTCGTTCCCGAGCTTACTACTGCGCTGATTAGCTGGAATCGTCCGCCTTTGTCTCAGCTCTCATCTGTCCAAATGCGAAATGTCGACAAGGCCGTGAAGCTGGTCTTCATCACCCTCATTCGGTATGAAATCCGTGTTTCATTTTACCTTCATGATCATGAAATGATTGCTTATATGTTGTTGTCGACGTGCTTACAGATCAGAACAGTTGTCCAGCCAGAGAACCGAGCTTATCAACGCTTTTGGCGCTGTCGGTGGAGATGCTGCAGGAATGTTCCAGAGCCGCTCACAAAAGTTGAAAGAAAGAGAGCTTAGAGAACGCGAACGAAGGGAGAGCAGCGAAGAAAGGAGGTCTGCGGAAAGAAATGTTTCCAAGCGATCATTACCTGATCCAACTAGTGTGTCAGCAGAAAAACGTCAGCGAATGGGAACTGAAAGCAACGTATCACAAACGAATCTCTTGGCCGGTTTCGACCTTGAATCGTTGCCGCTACCCATGGTTGCCGAGTTTTGCTTAGCTATCCTTCAAAACACCACAGCTGAGATTTTGACGGAACGACTACCAATGGTATATCCAGCCCTTAATACAGTGACAACGGCACAAACATCAGCAGCGCCTCTATTAGAAACTAAAGTTGCTACACCTCCTCAAATCGTTGGTGCACGATCCCCAGATATGCACGGAGTTAAGATTGAACCTTCATCGTCGTATGGAAATAGAAGCGTATCGACGCCGACTGGCCAGGGAAATACACCGGAACCAGATATTGTCAAGAATGAAGGTGCGATCTCTTCCGAGGCAAATTCAGATTTCAAGACGATTACTGCTGTCGGCCGCAATCCCCTGCCCAGTGCTCAGGAGCGCGTTATCCAGTCGCTAAAGATGCAGCCATATGCGCTCGCATCTCCGCCAGAGTTTGATAGGCGCCAAAAGATAGAAATGTTGAAACTTGCAGTGCAACGTATATTGGAAGCAGAAAAATTGTCACAGCAAAATTTACCGATAATTGATACCACCCAAGACGAAGACGCCAGTCGTAGACAAGCAGCCGTTACCTTCAATTCTCCTTTGAAGACTACATGGATTCTGCTCATCGCTAAGCTTGTAGCCAAGGGAGTACAGATAAGTAAATCTTCTGAAGACGCTAGTGACGGTACAAACACGGACACGAAAATGGATACAGACAACTTGGATAATGATGCCACTTCAAGCGAAGTGGATGAACTGCGTGATATGCTACTAGAATTCATTGTCGAGAATTTACCTTATCGGTATGTGTGACTATTGACTGCATCCAAGTGAATATCAATGACTGACATATTTTTTTCTCCTTGGTTAATCTAGCCAAGAGCTTGCTGTGCAATGGATGTATGAAGAAATGCGCATGGATCAACATTACGCCAACTCTCAAGATTACCAGCCAAAATATTTCCATTGGTTCATCAAATTAGTCAAATCTGCACTTCCATTTCTTCGCAACGATGATCGCTCGATGTCAAAACTCTTACTAGACGCACCGGATCTCAATGCTGAGGTTGTTGGTTTGCTGAAAGGCGACATGGAGAGACGCCCTGAGCGTTACAAGGCCACTATACAAACATTGCATGACCTCGCTCTACTCAGACCACCCGTACGGTCGTACTGTCTGGATGTTCTCTTGGAGTATTGTATAAATCACGACAACAGCAAGCGGGCTTTTGCCATTTTAGATGTCAAGAAATGGGTGCCTGACCATGCTATATCACCGATCATTGAAGAGTTTTCTATACGATCCCTGCGACGATTATTAGATGACCCTCCTGAAAAAATTAAAGAAGATGGTATGGAAACCGAACCGGCGCAGGCTGAACCAAATGGTACCTCAGCGATGGACGAATCTGGTGATTTACCTAAAGGAACGAGTGAGGACGCACAAGCGAAGGAAGAAAATGTTTGGGAAAGGGAGAGTGTGATTCCCCACTTAGAGCTTTATTTTGCGCTCTGCTTGAAGAAGCCAGAACTTCTGGAATCGTAAGTCTGGTTCATTATGGGATAATTATATAACCACCACAAATAACTCAACTCAACGAAATTTGCTTTCAGCCTTTTCGATGTATATATCAACACCACAATACAAGTTCAGCGAATCATTCGGCAACATATAACAGGTCTCATTAGAAACATTGGCATGCACTCGCCCAAACTCTTAGAAATCATAGGTAATTTCGCTCCGGGAGGCGAAACTCTGATCGTTCGCATTCTGGTGGTCCTTTGCGATACAGGTACTCATCTCAGTATACATTATATGGAGAAAAAAATAATGGCTATTCCGATGCTGACTTTTGGTCTCTTTCTAGTACGACCCACCCCGGAGCTAGTTGACGTCGTCAAAAAAGTCTATCAAGAACGAAACTTAGATGCCAAATTTCTTATTCCGGTTATTTCAGGTTTCAACAAGGTATGTTCATTTAATCTCTCAAATAATTCGAGTTACTGTGTGGCTAACGCAGAAGAATAGGATGATATTAAGCAGCATATGCCTAAAATTGTTGGCTTGCTGAATGGAACGGAAGCTCAACGCAAGATTGTTCGAAAAGTTTTTTCGCGTATCATTTCAGATAGTGGAAACGTGTCGGCTCATATGAATGCAGTTGAGCTCTTGGTTGTTTTGCATAATACCGATCAAAACGTTAGCCCCAAGCAGGCGATTGAAGGTCAGTATAGGAAGTAGTGATTTGCATTATCACAGGCAATATAACTAACTCGACATCTATTCCCTCCAGCCATCAACATCTGTTTTTCGATGACGGATATTTTCACGTCGGATATCATTTCCAAGGTGTTGCAGCATCTTATGGAGCAGCCCAAGATTCCGCTGTTATTCATGGTCACCGTAAGATACTCTACATAACTGGTATAGTCCATGCTGTTCTTTTACTAACTAACTAATGCTGTTGGTTCTTCAGTTAATACGAAGTGTCGCTGAGCACCCTGACTTGGTAAACCTAGTTTTGATTCTGTTACAAAAACTTATATCTAAGCGAATCTGGACGAGCCCGAAGCTTTGGGAAGGGTTTGTTAAATGCATACAGGTATTATTTTGGTGACCTTTTGGCTAAGAAAAGAGAGAGTACTGCTGACATACCTTCTTACAATGTTTTAGAAAACTTATCCTCAGTCGATGAAGGTAGTTGCGAATCTCCCAAAATCACAATTGATGGACGTTCTTACAAAAGTACCAGGCATTGCCACTGGTCTTCGTGAGTTTGCTGAGCAAAACGGTTTAGGCCGTGTGCTTGTTACAATGAACGAGATGGGGCTAATAGAAGAGGAGCAAGAGTAAGAGCATTTAACAGCAGTGGTGCCATCCATATTTTGGCGAATTTGCCGAAATGACAGGCTCGGACGACATCCTTGCTAGCTATAGATGATTAAAATCACTCAAAATGTATAATAAACCTATTGAATCTAGTACTGAACATGTGTCTCTGCTTGTATATGTCCATTGAGGCACATTTTTGTTACAAGTTGTTTGATCCCAATAAATTTGGTTGCGCTGGCTTCCTGTACACGTGCATCCTCAGTTTTGCTCATAAAATTGACGAACGAAAAAAAAAATCCTTGGACCGAGAACTTGCCACCATTGTAACTTTGTCTCATGAGCAGTGTACACATTGACGCAAAGACCTTCCATAGGCGAGCGCGATACTTCATTTCGCAATGGAAGGTAGGCACATTTCAACGAATTTTCCTTCATCACCTCCACATTCGACCTGATCAGCGTCGCGTAGCCTGCCGTGACGACTACGCGATCACCATGATCCCGAACGCGATTTTGAGAAATACATCACCACTATGCTCAATTGCGTTATAAACTCTTGTCGCTACTTTTAATCAGAATACATGACTCCATTTCACTTACACCTTGCCATTTTTTCGTAGGAGTCGTCCAACAAAGAGTTGTTCAACAATGTCGACGCCATTGCTGTTGTGGTTGGAAAGCAAGACGAAGAAAACCCGTACCAGCAATCGACTGCGCTACAAGTAAGACGTTTTTCTATACATTTTCATATCGACTAGATAGTTAAAAATTTCCAACTTCAGACTTGGTTTCTGGGATACGAGTTTCCCAATACTGTGATCGTATTCACACAGGCAAAGATATTTGTCGTCACAACAGCTAGCAAGGGTAAGTTGTGTCTGACACTACTTCTTTCGTACATAAAAGCATGACTAATATCTTGGACAGCCGAAAAATTGAATACCGTTAAGCAAGGAGATAAGCAGGTGCCACTTGAGATCTTGCCGCTAGCCAAGGGATCAGATGACAACGGAGCAGTCTACAAAACTGTACTAGATGCTATTCCCGGCTCAAAGGTAGTGTGTTTTATATATTCAGAGTCCTTTTTATGATACGCTAGCTAAGTATTTATGTACTAGCGAATGGGTGTTTTGACCAAAGACAAGTCTGAAGGCAAAGTGGTAGTTGAATGGAAGACAGCCCTCAGTAAATGTGACCCAAAGCCAGAGGAAGTTGATGTGAGCGCTGCTGTTGGTTCTATTCTTTCTGTAAAGGATGATGAGGAAGCGGTAAGTCTTTGTGTGGTATAAGAATCCCCTGGATCTCGAGGGTAAGCGCTCAAACTGCATGAATCTTTTTCAGAGAACTATCAAAGTCGCGTCCAAGATAAGCTCTCAAGTTCTCAAGGAATTTTTTGTTCACCAAATGGAGAAATGCATCGATGAAGAAAAGAGCATTACACACGAGCAGCTCTCGGACAGCACCGATGCCGCATTATCAGATGCCAAGCAGTTTCGACAACTTAAACTTCCTAACGATGTAAGTAGCATTTTTTTTTTTTTTTAAAAAAAAAAAACTGGTTTGGCTTTCGGTACCTGATGCTTACATTAAATTGTACTTTTCAAAGGTCGATCAAAACGACATTGAATGGTGCTATTCTCCTATTGTACAAAGTGGAGGCGACTATAATTTAAAATCATCCGCAGTCTCCAACGAAAAGAAACTGCATCCTGGGGTGATCATGTGCTCTCTCGGTGCTCGATACAAGTCATATTGTTCGAACATTGGTCGTACATATCTTGTGGATCCATCCAAGTCACAAGAACAAAACTATCAATTCTTGTTGGATGTACAACATAAGGTGTTGGACTCCATGCGAGATGGTGTGAAGTTTCGCGATATTTATGCAAAAGCCCTTGCATTTGTTCGGAATAAGCGACCAGAACTGGAAAAACATTTTGTTAAGACCCTAGGATTTGGAATTGGTATTGAGTTCCGTGAATCCAACTATGTAATCAATAGCAAGAATACTAGAGAGCTTAGAAATGGCATGACGCTCAATCTCTCCATTGGATTTCAAGACCTGGAAAACAAGGACACCAAGGACGAAAAGGCAAAGACATACGCTCTGTTGTTGATTGATACCGTTAGAGTTACCAATGACGGTGCTGTGGCCATGACTGACGCCCCCAAGGGTGTCAATGATGTATTTTTCTTCTTTGATGAGGAAGGCGATGGTGAAAAGGCGGTCAAGAGTGAAGAAAAAACTCGGTCATCAAAATCGGAAAAGAAGAAGGCTCCATCGGCTATCTTAAACTCAAAATTCAGAAGCGAAGAACAAGATGAAGAGTCGCGAGAACAAAAGAGAAAGGCCCATCAAAAGGAGCTTGCTGCCCAAAAATTGGCAGAAGGCTTAAAACGATTTGCTGAAAATGCAGAAAACAATGTTGGCGAGCAAAAAGCTGTATTCCGCCGATTTGAAAGTTACAAGTCTGACGCCAAACTGCCCAAGGAAGTCAAAAACTTACAAGTAAGTGTCCCTATTTTGCAAGGGAAATACGCAAGTCCGTATTAACGATTTATACATTGTTCAGATTGTCGTCGATGCCCGTGCGAATACTGTTATATTGCCTATTTATGGTATGGCTGTACCTTTCCATATTTCTACTCTGAAGAATGTCAGTAAGAGCGACGAAGGCGACTATGTTATGCTGCGTTTGAACTTTATAACACCAGGCCAAGCTGGTGCCAAGAAAGATGATCAGGTAGACTACTATTCAATTTGCTCATGCTTTTGAGTCGTTCGATGCTTATTCAAACCCTGTCCCATTTTAGCCATTTGATGATGCAAATGCCAACTTCGTTCGCGCCTTGACATACCGAAGTGCCGACACTGTGCGAATGACAGAAATCTTTAAAAATATAACAGATTTGAAGAAGGAGGCGGCGAAGAAAGAGGCCGAGAGAAAGGAGATGGAAGACATTGTTGAACAAGACAAACTGATAGAAATCAAGGGTCGTCGACCTTACCGATTGGGTGACGTGTTTGCTCGACCTCAAATGGATGGTAAACGCCTTCCAGGTGAACTCGAAATCCACCACAACGGTTTACGATACCACTCAACTATTCGTAGCGATAACCGAATAGGTAAAGCCAAGTCATAGTGTAAAGATGTAGCGTAATGCATCAACTTACGTATCCCATCCATCTAGATATCTTGTTTAGCAACGTTAAGCATCTCTTTTTCCAACCTTGTGACAATGAGCTCATTGTCTTGCTACATGTACACCTGAAGAATCCTGTTATGATTGGCAAGAAGAAAATCAAGGTATGTTTTGTGAAGTTTTGTAGGTCCAAATGCATGTTTTCACACCTTTATTTCGCAGGATATTCAATTCTACCGCGAAGCATCTGATGTACAATTTGATGAGACTGGTAATAGGAGACGAAGAAAGATCTACGGAGACGAGGACGAACTGGAATCAGAACAAGAAGAACGACGACGCAGAGCAGCACTGAATCAGGAATTTAAGGCGTTCTCTGAGAAGATTGCAGATGCTGTAAGTTTTTATGAACTACGAAATCAATTGGGATAGGCTGCTTGACCGATACTTTTATTGCAGAGCGATGGACGGTTTGAAATCGACATTCCTTTCCGAGAGCTTGGCTTCCAAGGTGTCCCATTCCGATCCAATGTCTTACTGCAGCCCACGACCGAGTGTTTGGTTCATTTGACAGAACCTCCTTTCCTCGTCATCACGCTCAGTGAAATTGAAATTGCTCATTTGGAACGTGTTCAATTCGGCTTGAAAAATTTTGATTTGGTGTTTGTATTCAAGGACTTCAGTAGAGCGCCTGTCCATATAAACACTATTCCCACTAGTCAGTTGGACAATGTCAAGGAATGGCTAGAGTAAGTCGCATCACAATATCGTTTAGCGTTTCCAGGATTTAATCTCATTTTACAAATTATTTTCTTAGTTCTGTCGAAGTTGCGTACAAAGAAGGTCCTGTGAATCTCAACTGGGGTATGATCATGAAAACAGTCAATGAGGATCCTGTTGAGTTCTTCAAGAACGGTGGCTGGAACTTCCTTGGCCAAGATAGCGATGTATGTCAACAATTAATGAAAAGGGTGATGATCGATCTATGCTAACGCTTTCTATTAGGCTGATGACTCAGAAGATCAATCAGACTCTGCCAGTGAATTTGAACTGGACGAGTCAGAAGAAGCAGAGGAGTCCTCAGACAATGAAAGCGAGTTCGCTTCTGATGCCTCAGAAGACTCTGCATCCGATGAAGAATTAGATGACTCAGGAGAAGGTACAGTTCGAAAAGCATATTGGATAACCATCGAAATAGTAGTCATTAACATACTCGATAACAGATTGGGATGAACTTGAAGAAAAGGCCAGAAAGGGTGAGAACTCATTTTGCATATGTCGCGTTGGTTCTATAACATGAAAAATTCATATGTGTTTCTTTTTATAGCTGATGAGAGAAAGGTTGTCAACCATAAACGTAGTCGAGATTCAGATGACGAAGGTTACAGCAAGAAGAAAAGACGATAAATAATTATAGCTTTTTGCAAACATGAAGTTGAAAGTCTCAAAATTGTCAATAAAAACATTTTCATACGCGACAAAGAATACCAAGTTCAAATGTTGGCTTCATGCTATTTATGCGGAGCTTGCTGAATAAAGCAAGCTCGCAAGCTGGTCCGAAAGTTGACAGTAAAGACATTATCTTTTGTCTTGCTTATTGCTTTTCATACATCTCGCACTATACTTTCCTACACTGTGACGATACTTTTGTACATGGTTTGTACCATGCTTCAATCGAGTCATCGGCGTAAACTCGCTGACGTATCAAATGGTCACGTGCGGTGAAAATTGGCTGTGTGGGTACTCAAAAAAAATTTTCATGTCGTGTATTCTCGTTGAGTATAATAACCTCATCTTACCTAACAAATCACAAATGTCTTTCCGTGGAGGTCGTGGAGGTTGCTATAAGTGTGGAGAACGCAAGTATTTATTTAAATTGCTCGCTGTGATGTGAAATTTAAGTGGATCAACTCGAACTTCGCCTACAACACCGGCCTACAATTCCCTTTCGGCGTTCCTCCCCAGCTGATAGTTCCGCCTTCGAACCAGGTCTGGCAGACACGCAGACTTACGCCATAGATTTCAAAGCCATGGAAGATGACAATCTATCACCGCGCAGAAATCTGCATACAGCTCTTTTTCATTTTCTTGCTTCATATTTTTTATATGTTGCTTTGAAGAGAAACGACGTACGGGGGAGATGTTCAACTATATTCCAAAATAAATATTGCGAACAAGCCGATGGGGAAGGAAGACGGCTTTCAAACCTGATAATGAATACATTTGCTTATTTTACATATTCTCTCCAATTCGTTGTTTTATTCTATATCCCTATTCTCTATGCAACGCGTCGCCTCTCATAATACAGATGGTCATCAGGCCAAGGATTGCAGCAAATCTGCTAACGTTTGGTAAGAACAACATCGATCGAGCTGACGGTAGTATGTGTATAAACCCTCCGCCTCATCTCCTATCTTTGACTTAGCTACAACTGCAACCAAGAGGGACATTTGAGCAAGGACTGCCCTGAGCCCCGCGCTGAGAAGGTCTGCTACAAGTGCAATGAAAGCGGACACGTCGTACGTATATAGCAACATCATGCTCTTCAGTTCTTTCGTTGTCGGTTTCTATGTTATTTATACTTTTGTTGATAGTCTCGGGATTGCCCCAACGAGACCACTTCTGCTGGTCCTGAATGTTACAAGGTACCATAATCGACTTTTTGAGAACGTTTCGCTGAATATCAGCCACTAATCTCTAAATTTGATATTGTATAGTGTGGAAAGACTGGTCACATTTCCCGCAACTGCCCCGACGGCGGTTACAACAGCTTTAACAGCAACCGTGGTGGTATGGGAGGCAAGTCTTGCTACTCATGCGGAGGCTTCGGCCATTTGAGCCGTGAATGCCCATCCGGAGGCCAAGGCAACCAAGGCGGTGAACGCTCTTCCGGCGGCCAAAAGTGCTATAACTGCGGTGTAAGTAATAGATCTTAAAATGATTGTACACAATATGATGCTGCTATTCACACAACTCGTATAGAACACTGGTCACTTCTCCCGAGACTGCGATCAGCCCCCTCAACCCAAGGTCTGCTACAAGTGCCAGCAAACTGGCCACATCTCCAGAGATTGCCCCGAAGCCGCTCAATAGAGCATTCTGAGGAATATCGGCTGATCTTATATTCAGCTCGTTAACATGTTTGTGGTAGCTTATTTTGACGTATACTTTCAATTCCATCCTTGCCATATTGTTGTTGTTCACTTACAAAGGATAAAATCACATCCATGACTGAAGCAATCTATAATCGTTATGATCGTACCTATGCGTTTGGTAGCAGATTGAAAATAACTGATTTATTCGCTATCTGAAAACATTATATGATACAAAAATCGGTAAAGTGAACTGCAAGATAAAATGGGTACAAAAATTAGTAGATAATCTCGTACACTAGCGAGGTCACTTGCCAGACGGCATTGACTTGCACACATGGGGGATAAGGAAAGGAGGTGCTTAGATGTGGGCGATCCACTTATAAGAAAGTTGTAAAAGCATTGAACTGCGTAGATGTTAAGGATACATAACCAATGTCCAGCTCTACTTAATCTGCTGAATGAATAGCCCCGTCTGTCTCCCCCACAGGTTGACGTATTCTCTCTTGCACCTTGGAAAAATTGGTATCGTATGATGGATTCATAGGTATTGATATTGTTGAGAGCACTTTAATGGATATTTCAATGCTTTACAGCCAGCGTCGGTAACCACTGGACAGACTAACAGATACAGTGACTCAGTCGATGGTCAACAGTCAATCAAGAGCTGGGGATGACCTATTATCACTACAGTATTTATTCTGTCAAAATTAGCATCACAGGATATTTTTCTACGATTGTGTGGTTATAGTCTTTTATTATTATATGTGGTTTTCAAGAGAAGCGATGATCTAAAATAACAAACTAGTTTAATTTTCATTATAAACAATATATATGGCTTTCTGCATTTAAGATGCGTTCTAGACGAATTTTTTTCATTGTGGGGGGCCACCAGCGGCTTGTATCGTTTCAAAAAAGTTAACAACGCCTTCAGGGGCATCGTCGGATATGAACATGTCCATGTTTTTTGCGCTTTCAGCGGCCGGAACGACGACAATTTCATGCATATCTTTCTCAAACTTTTCGATAGTAGTCGCAAGATCCTTGCCATTATGCACTATCTCAGATATAGCTTCTGCCAGGTTGGCACCATCGAGCATCGCCATATTCGCACCTTCACCAGCAAAAGGTGACATTAAATGAGCTGCATCGCCAATCAACGTCACTCCAGGATGCGATTTCCATGTATGATCTATCGGCAGCATATAGAAGCCACGCGGTATGAATGACGATGCCTCCTTGATGAAAACTTTCAATGTATCATCCCAGTCGCTAAATCGATCCAAAAAATAATTCCGTGGGCCTTCAGGGTTGGTAAAATCAATGTGAGAAAGACCGTTTTCTTCTACGCGTATAGTGACATATATACGAATCGATCCGTCACCGTTTCTCTGGCATAGTAATCCTTTGTTATCTTGCAGTGCGATGTAGGTGCCATGACCAACCAGTTTTGATGCTGCTGGATGATCGATATCAACATTGGTCAAGCAAACTTCAGCGAAGAAGATACCCGTGTAAAATGGAACTGCGTCGGATACAAATTTACGAAGCTTAGACCATGCACCATCGGCTCCAACAACCAGGTCGAAAGTTTCAGTTCGGCCGTCTTGAAAGGTGAGTGCGTGGCGATGATTACCATTATCCTTGGAATCCTCCTCTAGCTTGATCACCTTTTTTCCCCATTGAATTGTACCCTCCTCAAGAGATTCAATAAGCATATGTCGTAGGATTGTACGATCAATCTCTGGACGGTCATCATCTCCTCCAGTAGGTCCGTCGCTGCCAGAGTCTTGATACAGTACCTTGCCAGTCTTATTCGTGATTATAAGATCTTGTCCTTGGTATCTGGCATTCTTTTGAAACTGATCAGTTAATCCAGCCTTCTCTAGGGCAAGTTGACCAGAGTTGACGTGAAGATCCAGACTTCCACCTTGATTACGGCTGTTTTCGGTGTCGTCAAGCTCATAGACAGTGCACTTGATCTTGTAAGCATGTTGTAGGACGGATGCAAGTGTTAATCCGCCAATACCACCACCTATAACAGCAATTTTGAACTGAGGAGAATCGGAGGCGATAGTGTTTGAAGTATCCATGGTATATGTGTTTGTAGGGTTTAGATCATTTAGCACTTGTCAATTTATATCTTTCACGGAAATGGAATTGCCGTGGTCGGTAGGCTGGAGGTTTCATCCGTTTGTGTTATTAAAACCCAGCTCGGCGGATCAGCCGTCACACTGATTTACCGCCTCATAGTCGCAATACCTTCGTTTATTTGTATGTCCGAGCGAAGTCTAAGTTGATGTAACGGAAAGCCATTCTTCGTTCATTTACACTGACTGAATTGCTTAATTGATGTGGTGGTGTATGCATACAACATCGTCGTGGTCAGCAAAAAGATATTACTGTGTCTTCGTTACATAACTTAAACCCAGCTCGGCGGATCAACCGCTAGGCATGCTTGTTGAGCTCACGTAGAAATTGATGATACAATGGTATTCGTTTATTTGCATGTCATTGTTACGCTTCAGCTATTAGACATGTAATTTGTTCTTTCAAGCGGCTATCTTGAATCTTAAGCCTTCATTTCAATTTGAACAACAAGTAAGACTGATTGATGCACATTTTTTTTTTAACAAAATCAGGTACGTAAACATTTGTAAACATTTGCGGTGAGTCTGCTTTCTATATTTCTTTTATTGTACACATTTGTGATTTTTCATGAGATAATCTAAATAATTCACTAATTCACTAATTAACTATTCTGAATATATTTGATATATGCGTCCTGAAGTAGGAAGTGTTTTGTTGTTTTGACCTCAAAGAAAGTGTTTATCATGGGGCAGCATTATCGTCACGCATCATTGAAAACATTTTCAGAACTGCTTGAGGACCATTCTCTGATATGAGCGTATCCATGTTTTCCAAGCTTTCGATGGCGAAATCCATAACGACATTATGCATATCTTTTTCAAACTTTTCGATAGTAGTCGCAAGATCTTTGCCATTATGCACTATCTCAGATATAGCTGCTGCCAAGTTGGCACCATCGAGCATTGCCATATTCGCACCTTCACCGGCAAAAGGTGTCATTAAATGAGCAGCGTCACCAATCAATGTCACTCCAGGATGCGATTTCCATGTATAGTCGGTTGGTAGCATATAGATACCGCGCGGTATGAATGCTGAACTCTCCTCAATCAGCGCCTTCAATGAATCATCCCAATCGCTGAATATGTCCATGAGATGCTTTCGTGGGATTTCAGGGTTAGAAAAATCAAGGTGAGAAAGACCGTTTTCTTCTATACGAAGTGTGACGTATACACGAATAGAGCCATCACCGTTTCGTTGGCACAGTAGGCCTTTGTTGTTTTGCAGTCCCCAGAATGTTCCGTTGCCGACCATTTTCGACGCTTTTGGGTGATCAATGTCCACATTGGACAATCGACATTCAATGAAAGTGACGCCTGCGTAAGATGGGGTTGTTTCGGATACAAATTTGCGAATTTTCGACCATGCACCATCGCCTCCAACAACCAGATCGAAGGTTCCTGTTCGGCCGTCTTGAAATGTGAGCGTGTGGCGATGATTACCATTTTCCTTGTCCTTGGATTCCTCTTCGATCTTGATCACCTTCTTTCCCCATTGAATTGTATCCTCATCAAGGGAATCAATAAGCATTTGTCGTAGAACTGTACGATCAATCTCTGGACGATCGAGTTCTCCTCCAGTTGGTCCTTCGCTACCGACATGTTGCATCAATATCTTGCCAGTCATATCTGCGAGTACAATATCCTGTCCTTGGTATCTGGCATGCTTTCGAAACTGATCAGTTAACCCAGCTTTTTCGAGAGCAAGTTGACCAGATTCAACGTGAAGATCGAGACTTCCACCTTGGTTACGGCTATCGACGGTGTCGTCGAGCTCAAAGACGATGCACTCGATCTTGTAAGAATGTTGTAAGACGGATGCAAGTGTTAATCCACCAAGACCGCCACCTACAACAGCAATTTTGAATTGGGAGGCACCGCGAGCGACAGATTGTGAAGAATCCATAATAAATGTTTGTAAGGCTCAGATCCTTCTTGACACCTCTCAATTTATAGTTTTAGGAATACAAATTGCCGTAGTCGGTAGCTGGACTTTGTATTGGATACTTCGACTCAGCTCGGCGGATCAGCCTTCACGTTCATCCATGAGCTCACCATCACAATTCTGAACAGGTTGTTTTTGTTCTCCTATAATATTTCCATACGACGCTTATACTGATTCACATGTGGAATGTTGGAAAACGGATGCACCACTTCCGTGGTCGACAGAAGTTTTTCCTCAAGTTGATAACTTCAACCCCAGCTCGGCGGATCAGCCGTCACACTTATAGACGGTGCCATTGGGGATTACAGCTGAAAATGACTGAGCCTGAAAGCATTATGTGGATATAATTGAGCTCTTGAAGCACGCCTATCTACTGCAAGGTTCTCAGAACTTTTATATCGAGTTTAAATCTGGCTAGTTGGATACTAAGGGAGCCTTCAATGTCATCCGGACTAACAATATCACAGAGGATATCAAGTTAAATTGTATCGTTCACATCCGTTGATCCTAGGGATTGCATATGCGATACGCGAAGTCGCAATGCTTTCTAACTTTAAAAGGTGCTTGACTTCTTACCAAGCAGCGTTGCTGATGAAATGGTTATAATTAAGAGCCCAAAAAGAATATAGCGCACACTCTTCATCGATTTTAAGTCGGCATTTGTGGACGCAGCTGCTTGCTGTCGTAATAAGAAATCACTTGCATAGCCATTTGCTAAGTGACTATTGCGTAATCTGTCTTATGGCATTTTTCTAATAAGGCTTTGTGAGACAGTTAATATGACAGACTAGTTTAAATTTATTATATCAATCTTGAATTTAAGCTGTGCTGCTTTCGTGATCCAAACGGATGTATTTATTGTGGGATAGCGCCACCGCCGTAAGCCATTGTAAAGAAGTCCACAACTCCTTGAGGAGCATCGTCAGACATAAACATATCTATATTTTCTGCGCTTTCAATGGCCGGACCCGTGACAATGTTATGCATTTCTCTTTCGAAATTTTCGATAGTAGTCGCAAGATCCTTGCCATCATGCACTATCTCAGATATAGCTGCTGCCAGGTTGGCACCATCGAGCATCGCCATATTCGCACCTTCACCAGCAAATGGTGACATTAAGTGAGCAGCGTCGCCGATCAACGTCACTCCAGGGTGCGATTTCCATGTGTGATCAGTTGGAAGCATATAGCAACCACGCGGTATGAAGTAGGTGGCTTCTTTGATGAACACCTTGACTGAATCATCCCAGTCACTAAGTCGTTCCAAGAAATAATTTCGTGGAATTTCAGGATTGGAAAAATCAAGATGAGAAACGCCGTTCTCTTCTATACGTATCATGATGTACCCACGAATAGATCCATCACCGTTTCTCTGGCACAGTAATCCTTTGTTATCTTGAAGTGCCATATATGTGCCATTACCAACCAATTTCGAAGCTGTTGGATGATTGACGTCCGCATTAGACAAGCAAACTTCGGCGAAGAAAATGCCCGTGTAAAATGGAGTTGCTTCAGATACAAATTTGCGAATTTTGGACCATGCACCGTCGGCTCCAACAACCAGATCAAAAGTTTCAGTTTGGCCGTCTTGAAAAGTGAGTGTGTGGCGACGACTATTCTTATCCTGGTTCTTTGAGACTTCCTCGACTTTGTTCACCTTTTTTCCCCATTGAATTGTACCGTCATTCAGAGAATCAATAAGTATTTGTCGTAGGAGTTTGCGATCAGTCTATGGATGGTCATCTCTTCCTTCAGTTGGTCCTTCGGTACCAATGGCTTGAAACAATATCTTGCCGGTTTTATTTGTGATTATAACATCTTGTCCTTGGTATCTGGCATGCTTTCGGAACTGATCCAATAATCCAGCTTTTTTGAGAGCAAGTTGACCAGAGTCAAAATGAAGATCTAGACTTCCACCTTGACTACGGCTGTCTACGGTGTCATCGAGCTCAAAGACGGTGCACTTGATCTTGTAGGCATGTTGTAAGACGGATGCAAGTGTTAATCCGCCAAGACCGCCGCCTACAACGGCGATTTTGAATTGTGATGCATCAGGAGCGAGATTTTGTGAAGTATCCATAGTAATTGTTTGTAGGATTTAGACCCTTTTGACACGTTTCAATTTATATGCAAAAATCTTAACGAAGACAAGCACGATCAATACGCGTACGTAGGACAATTTAAGCGCCACAGCTTGGCGTGTCTGTCAAGCTAGCCGTACTCGAGTCATAATTCGGAAGGAGTCATAAATCGAAAACCAGGGTGTCATAGTCAAAAGAACCGTACCATACCGAGGTGTCTGTTTCGTGGCATATCAACGCTACACTGGATTTGATACACATGAAGACCTCTCGGCCAGGCAATGCCAAGAAGTCTATCGTCTCTATTGCAATTTGAACGCAGAAACGGGTGGGCGGCTCACCGCTCCTTTAAGTTGAATGAAATCAGTTACATAACATTTGCTAGGGGTCTCTTGAGTATACTTTTTTATTGTAGTTATTAGTGGTATATAACGAGATGATTTAAATATTAGTTAGTTTAGGGGTTCAATGTACATTAATATGCATCCGCAATTCAAGATGTGTTGTTTTTTATGGTCAAGAAAAAAGCTTGATTACCGGAGACAACCACCGCAATATTCTAAACATTTTTAGAACTTCTTGTGGGCCATTCTCGGATATCATCAGATCCATATTTTTTGTGCTTTCAGTGGCCAGACCGGTGACGGTATTATGCATCTTTCTTTCAAAATTGTCTATTGTAGTAGCAAGATCCTTGCCTTTGTTCATAATTTTGGAGATAGCTGCTGCCAACTTGGCACCATCGAGCATTGCCATATTTGCACCTTCACCGGCAAAAGGTGTCATTAAATGAGCAGCGTCACCAATCAATGTCACTCCAGGATGCGATTTCCATGTATAGTCGGCTGGTAGCATATAGATACCCCGTGGTATGAATGTTGAACTCTCCTCAATCAGCGCCTTCAATGAATTATCCCAATCGCTAAATAGGTCCATGAGGTACTTTCGTGGGATTTCAGGGTTAGAAAAATCAAGGTGAGAAAGACCGTTTTCTTCTATACGAAATGCGGCGGATACACGAACAGATCCATCACCGCTTCGTTGGCACAATAGGCCTTTGTTGTTTTGCAGTGCCCAGAAGCTTCCATTGCCGACCAGTTTCGATAATTTTGGGTGACCATTGTCCACATTAGGCAATAGGCCTTCAATAAAGGAGACGCCTCCATAAATTGGAGTTACTTCGGATACAAATTTGCGGATTTTGGACCATGCACCATCGGCTCCAACAACCAGATCGAAAGTTTCATTTCGACCATCTTGAAATGTGATTGTGTGGCGATGATTCCCATTATTCTTGTCCTTGGATTCCTCTTCAATCTTGATCACCTTCTTTCCCCATTGAATTGTATCCTCATCAAGGGAATCAATAAGCATTTGTCGTAAAACTGTACGATCAATCTCTGGACGATCAAATCTTCCTCCAGTTGATCGCTTTCTACCGACATGTTGCATCAGTACTTTGCCAGTCATATCTGTGAGTATATGATCTTGTCCTTGGTATCTGGCATGCTTTCGAAACTGATCCAATAATCCAGCTTTTTTGAGAGCAAGTTGACCAGAGTCAAAATGAAGATCTAGACTTCCACCTTGATTACGGCTGTCTACGGTGTCATCGAGCTCAAAGACGGTGCACTTGATCTTGTAGGCATGTTGTAAGACGGATGCAAGTGTTAATCCACCAAGACCGCCGCCCACAACGGCAATTTTTAACCGGGAGGAATCGGGAGCTGTAGGTTGTAAAGAATTCATGGTTCTTGTTATGTGTGGTTGAACGATACTCACTTGACACTTCCTTATTTATATGCTTTACGGATAAAAGGTTACCGTGGTCACCCAAAATTTCATTTGCTGTGCCTTCGCTGGAAACTTAAACCTCAGCTCGGCGGATCAGCCGTCAACTGTATTGATCGTACTTACGTATTACACCATGGTATTCCATCCATTTTATGTTATGAGTCACCGAAACTGTTGCGCATGAAGAACTATCCGTCACGAAGCTACGTTGATCGGACTGATAGCAATCGTCTGGAAAGACTGAGATACGTAGGCACGGAAGTACGTTCGCACTTTAAAAGCACCCAAATTTTGTACACGGTGAACACCCTGTAAAAAGAATTACCCAGTGGTTGCCCTCAGCGAACCCTGATTATAGAAAGAGGGAAACCAGGACATTTTGTTGTGTCGTTCTTCGCACGCGGATGCTTTAAATTAAGCAATAAACAATTGATGCCCTTACGTTATATCCTTCATATCGTGAGGAACTTACCGGGAGGCCGTGCTGCAGAGGAGACCTTTATAACCAAAAAATCAAGCAAACGAGATGATATCATCTCTTTGTTGCAAGTAAGCTTATTGCATAGCGTACAGCATATCTCCGGAAATCATCCTCCACGGAAACTGCGGTATGTCGCTTGGTGTCTTGTAGCCACGGTTATTCCAGCAGTATCAACGAGTAACGCGAGCATTATGAATATTCACACTGAAATATGCTTATAGATATAACTGCGACAGATTCAGTCAACCGAACTAGTGGTTTACAGAAAGAAAAGTTCAGGCCCCATATTTAACGTTTCAGGCGATTGTCAAAAATACTTGGTACGGATGCTCAACGTCACAAGCGGACAATGATTGGATCCGATGGGCAACAACCCAGTGTAAATTTTGACCCTTCGGCAAACTAGGCAACTTCTATTGAGAAATATGTCAACACCCCCAAAGTTCTTCGGCTTGATTTGGGCATTCTTCGCAGAGGAAGCTGTATGGGATCTCTTTTTAGAAGGCAGCGAAGCTAAATTCGCTTCATGGGCTGTTTGGCAGGTGAGATTCAGTCTGATTAAAAGCGAGATAACACCGTACCGATCACATTAAAGCTAAATACAATACATTTTCGAACCTTGAATCCCACCAACAGAAAGCGGATTACAGGAAACGTCAGGTCATTGTAATGCAGATTCTTTCAGCTCTGCTACATGAGAATGACAGGAGAGAGATGATGGCAGATCAGCAGTTTTTCAGACGCTGGCTTAGTACTGAGAGCGGATATGAAGAGGAACTTCCGTCAGCCGTTATTATACAGGAAGTTATTGCTCTCCTTCCAAAGCAAAACTCTTCAGCTACACAAACTGTAAACCTACTTTCGCCTGCTTTCCAAAATATTTCTAGCAAGACGCGGTTCCTCAATTGCTTCACGCAAGGCAGTCAAATCCCTTTGACCCCTTTTGACTTGTTTCGTATCGCTATCTGTGATGGACAGTTGGTCACTTTACTTGAACATAACGCAAAATACCCCAAGTTCTGCTGTACTGCTATCAGGCGTTACATCTCACAGTTCCTAATATCGCCTATGGAAACGGCAATGCATAGAAAAATCGAAACAAAATATCAGTGGCATAGTGTATTTCATGTTCCAGACAAGTAAGCCAAATCTGTAATGATGAATGCATCTGGTAACACCATATTGACTTTATACCGTGTAGTGAATTGCAAGCTGCGAATACTTCGCCATCTCTACCTCCGAAGATTAGTCGCAATGGATTTAACTTCCATCATCCATTTCCCGATTTGATTAATTCTACTTCGCGACAAATACCTCTACCATCACTATTTGCACAAGAAATAGCGCTGGAGCAGAAAAAGGCCACCGTGATGCTAAGAAAACCATCAGTTAGCGACGAAAAGTTTCGGAAGCATCCCCCACCGATATCCAGCAACTCACCTAATGATTCCAAAAAGCGCAAGATACAAGACGACAAAGCTGAATTGGAGCAATCTCCTTCTGACTTGTCTGAACAGCGGCTAGAGAGTAACAGTGTGAAAGAGACTAAATCTCCGTCGACACCTGCTACCATGGATATCGAACAGGCAGACAACTCTCCAGCTTTGTCACCAAAAGAGATAAAATCGTCACCTGTAACACCGAAGCCAATCCCTGACCTTCAGCACCCAACAGCCGAATCTACTCCTATCGATCACCCCTCCGTTTATATGCCCAAGTCGGAAGAAGAGAAAATATCTATACCCAGTCCTAAGCCTACCGCTAAGCCCAAGAGCAACACTTCGCCATTACCACCTAAAAAAGAACCGTTGGACGCTATTGATGTTCGATGGGAGGCCAAGTTGCAACAGTTCTTTAAGGATAGAGCTCAGGCTTTAGATGGTTGGCTGGATAGAGCGATTCTTCGTCGTGTACACGAATCTTTTGATAAGAACGAACTATTGGCATCACTTGAAAAAGATGTGAGATCTTCGCTTAGTAACCGTAATGAAGATATTGTAGATACCGTGGGTAAAGAATTGGATAATGCGGTAAGATCTCGATGTCGGAAAACCCTTGGGTTGGATAGTAACGCGGATGATCTCGCTACTGGAGACCCTGGTCGGGTGGACGATGCGGCGGGCCGTTTCGTCCATGAAGTCTGGAATGCCCAACTTAAAGCAAAGGAAGGAGAATTATCCGACTCTGTGAGCAACTTAGTATCACAAATCTTTGACAAGCACATGGATAAATTTGCCCAGCGATTGATCGAGCCAATGGATCAAACAATTCAGACCGTCTTCACACGACGTTTGGTTTCAATGGAACCAAAACTCATCAATCTCATCGACTCCCGGATAGCAGAATTATGGAAGAGCAGAATGGACAAGATGAGTGGCTTAATGGCTAGCAACATAGATTTGACCATTCAACAAATGCTGAAAGAGAGACTGCACAAAATCAACTTTGAACCTGTATCAGAAAAGCAAGATGCTTTTAGTCAAAATGGAGCAACACCCACATCACAAGATCACATCGAAGAAATTGAAATGGTGCCGGCAGCCTCTAGAAATGCCACTTCATGGCATTAATCTCTCCCATACATGACTGAAATTTCAGTTCATAATCAATTTTCTTTTCCTTTAATACCCTTGCATAACCATTTGCTTTGCTTCCTTCTCTTGGTAGTGTTTATATTACGATAAAGGCTATCGAGGGAATACATTTCATGTTTATGATGGTCAAGTAACTTTTCCTTTGTACAATAAAGACTTTATAAATACTACCCCTATATGTATGATATTTGAAGGCAAATTCGGCGTAAGTGGCAATCTAATGGGATAAATCTCATCGCGCTCAGGCTATTATGGTATATACAGCTGCTGATCATTCACATATTGCGGCTGGAAGTACGGCGTGACCGTATGTGCATGCTACTTTATTAAATGGTATTATATCAAATAGCTGTTACCGATAATGGTAAATGATTTTTTATTTTCTGCTATGATGCAGACATCGCATATTGTAGTTCATCTCATTCAGTAGCGCTTCACTGGCTCGAAATAATGCTGCATGATGTTTTCATCATTGTTGTAATCTACCCAGGAAGGTTCATAGGACTCTTCCATACTCTTTGCATATTGCTCTTCAGTCCGTAATCTGAGCGTCCATCCAGTTATGACTACACCGTAATATAGCTGGTGAAGAATCGAGATTAAAGGTAAGAAGGTTACAATATTAAGTCGTCATATGTTTAATAGCGGCTCATACCTTTAGCAGTAGAAGCATGATGGACACGACGCCTACTACCGGAGGCGCTAATTTGATCTCATCGCAAGAAATATCAAAATTCAAAATGGCCTTCAAATCCGGCGGTTCATTGTAATTGTAACAGTGAATATGAGCATGATTTTGCAGTTCGTTGGCCATCACCAAATCGGTAACATCCCAAGGTAGAGCAAGAAGTAAGAACGTCCAAGAAGCAATGGTGAATATCTTTGCCTTGGAGTAAATACGCTGCATATATAGTCATATTGTCAGCTTGTAGATTAATCATATACGTCCTTGCTCCTTTGTAAGACTTGTACGACTTTGCGATACTCACCTGTCTGCATACTAGTATTCCAAAAGTGCCTACGACGGCATAAACGCAGTAAATTACAAAGTGAATCCACGGAAATGCAGAGTTTTCCATAAGCAGTAACTGGTAGAAAGCTGATCAAGTTTGGAGCAGACATTTAGTCAGCTCATCTTTATGCATAGACAAACCACAATGGCCAACTTACGATTGACAGGTATGAATATCGTGGATGCTAAGCCCAAACCAGTGATCTTTCCAAGTATATTCAAAAGATATTAATTATGGATAAAAGTTCCAATGTTTGCACCTCCCTGCAGTCGGTTCTTACTATTAACAGACTGCACAATAAGAGGCAGGATTGGTGTAGATTGAGCATTTTGAATGACTGGAAGGCACACTGTTGAATACACGTGTCAAGAAATTAGGTAAATGATATGTTTCGTGAATGAATGGAAGGAAACAGGAAAATTTTGTATTGAACAATGAGCGAAAAGCAAAATAATGCAAAATCATGAACAGTGGTGTCTATATAATGTCGTGAGCGATCATGATAACGCTATTTCAATAACACCCAAGTTCTATGTCATGGGCCGATGGATAGCCGAGTCTTACTTGCCGGTAAGTCTCGTTTGCTGAGGTATTCTTAGAGCAAGACTGGAGCAAACATTGTGATGTTAGCTTATGATTTTTCCCAGGTAGTAGAGTGTACGTTGTTCTCCCAAAAGGCTAGTATTTGATTCTCGACTCGTTGCATGGCCTCGAGCTCCTCTTTGCTCGGCTCTGGCATGTCCTCTTCGCCAACGATTTTCTGAGCGGTACTTGTCTTCCAATCCAATGTTACCTCTTCAAAGATAGTAGAGACAGACCGTTCTCGAAAATGAAGCTTCGAGCAAAACATGTCGATACTTGGTTGGTTCCTTAAAGATATCTTTGCTTCAAATTTCTCTACACCTAATTCCGTCATAGCTGAGTGACGCAAATTTACAAGTCAATATCATGGTCCACTTTTGGCTCAATGTCAGGTCATAGTACGCACCATAAGCCATCATCATTTTGATAGCTTCAATTCCATAGCCGGATCGTCTATATTTTTCTTCAGCAATCATGATTTCTATCTCTGCACACGATTTATCATTATCTGGGTCATTGAAGAAGAGGTTGACGTCGCCAATCATAACTGTCATAATTGATGGATTCTGTGAGCATAGATAGGGAGAATATCGCCATGCATGATATAGTACTACCTGTTCCAGCTTTTGAGAGTGCAGTTGTTTTCAATTCTTCAGATGTTGTACCAGGTGATGGAAGGGCCAAAAGGATAAATGTACATTCTGTTGGAGTGTTAGGCCAGTTTACCATGCGTATATGCATGGAATAGACACAAAGAAGACTCACTATTATCATCCAAGTGCCATGATTGCTGCATATCATACTCTTCTTGAAGAGTAAGAGGTTCTGAAGCTGTCATTTCTGTATTTTTATATCAGTTTAGATCAACACCATATTATAGTCGGACCTGGTCGTTCATACCTTGAAGAAATGGCGATTTCATCCATTCGTGGTATACAAGGACATGTTCCGGTTTATATGGTACTAAAATTGCTTTTGGGCCAATCTACACGTTCCATGGCACTTTCAATTAGTTTTTATTGAACATAAGTTGAAGCTCACGAAGAATTCTTACCAAAACTAGGTTTTCGTTCTGCCTCATTCGTTCCAGTTCAAAGCAAAAGGTCGTGACTACCTTTCACTGAGGCGGCGAACTTCTTCACCTCCAAACACCAGAATCACGGTAACGAGGGCACATTTCGAATTATGAACGTAAGTTCCGAAAAGGTATGGAAAAATGGCGGATTTGCGACCACCTCAGATCCCGCATTTTGTATTTAATCATACAACAGCCAGGTTCTGCCTCATGGTCGGTTACAACTCTGTTGGTAAAACGGTTACCACCCAATATCACAGCGTCTACAGCAACGTGCCAACAGTTCTTCACACCGTTTGGAAGTATAGACGTACGGCTGATGAGCTCACTTCCAATGGTATGTGTAAAATCATGCAACATATTCTAAATTCAGTTATCCAAGCCTGATTGTTGTTCTGTAAATGGATAGCGAGGATCTGCTTTTGTCGATTTTCCAGGGAATGAAGCTGCTGCAGCGGCACGAGAGCGTTTGATGGCCATCGATTTCAGTGGCAAAAAACTACGAGTGGAGTATGCAACCCCTAGCCGAGACAGAATAAGTAATCATATATCAACAGGGTCGAGGTGAATTATAAAGCGAAGTCTGTCTCGCGTGGTATCGAACCGATTATTGATTCGAGTTACTATAGCAATAACAGCATAACGAATCTTGGTGCACCGCCTCCATCACGGAAACCGATTGCTGCTACGAAACCACCAGAAGCTTCACGGTTCAAATCCAACACCAATACAGAGCAGGCAGGATCTGCACCTTCTATTGCGCCTGCATTAGGGTAAGCTATAATTTAAAAGGATGTACTGTTGAATGAAGATGTATGCACAGAATTCACCAAATACCTATCATTCAGAGTCAATTATCCCTCTAACCCTAATCTAAAGTACAAGTACCCTGATCCTACACCAGAGATTTTAACCAATATGATGCAAGCCATTGGGAGTGTGCCTCGTTTATATAACCAGGTCCTGCATTTAATGAACAAAATGAATTTACCGCCCCCTTTCGGTCCAGTACGAAAAGATGCAATACCTGCCACTGTAAGTAAAACATCATTTGTAATATCAAATGGAATTAGACATGCTAAGCCTTGGCTGTAGCTGAAGCGAAAATCAGATGGCCTCGTGGCTAGCGACGAATCTGAGATGGAGAGCAGTGGTGAAGAATCTGACTCAAGACGGAGTGTGAAGAGAATGAAAGCGAAGGATAATCATGAGCAAAGGCAACTTGCTTTAGGGAGGAAGAAAGTCACTTCAACGATCTCCATCAATATACCCAATGTAGATAATGCCAAAGTCGCCTTGGCCGCCTCAGCGATAGAGCCCGAGGAGCCACATTCAGCGGTAGTCCAGGAAAAATATGATGTCAAGACATCTGAGAACGAGGGATTTGAGAGGACTGAGCCCAACAAGACTGATCAATACATAACCATAGAGACACTCGATGCCCATAAAGCATCTCCAGACAGTACGATCTTAAATTGCTTATACGGTGTCTGCATGTATCACATCATAACCCTTCAAATCATATATTTAGATTCTCAGTATAGTACGGCTTTCAAGAACTACTCAGAAGGGGAGCCAACAACGCGACTATACATAAAGAATCTTGAGCGTAAAGTAGTTAAGGAATCTGACCTTCGCAAAATATTTGGACGATTTGTGTTAGAGAGCAAGGGCGATCCGGACAAAGATTTGGATATCAATCTTTTACTTTCAGGGCGGATGCGTGGACAAGCTTTTGTGACATTTAAAGATCAAGAAACAGCCAGAAAAGCTTTGGAAGGAGCGCATAGGTATATACTTCACGGGAAGCCGATGATTATACAGTTTGCAAAGAGTCAAGTCGCTCAAAGACAATAATAAAAGCAAGTGCACAGTCAAGCTAATTTCAATCACCGCATCATCCTGACTCACTTTGGTTGAGGTTACTTGTACAAGCCACCTGCCAAATTTCGAACCCATAACCTGAAAATCTGGAATTTGGACATTGACAAGCTACAAACCATGCCTACCGTTAACGTTGACAAGGAGTTGCTCTACAAGAGCCTCGGAAAATCTTACAGTAAGACATTTTAACTAGTACGAATGAATCGCCAGAATGCGGGTACTGATGTCAAAATTTGTAGGTACTGAAGAATTCCGCGAGCTTTGCTTTCACTTTGGTATCGAACTCGAAGAAGATGTAAGTCATCTTGCTCCTAATCAGTGTTTTGACACCACGAATCGTACTCATTAAGTGCTTTTATAGACCTCCGAAACTGTTGTTCAGAATGGAGAAGTTGCACCCGAGAGACCTTTGTTGAAGGTTGACATCTCAGCCAACAGGTATGACAGAGAATCCAGCAACCACCAACTCCACGAACAATATATCGATAGTTTTCTAATCCTTGCATGGTAGATACGATTTGCTTTGCCAGGAAGGTATCGCCCGTGCTTTGCGCGTCTTTTTGAACTTGGGTCAAGTTCCCGTCTACCGACTAGTCAAGCCCAGTGGAGGACTTGAGAAGATAGTCGTTAAACCCGATGTACGTAATAACCTTAATGGCATATACACGTTGATGTTTTGGAAAAGTCTCTAACAATGCACTTGCATCAATTAGACTGCCAAGATTCGTCCATTCGTTGTTGGTGCCATCCTTCGTAACATCAAGTTCACTCAAGACAACTACAACAGCTTCATTGATCTTCAGGACAAGCTTCATAACAATATCTGCCGGTAATGTTTATATCATAATGCACTCGGTAAAATTGAAGGTCAGAGCACTCATGGAGATTTGCTAAATAGAAAGCGCACTCTTGCCTCAATGGGCACTCACGACCTCGACACCATCAAGGGTCCCTTCAGCTATGATGCTTTGCCTCCAAAGGACATCAAGTTCACTCCATTGAACCAAACGAAGGATATGGATGCAAACCAATTGATGGAATTCTATACTGTGAGTTATACTTTGATGTATATGCTGTTTTTGAATCTTGTCTGCCAACTAGTGATACTGACCGTTTGACCAATAGCCCGATAAGCACCTTGGAAAGTTCTTGCACATCATCAGAGACTCCCCCGTCTATCCTGTCGTCTTCGATGCCAGCAAGACAGTTTGTTCACTTCCCCCTATCATCAATTCTGATCACTCCAAAATCACTTTGAATACTAAGAACGTGTTCGTTGAAATCACCGCAACTGATGAAAATAAGGCTAACATTGTGCTCAATACTCTTGTGACTATGTTCTCTGAATACTGTGAGGAACCTTTCACGTAAGCGCAAACTCAGATCCATGTTAAGTTCACGTTAGATGCGGCCTCTAACAGATTTTTTGCAGAGTTGAGCCTGTTGAAATCCATTATCCTGACGGTACCGTCAAGGTTACACCAGATCTTGACAATCGTCGTGCCTCAGCAAAGGTTGATTATATCAACTCCTGCACAAACTTGACACTCAAGCCAGAAGAGATCGTCGAACTCCTCAACCGCATGTCCATGCTTGCTTCCGTCAACCCAGCTGATAGCAACGAAATTCTTGTTGAAGTTCCTCCTACACGTTCCGATATCCTTCATGCTTGCGATATTATGGAAGACGTTGCCATCGCCTATGGTTATGACAATTTACCCAAGCGTGTTCCCAGCGTCAACACTATTGCTTCTGCTTTCCCCATCAACAAATTGACTGACAGTGCAAGACGCGAATTGGCTCTCGCTGGATTCACTGAAGTTGCACCATTGACCTTGGTAAATACCCATTCATGTGATAAGCGTATCATAAGAAGCTTGATCTAACGAAATTTCAATGACTTTCTGTTTGGTTTAGTGCTCTCACGATGAGAACTTCAAGTTCCTAAGACGCGTTGATGATGGTACTACTGCTGTCAAGTTGGCGAACCCTAAGACCATTGAATATCAAGTTGTCCGAACCTCACTTCTTCCCGGTATTCTTAAGACCATTAACTCTAACAGAAAGCACCCACTTCCCATCAAAGTTTTCGAAGTTTCCGATATCACGCTAAAGGATGACTCTTATGACCGCAAGAGCAGAAACGAACGCCGCGTTTGTGCCGCCTACACTTCCAAAACCTCTGGTTTTGAGGTTAGTGCAATTTGGGGTAGTTTTGAGTGTTATAGACAACGGTTCAAACGAATAATCATCTATTGTGTTCATTAGGTTATTCACGGTTTGTTGGATCGTATCATGAGAATGTTCAACATCCAGTTCATCGGCCGAAATAGCAAGGAGCTTGGTTACTGGATTACTGAAGCAGAGAGTATGCATATCAAATATATGCTTGTTGTACACTAGTTCCTTAAACATACCATGCTAATCTTATATCTTTTCCCTCTCTTTAGACAATACCTATTTCCCTGGCCGTTCAGCTGATATCTACTTGACCTACATTGTCCCCGAGACGAGCCGCCGTGCCACTATCAAGATCGGCAGTTTCGGTGTCCTACACCCCGAAGTTCTGCAAAGCTTTGAGCTCTCTTACCCTACCACCGTCTTAGAATTTAATCTAGAGCCACTTTTGTAAAATTATTTGTGTGCCTAAATTGCGCGTGGAGCAATTCCGTAAAATTATCATCCGCGCATTTCTTCAAGCGGTTTCTTATTCTTGCAACCCTAAAACAAAAATACATAGCATGAAAATTTATCTTTCCATAGAGTTCCACGCCTGTATGCACATATATCATGCATTTGTTGCGCAATATCGATCAAGATATGAAGTGGTATCTCAAATGGTGTCCAAAAAACATGGGTTAGGGTTATAACATCACATGATCGTCGCTATCGGTATTGAGACTTCAAATCCAGGCATACCTTTACTCTTACACTCACAAATGGCACTAGCAAACGCGACGTTTGAGGAAATACTTGACGATCTCTCAAGGTACCTATCTTATACCATTGGTACTCTTACCATTGCCGTATTCAAATTGTGAAATTTGTCTTGTCGGAAGATGTTACTACGGCTAAAGCTAATTCCACTTCCCTTCAGTCGATTCATAATAAATGTACCTGAGGAAGAACTTGCGTCAGTGGAACGTATATGTTTTCAGATAGAACAAGCACACTGGTTTTACGAAGACTTTGTTCGTGAGCAGAAACCTGAGTTACCATCGTTTTCGCTGAAGAACTTTTCCGCAAAGATATTCCAGCACTGTCCATTGTTGCGCCAGTGGGAACACGAGCATGAGCGAGCGTTTGCAGACTTCATGCAGTACAAGATTCGGATACCTGTCTGTGGAGCTATTATACTCAACGAACGTCTAGATAAATGTCTATTGGTGAAAGGCTGGAGTTCAAAATCAGGATGGGGATTCCCAAAGGGCAAGATCAATAAGGATGAGGAAAACTCAATTTGCGCAGCAAGAGAGGTATGAATCAGTGTGTTTTTCAAAACCAAATCATGCCGTTGTTCATTTTCTGAGCATTTTTGATGGTTTAGGTATTGGAGGAAACTGGTTTCGACATCACGCCATACATGGACCCTGAAAACTATATCGAGATTACCCTTAGGGAGCAGAGAATCCGCCTGTATATCATATGTGGTGTGGCTGAGGAATCAGAGTTCATACCAAGGACTCGCAAAGAGATCAGTGTATGTATGACGAATATATCATATTTGTGTTGATCGAATGAGTAACTCAGTTTGTTTTCAATTAGCAAATTGCTTGGTACAAGTTGACAGAACTTCCAACTTATAAGATAGACAAAAAACCAGTGAATGGCAGCAAGAGCGATACTGATGGTGGCCGTCACAAGGTTGCATCAGCTAACAAATTCAATGGCAGTCGTTTTTACATGGTAGCCCCTTTCGTCAGGTAGGATTTAGTAATTTGCTTGCAGCGTAGTACCCTGATCAACCTACTAAGCATTCCGTTGATCTGTAGTAAATTGAGACAATTTGTCAACCAGCGGCGGAAGTATCATGATTCTCGAAATTCTCACTATTCTGTAATGGCAAACACATATAATTCATAGTAACGTTAGTGAAGTAGTCTCATATCCTCCTGTTCAATATACAAGTAGCATAGCATGCGTGTTGAAACTTATCGGAGACTCAGTTTGTCTGCTTCTGAGTACCACTACTGCAGAATTGTTTTGCTTTTATCCTCTGATGCACCTTCGCAGTGGCTGAATCATATTCAATTCAACTTTGTGACATTTTTTGGCAAAGAAGGGACAGCACACACCTGTACATGTTTACACATACGTATGCATGACAAATTGAACGGTAAATCAGATATCTATTAGAGAAGACTGCTGTCTGAATGCTATAGTTTGACGCATACTTCTACTTCCAAAAGGGAAACTCTGTGCTATGTAGAAGGTACTGAATACGCAACATCGTACGGACGTTAGGGTGCCTGCCGGTCCTGAATATGCAATAAGTGTCCGTCCTTGTACCTATGCTAGAACACCACTAATCTACAAAGCTTGTATCTAAACTGTGAGTGACGTGGATTCGTGGTAACAGTACTGTTTCATCTTCTCATATAAAAGACGTGCAATAGTGTGGAGACTCGTATAGCTCTTTATCCATTGTTTACTGCCCTAACGCCAATTGTAGCATCAAAGCTACCAATGACTGGTTGTATACTAGAAAAAATTTCTCTCGTCAATAGCTGCTGCTCTATTAGATCCGCGTGCAAAACGGCAGTAAAGATCATTTCATCGATGTGTACGAACAGTTGTTCGCTGCCATTGCTCCCGCTTACGATAAACGAAAAGCTCAACCCCAGCACAAAATTCGTCGCGAATGAACGAATGACACACTGCATAAATGTATGTTAACTTCGTCTTAACATCACGATATCCACTTCAGTAAAGGTCATATGTAGCGACCACTATTAGCTTGTTACTGTTCGTTTTCATGCTGGATCTCTTACTGGCTTCAAGAGACGGATAAAATTAAGGTCATCCTACGTTATTTCGATCGGAAGTCCTGTTCGGCACAACATGGCTTGTGTCTGATCGTTGCCATTCGCTGGCGTTTCAATATCAGTCCAAACCCAACCAGGCACTCCGAATTTGAAAAACATCAATGAATATAATTCGGGAAGTTGTTATTTTCTGTCTATAAATCGATGCAGGGGAATCAAGCATTTGAGAGCTGATACCAATTTACATTTAGCCCTTCAAATCTGGAGGCGCTGGTATTTGCTAGTGGTAGAAGCATAAGAATGAAATGTGTAAAGAAAAGCCATATTCGCGTTGATTGTGCAGACGACTGCTTCAGAGCTTTGCACTAGGGCTTGGTCTCCAGACCATTTCATACTCTTTATGTGAGAAACCACATTTCTCGTAGAATGGAATATTCTGTCATGAAACAAATGTTAGACCTTAGCCGAATCCCCAAATCACCTTCCGGTTTGAATGGCGAAATCTTACCTTTTCAGAGCAATCAAGGATCACTGATGAGAAATGAAGTGGTGAGTATTTGATTTATTTCTGTTATACAGAAAAAGCAAGTAAGCGTTTCCTACCTTTATAGCATCCAGTGTTCTCTCCAATATATTTCAAAGCCTCAATAATTTTGATGCCAAACTTTTTACCCTGTTGATTTGCGTCCACGGCGATATCCTCGATATGGCCAACAAGACCATTTAGATGCACAAATTTGCGCTCTACAATGACACTTCCGGCAGCAACCACTTTATTCTTGGCTTCTTCAACGATAACGATCGTGAAATCTATAGATCATAAGGAAACGTGTTAGTTTTCAGAATATGTCATCTCCGTGAAACTGCTAGGAACCAGGTTCTCCTTACACTCATGGCTGTGTTGCTTAAGATAGTTGAAACGCTCTATAATTCAAGGTTTAATACCGCATCATAAGTAAGAAAGTTAGAAATCACCATCGTTTACCTAACCACTGTGCCTTAGTATGGTCGCCAACCTCGGTAAGGACCTTCAGAACGTCCAAGAAACCGCGCTCGTAGTCTCCACTTTGCAGTGGTCTAAGAACGTAGCCTTTTGGGAGAGACGCTTGGACCTTTGGGGAGATGAGAGAGGCTCTGAATAGTGCTGTTTCGACGTGGTTCATATTGGGGAAAGGAGTAGCAAAGAAAGCAAAGACAGGTTCGTGGCTCCCATATAAATTTAGAACATCAATTCCGCGGAACAGCGTATCACGTGATATAATGAACCTCGGCAAAGTCAAACTTCAAGCCTGAAGCAACGTTTATAATTGAAAGTAGACAGATATCGTAGAACTCGGTGATTTGAATTATATCAGCATAATATAGAGAAGCTGTATACTGTTTGTGGATTTTTCAATGTGGGTGCCAACCTTACTGGTGTAATAAAGTGACTGTTTCCGAACGGTAAATTGGGGTGGCAATTTCGATGCGCGGTCTTGCATGGCTTTCAGGACAGCACTAGCGTTGCCAAGTTGCTTCAAACCTAGCTATGCTGTATCTACAGCCGTTTCATTAGTGTCAAAATCGACGCGTCCGCAAAGTTTGACTTCCAAATGGGCAAGTGCACAGCCACTATGCCGAGTCATGACACCTCTTGACATTCCTGGAACGAGGCGAAGTTTGACCTCTATGATACACCAGTCACGGTAGGGATCCTGAACCGAACTCTATTGAGGTTACCAGCATTAACTTACTCAATCATAGCTTACATATATATGAGAATAGTAAGAAAATATCAAATTGTTCAGGGCGGTAGACCGAAGTATGTTTACAGATGTCCAACATATCATTAGAAAGAATTTCGTCCATCAGCAGCATAATGCCAAAACTGTCCGCTGTCATGGGTACCGTCGTAGTGTATCATACTTTCACTCATGCTCGTCACTATCATGCAATGGTTTTTTGCGAAGCAAGCGTCAATAGTGACCCAAAGTTTCAACCCATGGCATTGTCGGTGAAGCACGTGGACAATGCATCTGCCGCATTGACCGCCTCGAGCCAAAAGTCACCCTCTTTATGGGTGGAAATATGGAGACTTGTGAAACCAGATCTACTCCTGCTGATACTTGTAGCACTCACTGCAGTCGGTGCTGCCGTAGTGAACCTTCAGACTCCAACTGTTACGGGAGAGCTTATCAACGTCATTGCGCAGAGTATCAAAGGTGCTGGGGAGCTATCAATGGAAGAATTGAAGAAACCAGCAATGAAACTTTTAGGTCTATTTCTCTCTCAAGGTAAAACAATTGTTTTTTTACCTTGGTGCGGAATAGTCGTTAGCTCATCATATTTTGCATCAGGGTTCCTGACATTTTCGCACATCTCACTGGTGTCTACTTTGGGTGAAAATGTTGCCTCTCGTCTGAAGAGCTTACTTTTCTCGGCAATCGTGAAGCAGGATATCAGTTTCTTTGATAGTCACAAGAGTGGAGAGCTTGTTGGACGACTGACCACAGATGTCGCCGATTTCAAGGTATGTTAAATGGCCAATGTACGCGTATAATCAGCCGAGCTGTACATCAATACTAATGGCCGCCTCTCAGCATACATTCAAACAAATTGTCACTCAAGGGTTGAAGTCAATTGCCCAGACAATTGGATCTGCTATACATCTCGTCCGCATTTCTCCGTCACTGACCTTTACATTATTGGCCACTATGCCTGTGTTGTACGGTATTTTGAACATCTATGGAACCTATCTAAGAAAGTTAAGTAAACAAGGGAAGGAGTTGGATGGTGTTGCTAGCGGACTGGCTGGAGAGGTAAGGTCATATATAATTGTCACATTTACCGCATATAGCGTCAACTGAATTATTGTTATGCTTTTTAAAAAGCTCATTGCAAACGTGCGAACTGTGCGTGCATTTGCTGCCGAAGACCGAGAGTGTGAGCGTTATCAGTCCTCTACTGACAAAGTCGCAAAATCGAACACTCACCTTGGCTTACATATCGGACTTTTCCAAGGTACAGTATGACCCAATTAGCTGTCATAAGTCAATATGCAAAAGCTGACCGATATTGTTGTTCAGGCATGACCAATGCTGCTATCGGATGTATGGTAGGTACAAACGGTTGTAGGTTAGAGTTTCAAATTGTGTTCATACCAGAAAATTTAATACGAGTTTTTCACATCCAGGCCCTCATTGTTCTGTATTATGGAGGATCTCTAGTTGTCAAAAACGAAATGACTGGTGGTGATCTGATGACGTTAGTAGAATGAATGGGATAGAGACTTTGAGTTTAATGTTACTGATTGAAAAACTCCAGGTATATGCTGTCTACACAGTCGACTCAAAGATCCTTAGGTTAGTCCTATATGTCCTTCACTTTTCAGCACAATGATCTAACATGCAGCAGTTTCCCTGGGAGTCCTCTTTGGGCAATCGATCAAGGCTATTGGATCAGCCACAAGAGTCTTTGAATTTGTGCATGCTACACCAAACGTACCACTTCATGGTGGAGTCACTCTGCCTTACATGGATGGCAACATACGTTTCGACAATGTAAGCTTCCATTACCCAACTAGGCAGGAGCAGCAAGTGTTAGAGAACTTCACATTGGATATTCCCCAAGGAACCATGGTAGCCCTTTGTGGTCCATCAGGTACTCATAAAATGGAACTCCTCTATCTAACATGACATATATGCTGACTGTAATTCCCTTTTGGAAGGCTCTGGAAAGTCAACGGTCGCAGCACTTCTAGAGAGATTCTACGAACCTTGTGATGGCCAAATTTTAATAGATGGTACTCCATTAAACGTGATGGATCCCTCCTGGATTCGTCAACAAATTGGATTCATCAATCAAGAACCGGTCTTGTTTGCAGCCAGCATCGCCGATAATATTCGTTATGGCAATCCTGATGCTACTGACGAGGAGGTTAGATCAGCAGCACGAAAAGCTAATGCTGAGACGTTTATTGAAGCGTTCCCAGATGGCTACGATACCATGGTAGGAGAAAGAGGAACAAGTCTATCTGGTGGACAAAAGCAACGGGTAGCTATTGCAAGAGCAATTTTGAAGAATCCAAAGGTATGAGCGGCAATGAGTAAGCAGCTACTGTGCCTTGATGATTTACGCTTTCAATGATAGATTTTAATTCTGGATGAGGCAACCTCTGCTCTAGACAGTATGTATTTTCGATTATTGCGGCGTTGCAATTCATGCATATCTCATACTGAGATATTCTTAAAAAACTTTTCTAGCACACTCTGAAAAGCTGGTACAAGAAGCACTAGATGAATTGATGAAAGGAAAGACTGTATTGGTAGTTGCCCACAGATTGTCTACCATTCGAGCAGCTGATCTCATTGTCGTGATGGGTCGTGAGATAGGAAACGTTATAGAGAAGGGTATGTAGATCTATCAAGATGCACCAGTGGTACTGACCGATAAACTGACCGTTCTCTTATAGGAACTCATGACCAATTGATGAAGAAACGGGGCATGTACTATGCGCTTCATAATAACGTCGAGGCATTCTCATAATCCTTAGAATAAAGAAAACACCATTGAAGAAGTTATGAATAAGCCTTTAAATCAAAATTTTTGCGCCTGTAACCGTGTAGAAGTGAGAGAAAAGAAGAGTGTATATATTTGCTGGCGCGTAGAGTTGCTTAAACAAACACGTATGTTTAAAAGATCATCTTTACAAATATGAGACACTTTTCTCAAATGAAAAAGATTCATTTATATAATTTATTACATTTTCCTTTAATTTCTACTTCACAGAATGTATACAAATAACATGTACAAGAAGGGCTAGCAGAGGAGTTAATAGACAGAGAACCTTCAGCAACGGAACCATGAACCACAATTTTTTTGTAAAGCTCCGCCATAAATCCACGTGACTTAGACGAGACTGCGAAATATTTTTTTTTTTATTCTTTCGATTGAACGACGGGTCCTGACACTCAACAGATAGAGCATTTCACAACGGACTGACGACCATTTCAGGACTTTGGATACCCATATCGTGTGTCATAGAATAAGCTGAAGATCTTCCAATCAGTAATCTAGAGTTCTTTTGGGTCGCCAAGCAAGACAACTGTTAGACGTTCGACTGCCTTTCTTACAACCATGAATATTTCACTGCCTGTGGGTTCCGAGATTGACTCGGTGTCATTCTCCTTCTACGATGCTGCAGAGATTCGCAAAATCTCTGTAAAGCAAATCGTCAACCCAATCATCATGGATACCATGGGTCACCCAACCAAAGGTGGTCTATATGATCCAGCACTTGGTCCATACACCAAGCGTCATATGTATGTATAAACCTCGAGGATTTTCAAACATTGATCATACAGACAAACTAACTGGATACTTTTAAAAGTTGCGGTACATGTTCACAAGACCACTTCAACTGTCCAGGACATTTCGGCCATATCGAACTTCCTGTCCCCACCTATAATCCAACCTTCTTCGACCATCTCTACGCCAACCTTCGCGCAAAATGCTTTTATTGCCACAAGTACCGTATGAACCGCGTTCAGGTAAATGATCTTGAATGATTCAATCATAATGTTACAAATGCATATGGTATTTATACCTGTTTATAGTTGCATAAAATCATTGCCAAGCTGAAGCTGCTTCAACGTGGTTTGATTCGCGAGAGCCAACGTATTGATGATTTCAACATGCGAGCCAAGAAGTCGTCTAAGAATGCGGATGAAGACGATATTGCTGATGTTTTGGAAGAAGAGCAAGAAGGAAATGAAAACGCTGAGCAATTCTTGGAGCGAATCGGTATATGATCGATTTAATTGACTAGATAAGTTGTCATGACCAAAATTACTGACATGTCCCCCTTTCTCAGATGACTATGTCGAGGCATGCATCAACGATAAGGAAGCCAACGAGTATGCCAGTCGTACATATAAAATTACTATTATTAATGAAGAGCGAAAACAAGTTATGGCAGATTTCTTTAGACGCTGTATCGCTAAGAAGCGTTGCGAGAACTGTACTGGTGTCTCCCCTCCTATCCGTAAAGATGGTGTCGCCAAGATTTTTCAAATGCCTTTGAACAAGAAGACACAAATGATCATGGAAGCCAAGGGCCTTAAGATTCAGGACGTTCTAGTTAAATCTAAGGCTTCTACTCAGGCCATGGATGTTGATGTCTCTGAAAACACTGCAAATGGCATCAGTGCTTCGGAATCATCTTCTGAAGATTCTTCTGATGAAGAGGAGCAAGGTGCCAAAATGCCTTCTGGCAAGATCTCCAAAGAAGACGGCGAAGCACCTGCTGGTCAACAAAAGTATATGACACCTCATCAAATTCGTGACCATTTGACTTGCCTTTTCGAAAGTGAGCCTAGTGCAACCACCCTGATGTATGGAGCAAGAAACCCTCGCTCTCCTAGTTTGGTCAAGCCAGTCAAGGCATCCATGTTCTTCATTGATGTTCTCGCCGTTGCACCCACTCGTTTCCGTCCAGCTTCCGTTATGGGTGACAAGTCTTTTGAGTCTCCACAAAACGTTTTGCTAGGCAAGATCTTGTCTAGTTCTCAACAAGTTCGTGAAAGTAATGCCCGTGTCCAAGCTTTGGGCAAGAACAAAGATGAAAACAAAGAGGAGATTACTCGTGCTTTCAACTATCTTGTAAACAACATCATCAAATTGCAACACGATGTCAACTCGTTCATTGATTCTACCAAGAACCCTGCTCCTATGCGACAAGGTCAGCTTCCACCTGCCGGTATCCGACAGACTTTGGAAAAGAAGGAAGGTCTTTTTAGAAAGCATATGATGGGCAAGCGTGTCAACTATGCTGCTAGATCCGTCATTTCGCCCGATCCTAATATCGAAACTAATGAGATTGGTATTCCTCCCGTTTTCGCCAAAACTTTGACATATCCTGAACCAGTGACACCTTATAACGTCAAGGAGATGATGCAAGCTGTCATCAACGGACCCGAAAAGTGGCCTGGTGCAACCCACGTTCAATATGAGGATCAATCCTTGCACTCGCTTGCAAATTTGAGCGTCGAATCTCGCATTGCTTTAGCAAACACTCTTTTGTCTCCTCAAGACTCTACTGCTTCTACGTCTGGTACTCCCTACGCTACACGTACTCAATCTATCAACAAGAAAGTATTCCGTCACTTGCGTAATGGCGATATGTTGTTGCTTAACCGCCAACCTACTCTTCACAAACCTTCTATCATGGCTCACAAGGCCAGAGTTCTTCCAGGAGAAAAGACCATTCGTATGCACTTTGCCGTAAGTATTACTCTGTGCCATAACAATAACTCAGTAACGCTTATTAATATTTTTGGCTACTCGATAGAACTGTAATACGTACAACGCTGATTTCGACGGTGACGAAATGAACGTCCATTTCCCCCAAAATGAGATTGCTCGTGCAGAAGCCACCTTGATTGCTAATACTGATAATCAATATCTCGTCCCTACCTCTGGTAATCCTCTTCGTGGTCTTATTCAGGATCACGTTGTTTCTGGTGTATGGATGTGTTCGAGAGACACTTTCTTCACTCGTGAAGAATATCAGCAAATTCTCTATGGATCTCTGCGTCCTGAAATTGATGGCACCGGAAACGGCAGAGTCATTACCGTTCCCCCTACTGTGTGGAAGCCTGTGCCACTCTGGACCGGTAAACAAGTTATTACCACTCTTATGAAGAACTTGACTGTTGGTAGACCTGCACTCAACCTTACCTCTAATGCCAAGGTTGGTGCCAAATACTGGGGTCCCGATGGTGTTGAGGAGGCTACTGTCCTCTTTATGGAGGGTGAACTTTTGACCGGTGTACTTGACAAGTCGCAATTCGGTGCCTCTTCATATGGTATGGTGCACTCTGTCTATGAACTTTATGGTCCTGAATCAGCTGGAAAGCTTCTCAGTATTCTTGGTCGTCTATTCACAAAATTCACTCAAAGCCATGGATTCACCTGCCGAATGGATGATTTGCGTCTTACTCCTGAAGGCGACAAGGTTCGACGCACTCTTCTCGACAACGGAAAGGATGACGGAAAGCAAGCCCACATTGATTTCCTCGGCCTTACCGATATGGCAAAGGAAGCTGACTCAGACGACCTCAAGAAGGAGTTCGATCTTCGCATGGAAGAAGTTGCTCGTGATGATTCTAAATTGGCTGGCTTGGATAATGCTATGAAGTCCAAGGTGAACAAGCTCACATCCTCCGTCATTGATAAGTGTATTCCCAGCGGCTTGGTCAAGAAGTTCCCCAAGAATAACATGCAAATGATGACCGTCTCTGGAGCCAAGGGTTCGCCCGTCAACGTCTCCCAAATTTCTTGCTTGCTTGGTCAACAGGAATTGGAAGGTCGTCGTGTTCCTCTTATGGTTTCTGGAAAATCATTACCATCCTTCTTACCATATGAATCAAGTGCACGTGCTGGTGGTTACATTGCTGGTCGTTTCTTGACTGGTATCCGGCCACAAGAATACTATTTCCATTGTATGGCTGGTCGTGAAGGTCTTATTGATACTGCCGTCAAGACTTCTAGATCTGGTTATCTTCAACGTTGTTTGATTAAGCATCTGGAAGGTCTTCGTGTTCATTATGATCACTCCGTCCGTGACGCTGATGGTTCAATCCTTCAATTCCACTATGGTGAAGATTCATTGGATGTCATTAAACAAAAGCATCTCTTCCAATTCAGCTTCTGCGCACACAACACCGAATCCCTTCTCCAGAAATATAATCCCAAGCAAATCATGGATATCCTTGACATCAAGGAAGGTAACGACTACAACAAGAAAGCCCTCAAGAATTCGCAGAAATACGATCCAGCACTTTCCAAATACAGCCCAAGCCGACATTTGGGTGTTGTGTCTGAACGTTTCTCAAAGCAACTGAATGCCTACATTGAAAACAATCCCGACAACTTGCCATTTAGCAAAACCACTGCATCCACTAAGAACAATGAGCGATTTTCTAGCCTCACTTCCAAGAAATTCAAGGCTCTTATGCAACTTAAATACCTTCACAGTCTTGTTGAACCCGGTGAAGTTGTTGGTCTTCTGGCTGCTCAGTCTGTCGGTGAACCTTCCACTCAAATGACGCTCAACACTTTCCATTTTGCTGGACACGGTGCCGCTAATGTCACTCTTGGTATCCCTCGTCTACGTGAAATTATCATGACTGCCTCCGCTTCTATTAAGACTCCCACCATGTTGCTCCCATTGCTCACCAACGTTTCCTCTGACGAAGCTGGCCATTTCTGCAAACACGCCACTCGCTTGACCCTTGCACAGATTGTCGATGATGTTGTTGTAACGGAACGAATGACCAGCAAGTCAGCATCTAGCATGCACCGTCGTACTAAGGTCTACCAGGTTCGCCTGAACTTATTCTCCGAAAAGGAATATAAGGAAGAGTACAATGTCTCTGCTAAGCGCATTAAGCAAGTTCTCGAAACTAAGTTCATCCAGCGACTTGAAGCTGCCATCCGCAAAGATATCAAGGATTCCAAGAAGGCTAAGGCTGACGATGTCGGTAAAGCTATCAAACGCTCAAAGACATCTAGCAATGACACAGAAGACGATAGTGCACCAGTCACAGCCACTGTAAATGGTAAGTTGAGCCTCAATTTGGCATCCATAGTACCAAATATGCGTTACTAGCTATCAGATACTAATCAATGATCTACGTAACAGACGACGATGAAGGTGACGGTGATGCCACTGATGCTCGTAACGCCAAGCGAAGTGCGCAGCATGCATCCTACGATGCTCCTGACGAGGATGATGAGGAGGTCATCAAGTCTATGGACCGACAAATGGATGAAGAACTTGAATTGGACGCTTTGGCTAACGGCGACGATGATGATAATGACACTTCAGCAATGGACATCGACGATGCCGAAGGCAGAGTTGTTACCAACAGCTCATATGTCAGCAAATGGAAGTTCGATAACACCAATGGCGCATGGTGCGAAATTGAGTTGACTTTCCCTGCCAACACTAAGAAGGTTCTTATGGTGGCTCTTGTTGAAAAGATCTGTCACGATGTCATTGTTCACGAGATCAAGGGTATCGCCCGATGCTTCCCATACATCAACCCAACTGAAAATGACAAATCTGTACGTAGTCTTTTCTATTTGAGTTTACTTTGTAGAAATGTTCAAGCACTGACAACTTTCCTTTTTATTTCCAACAGAGAAAACTTCAAACGGAAGGTGTCAACTTACAAGGCATTTGGCCATACGCTGACATCATTGATGTCAACAACATCGATACCAACGATATTGCTGCCGTGCTTAGAACCTATGGTGTTGAGGCAGCTCGTAATGCCATCATGAAGGAAGTAGACGGTGTTTTCGAGGTCTACGGTATCTCTGTCGACAAGCGTCACTTGTCTTTGATTGCTGAATACATGACGTTCGAAGGTGGATACAAGCCATTCAACCGGTCTGGTATCGAATCCAATGTGTCACCTTTCCTCAAGATGAGTTTCGAACGAACCTGCCATTTCTTGACCGAAGCCACTGTCCACGGTGACTACGACAGCTTAGACTCTCCATCCGCTAGAATTGTTATGGGCAAGGTTGTTGGTGGTGGTACTGGCTCATTTGAAATCATGCAATCACTCGTAGATACTTCCGCATAAATCATACAATAAACTTTTTTTGCATTTCTGTTCCCATTAATTTTATTGAGTATGAACGAGCTGTAGATAGGATTACGGCATTATGAATGGAATATCAGGAGTTCAAGCAGCCAGCAGAGAGCCAGTCAGCCAGACAGTTTCACGCTAATAGTGGACGTAGCGCAGCCGTTTAGGCTTGTAGCCAATTGGTAACCATGAAATTTTTCAGGTTCTCCACTTGAATGCCACTTTGGCTCTCACTCCCGCTATTTTGTTACGGAGCCAAATTCGAATTTGGGTTACATCATCAGTCCTGATCGCCAAATACAATGGATACAGTATAGTTTGGATGCTATAGTCCTACGGGGCATATCTTCTAGCGACTTGCTCTGAGTTTACATGGGCTAAAATTGCTACCTTACTGCGGTCACCCTAGCTTCAGACTATGCTGAGCCCTGCTCTTCAGCATAATAAAAAAAAAATTTCAGAAAAAAATAACATCGATAAAGTGCAAAATGGCACCCAATGAAATCGTCCAGCTTGTATCGGTGGTCCAAAATATTGTGACGGACGTTTTGGTTTGGTGCTTCCCGGAGACTGAAAAATTTTATTTCTAGGATCACATTAGCGGCTTTTACCCTCTTCCTTTCCTCCTTTACAAATTATCATGAGTAACGTCTCAGCATCAAAGCAAAAGCGTTTGGCAGCAAGAGCTGCTAGAGCTGATAAGAAAGCTTCTAAGGATGGCAGCCCCATGAGCACCTCCGGCACCAATACCCCTATCACTCCTTTATCCAACGCTTCTTTGGAAGATTTGCCTCTTGATAAGCTCAACATCAACGTCGCTCGTACAGCCACTGGTGTGTATACCTCCCAAGAGCGCTCCAGAGATATCAAGATCGAATCATACTCTCTCAACTATCACGGTCGTGTTTTGATCGACAATGCCAACATCGAACTTAACTTTGGTCGACGATATGGTTTGATTGGTGCTAACGGCTCTGGAAAGTCCACTTTCCTTCACTCCCTTGCTGGCAGAGATATTGAAATTCCTGACCACATTGATGTAAGTCATTCATAGCCTATTTTTTTTTTCATTCTTCTGGTAGAACATTGTTTAGCTGATGTTTCATTTGATTTCCATAGATCTACTTGTTGAACCAAGAAGCTGAGCCAGAGGAGAAGAACGCCGTCGAAGCTGTCATTGAAATGGCTGAGAAGGAAGTTGCTCGTCTCGAAAAGCAAGTTGAGGAAATTTTGGGTGAAGACGACGGTGCAGACAACCCGGTCTTGGAAGATATTTACGAACGTATCGAATCCATGGACCCTGCCACTTTCGAAACCAGAGCTTGTACTTTGTTGTCTGGTCTTGGTTTCACTACTCAACAAATGGCCAAACAAACCAAGGACATGTCTGGTGGTTGGAGAATGAGAGTTGCTCTTGCCCGTGCTCTTTTCATTAGACCCACTGTTTTGTTGTTGGATGAACCTAGTAAGTATTTCATTGGTGTAACCTGTCAAAGACAAAAGTCACGAGATCTGATCGAATTTTCCTTTTCCTTTTAGCCAACCATTTGGATCTTGAAGCCTGTGTGTGGTTGGAAGAATACTTGAAGACCTACGACCGTATCTTGGTTATGGTTTCTCACTCTCAGGATTTCTTGAACGGTGTCTGCACAAACATCATGGACCTGACCCACAAGCGTAAGCTTATCTACTATGGTGGTAACTACGACACCTTTGTCAAGACCAAGGAAGAAAACGAAGTCAACCAAGCCAAGGCTTACCAAAAGCAACAAGATGAAATTGCTCATATCAAGAAGTTCATTGCTTCCGCTGGTACTTATGCCAATTTGGTCAGACAAGCCAAGTCTAAGCAAAAGATCATCGACAAGATGGAGGCTGCTGGTCTTATTGAGAAGGTTGAACATCCTCCTCCGTTCAAGTTCGATTTCACCGATGTTGACAGACTTCCCCCACCGGTCTGCTCTATGCAAGAAGTTTCCTTCGCCTACACCGGTCAGATGAAGGACTGTCTTTACCGTGACCTTGAGTTGGGTGTTGATATGGACTCTCGTGTTGCCCTTGTCGGTCCCAATGGTGCCGGAAAGTCTACTCTTCTTAAGCTTATGGGTGGAGAGTTGAACCCCACCGCTGGTCGTGTTCAACACCACAGCGCTCTTAAGCTCGGAAAGTACTCTCAGCACTCTAACGATCAACTCGACATGGAGCTCAGTCCTATTGATTACATGAAGAAGAAGTTCGCCTCTGTCAGCACAGAAACCGATTTCTGGCGTCGTCAAATCGGTCGATATGGTTTGACTGGTGCCCACCAAACTTCTCCCATCGCCAACTTGTCCGATGGTCTTAAGTCTCGTCTCGTCTTCGCTGAACTCGCTATGGCTCATCCTCACATTATCTTGTTGGACGAACCTACTAACCATTTGGATATGGAGTCCATTGACAGTTTAGCTGATGCTATCAAGCGATTCAACGGTGGTGTTGTTTTGGTTTCTCACGATTTCCGTCTTATTTCCCAAGTTGCCAGAGAAATCTGGCGTTGTGAGAACGGAAAGGTTGATCCCTTCCAAGGCAGTATCCAGGAATACAAGGAAACTCTCCGCAAGAACGTCAAGTTGTAAGTTTAGGACTATCCCCAAAAAAAATCCCAGTTTCATTCCAGCGACAACCCCTTTTTTGCCTACACCCACCATCTTTTCTTTCTTTCTTCTTATGCCAGCTGGCTTATTCAACCTATTGTTCATTCCCAAATTTTGTTTCTTTCTTTCTTTGCGACTTTTGTACAATTTGATAGACTTTTCCATGCACATAATCTAGATCTTTTCATCTTACGGCTACTACATTTTCTTGGTTTCATATATATTATTTTATTGTATATCTGATGCTCAAGGAAATGACAGTGGAAATAGAGCATATCAAAAAGTAATAGTGTTTATTTTTTCTGTTTACATGTGAAAGGATCATAACAGTCAGAGTGGGTTATGGTGGTCAATGTGCCGATATACGGCGATCTCGAGGGCTATAAGATCTATTGCGACTACTCCTAGAATATGGTGAAGGAGATCGTCTCGAGCGGCGGCCACGGTCTGACGTTGGTGATGGAGATCGTTCACGTCGTCGATATTTGTCGCTGCGAATTGGAGAGCGAGATGCCTCATGTCTACTTCGCACAGGCGACCGTGATGATTCATGTCGTCGGCGCTTGTAGCGATCTGATTCCTCCTCTTCCCGATCGTCAGAGCTTCTATGTTTTCGACTCTTGTGCTCCTTCCTATGCTTATGTTCCTTCTTATCCTTCTTCTTCTTCTTTCCTGATTTAGAATCCTGAAGTGCTCGCATTTTCAAAGGGTTATTCATGATAGCTTTGACAGCTTCCTGTTCTCGTCGTTTGATGGCAAGTAGAGGGTCTTCTCTGATCTTGGCGGCAGTATCACGTTCGTTGACAGGACTGGCAGTGTTGAGTGCGAACCGTTCATTGACGGAGTCGTTGACTTTTTGTACTTCTCCTTTGGAGCGAAGTAGGTTGTCGACGGATTTCTTTCCCAATAAGTACTCTTCCATATCATCTCCACCCGGCGTTTGTGAAGCGTTCGGTGCTGCGTACATCCAGTCCAACTTGTCTGCTCGTTTCCTTTTAAAGCAAATTGTTAGTCCACATTAGCCATTTTTCAAGAAGAAATTGCTGTTGGGCACCGCATGAGGTGGATTAATCAACTTACTTTCCGCCAGCTGCTTCTTGCATTCGCTGTAATTCCTGAACCTGTCGTTCTTCTTCAAGTTCCTTTCGCATCTGGTCGATCTTTTGCTGTTCGTCAGCATGCTTCCGTTCTTCCTTCCATACTCGCTCTTGATTACGGAAGGTCGAGGGATGCCACGACTTTTTCAAATTGAGATCTCCTCCTCCCATTTTCTGCTGTGAGACGTTGAGAAAACTGAGTTATGGAGAGCAAGCCTAAACGAAATTTAAGTCACAAAAAAATTGCTCACGTGCCACACGCCATAGTCTTAACACAGCGCAGGTGAGATGACATCGACAGCAGTAACAAATTGCTTGCCTTGATTCTTTCTCCTTGGCATTTATTTTGCTAGTAATTAAATCATATGGACGATACGATAGACGACGACAATGTCCCTCTTCAAAGGGGACTTCTCCATAACGAGAATGAAGACTCTGTTCCTGAAGAAGAGCAAAGGCTATTAGATCAAGGCTCAAACACAGACGCTAGCCAACTGGACACAACCGCACCAGCACCCATTGATACATCTAACAGGCAAGCTACTATTGAGAGTTCCATGCCATCGCCGAGACGATTTCCTCGACAACCTCTTCTACAGTTTGATGCGAAGGACAATATACATCAGCTGGAAAGAGAGCTGGAGCAAAGACAGACAGTTGGTAGCCCACATCAAAACCTGGAAGCAGAAGACGACTTGGTTGAGAACGCTATTCCGTCGACCATTGGAGGCTCTTTGGACAAGATGATCGGCAGCTTTATTAGAGGCATTGGCCATCTCACCAAAGATCCCGAACTTGTGAGTATAGGCGATCAACGCATTCTCATCGGCAACGCTGAGATTGAACAGAAGAAGCGAGAGCGACAGGACGCTGCAACTGAAACGGTGGCCATACCTTGATACATTCAGGGAATCGAATAGCGGGAGCCACGTGTGGAGACATACCGTTAATTTGTATACTGGTATAAGAAATTACTTTGTACAGTCCTTTACGTCCCCATTTATGTTTTGTTTCTTATACATATATATAATTCTTTTATCTTTTCCAAAGTGTGCCATCGAGTGTGGTTGATGATGTGTTCCTGTTGTCCACAGTGTGATCGAGTGGGGGTGGGGCTGTCATTTTGAGAACGACGGCTAAAAATTGTGCCATATCAAACAAAAATTGCCATTCAAACCCATATCCACTTACTAACGAAGAACCTAGTTGTGGGAGCGTGTTAACTGCTGGTATCTAATTCACCTTCAGGACAAACCTCTCTCTGTCTTGATCGATCTCTTTCCTCTCAATGACTACCATTACAATCACTAATCAGCTCAATGAGAAAATCGTTGGCACCTTCGAATCTAGACCTGAATCCGTCGTTGACGGTTGTCCCCCGAGACTGGTTTTGATCGTGCACGGTGTTATGGGTACTTGAATGTTTTGATAAAAGCGCAGGCAATGGCACCATGCTAACCTATTGTTAACTGTGTTCTGTAGGTCACAAGAATTACCTGTTTCAAAGGTTGTTGGCCGAGAAGCTACCCTATGAAAGCTTTCGATTTGATTTCCGCGGCAATGGAGACAGCGACGGTACCACACGTTTTGGCAATATCAATGTGTGTATAAACACTTTAATTGCATTCATCTATGTACACAAGCTCATAATGTATTTTGCAGGATGACGTTGAGGACATTAAAACCGTTACTAGCTACTTTGAAAACAAGGGCTATCAAATCTACGCCATTGTCGGTCATTCTAGAGGTAGGGGAGCATAAAGTTGGATCGATCACTCATTCACCCAGATGACTCAATGATGTTTCTTTAAAGGCTCTGTTGCTTCTTTCAGATACGCTAGCACCTGCCGAGTGCCTGTACCCCATCTTGTCAATGTTGCTGGTCGTTACCGTATGAACTTGATCCGCGGAAGACAAACAAAGGAGCAGACGCAATCTTTGAAGGAAAAGGTAAATTTACATTCGAGCATCATACTACTATTATGTATGAAGCTTAACATTAAATTGGACATTCTATAGGGTTTTTATAAGTGGACTATCCGAAGGAGAGGTACCTTTGAGGACATCATCGTTAAAGAAGCTGATGTGCAAGAGTTCATTGATTTCGATTCGAGTCATGGTAAAGATCTACGTTATGAACCTGGATATCAAATGGCTTGATCATTGTTACTGACCCCAAAGTAGTGAACAAATTGTCAAAGGCAACCTCCGTTCTCACATGTCATGGTGTAGAGGATTTTGTAAGCCACATTCCAATTTGGCTGCCATTGTTACGAGTCAAAATTGCTTAATATCGCCGTTTTATTAGATCGTTCCTGTTCACGATGCTGCCATTTACTCCAACATCATACCTACTCATACCCTCAAGTTGTTTCCCAAGGCTGATCACAACTTCAAAGGCTGCTATCAAGAACTCGTAGATACCATCCTTCGATACTTCAAAGTTCATGAAAACGAAGCTGCAAGAGCTTGGAGCTTGGGGCTGACAAAGAGTTTGACTATTCCCCGTTGGATCGATGTCGAGGGAGTCATGAACTTCAGAGATATTGGTGGTTGGGACGTCAAAGGTGGAAACGGTTATATCCGTGAGCGTATGGTATTCCGTTGCGGGCAGTAAGTGTTGGCCAGCGTATTGAAGATTGAATTGGCCACCAGCATATTGACAATTTTCGTTATTTTATAGCCTGAGCAACATGACTGACAATGGCGAAGAGACTTTGAAGAGCTTGGGAATTACTGCTGCGTTTGATTTTAGATCCACACAAGAAATCGAACAATACGGTGTCATGCGGTAGGAATATTGTTCACGACACTCGGATTATTGTTTGACCTCATACCTAACGTGATTTGATGGTCTCGTGAACCTTTCTTAGTGAAATATCGGGTATTGACAGGTACCACAGTCCCGTCTTCCTCGATGAGGATTACTCCCCTGCTGCTATAGCCGTCAGATGGCAAGGATACTTTGCTGGACCAACAGGATTTCCTCATGGTGAGTTCGAATGCAGACCTCAAGTATGTGTTGTTTAATTGGAATACTGACAGCTGGAAAATTACCAGCCTACCGCACTATGCTCCAATCTGGCCCTCAAGTCTTTGAGCGTATTTTCCGATATTTAATTGCCAACCCTAGATCTCCCTTCATTATACACTGTACCGCCGGAAAAGATAGAACTGGTGTATTTGTAATGTTGTTGCTTGGACTTTGCGGTGTGGACGATGAAGTCATTGCCAGAGAGTATGAACTTACCAACCTTGGATGGTGGGGTACGTATTACCATAGTGGAGAACGTCTAATAAGCAGGACACTAAACCAATTGGTTGTTTTAGAATCGGAGGAACAGCTTGCTAAAAAGGCCAAGCTGTTGGATCGCTCCATCGACGATTTGAAGATTGTCATGTCTGCTCCGTAAGTGCGGAATTTAGTATAGAGCAACGAGTACTTTTACCCCTTTCTGACCTTTTCTTTTTAGTTATGTGGGTATGAAAGAGACCATTGCTATGGTTCGACATGAATATGGATCTATTGAAAGCTATGTTCGTGATAAATGCCATCTAAGCGACGCCGATATCGCTACCATTCGTAGAATAATGATTGTACCCATCCGACGTGAAGAAAAGCAGCTTTACAGAGCTGCCAAACTCTAAGTTACACTTAAAATTTTTTAGCCTACCACCGATTGAGGCAACTTTTACAATTTAGCATCAAGTACACGGTCTAGAAAAAGTTTATTATTACTCCCCTACTTGTGGGCCCATTCTTTGGTTATATGTTAGCAAAATAAAAGGAAGATGTAGAAAAAATGACAGTTTGATTCTGAGTTATGCATGTTGAAGACATTTTTTTATTTTTGAAGAGTTCCAGCTGGCAATTGGCCTGGGTGCTCCTATGCCTACGACATAATTCGGCTATAGTCGAAAACAACCCCCCACCCAAACCTTGAAAATGAGATGTTTCGCCCCGTTGGAGAGATTCCACAAGGAAAATCATGCAGCGTCGAGCCAGTCACCTTTTTTAGGTGGATGACTTCTCTGACCAAATGAAACCTCATACTGTCATCGATTCATTTTTTACCCGCTTGACACTTTTCTTCAGCTTGTTTCCCTCCCTTCTCTTTCTTACCTTACCTTTCCTCCCGAAGCCGTTACAACAAACTGCTTGTACTGGCTTATTGCAAGCATCGCGTTTGACACAAGTCAGTATTTTGGATAACTTTTTTTTCTCCGCATAAGTAAAATGCTCTTATATTCAATCCCCCCTGATTGTTCATTACAATACTTAGGTCCATTTTAAACAAGGCTTGCACTTAACCATACAGCAGTTTATCATGGTAGCAATATCAGAGCAATCGCCATTTTTCATTGAGCACACTTGTTTGCGTGATAGTCGCCCCCTCTTCTCCGTAGTCCTCAAACTGCAGCATAACAAACAGAGATCGTCAGCGCAAACGCACGGTCGCTCAATTCGAGATCTCGCCCATCTGTCTAAACGTATCTGCCCTCATAGAAAACGACGTCGATACTACACATCTTACGATAGCTATATAATGAACCACCAGATTGTTTCCCCGCCATCGTTGCACATCCTACATCAGCCATCTCAAAAGCTGTTACCACTGTATCTACCGGAACTCTTGAATCACATTTTTCAATTCCTGGACAAGGATAATGCGTTATACCCAGCAATGTTGGTGAATAAGGGGTGGCACGATTGCGCAGCTCGGATATTATGGAAGAGAGCAGCTTTTGAGGATACGAGCGAAAGCATTGGTCGTTACGAAAAGTTTGCTCAGGTGTTTGGTGACTGGCAAAAACGAGGTGAAACCATACCCACGACAAGATCCATGCCATATTCCCTGGACGCCATGGCACGGAGCAACATTACGAGCAATTCATCAGAACAACAAGATATTAATATGATCATGCCGCAACAGCAATCCAATACCGTAGACAAAGGAAGAGGGTTATTATCTTTTGCAACTTTTGAAGGTGCCATTCGATGCATTGCTCCACAGCCTCGCAGAACGCAGTCAGACAGGTCCTTGAAACGAAAGATGATAGTGGATTTGACTGAGAGTCATAGCTCTACCACTGCTGCTACAAGTTCGAGCTCGGACATGAGCGTTTATAATCTGGAAGTATCATCCCCGAAACAGACGGATGCCTTGGGTATGAATTGTCTTTCTACCTACCGCCGATCGCTCAGACATCTTTCGCTCCGAAAGATCAAAGAGAAAACCATCAACGAATCGCTATGTGCTATTGCCAACAAGGCCACCCTTCTAACAAACTTGGATATATATATTTGTGATCATTTGGAAGACGATACCGTCATACGATTTGCAACTTTTCATATTACCCCTACCGCGCCTATATCCAGTTTAACACAGATATCATTGGCTGGCTGCCACCGAATCACAGACACATCCATCATAGCTGTGGCTAATCATTGTCCACTGCTAGAGCATTTGGATCTTCGAGCATGTGGTCTAGTGAGCGACCTATCGATATCGGCTGTAGCCCTGAACTGCCCTCAATTGCGACACCTGAATGTCGGTCGTATCAGAGACAGAGAACGCATCACCATCACCAGCATTCGACTGATTGCTCAACGAACCAAAGCTGCGGTGCTGGGTCTGGCAGGATGTGATATCGACGATGAATGCATGCTTCTTTTGGCTCAACAGAGGAAATCCAGCATGGAACGCATTTCCGTCAACAATTGTTATCGTATCACCAACGAGAGTATCCGCGCATTTGTCAAACTGTGCCCACGCCTCAGTGTGTTCGAAATGAAGGAATGCCACTTGGTCAATGATTGGGCTTCCGTGGCAGAACTTGTTAATCGTAAAGTTCTCCTAACGCTTTGTGAACAGCAAAACAAAGCTTGTCTGGACTGGGCAAAGAGCCAGGGCAAGTCAATGAAGGTGCGAGCGCCGGTAAAGTAATTTCTACAGAACCTTTATTTTTTTCAGACTTGTAATTACAATCATAATCTTTCCCTTATTCTGTAATGAACCATTCGCCTAGTGTGTCTAATTTGATAACGAGGTATTGAACATGACAACATTGTGTAGCATGTGGAGGAAATTTCTCTACTGGATGATGGTGTAAGGAATGGGGGGTGGGGACGATTTTATTTTTTTGTTATGTAGAGTGTATAGAACGAAGGAGCAAAGAATTTAGAACGACTTATAGACATGCACTTTCCCATATTCTTCACTCGATTAGCCAGCCACCTTCAACACCGTATCGCTCACCATCTCGTACGAGCAAATCGCTAATTTTTTATTCCGACTAAACAATATACAACACAAAGTGTCCCACTCTAATCCTTCTTCAGCGGGAAATTCTGTTCTTCAACACCGTCCCTGGTTATGACGAAAATCTGCAAATTGTCACCAGTGTGTATATCACGTTCAGTAGCTGAGGTGAAAGCATCCTTCGTAATTCGAAGAACAGCTTCTAAAGTCAATGGTGCGGTTGATGCGTTCTGCTGATTCTTACGACCGACCTAAACGAGAATGTTAATCATCCATATCGCTCCATGTGCACGTACATTGATTCCATAAACACATTGAAACTTTTCTATCATACCTGGTTGTCCAAGAATGGTTGAATCAAGGCAGACGCTGAGCCGCTTGTGCGATAATTTTCTCTTTCAAAGGAACCGACGGAATCATAGCAGTAAACCGCACCCTTTCCTATAAATCAAAATTGAATCAGTCGCCGTCGAAAATCAATTCAAACGCAATGGGTGAATTGTATACTCTACCATCAGCGTCAACGCCTCCCAACAAACAGAAAGCGTAGTATGGGAAAAATCGTCGTTGGTATAACGTGTTGGATAACATTTGTGCAAGTGCCGTGACAGACATATCCTTGTCATGAGAGTATTTGTACATCTACAAAATCAAGTATAAACCGTTAGTCTTGTTGATGTCCTGGTCAATGCCGCATGCGTACCGCCCATTGTCTCTACCTTCATTCTCTGTTCAAGTACTTTCTTCAAAGTCACACCGTCGGCGTGAAATCCGTTGCAAGAAAGAACAGCTGTGGACGACATCTTGTATGCCTTTGGTGCATATCGAGAATTAATCATATAACCATTGCTCTGTCTCGTATCTGAAGCAACGACACAAAAGTCTTCTCCAGCAATGGCAACGCTAGTACTGTTTGGAATGAATGAATGAGTTGTTTAAAGTTGGGATCGTGAGGTTGAGTCTGAACCCGCAGGGACATACCCGCCGTTATCTTCGTAAGGGTCGAATCTGTGTTCAATGGGAGCAACCACGTAGGGTGCTGGTTTAGAGAGAGGGCTGTCCAAAAAGTTCATGGTGTTCCTGTCACAGACCAAGTTCGGGGAGACGGACGCGCGTAAGCTTAAAGCGAAATGGCACGACGAGTGAAATGTGACGTAGACCAGCTGAGGTGACGTGGTCACTGAGTCCAATTGCGTCTGCGCGTTGCGCGTACCCTTCATTATGAAAATTAAAGCCTGACGGAACTTTGATAGCGTCGTAATATTTCTGCCCAACCTCTTTCATTGAATATGAATTCCCTTGTACAAAAGTATTCAAAATCATCTACAGCCCACGACGACGACGTTCTTGGCGTTCACGGAAAGTGGGACGCTTCACTCGACCTTGCTTTTCCCACCTTTGATATTCCAGGAGCGCAAAACGTAAGCCCCGTCCAAATGCAATGTCTTTCTTTAAACATGGTGACAAGATCTCGGCAAACTGACTAAATCGTTCCTTCTCTTATAGCCTCTCAGCTTTCTCAGAAATGTCACCGACGAAGCATCCTCTGACTACAAGATTAAAATTCAGCACGGTACAACCACGTTAGCATTCAAGTTCCAGGGCGGTATCATTGTTGCCGTCGATTCACGAGCCACTATGGGCAACTACATCGGTTCACAAACTGTCAAAAAGGTCATTGAGATTAACCCATATCTACTCGGTACCATGGCGGGAGGTGCAGCAGATTGTAGTTACTGGGAACGCGAACTTGGACGACGATGCCGCCTCTATGAACTCACCAACAAGGAACGAATTTCAGTAGCTGCAGCATCCAAATTGCTGGCCAACCTTGTTCTTCCTTACAAAGGCATGGGTCTTTCTATGGGTACAATGGTCACAGGATGGGACAAATCAGGTCCCAATTTATACTACGTCGACTCTGATGGTTCACGGATTAAGGGTGATTTGTTCTCTGTTGGTTCCGGTTCAACATTCGCATATGGTGTTCTCGACTCTGGATATCGCAACGACTTGACCGTTGAAGAAGCTTTGGAGCTTGGCAAGCGATCTATCTTCCATGCTGCACATCGTGACGCTATGTCTGGTGGCTCAGTGAACTGTAAGTAAAAATGGATGGTCCTCCTCATCTAAAGCTATGTATGCGCATCATGTCGTACTCATTATTTCCTTCCACCCACTAGTATACCACATTCATGAAGAAGGTTGGACATACCACGGCAATCACGATGTTGCTGCACTTTTCTGGGAATACCAAGACCTCAAGGCGGAAGAAAGAGCAGCGGCTGTTGGCAAGCAGTAAATGAAAGCTTTGGTGCAGGCGACAATTGATTGTGTGTATGTCATTAAATAAATAAAATACAAGACAGACACGATTTGCTTGGGGACGGGAATGTGAGAGGAGAGAATTGTAAATGTGTATGTATGTTTACTGTATGTTATTGGAATTGCAAATCTAACATATGCGCTGTTCATTGAAATCTGCGTATCAAAGGCGTAAAGTACATATTCTACATAGAAGGCTGCGAGATTACAATTGAAAAAGCAAGGAAGAAAAGGTGGTGGTCCAAAGCAAAGTTGCAGTCTTACAAGTCCCAGACGCCAACGACGGACCCAAGCCATGTTGTGGAAGTCCAGATGGGAAGCAACTTCCTGACTTCAGCAAGCATACCAACACCTCCAATGAGACGTTCATCACCACGATCTGCGAACCCTTCCTTCTCCAAAGCAGTGAATTCAGCACGCATGGTCCAAGCTCGAGCAGCTTCTTCGCCTTGTTGACGAACGTGTTCAGGAACTAGAACTTGAAGATCAAGTCGCCAACCATCGCTTCCATAGCCACCAACATGGCGAACAACGTAGTGCGAAGTGTGGTTCAGGGGCTGAGTATCACCAATGTTCCAAGAGACAACGTGGGCGTCAAAGGAGATGACGGTCCAAGTGAAGGAAGGAGCAATAGAGATAACGGAGAAAGTGCGGATGCCCGTCTTATGATCGTACTGGCTATCGAATGATTTGACAGTAGGTACCTTACCGCTCAATTGCAGACCAACAGGTTCACTGGAAGTAGCCAGAGTTCCATTGGAGGTGTGATCTTTGATATACTGATTGGAATCGAAACGGTAGCCGCCAAGGAAAGCGCTGAAAGGATAAACTGAGTCCCAGTCGGCAGCATGCGAAGGTCCACCACGCTTTTCCGCTTGCACTCCAAAGGCTTCTTCCAGTTGGTTCACAATGGGTAGAGTGTAAGGACCCTTGTCAGCTTCGGCCACAATAATGGAGGCTTCTCCACTAGTGATATTCTTAATGTGCTGTACAAAAAGTCGCTTGGGGTGGAGTTCGTCGTAGGGGAATGCCCAGCCTCCGTATGAACCACCAGAGTAGATAGCAGAAATCATAATGGCGACTTGAAGAATAAAAAGAACACCAATAGACTTGACCAGAACCTTCTTTCCGAACCGGTGAGCGTGAGCGATTAAAGCAGGCGAGAGCATGAATGTGACCATGCCAAAGATAAAACCAACGATATTGTCCACAGGAGTGTCGATACCCATACGCCCAGTGAGTGGAACGAAGATGTCGATCAATGAGAACACGTAGTCGATGTAGATGAAGGACAAGGGGAAGACACTGATCATATAGGTCCAATGACTTAAGCGACCAACTCTTGAGCTGCTCTTTGGCGACGACTTGTTAGCTGTAGGAGCCAAGAAGACTTCGTTCACAACACTAGCGACGAGCAACACGGAGGTGAAAACAAAGAAAATGTAAGAGCTTGCAACTCCAGACAAGGTAGTGGCCATGGTAACAAGGGTAAAACACATTAGTACGGAGATAAACCCAGCATGTTCCGGATCAGGGTGAGGAGCAATGGGGATCAAGCTAAACGCCAACTGAGTAGCCAAAACGGCACAAAGAGCTGCAGGACCAAAGATGAGTCCACCCAGTGCTTCGTTGGAGAACCATGTCATCGGTCTATCGATCAAGCTACTTGTAAGGATGAAAGCAACAATATTCGGGGCAATGACGGCGGATGCAAAGCTTATCAAAACAGAGATGATGGAAACGATGTAAGCAGTGACGGTTTGGGTGATCGATCGATAAGGCGAGGTGGTCGTAGATCGCCACAAGGTGTATGCAAAGAAGCAACCTGAAGCAGCAACCGTAGCCATTTGAATGATGAAAGCGGTTTCCCAAGAGTAGACTAGGAAGAATTTGCCTGTAGTGGGTTGAATATACTTGTGTCATGATGAAACGACAATAAAAACTACGTTACAACGTACCGTAAACATCAAAATAGACGACCTGATTTGACTTCTCAATGCCTGTCAGCGTGGTATTCTTTACCAAATGATTTGTTATAGCCAAGACATTTTCACCCAAATGCTGAATGGAACCCCTCTGCAAGTATTTTGGAGTATCCAAGTGTGTGTGGTACAAGTACGAATTTTTGTATAGAGCCATGTCGATACCTGTCAGATTATCGCCATATTCTACAAATTGTCTAAAGTCGGTATCACTTAAAATCAATCCTGTGCTGAAAACATCATTTGCCTAGCCGTGGCCAATTTCAGAGAGAATGCAACATGGATTAGGACACATCGAAAAAATGCGTTTGAGGTAAACTGAAGACATACCATGACAGTGCCGTGAGGATATGGAGCCTGCTTGTAGGCATCGATCATTTCACGTGAGTTCGCTTGGAAAAGAATCTCTCTGCCGGTCGTACCACATGAATCCACATTAACGACAGCACGAATCCTATTAAAAATGTAAACCGTGAGTCTATAAACGCATCGAAAGGGTATGTTGGATACATCATCCAACCACCATAGGTGAAAACTTACGAGTCCTTCAGCTCATGCATAGTGATAAAAGCATGTGACGCATCTTGTAGGGATTCCTCGGCTCCGTTGAACACTGACCGATGCGTGGGATAAGTATCACATAATACATCATGTCTTAGCCAAACTAAAAACCATCATACGTACAAAATACCACTGAATTCTTATACCCATCCCATGACTGCTGGCTCATGATGCGAATAATTTCGAGCATAACAGCAATACCTGATCCATCATCTGATGCTCCTGGTGATCCCAGGGTAGTATCAAAGTGCGCATTGAGTAGAACTGCATTGTTTTCACACTCTCGTGATGGATGAGCAGCTGATTCTGGACACGATAGACGCACAATGATATTGGTGACATTGGTGTACATTTTCAAAACCACTGTAATGCAAAAGAAAAAAGGGTTGATTGAGTTAAGAGCGAAAAGGGGAGCAGAGTACTGACACTTTACAAAGAAGGTAAAGGAGGGGTACTTACTGTGGTCCATAATATCAAAACGGTGGCTGCCATTTTGGTGCTGAACCCAAATGTCAAATTTAGGCGCTTGAGGAATAGACTGAGCAAATTGCTGGTAGCTTTCAATCTTGTTCAATAGATAGTCTGCCGATTGAGCTTCTTCGATAGTTCCAACGATACCTGTTAGTCAAATACTGGGTCAAGTTATAACGTGCATGGTACATTGAACGCGACAGAGCTCAAACAATGAAAAATTCTTGGCTGACAAAAAAAGGATACGATAGCCAAGCGTCTCTCCTAAATAGGTGATAGTCTCGAGAGCATTGTATTCGGAAAATTCAGCAGCGTCAGTCTGAGGGCTGATACCGCGGTGGGACTTTGGCTGAGGTAGCTGGTAATGAAGGGAGGATCCTAGAAGAATTGCAGAAAGGACATAGACGGCCAGCAACAGATAGGACCTGAGAGGTGTTATTTGAGAAGTACGAGTAGACTCAAAGGGAAAGTTTCCATTCTCGCGCGCCAGGTCAGATTTTGAGAAGTTGCGCTTGGTGGCCATTGCCCTGTGGTGAATTCGCAAATGAAAGAGAGACAACAAGCAGTGTCAATCGGCCAGAGGGTCCGCTCGGTTTTACCTTGGAGCCGAGAGATTTTTCAAAGCCAGGGACAGCCAATGAAAAATATCAATGTCTGATGATACTCAAACTCCTTTTACAGCTCTACAGGACAAGCAACAAGGCCTTCGTCACAACGAGCCCTTGTGGCCAATACTGCATCGCCACATATACCCGCACATGCAATAAAAGGCAAGCTCTGTATTTACACCGTGACAGCCGATCATGAAGGTAAGCATGTTATGTGATTTGTCTACATAAGACTCTTAGCCTTTAACTTAAAAAAACAATCTATAAAACAATGTGGTGGCCGCAACCTCCTTTAGATAGGGAAGTAGGGACGACGTGATGACGAAAGTGTTTTCGTTAATTTTTCTACTTTTTTTTTCTTTGAAGTGAGATCATTTGAGAGATAGAAACCGTAGCCGTTTCATGTCTGCGCCAGTTTATATTGACGTAAATACGTTTTGGATCTGAAGAAACAAGACGTATACACTGCACGTGGTACCTCTTACACAATCTTTACCATCCTTCATTTATGAAAATAAAAACTTCTCCTTTCATGAACCCACGCTAGTGTGATTCTTGGCAAATCATATAAATAATTACGAGATATTCATTACAGCCAAGCGAGAGGATATAAGGGCTCATTGTTGTAGTTGATAGAGGCAGCATATTTTCACATAGCTTCTGGGTAGTATTTGCCAGTCTCAAAACATTCCTTGGCAATACTCTACATTTTTTTGTCCCACTACATCCGACAAAATTATCGAATAACAATTTTTTTTTTCTGTTCTGGTTTCGGAGCAGTTTGCCCTTGTACATATTTTTAATATTACTGCATCATCGTAATGAGTTCAGAAAAAGGCGACTATAGAGTAGTCATAGAAGACAAGGACACAAATGCACCAGCACCCGCAACCTCCAATTCCAGCGTGGTTGCTCCATCTCTCATCAAGCTCTCTCCAGGTGCCCGTGCTGCTCTTCCCATCATCAGTTACTGTACCGCAAGCATTCTCATGACCGTCACCAACAAGTACGTTGTTAGCGGCTATGACTTCAACATGAACTTTTTGCTCTTGTCTATTCAGGTGAGTTTCCTTTATATGTGCTAAATACTGGCTCTGGATCGCTTGTTGGGTATCATTCCCCACCGATCGTACTATTCGCCGTAGACTTGGCAAGGTGGGGAGCGGAACGTTATCAGAGCAATACAACTCTCGTCGACAAGTATCTCAAAATGTGCAGAAGAAAAGTTGGAGCCGATCACCTTTGCGTACCATACAACAAATGCAACCTTTTCTCTCCACATTTTTTTTTTTTTTTTACCGATTACCCAATCTTCTCACAATTGCTTTATCTTTGACAAAGAACACACCACTAAACAAACATCTCCTTGCTTCTATGAACAGAGTATCGTTGCAGTTGTGCTATTGGAGTCATTCAAGTTCTTGAATTTGATCAAATATCGTGATTTCGACTGGAATGAAGCCCGTAACTGGTTTCCCATTGCTGCCTTTTTGGTTGCCATGATTTACACTGGTTCCAAGGCTCTCCAATATCTCAGAATCCCTATCTATACTATCTTCAAGAATCTTACCATCATTTTAATTGCATATGGAGAAGTCTTTTGGTTTGGTAGCCATGTCACGCAATTGATGTTGGTATCTTTCCTTCTCATGGTAAGTTTTCACGCACAGAGTTTGTGGCGGAATACTCAACTTTTGCCCATTATCTCACTGGTTACACACAGGTATTTTCTTCCATCATCGCTGGTTGGGCGGATGTCTCTGCCACACTTTCTGAATTGGTCAAGCTGGATACTACCATTATTGGCTACATTTGGATGGCTGCCAACTGCTTTTCTTCTGCTGCCTTCGTCTTGTTCATGCGCAAGCGTATCAAGATGTTCAACTTTAAGGACTTTGATACTGTGTTCTACAACAACTTGCTCTCCATTCCATTGCTTATCATTCCTAGCTTCCTGTTTGAGGATTGGAGAGCGGAGAACCTGGCTAAGAACTTGTAAGTGCCAAATATGTCCAATTTTAGCGTTGGCTTTCCAGTACCTTTTTTTTTTTTTTAACTCAACTTGTTTCGACTTTTGTCGTCATTTTTCCAAACAGCCCCGACGAAGTTCGCACCCAGCTCATTTTGGCTATGGTTTTCTCTGGTGTCTCAGCATTTGCCATGTCCTATGCTTCTGCTTGGTGTGTTCGCACAACTTCATCCACAACCTACTCCATGGTTGGTGCTTTGAATAAACTACCCATCGCTGCTTCTGGCATTGTTTTCTTCGGAGACCCGGCTACTTTTGCTAACATCTCTGCAATTTTCGTCGGTAAGTATAGCCTGGCAAATCATTTTGGCTTCCGATTTTCCCGGTTAAACTCATTCATTTCCGATCAGGTTTCGTTGCTGGCTTGGTCTATTCGTATGCAAAGGCATTCCCTCCCAAGACCAATACCACCCAAAGCATCCCCATGTCATCATCTAGTCAAAGTGCTACCGACGCAACTAAAGCCAACAGCGACTAATATCTCCAACTCAAAGAACCTACCTCCCTTTGCACTTTCTTTGTTTGGCTTCATAGGCTTTTTACCAACCTTATGAATCATTCATTCCATATGCTGTCCTTGTACACCAAAGGTAGACAGTAAATCAAATACCGTGGCTAGATGTTGCTTTTGTCTTTTTTTTTTTTCCTTTTTAATATTACTTTTGTTCGTTCGCTATATCACAGATCAATACAACGAAAGAAAGCACTTTATTTCCCATAGAATAAATACAATGCTTCTTTTTTTCCTTCACTTGAACAGTTGCAGCAGCATCACATTCAGAGAATGATCGGCTCGTTTGAAGTTCCGAGATAACAATGCCTGCCTTCTGATGTTCCGTACATTATATAAAGGACAAAGATTTTCGGTTCTATTTTTTTCTTTTTCTTTTACGCCAAATCAAGAAGTGTCCTTCACTTTTCCCCACCTTTTAGTCCAACTCGGCATTCAAGGCCATTCATGGAAGACCGCCCTCCATTAACTGAGCGAATCAGTTTCTCTTTTGCTACTACTTCTACGGATACTGAACCGCTGTCAACTTGGAGACAGCAACTCGGGACAGTATGGACCTCATTGGACTGGCTAATGCTGACCCGGATTCTCAAATCCGACATTTGCGTCACAATAGCTTTCATTCTGAACCTGACATATTGGGGCTGGCATGACATTGGTACAGGTATGGTACTATCGTCCATTGCCATTGAATTTATTCACCCTGCAGGCTCCTATGGTCGAATTTGGGAGGTGAGTAGTTTAATTTTATGGTATTGCATTTTCAACCATGCATCATCACATAGATCTTCCGTCTTCTTACCCTTCTGTTGACGTTAGAACGCAGCATTCGGTATGATCATGTCATCCGTGGCAGCCGGTTGGTCTATTCTTGGAACATATTGTGCAAATGCCGTTCGAGATCATGATGATCCAACCCTAGCACAACCCCTCGTGACACTGGTCCTTTATATTTTTTTAATTATTGGAGCGTTTTGGCTGAACTACGCTCGAGCTAAATGGGAACAAACAAATGTTGCTGGTAAGTGTAACCTTGCTAATCAGTGAGGTGTCAATGGCTGAGTTTATAACCTTGAGCCCTTTCTATTTTTCCTTAAAGGACTGTTTTCAGCTACCATCATGGTATTGAGCTTAGTGGATGCCGTTCACAGCTCAGAATGGCAGCCTCGTGATGTGGTAAGGCAGACTATTTCCTTTTTGACATCGTCCATTGACGTACTTAGGCTTCGTCAACTACGTCAAGATTGGCCATGGCTGACATGATTGAAAATTTTAGCTCGTTAGCTGGATGGCGGTTAACATTGGTCTTGGGTTGGTCATTGTTACCAATTTGGCCCTTTGGCCGGAAAGCAGTACACATTCTTTTGTACTCGTCCTGGATGACACATTGCAGCAATTTGACTCCATCTTCTCGGAGCATGTGGCCAGGCTTTTACGCCGAGGCCCACAGCGTCCACCATTAGGGTTGACAAAGGTCAACGGTATGCTCCATGCATCGATCATGAAGGTTATCGAGGCGAAACGCATCGTTCGTAGAGAGGCCACAATCAATCGCCTCGCCCCTGCAGATGTCCGGGACATTACCAATTTGGTCAAAATGATGCGAATATCCGTACAAGGAGTTGCCCTTGCTAGCACCATGCAAAGAAACATGGATGATCATTTGGAGACAAGTGGCCATCGATTTGTGCGCATCGATACCTTTCGTAGCGAACATCCCCCTCATTTCGGCTATTGCGATAGCGACAGTACAACGTTTAATGATTTACCGAACGAAATTGACCAAAATTTGGAAAGTGATCTGCGTACTTGGTCAGACCACGCCTCTTTCCAGAGCGATATCTTCCCGCCTGAGCATTGTGCAACAAGACAACGTAAGGGGTCATTGTTTGATGATATTCTTAAATCTTACGAAAGCGTTATCCAGATCACCGAACCCGTGTGTTCCGACTTGGCTAACGCTTGCTCCAGAGCGTTGAAAGGCTCCATTGCAAGACTGAAGCGTTCACAAGATTTCGATCCACGCTATTTTAACAAGCCTTACTTTTACCGACTTTTCCCTTCTGTACGAAACTCTTACAATCCCGACAACGAAAACTTGGATTTTGATCACTCCGTTCCACTATTAGAAGCCATCGCTCAATTCGACAAACACCGTTTGGAAGGTTTGAATGAGCTGATGAGAAGCGACGGTAAAACACCGCATCGAGCTCTGTTCTTGGTGCTTTTGTTTCAATTCAACTTGAGGGACTATGCAGAAAAGCTGTATACTCTCAGCTCCCTGATTTACGAAATTCACTGCATTCGAAAGAAAAAACGGTTCTGGTATCGGCATGTATCGATTCGAAAATTCTTACTGGGCCATAAACATGCTGGTGTAGGCGATCTGGGGCTGGAAGCTCCACAAGCTGCCAATGATGAAAACGTCGCCATTCTCAGTCGCACTCGCTCTGTACGTAATGCTAGTCACGCTCCTCCGCCAACAGCATGTCAGGAACCTACCTTGCGTAGAGGACGTGCTCGTTCATTCCAACACCCCAAACCTAAAGAGACCGAAACAACTGCCAGTAATCCTGAAAAGGACCCTGTCATACATAATCCCCTGGATGCTATCCAGTACCGAGATCCTGATGCCATGCTACCGTCGAATCGCTTTGAAGCCTTCTTTCATAGTATCTGGTTATACCGTGGTCTCATCTATGCCCCCGAAACCGAATTTGCATTAAAGGCATGTATTGTCGTCGTTCTGCTCTCTATTCCCGCTTTTATTCCATCCTCAATGGAATGGTATGCTGGTTCTCGAGGCGAGTGGGCAGCGGTCACTGCATTGGTTTGGATGGGTCCACGGGTCGGCAGTAATCTCTTTGGGTAAGCCACGTTTCCGTTGTTTGCTACGCCTACCCATCTTTTTATTAACAGAACTTATCCTGCTTAGCATGATCGTTCGTAGTGCAGGCACTATTGTCGGCGCAATCATGTCCATGGTCATATGGGAAATCAGCAGAGGAAACCCTTATGGTTTAGCTGTATTACACTTCGTCTTCTACCTTCCCTGTTGGTATGTTTTTCTCAACGTGTCGGCCCCAGGTAAATTCTGGAGAACCACCGGCCAGTTCGCCATGATTACCAACTCCCTTAGTAAGTAGCACATAGTGAGATTGACAGACACGGTCGCCATTCAAGCGTTCTAATACTATTCTCCCCTTTCAAGTCCTCGGATATACCTACCAGCTTATTAATTCTGGGAACAATGTCCCTGTGTATGTTGTTGCCTATGAGGTAAGGTTTTTCGCGACAGTTTAAACCCGCTTGATTTATCTACTAAACAACACTGGACTATGTCTTCTTAGAGAGCTGTCACGGTCTTGGTAGGCGTCGTATCAGCGACCATTCTCTCCGTTCTGCCATTTCCAAAAAATGGCCGAGTAGAACTTAGACATCGCATGGCCAATACCATTAGTCAGCTTGGATCCATGTATGAAGCGTTTCTAGCGCTCTTGCTGGAAGATTCGCGACATCGAGCACAGTATCCAGCGCTTCATAATCGAAAACTATTCCGCAAACTCGCCATAGGCATTCGTAAACAGATTGTTGGCGAACAAGTACTATTTGAACAATCAAAATATGAACCTCCGCTGCGAGGCAAGTTCCCAAAGCATACGTATTCCAAAATGCTCCAGATATTGGATAATATGCTCAACCTCTTGATCGAAATGGAGTACTCTTTGGAAAAGATTGATCGCAGTTGGCGCCGGGGACTAGTGCACAGTACGTGGCGCGCTCGTCGAGATTTGGTAAATATCACATACCAGCCTTTTCCAGTATCCAATAGCCGTTTGCTAATTTTTACATGTGTGTTTTGCTGCGGCCTCCTTAGCTCGCGGTGGTTTTGACATCCATCCAACTGGCTACCAACTCACTGATCAACAAGCTGCCTCTACCACCCACCATTATGAGACCAACCTGGGCACGCATGCGTCTGACTGAACATGCAAGATTGTGCCCAGCCTTACAGATCTCCCACCTGGGCGATGTCGAATACCTTTACTACGCAGCTTACCTTATGAATAGCGAGCAGTTTTGTGTCGAAATTGAAGCTCTGCTTGATTGCATTCGAGAGCTGGTGGGCGAAAGCAACGTCTCGCTATGGCTTAAAAGCAATCGATAATTAGCTACATTCCTCTTTGCATTTCCTGTATTACCATTGCATACCCGCCCGTTCATTATCACTCTCTGCTTAATACTATTCATGTTATCTGCTTCATGAACTCTTTAACACCATCTATAAATTACTTATGTTAAACTATAGTGCAACCGATGGTGTGCTTTTCAAGTGATGAGGTTGTTATTGCAAATGTACAGTGTTCAAGATGCCAAACAAGGTGCAGGTAAGGAGGAAAAAAAAGAAATTACAATGGGGGAAAGTGGAATCTATGAGCTCTCTAATTATGTTCTATACCATTCACTTCCATGGTCTCCTTGCCGACAGGGTTAGCCATATCCATGGCATGCAGGGTGTAATCAACAATGAACGATTGAGTCAAAAGATCATCGATGCGTTGATAGTGACGTTCGGTATAAGGCAACAGACCATCAATGAGCTAAAATGGCAAAAAGAGTTAGCCACATACATACCATCGATGTTATTTAAGGGGTGGGTTCTTACCTCCTTGGCGTTGGACAACTCAACAAGCTCTTCGGATGAATGAAGAGTGAGAATAGCGTTCAAAATAGTCTGAGCAACGCGTGATCGCTTCGCATTTGTATTCCAGTCTCGAATGTAGCCCAGCAATTTGTTGATTTGTTCGGCGTTCATATTTTGTAATATCTTGTCAATGGCATGTGAACCAGTTATGCTGGTATCGCCTACAGGTCGCTCATTAAGAACGGTGTTGAATAAATTCAACAGTCTGAAAGGTTGCTCGAGAGACATGGCGAGGAGAATAGCATTCAAGTAATCCTTCTTAAGCAAGTAGTTTTGAAGGTCTTGTTCTCTGATAGTGGTCATTGGTTAGTATGGGGAGAGTTCAAAGTGTAGGCTTCCGATGCGTCTTCGCTTCGCTTACCTCAAAATCAATTCTTCCTTCTCCTTGGCTTCCTTCTCCTGCTCCTCAGAGGTCACATCTTCCCAAAAGTTGATGACAGAATCAGCACCACCGGTAACAAACATTTGTTCGTCGTTACGCACAGTCAATCCCCAAATCTTGTCCTCGTGGTTATCCATGGTGCTGACACATTCATTGGACTTAATAGTCCACAATTTGACAAGACCATCTGAGCCGCTGGATACCAATTGCATACCTGCGGTCATGAAAGCAACCTTGAGAATGGAGTTGGTATGGCCTTCAAAAGTCTAAAGTCAACGACAAAAAGATAGATGCATTAGTAACCGAATCCATCGGATTTTAACTGCGGCAGCAATATACGCACCTTGAGACAGGTCATGTCCTTCAAACTCCAAATCCGGATGGTTTTGTCTCCTGAACTAGTAGCCAGAACTTGATCGACAGGAGAGAACTGAACACACCACACACCACGCTTGTGGCCAGTGCATGTACCCACCAAAGCTCCCGACTCGACGTTCCAAATCTTGGCCGTCTTATCTTGTGATCCGGTGGCGAACAATTTGTCATTGGGGGCGACGCAGATAGAGTTTATATCCTTGTCATGAGCTTGATGCGTATACAACGCACGGGGCTTGTTATCCTCGGAAGGATTTTCGAAGTCGGTATCTTTCAAGTTCCAGTACTTGACCGTTCGGTCTTGCGATCCGGTGATCATGAAATTCTTTGACTTATGGGCAAAGGCAATGGCTCCAATTGCCTCTGTATGACCAACACAAATACCAGCACACAAATATCTGAAAAGAGCAGGAGAGAGAGAGGTTAGATAAATCAGGCTTATGGCAGCAAAGAAGCAATCCACACATTCCCTTACCTTTGATCGTATGCTTCGGCATCGGTGTCAATACGCCATAATCTCGCAGTTTTGTCCTTGGATCCAGAAACAAGCACACTACCATCCTTTGAACGTTCCAGACAAATGACGGTATCAGAATGACCATAGATAATGTCGCAATCTTGAGTTTCAACGTTGAAGACTCGAATTTGCTCACTGTTGGTGGCAACAGCGAGATGTTGATCGTCTTCACCGATGAAGCGAACATCAACAATTTCATCGTTGTAACCGACGATCTGCTTTATTCGTCGTAATGATTCGGCAACAGAATATATCAAGATGTTTTGGTCATTGGTGACAGCAGCAAGTCTCTGGGTTGCTTTGGCGTAAATAACATCAGTAATGGTATGCTTACTGTTGGTTTCTGGGGTTTGCTCTTTGACTAGTTCTCCCGTGGTGAGACTCCACAATCGGATGATGCCCTTGTCGCCAGCTGTATAAAATAATTCCGCCTTTTGGTATTTAGTGCCATAACACGATAGATCTGCTTGAGGTGTGATTGTTCCAACTGTTTCGATAGTTTCATAAATAGGATAAGTGCTTTTCAATGAGTGCGTTTTCATATCCCAGATGTTGACTACTTTGTCACGAGAACCAGAGATCAAAGTATGGCCGTCTGCTGAGAAGTCAAGGCCACGGATAACACTGACGTGAGAATCGAGCACGGCTATGCATCTAAGGAGGATAAAGCGTTTAGTTTCAATTGATCCATCACACATTCAATTAACCCGGGTTAACGTCCAGGAACTCACTTGCTAGATTTCAAATCCCAGACTCGGATCTGACAGTCATCAGCTCCAGACACTAATGTCCAGCGGTCCTTGCTAGGATGAAACTTGATCGCACTGACAACACCACCATGACCTCTGAAATTATGCGTACAATAGCCCTTGTCGATATCCCAAACCTTGACGGTACTGTCAGCCGATCCTGTTGCAACAAGGGTTGAGGTTCGATCAATATCCATGACAATGACAGGGGCGTCATGGGCTTTGTAACTTCTGGCGACTTGACCGGTGGAAAGATCCCAAGTTCTCATCACCATACTTCTACTGGCACTCACAAGGTGCTTTCCGTCCGGCTTGATAGCAAAGGTAGTGACAACTTCAGTGTCCTAGAGGGAAGAAAAGTTTAATATAAGACGACAGGTTCGTCTCGGTGAGTACAATGAACTTGAGCAGCTACGTACTCCTTTCAAGCGGTAGATTTTTTTGCCGGTGTCGAATTCAGTAACATCAATGTCTTCACCAATGGATGTAATGAGCCATTGTTCGTCGGCAGTCAATACAGCTTTACCACCGGTGTAAATGGACTCGATCGTTCGCAAGGATTTGAAGCTAAAACACAGTGCGTTAGGATAAACGGAACAACAACTACTTGTTATGAGTCAATGGCTAACCTAGTCTTCAACTGTAGTGGGCCTGAGCCTTGGTTTGCCATTGGATTCACTACTCTTAAGAACGGATCGACAGTATGGATCTTGAAAAAAAAAAATCGAAGGCAGACCGCTTCAACTTTTTTGTGACTGTCAAAATTGTCGATATCACCCAGGATCAACCAAAAAAAAATTTGGGTGCACACAAAATTTTTTTTTTTTTTGAAAATGAGCTTCCAAACTCTTTTACTGAAATTATAAGAAATTCGTGGTTTGTACAAAGTGAAAAGAGAGGAAGTGAATGATGGGAATAAGTTAATGCGATGTTTTTAAAAGAAAAAAGTTCTAGTTTAGAGTGGGGGAATGATGCTTGATGATTGTCTAAGATTTTTTGATTCTCTTCTCCCTCTCTGCTTCACTTCGTCTATCACTGCTCCTTTTTCCATGATGATTGGGGCGGCGGGGGATTAGCTGAAATGAAAAATATAAAGGTCCTCCTCTCCAGCAGGGTATACTCTTATGTTCGGGGTGAGACCGGACAGTGCTCTAATAAGGGAATTCACGCTGGAGTCAATACCGCGTATACGATAGAAATGTAAAAGGGGGGGAGAAACTCACTGGTCATATGCTTCCTGGAACCGCAAACGGCGCAGACGACTCCGGCATTCTTTGGTGGTTCTGGGACAGACTCTTTTGGACACACTGGAACAGCAACGACGACGGCAGCAGCCATGACAATTCGATGAGTTGGTTGATAAAGAAGAAAAAGATGCCACAGGTAGCACGACATCCCACGTTGATCAAGTTTTTATATTTCACAATCGATCGTAACTCCGCATGCTTGGGTTTTTTCTAAGGTGCCTACAACCCTACTCTTATCGATTGACGCAAGTCATCGCTGATCACTGTCTCCTCAACATGCTCCCTCGCTCTAATCATGTAGCTTGTTGAAAAAGGTAGGAACTTCACTTCTTTTTTTTTTATTATTATTATTCATAAAGGCTGCCGTTTAAATTAAAAAAAGACGTGAAGGAACGTGCATGGTCATTATCTTGCTTAGTGGCCGAGTTTCCATCTTTGCTGTTCCATTTTCTCTTTACAAAAATAGTGAACAACGGCACCATTTGGGAAAACGGCGAACACACTGGATATTTTTGTGCGATGATGTTAGCAAACACTACCCAAAAAAAAAAAGGGTTCAAAAAGTCAACTTACCTGTTGCCGATCCTCTTGTTGCACTGTGGGCACATTCTATCTTCTGATATGCGGATACTCCTTGATCGGTAAAAGGTCATTTTCTCCTGAACCTGGAATTACATAGCATGACATGGCACGATGGCATCGTTAGCAATAAAGGAAGATTTTGAGAGAGAGAAAAAAAAACATCCATCATTGTAAACAAAGAACATCCTTCCTCTCAGTCAAAAAAAAAAATTTAACTCACCTGTAGTTGCTCTGCTTTAAGCAGATTTTTGACAATCATGTTTTCATAGTGAACCCTATTGCTTTCACGAATAGACTTTTCAAAGAACGGATACAATCCTTTGAGATGTGTCTCAGACGGTAAGGTTGATAAGACCTAGGTGGTGAATCGATTGAATACCCAAAATAAATGATGATGCATATTTTCTCCCCCCCCCATCCTATCACCCGCCGGCTATGCTACCTTGTTTAGGGACTTACCTCCGAAACGTTTATTTGCGAGCCATGTCTTGCCAGCAATTCCAATGCCGGCTCAATTAAAGGAGACCCTCCGCTAGATGGCTGTAGATACACACGTAGTAGCGCCAAGAACATTCGATGACCCTGTTCAGGATCTTCATAGTAAATTTTGCTACAGTAGCTAAAAATGGATACAAATTAGTAAACCTAATCTCCTCAAGGCCGCACAGCGTATGACAACACGCACTCTTCTGCCATTCGATAGTTCTTCAGCTTGTAGACATAGATATTCAGCGCTTGGTCATGCTGCCCAATTCGACTTAATAAGATTGCTTTTTCCTCATATAGATCTGCGGTTCAAAAAAAAAAAAATTTGGCACAATCAGATGCTGGCGTTTTTTTGTTTCACGTTGCCTTGCCCTCGCGTCCACCCTGTTCTGCCCCCTAACATAAACATTCAGTACAATCTGACGACATACCGTCGTACGGTAAACGAGATAGGATCTTTTCGGCTTTGTAGGTTATGCTGGTCGTCATGAACACTTGCAATCGGACACGTTCTTCACCATAAGCCTGTTGCTCTTCTGGAATTACCATAATAAAATAAATTAAACTGATAAATATAGCGTTCCCAAATTTGACAAATCGTTTCGTGTATGGAATGCCTTACCAGTCGTGTTCCGTGGCATAGCCTTCAACTTTTGAAGATAGGCCAAAATGAGTTTGTTGTGGAATTCAGGGGTGGTATCGCCTAATTCATGGATAATGTATTCCAAGTACTCGATAGCGAGATCAGAAGAGATCTTCTCAAGGTGCTCCAGAACTTTATCCCTTGGATAAATATTGTCCTCTACCATATCATCTATAAAAATCTTGGGAAACGGAACAGAATGGAAGGTAAGGGTCATTTTTTAGTTTCAATAAGGGCCTCCTCAATTCATTATCTCCCATGACATATCACTCACCCGCATCCCTTGCTCAGGATCGTTCTCAAACACCCAAGCAGAATATTTGAGAATGAGGTCAAAGTGATCGATGTCCAATTGTTGTAAGTAAAGAACGGTTTGAGAAACACCGTGGAGTGGACCGGTTTCGTTCTTCCCAAGATCTCGCAAAACTTCAAGCGCTTGATCATGAAGCCCTTTACAATTGTAAAAGTCAACTAATTCTTTGAATTTCTAAAAGTGGCAAAAGTATTCTTAGTTTATCCCCATCATTGTTGTAATAAAGTGTGTGTTGTTGCTTATCCCCTTTTTGTAAAACCTCCTCTTAAACAGAGTTCCTTCCGCGGCCATCACGCTGACTCACCTTTTTCTCCCGCAGTAGCTTTTCGCATTCCTCAACATCACAGTGGTTGGGAACTCGAACGAGGGGACCGACCAAGGCATCGTTGTTCATCATGTACGCCTTCAGCAACGCCGTGTCTACTTGAGTGGCCATATGCAACAAGGTGTGTCGTTCATCATCTTGTTGTTTGTTAAGCGCTTTCGTAAGCTTTTGGCGTCTATCGGTCAAAAACCGGATCAGATAGGAAACGGCTTCTGTCAAGTGTTGGCCAGTTAGGGGTACGTATTCGCTGGGTTTGGGAGAATGACGTGCAGACTCCGTTGAACTCTTTATCGATGCTGCAGCCGATGCCACTGCTGCATCCACCACAGGTTGCGCAATGTCTGGTCTAGGAACTTGTTCGTCTGCCAGCTCCACTTCACCTGCCTGAATCGTATCCTCCAAGTGCATATCGCCCGCAATGTCCTCAGGGTACAGCGATATGACGGTTTGAGGATCTGCCTCTAGTTCTTGAAACATGGTCACGGCCGTATCGTATTGACCGCGTTTAAACAGGTCATTGGCATACATCATTTTGATTTTCTTCACCTTGTCAGCTTTGTTTTCCAGTAAAATCGGCTCCATTTGGTCCAAGAGACTGACAGCTTCCTTGTATTCGAACATCTCTACCAATTGATCGACTTGCGCAGCGAGACTGTAAGGTGTAAGACGCCATATCTGGGATCCACTGGCAATATACAACAGCTTTCCTTGGTTCAAAATTTTAGCATTGGCTAATTCGATCTGCTGTACTAGAGCTTGAGTTTGGATATTTCGGACTTCGACTGTTTTGGCGAGGATTGCCACTACATATGGATATGAGTAACCTGCAGTAATATTTTTGATGGGATCGATTAATAAAAAGATCTGGCCCATTTCTGGTGTTAAACCCAACTTGTTGATACCAACCCATTTCCTCTGGAATGCCCGTCCATTCAATACCGACTTTGCGAGTTGGTGTTCCATCCAGTCCTAAGAATATACTAATATCTAGAGGAGGTGAAATGGAGAGTTTTCAGTACTTTTTTTTTGTACCAAAGCATCCATATCAACCCTCACTTACGGTCTTTGGCCAGGAGCATTTCATTATTGGGTATCTTTGTTACTAGAGGTTTGCCGCCACGTGAGCCAATGGACATATTATACAAGTTGTTGAGGGCACTCATTGGGCCAGAGCCATCAGGCGGACCACTGGGAGCAAATAATTCGGTGAGGACCTTTGTCTCGACGTCCATCAGCACGTACTCGCCAGAAAATCCCAAACAAATCTTGGTTGGGCCGACCCAGGCCATGGCTTTGATGCGATCAGGTATATTGAGTTCCTGGCGAATAAATTGCACACGTTTAGCACCGAGAGAGAATCTCCCATTGTAAGGTTTTCCCTTTTGTCGAAGAAAAAAGTGCGCCACTCTTGCCACCTACTGGTCACTCACCTTTGTTTCCAAAAATTCGGTATCCTTCCACACAAAAATAAACAACTTCTTGCGCACGGCAACAGCCAAACGTGTCATAAGCATAGGAATACCGTCCTCTTCATTCATTTCCACCAAAGTTTGTATAGTAAATAGATCGGCGCCCTTCGTTTTGGTCAACGTCATGCGTAGTTCATACGATCGCATGTCATGAAGACTGACCACACCATCTATTGCGAGAGATATGAGACGCACAGTTCCTCTACGGCGCTTTGACAACGAAGGAGTGCCACATACCTGATAGGGTGACAAGGACTTCAATCTCTTTGATAATGTCTATCTGATCTATTGGTCGTCTTGAAAAGTTCTTTCGTGTATCCACCAATGTGACGACGGGCTGTTCTTCTGTGCCAGCGACTGCAATAGCAAAGGAATGAGCACACCAGTTGCAGTGGATTCGCATAATCAAATGTTCGACTAACCTAAAGGCTCTTTGACTTCGTAAACCAGTAGTTGTCCGGTGCCTGTTCCAATTAACAGCTTGTCTCCTGCGTTGCAGCAGTGCGTTAGTAAGGGTCGGCCGTAATGCAGCATCATACGTAACAGCTTAAACTCATGTATTACCATATGCAAATATGGACTCTATTCGAGCAATCTTGTCAAGGACAGTCGAAACTTGGAATGCATGATGCATTTCTTTTGGCAATAGTGTTCCAAATGACGGATGTCCGTTGAAATGGGACTCGTCGCAATGCTCAAAATGGCTGCGGAGTACGAAATGAAGGTACACCGCGCATGAGAATTTACTGTATCATGCAATGTATTGCAACGTATCTTTGTTCATGACAATACTAAGTATGAAGGATAGTAATAGAATTGAAATAGTGGTGGTAAATAAAGGTATGTTTTTAAAGAAAAGAGAAACCACATGGTGTCAAAAGTAAGAAAAATGTATACAGGTAAGGTGGGATGGATGAATGAGATATGTGCATTTTGAACAAGAAAGAAAAAAAAGAATTGCTACGAGGCTGCCATGTCAAATGCATTGATATGCTTTCAATGCTGGGATGTGCTGACTGAAAAGAAAAAAAAAAGTGTACTATGTACAGAATAAAACTGGATATACTCATTTCATTTCATGCCGTTTCGCCCATTTGTCTCATCGCCAGTTGAACATAGATCTTGACGGAGGATTCACTTGACGCATTTCACTGGTGGAAGAAGACTCGTTGGCTTCACCACGCTCTAGTCCATCCACCCAAGTGCTTTCGTCCACAACAGGGTATACGCGAGTTTCTCGTATCTGATTGACAATGGCATTTTCGTATTTTGGAGGGGGAGCATCAGGAGGTACGTAGACAGGCAATGGTTCAGTCAGGTTGGACGACGTAGTGCTTTGGTTATCTGGATGATGCGATGATAAATCAGTGGTAGCAACGACGGGTGACTGTTCATCCCTTCTTTGAAAGAACGGAGTTGGACATAATCTGCATTTGGTGATGATTCTTGTGAGCCATGCTAAGCCGAGTAAGAAGAGCAACGAGCTGACAGCAATTAAGGCAATGGTAGTGACAGACACTTTGCTTGAACCGGTGGTGATGAAGTTATCGCCAGAATCAGGCGACGAGCTGGGAGTAGCTGTAGCCCCTGGGTCAACAGTACTAGTGATGTTAGGGATAACAGACGGTGATGGTGCAGGGGAACCATTTGCACTGATAACAAAGCAAAGGTTTGGGTCACAGGCTAGATTGGGCCAAGCAAACGGAGTATTGTTGCGATAGGGATAGCACTGGACATTGTCGGTGCAGGATACTGCATAGAAGACATACAAAGGAAGGGGGGGTAAGTTGAGTTTGGAATACTTTGGTATTATTTGACACCATGGTTTTGCTTTGCCATCCATCCAAACTTTTATGCCTATCCCAATTGCGGCGTTGCTGAAATTTCATCCCCATTCGACACCTTTTTCTTTTTTTTTTTTGGGCCAGGTATGCTGCTCTTAACGTAGTACCTGGCTTTCCTATCACTTGCATCTTAATCCGTCATCAAACATAAACAAAAAGACCTACCTCCATTGGAATCATATTCAGTCGACACACAATAGTCGTACCAAGTTGATCGGGACTTTCCCGAGCAGGTATTTCGAGAACCGGCGCTGAGCCCAGTATTGTTGGCCAGAATACAGGATTGCTGTACACACCTGGCACAAAAGTTGCAAGTCCCTTGTTTACAAGAGTTGCCAGTCAGGAATGTACAAGTGGAATCTCCAGAAAACGTTGACGGAGTTGCGGTGGATGAGTCTGTGGCTGTGGTTGGCGTTGTATCGTCGTTGGTGGTATCACTGGATTGAGCCATTGACAGAGGAAACAGCAACCACCACGCGCCTAACTGTATGGTTCTTAACCACAGCATCGACTGCGAAAAAGGAAGGGGGAAGGTGGCAAAGGGGATGGAAGACGAAGAAAAAGGTGATGCGTCCCAGGAAGAAAAGAAAAGGGCAAAAGAGTTTGTGGGGTGAACCGTCGGTTGAAAGGAGGGCTTGACAAAATAAAAATATTTTGTTTTAATGTGTGTGTGCTCTCACATGGTTTATTTTTTTTATTTTAAAAAGATGAGTTCGTCATTTCCAACAGGCGGTCTATTTTTAAGTCGTCTTTGATCTTTGACATTTTGGAGTGGTCGTATATATACCTCATGTAACACGTCTCTATCATCGTGAGTCGTGATCTAAAAAATCGTCAAACTTTGATAAATGAACCTTTCATTACAACGCGCTTACGGAAAGTACCGAGGGATTCATAAAGTCTTTCATGCAGCCCGTCGCACGTGTCGCAATGCTGAGATATGAATGATTGAAACATGTTAAGTCAAAGAAGAAGAGATGGGGGGCGGGACAGGCGCGTAACAGGGGATCAGTTTAGTGATAGGAGGGGGCCGGCTTGGAACGGACCGAACTGAAAGGTGATCGCCCATCGTCTGGAATAATGTTTAGGACTGACAGCGTTTGACATGACGGTAGCAGAATGCAAAGCAAGGTAAATACATGTTTGTACAAAATAAAATATTCACCGCCGCACCTTTTGCATCTCAGACATTAATTCCTATTCTTTTTTTGTAACGTTGTGTCATGGATTTACTTAAAAGATTTCAGTAAAGGTGAAGAAAAAAGTTACAGTAGCTCCTCAATAGTTGGAAACTCAAAGTGTACAGAAGAAGAAAATAAAAAAAAATAAAAAGAAGGCCAGGTTGCCTTTAAACAGACAGTCTGGTACACGAACGCTACGCATAAATGAAATGGAAAAAAGAACGGCATCTATTAAAAAGTGAAAACGTTTACATACAAAAATGCAAGAGAAGCAATAGGTAAAAAGAAAGGGGAGCAGTTACTTCTTTGCATACTCAATGGGAGGGGTGGTATGAGGAAAAAAAAAGCCTCTGTGAAAAAAGATTGAGACGGGTCGGATGGGTAGGATAGAGGGGTATGGGAGGACCTGAACAGTATGAGTGTCCATTGGGATATCATAGAGGCAAAAAGTGAAAAGAAGTCAGGCAAATTAAAGAAGGTAGAGAGACACATAAAAAAAGAAACAGTTTGATGAAAAGAGAAATGCTGAATGAATTAAAAAGCATACATCTTTTCCATGGCTTGTCGTTGCAAGACACCATGTTGGAACCTAGCAAGAAAGTAGGGACGGGTCAATGGGGGGGATGGCATACAGACCAACGATAGCGATGATCACTTACTTCTTCAAATTCTCGTTTTCAGCAACCAGACGCTCGACTTCTGCTAACAGATCGCTTTGCGTCTTTTTCAGGTGTTGAATTTGTTGAACAGCTAGATGACGACATGAATTAGTAAAACTGAAGGATTAAAAAAAAAACGTGGGGAAGTCAGGCAGGAACATACTTCGGGTTAACATGGCAGCTTTGGACATTTTCTTGTTCTGGCAACCAGGCAAATGTTTCTTGAGTTCTTCAAAACCATCTTTAATTTGTGCACGACGTTTTTGCTCAGATTGAATATGAATTTGGCGACGAAGTTCTGCGTTTGACATACTATCAAAGGAGGGTTAGCATGATCACTAAGAAGGCAATGAAATGATGTTTAAGCTTACTCGTCAAGTTCATCTTCATCGTCCTCATCATCTTCGTCAACATCGGGAGTCGACCTCTTCTTTCCTTTCTTTGCAGTGGCCATAGGTTCCTCTTTGGATTGAGCACGCTTTCTCTTGATTTTGCGGTTGTCATTCTTACGTTCATAAGCTTCCTTTGAATAGGTAAGAAATTCAGTGTGGTATAGTTCCATTGGAACAGCACTAGCTTTAGCAATGGTTTCTTTGACACGAGCAGCTGTGTTGGAGCTATAGCCAACGGCTTGGTTGAGACTTTCATTGGACGCTTGAGCTCGTAGAGGTGGTGTATGCGGTGTGGAAGATGTAGACGACGACTCGGGACTTCCGGGATGCGCCATTTTCTCCGATACGAAAGGATGATAGGAAACTCGAGCAGTCGGCATTGGGTAAGGTGGTGGAGGTTGTGTATAGGCAACAGGCATTGAAACAGTCATAGCATGAGTAAAACTGTAGTCTACGGGGAGAAAGGTAATTTAAATAAATTTGGCTGGGTTTGCCTGAGGTGCCTGCCTGCCTTAAATTTTTTTTTACCTGTATAGCCGTCTACAAGAGGGTCACCTTCGGCATAGGGCGAGTGATGAGGAGGGGATGAATGTTCAATCTTGGTAACCATGGCTGGGTCGATGTTGGCCGCAGCATGTTGTTGCATGGCGTCATAGGTCGGGTAGGATGAAGGGATAATGACTTTACTCATGGTGGAATGATGGAGGAATAGGGACTGAGTGAGTAGTAAGTGAATGGGAAGGGTAGGCGCAAAAAGGAATGTAGATGGGTTGGGTTAAGGAGTGTAAAGAGTCTTCAGAGAAAACTGCTTCCTAAATTTTAATTAACAAATTGATGTTGAAGCAGATTTAAGAGCTCTTTTTTCTTATTGCGCTGCCTTTTGGGTGTGCTGGTTTGGAAGAGAGAGGAGAAGGAAAGGGCGTTTTATTTTGTTGTGCAGCGTTATTTTTTTTTTCACCCACGTACTGTACATCAGCTTGTGCAACCCCATTTCCCATCCTTTGAAGAGGATTGCAAGTGTGTATAAGCGGAGTTTTGATTGGCATGACAAGACTGCGGGTGGGCATCGATGTTTGCAAAGCCATGTTTGCATTGATCAAGTTTCAGGACGTGCAACAGAATCATGGCCTGGTAATAAAAAATACCTGCTCCCAAATTTTTCCTATTTTGCTTGTTTCATCTTTATCACAAACCACTAGGTCAATGAAGAAATTCCTTGGCCTTACCAAGCCTTTGGACGATGACCATATGGAAAACCGGCATCGATTTCGATGGTCATGGCGACCCAGGCAGTTCTCCTCAAGAAGAAGGACGAAATCCTTTGCTGTTCCCACTGAGCCTTCTACCCCCGAAAAGGGCTTATTGCCCATTCGAACAAATCCAGAGCAAGCCTTACGCCATCCACTGGGCGGCGCTATCGATTCACGTAATGCAGTACAGATGGGAACGCATGATATTTCAGTACCAGTCGGTAACCATCCACTTGCTATACCAAAGGATGCTTCTCGCTGGACTGAAAGAGATCTCAAAGCACGTACATGGCCATATCAAGTCGCAGCAACCCATGGTGATACGAGCGATGATGATGACGAAGATCACAGCACCGACCAATTTCGCTTCGCTAACATTATATTGACTCCTCCTGAGGAAGAAGTCGTACCCTTTCCAGTTCAACCACGCCAGTCACATCCAAACCCTTCCTCTCCCACGGGAGAAAATAAGCCAACCTTATCAAATGCTTCTCCACCATCAGTATCGCTCCCCAAAGATGCCGCCGCTCCTCATAATTCATCCAAAAATAGATCTGGCGACACAATGGAAAAAAAGGTTAGGAATGCATCTATGGATTCAAACCCAGACGTCCATCAGCAAAAGCCAAGCAGTGCCTGTGGCTCAACCAGTGACTATCAAACCCCTCGTTCCAGTCTTGATTCCCTACTGCCCCCACCATCGCCAAAATCTGCTGCTCAGCAGTTCAGTACTTGGCCGAGAGATACCTCCACCAGTGATTCTTTTCCCGCTGCAATTAACTGCGCTGCTTCGTTTACCTTTTTGCCGCCTGGTGGACGTTGGAGGCCTGGGCGAGACTATAAGCATGCCTATTTGGTCAATGACTGTGGAGGTCCTCGTGGTACGTAATATTTGATTACAACATTTTAGGATCAAAATATTCTTTTGATACTGATCTTTGGTTGATGTAGATGATACGGTTGATGTACTACGTGCCAAATTAGCCCAAGCACAAGAAACGATTATACAGCTGCAGCATATCATCTCTAACATTGAAAAGAAGCATTTACCTTCTTCACCAGACGTTAGTGATGATGACATGGGTCCCCTCCGCCGACGACGATACGTGAAACACCACAACTTTTCTGAAGAAATCTTATCAACTAATGTGTATTAACCATAGCGCAAGTGAATATATCACATCTGGCGCCCACACAAACAATGTAATTTCAAAGCTGGATCGACTTAACTATAGAAATACATACAAGCTTGTTACTATCAACATTTGGATTAATATTATTTGATAATACTAGAATACAGGTTGTTCTAGGATGTATAGATGTTTATGGTACAACTGATCGCCGACGACATGCAATATAATAATAAATGCATATTACCAAACGACTTATGGTATTTCGTTCATACCTGCGTCTCGGCTTTCTTCCCACTCTGGATAATCAATATAACCCTCAGCACCTTGAGTATAGAAGGTGGCTCGGTTATATAGATTCAATGGAAGATTCTCTTGTAGACGATGCGGTAAATCCGGATTGGAAATGAAGATACGCCCAAAGGCAAGCAAATTATCTGTCTCGTCAGCTATTTTCAATGCCTTTTCTCTTTTGTCACCGTGGCCTCCAGCACTAATGAAAGCCGATTTCCAAATCTGGTGGACGATGTTTGGTTGGCGGAAGGATGAAAAAGTTCGAAACATGAGTGCTTTGTTCGGCCTACCTGTCTAAATGCATTCAAACTAGGAGCTTTGAGAGGATTAGAAAGATCAGTCACATCACGCCGAGGTTCGACAAAATGAAGGTAGGCGAGATTAAGATGCTCGTCTTGCAATTGCTGGGTCAAATAGCCCCATGTTTCCAATGGCGTGTCGTCGCCCATATTCTGAGAAGCCCCCCATGGAGATAACCGGATAGCAGTGCGTTCAAGTCCAATAGCTTGCTCAATGGCATGAACAACTTCCAATGCCAAGCGATTTCGGCTCTCAATGGAACCTCCATACTTGTCAGTTCGGATGTTGCTTTTGCTATTGATGAATTGGTCAATCAGGTATCCATTGGCAGCTTGGATCTCGACACCATCGAACCCAGCCTCTATGGCATTCACGGAAGCTATAACAAACTCTTGAATGATTGCAGGGATTTCATCTTCCTCTAATGGACGAGGAACCTCATATGGTTCACTGAACAAGCTTTCGACCACCCCTACGACGGCAATCGCCGATGCTGAAACAGGTGAAGCGTTGTTGGGAAGGAGAGCTTTATTCGTAGCTCGTCCAGCGTGCCATAATTGTATAAATATGACTGCTCCTTGAGCATGAACAGCAGTAGTTACCTTATTTAAAAGCATAAGTGTGTTAATCATAGCGGTAACAAGAATACCTGAACTGTTCAATGTAGGACAGAGAGACTCTGTGTGCACTAGCTACCTTTTTCCATCCTTCAACCTGTTCTTGAGTAAAAATTCCTGGAGATCCAGGATATCCGCCAGCCATGGGCGAGATCAAAGTAGCTTCTGTTATCAGTAAACCACCACCACTGCCAGCTCGCTGCTTGTAGTATTCAACTTGCAGGTCGCTCGGGACATGGTTGGTTGCTGCTCGATATCTGGTAAGTGGCGCTAGGACAACACGATGCCTTAGAACGTTGTTTCCAACACGAGTGGGACTGAAGAGCTTTGAAGTAGTCATTGCAGGTTTGAGGAGTTGGTAGCGATTTCATTTAAATACAATGAACTTTTTGCTGATCACACATCCCCTTTATACGGCAACACTGACTTCCCAAAATTTGCCATTTGTATGCCTGAGTTATCAATGCAGATTTAACCGTGAAGGCTAAGCAACGGCCCGGTCATGGTTGAAGGGTATAGACAAGCCGTGTTCCATCTGGAAAACGTTACAATTTTAACAGATGGCTAATTACGTCCTTCTCTTTATACCATGGTACGCATATCTGTTGCAGCATATACACAATAATATTTTGTTCACATAGTAAATCTATCCAGAGGTAAAAAACCACTTGCCCATTGTCAGACACTATTACTGTGCAATCACTAATTTTCTTGATTAAACAGGATAGGTCAATTACAGTTGTGGAAGACAGCCATTATTAATTCAGACATGTCTCCTCCTATGTGGTCCTCAAATCCATTAATAAAGCTTATACGTAGAAGATCTCTCCACACCAGGTGTACCATTTTAAGGAACTGCAGAGGTTTGTACCCTTTGCTAAATGGCATATTCGTTTTCAGCCTCAGTACTGGTATACAAACCTTCGGAGAGTAAGAATATAGCGTACATCCAATATTCACAAGCTCAGCCAGAGCTCTTCTACCATTACAAAACATCAATGACAACAGTACAACTACATTGAACCGCTAATTTACTGCTGTGTATCAATGCGGTGGTTAACTGGTCCTTGTTCTCGTTGGCCATTTATTGGTCAGGTATTGATTAATTCCGAACGCTTTACATTACATGTCGCCACCAAAAATTTTATTTTAATATACCGCGCCATTTTTCCATACCTACAATTTCCATCCGCTATTGATCGACGATGTTTAACAAGGCAAACACACCAAGTGTACCAAAAGGCATGTAAACCGATATACCATAGAGAAAATTGCGTATGAGTAGAAAAACCCCGGTAGGTTTCATGGATAGAAGACAACTGACAGGCCTTATGCTACTCGATATACACCTGAAATAAAAATTTGTCCTGTCTTCGGCGACAATCTCCAGGTGGAGTGTGACAGTGCCATCTCGAGCTTTCCTTTTCTGGATCCGACCGCCAAAAAACATGGCAACCTCTCAAAGATGGGTTGGCTTTTTTTCTTTCCTTCTTCTAGTTGGCCTGCATGCTGAGCATTTGACCTCACCTCACCTCTCTTTTCTCCATTGTCAACCCTCTTACACTTATAATTCATAACAACCTTAGTCGAGGATCCAGAAAGTCATGTCATCGGATCAACATCGACCTGTGCTACCCACGGTCAACTACCCATCCTTTCTGAAATCCACCCGACCGTACCCTTCGTGGCATAAAGCTGTCCATCATACCTATGTATTCATTTTCTTCGTTTTGGTAGTAGTGCTCCCCATTCTTCATGCGCTACTTCGAAGCCATCGACCATCGTCTTCGGAACTATGGACTATCTTTGGTACTTTATTAGGTGTCTACATTCTATACAGAGTATGTAACAACACAAGCCTTGGACTTGATCTATGGTATAGATGCTTTTCTAATCGAATACCCCCCTTTTTTATTATAGTGCTGGTTGTATTTTGTGTATCAAGGGGGTTATGATCCGACACCGGCTTTTATGAAATCCCAGACGCGCACTGTCTCGAATTCTGCGTCTGCCCAAAATCCAAACGTGCCGAATCGCTATCCTACCTTAGCTTCCTTACGACGAGATCACATAGCTGCTTTCATGCCGTCCACTTATCCCTCTTCAGCACCAACGCCACCTTCCGGTCTGCCATCCAGTCCCCCTCCACTCTATCAAAACGCTTTGCGTGATACCCCTGTTCCAGAGTACTCTCAACATCCAACCAATTAATCTTGATTTGAAAAGCTGATGGTGGAGAGCAACTGTAATTGTCACTTTCTTCATTTTTCATTTCTCCATTTTCATGTAGTATTACTATAATACCGTTATAATTTGCACTTGCCGGTCAAGTAAAATGTATTTCCAGCTGCAACTTGAACACCAAGCTATTAGTTATGTGTGTGTGTATGTGAATATATAGCATGTGTGGAAAAATGGTACAAAAATTGGTAACTTGGCGCAAGAAAGAGTAAAACAAAAAAGGCAAAATGTGACCTGGCATGGAATTACAAAAAAAAATTGGGCGGGGGGTGATACCAGCTCACGCTTAAATTGAGGTAAGGAAAAGGGTGGGAAATATGTCATTTGTCATGGTCTTCGGTATCGTCGTCAAGTTGATCGTGGGGCTCGTCCTCTTCATCATCATCATCCTCCAGTTGTGTAAGGAGAGGTTCGACCACGGCTGGCCATTCGTCAATTTGATGTTCCCATCGCTTCTTCCAGCGCAGAATGGACTGTTTGTTCTTGACTCGATTGATACCAATGATTCGGTTCAGTTGGTTTTCTCGCTCCTCGTAACGCCTTTCCATCATTTGGATCTTCTTAGCAAGTGCAGTCAAATTTTGTGGTATATGGGGGCTGCCTTCGCCACCTTCCTCATCCAACGATAAGCCCTCATTACCTGCCACGTTGGCAGCCAAAAGTTGCACGGTCTTGACCAGTTGATGGCGATGAAGCTCACTTTCACTCCGCAAGAGCTTGAGCAAATCAACCAAATTGCTTGCCACGCTTTCATCATCATCCTCTGAGTCATCTTCTTCATAGTCGACCTCTTCATTTCGTTGAGTGAGTAGTCGAGGAGACGGGTTGCGAGGTCGCTCTGGGCTGATATGGGTGGATAATCGGCTAGATGAACGTTCTTTCACATATTCCTCCAGTTGTTTGCTATCATCCCACAATCGCTTCAACCGATTCTGGAGTTCAGTCATCCGTAAACTGGTGAAGTCAGTGGTGGACGATCGGCTAAATGGAGCGTGTCGCGTTCCTTTTTCCTTATAATGATTGATCCATGGTGTTTCTCGTCCAGGCATCGGTGCAAGCGTCACTTGATTCATTTGCTGCACAATCGACTCCTGTTCGTTCACAAGCTTGTAATTGATTTGTAATAAATCGGTCACGCGATGGTTAGCTTCGTTAGCAATTTCTTCAGCTTTGTATAGTTGCTCTTGTAAGCGATGGCTCGATTCCGCTTGATGCTCTAGCTTATCTATGCGTCGTCGTGCCGAACTAAGTTGCTCTTCGAGCCAACGGGAGTGTCGTCGGGTATCCAAGAGTTCAGTTTCCTTCGCATCCAGTGACATTTGAAGCTGCCAAATTCTGCTCAATAGTTGCTGCGCCTTGTTATGGCCGCCTTCCAAACCACTGACAGAGTCTGGTCGATCATCATCTGCTGCCCATTTGTCTTTGATACTCTTTGACAATTTTTTAACTGGTGTTGCGGCTTCAGTGGTGCTCAAAACGCTCTCATCTTCATCTAAAAGCTTTTCAAGTTTGGCCAACGTCTTGCTGATTACTTTGACCTGAGCTTGCTTCACTTCTGGTGTTTTAGAAGATGTGGAATGGGGGCTAGCATACTTTCTTGGTGTGTGATGGCTGTGCATCTTGGGAGAAAAATCACTAGACTGTGGATAGTTGCTACTAGGCATCAGATCCTTTTCACTATGACTCATTTGGTCTTTCAAAAGCTTTGAATCCGCCATTCTAAGCATCCTTCGACTGGCTATGGATGGAGATCGTGACGATGATTGAAGGTTGGAATTTTCAATGTCTGATGTTACCCATGTTTTTTTTATGTCAGCTTGCAACGCATGATATCAAATGACACGGTCAGAAAAAATAATACCTTTTTCCAAACTATAATGGTTGTCTAAATCCACTTCACCGCGCCTTCGACGAGGACTGAGGCTTGCCCTCCACGTCTCTCTTAATTTTGATCTGCTTTTGGAACTAAAGTCGCTTTGACGGCTCTCTGTTGGTCGGTACCTCGCTCTGTCTTGAGAATCCTGTCGAGCGCTAAACTGAGGACTTTGCTGATCTGCCTCGTATCGAAGTCTGTCTGGTGAGAATCCAAGGCGATCTACTCTATTTAAATTCAATGAGCCGTCTCTCCGATATCGGTCTAATCGCTGACTGAGAAGGGATGTGTTGGTAGAACCTTTCTTTTGCCACATCCGCGTATCAGGATGTTCAAAACTGGATGATAGGAAATTTCGATGTGATTGTTCAGAACGTTGATCACGATTCGGGACTGGACTAACATCCTGCTGCCCAGAAAGTAGTGAATCTGGTATCATGTCGTCGTCGTCGTCTTCGTGTATCTGGTCATGCTCTCCGTGGTCCTCGTCTCGTTCTTCATCTCGATCATCTTCTTCTTCCTCCTCCTCCTCATCATCATCTTCACCAGTCACGTCTTCAATACCTTGGTTATTAATATGCGCAACCTCATCGTCCATATCATCATGTTCAGAATCTGAAGAGAAGTAGCGAGACGGTGGGCGCGAATTAGACAAACCATGTACACTGGGATGATTGATGGATGCAGCTTCAGCAAAACTCCAACTGCTTGTTTCGGAATGTGGTCGGTCAATCATCTCTGAATAATTATTTCCATCATTATCTTTTGTAAGCATGGATTTTTCTTCTCTGGACTGTTGTGAATCTTCCTTTGCTGCCCATGCTGCATAGGATTGTTCCGGGCTAGGCACACTTGACTTGTCGATATAGCTTTGGGACGATACAGAGCCGGCTGATTCCTGACGGTGAATTCGTGGTGTTGACGCCCTAAAACCCTGCACACCATGCCCTGGAACAGGTGATAGAAATGGGCCAAGATCTGCGCTTATGCTGGAAACAGGGCTGGTGGATCCTGCGCGGAATGGTGTAGGTCGTTTGTAAGAGTTGTATTTGTTCCTGGAACGGTTGGAATTTACAGTCGACGTTGGCTTTACGTCCCTTGTTTCTTTATCATCCTGATGAGAGGTGGATGCATAGTCATAACGGGGTCTCATTTAGACCAGAGGATGACGATGAATATTTTAGAATCGCGGTGGGTGGTGGAAAGCGTGCGCTGTACCTTTCGCGTGTTTAAATTTTTGAAATTGCATCTGGCCTACGTTGTACCCTTTTTCATATCTTTAATATGGAGCTTCGAAAGCGACTATTGCACCCACATTACGTCGCGCATGCCCTATTTGCATCCGTATATCTTATCGCTCGCTTTGCACGACCTTCATGGATACAGGCTTCTGGCGAGGTAAAAAGCGATCGAAGGCTGCATTCTACCATTCCTAACTTGACATGTCCTAAATCAAGCTTTACACTCTGCATTAGTTACAAGACCATAAATCGCTTCTTATATTACTTGGCCTTAGTGCTTGGAAGTATGCAGTTTCCTGTACAGCTGAAGAACTTGTCAGTGTGATCACGCTGTACTGCAAGACATATAGCGTTATTATGCTGTTTTCTTACGGCAAACCTTGGTGGGCGTTAATATATGGTGCTTGTTGGATTGGTAAGTGTTGGTATCAGTACGCGCTGCATAGATGATGTAGATTCTTATAGTTTGTATACAGGTATATTTATGCTACTCCCTCAACCCCCATACCTGGGTTCTTCCAAAGTGCTGGAGCTGACACTGGATTCTGCCAATAAGATTTTGAGAACAGCGGATGAACAGCCCAAAATCGTTGAACTAGATGATGATGACGAACCTCTACTTGATGTTCCAAAGGCACAATACTGGGTTGTTCTTGTATACGCTAACTGGTCGGTTGCTTCTCGCAATTTTGAAGCGGTATTAGCACAGTTGTCGCTTAAATATGATGGCAAAAATGTTAAGTTTGGTAAGAGGCATCAATGTATAAACAAGTCAATATTGCGATAGAATCAATGGCTAATGAGGCTGCAACTATAGGCAAGATTGATATTGAGTTCTATCCTACCTTTGCTGCGAAATACGGAGTCAGTGGCGAAGCGGCAGCGTTTGATTTGCCAACGCTGATATTGTTCAAGGATGGTGATGAGTTCAAGCGTCTCCCAGAGCTCTCTTCCAGTAAGCGTGCAGCCAAAGGGAAAACTTCAGCCCCAGAGCTTTCTCGTAAAGATGCCGCGAAAGATACTATTAACCGCATTGGCTGGAACCGCAGTCCTGTAAGTGATTGAGCATTGTAATGTATGTAATTTGTCCAGCAGGTTAATATTGCTTTCATTAGGCCTCGGTGATAAAATCGTTCCAGCTGGACCAAATATCTGCAGATTAGAAAATTGCAAGTTGATCCAGTACACTTCTTATATGGCTTACCACTGTAAATAAAAAGACAATGACGCAAAATGAAATGTGTTAAATAAATGACTATTAACCACAAAGCTACAGAGGGCCGTGGTTTGGGATAATGGATAACAAATTAGAACACAAGCAGCCCCCGCTCAGGCCAATTTCTTAAAATCATGCTAAGCCCAAACCACACCGTGATCGTTTCAATTTAATGTTGCACCAAGCACGTAGCATCCATTCACATTCGATGTGTGATGCTATATTCTTTCAAAAATGAGGGAAGGAGATAGGTACGCTGTCCAGGTACGGCTGCAGAGAGCACGTGTGATGTCATTTTCGGGGCGCCAATGGCAAAGAAAGTGCGAGTCCCAATTTTTTGTGTGCAACTCGTTCAGAGCATACTTTCTGGTTGTCGCTCCATCGCTGTAAATACACTTTTGACTTGTATTGGATTCAAACAGGTACGTAGCTCCTTGGCAAGTTTTGTCACTTCTCCATCATACTTCTGCATGGGACGTTGCGGAGGTTTACTAGTTATGGTAGTTGCTGCAAACTACAATGTAATCACCATGTGTATACATTTTCATTACGCCTCTCGTGTATTGCGCCTATGTATATGTACTACGCCCATCGTGTTATTCGCCTATCTTGTATTTCATCGGATCTACGCGGCATAATCTAGCAGAACACAGAATAAATCACTTGAACCCTGGGAATTAACTTGGCTTCTTGTTGCTACCGTAGTGGCATGCTTACCCACTTTTTACAAATGTCACTAATCCTTCTCCATATAGCGTCAATTTGCAGCAATTTATACATTATGGCTGACGAATACGATATATACGGCGATGAGAACTTTGGTGATCTTCAGGTGAGACGACGCACAGTTCAATAGCAGATATCTTAACGCGCATCGCTGATAAGAATATTGGGAGCAGAACGAGGATCTGTTTGAGGATGTAGTCACAGATAGTCCCGCACGCTCATCAAAACGGGCTAAGACTGAATCAAGTGGAACCGGACAAGGAGACGACGATCTGTTTGATGATTTTGGCGAATATGATAAAGTAGGTTAGCGGTGTAAAGGACATTTGTCTTGACCAGGTGATTAACGGACGCTGTAGGAATTCAAAGATGTAAATAATCAGAACATGACACAACAGGCAGACTCTTCTCAAGGAGGTGCGTATTTTCAGGCCACCCCAGATTAAATATCCTTCTTCGGAACACACTAACGCGTATAGTTTGTTTTTGTAGATAATGCATCAAAACAATCCCCACCAAACGCCAGAAAATTAAACGCGGCACCACCACAGTCGCAACAACAACATCAACAACAACAATACCAATATAGACCCACTTCACAACACCAGGTGAAGGATACGTCTGAGAACACTGCTCCAGCGTCTAAGCGAGAGCAGTCTACTAGTATGAGTCAATTACGAGGACGAGAGACGCATCCCACGAGCGCATTGTATGTAGGAGAACTAGATTGGGTGAGTAGCTGGTTCGTTTGCTGAGAACTGCACTATACATTGGACTTACTAACATACCTCTGCAGTGGGTAACTGATGACGATTTGAAAGAGCCGATAATGAATGTTGGCATCGGCGCGGAACTCAAGGACATTACCTTTTACGAGCACAAAGTGAATGGAAAATCAAGAGGGTAAGTAATAGGTGGGACGAATTTGCCATTTGATAAGTGATCCATCCACTAATATGAACCTCCTAGTATTGCATTTCTAGATTTTACTACTGAAGAAGCTTGCTCGCGGGCCAAGGCTGCCTTAGAGCAGACCGATTACTACGGCAAGCTTCCAGTCGTTTCCTATACATCCGCACAGAACCCTTTCAAGCATATTCCAAAAGGTTAGTAATGAACCAGTTATCATGAGAGTTACTATATATGTCTGACCATTTCTTCCACAGAACCTGTTCCAAAATCACAGCGCATGCAACAACAACAAATGATGGGACGACCGGGCATGAACACTAATCCTCAACAAATGATGCAAGGTGGAGGCTTCAACCCCATGATGGCAGCAGGCGGTTTCATGAACCCGTATGGAGGCTTCCCTAATCCTATGATGGCGGCGAATTTTATGGGAAACACGGGTGGTGGCGGTAGGGGTAACATGCGAGGAGGAAGCCAAGGCAACTATATGAATCGCGGCGGCCGCGGTGGTGGCATGATGGGATACGGCGATGGAACAGGATTCAACAACGGTGAGTCTACTATCTTTAAATTAAATCGCGTGATATCACGGATCGACTTACTGGACCCCCTTAGCTGCAGGATATCCAGGCATGCACATCAACCCAGCATTCTTTGATCAACAGGGATATGGACAGGGAGGGTAAGTGACGCAGTAGCCATGATTGGTATGTTTGGAAAAAATGCCCGCACTTTCAACTGATCATGTACGTATAGATTTGACAATAGCATGGGTCGAGGAGGTGCAATGAAGCGTAGCCGGGATGAATGAATGACTTCAATAAATGAATAATGAGAAATATAAATGTCCAAGATATGCAGCGGACAATAGAAAAGTTTCGGTTGAGCCAAGCCAAGCCCATTCAAATTTGAGCACCGCTCTTAGAATTAATTGTTTCATCGTCGGTCGACGAAAGCTGAGGGAATTTTCTACAAAAACACTGGAGCAGCGGCAGTCCATCTTTCATCATCATTCGTATTACTTCATTCATTTCAAAAAGCAAACTACCCATGCGCTACTTTCAGCAATAGCCCGAGATAAGCAAGCCAGCCAACCTAACCTAAAGACCACCTGAGCCAATGCTCAATCAAACGCAAACAAAAAATTTATCAACAACGCACGCCTTCTATACTCGCTGAGCTCATCACCACCTCAGTTGGTCTCATTTAAACCCTAGTCTCAAATAACCCATTCGCTCATTCGCCAAGAACAGAATTTGAATAATCCATTTATTCGCTTCATCTCCGTCTCACAAATCTTCTTTCCTACATTGACACTCTTTCGTCTCGACAATTTGCCCTTCTTCCGTCCAGCATGACAGCTAGGACAGTTACCATTTCTCATGCGCCAGAACCCACACAGTTACTCTGGCCAAACATATGCACTAGAAAACCTGGCTCGAATGACCTCCTAACCGGTACCAATGGACTTTTATCAATACTGAAGTCAACCGGCCATGTTGGCGGTCAGCCAATCCCAGCCAAATCCCGAAAAGCCCACTTTGACAATATTGCACTGGAACGAATACGATACTTTGAACAAGAAGAGTGCCCAATAATAATCTCAACCGTCGGAAGTAATGCGGATAACAATGAAATTCGTCAATACATTCCCAAAAAAGATACCCAACACTGGCAACGCATCAGTATCACCTACACAAACTGGACACCTCTATCTATTGAAACTCATAGACTGGCACCTATGGTTCTTTTGGAAATGATTCTTGCAGAACGACCCAGCTCAGAAGACCAAGAAGATACCGAACACAATAACGATGCACGTGAAGACGTGACCAGATTGAAAGGTACTGTACGGGTCCGGAACCAGTCTTACCACAAACAAGTATCAATACGGTATACACTGAACGACTGGCAATCGTTTGGTACTGTTAACGGATATTATACTCGATCGATTTCTCCTCTATACGACGAATTTTCCTTTGACTTGGACATTCCTCTGACCTTATCGTCGGATCATCAAGCCACTATCAGCACCCAAGTTGAAATGGCAGTCCAGTATTGCTTCAATGGTCGGGAGTTTTGGGATAATAATAACAGCAGAAATTATAAGGTATGCCTGGTATTTTATTTACATTGTTTTTTGGGTGATGATCACTAACACGTTTCCCCTGTAGCTCTTTGTCACACGACATCCCACCGTACCGAAGAAGCCTTCGGTTGTGTATCCTAAAACGATCAAGCGACCACATTCAGCCACTTCGTTATTTACCTCCACTCAACCGCCGCCGCCTGTTGCGGAGCTGACCAAACAATCTGCCGCACATGACTCCGAACCTCCCACTGACAGCTCCAACAATAATAATATCATTTCGTATCCAAGTTACAACAAGAACAATGTCTTGCTGAAAAAGCATTTTATGCAAGAAGTTTCCCTCGAAACCCTGTGCAGTGCTAAGCCTAAACATTCTGGCATTCGGCACATATCTAAACCCTGTAATTATGCTACCCTGTTGACAGATGCTCCGCCTGCAGTTGCCCCAACCGTGAGCGATTCTTTATCTCAGACCTGGGTAAAAAAATATAGCTACCACGGCCAGCAACTAACTCGACATAGACCTTCCATTTTACTGTGATGCGCTCAATCTAAGCCGCTGAAATGAAATAAAAAGTCGACGTTGCGGGTAGGACAATAATTACATTTGTAGATCATTCATTATATTGTACGATGTCTCCTCCTTGCCAATAACTAAACATGAATTGTGTAAGCTTTTTGTCGGAAGCTCATAATTGCCTGCCTAAATTCCCGAATGTTGCCCGCTGAAGAAAAATTCTCTTTTTTGGTAAAAGGCAGATAGTATACCGTATCTGGTGGGCATGAAAACGTTTCCACTATTTTTCACATGTAGATGGGAGCGCTCAATCCTCAGATGATGAGAGTATGCAAGCAGCTGATACGATATGTGCATCAGCTACTGGAAGTTTACTGATGATCATCCAACAAAGACCCATTTTATTGTTACTATCAAGTCATTGTCTATTATTGCTGTAATGATTCTGCCGTAACTGTTTTATTCGCATAGTCTGCAGTCGGTGGAGCTTGAGAACTGCCCTTTATCGAATAGGCGATGTCTTGGCCGATCCACTCCTTTCCAGGCTCTACTGCAGCGACTGCATTGCTGCATTCACCATCTTGAAATAACTGCATGTAAAGATTGGATTCGTTTTCGATGGCTACTGCGCCGCCTACTAAAGGACGGCAAGAGCCAGTCATCAGTCGTTTTATAAAGTTTTCGCCACCAGCTGGTGTTCTATATTGTAAATTCTGAACAACAGCAGCATCACTTGGAATGCTGCAAAGATAAGCGATTATAGCCGCTACGAGAATGGAGTGCCTTATTGTGTACATTGATGATAAGTTGATAGGGTAAAGACCTCGAAAGCTAGCTTGGATAAAAGAGGAATAAGCCTGCATTTTTATAATTCTTTCATCTTCCATGTGCTACTCCGAAGAGGGGTACTTGGCTACAACACGCAGATGAAGGGGTGGTATCTCCTTTTGCAACGTATGATATTCATGCAATTTTACAGGCAGGAATGATAGTTCACAGAAGAGTAGGACTAGTAAAGGTAGCTGATCTTTGATTCAGTGAAAATCGTCAAATGAATGAGCTGCAATGAGTTCATACTTGCATTAGAACCGTACTTTTGTTAGTTAGGTTAACCACTACCAAAGACAAAGGAGCTGCTTCAATATATACGATGCGATTGAAGTTATCGTTCCTTTCCAAGTATGGGCTGTTAGCTCCAAAATATCTCGATGAATCCACCTTACTCCAACTGAACCCCTTGCATATTATCGTGACCCAAGCGCTTTTAACAGAGCGAAAAACAGAGCCTCACTGACACGATGGCGTACGCTTCAGTAGGAAAGAGCCACTTATTTGCCGAACAAGTTTTTACCAAAGCTGGAGTATTATCGACAAAGCAGTAAGCTATTGAGAACTTCATTTCAAGCATTGATCTCTCAAAACCTATAGAGGCATACAGGTACGGAACGACCGATGAAACTGATCAGTTACTATCCCGATTGCAGATTTCGCTTCGCTTTACATCGATCTTTTTCGTTCTCTCCCTTTCAAGTATCACCTTCCTCCTCCCAAACAAGAACGAAAGTAAAAAGAGCACTATTCCTATTTCAGACAATTTAAAAAGCACTTGTCACCGAAAAGATATATGTACACTTGCAAATGCAAACTGTTGTCTTTCCTTACCATTATCAAGGAATGCTTAAAGATTCCATGACTAAGCTCGCCAATTATGAGAAAATTCCAGATGAAAAATCGGCCAGCTTATTAAAGATCAAGAGAGAATACCCATTTGAGGAAAACAATTGAAGCTTGAAAAAACCTTAATGTTGTGCCTAGCTGATAGAAACCAAGTCTAGGTGTAATACGTGCAATGCATATCACAGGCGTATAAACATTCAAGTAAATGCACTGGTATTTTATATGTTTAGCAGCTCTATAGCTTAGCTCGACAGATTACAAGGCAGTCTGCCCTACATAGAGGTGAAGATACAACCAACGACATTATGCTGTACCTTAAGGAGGATGCACTGTGGTAAATCTGCTGGACATCAGGACGTTTGTTTCTCAACCCCTGAAAATCGTCTCGAAGGGAAAATAGCGCCGCGTCAAGCTCGACAGATGATTATTAGTTGCATCAACAAATTCTTATTCACTTTCTGACGGATAGAAAACTAGCATGTTATAGGAAGCTAGACCTTGCCAACATTCAAAGCTCGAACTCCATTGCAAATTATAAATATGCTCCTATCAACACGGTATCCGATCAAATGAGGAAATGAAAAGAAAAAAGTCATTTTTATTCCAAAATGTCATGGGATTTTCAATAGATGACCGTCAATAAAGAATTACATAAATAGCTTGGTTGTCAATAGCCAGTAATTTGACTATCAATCAATTGTCTCTGTGAAACACTAGTGCAACCACAGGCTCGTCAGACATTTGTGTCTCCCATTCTTCTCCGGGAATGATGATACGCAAAACTTCTTGACAGTTAGCATCTCCAAATGTTGTTATGCTCGCGCTCGTATCATTGATGATGTACCAGGTGGGCAATTTCAATATTATGCAAGTCGCACCCGGCGGAGATATCAGGTTCAGACTTCGGTTTCGTTTGGATGGCGCATACGTCAATTTTCCCTCTACAGCGAATGCCATGGGAAGGCTACATATTATTAGAGCCATAGCTACCAGCAGAAAAAGTTGCTTGACCATTGTGTCGTGTGTGAAACGAATTTTTCGTGCAGGGTGAATTTTAGGTCGTTGTATAGACAGTGAGTAGTCAAAGCTGCAAATGTATGTGTTGCTTTTATAAAGGGACCATGGTAACCTGAGGGGGTTACCGATGGAAAGTCAAAGATCATCATGAGCCCATGGTCACTTGCAGCTGAAGGAGACTAGAACTCCTTGCAGAATATTCTTGTCATCATCGCAGGTAGTTCTCGTAGCCTGGGTATGACAGTTGTCTTCCATTCAATGCCTATGAGCAGTGACGAGGCTTTGTGGTACGGACGTGAGGTATCACAATATAAAGCCAGATCTACCACTTCGGATCATCAGGGCTACCAACAACTGTTGTGAGGCCTAATGTGAACCTATAGGAGGCGTAGTGGCTTACATTCTGTGGTTACTGGCCAGAAAGCAATGGAATAAAAATCGGTTACTTTATAAAGTAATCGGAGATCGGACAAGGAGGAGAGTCTTCCCGATCCAGCAGCAGCTCTCCGTCAAAATAACAAGTTGGCGACTTGGCCCCACGTACATTTTTAAGGATCACTGTTTCAATAGCATTTCAAAGTGATATCATTCTCGAAAACAATACAAACAGTATGCTTTTGTATATAAACCAAACATCTTAATGATGAGAAAAACTGTCTCTACTACATCAAAGTAGCACCTCCAATAGTGATGATCCGAAAAACTGGTTTATGATAGACGACATATTACCGTGGACTGCCAGAGGATGGCCTTTTCGTCACGGCAAAGGTAAAATTATTGGTATAATGTAAACGCTGCGCTCATCCAGGTACACAATTGGACGAAAACGATATTGTATGGTGGACTCGTTTACTCTTTTCGTTCTTTGCTTCATTGTAAATAAGTTGAGCTGCCGCAAAACAAGGAGCGTAATAAACACCAGAGTGCATTCTCGGCTAATTCTATAATTCCATCAGCTCTATAGTCAGTGCACTTTGACAATTAGACTTTGTGAATATTGGACCTATCATATACGCTGGACATACTACCTAGGATTCCTTATCGACCAACTGGTCTCCGGTATATGTATACAGAGCTATCGCTCAAGATAGAGTGTATTACGCAGGAAGAGGGTTGATTTCGAGCTAATAGTACAGTTGTTAAAAGTAATGCGTTTGTAAAGCTGCGCAATTGCAGAAACTAATAATAATCACTCTTTTTGAGTTTTATTAGCGTTTCAGCTCACTCTCTCGTATTTGGGCGCATTTAACCCCAGTGACTGGCGAAATGCGCCAAAAAAAAATTAAAATGGCTAATGTTGGACGTTCAGCGCATATTGCTGGCGAGCCCATCGCAACATACGGACTTGCCTCCCTTGACACTTTGAAAGGCATATAGATGGTATACTAGCGTCTCTCATTATTCCGCCCATAATAGTGGCTACCATATACTCGTTCACCAGAAGCTAGTATTTCCTATGCAGCCGATTGCACGACCGCGCCATGCCAACATTAACTATCAGGATTTCAAATGACATTGTGAGAAATCCGAAAATGCTGTCGCTTCAACTTCTTCATGGAGTGGTCTTAGTCGCACATGTAGGAATCAACAATGAGACGGTTCGCCTTTTCTTGCTTTTCGAATCGGTAACTGTTGGCTTGTATCGCCAAATGTAAGAGTGTGTCATCGTTTTGAATTTTTAAACCCGAGACATTCAGGTACTTCATAAACCTTTGTGACCTCTTAGATAGAGATTTATGTAAGACATCGATGTAATGAAGCGGTTTTAATAGATTTTTTTTATGGATATTTTGGTGTAAACTATACGTTTCTTCTACCTTTTTTCGAAACGCGTGTTTATAAAGCAGTGATGAGATTTTCTAGAAAAGCTCGTTACGTGTTGAATGAGTAACCATGGGGATCCGAATTACTCAAGGGAGATAGGCGCGAGGAATTAAGTGATGATATAAAATTGCTACATGCTAAGAGTGGCCTCCATATATTAAATTTATTCCAAATAAATCATAGAACAATGACACATATTGTAAAATACTGTATGCTCACTTTGTATGCTCACTTTGCAAGCTTCATCCTTTGATGCACCGGCTCTTGTTCAAGCCATCATATACGTAATTATCGCATCTGTTTAGAGATTTTTAAGGTTCGAGGACAAAGCGAAAACATACGTATGGTTCAAGAATTCAAATAAAATTCGTGCTTCTATATCTGTATATGTCTGACTCCAACGTTGCCCACTTTAAATATTAAATAAAGTGTTCAATGTATGGTGCCCAGCGAGAGACCATGATCCTTAGACCGTAATATTGAGCCAAATTATTAGCGTATTTTAATCCATGTTGATACTTAGAAAAAAAAATTGGTCAAGGATGGTGTTAACATACAAAACAATCACGATATAGGGCAAACATTAAGTGCATAAAGTAAATTAGTTTCAACCAAGCAAGGTATATTTGGCTATAGGTTTATGACTGCAATGGCCATGTAATGCACATGAAATATTTATGTCATATAAACTTTCTCAATAAGGCGGCTCTATGGCAAACACTCATTATATGGCGTTCATTCACACTGGTTGTAGTACGAACTAAAGTGACAAGGCTACCTTGAGTCCCATGCAAGGATATATAAATAAAACTATTTGATATGGAATTGAAACTTTTTTCTGCAGTATTGAATCTGCTGGTTTAGCAGCATATATGGTATGTCTACCTTTCGTTTAATGTTATGTCTAGTTGGTAGTTTGTATGTTCGGTGATCTTTTGCATATTCTTGATTACCGTTAACTGACTTCTCCCTTTTCATCTTGCTATCATGAAGCCAAAATATAAAAGCAAAATATTAATAAGTAAAAATAAAGATGATAATAATCAATTCTCATCAAATGTATGTTATGTATGCTACTGTTGACTGATCAAATTTGCATTTGCAGGGAGAGTGAATACTGTAGCGAGGAACATATTAAAAACCAAAGTTTCAGAAAAATAAGAAGTCGATATGTCCGAGTGGTTAAGGAGTCAGACTTGAAATCTGATGGGCTCCGCCCGCACAGGTTCGAACCCTGTTGTCGACGACATTCTTTTTTTTCAAATGTCTCACATTTATCTCAAAATTTGATTGGCTGATAAAACTGCATCCAGTTTGATTGGCAGACTTTCTTTTAAAAGCTACTTTTGATTGGCTTAGGACCCGGAGCCTTTCAAATGCAAGGGCCAAAGCTTCATCCTGCCTTATGTCAAGTCGAAGAAGAATCTACTAACTGGACAATGTCATAATCGGAAGATCTCTGTATATAACATAAGCAGTAAGAGTTGGAAGTGTACGGAACGGTAAAGCATGGGGTGACAGATTGAGTGGAGTTCTGACAGTTTTGTTCATATGTTGGACAGAAAACGCGCAACAAGCACTTCCAAGGTTTAATTTCATTTGCATTATCACAGTACGACCTTAGCTCAATCTAAATGTTACACGCTTCTACAGAACTACGGAAACTTCTTCCCAACAAGCTTCTCGCTCATAGTCCAAAGTCTCTCAGCGTTAGCATCATCCAAGGCATACTCTCTAGGACTTTCATAGTCGACGCGACAGTCTTGTAAGTATGAGCCGGAATATGGCTTGAGGCTCGGATCAAAGGCAGCAACAATTGTTGTGGAAGCTCCTTGAGAAATAGTTTTCTGCTTTGTAGAGTTGACAGAGTAATAGAGTATTCCGTCATATGTTTTTCGCTGTAGCTTTTCTTCCTGAGATTCGTGAACGTCTCTGGACAAGTTAGTGGCTATCACACCAGGATGCAAACTAAAGGACAGTAAGCCTTTGTTCTTATATCTCTTGGCCAGTTCCTTCGAAAACAACATGTTGGCGGTTTTGGACTGACCATAGGCGTGCCATTTATTGTACTTCTTGCCGTCTGAGAAACCGTAGTCGTCGAAGAGGATAGGGCATAATATATGCCCACGGCTAGCAACGTTAACGATACGTGGTTCTCCAGTGCTCGAAGCCAAAATGCGATCGAAAATCAGAGCTGTGAACAAGAATGGACCAAGGTGGTTTGTGCCGAACTGCGCTTCAAACCCTTCCTGTGTGGTGTGATAAGGTGGAGCCATAATGGCAGCATTATTGATCAAAATATCAATCGGTTCTTCATACTGGTTGACTTGCTCTGCGGCAGCTTTCACGGATTCAAATGAAGCCAAGTCAATGATGAGAGAGCGCAAGTTAGCATCCGGTGTCTCTTGTTTGATCTTTTGAATAGTTTCGTCCAAAGCTTCTTGTCGTCGTCCAGCTACAATGACCAGTTTCGGTTGATGCTTAGCCAGGGCATTAGCTGTCTCTGCTCCGATGCCATTTAGCGAAGCTCCTGTAATAAGGATGGTTTTTCCTTTTATCTGGTCCTCTAAGGCTGCAGCGGCCTCGTCGGAGGTAGTCTCGAACCCAAAATCAAAAGTCATGAAGAAAGGAAAATTGTATTTGTATTTTCCTCAATTTATATGCGAGTGATGAGCTGTGTGTAACCGATCAAGTCCGGGTGTTGATGAACTTTGAGTTTTCCCGCGCCTAAACTACACAACACAAGTCCAGGAATAAGAAGAGAATACGAAAAGTCTTTTAACAGCCAGCAGGGAGTTGAAAGATTCAAATGAAAGGCCACAAAGGAAGAAGCGGCGCCACATAGCGTGCTTGCTCAATAAATTATACGACATTGAAGCAGCAATACACTCTATATATACATTATTCAAGTATGATTATGTCTAAAGTGAAGGCAAGTAATGAACCACATACGACGATAGCCGTTGCGCTGCTTGTCTTTATACCATGACTCGCCATTAGGTCCAGCACACCATCCTACCACTGCCATTGCCACATAGAATCGTCATTGAAGGTGTAGTGGGATGGAAGAGACTAACGGCTGGTACAGCAGTAACTTTCTCTGGATCATATAATTCGCAGATGCGCTCACCAGTCTCACCAGAATAGACTTCCACAGGATGATTCATGCTGCCTATCACAAACTGAGAGTGCGATAATGCCCTCGGATTGTAATTCCAGCGCGCTCGAAACAAAGTAACCCATCTGTGCGACACTGAGGTTGTCAGCAGGGAGGCAAACATATTCTGCGGATGAATCAGACATGCTAACAAGCAACTTACTTTCCAGTACGATTATTGTGCTCTACAGCAAATTCTTCCTCTAAATCTTCCACCTTTCCACTTGTGCTGATGACCCGAAGACGATTGTCATAGCTCGTAGTCAAAAGCTTGTCTCCCTTAGGGGACCAGTAACAGGATGAGACAGAAAAGCCATGTTCAAACTGCTTGATGGGCTCTGGTGCCTTCTTCTTCAAATGCCTAATATCCCAAATTGATGCAGTCCTGTCATTGCTCGCACAAGCAATGTATGTTGGCTTTTCGTAATTTACCGAAATACACCCAACCTTTTTCTCCCGAATGGTGTACATTGAATGTTCAGAGGCTGGCGATCGCAAATCGTGATGACCAATGGTTCCGTCTGACGTCGAAAACCAAATCTAAGGGAGTATGATTAGAAAAGTGAGACAGTTGCCCGCTGTGTCAAGTTATGTTCTCGAAACGTACGCTGTGTCCATCTTTAGGCATGTCAAACGCCGTAAAGGGAATGTCAGACTCCGAGTCTTCAAACGCTGTTACAAACTCTGCTTTTTCCATATCAAAATACTGTACGGTTCCGTCATAAGAAGAAGTGTACAATTGTGAAAGGTTGGATGGATTATACATCATGCTTGTTATGGTTCTCGTATGAGGTCGATATGTATAAACAATTGGCTGAGGCGTCTCTTCATCCGGATCCTCTTTTTCGCCATTGACATCCCAAAAGCCAAGATTTCCAGATACGTCTCCTGCACAAGCCAAAAGTTTGCTCGCGGAAGGATGGAACCTTCATCGGTGGATGGAACAAGTCAGTAAACAGCCTATCAGCATCGATTTGTCATCAGAGATACTAGTGTTTCTATGAATAACAGAGGAGACAAAAAATCCATTGAATACTAACGCAGAAAAGTTGATCCTCTCAGGTGTGACTTTAACAGTTGCCCAAATATGCCTTATGTCTAAATTTGACGCTTCCTCTTGCAGCTTCTTTGGCACCTTGTCACTCGGTGGACCATCATTAGGAATCATGACATTGTCCACTTTTGCATCACCAAGTATTTTCAGAAAATCGGCTTGGTCTTGATCTTCGAGCTTAGAAATCCGTTTAGGCTTCTTTGCCTCTGAGAGTTGTAATAGTTCGTCGGCAGTTCGTTTTAGGTCTGCTTCTGTAGTCGCGTCCGCTGGGATATTCCTTAATCGAGCAGAATATCTAACAGGTAATACCTTTTCCTTCTTAACAGCTTTCGGCTTATGTTGTACAGTAGACTTCTTGTCTGCCGACTTGGTTGGAGGCAGTCCGTGTTTAGATCCTACTGCGGGAACATTGAGTTGCTTTAGCAATTCCTTATTTTTTCTGAAATAGATCGTAAGAAAAAATATATTAAATTCGAAACTAAAACGAGAGTGATAGTATACTCAATGTTATCCAATCGCTTCTTTTCATATTCTGACAAATGTTGGGACATTGCACAACGCGCTCAAGATCGATTGTAGCCCAAAAAAAATTGCGTCCAAATAATTGACGGTCATTTGAGGTCGCGCAGGTAATGCGGCCACGCTAAAACGCAGCCATTAATGCTACCAGTTGATTTTACGAACGCAAGATACAAAATTGTATGGTTTTCCTTTTTAACATTAATGACAAGAGGAATAAACCAATTATTCGTTCGGCCATCTTTATCGTACAGCTATAAATGCTTCACTGACTGGCCTTCATGCCACATGCTGTTTCCTGTCACTGGCCACTGGCTGGGACCGTTTTTTAATCTCAGATAATCCCATTTTGCACTTGTCACGATCTCTCGCATTGCCCAAACATGAGTTTCCTATGGAATCTTGGCACCGCAAAGAAGCCGGTAAGTAGCTATGTACTTTCCTCGCGAATGTTGGTCTCATTTCAATACTGAGGTGATGGAAACAGGTCGCCAGTGCAAAACCTGCCAGCCCGCCACACTTTCAGTCCATGAACGTGGCATTTCGCCGCGGCGTACAATACAACAGTAAGTCCCTGCTTTTATATAGGACTTCATGGCAACTCGTTAACCATGATAATGTATCTCAGTGAAGGTGGCCATAAGAGGTGATGTGATGACCGGAAAATCATCACTCTGTAAGTAGTTGCTATGGTCGCACTGAAATACAACGGCTTGCTAAACCTAGTATCATGTCCCTTTTCCAGTCCGAAGGCTGCAAGGTGCAGATTTTGATAGCAACTACATCTCAACGCCCCAAATAGAAGTGTCTAATATACAGTGGAAGTATAAAGGTGAGATTTTTGCATGCGGATATTGACGAAACTTTACATTCATCTCACACATTTGTAGACTCTCCGGATATCATCAAGGTGGAGGTATGGGATGTTGTAGATCGAGCAAAGAATGCAGTAACGTCACCAAGCACAGAAGCTGGAATAAAATTGGAACATAATTCTGCGCAAAAGCAACAACCGAAACGAGGTACCCCACCCCCTTCCACAGCCGAGCTGGGAGATCTGGGGTTGGACGCAAGTACGGTCAATGTATATAGAAATTGTCATGCCGTCATTTTTATGTTTGATATGACAAAACCATGGACATTTGAGTATGTTATCAAAGAGCTACCTTCTGTGCCTGGTAATGTCTCCATATTAGTCCTGGTAAGTTATTTATCTTCAAGTATGCGAGCTAACAAAACCCTGTGGCTATTGAGGAAATCCATTTCTAACTTAATTCTTGCTGTATGCAGGGTAATTTCAATGACAAAGAGTAAGCAAAAGCTTATAATACGATTGACCACCATAAGGGTATATCAATATTAACCCTGTATGCTTCATCTAGTCTAAACGAGAGGAAGGTTTCACTGGACACGGTGCATGCTGCTCTGTATGATCTTAATCAGGAACGCATAAAGGAAAAAGACGCCACGAAACCCAACTTGATACGGTACATTGAATGTAGTATGTCTACTGGAAGCGGCCTTCGTTTTATCTATGCGTATCTCGGTATACCCTTTTTACAGCTACAAGTGAGTATACCTCGTGGCCTAGCAAGGGATGCGACGTGTCTCGTTTCGCCTTATACTTCAATTGAAACTGACCTTACATCCCCAAACAACAGATAGAATCAATGAAGCAGCAATTGGAAAGCAAGGCGATTGAAGCAGTTAATTTGTTGGATGAATTGGATCAAAGTAATGAAGTTCCTGAGCAACTGCAAAGGATTCGGGGCCAAGATAACTTTCAACAACGTAAGCTATTGCTCTGTTCATCACTAGGTTATTTCTATTTCCATGCAAGATATAACATATATTCTGTTGCAAATTGCCAGCATCGACATCCACGCTGGACGAGCAGCGCTCAACTATGCGAGAGGCATGGGAGGCAGAGTTGGATCAAATTGCAAGAGATCACGGTAAGGAGATTTGCCTTGGCTCGGCGGACCGGATGTTTTTAAGTAGGCACGAACATTTCCAATGATTTAACACCATTCCAACGCGTCAATAGAGCCAGCATTTGACATGCCGCTATCACATACAATCAAAAGCAAGACTCCAACTCCACCCATGAGTCCGGTTCAAGTCGAAAGAGTCAGACCTCTACCTCTTCGTACCAAAGAAGATGTACCAGCTGCTATTGACCACTTCAATGCTGGCACAATTGATACCGACTTTTTCCTCGAAGAGGCTCCAGAGGTTAAGCCTCAGCAAGTTCGATCGGTGAAAAAACAAATGGACTCTGATGATGAATGGTCTGGTAATCCTATTGTTGCTTCGGATGAAGATCTTGAAGATATGGAATATTATGGTGCTGAAGGCGACGTTACAACTAAAAAAGCGGCCGCCAACGAAATCGACGAAGACGACGACGATGATGGTGATGGCTACCAAGAGCCTATCAAATTCAAAAGCTCGCTGCTCCAAGTTTGGGATGATCCAATGGCTGCTCCAGTTGTGACCTCACAAGGTATTGTCAGTCAGCATAATGCAGCTTTTGCAGGATCTGACAGTGAAGACGAAGTGGATACTTCCTATGACGGGGGTGTATCGGGCACAGCGGGTGAATATGAAGAAATTGGAGGAGGTGATAATCCATGGTCTTTTGAGCCAGTCAGACCGGGGGCTTCAGATTTTTCAAGCCCTCCTCAGGTAAAATCCGTGCGTTCTACATTAATCTGAAAAACCTGGATAACTAACCTTCCATCAATTGGCTGGTAGAGGACGGAGTTTAGAACCGATAAATCGCCTCCGCTCACATCTCCGCACGACATTTCTGTTTGGGGCAACACAAGCAGTGAATCATATTCTCCCCAACCTGAGAGTCACCATGTTGCTGAAGAAACGAGCACTTCGCCTAAAGACAAATCAAAGAAACTCAAGAAAAAGAAGAAGAAGGATAGAATAGGCTCAGTGTCTTCCAACTGATAACTCCATTCAATCAATATCTTAACGAAATAAAATCGCCACGTGATTCCAGATCTCTGATTTTTTTTTTTTTTTTTTTTTTTGGTTTGTCAAAATGTGCATTTTAAAAAATTTGGACAGCTCTAACGTCGCAGTTACTGACAGCTTCTCCTGCTCGAAAACTTGTGTGGGATGACCGATTTCAACATTGGTTAGTATTCCTTAACCAACCAGTTTTACTCGCGTCTGTTTGCTAACCGCCTTCTCGTCAGATGTGTTCAAGTACCTGGAGGAAACTCTTGCGAAGCGAATCATGTTCCTAGATGGTGCCATGGGTACCATGGTGCAGCGTCTTAAGCTCCAAGAATCTGACTTCAGAGGTAGGCATCAATGAAGAATTTTAAAGCATTTACCTTTTCGTTTTGACAACTGACATTGCGGAATTAGGCGAGGAGTTCAAGGATTGGGTTAAAGACTTACGCGGAAACAACGACTTGTTGACCTTCACTAAGGCCGATGCTATTTACGACATCCACAGACTTTACTTGGAAGCTGGTTCAGATATGATCGAAACCAATACTTTCAGTTCTACCAGCATTGCTCAGCTCGATTATGCCCTCGAGAACTATGCTTATAGATTGAACAAAGAGGGTGCCGCACTGGCCAAGAGAGCTTGTCAAGATGTAAGTATTGCATTTCAACCAACGATTGGCACTATCACCTAAACGAGTTACAACTCATGCTCAACCTTTTTGCTTCTGTAGGTTTGGAGAGAAACTGGTGTTCCTCGTTTCGTGTGCGGTGCATTGGGTCCCACTAACCGTACTGCATCTATTTCTCCCTCCGTCGAGAATCCTGCTTTCCGTAACGTCACCTTTGACGAGCTCGTTGAAGCTTACGCTGAACAGACCAGAGGTCTTCTTGATGGTGGTGCTGATATTCTTTTGGTCGAAACTATTTTCGATACCCTTAATGCCAAGGCTGCCCTCTATGCCATTGATGTCGTCATTGAAGAAGACAAGTGAGTGTTACTACCAAATTTTTTTTTTTTTTGATATGTTACCATTGATTACTAAAACCTTTGATTTTAACTTAAGGCGCCCAAAGGTTCCCATTTTTATCTCTGGTACCATTGTCGATCAGAGTGGTCGTACCCTGTCCGGTCAGACCGGTGAAGCATTTGTCACATCCCTTAAGCACTCTAACCCTGTGGCCTTCGGTCTCAACTGTGCTCTTGGTGCCGATCAAATGAAGCCTTTTATTCAAAACATCAGTAGATTCACAGATGCGCATATCATTTGTTATCCCAATGCTGTAAGTAACGATGCTTCGTTCGCTCGATCCGAATGATATTCTTTTTCATACGCGGACCATCCATTAATAATCCTCTTCCTTCAGGGTTTACCTAATGCTATGGGTGAATACGATGAAAGTCCTGCTGCTATGGCTAAAAACGTTGAACCTTTCGCCAAGGAAGGTCTTGTCACCATTCTCGGTGGTTGCTGCGGTACCACTCCTGATCACATCAAGGTATGCATGCCTGTCGTGGTAATGAAATTTTTGCTAAACATGTCAATGCTAACTAATACGTCACGCGAGCTAGGCTGTTGCAGATATTTGCCGTAAATACCCTCCTCGTCCCAAGCCTGCTAAGAACGATGACGACTGCATGTTGCTTTCTGGTCTCGAAGTCTTGCGAGTCGATAAGACTACCAACTTCCTCAACGTTGGAGAGCGTTGTAACGTCGCAGGTTCTCGCAAGTTCTGCCGTCACATTTTGAAGGGAGAATACGAAGAAGCACTTGCCATTGCCCGAGCTCAAGTCGAGAATGGTGCTCAGATCGTTGATTGTAATTTTGACGAAGGTCTGCTTGACGGAAAGGCTGCCATGACTAAATTTTTGAACATGCTTGCTTCCGATCCTGACTGTTCTAGAGTAAGTGATGGTATTTCAATTATGCACTATCAAACCGTATGCTCACTATGAATTTGTTTCCAGGTTCCTCTTATGGTGGATTCTTCCAACTTCGCTGTCATTGAAGCCGGTTTGAAGTGTGCTCAAGGCAAATGCATTGTCAATTCCATTTCCCTCAAGGAAGGCAAAGATGATTTTGTCAAGAAGGCCAAGATCATCAAGCGCTTTGGTGCTGCCGTTGTTGTTATGGCCGTATGTACCTGCCGATTAATGGTTATAGAGATTGTGTTTACTGCTTACTGACCAAAATTCTTGAAACCACCTACCAGTTCGATGAAGTGGGTCAAGCCGCTGAAGCTGATCGTAAGGTTGAAATCTGTACTCGTGAATACAACATTCTTGTCGATGAAGTTGGCTTTAATCCTCAAGATATCATTTTCGACCCCAACATTTTGACTATTGCCACCGGCATGGGTGAGTCTAAATCCAAAGTACCATGCAGCACTTCTGTTACGTTTAAATTTACTAAACATCACTTTGTCTCCCCCAGAGGAACACAACAACTATGGTGTTGAATTCATTGAAGCTACCCGCCGCATCAAAGAAACACTTCCAGGCGCCAAGGTCTCTGGTGGTGTCTCCAACTTGTCCTTTGCTTTCAGAGGTATGGACAAGGTCCGTGAAGCTATGCATTCCGTCTTTTTGTACCACGCTATCAAGGTTGGCATGGACATGGGTATCGTCAATGCCGGTTTTTTGACTGTCTACGATGACATTCCCAAGGATTTGCTTGAACTTTGTGAGAATGCTGTTTGGAACAAGGATCCTGAGGTCACCGAAAAGCTTTTGGAATACGCCAAGGCTCACTCTAAGGACGCAAAGAAGGATGAAGATGAAGAGGAATGGCGATCATTGCCTGTGACTGAGCGTATCTCCCATGCTTTGGTCAAGGGTATTATGAAGCATATTCTTGAAGATACTGAAGAAGCAAGACAAGACAAGGAAAAATACCCTCGTGCTCTCAATGTCATTGAAGGTCCGCTGATGTCTGGTATGAACGTTGTTGGTGATTTGTTCGGTAAAGGAAAGATGTTCTTGCCCCAAGTTATTCGTTCTGCACGGTAAGTATTCCAATCAACGGATCCATACAAATTTTATTTTTTTCCCAATCGACTCTGTACGAAAAAGACTGACAATGGTCACCATTTTAGTGTTATGAAGAAGGCTGTTGCTCACTTGGTCGAATTCATCAAGATTGAAAAGGAAGAAGATATGTTGCTCACTGGAGCCACCGAGATTAAAGGCAACGGTACTGTGGTTATGGCCACCGTTAAGGGTGATGTCCACGACATTGGCAAAAACATTTGTGGTGTCGTTTTAGGTTGCAATAATTACAGGGTGGGTGATACAGCTGACGCACATGTTGGCCACAAAGAATTATTGCGGCAGAAAGTTTACTAAAATGCGGAACTCTTGGAATTTTCAGGTCATCGATATGGGTGTCATGGTCCCCTGTGATAGAATCATTGCCAAGGCTATTGAAGAAAAGGCTGATATTATTGGTCTCTCTGGACTGATTACTCCTTCACTTGAAGAAATGGTGATTGTTGCTAAAGAATGTCAGAAGGCCGGATTGAAAATTCCTATTCTCATTGGCGGAGCTACTACTAGCAAGATGCACACTGCCGTCAAGATTGAACCTCAGTACTCCTGCCCAGTTGTCTACGTTTTGGATGCTTCCCGTAGTGTGCCTGTTGTTGCCAGTCTTTTGGATGATAACCGAAAGGAGGACTTTGCCGAGGATGTTCGCGAAGAATATGCCGAGATGCGCGAAGAGTATTACGAAGGCTTAGAGGAGAAGCGCTTGCTCACATTGGCCGCTGCACGCGAAAAGGCAATGAAGATTAATTGGCAAGTGACGCCACCGCCACACAAACCCAACGTTATGGGCACTAAAGTTCTAGATGACTATCCGCTTGAGAAGCTTCTGGACCACATCGATTGGAATCCTTTCTTCCAAGTGTTCCAACTTCGAGGTCGTTACCCCAATCGAGGCTTCCCCAAGATTTTCGATGATGAGGCGGTTGGATCTGAAGCCAAGCGATTGTACAATGATGCACAAGACATGCTCAAGGAAATTGTCGCCAACAAATCTTTGAAGGCCCAGGGTATTATTGGCTTCTACCCTGCTAATTCAAATGGGGATGACATTGAAGTATATACTGACGAGACCCGAAGCGAAGTAAAGGCAACCTTTTACGGACTGCGCCAACAATCTGAAAAGGAAACCGACGAGCCCTATTACTGCTTATCCGACTTTGTGGCTCCCAAGGGCATTGATGACTATATTGGTATGTTCGCTGTTAGTACTGGATTTGGATGTGACGAATTAGTGGACAAGTACGAGAAGGATCATGATGATTACTCCATCATTATGGCCAAGGCTCTCGCTGATCGATTGGCTGAAGCATTTGCTGAATTGCTCCATGAAGAAGTTCGTAAGGAATATTGGGGTTATGCTACCGATGAAACCCTATCCGCTGCCGATTTGTTTGCACTCCGTTACCAAGGTATTCGTCCCGCTCCAGGCTATCCTTCACAGCCCGACCATTTGGAAAAGAGAACAATGTGGGATTTAGGTGATATTGCCAGCTTGACCGACATTACTCTAACGGATTCATTGGCTATGAACCCCGCTGCTGCTGTGAGTGGTTTATACTTTGCTCATCCTGAGAGCAAATACTTTGCCGTTGGCAAGATCGACAAGGACCAAATTGTTGACTATGCTAACCGCAAGAAGATCCCTGTCGAAGAAGCTGAGAAATGGCTGGCTACAATTCTCGCCTATGACATATAAGTCCATAGTCCATTGAAATTGTAATCGGTCAAGCTCATGTCAATTTCGGAGCCTAGAATATTTTTTTTTTAGTTCACATTGTCTGTCGTTTGAAGCGATAGGCATTAAAGCGCCCTCTCATTTGTTTTATTGAATCTCTTTTATACACACACACACTTTATTCTGCTTGTTCTTTATAATAAAGCCAGGGAGGTCTTCCCCTAAAAACATGATTGTGGCTTACAGAAGACGCACCTTATTTCAATGTAGTGGCGCAGACCGACCTCCTTGGACTCGCCTGCTTCGTGCCACCCAATGCAACGTCGCTCAACGCGGGCAGTAAAGAGGAGTGCCGAATTTGCGTCAGCTGCGTTTCAATTCTACATTTATGGGCTGGGGGTCTTTACCAACTGTCACACATTTTTTCAAATCGAGGTTTTTTTTTTTCCACTGTGATCATCGTAAAAAATCGATTTCAAAAAAAAGCATTGGTTGCGTTCTCTTCTTCTTCTTCTTCTTTGTTGGTTATAACCATTGGTTTTGTCTGTCCAAACTCATCTTTTTCACCATTCATTCTACTTGCTACTAGTATCCATCACCACCTGTTTCATTAGTAATGCCTCGGGCTGTGGTCAAGCGGTTGTCAAATTTGTTACATCCTTCACAGGACCAGTTTTCAGGCTCAAAGTTCAGTAAGTATGATTTTTAATCGTCGCCATAATAGCTCACTGGATTCCAACCTTTGCCTCCCCCCTTCTAGTGAATGACATTGTACAAGGAAAAACATGCGTCCCCATATCGTTACATGAATTCCGTTTATTTTTGAAACATCATGAACACTCTCTCGAAAACCTCGATTTCTTTTTATGGTACCAAGATTATAAGCGCCGATGGGACCAACTACCTCTCCCAGCGAAACTCCAGTCCCCTCCTCCTCAAGAAAAGCCAAGTTATGTTGGTTATGTTCTGTCCGGCACAGGCAAACGACAACAGCAACGATCGGCGATGGAGTCAGGCGACTCGGGTTTGATTGGAACCACCGCTTATCCTAACGAGACGATGGACTATGCAGCCATGAACGCAAAACACTCCAGCACTGGTAGCTATAAGCAAGATAGTTCATCCATCATGACGGCCTCCACCTATGCCAACGGATATGAATTATCCTCTGTTGTATCGCCCGAATCTTATTATCAAGGCACCTTTCCAGACCAGCAACCCTTCCGAGATGAAGTTGAACTAGTCCTAAAAACATTTTTCACATCCTCGTCTGATAAGGAACTCAACATTGATGGATATTTACGACAATATGTATTGCACAACAGCAAGTATACCACCCACCCTGATATATTTGAGCCCGTGCGGGACAAGGTATATGAAACCATCGAGCGGTCATCACTACGAAATTTCGTCAATTATGCACTTCAAAATATCAACCACGGTGGTGTCATTGTTCGATATCTCCTAGCTGCAACCTGCGCCGTGTTGATTGCCATCGTCCTTATCATCACCTTCGTATTAAAAGTTCCGCGTTGGTATCGCATATTTATTTTCCCTCTTTTGATTGGTATGGTGATATGCAGCATATCAGCCAATCAAGGCGTATGCTTTCAACGAGCCATGGGCCATCGCCGAGATCCTCATGCCTATGAGCTGGTCAGCAACGACCAAGTGGACGACCCATTCTCTCAAGAGTTCAAATTCAGTGATGTCGAGAGTCAGTCTGAAGACTTTAAAGCGGTAAAAGACCCCTTAGTTCGACGCTACAATATGGTAAGTAACCCCTGATGAGAACCACACAAAGTTTATTTGACCCCTTCTTTTAACCTGTATTCTTTCGTATTACAGAAACTCTTGTTTTCGTCATCTTTTGCTGCCACCATATTTGCTCTTTGTCTCACTGCCGCCATTGTCGCTATTCCCTAGTTTTGACAACTATGGATAGTACTGCTTGCTGTATATAAGTTATATATATTGTTTTTGTCACCTAATAGATATGCTGTAGCGAAATTACAAAATGAAAATTGAATGTCCATAGGGCTTTACCTAGGCACTTTTATCATAGGCACTGTTGCAATAAGAGTTTGAAACGCACTGGCAAATGAAATTGCATAGTACCATGCGCGCGCCGTCCCAAAAACCCTATGACGTATCTCCTAAAATCCCTGCCTAGACATTCTCCGACCATAGCCATTTCGCCAGCTCATTCCACACATAAATCATGCCCAACTACTTGAGTGAAGGTCGCAGGTCGATATTTCTGTTCAAAATCCCCAACCCATTCAAGTTCCTCGGTGATAAGCAGAGAGCTATTGGTGTTTATGCTGCTGGTGCTTTTGTAAGTAATGCTAGTGTCAATCGGAGCTTGCAAAATCGTCACTCAACCGTGCCTCCTCTTCTAGTTCGCAATAGGCTGGTGGGCATTCATCGATGCTATTACACTGGCTTCAAGAGATCCATTCAAGCAAGTCAGCATCGGTTTCGAAGACTGGATTTCGGGTATCCTTACTACCCTTGGTAAGCATTCTAGCCACCATTGAGAATACCCCCAAGTTCCTATTAACCTTCTATTCCTATTTGCCGACCATTTCTACCCTAGGCATGATTGTGTACGGCTTTATTTTATTTCTATTGATAGCTGTAATCCTATCACTTGCTTTAAATGTTAACACTCCTTCTCTCGATCTATATTTAGGATCAATCTGATTGACAAATCGAGCTTGCATGGAGATACGTTCTCTTATTCTGGTGATAGCTTGGTATGGAAAGCGAGGCTGTTCCTCTTTGTGGGATTTGCCCTTATTGCCGGCGGCCTTGCTGGTTCTGTGGTAAGCCTTATGTTTTTTTTTTGGCATTCCATGTGTCAATATCCTGATGCGCAACTGTACTAAAGTCTCTCTGTGAAAAGTGTGTTTTGATCCTCAAGTACATTGTACCCGAAGTGCCTGAATCAGAATTATACTATGGCATTGGCCAAGTCGCACAGTGTGGGTTCATTATGTTAAGGTAAGTCAGACATTTCCCTTGTAGTCACGTCCCTCCTACAGGACCAGCGTCTTACCGTTTAACTCCAAAATAGTACTGTGATTTTATGGATTGCACAAAATACCCAAGAGGTAAAGTTACATTCAATGATGGGTTAGGCAGGCGTTGTAGAAGCTGACGATATGGGTTTTCCATTACAGGAGTACCAGTACAACTTTATGCTGTAGGGTCGGCGGTTAAGACTTTTTTTTTTCCCCATTTTCTACCTCGTGCTTAGGCTGCTGTTCCATGTGTTTTGGAATAATATTTTATTGTAATTAGTGCGCTTCCCTTGCTGGTTTTTCGGCAACATGGCGCATTCTGTGAATCGGTCCACCTTCAAAGAATCATATAAAACAAACTGTTTACATAATCAATACCTACTTTGCCATGTAGCAGCGATGCTTGTTAGGACACCGATCACAGCTAACCATGGCAATTTGGCACCCATACCAATTTGATTGGCCAATGAATTTCCATGTTAAAATTGCCCTGAAAAAATCACAGCTTATCCATATTCCGCTGGTCTGTTTGAAACTTGTCCATCTCCATCAGATCTCCACTGCCTTTTCTTTTTTAATACAATTGCATCTGTTGTTTCCTCTTCAGCATGGCCGACAGACGAAGTGGTATGGTGCAGTCCATGGGCTATCCGAATCCCTCGAGCTCAGTAGTCAGCCGTGCCGTGGCTGCCGCTGCCGCAAACCGACGACAATCTAGCATGCGGACTGGACGCGCATCAAAGCAATATTCAGTATCTGCGTTCTACTCCATGGCAGCAGAACAAGATGTAGAAGTTGAAGATGACCTGGCTCAAGGTTCGTCACCATTTAAACTTGGGAGGAAACCTCGTTCTACTTTGCTCATGTGTAACACATAACCCCTTTAGCTCAACGAATCTTGAGAGACCTGAAATCCAAGATTTCCACTCAATCAAAAAAGAATTTCGTTCTAGAACGTGATGTGAGATACTTGGATTCTCGCATTGCACTGCTCATTGCCAATAGAATGGCGTTGGACGAGGTATGTTGCGTATTATCACATGTGGGGTACAAACTTCTCGCCTGTATGATTCACTTACCTTTTCGCCCCTGTCTCGATCTCGATGCAACTATTTAGCAAAATGAAGTCGCATCTCACTTGGAAGAACACGACGACCAGGGCGATGAACACTATCCCGACCACCGTAAAATGCAACAATATGGCAATCTCTTTTTCCTACTTCAGAGTGAACCTCGACATGTTGCCAGTCTGTGCCGTCTCGTCAACCTGGCAGAAATAGATACTCTACTTCAAACTGTCATGTTCACTCTGTATGGTAACCAATACGAAAGTCGTGAAGAGCATTTGCTATTGACCATGTTCCAGGTATGCTTCTTTACCCATTTTTTTCTCTTAATTCATCTGCCCCTAATTTTTTTTTTTTTTGATCCCGTATATAGAATGTTCTTGCCGCACAATTTGAGACAACTACAGAATTCACATCACTTCTTCGAGCGAATACTCCAGTTTCTAGAATGATGACGACCTATACCCGAAGAGGCCCGGGTCAATCGTATTTGAAGACGGTATTGTCAAATAGCATCAATGGTTTGTTGGAACATAAAGATTTGAACCTTCAGATCAATCCACTCAAGGTAGGCGTGGAGTCCAATGTTAAAGCCTGGGCGGAATGGGCAATTCATCATTGTAAATTTTTGGGTCGTCCTTTTTTTTTTTTAGGTATACGAAGAAATGGTCAATCAATTTGAAGAGGAAGGAAGAGACTTGCCACCAGGTATGCCAAGAAGTGTCACTCCTGATGTAGCAGCCGCCAACCCAGATGTCATTGCCATCATTCAGCCTCGTCTCGTTATGCTCATGGATGTCACCAATCGCTTTTTGGAAACCATTATGCAGTCACTGGATCAAGTACCGTATGGTATTCGCTGGATCTGTAAGCAGATTCGGTCACTCACAAAACGCAAATACCCTGAAGCGACGGACATTGCCATTTGTTCACTTATTGGTGGATTTTTCTTTTTACGGTTTTTGAACCCGGCCATCGTCACCCCTCAAGCTTACATGTTAGTTGACCGCCTTCCTGGCAAGCATCCTCGAACGACGTTAACCTTGGTAAATATGAAAACATTCATCTCATACTGAGTGGTCATCCATCCTCACTCATCCAAACGTTCTATACAGATCGCCAAAATGCTTCAAAATCTAGCCAATAAGCCTTCTTATGCAAAGGAGACCTACATGATCCCAACCAATCCGTTTGTGGAGAAAAACAAGCAGCGAATCAACCGATTCTTGAATGATCTTTGCGAAGTGGGCGATTTCTATGAATCTTTAGAAATGGACCAATACATGGCCTTGTCCAAAAAAGACATCGTTCTCAACATTACATTGAATGAAATGTACAACACACATGCATTGCTTCAGCAACATATCGATGTTCTCGCTCCGAAAAAGGATGACCATCTTCGAATCTTACTTACTGAAGCGGGATCAGCGCCGGCGCAGGTTCCTCGCAAACAAAATCTGCCTATTGTGTTACCACTGTTCAGTCGGTGGGAGACTCCTATACAAGGTAAGCGAGAGGTCAACGAAGAACAGGGTCATTTGGTTTTTCTGACACTACTTTTTACTGCGTGGTAGATCTGACAACGGCTTTGATGTCGGAAAACAATATCACCCAAAATGACATACAGTACATGGAAGCCAAGGCGATCTTCGTCCAACTCGTTCGTTCTCTACCGTATTTTGCGAAGAAGCCAGTGATGGATTTACATCGAATTGCTGAAACCGCAGCGACGTCAAAAGATGCTCAGATGGTTCGAAAAGGCATCAAAGTCCAAGATATGCTCAAGGAGCTCGAAGCTGCTAACGTCATTGATCGCAAAGACAACTATGCTCTACTTGCTCAGGAAATCAAGCAGGAATTGGTTCATCTTGGTGATCTGAAGGATAGAGTTATGCAAGAAAGTTCCAGTCTTGAGAGCGTGTACAAAACCATTTTGGATCACAACAATTATCTCAAGAGTCAACTGGAGAGTTACAAGGCCTATCTGCAAAATGTGCGGATTCAGAGCAGCGGTGGTGAGAAGGGAAGCAAGAAGTCAGTCGGTATTGGTGTCGAGGTAGAGCATTCTGGCAAGGGCAGCAAGTCCAAGGCTAGCAAGCCTCAAATTTTGGGTCCATACAAATTCACGCATCAGCAATTGGAAAAAGACGGTGTTATTGCCGTAACCAACGTTCCTGAGTCAAGGTAAATTGAAGAGAGCAGAGTTTTGTGTGTGTGGGAGGGGGGTATTGGTTTTGAATTCGAGGCTCAACACAAAGGCTTTTAGAAAAGGAAATATTTTCTTCACCATTTCATGTCCAATGCCTGGTACATTCATCATCGAGCTGCACTATAAAGGTAGAGACAAACCCATTCTTGAAATGGATCTGAAGTTGGATGACTTGTTGGAAAAGGTGAGTACAGTATATAAAAATCAAGTGAAATTGTTTGAAAATAGTATGTCTTATACTAACCCGCGGTATATCACTTAGCAACAAGATAACATTCAAGTGTTAGATTTGGAGTACGTTCAACTCAGCGTAGTCAGGACGTTGCATTTGTTGAATAAGACGTTTGTTACAAAGTCCAAGTAAGTATTGTGTGCACCAACATATGAACCCAAACCACTCAAGATTCTAACATGTAATATTTTTAACGCAGGAATGGAATCTTTTCATAATCACCCTTTGATAGTCAACCACTCATTACAGTCCTTTTATTGCCTTAGTATAATCTTTATTCTCGTTTCCATTATTGACAAGCAATGCTGAAATGTTTACCAAAAACGTCTTTGTCTGATGATGATTTGATTAATTGGGACCCAGCTCAGGGGTTTGGGGATAAAAGACAAAAAATATTTTTTTGCTATTTGCTTTTGTTTTCTTCTTCTTTACAAAGAGCAGATGGAAACCATTACTGTTGTGCGTAGAGATGGACCCTCATAGTGACTCCGTGGCTAGGCAAAGTTCTCTCTGGGGAACCGCTTGGTCCAGTGCGATCGATTGAGGGGACTCTGTGCGTGCTATTGCCGCGATGCTCCAGTGTGCCCGAGATAAAAAATTGATGCATTCCAACAAGTTCGCTTGCGGAGCATCCCTCAGGATGGGTTTTTGGAAGATGACTGATCATATTCTATGCCATACTTCTTAGCAACAAGAGGGACACGACCGTTTATTAAACCGAAATGAGATAGAATAGCACGATGATAAAGTAATAGTGGGGAGATATATTTCATAGGAGATAATATGTATAGATGGGTTGGAGTTGAGGCAAGAATATACATGACGATGGTTGTATGGAATAGCTGTCAGTACAGTAAATTACACATTTGGCCAAAACGATCACATTTTTTTTTTTTCAAGCATGCGTAATATGATCATACTTGTGAATAATCGCTTGTGACCAAGAGAAATAACAAAAATGACCAAGGAATATCACACTCTTCTGCCCTTGTAGCGTTTAATTTGGTGGCGGGATGCGTTGAACAATGAAATTATGCCGTACACGGGTTTCAAAGAAAAAACAAATGGTTCCTGTTAGTTGCAAAACTCCTCAACTGCGCAGCAGAAACAGCAGGCAGCCAAACTAAAAATTTCAGAGGTTAAAGCGATATGATCAACGCAATGGAAAAACTGAGTCAACTACCTACCATGCCCAACAGCAGGTATTATCGCTCTGATATTGATATTGCGGTGGTTGTGCGTAAATGACTTGTGGAGGAGGACTATAGGGTGAAAAAACATTAGTGTCATTACAAGTTGTACGTATGGCAGACGAGAAAAGAAAGTTGCCAAATGTGTGATTGGTACAACTTTTGACATACGCTGGTTGATAGTATCCTTGTGGGCTGTACGGGTATCCACCTTGCTGAAAGTACGGATTAGGCGGTGGTGGGTATTGACCGTATGGATAAGGCGACGACATGCTAGAAGAAAGTAAGTTGGAAAGAAAGGCAAGAAGGTAAAAACTGCAACAAGAGTACTCTCAAATGGCATGTTTGTTTGTGGCTTGACTGGATGGCAAGAAAAACACCTGGTGCTAGCCAACTTCCATACTCATAACGGTGAAGTCAGGTGAATAAAGTGCTCATCCATTGAGTGATCGCTGCTGCTTTCTGTAATGAAGTCTTGGCCTAACTATGCTTCAGTTTTCTCTTCTGGCCATTGGCTGCCCACCACTGTTAACGGGACCATTCCGATTGAACACAGAACTGCCACTCCAGCAAAGCCGGCCAATTCTCACCTCTAACGTTTGTACAGCCTCCGTATTTATTATAGCTCGGCATGAAAGGGTGCAAATACACGGCAAATATCGAGGCACAATAGTAATAGCTAATTTGTATCGCTTGAGAGTAAAAAGACCGGAGTAATCCATCCGACAGTTCAGGATGATGTAGTCATGATGTTTCCCCGCTGAATATTTTTTCTTTCTCCCCTGTGCTCAAAAACATTTCAATACTGTAAATTCACCTGATTTGTCTTCTAATGCAGGAAAAATAGCATCATACTGTTGCAAAGGTGATTGGGGGCATAGCGTTTTAAAGTTCATGGCCGGTGCCCACCCTTCGGATTGGTGACACAAGTAAGGCAACGATAGTCGAAGGGATATAGATTATTCAATGCTTACCTCTCTAGAAAACGTGTTTGATGACCCCTAAAGAAAAGCTATACTTCACGAGCGGCTGGCTGACTTCGCTCCCCCTTTCTTGAGAAAAGGTGCACAAAAAAAGATAGGCTTCCATTATCACCTTACCTAATAAGTATTTTTGCTTGCTGAAATAAAGCCATTATCCCCCATCTAATTTCTCCACTAAGGCGTGAGCCTGGACCACTTTTGCCTTTTCCCTTTTCCCACTTCCTTTTTCCTTCCCCTTGGCAAACCAATGGGTCTCATAGACAAGATTCGAACACAGTACGACCTGTTGAAGGTAGAGAAGTACACCAAGCGACGACGATCAGAGACCGTCTTTGAAGAGCGCGATCGTGATTTCTATCGTGAACATTATCGGGACGGAGTCTATCTTCACCGTTCGCCGTCGGATGTGGACACACTGGATGGTGCTACTCCTCGACCAGCCATGGTCAAAAGAGCATCGACAATCTCTAGCATGGTGATGAAGGCTGGCCGAAAGAATTCACCAACAATCAAGAGCTCAGAGACTTACAATAATGGTACCTATGGTAGTGATCTTCGCTAAAAGAGTTTTTCCTGTTGACAAACCCCCCTCCATAGTTAAATGCCTATCTATTGTTATATTACACATATTTTGTCCTTTGTGGACCTGTTCCTCTTCTGATGATAAATACGATGTTTTCCCTCATAGTTTGTTGAGCTTGTTACTGTTAAGGCTTGTTGGCGGTTGTTGGGGAACCACCTCAAAAAGTCGACTCGTGACCCAAATTTGTTCAGTATTGTCGTCGGTGTTTGATCGAGGTAGGTGATACTTGGGATTTTTTTTTTCTTTCTTTTCGGAGCAAGTTCTCTCTCTTCTATACATTCTTTGCATCTAATCACCCATTGACCATGTCGGAAAAGCGACTATCAGGCTCGCGTCCGTCTGTCAAGACTGCTGCTGCAACATTACCACATCGCAGAGGCTCACTTTCCATTAATACCGCAGCTTTGGCCACCTCCACTGCCACCTCCCAATCACCTATTTCAGGATCGGTGGATTCAACAATCTCACCAAGACGAACCAGAGGAGACCACTTTCAAACATGGATTCCACGGACGCTCTCCTCCTCCCGTACTACTCCAGTCTTACCCCATGATAAAAGATCATACAACGCTCATCATCGTTTACCAAGATTATTAAGACATCGCTGGATCCAGTTTGTGATACTGGTGTACGCCACCTTTTCAGTTTTACTGACGTTTACGCACTTGTGTCAGTGGTCCTTCTCAGAAAAACCTATTACCGAGCCCCCTGTGCATATAGAGGAATGGGAACCCAAGCGAACTTATCGGGGAGGTAAATGTCGATCCTATTCGTTGGTCCTTGATCTCTACCCCCTGTTAACCATGATTTATTTCTATTTTTGGCTCTTTCTTTCTTCCTTTCTTAATCTGCACCATTAGATGATGCTTACTCTGTTATAGACGATATGACCATGGCCATGCGGTTCTCCAAAATGTTTTCAAAGTCGTTGCCTGGAACAATAGAATATACCAAACCGTACTGGCAACGAGCCCATGTTACTCCGACTCCTCATGATATATCGCTCACCACCTGGGTCACTGATAAGAATTACGACCAATTAATCCGGATAGCGCAGATGTGGAATGGTGAGTGGGAAGCTTGGAAACGGTCCTGCCTGACGAGATTCATCCTTTGTTAAACACAACCTTGTTTTTTTTATAAACAATCCTACAGGGCCTATGTCAATTACTTTACACATCGAAGCCAAAGCACCAACAACGTCGCCAGAAACGGTTGATTTGCTGGATCAGATACGACTGGATTTGCAAAAGGAATCGTCCATTGTACAGTACGCTGATATTCATTTGCTTGTGACCCCTCCTTCGTATAGTGGAGCTCTCGCCTTGTCTCGCAACAGTGATCGAAACTTCGCCCGACTGTTTGCTCGCACCGAATTCATCTGCTACTTGCCAATAGAACTGGTTCCAGCCACAGAATTGAGAGACACCTTAGAGAGAAACTTTGATTCATTTGCCGCTCGCCTTAGGGCCGGAGATGTCTTTGTTGTACCCACATTTGCCTATGTTACAGCCGAACAAGTTGCATCACCGGAAGCTGATTGGGCTGAACAAGCTGCTGAAGACGATGGAGAGCCTGAAAACGTTGAAAAAGAGCAATATATGACCCTTGTTCATGATGAGGCCATTATTCCACGCACCAAATCTCGCCTGTTGCACTTGGTTGAATCTGGTGCTATGGGTGTGGAAGACCGTCACTGGCCCATTGGAAGTGGACCCACCGATTTCAACAAGTGGAAGAATGCAGACAAGTTGTTTGCTGTGGAGGATTACGAGTTCCACTACGAGCCTGTTGTCATTGAGAGTCGAAATGTTCAGCCATGGTATGATCCTTATTTGTGGAGTGGCGTGATAACCCTTCAATTTTTTCTTAATTCTCTGCTGTGGCTTTTTTTAGGTGCTCTGAACGATTTGCCGAAAATGGAGCTGCCTGTCTGTATGCTACATACTTGACTGGAGCCAATTTCTGGATTTTACCGCACGACTTTGTTGTTCGTATTAAGGAGCAACAACAAACATGGCTTTCTAGTACCGAGGTGAGTGGGGGCATGCATGATAGGAACATTCTTATTTTCATGAATGCATACTAAATCCAGGTTGTTTAGACGGTTATTCAAAATCGCTTGTACGCTAAGTTTGTATGGGAACTTTGCGTTCACCATGCTAGAATGTTGGATGCAGAAGGCTTATGGAACACCGATCGGTCTCGACATGCTAAATCCTCATGTTCTCGTGTCATCAACAGCTGGGGTAAAGGTCTAGTCGGCGAATGATCATATACATAATGTTTATACATGCAACAAAAGAGAGCCCAATTAAAAAGAAATAACACACAAAAAAAAAGAGCATAACGGCTGTAAAAAAAGGGGAGGAGACGATCAGAGGTTGAACTCTTGGTTTTATTGTTTATAGAAAACTTTTCCTTTCGTTAAATCACTACATCCTTTTCTACACAAGGCCAAAAACCATGGGCTTGCTACAAAGTATTGTTGAGGGAATGTTCCATAGCATACAAACGATCACGCATATCTTGGGATCCATAATTTTGAACCTGCCAAAAAGAAACAAGCTTAGTGTGTGTGGCCAATACCAGGAAAATGTAGGCGGTCCACAAATTTTCTTTTACCACGCCATGTCCCCTCCCCATCAATTTTTGTCTTAGCCTAGCCCACACACTCACATTTCTTAAAACCATTGGATAGCAATCCCAGTCTTGATGAGAGGGTTCATTGGCAAAACGGCTGAACGGGAGCGGAGCTTGCTCGTCAGCAGCGGCATCCACCGGCTGAGGTGTTGCATTAACCCCACTGAATCGAGGAGACGCAGCCATAGCAAAGTTAAACGAGTCTGTAGCGGGCCGAGCAACAGGTGTAGGACGATGCTCGTAGCCGTTGCTCATCCTCCTCGACAGAGAAGGATAGAAGTCGTAGTTGGGCTGAGATTGCATAAAGTGCTTGTGATAGATAGTGCGTGTGATCTCTATATTACGTCTGCGATGATGTTGCATAGAGGGGTTCTACTTGATTAACAACTGTTGAAGTCGATTAAAAAAGTGGAAGGAGAAAGGCTTTCTTAGCTCGGTTGGAAAAGGTCTCAGCAAAATTTGTACTCTTTGGCTACGCTTCCTCGTGATTCCTGGAGAGCCATTGTTTATTGGGCTGTTTCCACTGCAACCCGGCCGGGCACATCACATGAGGTGAGCATTTCAGCCCGCTGACTCCAACCGTCCCTAAATTAGGTTCCAACCAACACCCAAACTCAAATTTTATCTGCCAGATCTACTCTTTTTATTATTATGATTGTTGACGACGTTGCCAAACTAGCTTGATGAAGTCCTGACATTCCTCCGTCGTCCCAGATGGATGTCCAAGTTGCCATGCCATGACCTCCTTTAGCAGGTCGCCAATAACTTTTCCCGGTTTGATCGATAGCATTTTGGCAACTGTTTTACCCTGCAAAAAAAAACATTGACTGTAAGTGAACTGTTGGTTGTAATAAGAATTTCGCGAAGACTTACATCCAGAATCGGTTTGAACGTATAACAATTCTCAATTCCATAATCGAGCGTCTGCTGAACTAATTTTTGATACATGCTGATGATGCTCTGAGCTTCAGGTGGTATATCTATAGTAAGACGAGCTTGGTTTAGCGATCCCGAATGAACATGACCATGAGAAAACGCTTGGAAAAAACTTAGTTTTCTCTTGGTTTTTTTTTTTTTACCTTTGGTTACTCCAATCGTGTCATGATATGATAAAAGACCAGCGATAAATGACACCTTCACAGCCAGCGGCCAAACGTAATCGACTTCCCGAATAAACATACCTGCAATGTCACAGGAGGTCAAGCGGAATTAACATCATGCACCATAATGGTTGTCCAAACATCACGGGAGGTCAACTTACCCAAATCTGCTCTGTCAATTGCTTTTTCCGAATTATTTCGCACAGCTTGCTGGATTTGTTCAATCCGCTTGAACACCATCGATACTGTGTTGATATCTTCGTTTTTGACCTACGTGGAAATCAGATGGTACAAAGTTTATTAACTGAAATGCAAAGTTTTGAGCTGTCTCCACAGTAGTATTTCCATACCTTTAGCGATTCCCGAAGGACGAATTCCACAGCAGGCAGCGCTCGACCCTTTTGGGTATACGTCATGCCACAGTAGGGTATCAGGTTGGTAGCAAGATATAACAGTCTCAATTGCTCCAGGTCCGAGGTGGGCGATAGGTTAGTGACATTCGCCTGAGAAAGCCTGGTAAACACACACAAACAAAAATGTAAGTGACTGTATGCACAATGACAGCAAACAATACTCAAACTTTTACCATTCCACAAGTTTTGAGGCCTGTGTGCTCCTTTGCGTGTCATGCAGTTCTCCTTGGACATCCTTTTGCGGTGGAGCAAACACAATTTCGTACAATCCAAAAGAGTAGATCAAATCAAGCGACCGTCGAGGTGCTGGTCCACGAAGCATCTTGTCGACTTCTATGCCTATACGCTCGCGACTAATCTTTGCAAGTAGTGCATGCTAGATAGAAGGATGACAATAACATCAGGATCGATTCGCCCGCGCAGTGAACGCCTGTATTGGCTTACCTTTATTTTTTCATCCTTGACGGCTTGCACAATATCATCCGCAATTTCAAATCCAAACCGACTTGCAAATCGAATGCAACGAAGAACACGAAGTGGATCGTCACAAAACGTTTTGAACGCTGGGAGGGGGGTTCGAATTAATCCGTCTGCTAAATCTTGTAATCCCTGTATGTAAGAACCAGTCGGTCAAAGTCGAACTCCGTAAACTCTCTGTAGGCATGCATTGATTCCTTACCTGTTTGGTATAATCTTCGACTTGTAGCGTATGGACATTAAAAAATAGTGTGTTGATGGTAATATCTCGTCGATAGGCATCTTCCGACGGACTTCCATACGTCTTAAATAGCGATTGTCAGTACCAGTTGATAGAGTTCCACACCATCGCTGTTGCCCCTCAAAAAGCACCATCCATCATCACCATTCAAAACTAAGTCTTGCTTACCACTTGCGCAGGAATACGACTGTCTTCATTATATATTTCGTTTCGCAAATTTACAAAATCAATTTCTTGATCAAATAGCTTGGTAGTAGCGGTCTCCAAATGCTTGGATTTATCCGGGTTGGAATCTATTTTGGCAATGCTTCGAGTTTCATAGCCTTTGGACGTCAAATATTCATTGACGTGCACGGCAAAGTCATATCCCATCATGGTACTAACTGCCACGTCCAGATCATGACACGTTTTGCCTAGCAGCTATAAAAAGATAAATCAGAAAGAAATAGAATCGGAAAATTGATTGTTCTCGTAAGTCTTACTTTGTCTCGGACCCAGCCGCCAGCAATTCGCAAAGTGACAGGTGGTAGATCCGCTCGGGTTGCTTTCAAGTGCTCTGCGACATCGTTTAGCAAATCACAGATTTGAGCCTCCCGGTTAGAAAGCACAACTTTCATTTCGGCTCCGAGGGGTTTGCAAACTCCATAGACAGTTGGAACCACTGTTTCGCCAGTACTCATGGTTACAGAGTCTTGTTTGGTTCGTTTGAATTCCGGGTTGTAATTTAGAGTCTCGACAGACGTGATTGATCTCTTTTGAGGTAACAGCTTGACTAGTTTATGGGAGTAATAGGCAGCTGAAGGCGGTCTGACTATTGGAGAAAGTGTAAATGAACGATGGGGTCGAAGTAAAGTGAAATAGCTGCAGCGTTGCCGCAGGAACATACTGGTCTTCGTGTGTCATACTTTGACAAATTTTTGAGCCTGCTTGCTGAGCTTTGACCTTCAGCTTTTTTTTTTTTTTTTGAGACACCGCTTGGCTTTCACTTTCGACTTTTTTCTCTTTTTGACCCTGAAATGTCTCCTCTACACGTTGCCCCTACAGTCAACCGGCATTGTGGTTGTAGGGAAGAATAAATGGCATCAACTGCCTTGTTTATTTTTTTATTTTCTATATTCCTTCTTTACAATTCCATCTCATAACTTCTCTTTAAAATGACTTCGACACCACAGGATCAGCGGTCAGCAGATAGTTCAGTATCAGCCTTCAGTTCGGCTATCGTGTTCAACGTCGTTACCACGGCAGCTTCTTTTGCTGCATTTGCTATATTGCGTCCTCGCCAACCAAGGTTTTACGCGCCGAAAACGTTTTTTACTGATGAAGCGTACGTTGTGACCCGTGCTTAATACAAATGTCACCTTCGGGTCTAATTGATTGATGCATTCGTACATATTCTCAGGTATAGAGCAGAATCTTTGCCACCGGGCCTGGTTTCCTGGCTCAAGCCTCTATTCCAGTTGAGTGACGAAGAATTAAGGAGGCAATGTGGGCTGGATCATTACCTGTTTGTACGGTTTATCCGGATGTGCCTATACCTTTTTCTCGCCTTTGGGTTCTTATCGCTGGTCATAATTTGTCCCTTAAATGCGTTGGATCAGCGGTCACTACCTGGTCTCAATGTGTTGACCTTTGGTAATATTTTGGATACCGGTCGGCTCTGGGGTCATCTAGTTTTGACAGTTTTATATTCCGGTACGAATGAATGCACGTAGTTATCACTGTGTCAGTATATAACTTTGGCTTTCTAACCATGTGTACTGATCTACCATAGTCATTGTTCTATATGTGCTGCGTAGAGAAGCACTGGAATTTTTGGATCTCAGAATGGAGTATCTGCAAGAACATGCAAAAAACACACACGCCAGGACTATACTAGTTCGGGATATCCCACAACATATGCGCTCCGAAAAGCTTTTATCGGAATGGTATAGTATATATCCGGGTGGCGTAGAGAAGGTCTCTCTGACCAGGTAAGTTGCTAGCAGAGTACCATGCAATGTTTAGTGCCTTTTTTAATAGTAATGATATTGTATTCTCGGTTGCATAATGAAAGGCAACCAAGTACCCTACCGAAACTGATAGCATATCGTAACAAGATATTGAGACGCTTGGAAAGATTAGAATGTAATTACCTATACACTATCGATACAGATAGAGTCACCATTCAGCAAATAATCAAGCAACGGTCATTCAAGGAGCCTCAAGATGTTGAGAGTAACCTCGCTCCAGAGATGTCCCAGGAAAGCCCGGAAAAGGAGCACACCCTAGCACTGTCGCCTGCTTCCACGTTTCATGATGAACTCACTAAACGACCTTCATTCATTTCACATGCAACAATTCCGTTGGAGTCAGAGGTTCTGTCGAGTGGCATAGACTATCCTCCGTCTCTGGCCAAAAACGTAAAGCGTCCGACTATGGTATCTATTGGTAGCTGGAATCCATTGCACCGAGTAGATGCTATCAATACTTTGAGAGAATTGTATGTGGACCTCAATCACGATATAGAAGCCATACAGCAAAGCGTTTTATCTGAAGATCCAGCAGGCTCCTCGGCGTTCATCACCTTTAATACTCAAGCAGGTGCACAAATAGCGGTGCAAACATTAACCGCTCACACGCCTATGAGACTGCAAGAGCGAACAGGCAATGTCGCTAGCAATGACGTTGTATGGAAGAGCTTAGAAATTAATGTTAAAGAGCGGATGGTAAGATCCTTGGCTGGAAATGCATTTTCTGTAGCCTTGAATATATTCTGGTGTATCATCGGTAAGTCGACATTGTGACAAACCTGCCTCTACCCGATGGCATCAGCGTTTAGTGATGAATTAAGGAGAAAGGGGGCGTATATTGATGACAAAAGAAACATTGACTTCTTTTTTTTATTGTTCAACCTAGTGGCTTTCATTACCAGTATTGCAACCTTGAGTAATTTGGAAAAATTACTGCCCTTCCTTAGCCCTGTAATCAATCTGAGCTCTACTATCCATGGCATTATTGAAGGTCTAATTCCCTCTGTAGCTATCTCCACTTTGATGAGTTTGTTGCCAGTCATATTGAGCTGTGAGTACATACGTTGTGGTTAGTTCAGCGACATCTTGTCTCATAACGTTGACTCTCCCTTATTAGACCTGGCGATGTTCGAAGGCATTCCACTCATGAGCGAAATTGAACGATACGTTCAGAGCAAATATTTTATGTTCCTAGTACGTGACGTTGAGTCAATATATACTGGAAACCAGGAGCAAGCAAATAACTTACCCATGTCCCGTTCACAGATGATTAATGTCCTATTGGTGGTGACCATCGCTGGTACGGTTTTTACCTCTATTGCGCAGATTATTCAATCGCCTACCAGCATCATCAATTTGCTTGCGACGTCCCTTCCCACCGTATCGACTTTCTTTGTCAATTATCTCATTTTGCAGGCATTCATGGGAGCAGCTATTGAGTTAGTACAGCTATCCAACCTTGCCGTCCGAATCCTTGCACTTCGTTACTTTACTAGGACCCCGCGAGCCATTTTCACACGATGCCACCCAAGATCATTGCGTTACGGAACAGCCTTTCCACAATTGACACTAGTATTTAGCATAGGGATGGTGTTCGCAACAATCGCACCTATGGTCATCACGTTTGCCGTCCTGTATTACGCTATATTTTATTTTGTGTACTTGCACCAAATTCACCAGTACTACGCCATCAACCATCAAACGGCCGGATTATTTTATTGGAAAGCCATGCATCATGTTTTCGTTGGGCTAATTATTCAACAACTCACGGTCGCTGGACTCTTCCTATTACGAAGCTCTCTCGTTGCTGGTTTCATTTGCCTGTTTATCTTGCTTATCACGTTGTTTATCAAATGGCATATACAACAAGCTTACGACCCTCTGGTCTACAACTTGCCCATGAGCAAAATAGGCGTCAATGTCAAGTCGGCTTATACCAGGTGCGAGTTCCTTGATGCCCACGATACAGAGGCGGCAATGGGACGGGTGAAGAGGTCCGAAGGTCCGGCACAACACTCGTACCTACATCCAAGCTTGATCGCACCAACACCAAAAGTCTGGTTACCAGAGACTAAATCTGCTCACGCTGAAGCTGCTGAACTGCAAAGAATGGGTATTGATGCCGTTGTAGATCGCCATGTCGAAGCGCATGAGGCTGCTCGTGGAACAACACTGAAGCATCAAACCACAGACGCATCGGTTGGATTCCCTGAAACCTTTGGAGCTGGAAGTGGATTCCTTGTGAACTTGATGCAAAGTCAGTAGGATATGAGAAATCTAATCAGGTCAGAGCATCGCATACATATCTTCAATGGATGGTTACTAGAAGTATCGATTCTTTTTTTTGGGGACTGTAAATGTCGCTCTGAGGTCTTACTCGCAACAAATTATTCCATATTACGGGTTGTTAACCCTGAGATCATTCATGTCCGGCAATCGTTATCTTTATATAATATATATCAGCATTCAAGTTAAAAGAGTCCATTGTATGTGTTCCTTTTTTCTCTCGTTCATCCTTACTCTGAAATAAACCTCTGACAGCAGAATAAGGATGCGCATGATATCTTCTAGCGTATGGCCGGGATCCTCCTATCAGGTTTTGTGTGCTGGAAGGAAGGTATTTCTCATTTTGACATCCCCTACGGCTCGCTTGCCTTACCCCAGAGACAATGGCAGAGTTTCAGCGACGTCTGATTTATGGTGTGTTTCTGATTGTGTGTGATCTGAGATGACAGCGGCAGGTACCCTGAGTTTTGTGATGACTACACAAGCAGTTTTCCTTTGCGACAAATGGTAAGTATACGCATAATAGGATGCTTACGTCGTCTTCTAGGACCAGCGTCCGGGAGACCATGAAATTCATGCAAAATCCCCATTGACTGCGAACCCGGAGTTCCAACCCAAAAGCTATATAAACCGGTACCTTTCCCCTCTTTTTCAAATTTCTTCTTTACTGGCCGAGTCTCAAGCGAGGTCGGAAGGGTCATTCAGTTGATGTTGATGACTCTCGCGATTCTCGGACCAAAAAACATAAAACATCGGTGACGACCTTACTTTGATCAGTGAGTGGAGGTCATGGTACGATGAGACAGCCATTGATTTTTATCTTTGGCACCCCCTTTTATAAAATATAAAGAAATTAAAAAACACCTCGTTGCCGACAAGCGCGTGTCTTGTCCCCAGCGCTTGCTCTTGCACCACGTTAGACCGTGCTACAGTCATTGCGCTACTGCTGTCTATCTTTCCATCTTGATATCGTGGCCTTCATGACTCGTCATGGTATGAATGAAGGTATTATGGCTACAGCATTGTTGCCAGGTGCTCATTGGATTGGTTTTGCGTGATGTAATACGTATGCTGTCCAACGAATTTTTGTCCTCTTGTGCTAAACGGAACTATGTCCTGAAGATCAATCAATTTTTGGTCTCAAATGTTACGGTTGTTCTGAAAGAAAGAAAAAACAGAGTTCGGTTTGACTCTGGCAGAACTTTATATGTCTTTTCCCAACATTAAAATCTCTACATTAGGGATTGATCAGCTACAACACGGCCCAATGAAACATATAAACAAAGTGGAGGTGCGTGTAATCTACTGTATTGTGAACAAAAGTTGTATTGTATAAACTATATTAAAGAACAATGTATCGGTACTTTAGACAGGTGTAGAGGGTGATTTAATAACTTACAATGCGTTATATGCGTACGCATACTATGTAAAAAAGAGGGGGTATAGGTGAGCGGCCGCAGATTAAAAAAAAAACCGTCATTTAGTATCGGTTTTCGTGCCGCGATCGGTACATGCCAAAGGCACAGTTGGATATGATGAGGGATCCAAAGATCAAAGTCAAGAAGAAGAGCTATGGTAGCAAACAGCACCTTAGTAGACGGTAGGAGAACTCGCAATTCAAAAGTAACAAAGAATCACTTACCATGCTTTTGTACGATATTGGGTCTACAAAACCATTGATGATTTCTGCAAATGTTTCGGCCGATACCTTGGCTCTGGATTTTGATAAAAGTACAAAAATGTTAGAATAGCTTTTCGAGGGTATATTGCTAGTCAGTGACGAAGTAACTACCTTCCGACAACGAGTGGATCACGATGAATACACGTTTCCCAATTGCGACACGCTTCATCCATGGCTGGAACTCTATCCATTGGATGGCAACGATTCTCGTGATACAATTTTGTGCACATTGTGATCTCCTTCATGATAGCTTTAAAAAGTAATTTGGTGTGTTAGCGCATTACATCTTACAAAGTTCCGCCGGAGTTCAATAGAGATAAACTATACGTACCATCAGAATATTCAGAAACTTTTTGCTGGACATCAAGCTGAATAGTCAAGATGGCTTGTAAAGCCAGATACATCAAGACTAACACCACAAAGAGGTTGAAAGCAGTCTGTATGTATCCAGACATAATATAGGCGTAGTCTCGCTGTGGAACCGATGGACGATCACTTGCATTCAGCGGTGTAAGCTGATTCGCTTCACTATATATGATATTGTCGGTTGATTTCCGAGAATGGGTGGTTTGCTGGTCGAAGGTATCAGAATCACTGTCGGACATTGACCCTTCGTTACGTTCGTCAGCGATTTCCGATAATCGTTTGCGGAAACCTGAGCCAAAAAGGCCTTCCTTTGCACGACGTTTCCGTGCTCTGATCACAGCATTCGGGGAGATTACACGCTGCGTGACAGGACTTGCTGGTTCTGCAGGCGGGGTGGCAACGTGTTTCGGCTTTGGCAAGGCGAACAGGAATGGATTGCCAAGTCCTGACACATAAGGCTGGACATCCTTCGGGCTCTGCTGAAATGTGAATTTGGCGCTTGGTGTAGAGAGTCCTGCTGATGAGAAGGTACCTATTGTACGGAACGTGAGTCAGTGAATGGTATATTATGGCTAATCGATTGAAGGCAGACACTTACGCTTCACACCAGATTCTATTTCCGTTTTTTCAGTTATCAGGGGTTCCTTTGCAGGTCTGTCAAATATACTAGAGGTCTTCTCCTTCAAATCATACTCAAAGTCCATTGGTCCAGCTCTGGATCGATACATGGATGCTTGGCGACGGATCGTTAACAGAGGAGGGAAGAAGCTCGAATGGCAAGTTCAACGACAATTACAGCTCCGCCGCTACAAGCCACTATAAGGACTGCTTGACGAAGCTGAGAGCCAATTTTTTTTGCAAAAGGACAAAAAAAAAAAAAGACGTCTCCAAGCCCATTCAGTAGTAGCCATGGCCGATCAAAAACTGTTGGATACAGAAGTCACCTTTTCGTCTTTTGATTTGGACGCAAGACTCGTTAGAGCCCTTGCTAAACTGAAATTCACCAGTCCAACTCTTGTACAAGCGAAAGCCATTCCATTAGCACTCAAAGGTGTCGACATTCTCGCCCGTGCTAGGACAGGTAGTGGTAAAACTGCCGCCTACAGCTTGCCCGTCATACAAAATGTTCTTCAACTGAAGGAGGTGAGGACGAAAGCGACCATTGAATAGCTCGACCTTCACAGAATACTGACGTTTAATTCTTCCCAGGCCTTCACCGATACCGATGAAGCTCGACAAGCTACGAGAGCGTTGATCCTTGTACCCACTAGAGAATTAGCCGAACAAGTGACTGATCACATTAAGAAGCTTCTTTTGTACTGCTCTCAAGAGATTACGGTTGCTAACATTGCTGGCAATATCGCTCCTCAATTTCAAAAGTAAGTATCATATCATCATAGCCAACCATGCAGTCAGTGGTGTTCACTATTAAACCTCTCTCCTATTGCGACAGACCTATATTGGCTGAACTACCTGACATTGTTGTTGCGACTCCCAGCAAAGCTTTGGCCCACCTTGAAGCTCAAGTAAGTCGAATTTCCGACCATGACACGAAAGAACAATTGCGATGCCACGTTACTGACAGGACATATTATAGAATATGGTATTGAAGACATCATTGGAGAACCTAGTCATCGATGAAGCGGATTTAGTGCTTTCATTTGGATACAGTGACGATGTGCGCAAGATTTTGACATATCTACCAAAGATCCACAGAAGCTTTTTGATGTCAGCTACATTGACCAAGGTATTTTAGTGACACAGGAGAAATTCAGGATGATCCAGTTGGAAACCCACCATTAACTCGAAAAATTTAGGATGTCGATGAGCTTAAGCAGTTAATTCTCCGAAAACCTGCCATTTTAAAGCTTGAAGAAGAAGCCAATGAGGCAGATAACCTTGTACAATATTCTGTAACGTATGTGACACCGTATTATCATTGTGGCATGAATTGTATACCAGGTGGGCAATCAATCTAACGCTACTATTAAATTTTCTTCAGGTGCTCTGAACGTGAGAAATTCCTGTTGACGTTTGTCGTACTCAAGCTTCGCTTGATTCGAGGAAAAATCATCATGTTTGTCAACGACATTGAAAGATGCTATAAGCTCAAGCTTTTCCTCGAGCAATTCTCAATCAAAACTTGCGTTCTCAATTCTGAATTGCCCTTGAACTCAAGATACCACATTGTACAAGAATTTAACAAAGGTATCTACGACTACATCATTGCTACCGATGAGAGCGAATTGAAGGGAGAACAAGATACAGATGATGAAGACGAAGAGATGGAAGACGACGAGGTTGATGGTGAGTATTTTAGTCAATGCATTAAGGAGAAACGGCACGACGGATAGTTCAGTACCACTGTGTCGTACGGAAAGCCCCATAAACGGATAAGCTAACCAAATCGGACTTAAATGTAGATGAAGCCAATGGGAAAAAGAACAATACCAAGAAGAGCAAAAAGACTAAAAAGGTAGTCAAGGATAAAGAATATGGAGTATCCAGAGGAGTAGATTTTCAAAACGTTGCAGCCGTGATCAACTTTGATTTCCCTAAATCTGCCAAAGCCTACACGCATCGCATCGGCCGTACTGCTCGTGGAGGACAACGTGGTATGAGCTTGAGTTTTGTCGTACCAAAAGACATAGCAGAGCAGCACCGAGATCGAGATCGAACGATATCTCGATCATCCGCCATTGATGACAGCAAAGTGTTGGCTCGCGTGGAAAAAGATCAAAGCAACCGAGGCGTGTCCATTAAACCTTATAACTTTGATAAGAAACAAGTCGATGGTTTCCGCTACCGTCTTGAAGATGCACTCCGAGCCGTCACTGGTGTGGCTGTCCGTGAGGCTCGAGTCAAGGAATTGAAAAACGAGATTCTTAACTCTGAGAAACTCAAAGCGCATTTCGAAGATAAGCCCAAAGATTTAGATTTCTTGCGCCATGACCGACCTCTCCATCCCACCAGGGTTCAACAGCATCTAAAACATATACCTCAGTACCTCATGCCTAAAATAGCGCCTCCCACGTCAGCAGCAACCGGTACGGCGGTAGCTGACAATCAATCTGAAATACCAGCCCACCAAATTCCGTTTAAAAAAGTAGACAACAAGAAGCGATCCAGACAGTACGCTGCTAATAAGGTAAGTTGGTAGTGGGCTAGCAAAAGATAGAAAAAAGAGGAACAAAAAGTCGGAACTAATCTGTTGGGTGACACTAGAAGCGAAAGAATGATCCACTAAAGAACTTCAGCATGGGTGCTGGGAAGAAACAGGTGAGTGGATCGAAAAAAATTGTTCTTTCATGATCTGTCGATGGTGATATTTTGTCAGACCAAAGAGTTCACTAAAACGTTTCCATCGATGTTTATAGAAGAAGTAAAATACCTACAACTCCACTTCGGCCCCCAACCTGAAAAATGTAGCCAATTGGTTTAGTTAGGCTCTCAAAATCCCATTGTTCATAGCCCATACAATTCAAAGTCATCCATAATATGTAGTTTAGAAAAGTGTGTTTGATTCAATAAGTAAAGAGGGGTAAATCCAACTTAGTTAAATTGGGGGGAGGGGGGAAAAAAAGAAACAAATTTTTTTAGCGCTATTCTGGCTGGAACAAAATGGCAAGGATTATTCTAAAGCATGGAGCCAAAATATGTCATTCTACTGAGGCAATGGAAATATATATCCTTTGGTTCAATACTGGAAAGCTTTTGGCCATAGTGAGCTTGCTTTTTTGTCGTATCGAGATACAGGAGCGGACAAGGGGATAAAGGTGGCTATGATCGAATATCCAGGCGTTTACGTTGGTGCGCGTGTTGAGTATGGGTTTGGCATGGTTCATCAAATTTTGGTAACCTGGAGCGATTGAAGAGAATGCGAGAGGAATACAAAAATTTACAAGTTGATGCTATTTACAATGATTCATTGAATGCGATGCGTTGTCGGCAAGGATGAAATAAAAACATGAAAAAAAAAATCCACAATGAAATCGAAGAATTGGTGCCTATGAGGCGAGAGTGTGAATAGGCTCAGTCGCGCTGCGCACTCAGATAGGATGAGATGCTAAGTCGCTTATAAGGTGTTGGCGACTCCTCAACACTCTCTTTTGAAGTGCTCGTTGATGGCTCTGCTTGATGTGAGGTCAGCCCATCAAGGTTGCCTGTGCCAGAGATATCGTCGGTCGGTAAGTCTTCTATATCACTTTCATCATCTGGTGAAGTAAATTTCGCGTCAATTTTGTGTGCTTTAGATGTACCCTCTTTCAGAGAGTTTGCATTCAAGGAATATGAGGTATTAGCACCATAAAACCTATCGGTTGGACGTTTAAAACGTGATTCTTTTCGAATTGGTATCTTTATCCCTTGTCTCGCAAAGCATTTTGACAATTCAGTAGATTCTGGCGAGAAAGGAATGAGTAACAACACAACATGAATTGCACAGGAATAAGTTTTCATGGTATCGACCAGAGAAGTACTACCTGTCATTCCTGGAAACTAAAACGGACAGCCAAATTAAGAGATAAATTAATGCCAAAGTAACTCAATATGTTTGGGATAAGAGCTGAATGCTCCACCATAACTACCTTTTTAGCAGAGTACACAGTAAAAGATTGTGTATAAACTTCAGCTTGCACTTTTGTGCTCATTGTTAAAGGTTCGCTGCAGAAAATTAGAGCATGGCGGTCAGCAAACAAGGGTTGTTTCATCTTTCCCGTTTCAAAGGAAAAGGTTTCATGAAGCCCTTACCCAACTGCCAAATCGAAAAACATGAACTTTAAAGTATATTTCCCTTCCGAGCGCACAGAGAGATCAGGGAAAACAAAGTATATGCCAGATGTCTTTTGGGGATTTTCAAGTTGTACAGCGTTAGCTATAAGGGAGCCCATTAGATTCCGAGTTGGAGTCGGGTTCCTGAGGGATATTACAGTGGAGAGGGAACCTCCGTACTTGGACTCCGATGCAACTGAGACTGCACCGGAGATCGGAGGTGAGATCGTGGAAGTAGTTGCGGTAAAATGCGTATTAGGTACTGTGGAAGGATGTAAGACGATATTGCGTTCTTCTGCGCCGTTGTCCGAGTAGAGATCGCACTGTACTAGAAAGAAAGAGATATCCAAGGAGCTGTGTAGTAAAGTCGATGCAAATGATCGGTGGAGAAGTAAAATTAGGAATCATAAAGGTGCTGTGTAAGTCCGTAAAAGTCCTTGCCTACCTAACAGTTATTAATTCTCCATCCTCGCCTTCTACAAAGAGCTGAAGAACTGGAGGAGGATCAATTGGTCTCCTATCTTTCTCGCCAAATCCACAACATCGCGCTCGCAGAGGATGCTGTATAACCTCTATGAAGTATCGAAGCATAAAAATCATTAGTCAAGATGGCCCATTTTGCGGCTGGTACGACATTTTGAAAAAAAAAAGGACGAAAAGATTTTACCCAAACGGTAGCGATTAACACTACGACTAGGACGAGCCAAGCCCATAGGAGGGGTTGGACCCGAGTTCATAATTTACTAAAGACCAATCACTTGTTTTTCAAGGTCTTTCAGTAGAGATTGGTCTTGGCGAATTTCACGATGGAAGACCACAAAAGGTGTTCTATAGGCTTCCAGAAAGAGCTTGACGTTGTTCCGTATTTCACTGTCACAGGTCATGGTCAAAATTGGCTGAAGCGATCAGCGACGGAGTATTAATATTTCCACAAGCTGAGTACCAGTTCAAAATGGCCTGATCCTCTTGGATTGGATTTTTTGCCATACACAGGAGTTTTCCAAACCCACACTATGGCTGCTAGACTCTATGTAACTGACTCGGGCAGGTACAGTCATTCCCCAAATGAATCACTCTCCCATTTCAAATAACTCATTCTCCAGGACAGATACTTCCATGCCGGTGCCATTGCTATCATTACTGTTGGGTAATTCATTACGAATCTCGTTTAAATTTTTTTTTGGGCATTTTTTTTTCTGGGCTTTCCCCTACGCAATTTTGGCTTTAACTCGCATTTAGCTTACCAGCACGCGGTAAAACTCATGTCTCGCGCTCCCTTTGTCGCTATCTCCGATGGTTAGGTGTCCCAACCAAGGTGTTTAGTGTCGGCAATTACCGGCGGCAGCGGTTAGGCACCATGCCGAATGACTTTTTTTCACCAGGTAAGCCCGAATTTTCTTTTCTTTTCTTGCTTGCTTTTACTGTGGGAAAGGTCGAAAGGGAAAGAGAGAGGGACGGTTTGGTAAACCCTGATAAAGAGAGCCAAATGTACAAACTCTTGTCACCACTCCAAAAAAAAATATAGAAATAAACTTTATTCCGACTTTTTTCTGCTGGGAACATGCGGACCTTTTACTCAATATTGCTTTATAGCCAATGAGGACACCAAGGAACAAAGATTGCTGATCGCTGAAGCATGTTTGAAGGATATGATCGAATGGCTGGAAAGGGGCGGCCAAGTAGGGATTTATGATGCCAGTAACACGACAGATGAAAGACGCGCTTGGATCCAGCGTAAACTCAAGGAACACGATATTCAGACCCTATTCATCGGTAAGCTACACTTGCATATCTCCCCCGCCGAGAGTCAAGATCCACAAAAAAAAGTTTAACCCTAGTTTCTCTAGAATCCATTTGCAATAAGCAGGAAATCATAGACAGCAATATACGGAGTGTAAAAATATCATCGCCCGATGTACGTGGTACTTTTACAACTCAATCTTTCAGTAAAGCTAAACTAACCCCACCTTACTCTCAGTATGTCGGTTGGGACCCCGAAGCTGCTGTCCGCGACTTCAAGGTAAACCAATCATGTTCCGCCAAACATTAGCTGCAACTGCGGATTTGACCTCAACATCTATCACGTTAGAACCGCATTGAAAACCATTTGCCGTACTACAAGACCATTCGTGACCCGGAGTTGCCGTTTGTGAAACTGATGAACGTTGGCGAACAATTGATTGTAAACAATGTCAAAGGATACTTACAGTCGCGCATTGTTTATTACCTGATGCATCTTCACATCCAACCTAGAATCATTTACTTTGCCAGGGTAGGAGGGAGGTCGCCTTTGGATGCGGGGCGGTGGCCATGATCCTCATCCCATTTTTTTTTCAGATCCCTGAGTCCTTGAATGAGGGTTCATACAAAGCAGATGCAGATCTATCTTCTGTGGGACATAAACAAGCCGAAGCTTTAAAAAATTTCTTAATCAATTACCGCCAACAGCAGCTTGATATGGGCATTGAGGAGAAACTTCGTCCTTTAACAGTAAGTTGACTGGCGAATTTAAATTAAACTTAACCCATGGATCTCACACCACCCCCTATCCTCTAGGTTTGGGGATCTACGCGGAAGCATGCTTCACAGGCAGTGCGGCATTTTGCCGAGGATGACATTCTTGTGAGGGCGCTGCCACTTTTGACTGAGAGAAATCCTGGTGAATGCGATGGCTTGACCCCTCAGCAGATCAAGGTAAATATAAATAGGAGTGGTCAAGATAGGGGTTACTAGAGAAATCTCGATCCCATCGAGCAAGATCATGGCCTGTTCGACACGTGGTTTTGAATCAAATGCTAAATGATGGGTCCCATTTTCCAGGCCAAGTTTCCAGAAGAATACACCAAGTCGCAACAAGACCCATACAATCACCGCTACCCGCGGGCCGAGGTAATTTTTTATACCAACAACTTGATATGACTCCTATGGTTTTCCGCACATGATGTAACGTGAACACCCCTTGATATTATAGTCATACCATGATCTTGCTGTGAGATTGGAGGCATGCATTATGGAATTGGAAAGAGAGAAAAATGATGTTTTGATCATCGGCCATGATTCAGTCCTGAGGTGCTTGTATGCCTATTTGTTTGATCGACCGGATGACGAGATTCCTTCTATCCATATTCCACGCAATTATCTCATTCAGATCAAACCTTCTGCCTATGGGTGTCGAGAGACCAGATTAGAGATCCAAATGGAGCAAGAAAGCGATGAAGATGACCAGCTTTGATCTTTTGGTACATAACAACAAACATTCAATGTTCTTTCTAGTCGTATAGTTGATAGCCACTACCCCCTTTTTTTTTTTAGCAAACGTAAAATAGCCCACCACGCCGCGGTGAAATAAAACTTATTTTGGGGTTACCATTTTCTTTGCTCGGCACCTCTGCGCGCGCAGTTCGGCGACTCTCTTTGTGCGGCCCATCTTCGGCGCACCTGTTTTGTACCCCCAAAGCATTTGATCGGACAACAATTGTGGGAGGAAAACCATCAAGGCGTTTTTCTTTACCAGTAGCCATGTTGTATGATATGCGTGTGTATTTGTACTCTATACGAACAAAGGCGCTATGGATGATACAAAAGACGAAAAGATAGATCAAAATGTATGTACATGAAAGCAAGGAGAACAAACAGGGTCCTTCGATGGGGGGGGAATCTCAGAAATTACAAGGCCAGGCAGGCCGGCTAATGGGAGAAAAAAAACATTCTACGGCTGAATCTATGAAAGCGTAGGGTAGGTTGATTTTCTTTGGTTTCACTCTTTGGTGTTGGTGCTGAGAACCCATCCGACTTTCCATGGTTGATTGCATTTCCAGTACTTGGGAGGGCAAAGGAAACCTTCGATCTCTTCTTCTGGATCCAAGTAACCATCAGGTCGTTTAGCACGCATGGCTTCAATGAAATGCATCGCCTTGCGCTTATCTTCCTTGCATAGTACCCATTTACAATTTCGGCACACGCAGCCATTTGATTTGTTGTATCTATGTGGACATGGGCGAATTAGTAAGTGTCAAACATTGGTGGGATAATAAGACGATCCCACGCCTCAATAACATTGAAAGAAGATGCTTACCTCAGGCCACATTTGTTGCATAGATAAACAAATGGTCTGCCTTTGTCATAATAAATCTTGCCATCCGATAGCGGCCATCCAAAAGCCTTGCGCATGCAACCTTCTGAATGCTCTTGGCAAGCTTGGCAGGGACCTTTTGGCTTGGTTGTTTTGAGGGTGGAGCCATGTGGTTTGAATTGACCTGTGGGCTGACGTTCTCGTGGTTTGGTGTCAGATTCTGAATCCATGCTAGAGTATTCGTCATAGATCGGTTCATGGCTGGGTGATCGTGTGCTTTGCATCTGTGGCTGTGCTGAAGGGTATTCTAAATGCCTGGTAGTACGTGGTTGATTTTTCTTGTGAATGCTCGGCGATGGTGTTTTAGGTAACCATATCCGCGTAACAGACACTCGCTGGCTATGGTGCATGCGTTTTGAATGAGGCGACGGTTGTGAATAGAGTGTTCGATCTTGCTGTCTGGCCGCGGTGACTCGGCGTTTCAAGGCCATCAATAAAGATTCCCCTGAAATGACTTTGGACTTGTGTTCAATACCGTTGGGGGTCAGCATATCAACCTGGAATATCAGATCCTTTTCTTGAACCTGAGAGGCTGTGGGGGATCGATGCGGTGTCGATTTGCGACCATACCGACCTAACCCATTGGCGATGGCTACGGCGGATTTTAATGGTATATGGCTATTGCTGTTCATGATAGCACTGACAGCGTCCTGGTGCTTGTATCGCATTTTTGATGGAACCGATAGGCTTTCAACATCGTCCAAAGGGCCATCGATGAGACTTTTTTCCGAATCAGATGAGGTTTCTGAGAAATCGTCGTCGTCGCCTCGAGTGCTCTCTGGGCTGAGCATCCAGGCGATTTTATTTGGCTTATCAGATTCGATTTTTTGAATGTTCGTTTTTGGCGGCTGGCTTAGTAGTGTGTGGTCGAATAGATCTTGATGGATGTCGTTAAATTCGTACGGAGGTGAGATGGGATAGGTTGCTGACGAGTACAGTGTACGTGGTTCAAAAGTATTCATGTTGAAAGATTGTTTAGAAGGCTTGGCAACGAAAGCAGTAGGGTAAGCGTTTCACGTTGCAATGGGTGGTAGTTCTAAACACACAATGAAAATGATGAAGTTTAGCAATTGGAGGGGCGTAGGTATAAAATATTGGATAAATAAGAAGCCAAGCGACTGAGCAAAAGGTGAAATGCCAAGTTACCAAGGGATTATAAATTTATCTTTCTACAGGCTCCACCATGGCATTACAAAGAAACATTTATAGATTTTGTTGTATGCGTGAGAGATGGATACTTACTTTGACTGACTGCGGTGGGCCAAGAAAAATTTGATCAGATTGGTGGAAATACAAAAAAAAGGGTAATCCACAGAATTTCGGCGGACAACTTTCACCAATGATTAATCAAAAGTCAACGAGATGTATGATTTAAAAGGAGGAAGCAATTGATTTGATCTCGTTTCGATGGGTTCAAATCAGATCAAAAGCACTTCTTTTTTAAAAAGAACAGTATATGATAGAGGAAACAAGAAATGCAGGGGTGGGAAGGGAAGGAAGGAAATGGCAGCAATTTATAAATGGACCTTAAAAAACTTTCGGTCCATTAATTCTGTCGAAGGCAAAGCACTCTGCCGGGCAATACGACCGCCCCCGGAACAGCGGCGAGTATATTATCCATACTCCAAGCCGAGCGGACCTGTATCACGACTAATCTAGAAAATTGAACGTAACATAATTCATTTTTCCTTTCGTCACCCCCTGGCAACGTTGCCATGGAATGGAATAAAATCATCCATGAATATTCGGCGCATTGCTCCTGCCTTGCGCAGCAGCCATGTCAGCAAGAAATTTTTAGAATGGCGCTTGGCCACGTAGTCTGATCGCCTGCCTGTCGCTCCCCCAAAAAAATTTAAAAAGTTTAGTAATTGCTGACAATTGCTGACCAGGGAGATCAATCCATTATTATACTTTCTAATCACGCAGTTCATTTTGCTTACGCACAACTGTCTCATCAAAATTTATGGATGACTCATGTCTTCCTTTCTACAGACTACCAGGAAAAAGGCAACATAGCCTTACACTGTGGTACCATCATCAAAGGTTTTATTTCTTATGCGATCTTGACGTCAATGAGCCCGCTCCGGTAGGTCTCGGTATTTCTTTTAAAACGCTTGAAATTAGTTCCCGCTTTTACAGAGAAAGAAAATTGGCATGTGCCTATAGTTTATCCCTGCCGATTGTTGACCCAAAGTTCCTTTTACTTCGCACTGCGTGTGTCTCTCGCTTAGTAGTCCCCGAAAAAATACCACGTTGATACTAACATTGAGGTTACATACGTATGGGTAATAGTTTTTTGGGGGGCGCAGGGGTTATGCATATTATTCATCATCATCATTTCCTAAATGTTTGTCACCGTCTCCGGGACTTGGAATGCTGCAGATAGATTCATTTTCTATGCGATTAATAATTTTGATTATTGATGTTAGATGGTCGTTTAGTATTTAGCCATGTTTATGTGGAGGAGATTTGGGAAAACGAGCAAATCACAATCGGTCATTCGGGAGTCCAGTTCAGCCGAACAACGGTTAGCGCGGATGGTTGTGTTCCGCTTGTCAGATATATTCTATTGGCTGAAGCATTTGCCTCGTCAGCCATTGACTTTTTTGCTATTAACTCGCCTAACTCGCAAGCATTTTTTTTTTGTGTGTGCGTGTGTGTTTATTTTTTAACAGGCCCAACGGAAGAAAGTAAGAAACAAGCCCAATGGAATTGCTCTGGCAAAATACATTAACCAACAAAAAAAAATAATTCCAAGAAAACAGTAAACAAAGTTAAAGATCTATGCTTGCTTTGCTTTCAGAGCTCTAACAAGTGCAAATGCCATGATGGTATAACGTGTGAAAATGTCTTTCATCATGAACAGCAATGCTTGCGACAGAACAGCCTTAGTGATCTGAGTGCTCATGCCCTATAAAGCAAATGGTAAGTTAAGTGGATGATTCAAAATCACATGACCCTTAAACACGTGGGAAGAATGGGCTATTGGGGAAAAACTTTACCTTGTACCAGCCAAAGAAGCCCTCGGTCTTGAGAACCCTGCCTAAGACGTCAAAGGAACCAGTGTATGCTTGAATCTTTCCTTCCATCTCTTTTGGTGCCTTCCATTGCAATCTAACCTTGGCCATAATGTAAGGGTATGTGATAACAGTAGCAAGGGTTTTGCTCAATGCGCCAACGAAGAAGGCTAAGCCAGGTGTCAAGACCTTCTTATCTAAAGATTTAAGAACAAATTCCTTGAATTTCTCGAAACTAGCATAGGTAATGGCAGGATTGACGCAGAGAACCAATGATGGTTTCACGCCCTTCCAAAGTCCTTGTACACCTTCCTCTGCAATGATAGATCGAGTAGTCTCGACGACACTTTGACGTTCATTGGCAGGAAGTGTCTGTTGTCGAGTGGTGATCACCGAAACGGGAGTGGTGATCAAGGTTGTGATAGCGCCAGCAGCAGCGCCAAGCAACAATTCCATAGCAGTGGACAAAGTACCGGCATTGGGATTGTATTTCTTATTGTAATTGGTTCGGAGGAACGAGTAAGCGTAAAAATAGGTGAAGTTGGTTGATGCGGTACCGATCAATGAACTGGGCAATCCAGCGTACAATCCTGCAAATCCCTCCTGCTTGAGGATGTATTTAATCCCACTCAAAGCCGAATTGTATTCAGCCTCAGTGGATTCGACTCCTTCATGCTTTGTTTGCACCTGAATTCTAGTTTTAATACTGAAGGGAGACAGTAGCGTCAGCGATTTATCCGTATATGTTCTTGCGCTGTCTTGTTCCACATATTGGAACCCAAGTCGACCGTGCGTGAATCTCGCATTTCCAAGATGACACAATGACCATAAACAGCATAGAAAGAGATCTCAGCTTACATATCTAGTGGATAGACACATGCAAGAGCAAACATTGCCCCAGCAGAACCGGCCATGGCGTGCCCGACGGGAGGCAATGGCTCGTTGGCAGAAGACATTAAAGTGGTGACAAGGGAAAAGAGATTGCGAAAACAAAGGGTTCGGTACTTTTATTACTATTAAGTCCTATGATATCTCAAAACGGCTGACTCAAGCACAATGCTTTTTCGCCCTTTCACATGTGTTAAACTCCGCTCGGTTATATCATCGTTCCTTTGGATCAAACCGTCGTTCCATCCAAATAGCCACGAAGGTTCAGTGTCGATGACAGCGCATGAATAACATAGATAGCAGCGTGAGAGAGCTAATGAAGTGTCAGTTAAGGTTATATGGTCTTGCTCAAACGTTTGTCGTGCTTACCAAATTGATTGCCTCTGTGCTGACATTATCCAATGTATCGCAAGCCTGGTGAAATCAATGATTGGGATTGGGTAATAGAATATGTGCTTTCAGCATTGATCAAAAAACTTACCAATTGATAACATGGGTCGGCATCTACGTAGGCTATTCCTCCAAATTTTCTCTTTTGAGACGGTGTCTTAGGTCCCATTCCCGAGTACAGTCCACCTTCGAGATTGCTAAATTATTATCCTTGTCACCCTTCCCAAAAAAAAAAAACTGATCCACTTTTCCTTACCATATGCTACACCAGCTTTGACAGCAAATACATCGTGCTCCGTACCATCGGTAGTGGAAGTGTGCGCGTACTTGTAGCCTACTTGATCAAAGTACTTCTCAAAAATCTTGGCTATCTGCTGTGACCGGCCATTTACCACCTCGGATGTGGGGTTGGTGCGGAGAATCTGTTTTCGCAGTGTGAAAAATGTGAAAGTTTCTAAATCGTCCAAAAAGATAGACGACTTACGTATGGAATGTAGTTTTGGCTGCCCAAGATATCAAGATTGATATAAGCAGTCGTGGCGTTAACTTGTTCTTCAGTCATGTTGTGCAAATAGCGGGAGATACCAGCATCTCCAACTTCCTTTCCACTCCACCATGCAAAAACTAGTTGGTTGGTAGGCTGATAACTGAGCTTGGCAAGTGTCAAGGCAATAGCCAGTGAGGTGGCTGCTCCTGAGCCAGCATTGATACCAGGACTATTTTCAACCGAATCTTCATGCATGCCGAATTAGCTCCAAAACGTTTTGCCACTTTTGCATTTCTATACTATTTACCTAAATGAGATCCTACGATAATCTTGTTCTTATCGTCTCCCGATTTCCAGTTGCATAGAATATTGTATGTATATGTCGTGGTAATGAGCACGCTTGTTTGAATGTTGACAAGGTAGTCGCCCTGCATCACATCGAGTAAAATGGTATACATGTTGTTATCCATAACAAAAACAGGTAATGTGACATTGCTTTCGAAAAAGCTGTTATGCTGATCTTCAAAGTGCACCGGATTGGAAGACCTTGAAAGGACAAACAATACGGCAGCCGCATTTGCCTATTCAAGGTCAGCGTGTGTAAATGAGGATTTGTATAGTGATGTGAGTCCCAACCTACCTTGGCAAGACGCTTTGCAATGTCCACATTCTCCTCCATCTGATAGGAATATGGTGCTATGACTAGTTTTTTATGAACAGTTCTGGAGCATTCCTGTGCACTACACAAGTCATCGATCTCAATGAGTCTATTGTCGAACAAAAGAGTGGAAGGGGCTGTGGATTTCAGAGCTTTTAAAAATGAGACATAGTTTAGCCATGATAGGTACATCGACAGAACCATTTCAAAATAAAAAAACTCTTGCCGTACTAGCAAAATCTTGCTGGTCTACAAATACAGCAACATCACCAGTCAATATAATGAATTCGGTATTTTCCTTCTTCTCCCACATCGAGACAGGAAAGATCTGCGTGGATACATCACAGGCTCCAGAATCCTCCAATTGGTGAATAATGTATTCAGCTGATGCATTGTATCCGTTCCGTATGCTGCGTGAATTGTGGTGGTGTTTTGCTACTTCCACCAGCGCTTTGAGATGCTCCATGACATCATTGGTGTGTAGCGCTTTGATGACCATGTTCATGGACGGGTGTCCACCTGCAATGTATAGGTATTCAGTCATTACTCAATTGCATAGAAGAGCCATTAAATGGTTTGCATACCGAATTTTTGTTCGGCAAACACAAGTGCAGTGATAAATAATAATACAGCAAGGCCACAAATAAGTCCCCATTCCAAGGCTCGCCGCCATGTTCTTGGCAATGTAATGGAAGCTGTTTTTTGGTATTAGTTGAGTGTAAGTATCAAAGGTCATAGGTTGAATAAATACTACCGACATGAACTAGGTTGACTGGAAGGTAATAGTGGGGTTGATTCAGTTGTTGGCATGCTGGTTACAAGAATTCAGTTGACAACCCCGCCTTTGGTTCAAGCGGGCCGCTGACTCCTAAAAATTTGTTTTAAAGCTTGTGATGCTGTGATCGCATGAGAAGTCAGCTGCAAGCCCACTTCTCTCAATTTACCTCTTCTTTCCCTTCTTCAATTAATGTCAAAACGTAATGCAACGCTGATTCTAGTGGCAGGAATGCTAGTGTCTGGTACGTAATGGGCCGTCATGGCTATGTTCAAATGACCTACGGCACCCTTATCTATGTCTTCTAACCTTACTTTCACGTCCGTGCTTTTATGTGCAATAAAGGCGTGGCCAACACCATCCTCAATAAGCTACAAGATATGCAGTGTGTGGAGAATTGCTCTGATCCTGATCCTGAAAAGAGATTGTATTTTGAGCAGCCAGTTTGGCAAACGTAAGTTCCCGATGAGTAGGCTGTCTTTATCTCCCGTAACTCCCTAATCATATTTTGGCAATTTTCACACCTAGCTTAAACATGTTTATTGGTGAGACAGGTGTATGGATAGTGTACCTATTTCAACTATGGCAAAAGAAGCACTTGCGTCTTGAAGACGATGATGAAGAAGTAGTCCCCTCGGCTGTGAATCAACTGGATGCTGGCGTAGTGGTAGACGATGCTGATAGAATCCTGAAGGAAGCTCATCCAACAGAGGAATTGGCTGGATGGAAGAACTTTCTCTTCTGGATACCAACTATATGTGATTTGACTGCCACCACTGTAAGTTAGAAAGTTGAATGGAGGCTACAAGAGGGGGTTTTTTTTCACACCATTGCGGTTTCCGAACAGCTCATGAATGTCGGTCTTATCTACACGGCTGCTAGCGTTTATCAAATGCTTCGTGGAGCCGTGGTCATCTTCACTGGAGTTTTCAGTTATTTTTTCCTAAAGCGTCGCATGACAAGGTGGCAATGGATTTCTCTCTTCCTCGTAGTTTCTGGTGTGTCCATTGTTGGACTTTCAAGTGTTCTCTATCCTCAAGAACGTCCATCTGTGTTTGGTGATGATGAAACGGAAGTTCCCTTTGACTGGCAGTCCTTCCTTGGCGTTGCCTTCGTTCTTGGCGCTCAGATTCTGACTGCTACTCAATTTGTTGTAGAGGAGAAGATCATGTCCAGATACCATGTCAAACCACTCCGTGCTGTCGGCTTAGAAGGCTCGTTTGGTTTGGTGTCGGTGTTGGCTGGTATGCCTATCCTGTACGCTATATATGGCAATTCCAGACCGTTTTTCGATATGCCACGTGGATGGCATCAAATTACGGCAAATCCTGCTGTTTGGGGTACAGGTATTGCCATTGCCTTCTCCATTGCCTTCTTCAACTTTTTCGGTCTTAGCATTACCACCACCGTGTCTGCCACTGCTCGCAGCACCATCGATACCTGCAGGTAAGTGAAAGGAAAAACCGCAAAAATGGCGAAAACAATGGGCTCAACTAAACCGTTATGTGCTTAGAACGTTGTTCATTTGGATGGTGTCATTATATCTTGGTTGGGAGCGATTCTCATGGGTGCAAGTCATTGGTTTTGTCATCTTGGTTCTTGGTACCTTCATCTTCAACGACGTCATCAAGCCTCCGTTCTTCAACGGTGAGGAGGGGCCTGAAACGTCTCCACTGCTTAGAGAAGATGAAAATGAACAATAATGAATGAGTTCCATATGATTTGGATGGAAATTTTTTGAGGTTAAAAAGCGATGTGTTCATATCATAATGTTAGTGATGATTTGTTGATGGTGCCTTTGCTTGTTTGGGTTTATTTCTTTTCTCTTACGTATTGGTTCATTCGTTGTTACTCTCCTGTTTTCGTTTCTTTTGTCTTTTGCGCTTTTTCTTTGTGTAAGTTAATTTTCACACATTTCGATCTTCAATACAAAATCATTGGATGCTGCTTCTCCATGATCGCTATTACAAACATTGAAGGTACATATGTCTAAAAGCGGCAGTTTTCAGCAGGTTTAGCAAAACATTGTGAAACTCAGTATTTGTTGAGGAACCGCAATCAGGAAGTAAGCTTACTATTGTGGGATGGTCGATTTCCAATGTTGCGTGTTGATGTAAGCATAGGAGATACCCAGGCCAATTGGTTTCAATGACGCCTACTTGATTGTGTGAGGGAGAGTGGTATCACGTGATTCCATCTGGAAACCAGCGACAAAGGTACGGTATCTTTGAGTTACCTCGGAGCCTCAGGTCGTTCTATGAGATTCTTACCTTAACAGTCGGACATATAATGTAACTAGGAACGAAATAAATGTTAAAGCCAGCACGACCGTGGCTTGTTTGCACGTTGCAACGGTGAGCCAACCACAGCGCCTAACAAAGATATTACCGAAAGCAGTGATTATTCCTGGTACTGTGAGTACTTCATTTTACCACTTGATCCTATGATGGGATGATAGGCGCTATCTTGATCCTTACTGCAAAATACCATTCTGAGCAGCGAGTCAGAAAATGGAGGCCAAAGATTACATAATGTCATGGTACCGATGAAGCGCACACTTCAAATGGCGCATAGCCAGAGATCGATGGACCCATTGTGAAGCGCCGCTCTGTTCTGCGATGTACAGACAGGCGTGCCATGGGTCTGCCGACCTTCCATGTTCGGCATGGATAACCTAAAATTGAGGCTTGCTGTTGCCTTTAGTTGCTGCAGGAACCGTTTTGCATTTCATTGGTGGGGCCAGCTTCTCCAATTCTAATCTCCGGTATAGATGACTTTAAAAGGAAGCAATAAGCGTGCTCCAATTAGATTTGTAGCCCAAGCATATATTAGCGTTATGAATTATATCGCACCATACACCACGGAAAGCGGAGTGGATTGAACTAAATCATACTTGGGCAAAATGGTAAGGAATAGATCCCATCTGATTTGAGATGATTGGTTAAATTTGTGTAGAGTTTTAAGAATAGCGTGCATAGTTCCACAATCTTACTTGGGGTTCCCACTATGGATTGTGTGTAATGCTAGTGAGCTGATTTTTTAAGTAGCAACAAAGAGAGGGATGGGGAAAACAGCAAAAGGTGGAGAGTGAGGGTTATTGACTGAGTAAATAGGAGGTGTTATTAAGTCTGATTGCAATGTATTGTTAGCATCGAACTAAGTTTTGACTAGTTACTGTAACGGTAGATCCATTTCTTTGCAGATCCAATATTTCCACTCTATCTCCTCCCCCCCCCCACTTCCACCAAAAAAAATAAAATAATAAAAATTGTAACTCAACCTCAACCAAGCGACCGGACGAGTCTACATTCCTTTGACTAACATAGTTAGATACAGAGAAGAACACTTCCACTGTAAAGAGGACCAGAAAGGCGTGCTGCTATAGCATGAGCAGGGAGAAGTGTTAGGACCCATTGGGTAAAGGCGCGGTATAAGGTAGGACCAAATTTTTTTTTTTTTTTTTTGGAGACAGGTTCGGTCAGCTTATCTTTTCACACCAACCACAATCCCCTATCCGACTTCCTCTCAGCGTTTTTTTCATTCTCTACAAACCTCCTTCCCAAACCTACAAACCCCTTCCTTCTTTCTTTCCCCTCTTTCTATCCTTTACGCACTTTCCTTCTCTCTTCGCTACCAACCAGCTTTTCTTATAACTGCTGGTTCAGCTACTTCCCTTACTGTACATTTCTCTCCCGCTCCTCTCCACCTTGCCACATTGTCTACTGAACTAGAGGCTTTCATTCCTCTTTTGCTGCTGTAGAGTCGTTCGTCCCTTTGCTCCCTCCTATCACAACCCAACTTAAACCCTGTACAACAAAACATGTTCAACGTCAACGAAAAAATCAATGGTCTCAGGGGAAATAGGCGGTACATGATGTTCAGCCTTGCCCTGGTGATGGTCACTGGTATATCGCTGCTGAGCTATACGCACAGTAGTAGTTTACTCATGTGCAGCAGCCCTGGAAGCATACGATACATGTCCAGCGAAGCGGCTGCCATGACTTCTGCTGATAGTGCGCAATATACTTTTACAAACCTTAATGGCCTCAAAGCCGATCCACAATCACATGTTTTGATCTTGACTCCACTGAAGAATGCTGCAGCATATCTACCCAGATATTTTGAGTTGGTGAACCGATTGACCTATCCCAAAGAATTGATCTCGCTCTCTTTCTTGGTGTCCGATACCGACGACAACACCGTGGATATGTTGAAAAACTTTGCTCACCAAGGCCACAACTTCCACCATATCAATATCCTTGAACGAGATTTCAACTATGAATTACCAGAAGACAAACGCCACACCTTTGAATTGCAACCGATGCGACGTGCTATGATGGCTAGATCTCGCAACTATTTACTGACTGCCTCCCTCCGCTCAGAACATGCCTGGGTTGTTTGGTTGGATGTCGATGTTGTCGAATACCCAGAAACGATTCTGGAAGATTTGATGAGCGTGGATGTCGATGTGGTTGTTCCCAACTGTCTCTTGAATACCGATGATGATAGTTTCTGGGGATATGACAAGAATAACTGGCAAGAAACTGAAGAAAGTTTGGCTATTCAAAAGGACTTAGATGACGACTATGTACTTTTAGAAGGTTACTATGAATTCCCCACCTCTCGAAAGCTGGTACGTAAAACAAAAAGTCCCAAACCTGATGGAATGCTTCTCATAGATTAACGTTTCTCTTTATATCAGATGGTAGATATGCCAACCCATTGGCCAAAACTGCACAAGGTCGAGCTGGATGGTGTGGGTGCCACATTCACCATGGTTAAAGCTGAAGTTCACCGTGAAGGTGCAAATTTCCCGGCATATCCTTTCCAACATGAGGTCGAAACCGAAGGTTTTGCAAAGATGGCAAAGGCTATGGGCTTTGGCGTGTACGGCTTGCCTTCCTATATTATCAAACATATATATAATAATTGTACGTATTGGTCGTTGTGTATGAGCCTTCCGCAGTAAACTCATCCCTAACCTTTTTTTTTTTATTTTTTGCAGAAACAGAATGGCAGCTTTCTTTACTTTATTTTTGTTTTCTTTGCTTCGCTTTCGGTCCCTACAGTAAATAGAAAGGGCATTTACATACCAAGTAACCACCACCCACACAAATACCATCTATTCTCCATCCATTGTCTCTTCTAAATGTTGCATTCGTGTATCTTTTACCATTTTTAATCGCTAGTCCTCCAAAATACGATCGACTTAGTCAGAAAAAAAAAACAAAAAGAAAAGTAAAAAAAAAAAAAGTTAAGCTTATTACCCCAATCAACCGTAGCGTGCTCGAGTTGTGTCGTTGCTTAAGGACTTTTTGTCCCCTTCATACATGTTGCCGTTACAAGCAAATGAAATGAAATATCTACTTGTTATTTAGCACAGTATCGTGACTTTTCGGGGGAATCGGAATAGAAAGGAAATTGCGAACCAACCCCACATTCTATATGTTCGCCACAATACATTACGAGGATCGTGTTTATGTATTAATACTGTTTTATCCTGACTAACGCGCATCCATCTATTATTATTTTTATGTGTGGTTGTTTGCTTATGTTAATGTAAGGCTCTACATGGACAAAAGATCTCATCTAACCATTTTGGGAGGGCCAGAAAATGGGTTGCTGTGCGGATCATTGGAGTTCAACAGTTGAGTTTGTCGAACGAGCTGCTCCAAGATCATACTCTGCTCAGTTTCCGATGTTTGCGAGAAAACAATTGCTGAGAATGGGGTGGCTGCAAATAAGAGCCAGTTAAGAACGGTTTGTTTAACGCCATAATGTCGTATAGAGCTGCTTACATTGCACACTACCATGGTTGTCCGAGCGAACCTTGCATATCCTCCTCTGAATAGAAGGAATCAGTTCAGTTATCGAGTCAATCATGACTTTGCGCTGCTGTTGGCCAAGGCTTGACATGTCTTCTTTTTGCAGTCTTTCATGAATGTCCATGGCTGATGCATAATCGTAGCGATTTAAATAAAATGCGAACAGAAAATTCAGATTTGAAGGTGAAGGGTTCGTTGAAGAGCAGTACGTAACGACCTCCCTCTCTAGTTGACCGTTCAAAGGTGTAGAAAATAATTGTACTTGCTTGACTTTCGTGTTTCCAACTGATGAATAGAATCAAATGCCCACACGTATGATCAGTTACAGTCAATCCTATTGACTGCCGCACATTTAAATAGCTTACCTTCAAACCAATCGTATAAAAGCTTGCATAGCACTTCGCTGCGTCTATTTGTTTGATCCAAAGTCTTACAAATTGTATTCTGTAGTAAGAAAAGAGATGATCAATGATAAGTTCACAGATAAATTATCTCTGTATTTCACCTTACCAGTTCTAGGATCACATCTTTTGGTTTCAATTTCAACAGATACGCAGTTAGTACTTCCTCATCAGTAATATCTTGTATTGGAATATGGTTTGTTTCAATTAGTTTCAATGCGGCTGATAAGGAGACTTGCATTTTGACGACTTTGATATAAAGAGTTGGGAATAGAATAATGTACGCAGAGCTGTTCATGGCATTCAGTTTCTACGGGTGGGAATAACAGTGCCATTCAGTCGTATAGCAACGGAGCAACGTATCTTATATAGTTCTACTCACGTCTATTTGAAAATTGTCTATTGCCCAGTAATCCATAATCATTTGAGATGTAGTCGTGTTCAAATGGATATTCTTTGCGAAGGCTTCAAATTCATTTTTCCCACATGCGTCCAGTATAATGTACAGTAGTATATGTGAACAACAAGGCAATGGACCTGAAGTACTTGAGTAGCCGTCGATAGTATCGCAATATCTTTCATAAACATGCTCCGATACGGGGTACTGCTCTACAATGACCAGTTAGTCCATCGATATCTAAAGGGTTTCGCTGTATCAACGTTGCTAGTAATATAGATCATACCATGGTATCCGTTTTGCTCCAACAACAAATCTATTATTAGTGGCGAACCCATCTGAATGCGTCGTTCAGTATAAGAGCGTGACGCCTTTTCGTATCTTTTGGAAAGCTCTCGTCGAAGTTTGCTTGCAAGTCCTGAAAAGTCGTAATCGCCCTCCTAAATCAAATTTGATGTTATGGCGTACTCAAGCATGCATGTACTAGCATCAAAGAGTACTTACTGAGATGCCTTCATATCCTGATTTTGATGGTTGAGCGACGGTAGTATAGAGAGTATGCAATTCTGTCGCCGCCAATATGACTACTTTACCAAAGGCATCCGCTACGGCTCCATTGAGGAACACCGGGACATTGGTAACTGTCTGTTGACGGCAGCTGGTGACACCGTCATAATTCCTAGATATGTTCCACTGTTTAAAGCTAATTACTTCCATTTCATGCTTCCTCCTGAGCGACGATATAGAAGACAGCTTGAGTTTCTTGTCTACTGCTTTGCTCAATACTTCGTGAGTATCTCTTATGTCGTTGGTTCGTATTTGAAAATGGTAGTAGGAACTCACTTGTTTCATATATGCAGAAGGATCCAACGTAGCTAGATTCACAGTCCTGCATATTCTCAGATCCATTCGTTGTATCGCTACATTCTTCCTTCCATACTTCCATGCTTTTAAAAGTTGGAAGCTTCAGCTTCAGCATAGTTACGGCTGGGTTGTGAATTTCACTCCTATATGATTCATTCAATTAGACTGGTCATTAAATTGGCTGTAACACACTTACACGAACCGTAATGCTTACCTGGTGATCTCGGAGCCGTTGCGAAAACCTTGCCCGGCAACCAATATGACTTCTGACTTTTCTTCAGCAGACTTAAGCATCAAGCTGACGACAGCCACTTTGGTGCAAATTACACATTAATGAGACATATCAAGTGATCCGAATGAAAACATAATGATCAAATACTCACTGTTTTTCCACAATGTCGTAATCACTTTAGTCCCATGCGTTCCGCAGTCTTGTTCATCGCTGTTGGCTTGCGGCTCATAAGTGATGACTTCTATCTCACCATTATTTCCGCCAATAAGAATAAATACAGATGCATCCGAGCTAACAGGAGACGTGACATGCACAGCAATGGACCCCACTGAAGAAGTTTTGCATTGTGCCATGATACATGGAATTTTGGAGATGGTTTGAAATGTACCAAGACATAGTCTTATCAGAAACACGGCGCCGGAATCCGTTCCCAGAGCGAGTAAATGAAAGGATTTAGTTTCTGAATTCTGTAATGATGGATGGTCGTCCTGGGAAGGTGGGTTACTAAGATGACAATATAGGCATTCAGGCAGAAGTGTCTTTATGAGTACCTGGAGCTGTATTTTCAAGGACATTGACATACTGGTGACAGAATTCTTTGAGTTGAATGACGAGTATATTATATGGCACCTCAAGGTGCGTGGATTGAATATGAACAGCTTGGGTAGCTGAGTGTGCGTATCACGAGCAAGTAGGACGATGCATAATGTGCTTCCCATAGTTCCATGCGTTGCCAGTTCGATAACAAGCTGCAAATAAGATGTCTTTAGCTCTGAGATATCTCAAAGCAGGGCAAAAAAAAGCATGCTCATACCCGGTGCCTGTCTGGCGTGGGCAAATCGTGTATGGTCAACAACGCGTACACGGGTTGTAGGAGAAGAATATCCCGAACCTCGAGGGTAGTTGAATTGTATCGGTATATCAACGACAATGGCGACCATTCTTTGCAGGTCGTTTGAATTTCATTTGAGGGTATCAGTGATCCGCCAAGGATCTTATCAGAGCGGCCCTTCTGAGGTAATGGTGGCAGGACACTTGATCGTGACAGCAATTGAACCATGGGTGAAGCAATGACATTTTAGACTCAGTCAAATGCTATGCCTCTGGTTTGTGTGGCCCGACCACCCTACTTTTGTAAAATTTGAATGGCCGACTTCATAATTGCTGTGGCAGAGCTACTTTTTCAAACCACTGGCAGGTATTCGCTATAGGTATCCATCGAAAAGCAGTGTATGAATTTCTGTGGTATTCGTTGAAATGGCTGATACCATGGGTAGTATGATCAATTAGATGTCACGCCATAACCATAACAAAATAACACAAACGTATGTGTTAGTCTCTACTAATGTAATTGCCACTATACGACACTTGGAATAGTTCTATTACATAAAATGATGGAAGGAGTAGCTCAGTTAGATTTGGGATAGGCATACTTCCGATAGCCGGTGACTCTTTTGCATAAAGCTTCTAATGTTAATTCATCTGCCGCCACAATAGGTAGCTTTTTTTTCTGCCCACCACAATTACTGCAGAGCATGTCAGGCAGATTTTTATCGAAATGCGTCAAGCAGCTAGGTGGAGTCAAACATTTCACGTCAGTCCACGCTCGTGTACCTCGCAAGGTTAACGCTGTAGCGAGTGTTTCTCGTGTACCTCTATACATACAATCAAGAACCCTAACAAGTACCATGCCGCTGTGGTCTCAAGGAATGGGTCGGTAGCCAGCATTCATCACTGTCTCGTTTCGGGGCCATAAAAAGCCTTATTAAACAGTACTCTCTCTGCTTCTATAGTTGATTCAGATATAACGCATGCCTTGGATGAAGAATTGTCGTACCAAAAGCCAGAAGATCCTACGGAAGACCTGAAGCCTTTGCAAGAGTTCTTGTCGAAGAGCAAGTTTGAGGTACAGGAGTTTGTAGCAGGAACGTGAGAGAACTTGCTGCGAGATGTACTAATTCATAATTTATATCCAGCTAAAAGACAAGGAAGGATCGGACGAAATCACACTTTCCAAAAAAGATGGTGATGAGGAGTAAGTGACTAGTCGATCGTGGCACTGGTTTTCTGTCTATCCTACTTACCTGACGGCGTATAGGATAACGGTCATATTTTCACTTTCCTCAATGTTAACTGAAGAGACGAGCTTGGACGATATCATTATCAGTGGTAATGGAAACCAGCAGGTCGGTTGAGTTGGTTAATATGGCCATACTATGTTTACGACGATAGAGCTAATTTTCCTTTATTGCGTAGATGGAGGAGTTAGATATGGATGAAAGTGAACTGATGTCTACCGCTGTTCGAATCGCTGTAACGAAGGTGAGAGGATAATTAGGTTGGCAAAGGGATGTAAGGCATTCGGTTAACTAATCGGCTTTACCACACCCATTTTATACAGAAGGACAAAGGAACACTGGCGTTTGACGTGGTAGCCAAAGAAGACTCTATAGCCATTATCAATGTGGATTATCATGAGAATCGGTCGTATGTTCTACCAGAATCAGCTTATCAGTATCGAAGAGGCCGCCGAAGCTATTTGAGCCCCAACTACCTTGCTCTAGACGTTGTTAGTACCTCATATCACCCATCTCACATCATTTGTAGCAACCCGCGCTCATATAATTGTTTCTAGGGTATTCAAGATTCGTTTCAGAACTATCTAGCGGAGAAAGTGCTGGATACCGAGCTATTACAATTTATATGCGATTATACCCAGCTCAAGCGTCGACGCGAGTACAATCTGTGGCTGAAAAATGTTGGTAATTTCACCGATAAGTAATTCGTAGCTATTAAATTTGATGAGCACTTGGTAGTGAACAAGTTGCTTCTACTATCTCAGCGCAACTCGTTTGAACCATTACCCTCCCATTTACTCTGGCAGACATAATAAACTTTTCATCTTGAAAGGACTCAGTCCTCTTCTATTAAAACACTTTTGGAATTGTTATCTATACAAGTCAAGAAAAGGAAAAAAAAATAAAGTGGAGAGTATTCGAAGGTGCTCATTCTATGGTGCAGGTAGATGCAAATGGAATGTTGAAGGGTGGAATATACAGTACTTGGTATGGGGAGAAAATAAATGCAAAAATTCTATGCGGTTGGTTGTTAAGGGTACTTAGATATCGCGAACAATGGATTCGGGGTGAGCGCCTTCGTAGATAACTCGGTAGACGGTGTTGAAGAGAGGGAATTCGTCGACCATCTTGCGAGCAGTCAAGAACTCGTGAACTTCAGCGGCGGTAAGGGTTCCTTGCAACTTTTGACCGTTAAGCATTTCCTGTTCAAGGACATCGATAGGCTTTCCAGAAGTGACAAAGGCTTCAGCGACCTTACGGTTACGACCACCGGAGCAAGTAGTGATAAGATCAGCAACACCGCAAGACTCGAAGAAGGTCTCAGATTCCACACCGCCGAAGAAAGTCTTGCCAAACTTGCGCATTTCCATTAATCCTCGGCGAATGATAGCAGCCTTAGTGTTGCTACCGTACTTGAGACCATCTGAGAGACCAGCTCCAACAGCAACAACGTTCTTGAGAGCACCGCAAAGCTCGACACCAACATAATCGCGAACGACATTGACACGGAAATAAGGGGTATGGAACAACTTGAAGAAGGTTTCGCCATCCTCGACTGACCGGCAGCCAATGGTAGTTTCGCAGAACTTCTCTTGAGCGACTTCATCAGCAATGTTAGCACCAGAGAGAGCAGCACAGTTGATATCCAAGATACGGCCAATCTCCTCGGAGAACAGAGTGATACCTTCGGGCAGGATATCAAGACCCTTGATAAGTGAGATAGCTCTGGCGTCGTGAGCAACATGGCCCTTCATCTTCTCGCAGACACCACGGACGAATTGATGTGGAAGGACAAAGACAAGAACATTAGCTCCCTTGCTGGCCTCAACGACATCGGGCACAGCAACAATGTTGTGAGGGAGCTTAATACCCTTGAGATACTTGACATTCTCATGTTCACGGTTGATGACTTCAGTGAGCTTTTCACCATTGTAATCTTCCTCGAAGACCCATTGGCGAACCTCTTGTTCAAAGAGGTCAGGGAAGTTCTGAACGTTTTGTGCGACAATTTTACCAACGGCGGAACCCCTAGAGATTTCAATAACGTGTAAGTCAATGCGACTTTCAAAAAATGGTTATCAGTACCCAGTGTACATACCAGTTTCCGGAGCCGATAACGCAAACTCTTTGTTTAGTTGAAGACATGTTTAAGTAGTGTGATTTGGAGAATATATAAAGATTGATGAAGATGTGGAAGAGACAGAAGCAAGCGCCGTATTTATAGGCATCCAAACGCTGATGGTCCCTGGCACCAATCAAACAATTGGAGCGACATCAATTCACCGCCCCGCCCGATGACAGTCACGATTGACATTTTTTTTTTTTTT